AAGCTTATTTTATAGCCTCTTTATATATATAGGGGCTTAATCCTCCTAATTAAGGAATTATTCTTATTTATTAATTAAAGATAGAATATAAACTATAGGCATGTTTTTTCTAGAGCTATTATTACTAATAATAGGCTAGTATTTTTAAAAAGAATTACTATTAGTATAGTCCTAAAAATTAGGAAAATCTCTTTAATAATTAAGATTAAGATCTTCTCTAGTATATTTATATACTAGCCTAGATAGGTATTAATCTTTATATTCTAAATATATTATTCTAGCTTTATATAGTCCTTATATTATACTTTTATATTATAGAATATACTAGATAAGATATAAATAATAATTATTTTTTATAATAAAATTATTAATAAGCTATAAATTATTCTTATTAGATTCTATATATATTATACTACTATTCTTATCTTAATTATTTTTTTTATTATATGCCTCCTCTAGGAAAGCTATTTATTAAAGTAGATTTCTAATTATTTAAGTATTAGTTACTTCTATTCTAGTATCTTTATAATAGGCTATATTATTAAGTAATTATTAATTCTTAAGCTAGGTACCTTATTATATTATTTCTTTATAATATAGATTATTTCTAGCTTTTCTAGTATAAAGACTATTCTATTCTAGTTACTCTAGACTAGTACTTCCTAGATATCTATCTTTAATTACTTATAATTATTCTTTAATATCTAGATAATATAACTTAAGTAGAGATTATTTATATATTTAAAGTAAAAAGTTATATCTTATAAGAGTAGTTTTATTATATAAAATAAAAAGAAAATTAGAAATAAAAATAAGTCTTATAATATTTTATAGAATACTAGGTTTACTTTAATTAATATTATCTCTAGCTAGATCCTAACTAGCCTACTAGTTAGGAAGTTATTAATAAGAATAACTAGGGCCTAGGGCTACTTTTATTTTATTATTTATTTTAGTAACTTATATTATAGGAAAGTATTAAAGGCTCCTAATATATTTATTATAATTATAGTTATTTTCTTATTTTAGATAAGGGCTATTTTAATATTATATATATAGGCTATAACTAGATCTATAGTAAAGTATTAAAGAAGTATATTATATTATTATAAACTTAGAACTTTATATATAAGTATTATATATATAATTCTTTAAATAATTATTCTCTTTAGATCTTTATTAATTATTAATAATAAAATAATTAATCTTTAGAATCTAGAAAAGATCTTATCTTACTTACTTATTTTAAAAAATATAATTATTTTTACTATCTTTTATAATACTAGAAAGTAGCTTAACTATAAATACTTATTATATAATCTATATATTATCTTATTTATATATTCCTAATAAACTTTAAAAACCTATACTATAATTATATCTACTCTAGAAGAGATACTACTTATTCTAATTATATTCTTTTTTATTTTCTTTTCTAATATCCTCCCTCCCTAGGAAAGGTACTTATCTCTAATCTAATAAGCCTCTATTATAGGGTTAAATTCTAGATTATTTATTAAGTTAAATTATCTAAGAATAGCTTACTAGAGTACCTTAATTTTTTCTTAAATATCCTTAATTATATAGTTATCTACTTAGAGAGATAGTATCTTTATTCTTAATTTTAATTTATATTAGGCTATAATCTAGTAAAGCTCCTTATTACTACTAATCTTATTAATAATACTTACCTAATATTAGTATTTAGCTCTATAAATTATATTCTAGAAGTATTTTTTCTCTTTTAGACTTAATTTTACTAGCTATTTATTATAGGAGTCTATATACTCTATTATTTACTAGGGGATAGTCCTTTAGCCTAGGTTAAAAAGTTTTCTAATTATCTTAATAACTTCCTAGAATATCTCCCCCAGGTTCCCTATATACTAGTCTAGTACTAGGCTATCTAGTAGGCCCTTTAAATCTAAAAGACCTATTATTCTATTCTATACTAATCCTACTAATTATTTTAAGTCCTTATCTAGGACTTTAAATTATTATCTTTCTAGGAATATAGATATATATCCTGGGACTATAGTAATTAATATCTAGTAATTTAAGCTATAATATAGGTCTAGGCAGACCTCTATATATATAAAGGCTATATTAAAGAAAATTAGATTTAAAATATATTCTATTATATAAGTAGCTATCCCTAGCTTCTCTATATAATCTATTTTATTATTAATTATTTACTATATAAGCTCTTTTTTTTTATAAAAGTTTTATACCCCTAGCTTAAAAATATTATATATAATATTAAAGTTACTTCTTATAATATAGTTAGAAATAAGGACTAGTATTATTATATAATCTATTATTTTATATATAGTAAATTCTTAATATATATTTAGTATCTAGGTATTATTTATTATTATTTAAAGTAGATTCTAACTCTTAATTAGCCTATATTATTCTACCCCTAAACTAGAGTTCTAGTATATATATATAAGTACCCTAGATTATTTTTTTATCTATCTCTTCTAGTCCCCCTAGCTATTAACTAGGGAGTAGTATTTAAATACTAAATAATTCTATATCTTAATCTCTAGGCCTATCTATAGCTCTTATATATAGGCTATAGTATAGCCTTATTTATAGGCTAGCTATAAAATTATAGTATAATTTAATATTAATTTACTAATATTAGCCTAATAAATTATAAGATTCTACTAATACTAGACCTATTTTATATAATTCCTACTATATCTTATTCTAGATCTCCCTAATATTAGATATTAAATAATCTATTAGTATTAATTTCTATCCCTAGAATCTATATACTTACTACTTATTTAGAACTTAAGAAAATATAGAGACTTTAAATAGAAAATTCTTTTAAATTTATATTACCTATATATATAATAGCCTAGATTAAGTATTATTCTATAATCTAGAAGCCCTCTATATTTATATCTAGCTATAAGGGTACTTTTACTATATACTTGCAGGAGTTTAGAGATTAGGCCTTATCTATTTCTATATATAGCTAGGCTATTATTACTATCTAATTATAGATATCTTAAAAGATATATATCTTATAATACCTAATATATACTAGATCCTATTTAAATAATTTAATAAGAGAACTATTAATCTTATATAAGATTATAAAGTAGCTTTTATACTTTATTTTAAATAATTTAAAGTAATTAATATAATAGAAAAAGTTATTATAATTTAGTCTTATAGATCTAGTATAATCTTTAATTAATATATTATATTAAATATAGCAGGGCTATCTTATATATCTTAAGGAATAGTAATATCTTTAATAGCCTGGATTATATTACTTTATAAGGGCTTATTTCTTAATAAGTTAGGATTACTAGCTATTATTAAATAAAATAAAGTTCCTAGTAGGTATTAAGAAGAAGATTATCTAGATTATATATTTTATTTATATATCTAGTCTATATCTTAATAAATAGTAATTAACTAGTTTTATATTTATTTATACTAGTATTTTATCTATTATTAGTATACTTATTTTTAAATATATACTATTATAAGATATTATTATACTAGGTATTCTAGATATTATATAATTATATTATTTTTATAGAATATAGATATTAATTATATTTAATATATTTTTTATAGTATTTATTATCTTCTCTATTATTAGAAAGTCCTAGATAGTAAGATTATTTAAGATAATTATTTATTTAGTCCTAGTTAAATTAATTCTAGATATTATATTAAGAGTTATAAGTCCTAAAATATACTTTATTAGGGCTTAGTATACTATATAAACTTTAAAATATATAAGAAAGAGCCTCCCTAATAAAATAATTAAAATCTTATAATTATTTTTAATATTTATTAATATAGTTAATCTACTTTAAGCTAACTTTATTATAGTAGTAGGGGTAGTTTTATCTAAATTAGATATAAGCTACCTAGTATTATATACTCTAGTTAATATAGGTCCTCTCCTTAAGTTTTTTAGAATTTATATAGCCTCCCAGGCTATAAACTTACTAAAAGTCTTATTTAAGATTATTAATATTATTATAGTTATAAACTAATTATATATATATATAAGTATATAATTATTTATAATAATATAATTTTTAATAATAATAAACTAGATAAATTTATTATAAATTATTATTATATAGGCCCTCTTATCCTAACTCTTCTAGATATTAATAAGCTTATCTACTATAATAACTAGCTTAACTAGTATCTTATAATATATCTTTACCTAGTATTCTTCCTTATTAAGGTAATCCTAAAGGATCCTTATAATAGAGCCTAGATTAGTAGTTAAGGTACTGGCACCTTTATAAACTAGAGAAAGTATATAAAGGATATTCTTTTCTTACTATCTCTTTATAATATATAGATTAGAGGGGGATAAAGATTCCTATAGCTATATAAAATTAGCTATATCTATATTTCTAGATAAATAGTTAGAAGTTAGTACCTCTATCTTAACTTACTATATATTAAAATATAGTTAGAGGAGGGAGGGAGAGGCAGAATATATAATAGTAAGTTTAAAATATGTATATTACTAGATTTTATAGTAATTTGGGCCCTTCTTCAAAGGTACCCCTGGGTTGCTGAGTGTTGTAAAGGTGATTGGGGATGGGTAAGTGCACCGAAGGTTGATAATATACTCAAGAGAGGCCTGATGAGGCTAGGTTGAAGGTCAGAGTGGATTAGAACTCTGGAAGAATAATAAGGCCGGCTATGTATTTGACATGGTTGAAATGATTTTCTTTGGTCTTCGGTGGTAGGATTTTACTTGGAGTAATAATGAATAATATCGCAAAGAGTCGCTTAAACCAGATATTCTGATAGCATTCTTCCGCCAGACCAGCGGACTACTACATACAGTAGTACTATAATAGAGGGATGGAAGAGCCAATTAAAACTAAATATGTGACAAATGGATGGTGGAATTTCATGTAAAGTTATCATCAGCGTAAAATTCTATCTAATTCTATCATATTATCTATAAAAAAGTGTATACAATCATGTTTTTAGGTTTATACATTAGGGTTCTCCACATGTGCATGCGCGTGGCTTTGTTCTTTCTTGAAAGCACCTGTGCCTTTCAGTTCCAGGCGAAATATCTCTTCATCTTCCTTTAGCTGGGCCTGGAGCTTGCTATGCGCACTCCACACAGGCTTGATCTCAAACAGTCGATCCACAGCCTCGAGGGGAATACCGCTGGTTTCGGGAATAAGGAAGAAGGCAAAGAAGAAAGCAAAGAAAGATAAGGCCCCAAAGAAGAAATAAACCCCGTAATTCATGGTAGCAAACATCTGCTTGGTGAAGCGGGAGACGAGAAAGTTGAAGAGCCAATTGCTGGCGGCAGTCGCGGCTTGGGCCAACGAACGGATATTGGGATCGAAGAACTCCTATCACAGAAAACATTTAGCACCTTGACCCTAAATGGAGAATGAAGCAAATAATAAACCTACCGAGTTTATAACCCAAGGAGTGCCATTCCACGTAGGAGTGTAGACAGCCTAAGTAGAGGAAAATCAGCCAGGAGAACTTGATTTCATAGCATCATAGGGAAACAGACCGTCCAGAGATAGAAAAAGAACATGGCAGCAATACCTCCCCCATTCAAAGATTTGCTCGGGTGCTCATCGGGGCGTACAGCGCAAATATAGGCACCAATTACCCACATACAAGCCGACCCAATAATTGCACCGCCGAGCAGGAGTTTCCGCCGTCCTAGCTGGTCAACCAAGAACAGAAGCCAGAAAATGGTCATTATTGCCTTGATCACGCCAAAAATCCCGGTCGTCAGGCCAATACTGGCCTGAGAAACGCCAATGCTCTTGAAGATGGTGGGACTGTAATAATTGATTGCGTTGATACCTGACCCATTCTGCCAGAAAAACAGCATACATCCCAGGAAAAGACGGTACAAAATTGATTTGCGTCTAGCAACCGCTTGGAAAGGTTTCCAGAAACCAATTCCGACTGTGGCTATTTGCTCCTCGAGAGCTTGGTCAATAGCTGCAACCTCCTCTGCGATATAGATATCTGTCTCCTCCAATTGACGGAGCCAACACAGGGTTTTCATTGCCTGTGTCCGGCGTCCCTTGAGAAAGAGCCAGCGGGGGGATTCCTTTATCCAAAGGGCTCCAATGAAGAGTAACCCGGCAGGTATCAGCTGAACGGCAAAAGGAATCAGCCATTGTTCATGGCTCGGGGCCATGTGCTTTTCAATGCCGTACTACACGTGGAATAAAATGTTAGCGGCTGTGAAAAATTCTAGTGCGACTCGAGGACTAAACCCCACTCACGTTAATCCAGAAGCCAACAAGACCACCAATTTGCCAGCCCAGCTCATACAAACCAACTAGGCGCCCTCTAATTGCAGGCGGCGCCAACTCCGAGAGATAGATAGGGATGATATTCGAGGCCACCCCAGTACCAAGGCCTGACAAAACCCGTCCTGCATACATAATACCAAGCCCGGTGGAGCCCCGGGTGCCGAGCTGCAGACCAGCTCCAAGAGTGAAGACAGCTGAAGCAATTACCAAACTCCACTTGCGTCCCCAGAAGTGACCAAGAGCGTATGTCAAAATTGCGCCAAAGAAGGCTCCTGCAATGAAAAGGGAAACAATATTTTCACTGATCAAGGACACTGCCTCAGAACTCATTTTGTCGAGGCCGAATTCATGTTCAAAGGAATCCAGAGTGATAGTCGTGCCAATGAACGCACTTGTATAACCAATCATATTCGAACCGCATGATGCTATGAGGGCCAGTACATAGACTCGCCAGTTGTAGACAGCCTTGGGCGTTGGCCTATCCTCAACAAGAGTGAGAAGACCCATTGCGGATGAGATAGAGCACCAAACCCGTATGAGATAGATATAAAGCGGCAATAGTGAAAGTTAAGTGAGGACGAAGATTCTGCAGAAGAGAAAACTGGGACGTCCAGCATCTAAGTAGTTTCCACTCGCTAGTCTCTACATGAAAATGTGGGATGAAGGAACTCCAGTGCTCCCCACACCATATTCGTTGTGGCAAGCGCCATTCCGGGGCACGGGGGATGGATAAGGGAGCTGCTATACGCTCATAACTACAGATACCATGATTAGGCTCCCAGGGAGGCTTTTCTCAGAATTACTAGGAGGTAGGGGCAGTCCGGGGGAGTGTTTTCCCCAGTCCGATCCCCCTTATCCGCCGGGGAACAGAAATTTTTGTCAGGAAACATTCTGCCGCAAGAGCCACCTGGCGCTTGCTTATATCTAGGTACATTTCCGGCGCATCCGGATTCAGGGAACACGGTACGGAGGAACTACGTGTTGTATGTGCAGCTTATGGACTAGAATGATGGATGTCTGCTGGTTAACCAAACTACCGTGAGGAAGGCTTTGCCGGAGCGCCAAAGGACATTCGCCGCTTGGCCGCCGCAAAAGACTCCGAGCTCGGATTGATGTGCGGCAGCGTCCACTCCACTGGCGAGTGCTGTTTTCTGTCACCGGCGACCTGCGGGGCTACCGATTGGCTGGAGGGATTCAATAGTACTGGGATAAGCGCTTATCCTCAAGGGGTACGGCAGATGGCTGAGCCAAAAACCTCGCCAGGGGTGGAATGTACTCAGGGATATTAAATTTATGGGACTTCCTTTATCCTGCGAGTACTCCGTACAAGTATTTTGCAGTCTCTGAAGTGATCATTATTTGGTGTTCTTGAAATCTAATGCTCTGGGATAAAAAATTTGATTAGTGTTCTTGAAGCTTAACCCCTTTTAGCAGTAGTCATCTCTAGCTCACATTTCTCGAAGAGTACAGAGTAATGTTGGAAACGTGGTGTTTCTTCTAATCTCCCGTTGTCGGCCTCTGCCTCGTCTAACTAATACCATACCGACATGACTTCCAAAAGGGGCCAAATTTTTGCACAACATAAATATACGTTGACCAAATAACATACTGTATCAGGATAAAATGGTCGTCTCGACACCTTTTAGCCGATTGGTGAAGTTTGACAATATATTATGAGCTTTACATCTAATGCAAAACATATAGTTATACTCTAGAATAAGCTAACCAGATGATATATGGAGACAATCAAACTCCCATCTTTGGGGATTTCAGCTACTCAGACTTCGAGTTCGATGCTTCATGATGTATTCTAGATCAAATCTCATGCCAGTGCATGGCCAGCTATCAGATTGCTAGCCAAGTACTATCGGACCTTGCTAGGCCACATGATTTCGCAGAGCCTACCTAGGTAGTGATTCTAAACAGTCTTGACGGCTACTGTGGAAATCTGAATATTCATATGTTATATGCAGATAAGGGTCAAGGTACTCTGTATAGCAAGATATAAATCGAATAATAATTAGCAGCACAGCAACCTTCCATCCGCCTTTCCTATCAGGAATCGTGAATTGCGTTCGAACTCAGCGCAAGAGCAAGATTAACCCCAAAAAGGAATAAATATGAACAATAAGTCTCTGCACACACTGAATTATAGTGCTTAGCTTGATTTAAGATAATGCATATTATATTACTCATCCGGATTTTCATGGCCCATGCGGCGCAATTTCTCCGCCGCCTGATGATGACCCTCGTCACTCACACGGGGGTTATGCTGAGCACTACACAGCAGTCAGTTTTATCTGCAACACTAGGGTCTTAGGACCTACGCCTTAAGCCCCGCAGCCACCCTCATAGGGTTCTTGTGCCTCTCCGAGCTACAGTAGAGCGCCTGTCGAGCTTCCTCGTCGTCAATTTCTGCCAGCATTTTGCGCGCGTGTTCCTTTCCCTCTTCGGAGACAAGTGGGTTATGAAGGGCTCTGTACAGTTATTAGTTATCTCCTCTTGCTCTTTTTGATACAAGGCTAGATACGCTTTGTATCCACGTGCAGCGTTGATTCTTTCCTGTGGTAAACTTGGTATCTCCTCGCTGGGTGAACATTCGTGGTGGCGATGGTAAGGCAGGTGCTGTACGCCTTGATGCGAGAGCTCCTCTCGGGCTTGATCCTCATCTAGCTGGAGGATCATTTGACGGGCATGTCTTTTTGCCTCATTTGAAACATGTGGGTTGTTCAGTGCTCTAGCTGACCCGGTTAACGGCTTTTAGTGTACTTGTGACAGGGGATGGGAAGGGGTATCTACGCTCGGTAACCACGCGCGGTGTTTAGCCGTGCCTCAGGTGTAGCTGGTAGTTTGTCACTGGACATTATGGATTTATCTGTTTGAGCTAGATGTAAGGGGGTAATATCTTGAGAGTAAAAGTATGAGCTGAGTAGGTTTATATACTTGTGTCGGTCTGGAACTATGTCACGAAACTTGGAGTTTTGGTGATGTCAGAAACCTATACAACGGACAGCCCCGTTATAAATATTCAAGTTAATCAAGTCATCAAACCGAAAGTAACTTTCACCTAATGGTGGTGTTATCATTCAAAAATACTTTGACGTCACGTTCCGTATCCATTCTGGATCAGATAGGAAACTGAAAATATTCAAGTATTTATATCCTATGCTAGAAAGCTCATGTCACATTTAGATTCCTGTTCGCTCCCAGAGGATGCCAATAATGCGAAACCCTAGGACCGCTCTCTAGATACCTACGCGATGAATTATATTACTCACTCGCAATAAAGCCGACTTTTGTAGGAGCATTAGAGCGATAACCATCAGTGACAGCGGCATCTCGCGGGCAGATCTGACTGCTCCGAGATGCGTATTGAATGGAATCAACAGCTCTAATAAGAAGTTCCGCTCGACTCGCCGGTGTACTTAACTTCCAAACTGTTGCTGATGGGTTTACCGATTTCGGCAACAGAAAGGTAAAGTGTATGCTATATATTCCCTCCTCAAGGGAAAGATTGAGGTACCTAATGTAGCATTCCTAATAGGCCCTCAAAGACGGCAACACAGTTCTCGCTATGCTGAACGGAAGGATATCTGCTCTATGCACTAATACGACTGGTCCGCGTGCAGAGCGAGCCATTTGCCATTCGCCGCGGCGTCAATCGGATTTTCCGGTACGCGAAGATTCCTCTGCTGTCATTTCCAATTGCGTCTTCACTCTGCCTACAGGCTGTCGCATCTGGTATGCCAACAATTTGTGGCAGCCGATCTTCAAAAACGCGAAAACCTCGGTTTCTGTGTAGAGCCTTCAAGAAATAAATGGCTGGACCCCATCCTGTTGCCGGAAATGATGCAGCGTGCGAAACATCCACTGTGCCTTCTTCTGCCCCCTCTTAACTGACTGTGGTTACCAACAAATAATAGGAGGAGATTTTTCATTGAAATTCCCAATTTACAGGTTTCGCTTCACTACCTCCGAGTGGTAATAATCCAAAAATTCGATGAGTTCGACTACTTCTTTTCGAGTATCGGACAAACAGAGATCGCTTGATATATGCCGTGCTTCTTTTTGGACGTTGCGGGTGAAGGGAGAACCATGCGTAAGTCATTGTATTATCAACTTTTTCTTTGTATCAGGTGTCATCTGTTTAGATGGAGCGAGTCTACTCGATTCTTCACCGCAATGAAACTAACCGGTATGTACATGGGGACGCTGTAATTTCACGATCTTGTTGGATATTATCTCCCGCGTGGATTCAATAACACGAAGTGGTTCTTCTTGAACATATAATGCGGAAGTGCATACAGGAATACCTGCCAAATCCAAGCCCAAAAAAAGGAAATCTAGAACCATAATTAAACTACCGAGGTTAATGTATTTCGATGTTCCTTGATTTGAAGATTGCATGACTCGCATGGAAATATCCGGATTTACCACGACTGCTGCTTGACGGCAGGACGGAATAATTTTATGTCCATCAGGGTGCATCCTCCAGACATATTCTCGTCACTCGATCTTAATGACGGCATCGAAACCATATTGTCGAACAATCAAGCCTACTAAGGGGCTGGAATAAGGACACTGTACTCCGTAATGCCCAACGGTGCCGCTGGCTAGTTCTCGCGATCCGAAAATGGAGCTGATCTTTCCCCATGTATCAAATCTAAATCAAGTATTGCTCGAAATAATGGTGCTTGACCCATCCACGAAATCATATGCAGGCTTGATGATGCTCTCTTCATGATGGCATCGATAATAAACAACATACTGAACTAGGTACTAGATATACCGGCGTCCATCTTACTACCCTTCCCAGAAACCCTTTCCAACTAAATACTAAATCTCGGTTAAACTGTACTCAAACAAATCAATTGCCTGTAATTGGAATTTCTTGCTCCTTCCGGAAATGATGATATACAACGTGGAAGTGACGAGAGATAGTTAGAATATTCATAGGGTCATGATTTTTCCATTCATTAAAGAAGATAAAGTACAACGAAGACAAAAGAAAGTGAAAAATAATTACTTATTAAGTGGCACGATTGCTGTGTCCATGCATCTCTCCAGAATCTGCCAGTTCGTGTGTGATCTCAATCGTGGTTTCCTGATACACCCCATGACCAATGTCCCCCAGCTCCATGTCTCCTTTCCTCACAATATCCTCGGTGGAACCATCGCGGTCATCATTAAACGTGGCATTGACACTTTGTAAACCCCTGCGAATGCGGGATCCCATACGGATACGTGTAGAGTCTCGACGCACCGTGCTGATATGCGTTTGATGGAAGTGTGAGCCGGAGTAGGCTCCATAGACCTTGTCTGATGAACTTATTTCTGTGTCCAGAAGCAGCTGGCGCCGCGTAAGCGTGTACACAATCGTATCCCCCAGTCCGGACAGGGCCATCAGCGATCCTGCCACAGCAAAGTAAATTTTGCTAGGAACCACATGGCGGGAGCTGGACATTCTTCCAGCGGCCAAGGGGAGAGACAACATCAGGTACATAAATGGGTAGATCACCATGTAAATAACAACACGATTTAGGCGCTTCAATTGGTCCTGATGGTGCTGGCGAAGCTTGGCTGACTCTGAGGTCCGACGCCGTAGATAGATAAACATGATTCCGTATAGGATAACCGCTCCAAATTCGGCAAGAAAGATCCAGAAGTAGTGACCCCAAAGGCGTTCACTTTTGTGTTCACGGGCTAACCAACACTATACGAGTTATAGATTATTAGCCACGAGATCCTTGCCATAATAAATCTGCCCAGGCCAACTTACCCAACCAGCTTCGGATATGACAAACGCTTCATGGCCGTATAGTGCCACCGGGATCACGCCCAAAAGAATGATGAAGATCCAAAGTCCTACAATGCAGGCTACGAAGGTTCGGTACGGTAACTGACGCCCTCTCAGGACAACAGCACCAGTGTGCATTGCAATGGCAATTACGAACAGACCGCTACCAGGGTCCGCTGTCTGAATCCACCAGCCTTGCAGGACACAAGCAGCACTTGGGTGATACACCGAGCCCTTGCCAACCCAGTAGAGACACAGTAGAAACGCAGTGGCTTGTTGAATATCCGCGAGTAGAAGATTGTAAATCAGCAAGACATATTGATTGCGCGAAAGAGGTCGTTTATAGTAATGCTGCCAGAAAATAAAACGGTACGTAAGGAACGAAAGTAATCCGAAGGCTGTGATGAAGGAGCAAAGGGCGATTACACCGATGGCAATGAATCCAACCCTTTCTGTTCCTGCCAAGGGCTGATGTTCCGTGTCGCGATCTCGGGGCATTAGCTGCACCATGGGAGGAGGGTCATGATGAAGCAAGTATAACACTCGAATAATGGCAGACATGGCATATTTTCGAAATATTGATAAACACACTGGATTGGACAAACCGGTGAGATGCCAATAGCTTCTATGCTGAGGTGACGGTATGTATTTAAGCTGTTGCTGGGTTGCATTTTGGACCCTCGAACACTAGACATCATCTGCAATAGACGCTAGAAACCTTTTCTTCTTTTTCTTCATACAGTAAAACCTGCTTCAAAGGGACGGATTCCAGGGCAGTCTCCCGGTTGTAGTTAGTGGAGTACCGCACTTCTCGGAGAGGTATTTAAACGGGTTCTACTGTAGTATGCAAAAAAATAAAAAATAAAAAAGAAAAAGGGGCAACCTTTATATCAGATCATGCGAGCCAAAATCAGTCGCCGCCGCTTGTCAGAAATTAACCACCCAGGGTTTTATGCGGTTGTCTCGCAATGGGCGGAGGTTGGTGAAGAATTTTCCCCCTCATACACGTGCGTACGCCACATATCTAAGCTTCAATCCTGGTGCCAACATTGGATCTGGACGTAATTCCAACTACAGAGTACAATCCGATTGGGAAGAGCGTTGATAGAACGTGCAGTGGGGTGCTCCTGCAAATTCCCAATGAAGATTAGCATCAGCATCCAATGAATAAGATTTCAGGATTTCAGGGTTTTATAAGCAAGCGGAGCATGAGCCCTGGTTTCCACCGATCGAGCCGCTCTTTGGGGACTATCTCTAACCCTATCAGGTATGAGGTCGCTAAAGAAGTCGGCTCGACTGTAGCAGTGCGCGGCAAATTATTGGGTGTCATTAAAATGAAATGCCCTTCATGATCATCTTCATTTATTGTTAGTTCTCAGGATGTTGACTCTGGAAGTCCACGTTCTCTATTGTTGGACTTTTTTGGACCTAGGGCATGATGATAGCCAGAGCTTTGTTGTGATATTGAAATTGTAGTCTGTATGGGCCGCAAAACTCAAATCCTGCACATGGAGTCGATTGTCCATTAACCATTGGCAAGGGTTTCGAAACTCTATATAAGGAGCAATAAGTAACCCTAGTAGAAGCGCGGTACCTCCCCGACATTATTGAGCCTATTCCATTCGGGACTCGCTGTAAGGTAAACCGCTGAAAAGTGACATCACTTTGCCATTGTGATTGAGTAAGATGATGATCAGCAAAACACACGAGCATAGGTGCTTAATATATTAAAACATAATATCTAGGAGAGTAGACCCTCAAATACGAGACTAGCGCCGCTTCTAATTTGTTTCACATTAAGGACAGCTAAAGACGCGGAAAATAGCCTGCACCCTTAAACGGTTTCCAGAATATATTTCCTTCTCAAGGTTGACGAGAATACTGTGCATGCTAATACATGGTATCCAGAGATGGTATCGATATCTAGATAAAGTAACCCTACTCCTGAAATCTAATCGTCGCGTTACACGTTGGGCGACCAAACTTCCCCTCTACATTTCTTTCTCTCTCCCTTTTATGCCAAATCCGTCATCGGGTTTTATGTCGTCAACATGTCCTATCCCGAGATAGGTACACAGGTAATTTATGTGGGCATGATGTATATTTCCATGTATGCAATGCACAGATCCGCCCTGAAAAGACTCCGAGCAGAAGCAGAACCACGCATGAGTCGGAGTCGGACGGTAGCATAAGTGGATAGGTCTTTTTAAAAAAAATACAATACTGGAAGTGCCAGCATGTCTTGTAGCATTATTGCATAACAATTGTATTGGAATCTAATGAGGTGTTGGAGTCCTGACCCTTCTCATATTTTCACGCTGTTCACAGGCAGATTCTAACGGATTATGACATAAAGGAGTAGATGCTACCAGAGCAGCCGAGCGCCAGCGACTTACATTCCCGTATAGGCATTCAATGCTAGCTGTCCGCCTAGGTGCGCGTAAAGGACATTTGTGCCTGATGGAATCTCTTCGTTGCGGACTAAGTCCATCATTCCTGCCAGGCTTTTGCCTTCGTAGACGGGGTCAGTAATAAAGGCCTCGGTAGATGCCCCAAACTTTATGGCATTAATTGTTCGCTGATCTGGGATTCCGTACACCCCTCCATGGTATCTATCGTCAAGAATGATATCCTGCTCTGTGATATCATCCTCGCCTAGCCCAATCTTCACTGCAGTAGCCTTGGCAATACGGAGAATTTGATCAAAGGTCTGTTTCACGGTGGCCGAAGCATCGATTCCAAGGACCTTTCGCGGCGGGGAACCGTTCTTCTGCGCCAGCTTAAACCCTGCCACCATCCCCGCCATTGTGGATTCTGTTACGGCGCAGACAATAATGGTATCGAAGAAGATACCCAGTTCTTTCTCCTGCTGCTCCACCTCGAACGCCCATCTTGCAAACCCCAGTCCCCCCAAGGGGTGATCCGATGCACCAGCAGGGATATAGTATGGCTTGCCACCCTTCTCAATGATGGACTTTTGCAGGTTCTTGAGCGTTCCTTTATGCTCGATGCCGAATGGAGAGGGGTCAAGCCGTGTGTCCGCATTCATCAGCCGCGACAGCTGAATGTTGCCCGCCTTGTCGTACATCAAATCTTCCCAATCCACCCATTTCTCCTGCACAAGTGAGACCTTCATGCCCAGCTTGGCACCAACAGCTGCCACCTGTCGAGTGTGATTCGACTGGAATCCGCCAATGCTGACCAACGTATCGCACCCTTGGGCTAAAGCATCTGATGCAAGGTATCTATCATGACCTTCCTGTTAGCCTACGCTACTCACAGTATATCATGTAAACGGATCTTTCATTACTCTAGTTTCCGCGTCTTGTTTCCTCCAAATGCCAAACCCGAGTTGCAGTCTTCCCTCTTTGCATAGACCCCTACTTTACCACCGAGGGCCTTTGTGATGTTGGGCAAATGCTGGATCGGGGACGGACCGAACAAGTAAGATTCCCTGGGGATACTAGCGAAAGGCTCCGGAAGCATAACGGGCGCCATTGGGATGATAAGGTTTAATCAAAGGAGCCTCAAGGCGTTCGTAGATATCGACGATATGTGCTATACGGTAGGTGCCAGAAAAGAGTTAATGAAAACTTCACCCACAAAATGGTTCCTGAGATCGACCGGTACGTCCATCATGATAGTCTCCTCCCCATATAAAGTCCTTGGCCACCACTTGCGGTAAGCTATGCAGCACGCCGAAACTCGCGGCCGGGTTGGGTTGCTAATCGGGCACAAGTGGGAACTTCAATATCGTATCAAATCCGCAAAATCACCCAATTAAACGTAGTCTCTGCCATCAGAAATTTATATACGGAGTACTGAAAGGTAAAAGAGGGGATAGGACCTTGTCAACTGTCTTGACCATCACGAAATGTGGTTGACAGAATACTCGTCGGCTTGCATTCAAATTTGTCTTCTTCAGAAAGCCAACTTGAGATGATATTCTTCAATTAGGTCGTATCACAACGCATGTAGTAAAAAGCTTTCTTTTGCTTCCTTTGTTTCGTCTAATAGGGTTGATAAAGTCACGATACATTTCGCATAAAAGGTCTATTGAACAATCATCCGATTGCGGGGACTCTTGCGAACAAGGCGGCCAAATTAGCCACATAAAAGTTCCATGCATTACAATCAAGGATGACGGTGAAACTCGATCTATAGTGAGTTATCTTTGCCTCTTCTTAGATCCTGCCTACCCAACATGCAACAATGACATATAGTTCCGGCGTGTTTTGCATCTATACATCGAGTACCAACTTGGAAGTTAAGTCGTTTATTCGAGGATATTGATAAGCCGTGGTCCACTTTCCATTCCCCTGCTCCTGACACGATGCTGTCTGGGGTACTGTTGAGACAAATCTTAACCAAGGATTGTGTATCTGCAAGACACAAAGAGATAGCCTGTCTGGTGCTTCAAGGCTACTTACTGTATATATATAGCCCGCATTGGGCAAATCAAAACCATTGCTGTTTGGAGGGCGATATTTCTCACTTCGGTAGCGTTACCGTTGCGTGGGGGATTCTCTTGTTCTTTTTTCTCCCTGACGATATAATCTTCACCCCGAGATTTACAATGGAAGAGAAGGCCCTCCTCATCGGCCGCAGTCGGTTATCTCGTACCGCAATCGTTAACCGCCAGATCAAGTGGTATCAAATCAGAGAAGCGTTGGTTGATCCTCGAGTTTGGATCCTATTCTTTTTCATGCTTATATATCTTATATTGGGGTATTGTTCGCCCATTACATCGTCGGGGCGTACGTATGCTCTCTCGTGCTAGCCCTTCAAATGCCTGCTACCAACTTGGGTGGATACGCAAAGCGCACCACCAGCGTGGCGATGGTGTGTCTGGCTTCTTGTGTTGGCAACATTATTAGACCACAGGCGTTTGTGGCCAGAGAGGCCCCGATGTACTAAACGGGGTGCAAACTTATTCTAACATGTTCGTCTACGCAGGCCCTGTTCGCCGTTAGCACGCGCGAGACTCTCAGGAATAGCATTTTATTCTCAGCTCCCGGATGCTGTGGATGTCCGGTCATAGTCAACAATGACATGGCTGCAACGGTGTCATGGATAGATGTTTTATGCCCTCTACACTCCCTCTAAGGAACCCGGAACGGATTTTATCCCACTGGGTTCGATACCCAATGATCATATTTGGTATCAGCGGTATCTTGCCATTATTTAGTATTATCGTAATATCCAATCAAAACATAAATGTAAGATTTTGATAATTTGCGTTTAAGCAACATTATCACTGTTGTGTGATAAAAGCAGAATGGGTGACAGGTTTCCTGACATATGTAGATTATTCCATCAAGGTTATATATATATGTAGAGAGATTTTTTGAATTTTCTAGCTAGTTGGTTTGGAACAAGACCATGATCCTAATTCTCAGATCTCAAAACAAGGAAATCCATTCGTCTACCTCTCAAGGTATTTCTTTGTAGATATCTAGTGTCCATGCGCATGACCGCCATGATTATTGTGACCCCAATGGAATGGTAACAAAGTTGGCCATTGTCGAATAATCTTGGTGGTGGTAACGGTCACAGTCTTCCTGGGCGGGCATGTAGCTCGTGAAGCAGGAATGGTCGTGGTGATTGTGGTGGCGGTAGTAGAAGCAGTAGTAGTGGTAGTCGTAGAAGCAGTAGTGGTAGCAGTAGTAGTGGGAGTAGTAGTAGCAGTAGTAGTAGCAGTAGTAGTAGCAGTAGTAGTAGCAGTAGTAGTAGCAGTAGTAGTAGCAGTAGTAGTAGCAGTAGTAGTAGCAGTAGTAGTAGCAGTAGTAGCAGTAGTAGCGGTAGTAGTAGAAGCGGTAGTAGTTGGCGTAGTAGTTGGCGTAGTAGAATCGGTAGTAGTAGCAGTAGTAGAAGCAATAGTAGGAGTAGTAGAAGCAGTAGTAGTATCAGTCTTGGTAGTGCTGATGGTAGCAGTTGTTGCCGTTGCAGCGGTGGTCGTAGTTGATGTACAGGATCCCTGATATGCAGTAACACCGGCTTCGACTGCTTCGGCAATACTATCTGACAGCTCCTGTGCAATGGACTGCAAAGCAGAGGGAACCTTTGAAACTATGGCAGTAGATAGGTCCGCCGCAGCCGAATATTGAGCCTGCAATGCTTGAAGAGTGGTACACCCATAACCAGCCGAGTCAATGCTCGCCTTAATCGAAATCAAATTCTGGATAGTAGTGTTGGTGTCCGTTGCCAGGGTTTGAGTAGGAGACACAAGACCAAGTGCCTCTGACTGGCTCAGGACGGCTTGAGCATTAACAGTCGTTGTACCATCCGTGATGGTTTGAATGAGCGTGTTGGATTGATCAAGAACTGCGGATGGATCAAGCGGAGTAGCTTTGATCTTTGTATCCAGAGCATTCACCTGGGTGTCAATGCCGGCGATGATACTCTCGATCGTGGCCAAATCGCGTTGAATACGACTAGGACTGCGGTCTACCAACGTAGGAACAGAAAGAGCTCCATTCAGGAGGAGGGGGGCCGCAGAGATGAAGAAAGATAACCTCATTTTAGATTGCCAGCGAGCTAAACTGTTCTGTGAAGTCCACGGAAGTGCTTGATTTGGGTGCCGGCAGAAAGATGCTATACCGGGGAATTCTAATTTCTTATATAACTGACTGTCCTTCTGCATGGCTATCTTGCCTTACACATAGTCCTTGGTGTTTGATCAGTCTATCTGAATCTATGCTCCTCAGTAGGCTTTACCTAGACTTTCAGCTAAATGAAATACTTCTCTAGATGAGAAATAGTTGCGAGATGACACTTGCCCTCCTTGCGCCACATTTAATCAATTAAACTTTATATTACGGCTAATTTTGTTTTCTCGGATACCTGAAGTATTGATTGGATTAACCTCGCATATGTCACAAAGTCGAAAATGGGATAACTAGTGGCTGCAAACTTCTCCTGATGGATTATTCCATTTACGCTCCCACGCACTTAATTGAATGCTTGATCGGTAACTTAGACTGCCAGAATTACTATATAGCACGTTCTATTTCTCTAGAATTAGTCAATGCTATAGTGAGGATGTATGATTTGCTTCGCCCTTGAAGACGAAAACTCACTGCTTGCCCTTGATGAATACTGCCAATCTGAAGGTTATAGCTGTCCCGGGATATCCATGGGCTCCAGTTATTCGCCCCGGAGGAAATTGAAGAGAGAAGGAACCAACCTAATTCATATCATCCTGCGTCTACGTCCTACGCGACGCCACCAATTTGTCGATGTCGACTCGCTTACGCCTCCACCAACAGCAGAGTAACCCCGGATTTCCAGTTCTAGGAGACTGAAATCCTTTCTTGGGCTCTCACTATTGGTGGAAGTGCCTTATATGCAGCTAAAGGTATTTTAGATCCTGTATCAACCACGCGAAGTGGGATTTAGTACATGTGAAGTACCCCATAAGCGACAATCTTCGCCTTCTCCAGAAGCCAATCGGTCCAGCCCAGGAAGCCTCTGTTTGTCTCACCAGGTTCTAGTGTTTAAATTACACAGTGGATCCGTTAGCAAACAAAGGCAGGGAATGCTGTGATTTCGGGAAGACGCACCTTTCAAGTCCAACACCATCTTCTGCTGAAGATAGACCCCGGTCAGCAGTACGGGGATTACAGCTTAGGCGGGCCAGGTGATCCTGTATTCCGAAACACGGCTTGTTCCCGGCTGAAGTTTCTCAGGCCAAATGATATTGACAGGGGCCAACTTGTAAATGATTGTGAATTGCTTGTTTGACTAACTGGACCGCTATACAGAACCTCGTTGTCGAAGGATATGTCTCTGTACTCCGGAGAAGTGATGGTCATTAAATCTCACTGGGAACTACTAGAAGTCTCCAATTCCCCTCTCGAAAATACAGCACAAGCACCCAAGAGCATGGAGCTTTCCTCATTCTCCCGCAATAAACTGCGCAATTCCCAAATCATATGCTAGAGGTTAGACCGGTGATTTCCACGTTATATTTAAGTCCTGATCTACTAAGAACCACCGCTTTTTTGACCTGTTCGGGGATGAAGCAAGACTTCGTTAAGCTTGCAAGGTATATGCCATGACAATCACGGATACATCCGAGGTTTAGTAGTCCGTACAGAGCTTGAGTCCCATAAACTCCTCTTAGCAACACAAATCAGATTCTTATTATTCCCTGACCTGACTAGTGCTTATTCCCGCTCACTGCGTTATGGAGCTGCCTTTGTCACACTAAATCCCACCTCCTAATCAATTTTTCCCACTAAAGTCTTTCTGAGGATATTGTCACACCGTGTTATTGAAAAGCTTGATAATATCCCAATTCAAGAAGCCAATACGGAGTACATCATTAACCCAACCATATCCCATAGCAGATTGCTATAAAATAAAGCTCTTATATTTGAACATGGCCCATCAATGTGCACAAATCTTTGCCCGCATATCTTCCCCAGCCGCCATCCCTCGCAACCACAGGTCCTACAAGAATCAGGTCAAGATATGTGCGAGATATTGGCTGTTGATTTTTGGGTGGAATTTGATACACCCTGTACGGGAGTACTAAGGGCTGCCAGAGGCACATAGAACGACCCTCCACTCACTACCACCCATCTGGAGGCAGCTAAATCACCAGTCCTGAACCGCATATGGGCTTTCCCGCTCTTTGAAAGATGCCACTGGTATGATATATAGACATCAACTGGGTATCAAGTTTATCAGTCAATCAAACAGAGCTAACCCCTTCGATAGACGGAGCTTCGAAGCTGATAGGATCCAAATTGCGCTATTTATGACAGTAAACAACCATGGAGTGGGAGGCTGGGACATCCCCATCCGCGCAAAGGGAAACGTGGTGCGTAAGTGTTTTGATTCACACACTGGATATGGGCATCACTTTGCTCCAAGCAGCTCTGATGTTGTTGAGTGGTTGCCACCAGGTATCAGAGGACCTTTCTCTATCTCTACCTTGGGAATTGCACGGTTCTAAGGCTGCGCAAGCCGTGGAGCCACTAAGTGTTTTTTTTATTCCCAGGTTAGTTAACACTCTAGACAAGCCTTTCTTCGGCTAGTCCTGGCGCTACTTCATGGAAAAGCGTTCAACGCCTCTATCCAAATGGTTCCATGATGGGTGAAACCATGAATTCAGATATGTTGAATTTTCTACGACAACAAACAATATTCTGAACATTCTAAAAATAATCTGCCTAACATCAAGCCCATGGAAACTCATGCCAGATTTATAATTCCTTCATTCTTCTATATCTTGTCATCCAGCTTGGTTTCACACATGGTTCGACGGTACCTCCCCACCAGCCCGCCAAGCGTACGTACTCCATTGATGCCAGCCGCGCAAGCCATATCGTCACCTCCAACAAAAGCTTCACGGGTGGAGCTATCTCCATTGATCGATTGTACTGATCTGGCAAGGCACCGAGAATAAAATGGGAAATTTGTCCATTCTTAGCCAATCAGAAGTTCTGTCGCCAGCAGTCCGGAGGGCCTAAGGTGAACTTCTTTGGGGTTATCGTACAAGTATATTAATTCTTGAGCACCTCTACTCTGTACTCCGTGGCCTGTCACTTTGGAAATTCAATTAATTGCCCCGATCCATTTTCCCCGTGGATCTGATCCTTGACATACAATCGCCATGAGATCCTACTTGCAATGGGCCGCTATTGCAGCGGCAGTACACTCCTGTGCAGCCCAGACCTACACCAGCTGCAATCCCCTGAAGAGTACGTTGGATTCGGATGCTTACTTTCTGACAGAACTATAATACTGACAATTACTTCCCCAGAAACTTGTTCAGCAGACAAAGGCCTGGCCAAGTACAGCCTCTACAGCGATTTCACATCGGAGTCTGGACTGGACCGATGGAATACGACTTCTGGCACCGTGACAAGCACAGATCTCGGTGCAAAGTTCACCATCAAAGAGGAAGGCGATGCCCCCACAATCGAGAGCGAGTTCTACTTCTTTTTTGGCTACGTTGAATTCAAGATGCGGGCTGCCAATGGCACTGGTATTATCAGCACCAGCGTGCTGGAGTCCGATGACCTGGATGAAATCGATTGGGTTCGCTGATCTTTCTCTCAATAACTACCCAGCTAACTAACTCTGGATCGCCAGGAGCAAATCAGCACCTATGATGATGAGATTACAACCAACTATTTTGGGAAGGGAAACACCACCTCCTATGACCGCGCGACTACTGTCACCGTAAGCTCCCCTGAAGAAACCTTCCATACCTATGCTGTCAACTGGACCCCCAGTAAGACGGAGTGGTTTGTGGACGGAACCCTTGTGCGGACTCTGGACTACGCCGATGCGGTCGATGGCACCAACTACCCCCAGACTCCGATGCGGATTAGAATTGGAATTTGGGCTGGTGGGGATCCCGATAACTCAGAGGGTACTATTGAGTGGGCCGGTGGTGAGACGGACTACGACGACGGACCGTTCACCATGTATGTCGAGTATGTCAAAGTGATCAATTACAACCCAGCCGAGTCTTATAGATACACCGACAAGACTGGCTCCTACACCAGTATCCTGGCGAGCAACACGACGTCTTCTTCAAACTCAACCATTGCCTCCTCAAGCTCCTCTATACCCTCGGGCACCAGGGCTGCGACCGCCACAAGCAGCGTTGTCCGAAGCGCAACTGCCTCCTCGGGTGCCAGATCTATGCCTCTGCCCGCTTATTTTGAAACGATCTGTATGACCATCTTTGCGGCTGCGGTCTCCCGCATGTTCCGTTTCTAGATCAACAGTCCTAGACTATTCCTCTCCTTTTCTTGCTAAACTTGAGCCATGAATACCAAACGAGTTACATTTCCAGACCTCTCCAACTACCCCAATTGGACGTGCTCCACAGTAGGTATAACTAGGTATACCATACGCTGCGCCTAGCGTCTTGGGTAGATTCTACTATGATAATGCCGTAGCCATGTTTCAAATGCCCTACTTGTTAATACATGACTCCAACGATATCATACCTAGGGTTTAATAACAATTTAACAACCCCCACCACACCCAACTCCCCCTCCTCCTGCGCCTCCCGCGGACGTGTTCTGGATGAACGCAAAGCCACCACCATGATACCGAATTCCTGTTGCACAAGCCGAGCCCAGGTTTGATCCTCCACAGCCACCGGCAGCCGCCGACGGAACGCACGTCCCAGCAACACAATTTCCTTCGGCACTCATTGCCACACTAAAACACGCCGGGTTGCTAATGTAAGCATCGCAGTGAAGAGGCGGGTCTTGCTCGAAAGTATCGATAATCTTGCGATCTTTTTTCGTTTTCATTTTGTCGGTGTCCTTCCCTCCCTGATGTTTGCGGACAATTCGGTCAAGTTTCTTGCGTCTCCATTTCGGACCCTCTCCCCCAGACCTCACTGCGCTGTGAGCTGAGATATGTGCGTCTTGACCAGGGTTCTCGGGCTCCACCGGGGATGCCTTGTCGGTTGTGGATGAATGTGACAGCTTCTCCAGCAACCCTTCTCCTCTCGTGGCTGCACAGTACCAGCAGAAGCATTCGCTGTAGACCATTCCCCTAGTAGCCTTGCGATACTGTTTGACAGTCCATGCGAAAGAGTCCGATAGTTGCCCTTCGTCAATCTTGTCGTCGTGGTCGATGAATCTGATGGGCTTTTCGGCCGCGGTCGTGGCAAGCGAATATTCATAATATGATCTGGGGTCTAGTTGGTGCGTATGCCAAACAAGGTCTACATCGAGAGTGGGAACCACTATCTTCGAAGGGTTCTTGACAATTATCGACCAGAACACGCTGTATTTCTGGATGCATCTCTGCATCAACCCAGGCAGACCGACTGGCGATTGAAGATGCAACCAATCTAACCCCTGCATTTTGGTGATAAAGGTGCCTTGTCGCATCACAGCGCCGACGAGATCTAAAGCGAAGATGGAAGAGTTCCCTCCCCAGTATCGCGACATCATCCGACGCAGCGCACCACGACCACGCCCTTTCGCGCCTCCAAACAAGGAAGCCGATCGCAGGTCTGTATTTATGTCCAAGGCTTTGATTTTACGGTCTCTTTTGTAGAGGTCCTTGTAAATCAAATCTGCCACGCCACGGATAGACCTACAACGGAGTCCTGGCTTTTTCATGGCGTGAAGGAAACTTTGGTTGAAATGGATGAAATAGTAGTTCGGGGCCAATTGCTTCCATTTGGCGCCCCATTTCCGTCGGGACTTGACTACGCCATTCGCATTGAAGAGTGTTCCGGGAAGAGGAATCTCATGATCGATCAGCTCGAGGTTGTCAAAGTGAAACTTCAGCATAGATAAATAATGATGATCCAGATTCGCATTGCAGCCAGGGCAGTGCACACGGAACGATGGGTCGGCGTAACCTTCAGCTGCCTGAAATCCGACCGACTTTCCAGTGGTGGAAGTCACCATGGAAATATGGGCTGTTGTCCATGGCACTTGGAGTTTGTTTTCGCAGAATGGACAGGCCAGGGTAAATTCTGATGGGTCATCGAAATTATCCCACTTCCTCCCGGTCATCCTCGTCCAGGCTTGGGGGGCCAACGTCCCAGGGTTATAGAGGTACCTGTTCCCCTCATCAACGCTGATACACTCGGCAATGAGGTGAAGTGGAAACGGGGTCGACCAAACGTTCATTTTGGCTTGTCTGAAGCAATCCTCCAAGTACGCGCGGGGGTTAAGCATGTAGGTGTGCCAGATCATGAGGACATCTAAGATTTTGGTTTCCCCTTTAGTTACGGAATGTTGGAACAATCTCGGCTCCTCACAAGAATAGACAGGACCTACCTAAGGGCGGCAACTCGGCTTTTGTAAGTACGACCCTTATATCTTTATCCAGCGCCAGTGGGTCCATCTCAAACTTCTTAAGAGACATGACGGTCGGTCTATCTTTATAAGTCGGGAGCTTCAACCACCATTGCGTGAAGCGGTCGACGGCACGGGAGACGAACACCTGCCACTTTTTCTCTTGCACGCGGTCCTGGACTCCCTGAGCTTTGGAAACGTCTCTATGATTTCCTGCTTTGTCAATGTTAAAAGCCCCTGCGGTAGAACTAACGGATTCCCGCAGTTGGGCCAGAGCAGCCAGCAATTTCAGATGAGAGATACATTCATTGGGCGTGACAGTGGTAACCTCTCCGGGTCGTTTGGGAGGAGTTGGAATGTTGTCCGTCTGTTGGGAAAGCGATGAATGCTGTCTCGCTTTCTGCTGCTCAGTGTCACTTGGCCGCAGGCTATCATCTCGCGTCGTCATGGACTTCTCGTCCTTCGCAGTGTTGTGCTCCATCTTCGGCGGGTCGCGAACGGGATGCTATATCCAAATACCCTAATTGCAAAATTTGACAAGCTTCCTTGGCTTTTGTATAAGACCGTTGACAGCATTTAGGAGTCAGGTGACGATATTTCCATCCCCGTATCTATCAGGCTCTGACTGCATGAGGCGGCATTGCAGGGCGTACCAGCCGCAGTCGAAAGACCCAAGCATGGGCTCAGATTGGCCTTATTCTGAATCCGGAACCACAGTGGCTTGCCAATTAGTGTCTCTTTCAGTCTCTCCACCATTATCAACATGGGTTTCCGAGCGAGCGGGTGGGTCTGGGCCGCGATAATATACGGCCTCTTGGTGCGCTTCCCAGCCACTGGGGCAACGGGCACTACCAGGCCGTACAACAACCCAACCGGTCAAACCATCCATAATCGAGGGTTCCCAAAATTGGGGCGCTGAGTGCGGGGATTACGGTGTTCATGTCGGGGTGGCTGATTACTGGAAGTCTGCCTTGCACTCTAACTATGTTTTCAGTCTTTATAGAGTTAAAGCAGTCTATTTCCTTAGAAAGAATAATTGGTTTTGAAGATTAAAGCTCCTAAACTAGGCTCAGTTCTTTGTTAAAGTTCTGCTTTAGCATGCTGTTGACTAGGCAAGGAAATGGGAATGAAAAGCAGTAACTCCTTATCTCACAAGAGCATCAATTATATATTTCTAGTGATGCTAAATTGCGCCTACCTTTCTATTGATATCCACAATCAAACTTACAATAGTCTCCTAACTTGATATCTTGACATCCATAGACAATGATCTCAGATAAAATAATGCCGATTAATTGCCATCAGTTCCTAGTTCATAGGTACGGAGTAGATTTACAGGTGTTCCTCTGTTGCAGGATCTGGGGGAGATTGTCCTCGGAATAATAATCCCCCCGTTCTGCGGAACAATGAATATCCGTTCGGACCGTAACGGACCGACATACGCGCTGATTGGTGCCCTCGTTTGCCCCACATCTCCCCGCATCGCCAGGCTCTCGAGTTGTACCTGGTACCTAAGGCGGGAGTAGAGCCCGTCTCAGCACCGCCGAACAAGCGTAGGCGCGGACCTGACGTATAAGCTCGCGACAAAATGGCTGCAACGCGGGAGGGCCGACGCGAAAGTGGTGAAGTGATGTATATTTTTGGACCCCAAAACAGGGCGCAGTTCAGGAAAGAATTCCAGAGGTCATCAATGTATCCTAGACAAAGCAGTTTTAAAGGAGATGGTGTTGGCGCGGGGTCTGGGGCTGAGCCAGAGCCTAAGGCCGCTGTTGAGTGTGTAGACCAATTAGGAACGGCGCTGTATAGTACTCAAACGGGTTAGGACTCTGATATTGCATTGTCCAATCAAGGCCAAGTGCTTTCCCGGGGTGGTTTGGGTATAAAAAACCCCAAAGTTGTCCAGCTCAAAGGCTTTCCTTAACACCCATCAGAATATTCAAGAATTCACTACCGAACCACTATTACACGATGACTGGGAAACTGGTAGGTCTCTGTCCTTGCCATAAAGCACTCGTGTCTAATAGTCATAGCATTACCAACAACAAACTTGGGAAACTTCCTCGTATCCCCAACAACACAACCAGATGAATCCTGCAGCTCAACACACTCTTGCAGAGCCTAGGCTCCTTGCGGTCGATTTTACTAGCTGGACTGGAAGACACCTGCGTGTTACCGAAGGAGACTCCAACGGTGCCCTAGTCTATCTGGCCGATCTTAAACTCCGCAAGCCGCACATGATCTTCCAGGCGGAGGGTACGGCACGATTGCCTGCCACTGTCACCTTCCACAGTTTTAGTCGCACCATAGATGTCAATATCAACGGCCAGGATATTCCCGTGCGACAGAAAGGAACATTCAAGTACGAAATAGCTTTCGAATCCCCGGCGCTAGGGGGCACGGTGTTGACGTGGAAGAACCCACGTTACCTAAAGCCCTTCGATCTTGAGTGCTACGACGAGAATGGGGTAGTCTTCGCAAAATTTGTCCCCAGTTCCTCGTGGAGCTGCAAAAAAGCCGGTCGGATTGAGCTCTACCAAGCTTGCAGCACGAGAAGCGGACTCACCGATGAAGTTGTAGTCACTGGTCTCGCCTTAGCCTATCATATTTTCACACAGACGGTGGCCGCCAACGCTGGTGCTGCTTCTTAATGAATGACGCCTGAAGATACCTCGGAAATTATAGGGGGATTCGGCGTTTGGGTTTTTGATTTAGCCGCCAGTATAGACGGTTTTTGACTTGAAATTGTTTGCTAGCCGTGAGACAACGAAATTCTTTTCAATTTAAATGTATCTAACTTGTTTTCCAAACTGGCCCTTTGTATTTGCTCTACCCTTGCAAGCTGGCTTTGAGCCTCCTGTGAGCATAGGGGAGTGTTAAAGGCTGGCATCATATGATATTGAAATCTATGACATCGTCGATACCGAGGGGAGCTGTTCTCGCACATCCGATAGTGACTACGGCCTGGAGCCCGGCATCGAGACTAAGCACGGCGAGATTTAGTTATTTGGTGGTCATGTATCATTCGTTTTTATAGCAACCTTGCATATTGGCCCCCCCCCAATTCATTGAAACCCATCAAAATCACTCATCAACATCCATATTTCCACCCTCACTACCCGCCCGGAGAACAAAGTCGCAGCGACTATCATTCGAAGATAGTCTTTCCGCCATTGATAGGCGGCTTGTGGTGGGGGATAGGTTAACTGTGGTTTGAAGGACTGCGCAGATCCACGAGTAGACCTCATCGGCTTCCTTCTCCCACTGTGTACTAAAGCTTGTTACTGTCCCAGCGTTACTGATTCTGATAAAAATAAATTCGAACCCGTCGCTGGCTATCCCGTACACAATACAGTTTACTTTCCCGTCTGCCTTCCTGCGTTGATGTAGTCCACCTGGTGTATCTTAGCTGTGCTGCGTTCCTGAATAAATCCATTCTTCCCGTACCTTCCCAGTGAGGCGATACATTCTGTGACCAGCAATTAAACTTCAACAGGATATTTCATGGCACACAATCCTCGTTTAACGCGACTGCCCCATGATAAGCACTGATATCATGGGCTCTTGTCCCATCCCTTGTGGCTTCTTCAGTCGCCAAGCGAATAATACGGCGCGTGTGGGAATAAACCTCACTTCTATCACTGCGTAATGAACAGCATGATGCACTAATTCTCGAATACTGTAACCGTAAATTAGTATCATAATACTCAAAGCTTTTATGGTATTCATCCCTGAGACTTATCATCCACCTGGAAGAAGTTAAACCATTCGCTATTAGTAATAATGGCGTATACCGTTTTACTCGGCATATTGGCCTCTTTCTTAGCCCTGTGTACCGCAGCTGTTATCTGTTAGAGCTGCTCACTGGGAATATAAATGTACGTAGAAGATGTTTTGCGAAGCCTACTCATAAGTGCCTTGCAGCAAGTTTCAGCCTGGTAATCCTCCTTCTCATTCCCATGCGCCGTGATAGCCACTATCATCACAATTCCAATCAGTGGGTTATCGGATGGATAGCTCAGAGTATAGTCAAACACATCCTTCACAATAAGTGGAGGCTTGCCCCATGCGTAGTGGGCCTGATATTGGACTCGGTGGTTGCGGTGGACAATCAGAGAATCCGGCCATTTATTACCCAGCGCGTTACGTTCGTCTAGCAGGGAAATTCTTAATATCATCAATACCCGCACTCGAGCATATAGGAAAAGCCCCAGTGTATATTGTTTCGGATACCCGAACGTATTCAGAACGTCCAGTTCATCCATGATATCACCTAAGTAGGTATACACCCCAGTTAGTACAGTTTTAGGTAAGGGAATCCTTCTTTCCGTACACAAATAATCCGGTATTTCAAGTCTTTCCTGGTCTCTCAGGTTTTGGAAATCACATTTCCAGTCAGGGTTCTTCTCCACGCCAAAAAAAGCATCCACTTGCGCCCCCGCGGCGAAGGCACCACTGGCTCCCCTGCGCCCGGGGAGTATATGCCACTTCCTTCGGTTAGGTGGAGACATGTCAAAAACGGATGGTAAGGATGTATGAGGTATGGTTAGGGGCCTTTGAAGAAAAAAATAAGAGAGGAGGACAAATTATTTGCGCAATGCAATAATTGCGATGATATGATGAAAGGTCGTCAAATTATGACAGGAGAAAGTCGACCGAAATGAATTCAATTAGGTCTAACTAGGAGATAGATGGAGAGGGAGAGATGCTTGGAGGAAGCATGGAGATCTGGAAGGAAACGGTGGCTATTCGCTTAATGGCAGTGCTGTTTGCATTCACTGAGTGCAGCACTCCAACATGATGTAACGATTATAATTTAATGAGGTGACGGTAACTCCATTCCGAATCAATGATGGAGGCATCCATGTACCACAGCTCTCGTGAAGGTATAATGGACGATATTTAAGTGGCTTCTCATCTTCGTCTCGCCATCTCTCGAGCTCGTCTGTTGTCTGTTATTGATATCTGGGGGGAAAAGGCAGGCTGTGTCAGTGTCTGCCGGCGGGTTGAAAGTTGGAATATAACTACTGATGGATGCTTACCTAGGTAGGTGAATTCTGCTTATCCAAAGCAGTCGGAATCCAATAAGTAACTAGCGAATTATGATCCGGAGGGATTCATGTTGCATTTCCTGGAACTCCGGATTCTCCTTTGGGAAAAACGTCCGGATCTCCTGGAGGCAACTATGACCCGTTCAAGGGCCTGAATTACGGTACGATTGGTCGATCCCCAATCCAGCTCCGAGGACTCCATCCAGCCAATGCGGATATAAACCTCAATCGACCTCCTTCATTTAGGTTGTAACTTGACAGCTCCTTGCTTGTATCCAACAAATATACATATTGATCGCAGACTTTCCCAAACACCATTCACCATCATGGCTCCTAAGGTCCTCGTTGTTTTGACCTCCCAAGATACAATTCCAGCTAATAACCACCCCACGGGCTGGTATTTGGTACGAGCACCTGTGACGGATTCGTGGCTAGGGGGGAGTACATCTAACGTGATTTGAATATGTAGCCTGAATTTGCACACCCATGGGAAGTACTCCACAGGAAGGTGGACCTCGTTATTGCCTCCCCCAATGGCGGTGCTGCCCCTCTGGATCCATCCTCGGTCAAAGCATTTGAGAATGACCCGGTCTCATCCAAGTTTGTCAAGGAGCAGGAGTCCCTGTGGAAGAACACCGAGAAACTGTCCGACTTTCTTCCCCGTGTCGGGGAATTTGATGCGATCTTCTATGTTGGAGGTCACGGACGTACGTAATTCGTGGAACTTCTACGTATCGACGAGGTTGGTGGCGCTAATTAATATATAGCAATGTTTGATCTTGCTACAGATCCAACGTCTATTGCTCTAATCCAAGCGTTTGCTGTGGCTAAGAAGCCGGTATCTGCCGTCTGCCATGGCCCCTGCGTGTTTGTCAACGTCACCTCTCCTTCAGGCACCCCATTGCTTGCCTCCGCTGCGGTGACCGGATTCTCAAATGCGGAAGAAGACCAAGTGAACATGAGTCCTCTCATGCCATTCATGCTTGAAGATGAACTGCAGCGCGCCTCAGGTGGTCACTATGTCAAGGCAACCGATCCATGGGCCGAGAAGGTAGTAGTTTCCCAAATTGCTGAACTAGGAGGAACAGTGATCACCGGCCAAAACCCGGCCAGTGCAACGGGGGTTGGAAAAGCATTGCTGGCAGCATTGGGATTATAAACCATCCATGACGCCATGGTGCCATTGAACGACATGCCAATGCCGGATTGTATATTTTTATACTACATTCCTCCTTCCGATATCTTTGCAGATGGTAAAATGAATCATATGGCATTAGAATATGTTTCATTTTTTCTGTACTCCTCTATCCAAGGGAACACCATCATAAAGAACCCGATCGAACACGTGTATCTAAAGTGGCATGACATCAAGCTGGTCTAATCTTCATGTGGAGATCCTGCTGATAGGTCAAAAGGTTCCGAACCCTGTGATTCTGAGATCCCATGGGTAACATATGGCGGGTACTTGGGGAAATGTAGAATAGTCTCATGAAAATCTCCGGACACCACTCCAAGCTCCGTTTCCAATTAGTTTCTCTGGTGGGGAACTGCACTTGATTACTCCGTACAAGGGATTGAGATGGGGGTCACATCCTTGCCAAACCCCCGATAGTGGACTTTTGCTGGGCCTGAAACCCATTAATTCACAAATCGCCCGAGCTCGAAGTCGTCCGATCATCCGTCTTCTGCATGTCCACTTCGTTATGCAGGAGAAACAGGGTGGCTCGATTGTGAATTGACGATGTTAGACTCGGACATGTTTAGAGACCACGAATTAGTTCCGATTTTCAGAGCTTCCTGTGAATTATGACTTTAATTCCTTCTGCTGCATTGAATTAGGAACGGAAATACTCCGTACCCTCCGCATCATCCTGAGTAGTTGTGGGGAAAATCTGAGGGACGCCATGTTTCAGCCACTAGGGCCTAATCTGGCTGACTTCTTCAAACCCGTTCTTATCCTTATTAAATCCGTTCAATAGAGCCTAGGTTTAATATACTAAACACGGCTGATCGGCCCTCCTACCGACACTTTTGGAGCCATTCGTCACCAGGGACTTCCATCCCCTCCCAATCTGGAACCCTAAAACCTGTAGCAAAGGCTCAAGCAATACGACACCCACTAGGATCTCGTGTATGTCGAATGTAATTAACTTCACCAAGATACACCCCTTCTGCAAGCTCGTCTCTGGCTGCGGGGCGCTGGAAATGGTGTATGGTATCGGAGTGTAGAAGAATGCTCCATGCAATATCACTTATCCTGGTAATGAGCCAGCCGGGGGGGGGGGGGGGGAGTCTATAGTGGAAACATCGACAGAAATAGAAGAGGAAATCTAGTTTAAATTCCCCCCAATGCCTCCCAAATCATTGCTACACTCTTCACATAAGCGCCCAACCCAATAACTCTTACTATGTGGAACAGTAAGGGTGTCGCCCTTTTGGGCCTAGGATTTCTTGTGGATTCTGCCTACGCTGCAGCATCTCAATCCTACACTTGGAAGAATGTCATTACTGGTGGTATGTCATAACTCTGTGTACATCTACGCAGGAGATATTAATGAGTTATCCACAGGCGGCGGAGGCTTTGTACCTGGCATTGTTTTCAATCCATCTGAAAAAGGACTAGCATATGCTCGTACTGATATTGGAGGGGCATATCGTCTAAACTCAGATGATACATGGACTCCGTTGCAAGACTTTGTGAATAACAGCAACTGGTGGGTAAACGCTGGATGGGGAACAAATGGCAATAGCTTCCACTAATATTGTAGGAATCACTGGGGCGTAGATGCACTTGCTACAGACCCGGTCGACACGGGTCGGCTGTACCTAGCAGTGGGCATGTACACAAATGACTGGGATCCCAATAATGGAGCCATTATGCAATCAACAGACAAAGGCGCAACCTGGACCCAGTCAGCTTTACCATTCAAAGTTGGCGGAAACATGCCAGGACGGGGTATGGGCGAGGTCAGTAGTTTGGTGAATCTATGCCGCAAACAGAGCTGATATCAGACACAGCGACTCGCCGTTGATCCCAACAAAAATAGTATTCTCTTCTTTGGGGCAAGAAGTGGCCACGGGCTCTGGAAGAGCACAGATTATGGTGTCACCTGGAGCAATGTCACTTCTTTCACTTGGACTGGTAGGTAACAGTGATTCGATTGGCCTGGAATCAGACTAATATGCCACAAGGCACGTACTTTCAAAATGCAAGCTCATCATATACTTCCGATCCCGTCGGAATTGCTTGGGTGACCTTCGATGCAACATCAGGTAGTCACGGATCTGCCACCCCTCGGATCTTTGTTGGTAAGTGGAATGGCTAATCAAGTAGTTCTATTAGTGAAGCTGAATGTTTGCAGGTGTGGCGGATACCGGGAAGTCGGTTTTCAAATCCGAAGACGGTGGAGCTACCTGTACGTCTTGTGGAATCAACGTCTAGAGCCACGGTCACGTCTAACTAGAGGCAGGGGCGTGGGTATCCGGTGAACCCATGTACGGCTTCCTGCCGCACAAGGGGGTTCTTTCTCCTTTTGAGAAGACCCTTTATATCTCCTACTCCAACGGTGCCGGTCCGTACGACGGAACAAATGGCACAGTTCACAAGTATAATATTTCATCCGGCGTGTGGACTGATATTAGCCCAACATCTATAGCAAGCACATACTACGGCTATGGGGGTCTCGCAGTTGATTTGCAGGTTCCCGGAACCATCATGGTGGCTGCTCTTAACAGCTGGTGGCCCGATGAGCTCATCTGGCGCAGTACCGACTCCGGTGTGACCTGGTCTCCAATCTGGGCATGGAACGGATATCCTAACGCCAACTATTACTATGACTATAGCATCACTAACGCGCCATGGCTCCACGACAATACCTCGACTGCCGAGTTCCCGGTACGGGTAGGATGGATGGTGGAAGCTTTGTCAATCGATCCATTTGACTCCAACCACTGGCTATACGGCACTGGCGCAACAATTTATGGTGGCCATGATCTGAAGAAGTGGGATTCTGCACACAATGTCACGCTTGAATCACTTGCATACGGAATTGAAGAGATGGCTGTTCTTGGTCTCATTGCTCCTCCCGGAGGCCCAGAGCTCTTGTCTGTAGTCGGTGACGTTGGAGGGTTTTATCATTCCGACCTTGACACGCCGCCCTCACAGTCGTTCCACACTCCCACTTACGGAAGTACAAACGGAATTGACTATGCAGGAAACAAGCCCTCGAATATTGTCCGATCAGGGTCAAGTGATAGCGATCCTACCGTAGCTTTGTCGACTGATTTTGGGAAAACCTGGTCCGCCGACTACGCAGCGACTTCCAGGACAGCAACCGGACATGTTGCCCTGTCTGCCGACGGAGATACGGTGCTTCTCATGTCAAGCGCAGGGGCTATGATATCGAAGTACAGCAGCACGTTCAGCACTGTATCAACTCTTCCATCCGGGGCGGCGATCGCTTCTGACAAGTCTAATAGCACTGTCTTCTACGGAGGATCCGCAGGCAGTTTCTATGTCTCGACCAACGGTGGCACCTCATTTAGCAAAACAGTCAGTCTTGGCTCCAGTACGGCCGTCAATGCCATTCGTGCGCACCCCTCTATTGCAGGTGATGTCTGGGCCTCGACTGACACCGGTCTCTTCCACTCCACCGATTATGGTAGCACCTTTACCAAGATCGGGAGCACTTGTACAGCGGGCTGGAGTTTTGGTCTTGGAAAGGCGTCTTCAACGGGCTCCTATGCTGTGATCTTTGGTTTCTTTACTGTTGATGGAGTGACTGCCCTTTATAAGACCGAAGATCAAGGCACTAACTGGCAGAAAATCTCCGACTCCTTATATGGATTCGGCGCTGTTTCTTCCAATGTTGTTAACGGAGATATGTCAAATTACGGGCGTGTCTTTGTGGGAACTAATGGAAGGGGAATCTTCTATGGTGAACCAAGTGGAAGCCTACCCTCTTCTAGTACACCCTCTACCGCTACGCCGACTACCAATAAAGTGTCTACAACCTCTACAACAACAACGATACCAGGAACTACGACCACAAGCCGTACTACAACCACCACTATTTCAACATCTACTGCGTCAACTACAATCACGCAAACATCTACTACCATCAGCTCATCGGCAACTTCCACTGCCACAGCGTCTCCATACGCGCAATGTGGTGGAAACGGATATACTGGTGCCACAACGTGCCCAAGTGGATGGACCTGCACCCATTATAACGACTATTACTCCCAATGTAAGTGATCCGCCACTTTTGTCCATCTAAGGAGCAAGGTCCTTATCTGAATGTAGGTATTCAATGATGAGAGAGCCCGAAGATGCCCTAGGAGTGCAAGTAAAACGCGACTCCATCGGTCAACCCTTGGTGCAGATCAGGAGTAATCACAGATATATCGATTGACAATCACTTGTCAAAATGTTTAGTTCTAGCTATGTTGTGATTTATATACTGTATTTCATCGATGATTGTCTTATTCTACTGTTCCTTTTTGCCATGTTCCGTAGACTAAAATATTTTGAATTGAATTCTCAAAGGCGCAGTCAAAACTATCAAGGTAATTGGAACGATACATTATACCATATTTCCATCCATCCATCTACAACCTCTAGCTATACACCGTAATAGCCTCTGCCAAATGATCTGCTATCCCCGCATCCAACCTCGGCAGAACCAAGTCGAGCAGCCAGGTCTTCCTGCTGCTCCAAGTTGGCCTTCACCAGGAAAGGGAGAGAGCTACCTAGGTAGGACGAAATTAAGACCGTCCTTAAATCGGCCAGTATTATCGGGGAATGAACCCGTTCAGAGACTTTATCTGATCCATGGGAGGCGCAGGGGCCACGTGAAGTCATATTAACTCTCTAGGTGCATTAATTCAATGTTTCGTCTATCATCTACGTCCGGGTTCTCTACTTGATCTAATACTTGCTCTTCAATCTCCCCTCATCAGCAATCTAAGCTATTGGCGGGGCAGTGGCGATCATATCAAGTGAGAATTTTGTTCATTGAATGCTAGTTAGATCTAGGATAATCCAAACAGGCTCATATGAGGGTCAAAGATATCTTGTAATCGGTTACTCACGAGTTGCCATGGGGTGGTTGGGTGCAGCGAATGTACACGCTCACAAGAGGGATGGGGAAAATGTACTTCATAGGTAGAGAATAGTGATCATAACACCAAGTACTGAAAAGGAGCTTGGGCCAAAACAGGTGAATGAAGTTGGTAAAGAAAAGGTAATAATAACACCGCATGGCAGCCCCGATGATTATCAGCATCCTAACTGGACTATGATCATTTGGAATCCTATAGCAGCTGTGGGAGAGATGGCGCGCATCCAAAGAGGGAGGAAGGAATCACAATGCAGAAAGAAGTTACAGTGGGAGTCATTGAAGGATTGCTATACGAGGTACGGGCTTGCCGTTGTTGCTGGCGCAGCATGTCGAAATCGCTGACGTTCACCACCATTGTCGATGGATAGCCATCGACATTTGGAGGCACAGGTAGAGGTCTGAGACAACCCCATTCAATAACCCAGGAGAGGTGGAAGAGAACTAATTTTCCCTTCTAGTTCCGAATGCCTAAATTAAATCCCTGCTGGGTTCGCCAAAATTTCCTGCATGGGATCGTCCATGGACGCGGGGATATAAAATTAACCTTGCACTTTCACCTTGCTCCCCCCTGCACAACTAGGAGAGCGACGATATCCAGGCTAGTGTATCTTCGCAGGTTAATAACCTGTCTTTTTCTAAAGAGGAACCCAAAGTGGCAAGGTGACTACGGTCAGGGATAAAATCGTCTGGATCAACCCGGTCTACATGTATTTCTCTGGATTGTGTCAGACTGCATCTCGCTTGAGACCAATGGAGTAAAAGAAGAACTGCGTGATCGGTCCTGTAGCACAGCACAGCCGAGATTACCATAGCTTCGAGCATGGCCGTTGCTTATATTACGCCTTTTGTGTATGTGTGCTGATTATCACTTCACTGCGCGAGCTACAGAGTACATTCAGCTCGAGTCTCAGTCGGTCTTCATTATTTGTATTCTTGGCGGCAGAGGTAAGATTGGCCCATTTTCTAAGAGTACCACGCAGTATTTCCTATAGCTGCTTGTTATTCTGGCAATGATCGCAAAATATGTAGGGCGTAGGGTTGCTTGGATGTCTTCGACTGGGGACGGTTTTCATGAAGTTCGGACGTCAGAACTAGCGGAGGAGAAGCCATTACAACAACAATATAAAGAAAAGATAGGACACAGAGGACCGCCTATTTTGACTAGAATAACATCGTCCTTGAGCTTTAGGCTATCTCCGGTCCAGTGTGACCCGGATTACCCTCGTCCTACATCCAGGCCCAAACAACTTGACTTGGCACTAAGCCTCTCTCACTTTATCAATGTTACACATGGAAAGGGTTTGTTTCCGAGTGGATTTGGAATTTCAAGCCAGCCTTCGAAAAAGCACTTGAATCCAACGGTCTCTTCGCTCGTCCCTCGGCCATGGCGGCACAGCACTTTTAAAGTCGACAGCCATAGTCTACAGGGGTTTGAGAAACTCACATGAGCTGGCAATGGATAGTTTGTCTCTGGACCGAAGACAAGAAACCGACTATCAAGTTCCGCATGACGCACGTAGTTGTGAGTGGGTACATGAGTTAACCGATTGATTGCTACGCCAGCATGTATTTAGATGTTGATTGTTTGCACAAAGTACTCTGTAAGTGGCAGGAAATTGAATACAACCCCCCACCCGGCCACTGGCTCCTGCCATTTGTGAAATCTGAGATAATCAGGCGCCCTTAGCTGAGACGCTAATGGTACATTAATCGCAATCGTATATTTGGGATGCCTGCATTGAAGTGCTCTTTCATCATTCGGCGTGAATGGAAAATGGAAAGACAGTCCTGGAGTGCCAAAGCTATAGGAACAGCTCGCTACGAGGAGCTTCGGGAAGATGAGCAGGGCTTTTTAACGTAATGAAAGCGGTCGTTATAGGCGAAGCTCCGGTCTTGCATCGCCCTGACTTGTCATCATCAAATTACTAGAATGACGCACCGCGATATGCAAGTTCCACTCTGATTAGAAGAAAAGCAGCCCAGCCAGCCTTCTTTCAGTCTGTATATTGACTTTCTTTGTTGCAAGTGCAACAGCATCAAGGGTTTCGTTCCTTTAGCTTGGCCGCTCAGACCGTCTTCCATCTTATCGTCAGCCTTGGAACTACACTTGTCCTTATAAACCGATGCATTATACTACTGACCTCGTGTCTCGACATATATAACCCGCTCCTCTAGCGAGATGTAGTCAGGGGTTTTCCGGGAGACCAAGACCAAGCAACCAGTGTATAGGGCCCACGACGTTGAATCTAGGTGGTTTCTCTCTGCTTTTCAGATTATTTTACTCCCCTATGCTATGTTGCTTGAGAGCCTCAGCCACAATGTCCTCAGGGAGTAGTGAGCAGGTGAATTGGGATGATTGGACTCAAGTCACCGAGCCAGGACTCCGAAAGCGCATCCAAAATCGAGTGTCACAGCGCAGACATCGTAAGAACGCGAGCAGAGAGGTCCAAGAAATCTTCGAAGAGCTAACCATAAAGCCCTAAATATATATAGGCGAAAGAAAAAGACTTCAGAACCACCTCATACAACTAGAGTTAGGCCCATCCACTGCGCTTAACTCGCACCCTGCTACAGATATAGAGAATCCCGAACAACGCCCTACAACACCCACAGTATCTGCTACCAGAAAAAGTGGCCATGATGCTACGCCTCATATCCCAACCGCATTCAAATCACCTGAAGACCTCAATAGCCACCTTCCTAGCAGACCTTCTAAGAAATGCTTAGATTGGCCCGAAATTGATGCGCCCTTTTTCGTTGACGACTTGCATGTGCCCAAGGAGCAGGAAGCGCTTGAAAAACCGGATCTCATGCCACAGAAAGCCCCGGGGGAGGAGTTACCCCCTGAATTATCTCAAAATTATGGGCAGGAGTACTACTCGATTCCGATGGGCTGCAATTTCTCCGAGGCTTTATCTCGACCATCCTCCTTGCTTTTTGGCGCCGATATTCCCCAGACGAATAAAGACATCGCAGTTCAAAGGGAACAGGCCAACGGACAATATGGCCTTAACTACACGGATGGGTTATCATATTGGCAAAAGAACCTGCGCCTTTCAAGTCACAGTTTATTAGAGTCATATCCAACCACCAGTCCTCCCGCTCTAGAACGTTGGAGGACACAACAGAGGCAACGCAATTCAAACCCGGAGCCAGAACACTCACCATCATCCCATTACACGGTCCACAAATCTACCCAGGTAAGTTTCAAACATATTGAAGAGAGCCCCAAGTGCTACCGCGCCGTGATGCGAGCCCTTTCTCAATCAGGGAAAATTCGAATCCCGCACCAGAACCCCCCTTTTGTTATTCCCTGATCCCTCAATTGTTCGATAAGTTGACTTGTCCCGTCTCACAGGCCATAGGAAGCGAAAAGAGTGTTCGTATAAGATGCGGATGCCATCTACATCGCAATCATAGACAATGGGAGCAGCTACGTCAGATCATCCAGCGAAATCCCCAGCTCCGCCAATTAGCGCGGCAACCCAATGTGAGGATCAATATCGGGGCACCTCCACAAGCGGACGACCTGGATGCTTCCAGTGTTCCCAGTAGAATGGGTCTATTATCTGAACCTCGTACTGGGTCCTGGTATATGCGCGAGATTCAAAATGGCCGGGAACGGATGATTGTTATCTACATCGATCCCACAACAAGCGTTGAGCAAACCTAATCTCGAGCAATTACTCTCATCATGGGTGTATCTGGCAGTCACTGATTCAGGGTGAGGTTACCCAACTGGAATCGGAAATTTCCCCCGCAATAGAAGATTCATAGAGGCACAGTCCGCTCTAAATGGACTCCCGTTTGCTAAACTGTAATCGGAAATCAAACACATATACGGAATATATTGAACCTATTTGTAGTTTCGACTGCATTTTTGGGAGAAGGTTTCTACTAGTATGGCAGGCTTTCATGTCTATTCTCCCGGTGGATTCAGTTACCTTTCCAAATTCTATTGGAGCTTTAGATTCGCTCACGTATCATCCATCTAACCCTGCAGCACCACGCTAGTAAGCGAATGCTCGTCAACAGAGTGATGAAATAAGTAGCAGCGGGGTGCAGCTCATATTGCTCATTATTTTTGTAAAAGAGGTGTCAGTAGTCCTAAAAGTATGGCTTCATAACTGAATCTGATGCTGACTGCAGGACTGCAATATTGCTTGCCATTGGGTTATCATTAGTAGCATGTACTTAAATAGGGCAAATCGATCAGCGCATGCACTAATCCGTAACCAAAAGACGGACACCCTTGCTATCCATTTTCACAAAAGGGATAAAAATGTCGTGTTTTACCCTGACATCTTCAATAGTCGTCTCAAACAGCTCAAAATTCATGCGACGCAAGAGGGTCGAAATGACAAGCAGGATCTCCGTGCGAGCCAAACTGATCTGGTTAGTGGGTGTCAAAGTCAGTCAAGGCAAGTAGAGACATGACATACTGCATTCCAATACACTGGCGAGAGCCTTTGGAGAAAGCAACCATGTACTTCTCCAGACGCTTGCGCTCTGCAGGATCCGTCCATCGATCGGGGTTGAAGCGATAGGAATCGGGGAAAACGGATTCGTTGTGGTGCATTAGCAGGCAGCTCATACTAACCGGGGTCTAGGATCATGATAAGCGAGGGTCTCGAGGAGTCAAGCTTGTTCCACGTACCCCTGGCGGAATGGTCCAGTCCTTATACTTCAGAACGTTGTACGGAGCAATTCGAGGAAGACGTGCGGTCACACCATACGACAGCCTATAGCGAATTCAGAAATTGATCTCGGGACTTGGGAGTGAGTGGCTTCGGATTTATGTACCTGATTCCTTCCAACATGACGCCATTCTGTGGAATTAGCGAGAATCCAACATTTCATGTCAACAACACTCACAAAATACGGCAGCTGTTCGAGCTGGATCAGAGATGGCTCATCTCCCAAGGTGCTTAATTCCGTCTTCAACTTGGTCATAATCACCGGATCATTCAGCAGGTAAAAGAAGATGTAGCTCATCGCTTTGGCCGTGGTTTCTGCACCTGCTGAGACTAGAACCTGCATCTCCTGCGCAAGTCGGGCTTCGCTCTTCTCCTGTGTCGGTAATTCACTGTTGAGGACGTCTTCGAACAGGGTCACCCGGCCTCCTTCGGGCGTCTCTTCGCGTTTTTCACGGTGTTTCTTCGTGATCTCGGCAATACGCCTTCGACAACGACGTTGGAACCCGAAGAAGAGTTCCATGCCGGGGTTTAGCCATGCCGTAAGCGCCTCGGGCATTGCCAGAAGGAGGGGCAATAGAAAGGCAACGGGCCGGATGAAGACGAGGGTTTTGGCTGTCCCGCAGAGGGTGTGTTGCCACTGGGGAATAAAGTCCGGTTCATCAAGGTAGCGATAGCCGTCGCCCATGGTATAATCGGTGATAACATCGGTTGTGTAACAAGTAAGAGGATACTCGATATTGATAGCTTGACCCGTGTTCTTCAGCTCTTCAAGCCGGGTACAAAGTTTGTTAACTAGTTTCTTGAGGGCAGGCTCCTGCTCCCGAATACGGGCCGTGGAGAAAAAAGGATTCATGTGTGACCGGATCAAGCGATGACGATAATGATCCTCTGCGGTTATGAGGGCCAGCGGGGCATTAAAGGTGCGCTGATAGTAATCATATTTGTTGCGAGGGCTGTCGCGCGAGTAGATTACTTCGTAGAAGTCGGGATCATTGACATGCAGTTCAGTGGGACTAATCCGGACAATAGGGCCTGCATCAGCAAAGATCAGTTCTTATAATCAAGCACCACGCAAGAAGTGGAAAAAATATATATATATATATTTATTTACCGTATTTCTCATGCAGCTCCCCAATATGGAACGTGAACTGCCCGTTACGGATGGCTTCCCAGTAGAACTCATAAAATACCGTTAGGGCTGCCAGCCGAGGACCAGGAAAGTGGGCAATGGGCGACAGATAAAGGCGATAGATCACGATGGACAGGATATAGACCGAGAAAAGCACCGCAGCAACGGCGTAAGGGTACAACAGGAGTAGATGCAGCGACTCCATTATAGACAGTGCAGCACTCCGTACTGCCGGGTCCTGCGAGCCACCAGAGCCATTCTGTCGGGACGGGACGCTTCAGATTTTTGTACTCGTCTACGCCGGGTACTCGCTCAAATAATTTACAATAATCAAATCATGGCTGGTAGGCCTAAGGGGTCTGACCGTCACACTGGAAATGGCAACGGCGTTGCAATGAGGGGGGAACCGAATATCAAGAACCGCACTCTGCGGCGAGGACGATAGTGATGAATCCTGCCAAATACCCCCGTACAGTTTCTGTCAAACTAGAAACTGAGGAATTGACCGACTGGACGGTACTTTTCTCCCACAATGGGATTGTCCCCGACACCTCGATCCACTGCGGGCCATTACTAGCCACTTGCAACCAGGGAGAGACCAAATTGGCGGGAATAGCTCCCACCATTGCCTACTAGACTCTTGCCCTCTTTATATTAGTGCATATTCCTTCGTCAGGGAACGAACGTACTCCAGATGCTGAAGGTTGAACAAATCTCGCTCACATCCGATAGAAACTTAAGACCCTAATCCTTCTTCTCAGGCTCCAATAGCAGCGCTGGACGAGTTGTACATGGTCTGTGGCATTCAAGTTGCATCCTACCGTCCGATTATTCACGGGCAATGACATGATAATGCGCATGTCAACGGTATGGCGATGCATTTGACTTTGAAGGATCATGCACTAACTAATCAACGCCCCTCTGCCTGACTCAATTTAGATTTTCTTCAACGTCTTGCCCGTCCAGGCGTTCCGAGAATCAAACCTGGCCCGGCCGGGAAAGCGGAGGTTGGGTCGCGCTAAATTAATCTTAATGAATCCGAGCGAGGTTACTCAGGATGTACTGTGTGCTTCGTGTCGGGATTCCCAAAATCCTAGTGGCTTCATGCTTTCGAAGTCATGCCCAGGCGAACCTCCACCAGTAAAACCGGGAGTCATACTCGAAATTCTTATGCAGAAATGATGAAATATTGCATAGATCCATAGATAGCACACGCTCAGTGGCAGAACATTACTGGGTCAAAACACGTCTACGACTTAGAAGATATATATTACTCTAGTGCTTCACTGCTCAAGAAACAATCACAGCTTCCGCATCATGCAAGATACCTTAGCCACTGCTTAAATAGTTGGGCATGTTATTTGATCAATTTTCATAGCTGCTTTATTCTGTAAATATGCCACTATGCGGCCATACGTCACCGGCCGACGAACCTTTCGCGACTTTCCATTGCCAACACAAGTTCTTCTTACAAAGATTCGGTAAGTTGAGAAGGATGCTTGGCCAACTCGACCTAGAATACAGACTGACTTTCGGTGTTCACAGGAAGTATGGAAAGTTACGTGCGTCCGCCTTGAGTACACCCTGCCATAATGTAATATAAAGGTTTTAAAGCATAAGGAATTCGTCATTTTTCGTGACCAGATTCCTTCTCTACCCATGTATTGAAAATGAATAATGTATGTCGACAAAGGACGGATATAAACTGCTTAATCCTCCTCCCCTTAAAAGGTCGTAGCTTTTTGCTGGCGATTTGATCAACTCTTATTCTTCGTCGGCACTTTCCTGTGTCGTTTTTATTTACATGATGAACTTGTTATTTCTCCTCTCTCCGTTAGCAAACGCGGTCTTTACCGCCGCAGAACTAGCCACCACCACAGTAAGTCCTATCTTCAAAGACAGTACATACTTCATGCTAACTCGGACTAGCACTATAGTGATGGCCTGGTTGGCGCCTGTGGCTGTGGAGACAGTTCAGGAGCATACTCATGGCAGGTTAGCATTATCTCCAACTACACTATTGTTCATGTCCCCCCAGCTAAAGCCAGCACAGTTCGGCATCGGGAACGCTACCTACACCGCTGCGGGCTCGCAGGCACTCTTTGACTCTTCCGGAGAAGGGTGGTGCGGCTCCGGCTGCGGCAAATGCTACCGACTGACATCGACCGGGGTGTCCGCCTGCCCTACCTGCGGTGAAGGCGGCGAAGCAGGTAGAAGCATCACGGTGATGCTCACAAACCTATGCCCCTACGTGACGAACGAGGAGTGGTGCCCAAATGCAGGCGGTATAAATGCCTATGGATACGCCCATCATTTCGACATCATGTCTCCTGATGTGATCTTCGGCGACAATGTCGTGGTGGAATTTAGCCAAGTTGACTGTCCGCTGGTAGCAAGGATGGATTGGAGGAGGTGCGAGTGTTCTAGTCGTCCATGAGTTCAAATTGAAATAAAAGTTTCTATTGACCCCGTGTTTTATGTTTGTAGTGTGAACTTGGCTCGTAGACAGCTGTGTGTAGGAACTACTCGTCTTTATGGGGTTCGTTTACAAGCAAATGAACTCATGGCCGACAACGTGGATGACATGTGCAGGGAACGGTATTCCGAAAAAAAAAAAAAAAAAAAAAAACAAAAATCATCACTATCGAAATAGTATCTCCATAAGTAGCATCATAATTGTATCCCGTATGAACAGCGATTATCATTATTAATCATCACCAGCTCAAATAGTGACAATCTTTAGCCGGGCTCTCTGCACATGCCGGACCTGTAGAATCTTTGCCGTCTGGATTTGGACTTGAGGAGGAGTCTTAGGCGTTGCCGGGTAGTTCTCAATCCGGCCGCCATCATGAATCATGGCGGTGCGATCTAGGAAATTCCGAGCTCTGACATGCGGATCAAGATCCCAGTAGTTGGCAGAGATCTGCTCTACAATCTCCTCACGCCGCAATATAGCCTGTTTCAACTCCTCTTCATCTTGCGATCCCGTAGCGGAGATCCAACGCGAAGTCGCAGCTAGGAACTGCTCTGCGATAGATTGTCGCTCAGCTAATAGAGTGTCTCGCGTAGCGTAATCCTCCATCTGACGATTCTCGTCCGGCTCCGGCTCCGGATACTCATACTCCCAGTCTTCGCTGCTGCCGAGTTCACTAGCAATCTGATCTAACGCGATGAATTGCTCGAGGTCCTTGATTGTTCGGGTGAAGTGAACTTTAGCAGCGAGAGCAGGGTCCATCCATCCTTTTATGACCCTCCAGATTCCTAGACAGGGTCAGCTTGGATTACCTAGTTATGATCCCTCCTTTTGAACAAACCAGCAAAAATCCGAGGAGCATTGTGAAGAAGGAGAACTCCTAGAGATTCAGGGTAATACGTTTCGAAACAGCGGATGATGAATTTAACAGGAGCATATTCCTGTCAGTCTCAGTAGGTTTCTCGTTCCCCGGTTCAAGTCCAGAGCTCTTACCATATTGGCGAGAGAGAAGCCTGTCATGTCGAAGACAACCGTCTAAACATAGGAGGTTGGTGTTAGAAAAAGCATCAATTCGGCCCAAGGAAAGAAGCATACAGCAGTCTCTATCGGAGGTGAGATGACAAGTCGAACTGATTCATATATATGTGTGATAAACTGATTGAGCGCATCCTTGCTTTGGGCTCCAGGTTGATGTAAGCGCACTCTTACCACGCAAACAGGCTGGTTGAGCCTGTCCACCCCATAAACGTAGCATTTCCCCATCCTTAACTGCGAGATAAATCCCCTTGCTTCCCCAGAGCTGTATTTATCCATCAAATTTTGCTCCTGTTGGGCAGCGTATAGCTCTCCTCGTGGCAGTAGAACATTATCCACCTTCATCTCCTTCAAGCGCCATATAAGTGAGTTCAGAAGCAGCACCAGAGCTTTATTCACCTCCCACCTACATCTTCGCAAATATCGGAGTAAATATACGTCTGGCGGTTCGTGTTTGGCGGCGGTCAGAACACCGAATCGCACATCCTCAGGCGACAGGCATGAGAGGAATCGGCGCACAGAGCGGCCTTCAGATGCAGTAAGGCCTGCATCACGGAATGTCTGGACTAGTCTAGCTTGATGGATGGAAACAGAGGTCCGGCTGCCCTTGCCAGAGAGGGTAGGTTCGGTTCGTGAAAAGAGGGAATTTGTGCGACTGAGGGAACGAGGCGGCAACGGCAATGGGGATGATTTTACACGCTCGAGGCTGTTGACATGCACTAGTTGCTCAATTGCTGCTACCGATGACGCCCCAGCTAGATGTAAAAGAAGGGCCCAGAATTGTTGCAGCCGGGCCTCTTGCTCTGCTGATAGATTACCCAGGAACCCCGGCGGGATGGTAGTTTGCGTCATTATCACTCTGAAACCCATCTCTTTTCTTAGGATAGTAAAGTAAGAGCCATAAGGAAAGAATGTAGAATGATTATTTCGCTGACTTAACAGGTCTCTTCCCCCTCTGTATGCGACACGCGTGCAACACTTTCCCCGCTGATAGACCGACTGGCCCATCCTCGGCTGAAAGAGCTAGGGAACCACCTGCAGCGATCACAGATACGGATCCCTTACCCCCGTCGAGGCATGATTGGCTGTTGTGAAGGCCTTTCTAGGCTTGGAGGTGAAGCTAACTCGAAGCCAAACTGCCAAAGGGCTGCTCATTTCAGTTCCTTCGTGATTATGCCAGGCCGTGAAACATGTTACACGATTGTGGAACTTCTAGCATCACTTCTTCATACGCGGTAGTATTGGCTATCTTGATTTATGGTAGGCCTATTCCGTATATAACTCCCTTAATTGTAGGGTTTATCTGGCACATAAAAGGGTAGCCAATATCATGCTCCTCTGTGTTCTCTCATGCTATGATTATCATCGTAAAATTCTTGTCCCGAAATCACCCATGCGTGTTTGAGCTTCGATATCCCGGGCTCATGCCCGGATTATACCTGAGGAAATATCACGATTTATCCGAGTCCCTTTGATTCTATTTGATGCCTGCTGTAATCTGTTCCGGGTGTCTCCGTATGAATGTAGCACGAGACGTATAGCTCCCGGCCAAGACGAGATCCGGGTAGTAGCCCCAGAGGCAGCAACGGAGTAGCTAAAAGCTGGCATAAATTCGGCAGAAACAGGGCATAGGTATGAATGGCATTTAGGCCGACGATACCATGCCAGATACACCGGAAGAGCCTGCGAATAACGCGGGGGGCCTGGGTGATTTTCGCCTTTCTTTCCCTGTCAAGAAGAGCCAGTTCGTGGCGGAGGAAATAGCACCGTTTTCAGCATCTGATGGAAGATATTCAGGGGTTCCGTTGCTAACGACAACTGGCCCCTGGGTTTCCGAAGATCTGGGAAAATTATGGCCCCTAACTTCCTCCACGGACAGGCTGATACGAGACGTAAGTCTTCCTATGCCATAAAATTCACAGAATCAATGACCGTCATAGCATCTTCTCCAGAATTTTCGGACTTACTAGAGGCGATATCTCCATCAATAGAAAGAATTCTCGTGCAGGTCGCTTCAGATATCCCGTAGGGATTATGCCCCTCAATGGCCACAAAATTTACTCATTACAGGGCGCAGAATCCTACCAGACCCTATAATCAGCCTAATTATGACGATACCTCTTATCTTGAAGACAGGGGTAGTCTTTTCTGAAGCTGTGGTAAAGTGATCCCGGCTTGCTCTCTGCCCGTATCCGAACTGCATGCCCGCATTCCCCGAGACAAGGGAACTTTGGTGATAAAAGCTCTTGATTTGATCATGATGAGAAAATTTTTATCTTCAATATCAAGACACTACTCTCCCAGTACTGCTCAATCCTATACTTATTATTGGCCATCTTCTTTCTGTAGCTTAGATACACTTTACAGCGCGGCGCTAGTTCTAAATGTATAAGTGGAATAGGGGACTGCCTAGGAAAGAAGATATCCAAAGTTCTAGATATCAGGGCGAGGGTTAGGTATACTATTTCCATAGTGATTATGTTTCTTTTCCGGAATACCGTTCCCTGTACATGTGCAGCAATATTGATGATTCAAGCTAATAGCGTAACTAGGGGAAGGGTCCAGATGGTATCCCTTTCCACGCATACACACACAGTTTGATATCCTAATGGTTTTTAAGGTACCAGTAAGGGCAATGGTATGAACTCTATATTGGTCGTACCCCAAGGGTTTTCCATGGTTTTTAAGATCATATGAATGGCTCCCTAGCTTTGGGTGTAAACATTATAGTCATGTCTACGGAATATGGATCCTGGAAGAAATGATCAGTTGCCACCCCCCCAAAAGACACGGATAGTTCTGCTCTGGTGGCTCGGGAGTGAGGTGCTGGTTGTAATTCCAATAAAATAGGAGACTTATTGCTAACTAGCAGAACCCTGTGCGAGGGAGACCATGCAGTCCGGGTGACAAGTCACGAAACTTATACTGGCGCCTGCGAACAAACACGCCTTGAGAAGAGCAAAGCCACCAGCTATGTTCGCCAGCAGTACAATGTGGCCAATAGGGAGGCAAATCATTGACTACGGTCAGCTATTGATTGGTGAGCTTTGTGCTGCAGCCTGCACCCTGCGATCCCTGTGCATATCCTACCAGCGGACAGGATTTATGCGATGGGAACCATAAAATGTAGACACATTGAAGAATCGGCATGCGCATAAGGTCCCAATCTTGAAATCGCCGGGTCACGACCCCATTATCTCTCCAATGGATGCAGGTTTCCTATGGAGAAAACAACCGATCCTTTCGCTTGGGGAGCTTTGTGGTTTCTTTTGGCAAGCAAGAGACAACAATTAAGGCCCTCGGTCTCCGAGCTCTCTTGGAAACAACTGGGGATTCATAAACACTTCCTGCCTTGTTTCGAATAGTCTAAAATTACTATATCATGCAGCAGAACCGGTGGCCGAATCACGGCGGACTTTTCAGGACTCACTCGGGAAGAGCAGAAGTGTACCTGAGCTCCAAGTCCTGTCCACGGATCGAATTTGTTCTTCTATTTGGTTAAAGAGATAGCCCCTATATGGCAAGGAAAGCTAAGAGGGAAAGAAATATATATTTACTATGGAGACTTCGGAATCATCTGCGCCTAATTCATCCTATGTTTCTCTACCCGCCCCGGTAGGTTTGAACCCACTTATATTACTGCACCTTTCTGATAGACATGATGCTTCAGACAGGAAATTTGTCGAGATACCCCACTGGATGCATGAACCACCTCCCCCAAGGCAAATCCATGAAGCATCATCTAAACGGAAACATGAACTCGGATACCAATAGTGGCCCCGATATTGAATTAAGCGGGCAGCTACATGGCCACGTTAGCGGCGAGGTCAACGGCCATGTCAAGAGACTTTTGAAAGGCGATATTGATGGAGACATGAAATCCTCCCTAGAGCATGGCACGAATAAACATTCCGATAAAGACTCCCCTCAACATTTCAGTTACTCGTCTGAGCCAGAAAATGGCCCAAAGGCGTGGGAGATAGTGTCACGATGGGAGACATCTCTTGGACCAAGTCACGAACACTGGTGGAGACTCACTGGTCCGCAATTGTCAACGATGCTGGAAGAAGCGGGATATCCAGTACATAAGCAGCTTGAAATTGTGCTCTTCCACTATCACCGAGTAGTAAGTATTGACTTTTTAGTAAGGATCGTACGCTTCTTACAAGCCTAACTTAATCACCTCTAGGTGCCTTATATGGGCCCCAAACCCGAGCTCGATGGCAGCTTCAAATGGAAATCTCTCGTATCCTCGGACGGAGTACCTCTAGAGTATTCCTGGAAGTGGGACACACCTAGTAAAGACCCCGAGATCCGCTTCACCATTGAGGCCATCAACGAGTTTAGTGGTACAGTCGCGGACCCTCTGAACCAAACCCCCGCAATAGAGTTACTGCAAGGTCTAGAGGGGAGAGTCCCCGATCTAAATCAAGACTGGACAAGTCACTTCCTATCCAACTTTTATGACCATGATAAGGCTAAGTACTTGCGCGAGGCAGAAGATGGGTCGGGAATGCCCTTACGGTCGACGATGCTGGTATGTTTTGAATTAGGCAGGAATGTTATCTCCACGAAAACATACATGGGCCCCCGGAGGCTGGGACAGCAAGGATTCGCCTGTCTAGCGCAGTATATGCCTGCAATCCGTCAACTTGGTCCCAGCCGTGCACTTGACATTTTGAATGATTTTCTGGGAACCAGCAAAGAAGGAAGCTACTTGAGGCCATTCATGCTGGCTGTTGACAACGTCGAACCACCTTCTTCAAGACTGAAACTTTACTTTGCAACAGTTCGAACAAGCTTTGCATCAATGCGGGAAATCATGACGCTAGGGGGTAGGGTATCTAGTGACAAGATAGAACAGAAGTTACGAACCCTACATGAGCTTGTCAAAGCAATTATGCCTGTGCCGCTAGATCTGCCCGACAACGCAGATATCCCGGGCCCTGAGCTGCCAGAGTACAGTGCAGATGCCACTGCATCTACCAGTATCGACTTAGCCACGGAGCGGCCGAATTTTGTTGTGGGTTACCAGTACTATTTTGATATAGCTCCTGGGGCAGAGTTCCCGGATATCAAATTCTACGCTCCTATTCGCAAGGATATGATGGATGATCTCACCGTTGCGAATGGCTTGACCCGGTGGATGGAATCTCAGGGGCGTGGTGCATTCTGTCAAAACTATATGCGAGTTTTGAGGGGGCTAGCTGGTGAGCGGAGCCTGAGTGAGTGCCATGGGATCCAGACCCATATTTGTTGCATGATCAAGAAGGATGGGCAGTTCGATATCACATCGTATCTTGCGCCTGGAGTGCCTGGTTCGTCTAACTGATGTATTGGGGAAACTTGAGGCGGTTGTTTGACGCGAATCAGAGTTGAGATAGATCTATGGACATGGATTTCTAGTCATAGGTTACTGTTTTGCCTAATATAATGTCACCAAGTGAGCTTTCAGCAGAAGCTCTCTGATATATAGTACTCAGATATCATGTTCCATTGGGCTTTATTAGAGATATGTTTTGTATCATAACACGCTGGCACAATATACAATCTGTCTAGGATGAATGTCGAATAACCACACAGGCTTTTATCTATCCCCGTATATCATCTTTTCGATAGCTTCTCTTTCTCCACTCTGTTCAACCAATCCTCTGAAAATCCCATATTCAGTCTGCATTAATGCAGCAGGACTGTCCATCTCCGCCACCTTTCCTTCATCCATGACGATGATCCGGTCAAAGTCAGCGATCGTAGAGAGACGATGAGCGATTACGAGCAATGTACAACCGTGGATCTCCTGTCGAAGCGTCCGCTGGATGCGGAGATCAGACTCCATATCGATTGACGCCGTGGCCTCATCCATAATCAAAATTTTAGGGCGGGAGACAAGAGCACGCGCTAGGCAGAGCAGCTGTCTCTGTCCCTGCGAGAGATTTTTCCCACCTTCTGCGATCAAGAAAGAGAGAGAGAACACGTCATTCGTCGCGGTTGGTTTGCCTGGTTCACCGGCAGCCATGTCTTCGGAAAAAGAAAGAAGGGAGACCTTCTCCAAAGCATTGTGCAGCTCTGTATCATCGTGTTGGCTGAACGGATCTAGAACTTCCCGAACCGTGCCCGCGAAAACAACAGGGTCTTGTGAGATAAGGCCCAGCCTAGAACGGAGATCGTGCAGCCGCACATGGGAAATGTCGATTCCGTCAATATGAATCGACCCCGATCGGGCTTCTAGACATCGCAGAAGCGTCATAGCCAGTGAGGATTTACCAGCACCGGTTCTCCCCACAATGCCTATGCGTTCACCTTGCCGGATGAAGAAATCGAGACCGTTCAAAACAGGCGGTAAATCGGGAGCATAGCCGACATATAGCGCAGTGACCTGAATCTCGCCCTTGGTCGGCCAGGAAGCTGGGACTTCAATGCCCGATTTTGATTCCTGTTCTAGCTGCGTGTACTCGACTAGGCGCTCGGCGGCGTTGAAGTCGATTTCAACCTGAGCGTAGTGCGACAATAACCACGAGATATGGTCTGACATCTCTAGTGCAAAACTAAGGGCGAATCCAGCAAGGGGTGCGTCTATGGTACGAATGCTCACAAATATCATGGACACAGATGCGACGAACTAACAGGTTAGTAAGGACTGACTTCAGACTGGGGGAGCTGGTTTGGAAATGGCAACTTACAACAGCTGCAACCATGCTCAGCCAAAAGGCCATCCAGCAAGTAAAAAGCCGTCTGTGCCAAAGAGCCTGGCAGTGCGTATCGATCAAGTCGTACATCCGCTCAATGTAGTCCTTCCCTCGCCCAAATGCTCGAATAGTAGGGAGGCCGGTAAGCAGTGATCCAACAAGCTCAAAAATGGGCGACCTAGCAGTACTCTCTAATCTCTTTGCCTCTCGAGCTCCCGTAACGTAGAAATAGCCGACTGCCCACGAAGCTAGGAGAGCCAATGCGCCGAGCCCTACAACGACGGGTGATGTAACAAGCGCTGCCACGATGACTCCAAGAATCATCACACAGCTATGCAGCAGGTATGATAGATCTAGTGCAAGGTCAGAGTCAAGGACGCCGAAATCCGAAGTAAAACGGTTCAGAATCTGGCCAACGGGCGTTGTGTCGAGGAAATGAAGAGGGACCGTGAGAATGGTCTTGGTGAATTGTTCAAACACCACTTGGGATGCTCGGATGGATCCGCTAACAATAATCTGCGTGCAGAGAAGGTCCAGGACCCACGATAGGGAGGATATCCCTAAATAAATGGACCCATAGTATACCAGGCGCCGGTCAAGCTGGATCCCACTTTTACTACGTGGGAGGATGATAACCTGATGCCCAGAGGTGTCAACAAGTGCTGAAGGCGTGCTTTTGTCATCGTACGCTCTTGTCCAGATCGAAACCCAGTAGGGAGCTGCAAGATGAAGCAGCAGAGCCAGGATGAAGAAAATAATAATCAGAGCCCAGTGAAAGTAACCCCCACTGGATTTCAGGTAGAACTTGTAAACTTTCGCTTTAACCACACCGCGCGCTCGCGTCTCTTCTTCGTAAAATGTGTTAGCTTTGGAGTCAGACTTGGACTGATGAGTACTAGATCGCTCGAGGCGTGGTCGTGACTCTAGTCGACTATCCAGCGATGATGTATCCGAGTTTCCGTCGTCAAGTGTTCCCTCGGAGGAAGAATGTGGGAGACGGCCATCTGGATGACCCGCATACAAAACGTTTCCATTCTCTAGTTTCACCAGGTATGATGCAGCCTGCAGGCACAATCGTACATGATGGGTTGCCAGGATCCTCGTTCTACCTTCTGTCAAGCTCCCAGTCAGAGCATTCTCGTAAAGATGACGACCTACATGGGAATCGACAGCGCTGAAGATGTCGTCGAAAACAAGGATACTGGCCCGGCTGTACAGCGCCCGTGCCAGTGCCAGTCGCCACTTTTGCCCTCCGCTGAGATTGATCCCATTGGAACCAATGTCGGTTTTATCTCCATCAGGGAAAGTTTGGAGGTCAGGGGTGAGTGCGCAGGCTTTAACGACCTGGTCATAGCGGGTAGGGTTAAATGGAAGACCAAACAGGATAGCATCCCGAATGGTCGCATTCTCAATCCAAGGATCTTGAGCAACATAAGCAATGACTCCATGAACGATCCAGTTCTGGGGGTTGGCCTCCAAGCTCGAGGCAGATTCAGCGGTTGGGACAGCAACTTTTCCACTCAAGACTTCCGCCTCGCCGATGAGGGAGCGAAGAAGCAGTGTTTTACCGGCGCCGCTGCGGCCAGATATAATGGTGAGTTTTCCCGATGGAAGGTCAAGATTGAGATCTTTTAATTGAAACTGGGTTTCTGACTCCTCGCGTGTGCTTGACGGCCAAGTAATAGCGGCATTTTGCAACGAAATAGTCTCTCCCAGTATCCTTCCGTCCTCGTACTCGTCAAAGGCAAGAAAGTCCTCAATGCGCCTCATACTAACCGAAGCGTCCAGAAGATCAGTCAGAACTTCGGGGAAGATGCTCAATATGTTCTGCAAGTTTTCGAATAGGGATATGGCTGTAAAGGCTGTCGACGCTGAAATGGCCCCATTGACATAAATATGGGTAGTGATTGAGAGGAAGCTCATGGACAGCGGCCCAAAAGTCCAGATAGCCGACAAGTAGACATTCAGTTGGAAAACATCTCGCTGCTTATCCAGTTCTTTGCCTCGTAGCCTCATGATCTTGCTATACCACTCGTGCTCGAGGGCACTGAATTTGATCTGTCGCATACCGCGTACCATTTCTGTTAAGGCAGAGGACTTTTCATCCCGACGTTCCATTAGACCTTGTTCACGCTTGCTGTATCGTTTGGTTAAGTAGTAGTAAAGAGGCGTCAGTAAGAAGGGAATGGCGCATCCAGCGAGCGTGGACCTCCAGCCCATCAAATACGTCAAAAAGACAACGGTAATGCTAAGTTCGAGGATAGAATCAAGCAGCAAATAGCTATACGCGACGAAATCCGAAATCTTTTCCACATCGACCCCGAGAAGATTAAGGATAGAGTGCTTAGTTCCAGAGGGAAAGTCGTCCTCCTCGTCGCTATCATCATCGTCTTCGTCTTCATCATCGCCAGCAGCTGGTAGAGCAACGTCTTTCAAGCCCATAGCCTTTCGAGATATGACCGCGAATAGCTGTTCATTAATAGGAAGGGAGATCTTCAGGTCGGCGACAAAGTCTCTCAACGAGATGAACCATGACACCAAAACCATGGAGAGCCCAAGACTGAGTGCCGTAAGCCATAGCTGAAGCTGATTGTTTGCGCCAGCATCACGCTCTTCGAATAGTCGTAGGATGGTGAGAAGCATGAAATGGGGTAGAAAATGAAAGGCATTTGTGAACAACTGAATAGTCACTTGGAGGGCAATGTCCCTCCAGTAGATCTTAAGCCACTTTTTCCATCCTGTTGAAGTAGCACTGGCCGTGGGGAAGGCATCGGCGAGCGTTCTGGCGCGTACTTCGTCCCCTACTAGAGGAAGATCGTCGGTATTCAGATGTCCGTTCTTTGCCGCGAGAGCAAGTGTTTTGTACGCCCAAGAAAAGGTATATCTATTAAGAAACGAAACTGAATCTTGTGCATCAATCACTCGGCCATCGCGGTAACCAGCCCCTGCCCGGGGGAGGGAAAGGTTGACCAAAAGAAGAATGAGCGCAGCAACGAGTTCAAGAATGCTGCGGGCATCTGATGCAGTAAGCGTCAACCCACGGCGCCTGTTATGTAGCTCAACTGTGTATGGCAAGGCAATTGAAAGACTGAGAGCCAACGTTCCCAATGCGCTGTAAACACCGAGTGTATATCTATCTTCGGATCGTCGACGGCTGATGAGGATGATAGCCTGGACGAGGGTCAACAACTGTAAAAGCATCAGCCCCTGATCTGTATTTGGGGATTCCTTGTGGTCCCGTAAATACCCAAGCTACGAAACGCAAAAACTCTGGAATTGGCGCCTTATTCGTGTTCAAGATGCAGGATGAAAGCGCCGAAATTGTGGCCACGCCAACCACTGCGACCAAAGTGACTCTCTGCCATTTTGATTGCGGCGGCTTCCCCTTAGCAATGACCTCAGTATCAATATTTGGATCGAGTGCCTGGTATCGTTTCTCGACTTGGTTGTAAGCCAGCAGCAGTTGCCGGACATGGGGTATCGACACGAGCGTCGTGGCCGTCAGACCGGCTATGGACGCGCCTACAGAGGGATAGGAGAGGTCGCGGAGGGACATTGAGAAAAACACAGGGCTATCAGGTTCCAATCGAACTGCCTAGCGGTGGGAATTACAATCAATAAAGACATCAGTAGGGACAGAGAGCTAGGCGGGAGAGAACTTTAATAGAAGAAGCTAAAACCCTGGGGTTTTCCAAGGGTTTGGGATGACTCCCTTGAATCAGTTCCGGCGAAAACAGTCAGTCATTCTTGCTGACCGTCAGATTCGGGCACCCGTTCGGGTAACTGTATGTGACTCCTAGAGGAGTAACTGTAGAAAGTATGTTATAGTGACTCACACTAGTCCCAAGCCCTTACAGAGATTGGAATAGAAACTGTCGGAATATCCTTAATATGACTATCTATGAATAATTGCCGTAGGACTTGAGCGAATCCGGGAGATAGATCATGTTGGTGTCTGCACTTCTAAGGCAAGCCCTAGTTCCTGCCTATGCCATCAGATTAGGATACCCAGATCGATAGCATTCTAAACAAGAGTGACGATAGGTTTCAAGATGATAATAGTACTGTATCTTGGTAGTGGAAATGTTGAGAGGCAGATGGACTTGATATCATTCTGTCGTCCATAAAATTCGACCTTTGAACTTAGCCACGGCTACTCGTACACATAAGGCTACTCCAGTACTATATAGTCTTTAACGCATCTCCAGAATACGGTTCTTCTTTACCCCCTGTCACCTCAACTCCCTCATTTTCATATTGGTTGTCTGTCCAAGAATACTTGGCGTCAGCTTGCTTGCTGTAAATGACTTACTATCCAAGCTAATACGTAGAATAGTGCATTGGAATCGTTCCGGTCGCCGGAGCCAATATCTGGGAAAGTCCGGTATATTGGCTCGCTACATGCGTCTAGTTTATTTGTCTGGAGGCAAACACATGGATTGTTAATGCAGCTTAGGGAGTTTGACCATCAATCTATTCCATGGCGACAGACACATAAACACGCTCCTGTTACACACTTTTTCTGCCCTTTTTTGTTGTTCATGCGGCACGGTATTTCTGAAACCAGGCCCGTCATAACCCACAATTCAGTTGAAGATGGCGAACGATACAGACAAGGTGTCCGTCGAGACAGTCGACAATGTGGAGGCTGGTACAATCGCAAAGCCTATGGTTGACATCGATGTCGATGAGGAGTACACCTATGAAGAGCAGAGGAAAATCATCCATCGCGTTGACCGTCGACTGATTCTTATATGTCGTGCTGCTTATTGTATCAGTCTGATGGATCGAATCAACGTATCTATAGCAGCCATTAGCGGGTAAGTGTAGGCTCACTGTCCATAACCAATACCAATCATAGATATTCACGACTACCTTGTCTAGAATGATGGTAGATTTGGAGCTGGGTATAGGTTTCAGATATGTCCGTCGCCCACGGCCGATTTCTTACAAGAAACTAACCCCTCCTGTTGCTAACTAGTCGACTATGGTCTTGGTTTTCTTCGTCACCTATATCGTCTTTCAGCCTGTCTCGACTGGGCTTATTCGAAGAATTGGGCCCCGGATCTTCATTTCCACGATTGTCATGACTTGGGGGGAGGGCTTCAAGGTCTGGGGGGATGGCAGTGGATTTTCATCATGCAGGGTGTAGTAAGTATTCCTACCTAGGTACCATGGTTAAAGTGACCTTCTAACCCGACTCCCTGTTAGTTAACCTTTGTCATTGGCATTTTATGCATGATCTTTGCCGTTGACTTTCCGGATAAAGGCCACAATACCTGGGGGTTTCTGAGTGAGAAGGAATGCGCATTTGTCCTTCGTCGTCTGAACCGGGATCGCGCAGATGCTAACCCAGAGCCTTTCAGTCTGAAGAAATTTCTTCGTCCGGCCCTAGATCTAAAGATCTGGGGACTGGGTCTGGTTTTCTTGTGGGTTTTTGCGTTTTTTTTTTTTTTTTTTCCCAGGGCTTGTATAGCCCGAGCTAATATGCAAATCAGCTGCCTTACCACCGTTACCTACTCGATTGCATACTTCCTCCCTATCATCCTTCGCGAAAACATGGGATTTGGCGTGGGAGCATCCCAATGTCTGATTGCGCCCCCTTATGTCCTCGCCGGTATTCTGATGGGTAGTACATCTTGGGCTGGAGATAAGTACCGCATGCGTGCCCCAGTGCTTGTGTTCAATAGCCTTGTCACGCTCATTGGTCTCCCGGTGATGGGGTTCGCCCAAAACCCGGGTGTCCGATTCTTTTGGTGTATGTCTCACCACGGCCGGAGCAAATGCGAACATCCCAGCATCCATGGCATACCAAGCCAACAACATCCGGGGACAATGGACTCGCGCCTTTGCAAGTGCGATTCTAGTTGGCTTTGGAGGTGTGGGCGGTATCGCGGGCAGCTTGATCTTCCGGTCCCAAGATGCTCCCAGGTATATTCCGGGTATCTGGGGCGCAATTGCGTGAGTTTCACTGGATGGTGCTGAATGTATGATTCCTATACTAACCTTCAATAAGGGATGTATATAAAAATGAGATATACTAGCGGAATACTCTAGTAGGAGGACTGGATATTTCTATCGAAAGTTCATTGTATTGTGGTGAACATAGCTTTAACTTCATGTACGCGTCTCAAGTTCCGGAAATGTATATTTATCTGAGCGCATGGCTCATTGGTATATTAACAACGACCATGGACTCATCTGACAGGGAGGTCGTGGTTGAATAGCTTCACAATCACCCATCCTGTTTCTTCGGTATGATTCATCACAAGAGATAGTCTCCTGCAAGGTACTTTTATACCAAGAAAAAAAAAAAAAAAAAAAAATCTCCGTACTGCTTGCCATCATCCAGACATATTCCCATTATCAAGTTAGAGCAACTTGGTTATCCTTTCAGATCGTGGCCTCATAACACACTGGAATGTGTCAGGCACGCCGCTCAGCCCATTCGTAAAGGATACTTCAGGTTTAAGCTCCATGCCTTTCTCATCCAACGGGCATTTCAACTCCATCGTGGCCAGTAGAGTTGCCATGGCGATATAAACCCCTGCTAACGCCAGATGCTGCCCGGGACATATACGACGTCCAAATCCAAACGGTCCCTCGGGCAGCGGCTCGCCCTTTCCTCCCTCCGAGAGAGGAAGATAACGATCCGGATCAAACTCATCTGGGGTGGAATAGTGCCGCCCATCGTGCGTCATGGCCCACGCATTGGCATACACCACGGCCCCCTTGGGGATGTAATATCCCTTGTACGTATCGTCGGCCATAGTAGCGTGCGGAACACCCACTGGGGATAACGGGGCCCAGCGCGTGGTTTCGAGCAATATGTACTCGAGGAACTTGAGCTGAGGGCGATCATCGAATGTAGGCAAACGAACAGGGCCGCCTGCATCGTCAACGCCGACGACGAGATCAATCTCTTCCCGGGCGCGTCGCTGGATCTCCGGGTGCAGCATCAGATTCAAAATACAAACAATAATCGTTGACCATGTGGTGTTCCCCCCTGCAATGGAAACAGCACCCGCTGCACCTTTGAGGTCGGCAATCGTCGCCTCGTTGTTCCGCCCATTTGCTTCGTTCGAAAGATATCGGCCAAAATGCGTAAGCATAAACGACGGCTGCGTGGCAGTCCCGGCGCGGATGGATGGCTCCGTGGCTTCCCATGGCTTGTCATGAAGTTGTTGTATGAATGGTCTCGTACGACGGGCGTGCGCGAGTGGCTCGAAGAGAGTCGAAACTTTGGCGACCCAAGTTGGGAGAAATCGGAAAAGAGGGAAGAAGTCCACAATGGATGATGCTGGAACGCCGCCTTTTCCGGTCGCTTCCTCAACGTCAATCGCCATCTGCACGTAAGGATCGCTGTGTTGCTGGATTGGGATGCCGAACCCGATACGGAGCACGACAGCCGTGGAGAATTGACGCAGAAGCAGCTCCCAGTCATTCGGCTGCCTCAAGATCGCTCGAATGGCGCGACGAGCTTCTTCCTGCTGGATCGGGCGATAAGGTTTGCACGACGATGGGGTGAAAGACTGTTGAAGGAGCCTGCGGTGGAGCTTGAAGCGTGGTGAAGACCATCGCAGGAAGGACAGCGTAATGCCCCAGCCCATGACTTCAAAGAGGACGAAGCGTGGCCGGTCCGCATAGTTTTCCTTGTCGAGAAGGTCATGGGCAGCTTCTATACTGTTGATGACGATCATCGGGCGTCCAAGGACAGTGAAATACAGGATATCCGAATTGTACTCGCGGCTCCATCTGGCATACTGGTACTCCGGGTGGTTGTGAGGAATAATACGGAGATGCCCTAAAATGGGTTCTGCAGGAGGTCCTGGGGGGAAAGGCAGTCGGAGATGCCATTGCGAGCGAAGACGATGATAGACCAGGTAAGATACGATCATCAAAAGCGTATAAACGATGAGGGGAGTCATGGTTGAAGGAGCGATGAGGTTGTTCAGACCCGAGGTCAGCCTGCAGAGGCCATAATAAACACCATCATCGCTAATGCACGGGGCTGCTAACGAATTGTTGATCATTAATGTGATCAGTGGTTTCACAGTTGCTTGGTATTCTATATATATATATATATATATATATTCTATCTCTCTCTCCGTCTATGATGCGTAGATCCAGATCTCGAGCGCCTAGAATCGTTCTCAGCTCGTTTCCCTTAGATGATGACCACACGCTGCCTACAGTACAACCAGCTCTAGTCCGTCTATACAATCCTATTTCTCTGGTCTAGACTTGACAATTTCTGCGGGTAAAAGCGGGGAAGGAAAAAAACAAAAAAAAAAAAAGAAAAAACTCGGTCTAGGGTTTTCATTTGTCTCCATCACCGAATTTGACTCATAGTCGGGTCTGTGTCGGTGTCGAACAGTTGCTATATTAATATCGATATTGACAATATCCTTGGATCCGCACGCGATGCACTGAGACTCTTCCCATAATGTCTGCAATGGAAGCAGAAAACCCCCCCCCGGTGGACGTGGCCGCGGAGGAGTCGCAGCGCAAATCCTTCCAGGTACCAGACAAATGGCTATCCAAGATCACGAACTGGGGTATTGAACTGCGCGGAGTGGCTCCGGTTCCTCTTGAAGAGCGCACGGATAAGCGATTGATCAATGTCTTTTTCGTCTGGTTCACCATGAGTACGAACCTGCTGCCGTATGTCTGACCCATATGCGTCGTCCCTTGCCTGGCTTGAGGAGGGTTGCCGACTAAGTATTTACAGCATCATTACTGGCATGGTCGGGACTTTCTCATTTGGCATGAGTTTACAGGATGCCTCCTTGGTGATCCTGTTCTTTAACATGCTATGTACTATTCCCCCCGCCTATTTTAGCACTTTCGGTTCGCGGACTGGCTTACGGCAAATGCTCCATGCCCGCTTCACGTTCGGGTATGCCACGCCTGAAGACCAAGCGGCGATACTCGCGCTAATCGCATTAGGTTTTACATTACCTCCTTGATTGTGGCACTTAACCTGTGTACTATTGCGGGATTTGGCGTTGTCTCGGCCGTGCTGGGAGGCTCTACGCTCACTGCGGTGTCCGATGGCAACATCGACGACACCACCGGGATCGTGATCATTGGCCTGTGTGGTATGGTCGTGTCGTTTGGAGGGTACAGGTTTCTGCACCAATACGAGCGCTACTGCTGGATCTTTGCCCTGGTCGCAATTGTCATCGCGACCGGGGTTGGAGGCAGTCATTTTTCGCAGCAGACTACGACTGAACCGCCCACGGCAGCAACAGTTCTCTCCTTTGGAGGGGTGGTCGCTGGATTCCTCATCCCTTGGGCAGTAAGTACCTTGCTTCCCTTGGTTGTGCTAGCTTTATCTGACATGGGACTAGGCGATGGCGTCTGATTTTAGTGTCTACTGCGACACCAGTGCCTCGACATTCCGTATATTCGCATATACCTATGCTGGTCTCTTTCTCCCCACCGTGCCTCTCATGGTCCTAGGTGCAGCAATCGGTGCAGCAACGCCCAACATCCCCGCGTGGAATGATGGCTATGCAATTTATGGCGTTGGTGGAGTCCTGGAAGCGATGTTGAAGCCGGCCGGTGGGTTTGGAAAATTCGTCTCCGTGCTCCTTTCCTTTTCCCTGCTGGGCAACCTCGCCGCATCGATGTACTCGGTCTCGCTGAACTTCCAATTGCTCGTCCCTTTCTTCGTCCGAATTCCCCGCTTTGTCTTCTCCATCCTCTACACGGCCGTCCTCATCCCCGTCTCGGTGGAAGCGGCCAAGTCTTTCTTCGCCAACCTTGAGAATTTTCTGTATGTTATTGCGTACTGGTCCGCTGCTTACGTCTCTGTCGTTGCGACGGAGCATTTCCTCTTCCGGGGCGCAGATTGTACACGCTACGACGCGAGGAATTGGAACAGCCCCAAACAATTACCCGGCGGTCTGGCGGCATTGCTGGCAATCGGTCTCTCATTTGGTCTGATTGTCCCTTGCATGGGCCAGGCCTGGTACACGGGGCCCATTGCGCAGACAACTGGCGATATCGGGTTCGAGGTGGCTCTTGTTCTGGCCCCCTTGCTGTATATTCCACTGCGCTGGACAGAGAAACGATACCGATCGGTGTAGAGCAAACCTCTGACTTTTCCATTGACCCAAAAGAAATATTGATATATATGTCCATGATATGATGAGGTACACCATGAGAATAAGAAAGAAAGAGAGAGAGAGAGAGAGAGAGAGGGAGTGGAATCTCTTGAATAAGTGTAAAATCTAAACCCAACCCGATATTATTACCGTATCAAGTGTCGTATTTCGGCTGCACCAGCCTTTTCGTCGACGCCCCGTCAGAATCAACCTGTACGGTGATATCCGTCTTCACAGTGACCCCCGGGAACTGGGGTGACGCTTGCTCCCCGCGAGAGTGATGACCCAAGGACGCTCCCTGTTCATCACGAGAGGGATCCCATTCCCCCTCTGGCCCTTTATCCGCATTGCCGAATACAGTCATCACGACCGACCCTTGGTTTTGTGTGTGCAATTGATCGAGATCGAGGCCGTGGCCGTATTGGTTGGAGCGGCTGTTCGACCAGTATCCCCATTTCGAACCTCCTTTCTTTCGATCGAACATGATGCGCACAAAGAGACGGATGACGGGACCGCAGCTGGCAAGGAGGATACTGTAGTTCTCGATTCTGTGTTCATTAGCGCGCATTCTGGTGGTGAGCGGTAGTAGGCTTTAGAGCTGGCGGACGAAACTTACTTGACCCAGAGAATGAAGGGGACAATGTTATCTGCATGCTTGTTAGCTAGATGATCGGGATCCGTAGGTGAGAGACATGCGGGTGAAGTCGTTTCTTTCTCCAAGAGATTTCAACATCTGGACTAGATTAGCCATTCATTGTCCCTTCATTCCTCCATTGGTGAGCCTCACGATCGTCTTAACAATAGAGGCACACCCGGACAAGGCCAGGGGACCGCTCAGAATAACTGTCTGCCAGATTCGTCTGTTCCTCGCGGACTTGGGCATTCGTTTAAATCGGGATAGAAACGAGCTTCCTCCAGCGGGGGTACCGTCGACAGCGCGAATACTGTATTGCCATAGCTGAACACCGGCCAAAATCGTAAGGAAAAAATCAATCGCCGAGTTGATTCCTATATGCAATGAGCCTCATTTGGTTCGGGTTTGCGGTGCTGACAAAAGTTATGATATTACCTCCTTGGACGAACCCGATGGTCGTCTGGACACTTGACGATTGACAGACAACCGATCCGTCTGCTGGAACACCATCCCACATATAATGGAAGTATGCGGCTCGGTTGGCCTATTGCTTTTAGCTGGAGGAGAATACATGAGGTGGAGCCGAGAGACATACGACTCGATACGGATTTGGACCACACTGAACGACAACCTGAACAACCGTGACCATGTTCACAACGATCTGTATGATCAAGCATACGACGATCATGAAATGGATTTTTTTATCTCCGCTGCCAAAGCATGTATGTAAGAACCACATCATTCCACAGCGGGAAACCATTGCGGCAACGATGGCTATTTCGTTAGTAAAACAAAAAAAAAAACCTAAAGGTATGTATGGGTGATGAGAGATGTACCTAGAGGCTGAGACAAGAAGTCATATTTCATTGCTCCTGTTATTTCCTTTACTGTCAAGGTCGACATGTGTTGGCCCAGTCCGAATTCGAGACTGGATGATTTAGAAACGGGCATCCGGTGTTAAAATAGAGGAACGGCGGACCTTTTTTGAACCATGGCCATGTGGGCGATATCAAAGCCGTATCCCACAATGTAGTAAAGATCTTCTGCGCCCCAGATACGCTCCGGGGAACTGACATTCGGCAGCTTCCATGACACCCACGCTTTGACAGAATATCTGAAGATTAGGGTTACTGTTACAAGAGCAGTAAGAGCCTGCCCGTCCAAGTTAGTCGACACACTGCGCAATTGATCACGGGAGGATTACCCAACAAGCATCAATAAAGCGGACGCCTGTCCAGGTTGTCAGCACTGAAATTTATACCCACTAGCTTTGTACACAGGCCGCGATGATGAAAATCATACCATAGTTGGAGTCTCCCACGTCCGAGGGCATGGTTGCATTAAGGCCAGTAGGCTGGGAGTTCCATCGAACTCATGCGCGAAGAGGCACGGAATCCCGTATAAAGAGGAGTTATGGGAATCAGTATATAATCCAGGATACCCCTGTGGCAAATCTATATGCGAGACTTAAGAGATCAAAATTTAATCGGAAAATAATGGTCATGTTTTCAGGCAAGTGGATAGGTACCTATGCTGATTGGAATCCGTGGAAATAATACATCAACAAAGCTAATCTAGAAGGATCCAGATAGATAATGATGTTAACTAATAATAATAATAATAATAATAACAATAACGGTATGGAGCCATGTTATACCTAACCAAAGCCAGTGGTGGTGCGATTGACTTCAGCCTGGATTGGACTTGATGGAGGTCTCGGAGATCTCTTTCTCTCTCTCTGTCTGTCTCTCTGAGCTGGAAGAAAAACGAAAAGTAAATTGTGATATTTTATTAAACTTTGCTGCTGTAATCTCCGCTGTGGCCCTGCTAACAGTACTTTTGCCTACCAGAGTAGGTTGCCGGGGGGGGGGGGGGAGGGTTAGTTGATATCTAGTGGCACTAGGATTTTTTTGTTTTTGACTTCAACACTGCTGCGTACCAAGTGAGTCGCAGATAAATTCCGAGGAAGGATCAGGATCCATGCTACTCCGTAGACTGATATGAAATGGACTTGGTGTATCTATATCGGAGTACGTTAACTTTCCTGCTACTCCGTCAATCAGACGCCGGGTTCCATATCGGATCCAGTGGAACGAGGGAGACGCACACGAGAGTTGCACTAGGCTTCAACCATTACATTTAGTATCGGGTCGCTCAAGTTGTGGGGAGGAAAGGAGCCAGTCAAATATATTAATATACCAGAGTAGGAAGTGCGGAAGACCGCAAGGACGGGCCGGAAGGTTAGTGCCGCTGATGGAACAATTATACAGAGCCAGTCGGTGGCTCTCCTCCAGGGTCTAGTCTACTGTCTACCAACTAGTATCTAGGTACTTCGTAGTCGTCTTCCATCCAGTGGCAGTGTGGCACATCCTAACTTCCCGGCCGCCGGGAGCCGGGAAAAGCGAGAGTGGGACGTGCGTTCATTTACTGAGCCCAATCGGAGCAAGATGGACTTCCCCACTGGTCAGTTTTCTTTTTCGTCTCCTGTTGTTGTGGTGTTTCGGTCCAAGGTTGACTGCGGACATGCGTATACTAAGGTGCCAGGCAGATGCGTATAAATTAGACCCGGGAATTGTCATGGAAGCTCTACCGAGGGAATAGCCCTAGTCACACTATCAAGCACAATAAAGCTGACCCCCAACTAGGGCAATCGACAGCGCAGACCTAGAGGCTTGGTGATATTTATACAAGGACGGACGGCACTGCGCTGAACACGGTTAAGAGAGGATCCTTTGGCTACACAGTCCGTTGCCCCTTCCGGTTCCCCGAACGGACGAAAGAGAAAGTATAAATAATTAGTGGAGGAATAGGTACAGACCAATCAATCCAAAGCATCGTTTGATATCGTCGTACAATCCCGAGAATTGGCAAAATCTACAGCTTGCGAAATTCCACCACTCCTTCTCCAAATTCCGGGTAGGCCTCAAAGGTTACCTGCAGACCGGCCAAGGCAGCCATCTGGTGCCATTCTCTAGAGGTCCTCTCACGACCCCCGAATAGCGCCACCATAGTAGCATGCATGAAGGCGTAATTGACATTCTTTGTAAACTCGTGCACTAGAATCCTCGAGTAGGGGGCCATCGCATCGGATAGTTTCTGCAGCAGCCGTGCAGCTTCCAGATCTGACAGATTGTGGAGGATATGGGCAAGATGGTAGATCAACGCCCCTTTGATCGGCTGCGGACTGTGGTCTTCCTTGAAATTCCAAGTCACGGTAGTGATCCCCGGCACATTGCCCAGGTCGTCATTGAACTCCTCCACGATGAGATCGGTAGTTCGGAATTGGGGGAACGATTCCTTGAGCTCCAAAAGCAACTCACCTCTCCCACCTCCGATATCAACCATGACGGTCGAAGTCGAGGGGCCGGCTTGACTCACAACCGCTGGCAGGTCATAGCCTAGTGCCTTCAGACGATCCAGGGTCTTATTGGCCTTCATAAATTTGCCGACCATGAAACTATTGAAACTCTCCATGCGCCCCTCCGCGGCCATGATCGCGTAGGTATGCTGCTTTGCCAGCTCCTCCTTTCCCATCTGGTGGTAAGCATACTGCATGGCAGCGTCACACTCCCGAAACGGATAGTTGAAATTTTGTGCTTTGAGCTTGGGCATTAGGAAGGCCGCTGCCATGAGCGCCTCCGTAGTGCTGGGACGGGTCGAGTCAGTCGGTGGAATGAAACAACCAAAGCCCCCTTTCCTTGGGGATGCTATTTCCAAAGGGAGCAACGGCTTACAAGTGAATCGCCCCATGGACGGCCGACGGGGTTGCTGCCAGATGGCGAGTAAGAGCGTTCGCACTATACAGATCCTCCGCCACAAGATCCACCAGGCCCAGACCCGCCATGGCGAAAAGTGTATCCTCTGTAAGTGCACGGGTTATGATTTAGTACCGTGGCATTCATGTATTTATGCAGGGGCACCGGGGGGGGGAACTTACGAATGAGGAGCAAGCCTGCTTGTATTCCCAGTTGGAGGTGGTTAGATTATGGATATGCAAAGGAAATAGTCGATCGGTGTCATTTCCCAGAAGGTCAAGGGCATCACCCACATGGCACAGGGGTCGTAGAAGCATCCGCATCTGCCAGGCCGTTCTTGAAAGCAGCCAACACGTCCTCGCTTGGAGCGGGTCGATTGAATTCGGTCAGGATATTGAAGAGCCGAAACTCAGCAGCAACCGGGATAAAACCCAAAGCGGCCGGCTAGCGATCCTGATCAATACGACGCTCGTAAAAGCAACTAGAGAGAGCTAAATGAGGGAGGGACTGACCGAAGTAATAGTTTTGGCTAGTAAGCCGCCAATGGCTGGGGATGAGGACATCGTGAATTGAGTTGGGAAGCAGCAGGGAAAAGTGGTTAACAACGATACTTCACCCGTCCCAGAAGGATCCGACTTACAGTTGTTTTATATCGGGTACGACGACGGGAAGGCTTATGGCTTTTCTGTGTCGAAGGTGAGAATCACAGATACAATAGTCCGTAAGCACAGATCCCACACCACCTTACCTAGGCCACTTGCTATTAGTTATTGTGCTATGAAAAGTATTTGTTTACCCCACTCCTCATTCATTGAATTCGCCCTTGAATGGAGCACAACTAACTGGGTACGGAGTAGTCCGTACGACAGCCTGAAATGGGCCGCCAAACAAAATTAATATGGAGCTATGAGAACCCCCTGTAATTTGGAAAAGTTAGGGCATTACAATGCATACAGTACTCTGGTACGGAGTACCGTCTGCGGGTAATTCCCGGAAGAGGAGATGAGTTCTATTGGGGATTTATCTTGACTAGAGAGTCTAGAAGTGTATCACCAGCTTCTTAGGGCGTTGTTGCATGATTTGCGAATGCCATGTATGTAGTAGATGCTTGCACACTCCCCCCTCTCCTCCCTCTAAGCCTGTCCCGTGGAAGTGCCATATCCTTCAGCAATAAGAGCATGGTTCGAGGAGTTAATTTAGGGCTTGTTTATCTAGGTTTCCCCTCTCCCATTATTATCCCTTCCACGGGCCTTTTTTTTTTTTTTTCTTTTTTTTTTCCTTCTGAACTCTGAAAGACCATAGCATAACTTCTAGAGGCGCTCCGAGCACACCTCACCAAATTTGCCTGATTCCGTGAATTTTCTTTTGTTTGAGGCTATTGTTCACAATGAGTGATACAGCTGCCGGGAAGGCGGCCCCGCCTAGCTTACAGCTTACTAGCGATGTCAAGGAAAAGAACTCCGATGATGCCCAAGCGACGGAGCTTCAGCAGGGATTATCTCCTGTGGATGACGAGGAGGAGGCCAGGAATCCTCGCAACTGGAGTCCCTGGAAAAAGCGCCTCATGTTTTTCTCCCTCATGGGGAGTTCCATCCTAGCAGACGGGTACGTTGTGACGTTTCTTCGTTGAGGATGACTTGACTAACTCAATACTATGTAGAGGCATGGTTTGGGGCGCGACTCTGATCGTCGAACAGGCGCTTGCGTGGGGAATCACGATTAATCATTCTGCAACCACTATGAACTATGGAATCCTGCTGCAGGGTATCGGTGGTCTCATGGCAATTCCTCTGATTGAGGCTTATGGACGGTAAATTTCTGCTGCCGGCTCTGCCAATATACAATTATACTTCAGGAGACTCATCAGACCCATTCTGCAGGCTCCCAGTCTGGATGTGGACACAGTTCATCACGACCTTCATGGTGCTTGGTGCGACCTTGTCGAATGGCTATGGCACCTTTACTACCTTTCGCTCGCTACAGGGTCTGTTCGGAACTGTGCCGCAAGTGGTTGGCCTTCCGATTATCCACGATATGTATGATCCTCAAGGTGAGCTTCATTGTTCTTCCGCGGGTTGAAGATGTACCCCTGACCACATCTAGATTGGCCCTATATGATCAATATCTGGTAGGCCTTTTGTGTTCTTCTGTCTGGAAAGTTTACCCACCAAATCTAACAAGTTCAGGGGCACCACCTTCTTGGTCGGTCCGTTTCTGGGTCCTGCATTGGCTGGATACATCGGCGCTGGAGGTGGTTGGAAGGTCTCCTTCGGTATTTTGACTGTGTTCTACGGCATTTCCACAATCTTGATCTTCTTGTTCGGATACGAAACCTACTTTGCCCGTGGTCAAGGATGTCAGCGCAATTCCAGACTCCAGTCCTTCTTCGCAATCCAAACCCATAACCTGCCCGTTGGCTCGACTATTGCCCATTACTGCAAGCTGCTTGTCGTGTACATTTTTAAAATGCCTCTTTTCCTCACTGGCATTGCGACCATGGTCAACTTCTGCTGGCCGATCGGTATGTCTTCCACCCAAGATGTAGCGGGATGACAGACAGACAGACAGACAGACAGCTGAGCTAACATTGTTGTTAGGAATTACCGTGACTATCTCGACATTCATTGCGCAACCGCCTTATCTTTTTGACACTATTGAATCGTCCTCTATGAGATGGGCTCCTATTATCGGTGCTTTACTCGGTACGTGTTCTCAAGGGTTGTTGCTGGATCGAAATATACCTAGGCTAACCAACCCAGGATTCGCATTCGGATACTGGTTCAACCATTGGATCTACCGGACCAAGATTGATTCCTGGCGTCCAGAGTACCGCTTACATGGTGTCTGGATTGCGATCAGCACCATGGCCGGTGGCCTTTTGACTTACGGGTTGACCATGAACTATCATAAGCACTGGATCGGAATCGCCTTCGGATGGCTGATGGTGGTTTTTGGAATGGTTGCGAGTACTGTGTACGTTGATTTGAGCTTCCTTTCTTATCCACACCTGTTCGGGGCTGCGATGGCTAATAGATAGATATAAATACAGCGCAATCACGGCATACAACCTCGAAAAGTACCCCGAACAATCCACCGTTGTTTCCGCAATTATCAACGGCTGGCGCACCACGGGTGGATTCTCGGTCGGATACTTCCAGCCCTCCTGGATTTCGAGAAACGGCCTCGCTGCTGTGTTCGGCACCCAGGCCGCGGTGGTGGTAGCCGTGCTAATCCTCACCATTACGCCTGTTATTGTGTTGGAGGGTCGCAAGGCGAGGGCCAAGGTTGGCCAGGCATAGTTGGAAAAAGGGATATGTGTTCGTTTGTTTTGTATGATTGCCACTATGATTAAATGATTTCTGCTGTGTTGGATGTCGCCTTTTCTGACCTGGGCCGATGTTATTCTATGGGTGGGTTCGATCGTTCCTGGGTCCTTTACAAGGCGAGTTGAAGTTGGGCGTGTTGTTGTTTTGATATATGTGTTGTTGTAGAATAGTCAGATTACTGGCATAATATAATAGAGCTCGTTGAGATTTTGTGAAAATACTGAACAATTCGATCTTTTCTACCATCTAGCTCTACTCTGTAGTTGGCGAGTATAGCTTCATCGGAGCACGCACGCGTACATGTTCCGATTGAAGGACGGTAGCATGAGCCAGGCGGGGATCTAAGACATTCATTCCTCTCTCTTGCATAGGAAGTACTCCGTACCTTGACGATAATTGCTGGATATGCCTCTGCCTCTCATACCGAACCGCATAACTAAAACCCAATCGGAAATCGAGGTCGATCATCCGACTTTATGTGGGCTATATTTGACAGTGCCATAATTCCCTCACATGCAGACTTCTATATATACCCGTACGGTATTCTGCAGCGGGGACAACAACAGGCCTTTGTCCTCTCCATCCAATATCCACTCGATTCCCAAACATGGCGTCCAAGCGACTAGAAACCGCAAAAGTGTTCGTCAACCACTTTGCCACGCTCGACAGAGAGGCTCTGGAGTCAGTTCTTGCCGAAAACTCCCTCTATCAATTCGCGCCGGCTGCCTTGAACCTCTTTGGTCCATTGGATCGACAAGGAATGCTAGACCACAATACCACCTTACGCAACATCTTCAACGGGTTCGCCGTGATCCCAAAGGAGTACATCGATAGCGAAATCGATAACAAAGTTGTCGTCTGGGCAACGAGTCGCACCGACTTTCGAGATGATGCAAAGGACGATGGCCTCCGCGCTGAAGATTGGGTGTATGAAGGGGAGTACGTCTTCATTCTGAGCATGGATGAAGCCGGGGAGCGGATTACGCGAGTGATTGAGTTCCTTGATAGTAAGAAGACCGCTGAGAAGCTGGTGGGCTTGATGGCGAGAGCAAAGCAGAACCGCGCAAAACGGCTTGGATAGGGGAAGCGATACTGCCCGGGGGATATGTATGACTAGAAATTCCTGTTGTAGATCTCCCCGGAAGAGACCCAATCCGTATCACGATTAGTAACTGTTGACGGCGTTATTTACAATACAATGTATACCAAGCCGGTGACGATATATCAACGCTATTCATTAGCTTTATTATCAAGTCAGATAGACACCATAACTATGTAAAGTTGTAGATGAACATTGCCTGCAACACATTATTTATTGTGCTTACTAGGTAAGACCTATAGTTTTGAACGAACCAGGCTCAGATGGCGTTGCAGGAATAGATACTCACAATCGGGTCTCGCCTCTATATCGAAGCAATGGAAATTCACATGACCAGGGCTAGATAACCGGCAAGCCATGTTTTGCTATGAATAAACTTGAGGAAGCGATAGCCCTGGGGAACTTTACATATGGCCAGGCGGGTCACACTGTAAAACCGCCGGGTCAAGAAATTAGTACATGTGAAGTCAAGAAGATCTAGCTAAGAAAGCTGCCTTGGACACGAAAATGCAGGGATTATTGGGAATACGGCAGCAAGACATGTAGAAACTGAAGCACAGTTTTTCGCAAGTATCCTGTTCAAGACGGATGATAATAAAAGCCCAATAACCTACATGTTGCAGACCAACCCAGCTATTGTAACAATACCCAGTTGCCATCCTGTCCCACAGAGAAGATGCAGACTCAGGGGCTACCGGTATTCCATAAGAACATATGTACCGTGGAGACATTAAAGACTCAACGCTTCAGGCTGACCATGCAGACACTGTTATTGACATCAACACCGCGGGACGAGAGGCTGCAGAGATGTTGGCCTGGCTCGCACCGGGTGTTCAGAAAATGGGAGGGATGCTGCTATTCGCCGCACAGGCGCACTGTTATGCATGTGCTTTGCATTCTCCCAGGAAAGCTGGTTCAGGTGGTGGGACTTCAATTTTGGTATCTCAAGGTGTTGAGGATGCTTACCAAGGAGCGGCTGAAGGCCAAAGTTAATCCATGCATATGCCGCTTATTATGGGGACTTCTTCCGTTTGGTCGTATTCTTGATGGAGGATACTTCCATGCCAGCTACACTACGTGGCAGCTAGCATGTAGCGAACTACCAATGAGGATAGCACGCTGAGAAACACTGATCATTAGGCGCCATCGTATTGCAAACGTCAGGTGGAGAGCTGGACAATTGAATATTGTGTGAGATACTCTTACGCCGATATTCCTCGGGGGGGGGTTGACCTTGTTAAGACAGATCAAAATACGCCCTGTTCACCAAAATGAGGCAGACATCATCCAATAGAGGTGAATAGTACTTTGTCTGGACAATCTGATTGTCCTCTCGGGGTAACACCTGCTGGTTCAAAGAAAGAGTGATCGCTTTCATTCTATGGAGTATGGAGTAGGGTTTTTTCCTCTCCTGGGTAGATCTGCTGCATAAGCTGAGCCCCCAAAACCACTATGTTTTCCATTGAAATCGCGCGATTCGGGTCGGTTGTTCTTGATGATATGGGGGCCATGACACTTCATTGGTGTATAAACTATCGAGGGCCTCTCTATACTAGCTATAATATGCGTTGTCATGCACATCCTGCATTTCCCGCGCATCCTCGATGACTGGATCGACTCCGTAGATGGTGTGAATGCAACACTGACACCGAGAGCTGCAGATCTGTCAGCATGGCTATACCTGTTGATAATCTGTACGTCGCCTATCTGCAACCGGAGTAAACTATCTCCTTCTCTCATGACTCAAATTCCCTTCCCCATGCTTACCAAAGTGGGAATGAGTCGTCGCCGGCAGACTATAAGAAGAGCTTTGGCCAACCATGTCTGATTGAGTATTCGGTACTTTGATTTCTCACACATCTCATTTTAGATCATCCATTTTTCGAACCACGTCTTCCTTCGGCATTTTTATTTCGCCATGGGAAGCTACGAGGCGGTTGTCAATGGAAGCCATGTAGCCTCCAGCTCAGCAAGTCCCTGGGTCGACGACCCTATCGCGATCGTTGGTATAGGGTTACGTCTGCCTGGCGGAATCCGCACAACTCAACAATACTGGGAATTCTTAAAGAACAAAGGAAGTGCCCGTAGTCGTGTCCCGGACAACCGTTACAGGACAGAGTCCTTTGTAGGCCCGGCTGGCAAGGCAGGCCACACGGCTACAGAGTATGGGTATTTTCTCAATGACGCTGACCTGGGTGCGATAGATTCGTCATTTTGGTCCATGTCCCGGAAGGAAATAGGGCTGATGGATCCTCAGCAACGACTGATGCTTGAGGTTGCCTTCGAGGCCCTGGAGAACTCCGGTACAACCGACTACAAGGGCAAAGATATCGGGTGCTTCGTTGGCACATTTGGCGAGGATTGGGTTGATCTGCAGTCTAGAGATCCTCTGAACTCAGGGCTGTACCGAATTCCGGGATACGGAGATTTTGCCATCTCGAATCGCGTCTCCTACGAGCTCGGATTGACGGGGCCCAGTATGACGATTCGAACGGCCTGTTCATCTTCCTTAACCGCTTTATATCAAGCATGCCATGCCATTTATGCGGGCGAATGTTCATCAGCCATAGTAGGAGGATGCAATCTCATCCTCTCGCCGCATATGACAATTGCAATGACCGAGCAGCGGGTCCTATCACCCACCGGCGAATGCAGATCTTTCGATGCTGATGCCAATGGTTATGCGCGCGCAGAAGCAGTAAACGCTGTCCACATCAAACGACTTTCCAGCGCCATCAGGGACAAAGACCAGATTCGCGCGGTTATCCGCTCTGCATGCATTAACTCGGATGGAAAGACAGCCGGCCTGTCATTCCCGAGCTCAGAGAGCCATGAGGAGCTCATTCGCCGAAGCCACCGCCTCGCAGGGATTACAGATCTATCCAAGACCGCAATGATTGAATGCCATGGCACCGGGACGCAGGTTGGAGACCCCTTAGAGGCCCGAGCTGTTGCGAATGCATTTGGGGATTGGGGAATTTTGATCGGATCCGTATGTTTCATTCATTAGTTACCTGTTCCACTTAGTAATTACTAACAATCACTAGGTCAAAACGAATGTCGGTCACAGCGAGGGCGCATCCGGGCTCACCAGCGTAATCAAGATGGTGCTGGCCCTGGAGAACGCGACCATTCCTCCCAACATTAACTTCAAGACTCCCAATCCGAAAAGCAAGTATTTCATAAACGTGACAGATTTCAAAGAAAGGATGGTTTCTAACTCTCGCAGTTCCTTTCAAGGAGGCCGGCCTCAGGGTTCCGGTGGACTGTGAATCGTGGCCCGAGGGCAAGGCAGAGCGCGTTGGTGTGAACTCGTTCGGAATTGGAGGTGCTAACGCGCATGTCGGTAATCCTACGGACCTATGTACAGGGCCGATATTAACCTTTCTTTCAGGTGCTACTAGAGTCGACTGCATCGGTTATGGAGAAGAGCATTCCGGTCAACAGTGATAAACTGCAGAGCCATGCCCCAATCCAACTACTTACCTTCTCAGCAACACACCCGGAGGCTTTGAAAGGCAGCATGGAGAGCGTGCGGCAGTATCTCGAGCAGAACCCAACAAGGGCCTCCGATGTGAGCTATACGCTATGCTGCAGGCGTCAAAAGTTTCCACACTGTGCATTCGCCTTGACAACAGAGGATGGAGGCCTAGACTTCTCGCCTGTACAGAAATGTGGAGGTACTCCTGATTTGGTCTGGGTCTTTACTGGGCAAGGCGCGCAATATGCACAAATGGGCAAAGAGCTTCTACTTCATAGCCGTATAGCGAGGGACACGATCACAAGGCTAGATTCTGCTCTAGACTCATTCGACGTTGTAAGAGACTGGCGCTTAGAAGGTGAGTCCTTCAACCTGCACCCCCCATTCCTAATTCAGTCTTACAGGGTTGGTATTGACATAACTTGGGAAAGGTGAAATATTGAAACCTGAGTCGGAAACACGAGTGTACGATGCCGAGTTCTCGCAACCTTGCTGTACCGCCATCCAAATAGCCCTGGTGGATGTTTTACGATCAATCGGCGTAAAGCCTGCAGCAGTCGTAGGACACTCATCTGGTGAAATTGCTGCTGCATATGCAGCGGGTGCACTTACAGCGGAGGAGGCCATTGCAGTTGCATACCATCGCGGCCAAGTCAGCAGCATTGCTGAGGACGGCGAGAAAGCTGGCATGATGGCCGTTGGGCTTGGGAGAGCACAGGTGTCCCGCTACTTGAATATCGGAGTCACCGTTGCGTGCGAGAATAGTCCCAACAATGTCACGCTCAGCGGAAATCCAAGCTCACTTGATGCTATAGAAAAGGATATCAAGGTTGATTATCCTTCGGTGTTAACTCGCCGGTTGCGCGTCAAATGTGCATATCATTCAGGTTTGTGCACTGGATATTTGTTGCGAAACTATCAGCATTTAAATAACCCGGAAAAACAGATCAAATGAAACAAGTCGAGGCGGACTATCTAGAAAGACTCAGACAGCATGTGCATGAAGTGCAAGAACGACAGGTCGAAACCGTGTTCGTTTCGACAGTCACCGAGGAAATCATGCACACAGGCGACCAATTTGGGCCACAGTATTGGTGCCAAAATTTGATTTCGCCAGTTCTCTTCAGCACTACTGTGTCTAATATCCTAACGAAGAAAATCGTCTCCAAGCCGGTTTTCCTGGAAATCGGACCTCACTCGGCCTTGTCAGGCCCGTTAAGAGAGATCGCGGCAGCGTCAATTGGCAGCCCAGTCCCCTACATTTCCACATTGGTACGCAAGAATAATGCCTATCAGAGTATCCTTCGTACAGTTGGGCAACTGTTCACGTCGAATGTGGACCTGGATTTATTATCTCTTTGCAAAGGGACGCTTTTGCATGACCTTCCCGGTTATTCCTGGCACTATGATGGTAGTTACTGGTCTGAATCAAGGGTTACTAAAGATTGGAGGCTCCGTGAATATCCTCGCCATGACCTGCTCGGGTACAGGATCACTGATGGGAATGACCAAGAGCCAACTTGGAGAAATATCCTAGACCTTGATAACATCCCTTGGGCTAGAGACCATGTCATTTTCAAGGATGCTGTTCTCCCTGCTGCTGCATATGTTACCATGGCCGGCGAGGCCGTACGCCAACTCAGTGGCCATCCCGATTTTAGTGTGCGTAATGTCAATATTCTGGCAGCAATGGTTTTGAGTGAGGAGCATCCGATAGAGGTAGTCTCGCAATTTCGACGGTCCCGATTGACCACAACCCTGGATTCCGAATGGTGGGATTTCACCATCACGAGCCAACTGGATGGAACATGGAGAAAGCATTGTACAGGGCAAGCTCGCGGTGGCCGTGATTACCCAGTGGCTATGCCGCTTCCTGTCACTGGACAACGAAAAGTCGAATCACAAGCTTGGTATCGAACAATGCGGAAATTCGGTCTTAATTATGGTCCCCGATTCCAGGGGCTGAGAAGTATCACTGCCAGTGTATCATCAAAGGCCGCAACTGCCGACATTCAGGACTCCCGGGAATCAGGGGAAAGCCACTATACAATGCATCCATGCACAATCGACTATGTCTTCCAGTTGATTACTGCCGCGCGCTTTCAAGGACTAGCTAGGCTATTCGACCACACAGAGGTGCCCACCTTCATCAGCGAGTTATATCTCTGTCCTCCATCCGGATCTATTAGCATCGAAGTCACAGTAAACGAAACACCAAACGGACCTCTTTCGAGCGATGCAATTGGGTATTGCGGTACCGATCTAGTTTTTTACTTACAGCAGATGCGTCTATCCAGGCTCAGTGATGGTGAAGAGATCCATGCGGTTGATCCACACGCTGGATCCCACTTGGTTTGGAAACCCGATATCGATGATGTTGACATGACCACTCTGATCAGAAAAATTCCCAACGTGTGGGAAGATCATTCATTGATCGAAGAATTGGCGATGTCGTGCATGCTTGAGACATATCACCGTGCGAAAGGCACGACTGCCTCTGTAGCCCACCTGAATAAATTTCACGAATGGCTAGGACTGCAGTATGGTAGGGCGCGAGATAGCAACTATCATATGGTCCCAGCCTGTCAGGAAATTGCGTCGATGACTTCAGAGGAGAGGACCCGCCACATTGAGACCCTATACAGCCAAACTGCCAATTCAAAGGCAAGACCGATAGCAACACTCATTACTCGGGTCTGTGAAGCATCTGTCGGTTTATTTACCGGGGAGGTGGACGCTCTATCCCTGTTGAGAAAGGACGACCTGCTCACAAGTCTTTACAACTTCATGCAGTTGTGTGATTTCACCCAATTCTTCCAGGTATATGCGCACAACAAACCCACAATGCGTGTTCTTGAAATTGGTGCCGGTACTGGAGGAATAACCGCACTTATTCTGCCCAATCTCCACAGTGCGACTGGTCAGAGGATGTACGAGTCATACACTTATACCGACGTCTCTGCAGGATTCTTCAACGCAGCCCAAGAGCGATTCAAACAGTATGAGGGAATCGTATATCACCCTCTAGATATCACATCAGACCCCTTGGCCCAGGGCTTTGACCCAGGTTCATACGATCTGATCATTGCCTCCAATGCAATTCATGTGACAACCAGCCTGCAGCAGTCTCTGCAAAACGTTGCTCGGCTTCTCAAGCCCGACGGAAAACTGTTTCTCCAGGAGCTAGCATCGGAAACAAAATGGATCAACTATGTCGTCGGCATCCTCCCAGGCTGGTGGCTAGGAGACCAGGACAACCGTGAATGGGAACCATACGTGACGGCGGAACGATTCAACGAAGACCTTCAGAAGTCGGGCTTTTCTGGAGTCGACGCCATGGTTCATGACGGTTATCTCAATGCTCACATAATTGCGTCACTATCAAATAGCCACCTCGATCACAAGCAGCAGTTAACAGTACTTTGCGAAATAACCCAAACAGCAACCGTGGATGCATTTATATCTACCTTTCAAGACAACGGGTTCGCCTGCGATATCCGACACCTTGGAGAAGAGCTTCCCGTGGATCAGGTAATCGTTTCATTACTAGAGGTCGATCGCCCATATATTCACTCCCTTAGTGAAGAGGAATTCTCACACATCAGGAGTCTTATAACAGGGCTTGGTACAACCCCACTTCTCTGGATTACAAAGCCCTCGCAAGTGCGATGTGAAGATCCCCGGTATGCTATGATCCTAGGACTACTGCGCACAGCCAGAACCGAACTTTCAGTTGCAGCTGTTACATTGGAGATTGAGACCTTCGATGAAAAAGCTCTGGCTGCAACCATCAAAGTGATACGGAGATTGACAAAAGGGGGCATCGCTGATGAGCGCTTTGATCCTGTTATGGAGTACTCTCACTCAGCCTCCAATCTAATGGTCGGGAAGTACTACCCGACGATCGTTAGCAATGAGCTGTTGGATACAGCGGCGCAGCAATCAGCCAGGAGGCTTGACATAGGAAAGCGGGGCCTTCTTCAAACTCTTTCATGGAAGCCAAAGAAGCTTGTCTTTCCGGACGACGATTGGGTGGAAGTGGAAACTAAAGCTGTTGGCCTCAACTTCAAGGATGTCCTCATCGCGATGGGAATCGTGGACGGCAACGAGCTTGGGGCCGAGTGCTCCGGCATTGTGAGGAAAGTCGGACCTGCAGTCCAAACCCTCCGGCCTGGGGATCATGTTTTAGTGTTTGCTGAAGGGTCATTCTCGTCCACTCTGGTGACAAGTGAGAGACTCTGTGCTCGAATGGCTCGGAATTTAAGTTGGGCTGAGGCTGCTACCATGCCTTGCGTCTTCGCCACGGTGCTATATTCTCTCCTTGACATTTCACGATTGAAACGTGGCCAGGTATGTCTTCCAATCTTTTGACCTTTTTCGCCGCCTCGCATAATACTAATTGGCCCAGACGGTACTCATTCACTCTGCTTGTGGTGGCATCGGGTTGGCCGCAATTCAGGTGTGCCGCTTCGTAGGCGCCGAAGTGAGTCTAGGTGTCCTTCTCCATACCAAATTGATAGCTCGGATGCTGATACTTTAGTTCAGATTTATTGTACGGTTGGGAGTGAAAGAAAGGTACAGTACCTCATGGAAGAGTTAGGGATCCCAAGGGACCGAATCTTTCATTCTCGTGATAATACTTTCCAACGGGATGTTCTTGCAGCCACCAATGGTAGAGGAGTAGATGTCGTACTCAACTCTCTATCCGGTGAGCTTCTGCATGCCTCCTGGAAATGCGTCGCGAGTTTTGGTATTATGGTTGAGCTTGGAAAGCGTGATTTCATAGGCAAAGCAAATCTAGCGATGGATATCTTCGAATCAAATCGAACATTTGCGGGAGTTGACTTTGCGCAAATTTGCAGAGAACGACCCGAGATCACGCAGGAGTAAGTCGATTCTAATACTGACTAACAAAAACATTGCTAACACAAATTGATTCATAGTGTCTTGAGGAGGTGCATGCATCACTTCGCCCTTGGTGATATCAGTCCACTCCCCATGCATGAGTTCGCGGCTTCGAGTGTGGAGCAGGCATTCCGATACATGCAAAAGGGCTCTCATATTGGAAAAGTCGTCATAACAATGCCAGATTCGAGAGAAGATGTTCCCGTATCCTTAATACCTAGAGTACCTAGGTTCTGTTCTGATGCTTGCCACATCATTGTCGGAGGTCTCGGAGGTCTAGGACGCGCAGTGAGCTCGTGGATGTCTCTTCACGGCGCCAAACATTTTATCTTCTTCTCAAGATCGGCACAAGATTATGAAGACGATGATTTTGTCAAGGAGCTACGCACACAGAATTGTCGCGTCGATCTGGTTTCGGGAGATGTCAGCAAGGAAGCTGACGTTGATGCCCTGGTAAGCGGCTTGAGTACTCCTCTAGCAGGCGTCATGCAGGCATCCATGGTTTTGAAGGTATTTCCTTTTTTTTTTTCTCTGTTTTCGAAAGTCCAGGGGCAATCCAACTGACCTTGCCGCAGGATACATCACTTGTGAACATGAGCTTTGACGAATGGCAGGCAGCAGTACTTCCCAAGGTCCAAGGAACTTGGAACATCCACAACAGCCTCGTGAAAAACGGGCACAATGTTGACTACTTTGTGCTCTTCAGTTCCTGGTCAGGTTGCATTGGTCAATCGGGCCAAGCTAACTATGCAGCTGGAAACACATTTCTTGATGCTTTTGTCCAATATCGGCACTCTCTAGGGCTAGCATGCTCCGCTATCAACATTGGCGTCATGGAAGATGTCGGCTACGTGAGCCGGAATTCGCGTCTTTTAGATCACTTCCACTCGATCTACGCTCATACACTCCAAGAACAGAATCTCCTGGATACAATCCAGTTGGTTATTGATAATTCACTCCCGTCAGACTCGGAAGAGCGTGACAACGGATCATTCACCAGCAAAAGCCAGATTTGTATCGGGTTACGCACTGCAGTTCCGCTGGGCTCATCGGACAATCGCTCGCCCTGGAAACGAGACCCGCGCATGGCACTTTACCACAACATAGGCTCGGCAAGCGACGACACCCCAAATGGCGGAAGTGGTGGAAATGAGGATTTCAAACAATTCCTCCAGCAGATCCGAGCAATGCCTTCCCTTTTAGAGGAGCAGTCATCTGTGGACATATTCGCAGAACAGGTCGGGAAAGCGCTTTTCGACTTCATGTTAAGAGATCATTCTGAAATCGACTATGATGCCCCTCTGAGTAGCCTGGGGATGGATTCGCTTCTGGCTATTGAGCTGCGCAATTGGTTTCGAGCAAAGGTTGGCTTGGACGTAACCACCTTGGAGATCATGAATACCGGAAGTTTACGCAAGTTGGGACATATGACAGTTATGAAGATGGCAGCTAAGATAGGGATGTCAGATGCCAATACAAATGGGGTAGTAGACTCAAGGACAGCGGATGCAGAGGACATGGATGTTCGCTACTTGAACATGAAAGCTCCATGATGTGCTCCTTTGGTCAGGAAACATACTATAGGCTCGCTCAGCAGACAGATCAACCCGTTCAGGCTAATGGTTTTGTTTCAAGCATTAATATGAAGGGTTCCCTTTAAGTGTTGGTCCATCTTCTGACCGCATCATATCTAAAACGATACTCTCGTGTCAATGTTTCCAGAGGTTCGCTGGCTGCCCGGTCCCAGTACGGAGTAGCCTGGGTTCAAAGGGCCCAAAAACGGAGCGAGCCTTTCGACCTTGTTGAATCGTGTTGGAGGTACTCCGTACATGATTCAGATCGTACCCTAACGGAGTCAGGTTCTGCTCCACTCCCGCTCCAAGCTCAGCCGCATAATGTTGGCCAACGGCACGCCGGCCTGAATAGTGTAATTGGTGTGTATATAATTGGGCAGATAACAAGAGGTGACCTACCCAACTTCGATTCATCTCCGGATGGGCCAATAAACAGAGGTGGATATCACTTTCTATCTCGAAAGAAACCGTCGATTATTTCTACCACACATATTAAATATTTTCAATCCAACCAACAACTTCGGGCTGAAATCGTGCCATATCACCTTCCATGGCTCTGGTCTGTAGGAGACTCCGTCTTGCTTTGCCAGCCTTCTCCCAAAAACTCCAGCTTCCGTCGCTTCCGGTTCCGACAGGGGAGGAATCTCCACGAGCCAGCATATTTTCTCGCATAGTAGGCACGAGTCAAGAGCGGGACGAAAAAGGGGAAGTCCGGCCATTTGGCATATTTTCCTCCTTCAAAATCCTGGTCATTCAGTCCAAAAGCCAGAGGAAGCAAAATGTGCTACCAAATAGGATGTTTATCAGCATTCCTCACGCTTTATCAAAACGATACCATGGGACAACTCACTTTATCTCCCGTAGCCAACACTTCTTTAATAAAACCGGCTTCAAAATTGTCCCACTGTTCTTTAAACACGGCTCCTCCACACAGTTCACCGACCTCCAGCAGGTCCAGGGGTTCTTCCCGAAGATGCACGAGCAACAATGGCGCAAACTCGTCAATGATTTTTCGTACCTCCGTTCCGCTATATTCGCCTGGTGATGTTTTCGTGGCATACTGAGAGAGCTTATGGACGCCGCCCATAAAAGCATGATGCTGCTGCTCACTCTTCGCCATAATGCCTTCGACTCCGGTCAGTTTATCAAGCAGGGGGAAGAATTTGCCTTCTTCCGCGTCGTGGTGTAGCCTGAGTTCTTCCGCCCATGCTTTGCAGTAGAAGAGGAAGTCCCGGATGTCTTTGGGCTCATGTACACCAGTAGCTTGAAGATAAATGGAGTTGAGATGGCGTAAGAACATATTATGTGCTAAGCACATGGAGCTGAACACAAAAATAGAGCCTGGATGGGCATTGGCCTTGGTTACAAGTTAGCCTAGCCCTGCTTTGGGACTCCGAAAAATATCAGAGAGGGTATGGTATACCTTGTCCGCCGGCACATCAGTGCTGAGAAGCGAGTACGGTTGGTCGGCCCATGGTGTCGACATCATGGAGTGCTACTGCTTCCGTATCGGTGGGCAGCTTTCTATGAATTCTCGAGTCCCATATGGATGTTCACTCCAACGGGATGGAGCTGTCCTCTTATAAGACCCCAAATGAGTCGGCCAGCTCATGAACGCCGCACGGGCGGAGCTGAAAGTAAATAAGGTTACCTCATCCACTAACTACAAATTAAGCGTTCTTGTTGCTGCGGAAGATGCTCTCATATGATAAAATCCACAACGCACCTGGGCAAGAGGGCATCACAGCCCTAGAAGCGCCACATAAAGCCTTGCGATGCTGGTTTTTATCTTAGCCATGACTGTAATAGATATATTTTCAAGCCAAAATGTATACAGTGGAAATGAAATGTCTTATCTGGGGTCTACAGTATTCGTACGAAAAACTGAGTACCTACGTACCTATACTTTTAGGTACACTGAGAAGCTGGGTCCAATTAGCGTACGTTCACCTGCATCGGCGTATACCCTGGTACCTAGGTAGTTATCTACTCCATTAGAACTAGGTACTGGTCGGAAGCTCGGTTAGATGTCGATGAGGGGTATCTATCATCATTCGAGGCGGAGGAAGAGGGGAATCTTATCCAAACTTCGAAACGAGCTGGTTCCTTCACTTCCTTCGACCTTCTTACCTACCTCCTATGGTGCCTGAGTTCGGGTTTGATCATAGTTTGATAAGATCGTGTTGGATCGTTAAGTACTCTCTTGATAGTCTCATTCTCGCTTTTTGTCATTCATCGTTATGGCGATCAAGCAGGTCATTTGCTCTGGCACCCCCTACGAGGTATGACACCTTCGGCCTCACAATATCTTTGTCCTGCGGTATTGACTCGGATAGATCGGACATGCTCATGGAGTTGCTGGTGCCCCAGAAATCGAACGGGCTCTCGCGTTTTATGCAACGCTGTTTATGAAACATAGCAAGTTGGACTGGCCACAAGTGCAAGAGCTAGCAAAAGATTTCGAGGATTTAATCAAGACACGATGGCCACGCTACTATGAAGAGCTTCAAGGTCCGCCATTCTACTCTTCTATAAGTTCTTTCCTTTGATTTTATTTTACACCGTATGCCAATTTACCCCAGGTATTGCGGATGGGTCGAAAAGAGAGCTGGTTGACATTATTGCTTTGAATGTGCGCACCGAAATTGTATTCGGGCAGTTCAGCGATGGATGTACGAGTTTATACTACCAGGGCGATGGTCACTCATATCAAGGGCAAAACTGGGATGTAAGCGATCTCTGCATGCGCTGACTCGCGACGTACCAACGGTGTGCAGTGGTCCGAACAGCAAGCACAAAATTTGCTTCGAGTCACCATCATCCAAGCCGCGATACCGACTATTCAAATGATTACCGAGGCAGGTCTAATCGGTAAAATCGGACTGAACTCGAATGGGGTTGGGGTATGTTTCAATGCCATCCGCGCCAAAGGCCTCGACAAAAGTCGGCTACCTGTTCATTTGGGACTACGGATGGCGCTGGAGAGCTCGTCTGCAATGGAAGCGGCAAATACTCTGGAGCGCATCGGAATGGCTAGTCCAGCCCATATCCTACTCGGGGACGCAACAACCGCCGTCGGCCTTGAATTCACCTCGTCAACCTTTGCTCGGATTCCGATTAACCGGGATGGATATATTGCTCATTCAAACCACTTGCTTCTGTCTCATGCAAATGTCTGCGAGCCCGCGTGGTTGGATGACTCTCCGATCAGACTGAAAACCATGGAGCATAACATTGCTCAGCTGGGGGCACGTCTGTCGTGGGACACATATCGCGCACTTTTCGAGGATGAGACAGATTATCCTTGCTCAATCAACAGGGCTGCAGATCCCAAAAGCGATAATACTGCGACATTGTTTAATATTGTCATGGATCTGGGAGAGAAGTATGCAGAAGTTAGGATGGGGCGACCAATGGCAGGGGATCAGGGCGGAGAAAGGCTTGTTTTCGCATTTGCTGAGAATCGATCCTTTTAAGGTGACCTTCTTTTGCATGAAATCTGACCGCATAGTCCAGTCTTTGGCGTAGCCTTTGACAAAGTTACTGAGTTAGCTCAGGTGTTATAGCAAGGTGATGCATTACGGAAAGGATGCCACTATACAGACCAAGTAAGCCATGCTAAGATCAGTTTGGTAATGAAAGTGCATACTCTTTTTCTGGATATGCTCTCTCAGACGTCCCATTAGTGGTTTCTTCAAATATGTGATGATGGGAACCATCTGGACAAGTTTCTTAATCGAATCTCCCCCGAGCTCTGCCCTTAATGGCGCATAAACCCTTGAAGCTTACCTTGGTCAACTATCAACTCCAGAGCAACATTAAGGATCTCCTCTGGCTCTGCAACTGCGTGCAGACTCCGCAACAGCTTGGGATATGAAGAATATCAACTAGGAAACAAAAGCTGAGGATTAATAACAAGAATGTCGACTACGGCTCGATATATTAATTAGGCATGTATATAAACCGGTCCTCAGGTCAATAGACGCCCGAATAGGCTACGTTTCCATGCATCCTTATGCGTGTTGACACTATCTAACCTACTGGATAGTTCTGCATGACATGATTTCAATGATTCTATGTGTGTACCCTACTCGTGCTTCATCCCCTTTCTCTGGGATCTTGAAGGATTCTGCACCACGTCATCCGAACCCCCCTGCATCAACTGCAGAGGACGCTAGAGCCGCTGCCTATCACCAAGAGATTCGGCCGCGGGCCAACACTGCCACGACGGTCAAGAAAGGGGAAGGCTACCGAGGGGCTATTATACATTTGGCCTATCAAGACTGGCAAATAACCTGCATAATCTCATACGCATTTCATTTCTCTAGTGCCTCATGATTTCCTCTTCTCGCTATTGGCTGCTTGACCCCTCCGAGCCCATGTTTCGCGACCGGGCGAATCTGCTCCAGGTACTCCGTATTTGCAGACGTGAGGTGGGTTATCAGCCCCAAACTCCTGGTGCAATGGTTCTTTAACCTTGGCCTTGGTTGCAAACGTGGTGGATGGGCTGCTGGTTGATTCTGTATTCTGCCCGTTCGTCTCTCCCCTATGATTAACTGAGAGGTCGCGTGCTAATTTTGACAGGCTTTCATACTTTAGCGACTAGCTCACTCTGAACTTCGTTGAAAGAATAACTTCTACGTCCCCACTGTCCTGAAATATTTGGACAGCAAACCCATTCCTTCTGCTCTTTTTCACCCATTGGAAATGCCGGCTGAATCCCCTTGTAAGCACTCGGTACATCTTGAAAAAAGGTGGCACGTCAAGCGCTCGATTCACGGATAAAGGGTGGTTCAGGGGAGGGGGAGTCCTTGTGCAGAGTTACCCCCCATGATCAGCAATGGATGGAATCATAAATGAGCGTTGCGTGAAATTCGATAAAAAGGTCTTGGAGGACTGGGTTCTAAATCACGTGAATTACCTATTCTACCCGAACGGTACGGCGAAGGAAGTCTATCGAGTTAGAAGAGCAAAACTGCGGGAGCTCTTTGAAAACATCCTTGAGGTCTGCGGCCTTCGTACTGGCCTTGCTGAGCGCATTGTTGAGCAGACTTTGGCACATCTGAGCACTGTTTTAGCGATTGTTCTTCGAGTGCGTCGGGCGGGTGATAACCTGATCTTGCAGCAATTCATCAATTTGATCATATGTGACAATGCCATAAGGGCGACTCCGCAGCTTATCGACGAAAACCTCCCAATCCCCCTCGCCGACGCCAAATCCCTGTTTCCCCACGAAGCAACGCTATTCTACAACTCGCAATTCCAGTTTTGTGCGGTGACCTTGAAGGGGAGGCAGGAGGTTATCTACCAAGATGACTATAGGTCCCAATGTCCTCTCCCCTATACTGAACAAAAGCGGATTGGAGGTGGTTCATTTGGAGAAGTATTTAGAGTTCAAATCGCGCGGCGCCACTTTAGATCCACGCATCGTCACTATGAGAACACCGAAGCCGAATGGTTTGCGCGAAAGGATTTCAAGAAAAAGTACGCGTTTGTTGGAGAACTGGATGTTCTCAAGAAGATCATGGACCAACCTCAAAAGCATGACCACCTAGTCATGGTGCTTGCTATTCTCCAGTACCGTGATACCTACAGTCTTTTCTTCCCACTAGCTTCATGTGACTTACATCAATACCTAAATGGCGAATATTGTGGGGCGAGACCCGACGTCGAAGAGCAAAGCACAGTATACAAACGAGGAGTTGACCTGGCTGGAGCCCTGGCGTTCCTTCACAACGGATTTGACCGCGTATCGTGCTTGCATCTGGATTTAAAACCCCGCAATGTACTGGTCTACGATGCAGGTGACCCCGACAAGCAAACCTGGAAAATTACAGATTTCGGTCTGACACGGGTTAGGGATAGAGCTGCTCGAGATCCTGCACGGGTTAGGGATAGAGCTGCTCGAGATCCTGACAATAATGAAGGCTCCACTGCTAATCCAGCGGGTCAGGGTACGTATCGTGCCCCAGAATGTGACCCAACTAGTGGAAGAGTCACAACTTTGAGTGATGTCTGGTCGCTAGGTTGCATCTTCTCCTTGGTTATTACCTATATTTCAGAAGGCTCGGGGGGTGTTAGAAGATTTGCTGAGAAACGGGCTGAATGGCGGGAGAATAACTCATTTTATATCACCAATAGAGGTAGGACTCCTCGGATCTCGCCAGCCGTGACATATTGGTTCGATCACCTGAGAAGTGTGTCGAAGGAGCAGGAACGTCGGGTCGTTTATGAATCACTTGAATATCTCCAACGGAAGGTCTTGCACCCGATTCGGGACCAGAGGGCGAGTGCTAAGGAGGTTGAATTGACCTTGCTCAATATTTATGCCCACTTTCATCAACAGCCTCCTCCGTCATCACCATTGCAGCAGCCGCAACCGCAACACTCTCCCGTCTACACCAGGTTTCGCGCATGGCTGACCCGGGCATCAGCAAAACCCTCCTACTCCTTATTACAAAAGTTACCCTTTAATATGGATAGGAATATCCTTGGGGTCCGCATATCTCCTCCGGAGGGCGATTTCATCGCCTTGTTTTCACGCCAGAGAATGGATGTCTGGTCCATATCTCAGATCCGATCCTCCCTGCAGACCAAGTCGGAGGGCCCGCAGCCCGAGCGTAAATTGATAACTGGCGGACCAGTGAAATGTTTTGCCGTCAGTTCACGATTTATCTGTAACTGCTTGGACGGAAATTCCTTCTCGGTGTGCCATGCCTTCTTCAAAGCTTTTAGTCCCAGTTTGCTAATTAATTTGATCATTTAGTGCTATGTCTATGACGTTCACGGGCTGCCGGGGCCTAGGTTTCTTGGTGAAGGAGTAAAGGTCTCATACGATAGTTTTGGTTCTATCAAGAGGGTTGCTATGTCGCTGGATGGGGCACTTACAGCATTTGTGATCGCCGGGAAGTCAAGCGGGGCGGAATCATATTGCAAAATATATCTCGCTTATACCCAACATTTGATTGATACAGCGAGCGAGTAAGTTGCTCTACCATTCCCTTGTTGATGTAAAACCTAGACTAACAATTCCCTGGCGCAGTCACTCCCCCCCACATTCCAGCAGATCAAACTCTGCCATATCTGAGAGCTCATGTCTTTCGGAGACCATTGCGAGCAATCTTATTTTGCAAGAAGATCGTGTTGAACCGGCTTCTCAAATACGCTTTCTGAACTTCACCGCAAATGGGCAGTTTCTTGTTATGGTCGCTCAACAAAGCACAAGCGGATTTTTTATTCGAGCCTGGGAAACATTTGGTGGGAAATGCTATGTGGATTTTCCTATCCCTATCAAGGTAGGATTTGACCGTGTTGTCTATGTTTCCAGTGTGTTGCTTGGCACTAATATCAACTTCAAGGCTTCACCCACCTTTCGTGGAACACTTTTCACTGCTTGTTCTATCTATATTTTCAAGGATATGCCCTGTCTGGTCTTATTGACTGACCGTCGGCATATCATACATGTTAATTTATCCAGGCAGACTCTTACTGTTCGTTCACTGGATATAGACCTGTATAGCATGTTCGTCTGTGATGATGACGAGTCTCTCATTCTTATTGGTAAGAACCGCGGGCTGTGGGCGTATTTATTACCGCTCTCCGCAATTGATAAGTCTGATGCTATTCGAATTGCTAAGATAAATCACATATCCTATGTGCCGGATCCTGACGATGCCGCAGTAAGAAGAAATGCGGATGGCCAGCTGGAATTGATAATTGCAAACGCCTCTGGCATGTTTCTTGATATGGGCATTCCAGACGTGGAGTGAAAAAAAAAAGATTGGGTATAGCCGAATTATCCTAATAAGCAACGAGAACTACAAGTCCACCGATGAAATCAAAGAATTTGCTGGGATGATGCAAATCCTACTAGGCCGGCCACTAATCATACGTTTCATCAAACCATGAAAACATCTTTGTTCATCACTTCCGCATGCTGTTTCTCTCGCTGAAAAAACCACCAATACAGCAGCGTCGCTCCTGTTAAAGGCACAGAGCACACGACATATATCCAAAACTGTGGAGATATAATCAGGCGGTGACTATCAGAATCCATCTCAAAAAAGGAGTTCATGCCGAGAAGGGTCTGTCATCGCACTTTGTTAGTTTCCTGATTCGCAATGGTGTCTGGAGCCACTTACTGCCATGAAGGAAGAAGGAAGATATATCAATGTCACAACTGTTATAACACGCACTGTTGTGGAATCACGCAACATTAGATCGCTCTGTCGTTTCGCCACGTAGGCATCCTTGAATGAAAGAGTGTCAGTGATGTGGGCCGCAATTCTCGCGGCCCGCGCTTGGAGAGACCATGCGCCTTGGGCGTATGAGTTCACCATGCTGGAATAATTCGTGAGCAGCTGTCTCATGGCCTGTACTTCGGATTGCTCTGTTGCATTACAATCTGAGAGTGCCCCGTTCGCCTGATGTAAGACCTCGAGTATCTTATCCAGGGACCGAAAAATGGGCTGCATTACTAAACAGCGATTTTCGGTACCCCGAATGGCTGTGAGGGATTCATGATTAACACGCAGCTGCTCTACAATCTGCGCGGCAACCGTGGGATTTGACTGCTCTTGTCAGTGAAAGCTCAGCAACACAATAGTGGAGCAGAGAGATCGCGCACAATGTGAAGCATTTTATGCTCGTAGTGAGCGAGGTAATCGCGCCAGAGGGGGAAGAATGTCCCCAAAAGAATACTGTGGATTAAAAGTGGGTTGGACTGCAGGCGAGCTGGCTGATCTGGAGATCGCATGAACTGTATGAGACGATTTTGGAATTCACACCCTGGTGTTGGGTGTACGAGGACCCATATAGAGCTTTTGGTTGCGATGTCATATTTTTGATATACCCCGGTTTGGCGTAGAACCCAGTTGTCTTTCCCCTTCTCTTCTATTGGCTTTACACCAGCATACTTCAGAATATATGCAATTTCTAGTGTGGATATCAGCCAAGGGAGTCTTCAATGTGGCCTTAAGACGAGGCCTTCCAACCTATTGAACGATGGTTAGATCTGATGAGCGGTGCACCGATAAATCCCTCTTCTACGCCGATGCTTTTCTGGAAGAACGACAGCGAGAGCTCGAGAATATCTGATGACGCGCCGGCAATGTCTACAATTTCCTGGAACATCTCCTGCGTCACGTTTAATGGCCTCCAAGAGTTGCGCTGGTTGAGGGATCTAAGCCATTGTTAAGAAATATCTTGCAGGTTAATGCAAAGGCACCATACACAATCCTTAACCCATTCATCTGAGCACTTCGATATCTTCGCAGCTCAGCTAGGGAATCCAGGGTTCTGATAGCCACTATTTTTAGGTTATTCAATGCATCGCATCCGCACAAATTTCCTTCCTCTCCGATCTTGACTCACCATTATTTTCCGCATCGACATCGGTGAAGGTCACCTGGACTGCGGACTCGTCCGTCTTGAAGCATCTTCTCGACTGCGCTCGGCTCCAATGATCTTCAGGGTAGGGGACGACTGAGTAAAGATCAGGCGTATTCAGTCTCAGTGACCCTAAACTCTCGGTCGTGGTTATTGTTGGGCCACACGATCCCGTTGGCCGAGTGTCTAGCTCCATTTTTATCGCGCTGTGAATTCTCTTCGGGTTCTCGATGCTCCAAAAGTCTGAAATAAATGAAGCTCTGCCACAAGGTGCTGTATATTTGTGTCTTCAAAGCATAACAAGAGAAAAAAAGATGCCAGGGGGAAGTGCCTGAGTGCGCCTTGTGTTTATATTAGGGAAGAGACTGCGACAGTAACGACGAAGTGCCGCCGCCCTACCATGGAGTAATCTTCCACTGCTGCAATGTTTGCAAAGAGATAATACTGATTTATTATTCAAATCTTATGATGTACTATTTATTTGATTTGCAGCCTATGCCACCACCTTCCTGCACAAGCTATGGCGCCCGTGTTACTCGGAGATTCGTCTGGAAGAAACACACATCAGCCAGTCAGTTCTTGCGCCACCGAACACAGGATCAAAACCGCTAAGAGACCTACTCGAGCTCTGCCTATAGAAAGTTAGCCGGTTGGTATAGGCGGGTCAGACGGGGAGTAAATATTCGCCACGTACCTCAGTGACTTCTTCGGGAGCATCGAAGGACCATACATCTTCGTACAGCTGTGGCCGGGAGCAAAGGTCAGCAAGGCAGCTTCAGCAGCGGGGCCTGCAAATATTATCTCACCCTGATGTGAAAATCTAGTCTAGGATGGCGGGGGAACCTTTGCGCGAGGAAGGCCTGCAATTTTGTTCGCGTCAGGTAGTGAGCGGCTGCATCTTGTCGTCGACAGACTGGGGGATGCGGCTGGGTTGGTGGAGAGGATGATGACAGCGATCGGAAACTCCACGGCCGTCTGACACTGAAACCTGACATCCAAAATGCTTGTCTGTCCCTTCTAAATGTCACTATTTATAAGAATAAAATGCTTCCAGGAGGACCGATTCCAGCAGAAAATCCGTGAAGTAAGGGGGTTTATGGCGACAATCTCTTCCTTCCCGATTCTCGTCAGGAGTTCCTTCCGAATTACAGCATCCCATTACAGCAATATATCAGCTAGTCGGGTATCGTAAAGTACGGAGAGGCAGCAAGAGGCTCTGCTTGATGCGCTCGGGTGAGTTGTCCAACTCCGAAGAGAAGGGGTCAAACTGATAGGCATGGAAAGGCTGATTGGGTTGCTTGATAGTACATTGTCCCGGCATACATTAGAGGCTAGGTCTCCTCCTATCACAGGCGCCCTCAACCGAGACGGTTCATCCTGGGGCGAGAGAAAACAGTATGGGTGACGATGGGCTGAAATAAATCACCCCAAGCTAGCCTCGTATGCTTGATTAGTTGCAAAAGCAGTGGCGGAGCCTCTCCCACAGACAAATATTCAGGAGGGAGGGAGTGCCCGCAGGATTCTTCTCCAAATCTGAGCCCCATCAGTTTGGTTCACTGTTCTTCAATGTTTAAGCATCCATCTGCATGAGGCGAGGACAGAATGGCCTCCCGCAACAGTATAGATGATTACGGCCTCACCCTGAGTGATCTCGATTGGTCCCCCCAGAATCGCGAACGGCAGCAGCCCTCTGCGGCATTGGGCGATAACCTGCACCCACCAAGCTCCTCCAGTCTGCAGCCGATATCGATGAGATCGACGTCTCCCAGAGCGCCAGAAAGCATTCCTACGACACGAGATGGGCTGACTAGAGAACCCAATGTGGTCTATATCCACGAGAGCGATCGTACCGTGAAGTAAGGGAGGGTTAGTATGACTATGCACACTAAGATTGGCTAACAATTCTCCGGGTTATGTATAGTCGACGACTACGAGGGATCCATGTTTTTGTAAGGAACCATTCCGAGTCAAATTCCTTTCCGTGATACCAGGCTAACCTTTGCCCAATTAAGATGATCACGATCAGCGGTGTACTTGGAGCCGGATTATATATACAAAGCGGAACAATCCTGCGCGTTGCAGGTCCAGGGGCTGTGTTGATCGCTTTCACCGTTATGGGCTTGCTGGCTTGGATGGTGATGCAGTGTATTGGCGAGTTTCTGGCTTTGTGGCCAATATCCGGTGCGCTGGTCGAATACGTTGCCAAGTTCGTCGATGAAGACTTGGGCATTGCAGTTGGAATCGCATATTGGTTGGTTGTCAATCGAGCTTATATTAACCAAGACTTTTGCGACAACTACTAACTGGATCGACAATGTCCAGGTTCACGTACTCAATCAATTTCGCGGCCTTGATTGTGGCGGCAGCTGGGGTTCTGGATTTCTGGGATCCTGGCAAGGCTATTCAGGGAACCGTTATATTCTTTGCAGTGCCCCTTTTCCTCGTGCTGTTCAACAGCTTTGGTGTCCAGGTACGATTGTGCTGCACGTAGCGAGCTGCCGTCCTGCAGAACTGATGCATAGTAGATCTATGGATTGACCGAGCTGCTGGGGGGCTCTCTAAAGATCCTTGGTATTTTGATCGTGATTATCAGTATGATCACGATTAATCTTGGAGGTTCGTCTTTTTATTCCAGTTGTCCCCTTTCAGCTTTCTCTCACTAATATGTACTCACTGGATTAGCCGGGAATGAGGGCCATATTGGTACGGAGAGTAAGAACGCCAGACCCCCTCAATGTCTAGTAACTTGGGTTCTAACTGCAATTGAAGATTACAAACATGACTTAATTTTTCCTTACGATGCTAGGGCAGCCAATAACTGGGCTTCTGCTCTCTTGTAAGCCCGGCATCTACACATGCTTCCCGAAGAAACACTTATCATTTGGTAGCATGGCCTTTTCTATTGCCGCTTTCGCCTATGTCGGGGTTGACATTACTGCTGCGACGGCGCTCGAGGCTCGTCCCGACAAGAAACGCTCATCTTCACAAGACACCGAAGGTCGTGACGGGGGGGGTCCTTGGCCATTTATTTCCGTTCGCTTCGTTGCAACTTGGACAAGTTTCCTTGTGTGGATTATTTACTTCATTGCTGGCATTGTTATGAGTTTGAATGTCAAGTGGAATGACCCCAACCTTCCCGAGGCGTCGTGGCTTGGATCACCAGTGGCCGATCAGAATCCTATGGGCGAGGCTACCTACAATACAGATTCAGGGTTCGTGATTAGCGCTGCGATATCAGGCATACCCGGATTAGCGGATATGTTTACCGTGGTTATATTAATCACTGCAGTATTTTCCGCGAATACCCACCTCTATGTCGCGTCAAGGACACTCTTTGGCTTAACCCGCCGGTTGCGAGATTCGAAATGGCCGTTGCTCGCATTCTTTGGGAAAACAAACAACTACCAAGTTCCTGTTCGAGCCATGTTTCTCTCCTGCTTTTTTCTCTGGGTGCCGTTCTTGTATCTCTCGCCAGACAACTCTCCCAACACAACCATTTCAAGTGTAGGTTGCGTATCTCTCAAGAAATTATAGGGCCTGCCACAACTAACCGTTTTTTTTTTTTACTGCAAATAGCTTCTCGAAGTCCTTTCGCAGATGGCCTCCGTGTCTTGCATTATTGTCTGGGCCTGCGAATGTTGGGCGTTTATTCGCTTCTATCATTGGTCCGAACCCCATTTATATATACACTTGTTCCATGTAGCACTAATGTTTTCCTTTAGTTTGTACCTTCACAGACATGAGATCAATGCTTCTCCACAGTTTGCCCGCCTTCGTCGCTTTCCGGAACACGGGGTCGAGGATCTTTATCCATGGCGCTCGCATGGCCAACCAGTAACAATGTATCTGGCACTGTTTGGATGTCTCTTCGTTCTCATTGTTCCTGATGGATCTGCGCTATGGCATCACTTTGCCGCGCCGCGGTTTTTCTCAGCTTACTTGGCGGTAAGTAGGGGTGATTCCAGACCCAAGATTATGCGGTTACGACTTCAAGAATCAAATATTGATGGCTGTTTGTTCTTTCCACAGATTATTTGCTTCGTCCTCATCTTTCTCGGCATTAAAATTTACCGTAACTGGGGAAATGTTGAATGGAGACTCGAAGACCTATCGAGGTTTGTCAATGTCGAAAGGAAACTCAGGGAACTTGATGAAATTCATGACCTTGCAACGACGAGGGACACAGATGTGCAAGAACCCACACTCCGGAATCTTTGGGGCCTTATGTAGTGGTATAATACTAACCCTACTGATCATGTGTAAACTACAATAGATAACGGATGTACTGTATGACCCGGCTGACCTAGTGTGAAATCAACTGATCCCGTAATGCGTATATAGGCTTAGCTCTACTTTGAGTTCGCCCGCATGAGGTCTAATCCAGGTAGAGGAGTCTGGGAAGAAGATATCTGATCACGCATTGGCCCTTTCAATAAGACTGGGACTGGGATCGATCAACTTCATAGGGGAGTAGGGAGCTGCTCCCATACTGTGACTAGGAAGAAACGAAGCGGATGACAAGGCAAATAGCCGATATAAGATGCCATTGAACTTGGGATTGGGGTTTGGATAACGAGAAGTGGAGGAAAGGTCGAGGCTGTTGTGATTTGAAGATCTGTAGTGAATACATATCGTACCACCACTTAACTTAATCCCGTAACCGAGTACTTTGTTCCCTGGCCAATGGGGGCGCGGAATGACACGGGCCTACATGTCTTAACTAGTGGAGACGTTTTAGAAGATTCGTGAAGTTGATGATGATGATGTGTCTACGGACGGAGTACATACTCCGTGCCCTAAGTAGTAGCTAGGAGCTGCAGATCTAATTCCACCTGGTCTCTGTCTACAATAGCCCAACGAATGAATTCCCTGTAAATGGCCCATAAATTTGATAAATCGAAGCCAGTAGTAGTCATCAAAGCCAGGCCGAGACAGTGGATCCGAGGTGGAACCGATGAGCCTACTACTACCTAGGTACGGAGTACTTTGCAGCTATACATAAGCGAGTATAATTACATCCAATTTTAGACCTCGATTCATCATCCACTGCCAATAAAAATTTCCTGACCATCTACTAGCTCTAGTTTTGCCTCGATATTGTTGAATATTTCCCCAATGAAGAATCCAGCCGCCATTTCGTTACAGCAGGTTCATCTCACCACTTCGCCTGAAGGGTACGAGCCTGTCGTCTCGTACAAAGGAGACCAGTCAATCTATATTCGAGAGCATCAAACCCTCCAAGCCGAACTCTTGCGCTTCTGCCCCTCGGAATCCTGGTACCAGGGCTCTCACAAGGCGGCATGTCCGCGGCCTATCCTCATTACCAAAAGGCATCAGGAGCAACTTCGACAACTCCATGATGCTCTTACGCTTGCTCTGACCGATATAATTCAGCGCTGGTGGACTGATCAGGAAGCTCAATTTCCAGCTCGGATGCCATTAGAGGAGCAGGAGGAGGAATTATTACGAGTCCGTGACCTTTTTCTTTTCTTTTCTTTTCTTTTCTTTTCTTTTTTACAAAGATCATTGCACAAAGTACTATGGCTCACTATTCACATGGGTTATAGTGGCTAGAAATCCATCACCCCTTTGATTGTCGCCATCACCTAGGCTCCTGGAGGCCGGACTTCCTGGTCGAGGATGACCATACCGATGTGGGCGCAGCTCCCACGGAAAACTTTCGCCTGACGGAAATCAACGCCCGCTTTAGCTTCAATGGATTAATGTATGAGGCCTACGGGCAAGAAGCTCTGATAAGCTTGGGCGCAGGGAGGAGAGGCATCATGCATGGGACTAACCCAGCCGACGTACGTGGATATCATAACCCCTTTGTTTGACTGAGAGCAAGGAGGATCGGGCTAGTTATGCGACGACATTGGTGACTAAATTCAACTGTAAACAGGTTTTCAATGGTTTACTCCGTCTCTTTCAACGCGACCGCCCTTTACACCTTCTCAAAGGCGACGAACCCGGCATGGATATCCACATGGTGATTGGCTTTCTCGAGCGCCATCTGGGGACGCGGCCGAGACTAATCACCCCGTCTGATTTAAGGTTGGTTCCGGATCCGCAGGAGAATTCCGGGTACAAATTGTGTTGCTTGGTGAAAAGCAATCCAGCTGGCGTTCATATTAATGAGTCCCCTGTGATTGTCGCGGATGACGGCGAGGTGGTTGAAGAAATCCACCAGGTTGGACTCGAGCTACATCAACGAGAATTGCTTGCGATACCACCGGAGATGTTGCGCCAGGTTAGCTTACGCTGCTTTAATGATATGCGGACCATCCTCCTTGTCCATGATAAGCGAATGCTGGGAATAATCAAGCAAGAGATACCCTCACTGACGGCAAGGGGGGTACTCAGTTGCGCACAAGGAAAGGCCCTGCGGAAAGGCATCGCAGACACAATACTCCCAGGGTCGTCAGACCTAACAAACATCATCAGTCTTTGTACTGAGGATGTCAATCTGCAAACCGACTACCTGTTGAAGCCTATTAGAGGAGGCAAGGGAGCTGGAATTTTATTCGGGGATGAGCTCGGTCATTCCGAGTGGATGTCAGCTCTGGAACGGATGAAAGATCCAAGGTTAACAATAATGCCAGGAACACCCAAGTATGTGATCCAGCGACGCATCTGGCCTCGCTTTTACGATGTGATTCTGAACCCGTCGGGGGAAAAAGGCCAGCATCCTTTGATTGGTACTTATCACGCGATTCATGGCCAGCTTCTGGGATTTGGAATCTGGCGTAGTAGTTCGGATAGAATCTGCGCTGTCAGCCATGGAGGAGGATGGATCTGCTCTATTCAGAAGACTGAGTAGATACCGCATACCAGGAAGCATTGAGCCAACTGGGGGGCAATTTTCGATCTGCAAATGAGCCGAAAAGTACCTTTTCTTACATGCATCTGGAATGATTAGTTGGTTAGGTTTAGAATATGAAGATTTATTCCGACTCTGTACGGTGCGGACTGGCTTGCCAGAGCTATAAACTACGCCATTACATATCTGTCTGATCTGCCCTTCATATCCGTAATCATATAACTTAAATCGAGTTTTTGTTTGTACGGAGTATGTTTGTAGCATACCTGGCTGGATGCCCACTGGACGGTCTTCTCCACGTACTTATTCCGAGCAGCATGCAAGAGTCGTACGTACGGCTGAGCTGAGAGCAGACCTTTTTCTCCTTTTGTACCAAGTGTGCAGGGATCTCTACGGCGACTACTTGCGTGAATCTAGATCCTTTCCGTCGAGTCATGCTAGGCAGTGGGAATGTTCCATCTACGAATCCACAATGGCTTTCTCAATAGTTGCCTACACCATCATAAATAGTGATCTATAGGATTTTAGGCCCATATAACTGGTTCTAATACTGTCTGATGAACAGATATATGAAGGGAATAATTCGAGGCATGTTGATAACATCCCCCTGACTAAGTTTATGGCATACATAGTTACCGAGTCCACCTCTACAATATGCAAAACCTTCGGCTTCTTTCTCGCACAGCGAATTTTGGGGACTCTCTCCTCAAACACACCCGGCGAGTCCCCTCGGGCTCTCGCCAATTGGGGACAGATGTATCTCAAACAGTCCCCCATTTGGTAGCCCATGATCTCAGTTGCTCCAAAACGCCTTCCCACGTTCGCGATGTGCGTAAACATCTGGACCAAAAAGGCCTTCTCAAAATCACCTTACAGTTTCCAGACGACAAAAGCAAGTACCTGGAGAATCTGGTAACGAGCCTTCACGAACAGCATGGTCATGGGCTCCCAATTGCTCACAGTTCATCCCGGGGTTGGTTTTGGGATGTCCGCCCCGACAGAACTACTACATGTCAGCCCGGCTACCATCAAGCAAGGTCTGAAACTATGGAAGACTTCCCCTGGCATACAGACTGTAGCTATGAACACGCACCCCCCCGGTTCTTTGCCCTTCATGTCCTCCAACCGGATCGCCTGGGCGGGGGCACCTTGTCCGTCATGGAGGTCCAGACCCTAGTCCAGACTCTTCCCTCTGCCGTGAAGGAGGCGCTATGCCAACCCAATTATCAGATTGCCATTCCCCCCGAGTTCATCAAACAGCCCGATCAGCAGCGGATTATTGGAAGCCTCGTCGCCCTCGACCCTCTTGACCGCCGTTCAACCATGGTCCGGTTTCGGGGGGAAATCGTGACGCCACTGACTGAAAGGGCAGCAATAGCTCTGCAGACTTTAAAGGACACATTGCGCAGTCCCGCCACGTCAGACACAGCCATTCATCTTACGGCAGACGACCTCCCAGCCGGATCTATCATTCTGCTCAATAACCACCGGTGGCTCCACGCGCGGAATAACATCCACGACCCTTCCCGCCACTTGCGTCGGGTTAGATGGGATGCCTTCCAGTTCCCTAGTGGTACGGAGTAGCTTGGATGACTGGCATCGTATGTGTTAAATATCCTGTGATCATTACTTTACCCTTTCTTATTCTCGTGCAGTTCGGTCGGGACTTTGAACATGCTAGATTTTAGTGTTCGTATTGGGCCCACCGCGCCCCTAGGTTTTCTCGCTTAAGACTGCAAAATATGATAGGTAAGAAGACCCATCGGAGGCATGGATGGGTAAGTACGGAGTGCCCGGAGTAGTATTGTACTCCGTATGAATCGGCCTTTGGGGCAACTGAGGGCATTGAGTAGTAGAGCCTGGATGCAGTCAGCAATAAACGCATCAGCCGGGAGAGAATATAACAAAAGTTATACATAGGAACAAACAAACAATAAATAATCGGAAAGACCACTACGTCAGCAGCTGCTTACTCTGTACATGCTGTTTAGAAGAGTCTAGACCGTCATCCTATTGAGTAAACAATCTAAAATCAGTGGAGGAGTCGACTAAACAATCATCCTGACCGATCCGATGATCCGATTCCCCTATACGGAGTACTACAACCCAGTATATACTGGATAGTAATGGACTCCGTACGGCTTATGGACACATATTCAGCTGGAAATACTCCCTAGTCTATGGTAGCACATTGACCTAGGGTAACTAGTTACTGCTTGCTTGCATATTAATCGCATGGAGCCAAATAAGTCTTAAAAAAAGCCCGGCTCATTTCATTCCCTATACCCTCAGGGCTGTACAAAATCCTCCACGATGCCCACGGGAATATTTACCCTGAAGCAGATCTTAGAGGTCACTAAAGTTCATCCCTTCTACACCTCGAGGGTTCAATATCCGCCGAATGAGAAGATTCTCCATGCCATCCGCGATGAAGCCAGTCCAGAGACAGGAACCCCTGCTCTCCCTTTGCAGCCTCTGCTCCACAAGAAAACTTTGTATGAAATAGTCCCGACTTTAACACGCGTGGATTGTGAAATTGATCTCGCCCAGGTACCGAGAAATCGCGCGGCTCATGCAAGACTTGAGCCCAGAGAATACCTATCGGCGCAGCTCGTACCTATCGAGCACGGGCGGAGGGTCCGGTGGCCTCCCGATGATGTTCGCGGTCGATGGACATGAAAACCGCCGACAACGAATGCAAACGGGTAGGCTGCTTCAGCTTACCAGAGTTGTTGATCCCGCAGACTGGGTGTTGTCTCTTCATACCTCGGGCAAGTTCTACAGGTATGACCGCGATTGACTGTCTTTCATATTAGATGCACCGCATGGCTAAACCGCTCGCCCAGATCCTTGGACCTGATTACGGAAATCATGGAAAATGCAGGCGCAACTCTCTTGAGCGCAGGCAATTACATGTCGCCGGCAAAGGTGACCGAGGCACTGGCCCATTACCATGTTAACGTTTTGACGGGTGATCCCAGCCAGATCATCCAAGTGGTTCGGCACATCTCCAGCTTGACGCCAGCGGCCCGGTCAAACATCCAGCTCACCAAGATTATTTACACTTCGGAGTCGTTGACAGGTCCCCAGATTGCGTTTATCCGCACCGTGCTGGGAGACGTCCAGATCTGCTCCGTTATCGGCAGCGCAGAAGCTGGGCCTTGGGCTGTGGGTAATCCGGCCCTCACTGGTCGGGGGAGTCTGACGGATACCTCCATGGACTTTGTCTTTGACACCAGAAATGTCATTATCGAGATCCTTCCGCTAACGGCCCTGGATGAAGGGTGTCCTGCGTCTGCGTTACATCCCCTTCCCCTGGGAGAGTCGGGAATCATCGTGCAGACTTCGCTCCAGCGTTTACGGAACCCATTGGTGCGATACATCACAGGGGATGTTGGATCTCTCCATCCATTGCCTGCGTCGGCGAGTTCCATCATTCCCGAGGCAGAGCGGGCGTATCTGCAAGTGCTACGCCTGACAGGTCGTGACCGCCGCTTCAGCTTCGACTGGTACGGGAACTATTTGGAGTTTGACACTATGAAGTCCTTGATGCAAGCCGATGAATGTGGAATTTTACACTGGCAAGTCGTGCTAGGCCAACCGAATTCGCCAGTGACAACCCTGGAGGTCCGGGTCCTTCGCGCTCCTCCACGGGTAGGGATTCTGTCGGATGAGCAGTTCACCAAGCGATTGCATACTTTCTTTGACGTTTCGTCTGAAAATGAGGCCCTGTTTAAACTGGTCTTCCTAAAGGACGTGGATGGTTTTGAGCGCAGCTCCACTGGGCGAAAGATTGTCAACTTTATAGATCGTGTACATTAGACGCGTTTAGGTGTTTATTCAGTGTCGAACACAACCGTTCCGGCTTGTTTCTTATATGCCGGGCCGTTAAATATCATTTGATTTTATGAATATTTCTACGCAGGGCAATAGAGAGCACCCGACGTATCTCATTTCCCGCGCTGTTCAAGTTATACATGTCAATCAGATGCTATACTATCGGGAGGAGAGAGATCCGTCACCACCTCCTCCTCAACACGGGCTGTTTCGAGTATTCGGAGGCGCCCTTCACCATCAAGCACCGGCTGAAGCCCCCCCAAGGCATAGGACATCCCACTTATCCCATGGCACATTGATCGCAAAATGTTGAGAAAATGCATACGGGATTCCATTCTCTCCCGGCTGCGCAACTCAAGAGCGTATTGCCGGATGTCCAGCACCAGTTCCTCCTCATTCGAATCCTGGAGGCGATGGAGGTTATCCATCAGCATTTCATCGAAATGAGAGAAGTTCTTCGAAGTGGGATCATCCACCAGCCATTGCTTCGACACGACGGCATGGCCCTTCCCCTGGCCCAGCAGCGGAGAGTCAAGCAGAGAGATTCTCGATTGCACTACGCGATAGTGGAAGGGACCGCATTCCTGAGAAAGCACATCAAAGACACATTCCAACGCACGGAGAATAACTTCGTCGCGAGCACCATCACCCACATGGAGCAACAAGCTCCACAGTTGCGTCAGGGGGTACTTAGGCCCTAGGTACAAGTTGGTCATGTTGTGTAAATGCGCCAGCACTATCCTAGCCATATCGTAGCACCGGGCCATATTATAATAGCGGAGGAGCTCCAGAACCGCCCGGACGAGATGCGGGTGTTCAGCCTGGACCAAAGTCGGGATGAGGTCGCAGGCTTTTGACATTTCGTGACCCATTTCCACAAAAGTGCCGTGCTTTGTAGGCGACAATCCCGAGATCCAACACGCGACAAATTGATCCACCTGGATCTCTGCATGCATTGGGTCTTTGCAGGTGGTGAACCTTCCATCTGCGGTCGTGTACCAGGTCTTGCCCCTGCAGGATCCTTCGTTGTACTGTTTGATGATGTGGAATATCCACTCGGGAATAGTGACAGGGTATACTCGAGTCATGGCAGGAGGAGGACAGGATCGTGGAGCGGGAATCAACTCCATGCATTGTGAGATATTACGAGACTGGGTTTCGTTGGGAATCCTGCGCCGGTGTTGGTGTTCACGATGCTTGCGAAATTTCCATCGGCTCAATTTCGTCTTGTACATCTTCGGGGTAGCCTGGAAGCCATATCTAGACTTCATCAGCCTCATCACATCGTGCAACGGGCGATTTTCCACAATGTAGAGGTGGTGTATGTGGTTTTTATGGCGGATCCAGTCATCAGCCTCAGCCCACTCCATAGTTCCTGACGCGTAAGATGTTGGGACCAGGTGATAATTGCTTAGATGAGATCAAGTACACTTGGGTCGAATATACTGTCTGATCGCATATTGGGGTGAATTGTGCCTGCGTTGAGATAGGATGGAGGAATACCAGAAATGAAGTACTTTGATTGTAATAACAATATAAAACATGAATCAACACCTGACGGTACCCTTAGGTTCTTCTCCCGAGATTCTTATACCTTGTAGAAACAACTTGGGAGCCGCAGCATGCCAGGAAAGATGATCCAATCGCTGCGATATCAAGATTCTTCTATGGAGAATAGTTGACAGCCTCGTCCGTATACGCAAGTTCATAGGCTACATCCTGAACCTTACTACTAACAGCAAGTCTGTTCTTGGGCCTAGTGTGAGGCTGTGCAACGTACTAATGACATAGTAGGATATGAATGGCTGTGAAAGTTCCTTGCAGGTGGCCTGTGGCACTTCACCAAGGACATGTAAGTTATAATATCAATCATGCCGTATCTTAAGATTAAATCCAACTACCTCCTGATGCACGCTCAGCATAAGCTACCTCGGAGACTATATTCATCTGTGAAACATTGCCCCCCCCCCCCCCTTACCAGTATATAGTGTAGAATAAAGGTCAGTTACAACTTCATAGACCGATGCCCGGACGCTACCGACGTCAGTTCCTCACCCCAAGCTATCCGACAATCCCACCGAAGCGATTCTTCAGAAATTCCCTCGCAGGCAGCCTGTCTAGAGCCAGGATAGACAATATCTCTCCACACTGTGTCGCCAACCCCAATCTCTCCGGCAATTATCCAGCGTCGAGCAATTTCGGTGGTGACGCCATCGCCGTCGCGCTGTGAATCCAGGGCTAACAAGAGACCACCAAGGATCCAGGCCAGAGTAAACATGGCTCGACGGCCATCTGCAAGAATCAACGCTGGCTGGGATGGGGCGACATATCAAGTGTACTCACACCGCGTACGGTGCGAGTCGTCTTCGTTCCGCGCCGTATGTAGGCTCACATCCCAAGGCAACGACGCTGGCCGAGAGTCATCAGCATGTTTCGTCAGTCTAGAATATTGAGCCCCCGTGCGAACCCATGTCGAGCTCCCCATTTCCCCAGCTGCTTCCATCCCTCGGTCGTAATCAGTCGGTCATAATCATATCGCCCCCCACCCACACATTCGTTAACTTCTTCACATAGGGCTGGTTCCGCTCCGCATCCACACTCCACCCCCGGATCCTATCCGAGACAGCTTCGTGGCCAAAAGCTGGAGAAGTTGGGGCTCGAGCTGGAGCAGTGATTGCCGTGGTAAATACCCTATTCCCTCATCTATTAGGCCCACTTCTCAGCGCAGTCTGGCAACAGGGTAAACAAGGAGGTCATTACAAGAAAGAACCCTCCGCAAACTCGGATCTGTCGTATACGTACGTATTCTCCAACGGGTCAGGTTTTGTAATATGGCCGCGATTAGCAGTAGCCGGCTCCATATTAACCTCTGCCATTACTCCGGATGTTCTGATCGCTGGATTTACACTATATGTTGTACAAAGACTGGGTAATTCGTTGAATCTGGGGTTTGCCGGGTAGTGATGCTATATTATCTGACCGAGGTCAACAAGACGAAGAGCCGAGGTCGTTCTTAGAGTATTTCTAGAGATTCGTCAGGTTATCAATTAATGAATCCTGAATAAAAGTATCAATTGAAATTGATTCTTCCATGTTTAGGGATTACTCGGTAGGCAGGCGGCAGTGTATGAACAAAAAGGAATCTAGTTCTATTCTAGCTCTATAGATTCAATAGATCTCTTCAAGAAGCTCTAGGGTCCACCCTCCAGGAAACAACACGAGAAAAAGAAAAAGCAACCATCCCAATATATGTACATAAAATCAACGCTTGAGAACGAAAAGAAAATCACAGCTTGCTCTTCAGTGGAGTGTTCTTCAAAACATTATCATTCCACGGGTATGGGTCAAACACCAAATCATTGACTGGGTTCTCCTGGCTGGCCCGACGGAAGAGATCGGGGTACACATCCCCATCGTAGCGACCCAGGCTGCTATCCATCTGCCAGTCAGGAATCTTCCATGCGTCAACTAGACGGACGGCATGTGGCCGGATCTCATCCAGGAGCTTCATGACCGCACTAGCCTGGGTGAGGCCGATCTGACGCACGGTAACAGCGCTGGAGGAGAAGAATTCAGATGCCTCGCGCTCAAGGGTGTGGAGGGCGTAGAGGCGGAAGAGCTTCCGCAGAAGACCAGCAGTCTCGCCATCCAACGTGGAGGTGAGCTCGGGCGAAGTGACTGCTTCGTAGAAGTTCTTCACCACCATGTACTGCGAGTGAGCCGTTGACAGGCGCCAGAAGTTAACAAGCAGGCTGTTCCACGACCGCTTCTCGACATCACGATACTTGAGGACCTCGAAAGTGAGGTGTGCAGTACGCCAAGCGAATGCATCGACAATATCCCCGTCATTTTCAAGGATATCGAAGGAAGCACCCTTGTCGCGACGTGCAAGATAGGCCTGGAGGATACGAGAGGTATCGTTCTGGGCACCCTTTCCAGCGAGAACCGCACGGGCGGATTTCAGAAGCTAATAAAATCAGTATGCGCATGCGTAAAAAAAGGAACCGGATATACAACTTACATATCTTGCAACCTGTTGCGTCAACATGTAGTTATCACCCTCCCAGGTCAAAGTAGGAAGGTAGTCAGAATACCAGGGTCCGATACCGCTATAGTTGCTGTATCCGTGGCCACCACAGGCACGACGACAGACTTCCAGGCCCTCTCCAGCAGTGGTACTGGCTAACGCCTTCAAGCCGCAGGACGTAGCATGAAGATCTGCCAGCAGATCAGACCCAGCTCTCAACTGCTCTGGACCCGCACCGCGCTTCTCTTGGTCCGCTCCAGAAGCCGCCTTCATCCGCTCCTGGTTCTCCTGATAGAGTCGCATCATCCCGCGACCGGTGAAATGCAGTGCATACATCGCCGCCAACAGGGGGAGAAGCCGAATCTGGACCATCTTGTAGTTCAAAACTGGGTTCTCGCCCGCACCCGGCTCAGCATCCCGGTCCTGGAACTGTCTGCGGATGGCACAGTAACGGGTAGCAATGGTAACACCACGAGCAAGCACACCACCGGCCTGGAGCACGATATTCGCGCGCACCCATGTCATGGTCCCATAGACAAGGGAAGGGGACGCAGGTCGAAGGTACTTATTGCTAGCCTGGTCGACCTGGGCGAAGCGGGCCAGCATGTTGACATGGGGAATCTTGACGTGATTGAACAGAAGGAAACCATTGTCCATGGTACTGAACAGGTCAGCCGGAATCCATGTCCACTCGCCAGACGGGGTGGCAACTTACTTATAACCGAACTTGGGACCAATGTCACCAACATAGACATTCTCCAGTGGCTGATGGGTCTCACCATCGCGGATCTGGACAACAAATGGGTGGGGGCCGTAGTTCTTGCCAGCAATTAACAGCTGTGCCATCACCACTGCATGATTTGCCGTGCGACCAAGGGACCCGATCCACCACTTGGATGCTGTGAGGGTAGGGGAGTGAATAATGAATGTCTTGTCTTGGGGATCCCAGGTCGCCGTAGTTTCCAATCCACGCACATTGGAACCGTGTCCCAGTTCTGTTTGAGCATAGCATCCGATGATCTCATACTTGAGAGCCCTCTCGTAGAATAGTTTCTGTTGTTCTGGAGTTCCTTGTTCTCGCAAAGTAACCTATCCGTTACCGTTAGTGCTGACACCAACGGGGAATCAAGCGAGGGGCAACCAGAGAAGGGAACACGGCTCACCAAAAACATAGACGCGTGTAGACCATAGGGATTCGGTTCCCCGATCAATTGATCGGCAACATAAACATCCTCGTCTGTCCAATTGTGTACCTTCTTCAGTTGCTGCAACCGCTTTCCCCGAGCCAATGCGACCTGGATCTTCTCGGTTCGGCCCAGGGTATGGTTCTGAGACTTGTCGAACACTTTCTCGGACATCAGAACCGCGAGAATACGATCCCGCTGGTCCAGAGCTTCTTTCGTATGCAGCAGCTCCCCCAATTTATCCACATTGACCTTCGATTTAGCACGTTCTTGTTCAAGCAGGGTGGTGCCTTGCGGTTCCGCGGGGCTCAGGGCCTGGACCCAGGCGGGAGGAGGATTAGGCATGGTGGGTGGATAAAGTATTGGGGGGTTGATGGGGGAGGAAAGAGGGAGAGGCAGCAGAGTGGGATTAAATAACAGCCCATTGACTCCACGGGGAAGAGGAATTTATGGTGACGCCAATATCCCAATTTGGGCCGAGGGAATCGCTCAATGTGGAAAGTGCCGAGGCCCAGAGCAGTGGTGGCCTTGGTGCCTGAGTCTGGGTCCCTGGCAGGGGGAAATCCCAATTGACTGTAAATTTATGTCCCTGGTGCTCGTAATCGAGGGAAATACGTGTCAGAAGAATGTCTATAGATTGTCTCGAGGACTAACTATAACCGTTGGCCTCTTCAGGACCTGCATGGTGGTTTCTGCAGTCAGTTCTTAGGGCTTCGTCTTCTACGGAGTAGAACCCGGTAAATCGACCGGGTTCATTACCAGCATCCCAGCTTATTGGGACCGACCGTTGGACGGAAGCTGACCTGCTGCGTATTAGATTATCAGATCGCAGCATCGGTAGATCTGGGGGGTTGCCTCTTATGGAAGAAGTTGCATATTGACTCGAAGTAGAATTCACGATGCTACACGGGACAACAGGCGATGCGATTGAATAGGGTCATTCGGGCAAATGACTCTATAGGGACTACATAGGTTCTGTCTTAATCTCAACTTTCTTTGCCGACTTCGAGTCAACTTTGGAAGCAACGGAGGATTGGATTCCCAAACGGATAATCCACAATCACATGCAATACAATTGTTGCGATCCACTCCCTCTTGACGTATTTCCAGCACGACAAAAAAAAGAATTATTACGGAGTAGTCTCACATGAGCGTTGATTGCCTCCTTCGCTACAACAGCTTGTCCGTCGTCTTTCGTTTTGTACGGGGCGCCCTTAGCAGCTTCACTTGATCCGTGTTGAGGCCAACCCTAATCCTGGCCCTGTTCCTCCGTATAACTGATGCTTCGAGTAACCAGCTGGTTTCTATATCAACTTGTCAATATAATTCATTGTTTTTGAAAGTCCAGTTAGAATACGACGCACATCCGGTTGGATGTTTCTAGAAGAGGTCTCGAGGGTGTATAGTTCCGAGCGCACCAATATATATATGTCCATCCCATCGTATCTGTACCACCCGCTTCCCAGAAGGTAGTTAAGAGTTACATGTTAGCCACCGGGAATGACGGCAAGATATTTAGATTACGAATATGAAAAGAATTCTCGGAATAGAAATCCATGTATCTTGGGAAGACTAGTCACAAAACCCAGGTATTTGTCTGCTATCCACCACCTATTTACAGACCTATACATTCACAACCTGGGCCTTATCCGGATGCTTGGTTCGGGAGACTTTGAAGCGATGAGCAATATACTCACCAACACGAACCTTCTCGTATTCTTTACCCTCCTCACGACAAGAGGGCAAGACCTCCAGTTCTGCATCGTCATCAAACGCATAAAAGAACGGAATCGAGTACCTCTCCTCGCCGGTCTTATTGATGACACGGTGAACAGTCGACTGGAAACGCCCGTTTGTGATGTGCTGCACGAAATCGGCAATGTTCACAACAAAAGTACGAGGAATAGGGGGAGCCGCAATCCAGATTCCGTTCTTGTTCAGAACCTCCAAGCCTCCAACATCTCCTTGACATAGAACCGTGAAGCAGGCAAAATCGGTATGAGCTGCAATGCCAGGCTCTTCCCCCCCACTGACTTCCTGAGGTGGATAATGCAATGGACGCACGTAGCCTGCTGGAAAGGTGCACATACTATCGAAGAAAGTTTCCTCCAAACCGAGAGCGAGGGCGAAAGTTCGAGTCAACAGCTTCGAGAACCGCTGCAAGTGATTGTAGTACTTTGTAACAGCAATACGGAAACGCTGGTTGTCTGGTGGCCAGTTATTGACCGAAGGCTGATCCGTTAGCGGTGGGAATGGGAGCTCCTGGTCGGGATCGCTCTTGTCGGGACCCATAAGGAAGGACTCCTTCATATCCCCGCGGGTTTTCGCGTCCAGCTTGGTTTCGAAGAGTGGCTCAAAGCCGCGGAATCCAATTTTCTTGTGGATATGCACTTCCATCTTGGATTCATGTGGCTGGGCGAAGAATTCCTTGATAGCGGCGAAAATCTCGTCGATGATTTCCTGGGGAACATCGTGGTTCTGGGCATAGAAGAAGCCGACCTCAGTGCAGGCTTTGGCCACTTTATCGGCCACTGCTTTGCGCGCTTCAAAGGAAGGCGACGTGATGTTGGTCACATCCACTAATGGAATTTCGTTGAAGGTTTCGTGGCCCTTGCCGCCTCTAATGACAGGACGACGGCCGGGGATACCTCCTTGGTGGTAGTACACATACTAGATAGAAGGTAATGTAAGCAGTGAAATCCCAAGACAGGAACCTAGGCATGGAACTAATGGATAACGAAAGTAGGTGTCAAATGAGGAGAGCGAGTGGACTGGATTTGCTTTACCTCCACTGGCTCTGTCTCCGTTTCAATCGCCATCTTGGATCAGTTCAATCCCCAAGGAAGGCGAAACAAAGCCTGCAATAGCACGAGGACACAATATGCTTGATTATCGAGTGTATACGGAACGGTGTACTATGCTCCCACAGGTACTCCGTAACTCTTTGTTCTTGCCGACTAGACTCTACATGATTTACAACGTAGGGCTTTATACTTCCAAGCTGATCTAAATTATGGGCCCATATGGATGACAAGAGACTTGCGATCCTGCGAAGGGATTTGTTTAGCGAAAATGGGCATCTCCAAGATGGTTCTAAGTTGCCCAGATGGTCTCGTTTCGGAGAACTATGTTACCACTCTACACTGGGTAAGAAAGAGTGTAGATATTCTTTAAAACCGACCAACCGGAAACATTTTCAATCAGCTAAGCCTGTTTAATTCCCACGCGGATGAATCTAACGAAGTATTAATAATTCTCCTGCCAGTCTCACACGTTGCCCTAAGAGGCACGTTTCGGTCATCGAGCATTACCCGATCGGGCAATAAAGATGTCGCTGAACGTTCTTCATAAGAAGGGAAAATATCAACTCTCGACGTAGCTTAAGGATTCTACCGTACACATTTCAAAGTAGTTCCTACAGTGACTGGAGTCTATTCTCGATCGTTTGGCTGACGGCGCCAACTACTTTCTTTCTTTCTTTCTTCTTCGTACACATCCAGCACAGCCACTGTAATACCTTGAGACATCCACGCTAGGAACAATGTCGGCAGAGCGTACAAGCAGCTCGGATGAGGCCCATAGTGACTTCGAGCCAAAGTCTCTTGAGGCAGGGACTCAGTCCGCCGCCCCAATTCCAATTCCCCCCCCAGCGGCCCCAGCCCAACAGTCACCAATCCCCAATGGTGGCACCACCGCGTGGTTACAGGTCCTGGGCGCTCATCTGTTGTTCTTCAACTCATGGTATGGAGTATCCCTGAAGACCTGCTTGCTGGAATATTTTGTGGTTTTATTAACATGAGAGACCAGGGGGATTGTCAATACGTTCGGAGTCTTCCAGGCGTACTATGAAAGTGATTTGCTAGCCCATGAGTCTTCATCCAACATCTCATGGATCGGCACGTTTCAGGGCTTCCTCTTGATTGTGTTCGGAAGTGTTACTGGACCAGTCTTTGACCTGGGGTACTTTCGGTCTACTCTATCCATCGGGGCTTTCCTCGTGGTCTTTGGGTTGATGATGACGAGTCTGGGAACTGAGTACTACCAGATATTTCTGGCACAAGGTCTATGTGTCGGGTTGGGTACTGGCTGTCTCTTCCTTCCGAGTGTTGCGATTGTGGCAACCTACTTTAGCACCAAGAGAGCTCTGGCAACAGGTATCACAGCCGCTGGTGGTAGCATCGGCAGCGTCATCTACCCCATTGTCTTCCGCAAGCTTTTGCCTCAGATCGGGTTCCCATGGGCCACGAGAGTGATTGGTTTCATTGCACTCTTTACTCTGAGCATCAGTGTACTTCTCATGAAGCCCCGCATGCCACCACCGAACAAGGCCCGGAGCTTGTTTGACCGTGGCGCGTTCCGGTCCACTCCATACGTCGTCTTCAGCATCGGCCTCTTCCTCGCCTTTATTGGCCTTTACATCCCGTTCTTCTACATTGTTCTTGCTGCAGAATACAGGTTCGGCGTCAACGAGGATTTGTCCAACTACCTGCTCTCTGTCCTGAACGCTGCATCTGTCTTCGGCCGTATTATTCCAGGTCTCCTGGCTGATAAATATGGGTCCCTGGAGATCCTGACCTACTGCACAATCTCGGCCGCTATCATGTCCTTCGCTTGGACCGCCGTCCACAATCTTGGTGGCCTGATCGTCTACTGTATCTTTTACGGTTTCCTGTCCGGTGCCGTCGTGTCTCTGCCCACCACCGTGGTTGCGGGATTAGTGCCTGAGCTCCGACTGATTGGAACCTGGATGGGAATGAGTTTCAGTTTCGCTGGCCTTGGACTGCTGATTGGCAATCCTATTGCGGGTACAATCATCAACGTCGGCCAAAATAAGTTTTCGGGAGGCTTCATCTTTTCAGCCAGCACTGTCATTGCCGCGGGTGTCATTTTCGTGGGAGTTGGGGCCTATCGACCTGCTTCTTTCAAGTGGTGGAAGAAGGTTACTGGCACGCAAAGAGAGGTACAACAATAGAATCATGGCCCTTGGAAACCACAGAGCATGGAAGTATATATAAAGAACCATCATTGCAGAAGGGAGGAGATCGCATAGCCGGGGGGAGTTGGTTGTGAGCGAGTTGTGTTACAAAATACCTTGATAGATTGGATCAGAATAGTTTTATAATTTCTCCATAATCGATAGTTTTCTACACAGATTTATTAATCTGAGGCTTACCTACATATCTTTACCAGTATTGCATATCGATCACGTCCCGGAACATCTTGACTACAGCGTAGAGGTTAAATGAAGCTTCCGCCTCTCGTTGCTAAGATATACTAAGTAAATCAACCAGATTGCATTGTATAGCGTAAGATTTGCCATTCGTAAATAGAATTTATTGTCGGCATATAGATCGGTCTGAATCGCCGCACGAGAGAGAAAAATTGACTTGAAAAATTTGTATCTATGAGTCTCCTAGTTCATATTCATTCCTGCCACCGCAAGAAGCTATGCCACGGCCAACCTCTGCATTCTATAGGACTGGGACGCTCGGCTTTCTTTCATTTGTCTGCCTTCGTCAGCGCTGTACCGTCACTAGAAAGAGAGCATCATATCACACCGGACAAATACTCATTGAGCCCATTCTCGGTACCCTTCACATGGAATCCTCCCTTTCCACCCTCCAGCAGGAACTTCGTTCCCTCATACAGATCGACGTGCCAGGTCTGGGCAGCGCGGAGCTCTTGAAATCGCCAGAATCCATGTGGCAAGCCGTCGTACATATCAATCTTCGTCTCAGCGCCAGAGTGCTCGCGCAGGAGTTTGGCAAACAGAATAGCCTCGTCACGAATAGGATCTAACCCTGCAATTTGGAAGTATGCCCGGGTGGGCAAACCCGAATGATCAGGATGCAGAAGAAACGATATTCTCGGGTCGTCGGGAGGAGCTTGACAGATATCTGTGTGTGTGTGTCTTCAGCGCAGTTCCTGCACATTGGCTTGTGCAAAACTAGACCGAGGGAAACCTACCTTCGATGAGTTGCTTGTAGGACCGCACATCCAACATATCCGAATCTTTGTTTTGTTCAATACTCCGGAGGTCGTCTTTCCACTGCGGTACCAGATGGAAGGCTTGAGGCATCAGGCAGCAAGGGATCGAGAGCAAAAGCCCTGTAATCGGTGGCTGGAGGCCTTCATCTCGAGCAGCATAAGCCAGCGCTCCAGCAAAGTTTCCGCCAGCGGAAACCCCTCCAACAAGGAACCCTTTACTCAGGTCTCCGCCAAAGGTAGCCGCGTTCTTCGTGGTCCATCGCAGTGCGTCGTAAGCGTCTTCGAATCCTTTGGGAAAGATGTACTTGGGCGCCAGGCGGTAATCAACATTGAGAACAGCTAGGCCATTACGAGCAGCCAGAAGACGGCAGTTATCATCTCCAGTTTCAATGTTACCAAACGTGTATCCGCCCCCGTGGTAGTAGACAAAGACGGGGTAAGTTGAAATCCCGTCTGCCGCTGGTGCTCTGGGGGTGTACGATCTCACGAGGATCTCATACCCGTCACGAGCAGGAATATGGAAATCTCTCACGTCAAGTTCATCATTGCCGGGTATCTTGCGAAGCTGAGGTCCCTCCGCAGCTAATTTCTGGAATGCAGCGCGACGCTGAATGATGTGGTCATCGCTTCCTCTGAAGTCGCGCAGCACCGCTTGGGACTGCACGAACCGCTCCCACTGGGGGTTGATATGTGAGAATCTCGCGTACTCGGCCATTTTTGTTGCGTTTATTCTAGCAGGATTATTTCTATAGAGAGGAAACGAAAAGCGAAGACTGTACGGGGATTCTTTTAAAGCTGATCTGAGTGGCTTAGACTATCTTCCAGATGCGTGTTACATCCATCTACTTCTCAAATTTCAATTTCCTCATGGCGTTATTGTTCTCGCAATGTAAGCGAGCGCGAAGGTGGTGATGGCTAATGAAAGATTACCACACCTCATTAGATTATAATTCACACCCAAAATTTACCTCATTTGTCGCTGACGATGCCAAATCGGTGGTCGAGGCCTACCATGTCGGGTAAGATTGGTCCATCAGCGTAGACGGCTTTGGCCCGAACTACACACTGCGATATCGGTGCTCTTCAGTCCGTTGTATTACTGGATATGGCTTTCAGTCCTTAATTTCTAAAAAGGTTTCGTTGCGAGTACGAGTGTCAATTGGGCTGTGTGATAGCTTAGCCCTATGTCGGATGGTCATACACAGTGCAAGCTCCCTCAGCCACCAGCAACGGCAGCAACGATAATGCTATAGACAGGCCGATACTACTTAGGTCATGGCATTCCCGGACAGCCGTTTCGGTTGACTGAGTGCTTCGCATTGTGACGTGTAGATATCTCTTTCCTTCTCTTTCACGTGTACCGTTGCGGTGCAGATTCGTTCCAATGAGTCCCTCAAGCATGTATGCAATGGCGACGGATGGCTCCTGCAATAACTTACGGAGAGCAAATGAGTATTCAGAGGTATAACATTCCCCGTCCCATTCATATTTGATCTCTCCTGGCGCAAGCTAAACAAGATAGATCGTCCGGTCGGTGCAAGAACTAGTGGAGTCGTTTTTCGAGGCAGCAGAAAATGATGTCGATAGCCTTGAGACCGGCAACGGCCTTCAAGCTGGGAGCACCCCGAATCACACAACTTTGGAGGCTCATGTGCGGGAGGACCTTCGCTCTGCCCTTGCACTATCGCTGCCCACGGCGGGCTTGGGTCATACAGACCTGGTGTCTACGGCCGAATCTCTTTTACAGCATTCGGTGAATACTTCGTCCCCAGCATTCCTGGACAAGCTGTGGTCAGCTCCCTCGGTACCGGGAATCGCAGCTGACGTTCTGCTGTCTTCTCTGAATGGGAATGCCCATGTGTTCCGGGTTTCGCCCGCATTCACCTTTGTAGAGAAACATGTGGGCAAGGAGCTGGCAAAGCTCTTCGGTCTCGATGGCCCGTACGCTGGAGGCATTACCTTTCCAGGCGGCGCAGCATCTAACACCACCGCGCTTCTGGTAGCTCGCAACGTCCGTTTTCCAGAACTGAAGAACTCGGGCCTCATTGCATCTCCTAGGCCGCTTGCGGTTTTTGTCTCTGAAGCAGCGCATTATTCCATGATCACCGCTGCTGGACTGCTAGGAATCGGCCTTGCGTCAGTTCGGAAGATCCGCACTACCGAGGCGGGCACCATGGATCCCGCAGCTCTGAAAGCAGAGCTTCAAGCCGCCGTGGATGCGGGCCACATTCCATTGTTCGTTGGCGCAACGGCTGGAACCACTGTGCGTGGAGCATACGACCCTCTCCGTGAGATTGGAGCGCTAGCACATGAGTATGGTGCTTGGTTCCATGTCGACGGATGCTTTGGAGGAGCCGCGATTTTCTCCGAAAAGCTCAAGTACAGGCTAGACGGGAGTGAGCTTGCCGATAGCATTGCGTTCAATCCACACAAGCTATTAGGCGTGCCGCAGATATGCTCTTTCCTGCTGGCCAAAGACCTAAAGACCTTGTGGTTTGCAAATCGGCTAGAGGCCGGGTATTTGTTCCACGATGATGACTTGGATAGCGCTTTCGGAGTTAACAACATATTCAACGGCAATGCAGCGAATGGCTCTAAACAGAGTAGTCACAGTGATAATACCAATGCTCATTGGCGTTCGTCAAGAGGCTTGCTCGAGGCTCCGGACCCAAACCGTGTCTACGATCTCGCATCGTTTACACCCCAGTGCGGCCGACGCCCAGACTCCCTCAAGCTGTACTTCCACTGGCGCTATTACGGAACAGAAGGCATTGCAAAGCAAGTAGAGGCTGCATACGAGGGCGCTCAGTATCTGAGCAAGCTAATCGCAGCAAGTCCCAGCCTGGTTCTTGTGGGAAAGAACTATGAAGTTCCCTGCACTCAGGTGTGTTTTTACTATGACCGGCCATCGAGCGCGGTCAGCCTCAGTGAACAACAAGAGGCCGAGCAGAATACCCACTATACGCGGCTTATTGCCTCGGGCCTTGAGAAACGGGGATGGATGGTTGATTTCGCTCCAGGATCTGGTCGGAACGGGGAGAGAGGTCACTTTGTACGAATAGTCTGCAACAGGACAACTACGCCAACGGTCTGTAACGGCTTGATGAAAGCTATCCTAGATATTACTGCCGATGTCGCTCGCAACGATGTTTAGATAGATTGGTATTGGCTTTCACTTGATAGACAATGCATTTCATTTTTGGCACCTCGGAACACAGTGATTCTCAGCGGATTCTGTCAATGATGATTCATTTACACAATTCAAACAGATCTATGCCTAGGAACCAATGCAATGGGTAACTACTATCTTTGAAATTGCCACATAGTTATAGGGTAGAGATTTCTACTTGCGATCCCCTTTCCCCTTGACAGTCTTTTGTGCCAACAGCCTCAACTCCGTCTTCAATACCTTACCACTGGCATTCACAGGTAATCCGAATGGCAAACCGGTTTCCTCCGAGGCAATGAAAAAGTAGTCCGGCATCTTATGAGGGGCCAGGTCATGCTTTCGCAGCCAAAGCTTCAGCTCCTTTTCCGCCAAAGTGCCTTGGGAGCCCGACTCCTCTTGCACAAACGTAGCGATATTTTCACCCCATTTAGGGTCGGGAACCCCAACGACTGCCACATTGGAAACCGCAGGATGAGTCGCGATAATCTCTTCGATGTCTTTTGGAACAATATTCTCACCACCTGCACCAGATAAGCCCTTTTGTATTGCGTTACTGGGTGGAATACAGCTTACCCTTTTTGATCATATCCTTGACCCTTCCGAGAACCGTGCATGTGCCATCCGGAGAAAGGGAGACGATATCACCGGTATATAACCAGGTCGTTCCATTCTCATCAACGCGCACAACTTCCGCACTCTTTTCCGGGGCCTTATAGTATCCCTGGTGGACAAGATACCCGGAAACACAGAGTTCGCCGGGGCTCCCTGGAGGAAGTACATGTCCATACGCATCGATAACCTTGACGGATGTATGTGGTAGTGGTTTCCCCACGGTAGTCCAGTTAGACAGAAGGGATGTCTCTCTGGTTGTTGACAAGCTGACTGCGGACAATTCGGTCATACCGAACGGGTATATCAAACCACTCAAGCCCAGGCGGTCATTTATCTTCTGGAGCAGATCTCGGGATAGACTTGCTCCAGCGATGACACCAGTTCGAAGACAAAGCTGGGAAAACAACTTATCCAGCGCTTCCTGGTCAAGAATACTTTGGAACATGGTCGGTACTGCGTTCACTACCGTGCATCTTTCCTTGACAAGCGATTCGATCACCTTGGCTGGATCAAAGACTTCAGACGGAAGCACCAATGTACTTCCATGAGAGAGCGATGCCAGGAGTCCACAGACAAGCCCAAAGCAGTGAAAGAGTGGTGGAGGGCAGCAGAGTATGTCCTTTTCTGTGAGGCCCAACAAATCCCCAACTAGTCTGCCATTATTGATGAAGTTCCTAATTTGAATGTTAGTCACCTGGCTGCAGCAGTGTCTTTTTTTTTTTTTTTTTTTCTTTTGAGGGAGATAGCCCACCTATGAGACAACATCGAAGCCTTCCTTGGTCCTGTTGTCCCGCTGGTAAACTGAAAGCAGCACACATCTTCCGGCGCTACGTGGGTGTCCTCGTGCACATGGTCCTCGCCGAGCGTCTTGCCGCGCTCGAGAAACTGGTCGTAGGATAGTGCAGTGCCATACTCAGAAGTTTGGGCGCCAAAATAGATCAGTTGTGGCAGTTTCTCTGGAGTGCCGGTTGCAGCGGAGACCATTTGAATCATCTTGTCATTTTTGCGAAAGCCGATCCGTCGTGACACGAACACCATTCGAGGTTCTATACGAGATATCAGTACTGCTTTGAGAGTCCATGGTCTACTCTCAATGCTGGCCACGTACCTATGAGCTCAACAGCAGCGGATACCTCCTTGATAGTAAACATAGGGTTGATAATCGTGAATATAGCACCGATGTACGTTGTTGCCAGGTAAAGGTGAACAAATTCAATGCTGTTCCCAGCGAGAACCATGAGACGGTCACCATGTTGAACTCCAAACGCCAACAAACCCCTTGCAAGGGATTGGACGTCCTGCTGGAGCTCTTGGTATGTTGACCTCTTCCCCTGCCAGGAGGAGATTATAGCAGTATGGGTAGGGTAGTTCAGCGCCCCAAACTGTATGAGCTGAGCAGTATCCCAGTCCAAGAGTGGTGGTTCTTTTGGACCATGGAATACCCATGCAGACTCTTCAGAGCCGTTTTTGGTCAGTTCAATAGCCATAGCTTCTTTTCTAGCGGTGGTGTAGCCGGTAGTCCAGTTACAGCACTGTTGCTGATGGCTACTCGAGATATTACGTTGCCCTTTGTAGTTACCATCGAGTAGCAACAAGATCACAGAGCATGAAACACAGCCACAGATGTAACCAGCACTCTGACGCCGGAGTCGGTCCATTTCTCTTAACTGTTTACCCCCTTGGGATGGCCCTTCTCATTAGTTATTAGACCCTGTTCGCTAACCGATTTCGTTCTTACCTCCTAGGGCTTGTCTTAGTCTGCTCCCGTCGCAACGGGGCGCCATCACTCGGCAGCCTAAACCAAGTCGCTGGCTGTGCTAAGCCCTGATTCCCCACCAAGTAAGCCCGAGATGACTACCCAGGCAGTATAACTGAAGTTGTATGCAAGGTAAAACCCCAGGGAGCCCAGTAGCTGGTCGTCGAAGTATGGCAAGCAGCCTTGCAGCCCTTCTCAGTTTTCTTGTTCTCGGTTCAACACTCTCTTTCTTGAGGGCTACGGAAAATGCAAGAATCTGTTCGCAGTTTACTCTCGAGCAGTGCCTCTGCTACTCTCGATAGTGGTCTCACCTCTTCTGTATCATCTATTTTGACCGTTTCCGAGCACCTCGACTCGGTAACGAATATTCTGCGAGACCTGTGGGCAGAAATTCTGAATGAGGACCCAGAAGACATCCAGGAAGATACATCCTTCTTTGACCTCGGCGGCGACTCGGTGTTAGCTTCAGAATTAATCTCTCTGGCCAAACAGAAATCCCTAGGGCTCAATATTCAAGATGTGTTCGAGTACCCAGCTTTGCACGAGATGGCTACGAAATCGTATCCTCTTGTTGAGCAACGTGAGCGGAGCTTGGGAGTGCCAGCATTCTCATTACTACGACATCACAACACCGAGGATGATTCTATTCAAACACTCCGCTCCAAGATTGCAGAGAAGTGTGCTGTTCACGAAAATCAAATCGAAGACATCTATCCATGCTCCCCTCTCCAAGAAGCCATGATAGCGGTCTCACAAGGGGGGAGGGATAGTTACATGACACAACTTGTTTATTCGTTAGATCCAGAGCTAGATCTTCAAAGGCTCAGGCAAGCGTGGGACACAACTGTTCAGTCCAATCCAGTCCTGCGCACTCGTCTCATTCAAGAACCGCCTTACGGGATGCTACAATGTGTTATTCAGATGAGCGTTGACTGGGCAGAAGCGGACTCACTCGAAGCTTACGTGCTGGAGGACCGCAAAGACTCCATGCTTGAGGCTGATGGTCTCCTCCGCTCTGCCCTAATCCACGAGGCGTCGTCGTCTAACCAACGATATCTGGTTATTACAGTGCACCACGCCATTCTTGACGCCACATCCCTCACCTACATCCTGGATGACCTGGTCAATGTTTATAATGGAGAGTCAGATAGTCTCAATAGACCAATGTTCAACAGCTTTATTCAACAAATACAACAAACCGACATGGGAGCCGCGGATGAGTTTTGGTCTCGGCAAGTAAAAGAAGCCAGTTCTTCACCTTTCCCAGTCTTGCCAAACAAGGAATTCAAGCCCATCGCGTCTGCCCGCTTTGTTCGATCTTTTCAATTTGACTGGCAGAATCCGTTTGATCTTACCAAGTCCCTGCTGATCAGAGCTGCATGGGGGATCTTGTTATCCCTACGATCACATAACAGCGACGTGAGCTTCGCAGCAACGCTCAGTGGTCGTTCCGCGTTCGAGGGCATTGTCAGAGATGTTGCCGGCCCGCTGATCACTGCTGTTCCAATTAGAATCGACCTTGATGACGATCTTACCGTGGCCGTTTTCCTGCAGCAGATTCGGCAGCAGGCGATCGATATGATGCCGTTCGAACAATACGGGAGCTTAAACGTTCGCCGACGCCACGGAGATTCTGGCATACGGGCCACTGACTTCCAGAATCTCCTACTTGTGCAGATGGATTCTGAGGATGTTGCCCGCGAAACGCTTGCCAGAATTGGGGTTTCCCCAGTGGAGGGGGTTGGTCTACCATTTGAATATGACTTTGCGCTTGTAAACGAATGCACCCCAGCTCAAGATTCCTACCGGGTCTGCTTATGGTATGATCCTAGGATTCTCACCGAGCAGTCAGTGGAAATTCTGGCATCACAGCTTCACGCGATTCTTGATCAACTATGCCATGCCGCGCCACAAACTCCAGTGCACGCTATTCGATGCTTCAATGAATTAGATCGTGCGCAGATCCAAAGTTGGAATCAGTCTCAACCAAGTGCTGTCAGAGACACAGCCCATGCCATGTTCGAGCGACAGGCGTGGTTGACTCCGAAGGCTCTAGCCTTGCGCGCCTGGGATGGGGATATGACATTCGAAGAACTCAACTCCCAGTCTTCTAGGTTAGCCGCCCATCTAGTCTCCCTCAACGTACGACCCGGCGTGTTAGTTCCTCTTTGCTTTGAAAAGTCCCGATGGATGACAATTTCCATTCTTGCTGTGCTTAAAGCAGGGGGTGCTTGGGTTCCTCTTGATCATAAATTTCCCATGGACCGATTAAGACAAATCACGAGGATGGCCAATGCCACACTTATTGTGTGCTCCCAAAGTGCAGCCGAAAGGATGAAGAACTTATCTGAGACGGTCGTTGTAGCCGAGACGATCTCCGAGCAGCCAGATGTTTCTATGCCCTCTTCACGCTCAAGTGCTGCAACTGACTCATCGTCCGGGCCCGATGACACTGCATATGTGCTTTTCACCTCAGGGAGCACTGGCGAACCCAAAGGAGTCGTGATGTCTCATGGTTCACTCTGTACCGGGATCGTCGAACAGGGTCGCGCCCTTGGCTGCAGTTCAAAATGGCGCTCTCTTCAGTTCTCTGCCCACACCTTCGATCCCAGCATCAGTGAAGGTCTCATGACTCTATGTCATGGCGGGTGCGTCTGCGTCCCTTCTGAAGAAGCGCGACTGAATGATCTGCCGGGAGTTATTCGCGAATTAGACGTGAACTGTGCACAATTGACCCCGTCAGTCGCCCATGTCATCAGCCCCGAGGAGGTCCCATCGCTAAAGACCCTCATATTTGTCGGAGAAGCCGCCAACAGCGACAATGTCGCCCGATGGGCTGGTAAACTCCAGCTCATTAACGCTTATGGTCCTACTGAAACCTGCATCTACTGTTCCGTCAAAGACGATTTCACGACGAACACTAGTCCCACATCCGTGGGAAAGGCATGTGGTGGTAACAACTGGATCGTGGAAGCAGATAATCATGAGCAGCTTGCTGCAGTTGGCTGCGTGGGGGAAGTAGTCGTCTCCGGTCCCTCACTGGGCAAAGGGTATTTGGACAATGAGATCGCAACATCTGCGGCCTTCGTGACATGTTCGTGGCTCAAGGGAATGCAGCCTTTCGCAGCATCATCTAACCGATTATACCGCACGGGAGACCTGGCTTTCTACAACGTGGATGGGTCCATGCAGCTAGTCGGGCGAAAGGATAATCAGGTCAAGGTCCGGGGCAATCGTGTCGAACTGGGCGAAGTAGAGCGTCGGTTAAACAGATTGAGCTCAATCACAACGATCATGGCCTGTGTCCCCAAAGCCGGTCCCCTACAGCGACAACTCATCACAGTCTTCTCGTTATCCGAGAACGATTTATCCAACCGCAAGGAGATTACCCTTCGGTTATCTGATGACTTCTCTTCCCCTGGTACGAAAAGCTTCCTCAAACAGCTGAGAGAGCGATTGTCCCGTGAGGTGCCAGGTTACATGATACCGTCTTATTGGGTGGTTGTTGAGGAGATACCGTTGAATAATTCTGGCAAACTCGATCGAAAGGCTGTAAGACAGTGGATAGAAGCTATAGACGAGTCACAAGCAGCCTTGATCACCCAGGATATTCTTAGCGAGTCCGACACCACAGACGATATCCCGGAACAACACACCGATATCTATGAGATACTCCGGAAAGTTTGGGGTGAGGTCCTTGACTTTGAAGTGGATAGGATTACTCCCCATACTTCCTTCTTCACCTTGAATGGCAACTCACTATCGGCCATCAAAGTCGTGGCATTGAGTAAAAAGCACGGATTGAACTTCACAGTCCAGGATCTTCTGTTAGGTAGAACCCTAGCGAGGCTTTGCGAGGTCGTCGAAGTACTCGATAACAGCGCGAGTTCGGCTACCGAATTTTCTCTTGCGCCGTCCCAGGAATACCTACTCTCTTTATATGATGATTCAACCGCGAATATACCAGAGCACCGCAGCTCTTTGCTTCAAACGCTTGTGGAATTACCTCATACAGCCATTCAGAGAGCTTTTGTTAAGCTGATTCAAGTTCACCCAATGTTACGTGCGCGGTTTTTAACCGTAGATGGGACTTGGAAGTACCGACTAGCCGATTCTCAAGGTTCCTACCGGCTATTGTTCACCCAGAGTCGCGCCATCAACGAAGAGGAGCAAGACGCCATTGTGCGTACGGCGCACTCCAGTATTGATATCAAGACTGGCCCAATATTCTCTGGTGATGTCTTTCGAACTGAAGCGGGATCTTTCATGTATATTGTGGCCCATAGGCTGGCTGTTGACGAGCATTCTTGGAATGCAATCCGCGCTCACCTACAACGCTTCTTGATTACAAAAGAAGATATCTCAGTGGGGTCTACATTTCAGCAGTGGAAGCAAAAGATCAGTGACTTTGTACCCAAATTGCCGGCTCAACTGGAATTGCAAGCAGAGAGGTTGGAGTACTGGGGGTTAACACCGACTGAGCGTCCTCTGCGGCAAGATACAAAACACCACTTCGCAATGGATATATCCAGCCTGTCGCCTTCCAGTGATGCTCTCGAGTATCCTTTAATCCAGGCAATGCAGGATAAAGTGTCAGCGGCGCTTCTATATTCATTCCACCAAGTTTTTGTCGAGTATCAAACGCCCCTAGTTCACATCGAGAAGGATGGTAGATATTTGGTGCAGAACAGCACTGAATTTTTGGATACTGTCGGTCCATTCTCCATTATCCATACAGTCCCCACGGCCTCTATGGATAGTTCCCAGCAGCAGGTATCGGCAGAGCACATTTTGAGTACAATCAAAAATTCACCGCAAATGTTCAGCAATGCAACCGGGGCACACACCAAGCATCCTGACATTTTCATCCGCTATAGGCCATCTCGCACTGGTGGTCAGGATGATTCCTTCTTTTATGAGATTGATAACTTTGCCCAGAATTGGATGTACAGTTCGGGCTCTGGTCTCGTGGATATCGACATCGAGTTGTCGGGCAGTTTACTGTCATTTGATCTCTACTTTCACTCGACTATCAAAGCTCAAGACCTCATTTTTAACTGGGCATCGAAAACAAGGGAAATTTTGGAACGCGCAAAGGATGATCGGTCATTGAAATGCTTAGACATATCCGCACCAGTCTTCCCACTGCTGTCACTTGATAGTGAGAGCATGAAGAAACTCACGCTTGAGATCCTTCCCCAGCTTCCGGGCGGTACTGACAACGTGGAGGATATATATCCTTGCTCTTCCATGCAGTTGCACATATTGCAATATCAGTCCCACAATTCCCGTTTGTTTTCGCTGGAACTGACCTTCGAGATTGGCTCAAACACGGCTTCTCCTATTGACCCAGAACGGCTTGCGGAAGCCTGGGAAAGGATAGTTAATAGACACAGCATCTTAAGAACAGTCTTCGTTCAACCCGGTGCAAATAACACTCCAGTTCAGGTGGTTCTCCGGACTATTGCAAATACGGTATCAATCCGAGACCCTTTGGACCCAGTCGAAGAGAGTCCAAGTACCATCCCGCATGGCAGACTACCCCGCTTGACGATTTTCGCGTTGCCCTCAGGAGCTGTGTCTTGTGAATTGCAAATCAGCCATGCGTTGACTGACGGATGGACCAATTCGCTCTTTCAACGAGAGCTTGTACAGGAGTATCTCAACTTTGACCATCATGGCCCCGTTACGCCGTATCGGTCTTTCATTGCACGCAGCGTGGCCACAGACAAGGAGACTGATGTAGCTTTCTGGGTGGAGAGGTTGAAAGACTGTAGTCCTTGCAGTATAAAATGCCTCACCCCTGGTCCTGTCTTTGACCCTTCCAGCCCTGCTTCGGTTTGTGCCCTGGACCTACCGAGTACTCTTCTCGATGACTTCTCCAGCTTCTGCAATTACAATGGAGTGACTACAACAACAGTGATTGATCTGGCATGGGCCTTGACATTAGAGGTCCTAACAAACAATAGTGAGGTTCTCTATGGTCACATAGTCTCCGGCCAAGCTCGCAGCCTGCCGGAACTATATACAACCGCTGGCCCAACGTTGAATATGCTGGCCACACGCATCAACCTCAGTCAGAATACTCTTCCAGAGATGGCACATGCGCTCCAGGCGTTCAAATTGGAAGCCCTCAACCACGATTCTTGCAGCCCCTCTGAGCTTGAGCAAGTCTTGGGCACAACACATCTATACAACACCGCCGTGAATATCTCCCTGGATCATCAGCCACTGCCAGACTCAGAACTCTACTTGAGACATATTAGCTTGGAGGACCCTTGGGATGTAAGTTGCCCATTTCTATAACCGCCTTCCGTGCGTGGTATTCTAACTACTTGTTGAGATACAGTTGGACATCGTTCTGCGTGCATGGACAGTCAAGGAGACCATTTACTTTCGGGTCGAATACAAGCCCTCGGAATTCTCGTTCCATGAGATCGGCAGAATTTCAGATTGTTTCTGGGCTCATTTGTGTCTCTTCGCCCGACAGCAGCTCAACAGCCAAACTTTCTATCAGAGAATAGCCACCCGTGTGGCGTTGCTAGCCCAGGGAAGATAGTATAGATAGTATATGGTTTCTTGGAGGGGAGTTACATATTTTCAGTTAATAGATCACTTAGAGTATGAGTTTTTTTTTTGTATACAAATTGTTATTGCGATATTATTTTTGTCAATTCTAGTACTCGTTCAAAAGAAGCCTGGAAAACAAAACCTATTGGTCCATTGCAAGGGCCATCAGTAAAGCTAATATCAGATAATGCGTCAGAAACGTTCTTAGATACAAAATGGAGGGATCCATCTATTCGACTGAGGAGGAAAACAATGGTACGGGGTGGGATTTCTGCTTGTAGCAAGCCGGTTAATTCCCAGAATTGCCATTCAGGGCTGAGAGATTCAACTAGCGTTTACGTGAGATCTATAGAGCACTATTATACCTTATTGAGTAAGTCACTTCGCGAGGCTTTGTGAGGCAAGCGTATTCGTTGACCGAATATGTATCGCACTGTGGTTTCGAATACGCTCGCTTCTCATAGATTTGCCTCGCGTTCAAGGTCAAGTAACATGGACTCTTTTGGGGAAGTTGGTAGAGCTACATTGAATGCATAGCCCGCGTCATGGAGTAGATATATGTACCCTTGGTTTGTCTTCGTTAGCTCTATTCATGTGCTTTCGCCCAAATCATCACATCCATCGTCAGAAAGCCCAAGGCAGTCTATTAGGTCGAGCAGCGGAAATTGCTGTGCTATAAGCAAGATGTCTGTACAGCTGCCAGCTCTCAACACTCCATGGTCGGAACCCAGTCGAAAGGCCAAAGACAGTGCAGTCACTGTTGCTGAAAAAGAAGCTCCACGAGAGGTGGAATGGTACCAGCCAGTCATGAAAAAACTCCCATCGAGCACGGTAGAGGTCTTCGTGAACTATGCCGGGCTTGCAGACGAGGATGAGACTGTTCAGCATATTTACGCTGTGCGTGATAAGGCATGGGATGTGTAAGTTTCTACTCTACAGGAGTCAACGGTATCGATCTAACGGTTTCTGCTCATCAGCCTTCCCTACCCATGCATCGGATTGTTCCGGTTTCTAGACTTTAGCATTCATCTTTCCCCGATTTACCCCACGGTCGTGGATCGGCTACGCACCGGAGAGACCCTGCTCGATCTCGGGTGCTGTCTTGGGCAAGACCTCCGCAAGGCGGCCTACGACTCTGGTATTTCCACCAACCTGATCGGAGCTGATATTGAAGCCCCATTCCTTGAACTCGGGTACGAACTCTTTCGGGACCGAAGCCACTTCCAAGGCGAACTTCGTGCCGGAAGCATCTTTGACGAAGATTTCTTGTCCGACAAGCACGGCAAGGTTAATATGATTTATTTGGGAAGCTTCCTTCACCTATTCAATACGGAACAACAAGCTACCATCGTTGCCAAGCTGGAGAAGCTGCTATGTCCGGGCCCCGGAGCGTTGGTGTTTGGTCGCAACTTGGGTGCAGAGCAGGGAGGCGAGTTCCACATGGAGAGCATTGGATGGGATCTCTACCGTCACAGCAGCGACACCATGCAGGATCTGTGGGTCAGCGCCGGGAGTCGTCAATGGAAGGTGGAAAGTAGCCTGAGCCGTTACGAATCTGCAGCTTGGGACGACAGCCGCAGAACTTGGCAGGGAGATGGGACAAAGCAAATGATGTTCTCTGCCGTCAGTCTCTAGGTCCATCTTAGATATCTCTTGGGTCTATCCCCCGCATATGATAGATATAGAAAGTATGTGAAATAGAGACTACAATTTATTGGACTGATTCAGTTGTTATTATGCTGCTCTAAATCATTTGGTAGACTCGTACACACCAAGCCCCTATTCAAGAGAAACAGAACTGTGCCTTCAGTAGTGTTTCTTTTCCCCGTGGGCTACTTTTTCCCTATGTATACTTTGACATTAGACACATCCTCTATCAGCAAGGGTCTCAAACACTGGTGATTCGTCCCCATTTTTTGAACTCAACCTATGGGAACGTATCTGATTACCAATACCAATTCTCTCAACTCGTTAACTACTCATCTTTGGCCACATTTAGTTCATATTCTTCCGAGCTTTCGTTGTGGTGACAAAAAGTCTCCGTTCCGCGATCAGATTACCCGATTGGGCAAGATACCCTAATCTAGATTGAATTACCCCATCGGGTAACTATATAGGGTTACCGCTGAGTACGATAGAGTCCGGGGCATTTATTTTTGGCAGTGCTGCAGCTGGGCAGATGAAGGAGACTGAGGATAATACCATACTCGAAGCGACGACTACATCCGTATGTACTTGTTTTGGAATCCTCCGCTACCTCGCAACCCCTCGATCCTGCACTACCAGGAAACAGTATGCACCACACCCGGAGATAGGGAGCTAATGGTTTTGTATATCGTCAACGGAAAACCTCCCCATTCACAATTACCCCCTCAAGTAGGCGATAGTCCAGCTCCATTCGGTGGCTGGGGTAGCGTCGCAAAAGTAAACGACCTGACATTTGCAGCCTTGCAGAATAAAATTCGCTGGCCCCCAGCAGCTCTCATGCGGTGTGATATCAGAATCCCAGACGGATATTTGAGACACATCGACCTGTCGGGTACATCTACGTGTGCTTTGAAATCACAAAGAGAAAAATGGTTTTAAGTGTTGATCTTCTGCCATCTGATGGTATTTCAACCATACTATTCACAGCGCTCTGCACCGGCTTTGTAGGGCTACTTATTGTACGTTTAGCACCCTCCCTTATAATTGACCCAACCCTGGCCTAATTCCCTTGCTCAGCATATTGAGTGGACTGCTCGACAAAATCCCCTGTCGTCCCTTCCAGGACCGTGGATTTCCAAATACACAGAGGGTCTTCTGACCTTTTACTGGCTAACAGCTCGTCGTACGACTTACGTGGACTCTCTTCACAAGCAATATGGTGCGTAAATAGTGTTCCATGTTGTAGATCTGCAGCAAACGGGACTGACTCAAATTAGGTCCCTTGGTTCGAATCAGCCCAACGGAGGTCGACGTGGCGGATGTCAATGCCGTCAGAGAAATCCACAAAGTAGGGGGTCGATACTGGAAGTCCGAATGGTATCGCAGAGTTGTCCCAGTGGGAGTTGAGAACATCTTCAGCTCGGTTGACCCTCAAATCCACGCCGTTCATCGCCGGCTCCTATCAGCACCCATCGCGGAGGCGAATCTTAAGCAATTTGAGCCGATTATTGACGAGCGAATCCAGTTAACTATTCGAAAAATCAAGGATGAGCTTCACACCCGAGGTGCTGCGGACGTCTTCAAGTGGTTCAATTTTATGTCGACTGATATTGTGGGTGAATTGACCTTTGGCGAGTCATTTCGTATGCTTGAATATGGCAAGGTATTTTTCTCCCCCCGTTATATTGGCCTCGCCGACATGGAAGTTTGGGCTGAAGAATGCCGCAGAAAAATCAATATTTCCTAGATATCCAAAACACAGCATCAATGCACCCAATCCGCACCACATTCCCTTTCCTGATGAGATGGAATCAATATTTCCCAATCCCGTTTATCCGCAGCGCGGCCGCAGCATCGAGGAGACTTGCTGTGTACGCGGAGCAATCGATCCAGCGTTACAAAAATATGATCTCGTTAAATCCTACCAACCCCAAGCAAACTCTCTTCACCAAGCTATTTGATGCGGGTGAGGACGGCCTCACCGACTCGGAAATCCGATACAATGCACACGCCTACATTGTTGCAGGGAGTGACACAACAGCAGTCACTTTAACTTACCTGGTCTATGCGGTGTTGAAGCACGAACATGTTAAGCAAAAGCTGCTCGCCGAACTCCGCGAACTGCCAGTAGATCCCACCGACAAAGACCTTCGCGATCTTCCATATCTCAACCGCGTTATCCAAGAGACTCTGCGAGTATACTCTGTCGTTCCATCGGCACTCCCTCGCGTTGTTCCACCCGAGGGAGCAACACTAGCAGGGCATTCACTACCCGGAGGTACGGTTGTTTCAACACAGGCGTACACGTTTCACCGAGACCCTACTATTTGGTCCAATCCGGACGAGTAAGTTTTCGAACTTCCATGGAGGGCCCAAGTTGGGGTATAGCGCTGATTGGTTTTCAAGATTTGACCCTGATCGATGGATTAACCCAACTAAAGACATGAAGGATTCATTCCTTCCATGGGGCGCTGGATCTCGCAGTAAGTTTGTCCGTACATGAGCTAAATCTTCTTGGTAACTCACACGCTAGGGTTCAGTCTGTATTGGAATGCATCTAGCTCGGATTGAATTAAAGAAAGGCGCTGCTCTGTTCTTCCGGAACTTCCCTACTGCACGGCTTACCACGAAGGAAGGGTTCTCGGACCAAGACATGGATCCGGTTATTTTCTTCCTAATGTCTCCCAAGGGACATCGTCTTCTAATTGAAGCTTGAGTATCACATCCCAGCGTTAGCGCTAACCTGGGACTAGGTGCGAAAGAAAAGCATTGACCTACGTGAAGTCTTTTCTTGGCTCTCGCTCCTCTGGATGCGTAACAAGCTATACTTTTTTTTTTTTAGCTTTGCGATGATTAGACCCTGTCGGTTTCTAGACTACCAATGATGAAAGAAAATAATGAGGACATGATTTATCAGACGTGTTTTCCAACGTCTCGAGCTACTTTAGAAATCTTCCCAATCGGAAAAGGCCTGGCCCTGTGCGTCGAGGATTACAACCGCGTTGCTTCCCCGAGATATTACTTCGTACGTGGCTAGCTAGTCACATACTGCAGCTAGAATGTATTTTTCAGTTCGTCTGAGCTTTAGGTTGATCTCTCAGATCAGGGCTGCAGAAACGTGGAGAACGTGCCATATGCCTTATTTAACGGCAACGGCCGATCCTGCAGAGCCTAAGCTACCTAGGAGATCAGAAGCCGTAGAAAGTATGCAACTTTCCCGAAAAGATATTAATAGAATCACATATTCTGGCCGAGCGATATCTCAAAGGACGGGGGATGATCTTGGTGATGGATGTTTAGAGTAGATTATTATTTCTATAGTATCTTCACTCATAATCTAATTCATTGAAGAGCAGGTAAAGGCCTCTCAGAGCACAATCGACTACACGAGGGCTCGGTTCAGTCACCTACAGCCCCTCCTCGTGGGCATTTAAGGTAAGGGTATGTATTACGACTCTGTCCGCAAGCCCTTGGACACTGAGTATGATGTATATAAACCTGTAAAGGGGAATTCCGCAGTACTCTGGGCTGCGGACGGCCCAGCAGACACCGAGGATGCAACCCCGATATGGCCGCAGCTTAACCCGACAACCGGGCGGACAAATGAAACAGCAGATGATTTTGGCCTGGCCTGTTTCTGTAGATACTTATGTCGCCCCCATGTCCGATGGCACCTGGCTTGGTAGGGATACCCTAGACAGACGCGGCTGAAAAGTACACGTGCGAGGACGTGCTCAATCTTTCTTTTGACATTCACTGATCGATGTTATGTTACAGCCAATTTTCAAGCCCTATTCCTATTTGTTCATGTCTCAAACTATCAGTGGCATCTTAAAATCTGTTGTTGCTACAGTGTCTTTCCATGAATACAAGCTACCTTGGAGCACACTGGACACCTGAAGACTAGTGTGGTGTTGAAGGATCAACACCATCCAACGCCCGTCTAGCTTCAGCAAATACTACCCAATCACAACCGCGCAAGGTAAGGCTTATGTTGGAAATAAAGGGATTCCAAGACTCACAAGCATACTCCGTACTTAGCACATTCTTCATGCGTGAATGGCTAGCCCTTCAGATCATCCTTCGTGGTGTCGTGGAACAAGCTTGCGCTAACTGTGGCCGGATCACGTCAGATCAATCCAGTGCGAGAAGATATTCAGAGCAGAGGGTCAGCCAAATTGATATTGCCTCCTAAGCTTTCTAGAGACACCATTTTCTTCAATACATCGTCTAGGTAAGCAACGGAGCTGTCATGCTAGCTGCGGCGCTCACCACAATATCCGTACGTTGCGCCCTGCGGGCCACGTTTACACCTCCGCATTTGCCTTTGGGATGATGCATTGCACTCCTCCACAGCAGCCAATAAGACACCGGGGATATCCTTCCAGGTTGCAAGTACCGTGTGTGATTCAAGGCCTCCCAATCACCAGAGCCAGAATTCACTATCGACGCGTTCTTCTACGGCAATGATTTGTATCAAACTAGACAAGACAACGGAGGTCTTGCCTGCAGAGCGATTACTCACCCACGGGCCAGTCATTCCCAAACCCAAAACCGTAAAGGCATACATAAAGAGGGTATGCTGGTCCAAAGTAGCCTTTGGCGAAGGAAGCCTAGATGTCATCCAGCTTAACTCCGTCGTCGAGCTCACCAAGGCTCCTCCTTGCTCCTTGCTCCGTCCCGGTGGAGAAACTGGGTCTTACCACGATACAAGGGGAATGCAAGCCGAGTGACCAAAACCCTCCGCGAAACTACGAAACTACCTGGAGTACTCCGTAAGCGGCTGTTTCTGGGCCCAATTAACCATGACCGAGGGGCGCGTGCACTGAAGTGGTAGAAACCTCGTTGCCTGTTGAAATCAGCCAGGCATGTATGTGGATATGTACAGAGTTTGATCTGCTTCGGATATATACAAAAAGACTCATATACTGTCTTGATTACCGTTGCTTGTACTTCGCAGTACTTTTCATGCCATCACGAACGGCTTCCCCGCCCCTAAATCCAATCCAGTTTAGTTGCAGGATGACCGGACTATACATTCCATTACAGCTGAAGGTACTCCGTATTACTATCTAGATAACTAAATATTGGAAACCATGTTCTGCTGGCATCAATCTTACAGCACATCATTGAAATACTGTTCCAAGCTCCCATATCTGCTAAGATATCTGGCCATAGTGAGTAAAAGTACCTAGGTAGTCTCCAGTTGGAAAGTAGTTGGAAGGGGTACGGAGTACGGAGTACTCCGTATACCCCGGTATACATCAGCGGGTCTACTCAGAGGATTGAGAATATACATACTAGCCAAAGGTACCCACAATCTAAAAACGTTTCTCAGCCCCCACCACCTCTGTACGGTGTCATAACCTTGTTCCTGAACAAACCAACGGAAGAATTGATTAAGATACGTGACTGAAAACACCAACACGACGATCTGCCAGGCGCTAAATAATAGACTCTATGACAAGACCCTATGTATATATCCGGGTTGGTTTCACGGGGAAACCCGCCTTCTCCGACCTGTTGGCCTGCATATCGAGCCTTGCATGGAATCATTCTTCGAGGGAGGGGTCCAGACAGGGACATCGAGGGGATATGAAGGCTGAGGAGTTATCTATATGGGCTGAAAATCCGCAGTCTGGAGAACTACTAGGGATGTGTCTGAATAACGACACAGCGTTTGTTGGTTGATTCAGGTGTTTCAAGAGACGCGATTAGAGAGAAAATCAAGCTGAGCAAAGAAACTTATATGAAGGATCAAGGATGGTGGTAGATGGTTGATTCTTCTAGAACGCATCGGAACAACCATCTATCCGGCGCTAGTCCCTAGCAGGTAAGGTAAGCGAGTGACAGAAGCCGGAGGGGCTCAGCCGACTCTGAGACAATAAGCTGAACAGCTTGCGAAAGGATTGATTCAATTAGATGACGCATACCTAGGAGTAGATTCTATCATAGATACGGAGTAGTCCTGTTGAACTCGCACTACCAGAACTAAAAAAAAATTCCCGGTTCTAGCTTCCTGCCGGTGTAAGCTAATTTAACTCACAATGTCAGCACTAAAAGCAGCTGAAGGAGACGTAGGCATGAAGAGCCCTTAACGGTTAGGAACAAACTGACCAGCGCCAATCAACAGCGGGCCAGAAGCCCTACTCTATCATAGATACATCCGTATATATCTAATATCCATGTGTGGAGAGGCGCGGGGACACCATTAGATTATTGCTTCCGTTACGTAGTAGATGATCGTCCCGCCCCCTTAGCAGCTGCAGCGGAGAATATCCTAGCCCATGGGAAATGGAAATTGACAATGATGATGTTACATTATTCTTGTGAGTGTGCTGCAATCTTGGGGCCATGTTTACAATTCTCCAAAAATGATCAGCGAGCGGCCTGGCTGAAACTTCCTTACTCTGTAGAAGACAGCGAAATAATATCATATTAATAATAATAAGACTGCCAAATCCTCAGGCCGTCACACCATCGCGCTAAATCACATGATAGTCCTTTGTTGCCTTCAAGACGAACTTCAAGATTGGAATGCATTCAGGGTGCTCAATCTCGATAGGATTATTTAGAGTGCTCAGACCCACGGCGGCACTCCAGTGGATGCTCTTCTCTCCCATCGATTTATATGACACCCGTGGCAGGTCTATTTTGTGTGTTTCTTGGGGTCCGATACTATAGCAACTAGGCGTTTATTAGGTTATCGATCTTAGGTGTTTCCACCGCTGCAGACACGATAGCTTTCTACGACGGTTGCCGTCCTGGCAAGTCTTGGTGGGCCGGGTTTTAACCGTTCGTTTTTCCCCAGCGGTCTCTGATGGATGACACACTGCTAACATTTTGGGGTTTGCCGTTAGGTTAGGTTGCAAACTATCTTCTCCCTGAATAATACGCGCCATCATCCCCTCTACCTCCGGGCGAAGGTCCAACCCTCCTCCACAAAGCAATCATGGTTTCCTCTGCGGATGTCCCTGCTCAATTTGTTCTCAACTGGAAACCATATAGTCGAACCTCGAGTCGGGGGACAAGTAATCAAAGTTCCCCTAAGGGTGGGTCGTCTCCGGGCACAAACCATAAGCTTTGCTTGGCCTGCGATGCATGCCGCCAGGCACGCGTCAAGTGCTCTGGGGGGAACCCGTGTAGACGGTGTATGAATAATGATGGATACTGTCACTACAGTGTCTCGATGCGAAGTGGACGGACAAAGGCCATTCATAACAAGAAGAGACAGAGCAACAGCCGCAACAGCCGCAACAGCAGCAGCGAAGCTCCACCACCTCCTCCTCCTCCACCACCCGCAACCGTTGACAACGGCCTAAAGAATGCCGTGCCTATTGACGCCGACTATGAGAAGATCACCCATAAAGTCACTCCGGACAAGATCACGACATCGCTCGATGATTCCATGGCTCTAGATGATTTCACTCTGTTAAATGCTACAGACTCTTCAAGCAGCAGCAACATGGGCCTGACGCCGGATCCAGCCTTGCGTGACTTCTTCTCCGGCGACTTTGACAATTTAGATCTCAGCAGTATTTTCAGCAGCGTATGTTTGCTCAGCTTTCTGCGTGTATCTTGCCTAATTTCCTGCTAGGTAAACTCGAGCGGTCTTGGAAGAGATGGCATTCCGATGGACCCTCCATTCCCGAGACCGCCATCTTCCAGGCTTTCCTTCAATGGACACGGTCTCGGGGAAGCCTCTCCTAATTCCAGATGTAAGTATCCCTTCACGATGTGCACTAATACACATGCTAAACCCTCTTAGTCAGCTCACCGCTTCTCTCTGGGACGACCCCATGTTCCTGCTTTAAGACTCAACTGAATTGCATTTCCCACCTCTGTGGGCCGATGGACAATGACCAAAGAGGTCTCGACACCGTCCTAGAGACAACGCGCCACATCAGCGAGCAGATCAGCCAGCTGCTATCCTGCAGTGCATGCCTGAAATGCTCAACCAGCTTCGTGCTCACGGCTGTGCTTCTCCAGCGGCTGGTATGCATGTTTTGCTATGTAGAGAAGAACGGGGCGGCGATTCTGAAAACCACCAAGATTGGAATTGGGATGTTCCAACTCTCAGAGGAGGAAGACCGGCAACACAAGAAGCTCTTAATTACCACTGCGGCCAAAAAGCTGGACACGATGGCGACCAGCTTCTATGACACTGTCCGACAGTTCCAGCAGGCTGAGCTTCTGCATCAGAGACAGAGAAGTGAAGAGATGACGGATATGGGTCGGTCAAATCTAAAATGGGTGCTTGATATCATTCAGAAAATCAGATGGCGTCTCAAAGGGATTGTCACCGAGGTAGGTACTGAAGGATGGTGCTGATGAGCATCAGCTTGGTATTGGGGTAGTACACGACATTATGATACGGCGGATTTTTTATAACACGCTTGAGCTTCTATAGTCTATATATGACAATATTTTTCTCTCATCATTCTTGCCTGATCTGATTCCATTTCTTCAGATGCAGCCACGCCCGGGATGTGGTAGCCCCTACTCATCAGTTTGGCTTGCAGCTGTGCACTACAACCTACCTAGGTAACTGTTTGTGTTTAACCTTCGAACTTGATAAAAACAACCTCTAACTAATCCTTTATTCTGTCAAAATATATCATCATGAATTCAGCCTAATAATCAAAATAAGGCTATGTAAATGGTGTCTCCATTCCCACGAGCATAATTTATCCACCAATCAACATCATGTACACACATCTTACGTGTATACCTAGATATATATACACCAGGATATATATATATATATATATATATGAAAACCCAACTCCAGCCACAACAAAGACCACATATTATCAAATGGCCACTTGAACCCCATTGTAGATTCCAGCCTTCAAATACCAAATTCTACTACATTGGAGAGAAACAGAAAGATGTACAGCAATCCAATTATCCCAGGCTTCAACCCTGACCCTTCTCTCATCCGGGTCAACAACGACTTCTTCCTCGTCACATCGACCTTCGAATATGTTCCCGGAGCTCCAATCTACCACAGCACAGATCTGATCCAGTGGAAACTCATCGGGCACGCACTGACTCGCCCGAGTCAATTGCAGATCCACACCCCGGAGCCTGGAGGAGGTGTCTGGGCCACAACCTTGCGGTACCACAAGGGTGTTTTTTATATCCTTGCGGCAAGTTTTGAACGGTACCGTCCCCAAGATGACGATCGAGTCTGGCCACGGGGGTTTTATGTGAAAACGGGGAATATCTGGGACTCGGACTCGTGGTCTGATCCTGTGTATTTTGACCAGGTTGGTTTTGATCCAGATGTACGTAGGTTTCTTTTCTTTTCTTTTTTTTTTTTCTTCTAGGACCCAGAAGATATGCCATTTAGGGGGTTCCGGAGACTGACATGAGACAGATCTTCTGGGATGATGACGATACAGCCTATCTCTCAACTACATACCGCAAAATTCATCGCACCCCAGGGAAGCCGATCAAGGATTTCGCCATACACATTTCCACCGTGGATCTAGAAACCGGCAACGCCACATCAACCCCCCGACTAATCCGGGAATCGTCCTCCGGGGTCGCAGAAGGATCACATATATTCAAACGAGGCAAATACTACTACCTCTTCACTGCAGAAGGTGGCACCGAGAGCGGCCACTGTGAATGGGTAAATCGTAGCGAGACGGGGCCGTTCGGACCCTGGGAACTCGGGCCTAATAATCCGCTTTGGCGGAACGGAGTCAACGATGAAGTCCAGAACACAGGACACGCAGATCTAGTGACGGATGTAAATGGACAGTGGTGGGCTGTTTTGTTGGGGGTTCGACCTGTCCAGCGAGATGGGTATTGGGAGGAATCTGTTTTCGGTACTGTTCCCTTTCTCTCTCTCACACTCGTCCACTCAACGCCCATATCGAAGAAGGATATACTCACTCTGAACAGGGAGAGAAACATTCCTTGTCCCATTAGCATGGGAGAATGACTGGCCGGTGTTGAACGGTGGGGGGAAAATCACTCTTCACTATGGAGGCCCTCAGCTCTACCAATTCCAACATCCTGTGGAATGGCGCGACGATTTCGCATCCTCAACTCTACAGCTAGGCTGGTATCGAAAAAGTCTTTCTCCTTTTCTTTTCTTTTCTTTTGTTCTTTGAAAATCACTGCTAACAGTGAATAAATAGACACCCCCGTTAAAAAGGACTACTCCCTCACCACCCGGCCAAACTACCTCCGTCTGCACGGAAACCCCTACACCCTCTCCATTCCAACCTGTCCGACTCTCTTCCTGCGCAAACAAACCCACCGCTTCTGTACCTGGGAAACCAGCCTGTCATTCTCACCTACCTCGCCAAACACGGAGGCGGGGACCGTCCTCTGGCTGAACTACTTCACGTACAGTAGTATCGGGATTCGACTTTCCCCCGGTGCGGAGCCTGAGTCGAATGACTCACATTCAAAGAAGCGAATTATCCGCTTCAGACACGTCTCCGGGGAAGCGATTGACATGGATCTGTCTACGGTTTCAAATGAGGTGACGTTGGTCATCGCCTGTGGAGATGAATATAAATTCGGATTTCGAGAAGAAGAAGAACAAGAAGAAGGAGAAAGCTTCACCTCCAGCTCTACATCTACATCCGCATCTAATACTAGCCCTGGAATAACCTGGTTGGGGTCAATCAGCAACAAAGACATGGTTGAAGCCCCACTCCCGGTTGGTGCATTATTCACCGGTATGATGCTGGGGTTGTATGCCTTTGGGGATCGGGAGAGTTGTTTGGTTCCGGCGGATTTTGGACATGCGGAGTTTCGCTCCAATGATTATTACTAGAGATCAACCACAACTAGCTAGGTAGTCAACCCGGCAGCCAGCATCCAACATTGCCCAGGTACTCGTGGATCGCGCGCGAGGTAGGGAGCCAAGGAATGTGAAGCGAACACGTCAGAGATCACTTTTACAACCCAGATTTGGGAAGGGGGTTGTTCTGGTCGAGTTTAGATTCTGGCTACGCTGGACTTTTGTCCGCGGTGTTGTTGTTGGTGAGAAGATTAGGTCTAGAATCTATCCATGGGGAGGTATGGTACTACTGTACTACTTAGTAGAGGAGTCAGGATTGAAATAATTCAGGTCAAACAAGATTGTACATTCAGGGGCAGACAATTGGTTAACCAAAAATGAAGAATATAGAATTGAAATGCGTGGATATGGTGGGTTGTTAGAGGGCAGAGGGCATCGTCCATATATCATATATCATATCATGATGAAGGTCGTCAAACTATGACGGTAGAAAGTTGACCGAAATGAATTCAATTAGGTCTAACTAGGAAATAGAGAGAAGGAGAGATGCTTGGAGGAAGCATGGAGATCTAGAAGGAAATGGTGGCCTTAAATACATAGAGTAATCACGTGTTACTATCTTCTTCTTTATAGTGATGCTACTTTATAGTGGTACTAGTTATATTTACTAAGTACAGTACTCTAATATACCCCCTTTAGTAACATATCTATTTTATAAAGCTATTTAGAGTCTATCTCTAACCTGCTAAAACCTAACCTCTTAATAAATTTATTAAATTTTATAGTTAGTAGTACCTTAATTAGCCTATTAGCAACATTATCCTTACTACCCACCATTTATAGCTAAATTCTGCTATTTTTAATTACCTCTTTAATAAAGAAGTAGCAAATATCTATCTAGTAAAGTATAGATATATAATTTAGCTTCTTTATTAAAGTAATAGTATTAGCAGAATTAGTATATAAAGGTATGGTACTTTTTATAGACTTTTCTAGTCTAATAGTTATATATAGCTTTTATAACTATATAACTAGCTTTATTACTGTATCCTATATAATAAATTTAGTAATAGTTAAATTTAAAGTAACTAGTAATTACTTTACTAATCTTTATATAATTAGTGCTCTAAATATAAAAAATATAAAGCTTTTTATTAATTTCTTATCTTTATAATCTGCATGGGAGGTATTAATATATATATATAATAGATTATTTAAATAGCCTAAGACTATTATATAATCTAAGATCTTCTTTAAATATTAGAAAACTTATTTAATTATATTATAATCTAATTTAATAGGATTATAATTTCTCTATAGTAGTTATGTCATTACATATTAAATATCTAGTTAAGTTTAAATAGTAATCTAATTTAATAATCTAGTTAATTCCTAATAATAAATAATATTATCTTTACTAGTAGAAATATATATAGTATCTAGAATAATACTACTAGTATCTAGTATCTCTCTAGTTAATTTCTATTCTAGAGTTATTAGTATATAATATAGCTAAAGACTATAGAAATTCTATTTATAGAGTATTTTTTAGATATATATATATTAGAATATTAATATTAGATTATTAAGTAATCTATAAATATTATATCCTAAGAATTATATAGGTTTACCTAATTATTTTAATTTAAAATATTTTTCTAGCTTATCTATAAATTATTAAATATTTACTTTATTAGGGCTAGTAACTATTATATTATTAATATAGATAATAAGTATTAGCTACTAATCTAGATTATAATAAAAGTATAAGTTTTTATTAATTACCTTTATACTAATTTTTACTAGAATATTATAGAATTCCTTATATTAAAGAAATACTAACTATTATAATTTATATAGGGCTTAAAGTAGTAAATATACTATACTATCTTACTTATTAAAACTAGTTAATTAGCATATATAAATCTTTTAATTCTTAATTATTATATTAAGATAGGTAGTCACTATATTAAATTATATTTATTTTAAATTAAAATAAGTAACTATACTTAAAAATAGCTTTACTAAAGTATCTACTACTACTAGGGAGTAGACTTAATTAAAGTTTATACTTAATTTTTAGAAGTTTTTATATATAACCTATCTTATATAGAATTATAATATATTATTATTTATATCTAACTTTAAATTATATACTTATTTTCCTAGTAAGACCTTTATATCCTTTAATAATAGTATAAATTTATAAGTCTAAATAACTTTAAGCTTGTTAATTTAATTTTATATTACTTATATCTAGTAATTCTTTTATAGTAACTTTATTACTTAAATATAAGTTTATAAGATTCTAACTTTATAAGTCTTTATAGGCTTGATCTCTAGTATAAAACTACCAGGATCTAATAATATTATAGTAATTATATTAGATAATTCTTCTAACTTTAGATAGGATTCTAGTAGATAAGGTATTTCTAGAAGTATTTTTAGAGATAATATAGACTAGAATTAAGATTATTATTCCTATTTTACCTCCTCTTCCTATAGTTACTTTGCCTGCTTATCTTTAAAGTAAATACTTTAATATTAACTCTTTATAGATCTTAAAGATCTTTATAGAATAGTAATATTATTACTAGTATTATTACTAGTAGGATTCTATACCTTTACTAGGTTGATTATTTCTATATTCCTAATATTAAATTTAACCTGCTTTCTAATCTTTAAATACTTCTTTTTTAATATATCTAGAATTATTAGAGTATAGTTATCTTTAAAAGGTTCTAAAACTAGTAAGACCTCCTTATATCAGGTAAATAACTCTAGAAGCCTTTATATTAGTTATAATACTAGTATCCTTTCAAAAATAGGTTAACTAGTATATAAATTATCTATAATAAAATAATTAATTATTTCTTTATATCTACCCTACCTAGATTATTTCTTTATACTAGATCTTACTATCTCCTCCATATTCTTACTAATTACTCGATTATTTTACTTGGTAATAGTTTTGGAAATAGCCCTGGAGGCAGGCCCAGAGGCAGGTGTCTGCTCTAGTATGATGAGCTCGGTAGTCTTGGAGATAGCCCTAGGGGCAGCCCTAGAGGCAGGTGGCCGCTCTGGTATAATAAGTTTGATACCCGCCTCTGGGTCAGGTAGGCTTGGTTTGGGTAGGGCTAGATTAGGTATTAACATTTAAATTCTTCCTATAATAACCTTATTATTATTTACTAATAGTAAGGTTTAGGAAATAGTATTATTTTAAGATATACTATTATAGGTTATTCTTCCCCTTTTAATATTAATAGATATAGTTACTCTAAATAAACTATTATTATTTAATTTTAGTCTATTAGGAAGTCATAGTTATATTCTATCTATTCTATTAATATTACCTTTATTAAATATTATATCTCTTAACTAAATTATCTTCCCTGTATCTAGATACCATACCTTGTAGATATAATCTCTATTATATCTAACTAGTTAACTAATTTTTGCTCTAGGTAACATTTTTATACTTTTAATCCTATCCTTATATAGGATATTTATAAATATCTTATATCCTTATATATAAATATATTATAGATTAATATCTCTAATTAGGATATTCAATCCTTTATAAAAAAGTTATATAAGTAGCTTTCCTTTATTATTATCTTCCCTAACTAACTTATTTAAAATATGGACCACTATATCTATACTATATAGCTATATTATTAGTTCTATTTTTACTTATATACATATTATACAGGCAGTCTAGATTATATAGCTACTAAACTATTTAATAGTGCTATTTTCCTTAGGGGTTTGTAGTAGTATTAGTTCATATATAGTGCTAAAATCCTTGTTCTATCTAGTATATTTATTAAATTTAGGAGTAGAGTTAAATCTGACCCTTTTAACATAAATATTAGTTATATTTAGCTAACTATTATATATTTTCTTTAATATTTTTAAAGATTTGCTTTTTATCTTTAAATATTATGTAAAAAGGTATTTAGAATAATTATCTAGAACTAGTAAGATATACTTAATACTATCTCTTTTAATTAGTTTGATTTCTTGGAGATCTATATATATAAATTATAATAGTTTTATTATATATAATTATGGTTTTTAGGATATTTTTTTCTTTAATTTTGATAATTAATATACTTTATAGTATGGTTTAGTATTCTAATTAGTAGGTAAGTCATTAGTGGCCAAGCTATTACTTTTATTATAAAGTATTGCCTTGTTGCACTTTAATTATTTAATAGATAGATAACCTAATTATTAATGTAATAAGTCTATTAGTATGGTAGGCATGATTACTATTTTATTTAGAACTAAAAATAGAATATTATTATTTAAGATAGTATATTTAATTACCTTATCTATTACTATCTTATAAATATATTAATTTTTTAAGTTAAAATAAATTCCTAATTCTACCTTTATTCTTTCTACTAGTATTAGGTTATATAATATATTTAGATTCTAAAGATATTTTATTTAGTATAATATTAAAGTATTATTATCTAATTTAAATTAAATTATTACTTTTCTATAATCTTAGGAATATACTACCTTGCTATTAGAAGTAATAAAACTATAATTCTTAAAATTATTTAAGTCTTTAATTAGATTATTAAAGAGATTATAATTATTATATATTATATAGCCTGCTCTAGAGTTATATAGCTACCTATTTCTAAAGATAATTAATATTAAAATTATTAGTATATTAACTTTAAATAATATAAAATTATTAATATCTAGAATAATATTAGCTTATATAGCTAGAATAATAGCTTAATTTTAAGTTAAATTATTCCTATTCTTTAACTTATATAGCTTAAAGTACTAAAATATTAAAGTTAGTCTCTACCCTTCCTTCTACTTATTAATTACTAAATATAAGTAGTTCTTAATATTATATTTTTCCTCCTTATAAAATAAATATAGTATTTCAGGTTTCCTTAATTACTTTAATTAATAATTAATATAGTCTATAACTATTATATTCTATAGTAGTATATATTTCTACTATTATTATTACTTCCTTTTATTATTTATTATTAATTAAGAATTTAGTATATTTATGGCTGGTATTATAGTATTAGATATAATATTAGATAATAGATTCTCTTAAATCTTATTCTTTACTATATTATATATAGTATAAAAATACTTCTATATAATTATTTTAATAGGATTATTATTTAAATTATTTAAGATTAAATTTATAAAGCTTATATTATTTCTTTTAAGCTTCTAAAGTATTATAGTAACTACTTAATAAAATATAATAATTATTTTTAACTTATTAAAAATATTTATCTTCTAAATAAAGTCTAATATAAACTTATTAATAATTATATAATTCTTATATTTAATCTTAATAATTTCTTTTTAAGTCTAGTATATATATCTTTAATTATTATTAATAACTATTTTTTATAATTTTTATATAAAATTATCTATAAAGATATATAGGATAATATTTATTAGTAATTTCTTTACTAGTTTCTTACTTATTAAATATAGTATTTAACTAGCTACTATTTATAAAAGAAGTTCCTATAATTTATACTTAAGATTATTAAGTTATAGTCTAGAAATATTACTTTTAAGAAGCTTATTTATCTTATAAAGCCTTAGCTTTATTTATATAAATAAAGTCTAAATTTTAAATTTTAAATTATTTTCTAATACTATTATCAGGCTCAAGTTAAATATGCCATTCTTTAGCTTTGTTGCTTGATTTCAGCTATTAGTAAACAGGGTAGTAGCCATTAAAGGTAGGTATAGTAAGTCAGGGATGTCAGGATATCCGCCAGGGGTAGGTTTAGTTACTATTTTAGTCAAATTATGGAGATTTTCCACACACTATCACCCAGGTAGGGTAACACAACAGCAGTACAGGTGGTGTAACACAATAGTAGTAGGTAATATTTCTGCCAGGATCTCTTTCTAATCAGGGAGTAGATCTCTAGTACAGGGATATAATAAGAGTTTTAGAGATCTATAAAGCATAAAATAGAACCTTAAGGAGGGCTCATAACCTAATAAAGGTTGTCAAACTATGACGGTAGAAAGTTGACTGAAATAAATTCAATTAGGTCTAACTAGGAAATAGAGAGAAGGAGAGATACTTGGAGGAAGCATGGAGATCTAGAAGGAAATAGTGGCCTTAAATACACAGAGTAGTCACGTGTCGCTATCTTCTTCTTTATGGTGATGCTGCTTTATGGTGGTGCTGGTTGCATTCACTGAGTGCAGCACTCCAACATATCATATACAGGGGAGAGAAAGCAGAACAAACCAGTATATAAAACCCTCCAAACACGGGGTATTAATTCCTGAGGGGTAAGAAAAACGCAAAAAAAAAAAAAAAAAAAAAAAAAAAAAAAAAAAAGAGAGAGAGGCCACTCTTCAAATTAGCCCTTTACGGCTTGTTGGCCTCCATGCTGGTTGTGCCCATTGATACCATCAAGTTTGATATCCTGAACCCGCGTCATGCCTGATTTCATAATTGGCGACTGCAGAACCTCATCCCAGTGATGCACCATCTCCGTATTGGTGGTTGACATTCTGACCTCCCCGCCCGCTCGAGGAATCATCTCCTCTTCGTACGCCATAATCGCCGCAGCCTGGGTGGAAGTCCCCCGGACGAATTTCCGGACTGCTTCTGCGAGTACCGCTGCATCTGTGACAGAGTGGTTGAGGCCCTGGCCGCGCTGGTAGGTCATCGCATGCGCCGCATCTCCGGCCAGCGTGACCCGACCGTCGTGGTTATCCCAGCGGTGGCCCTTCGCTCCTGGGTCGAAGTCCGTCAAGCTCATGTACCAGACCTCGTGGTCATCGCTCAGCCATTCAAATGCGCTCTTCCAGGGCTCGGTATATGCTGTTGCAAACTCCTTGACCTGTTTCAGTCGCTGGGCGTTCGTCCAGTTGGCTGTCTGTTCCTGTTCCTCCCGCGGGGAATACCACGAGATGTAGAAGAAGAAGGTCCATGTCTCCGGACGGTCCGGCTGCTCCGCGTTATGCATCCCGAAGAAGGAGAAGTACCCGGCCGGGTTGATGGAAGCCAGATACAGGGGGTGAAACTTTCTCAGGAATTGCGCCTGTTCGGCGGTAAATCGCGCCTGTACAAAGCTTGCACAGTATGGCAATGTGCGAATGTCCCCGTTGGCCCCAAGGAGAAGCTGTCTCGTCGTTGAACGCGCCCCATCTGTCCCCACGATCAGGTTCGCCGTGATCGAAGGGCCGTTCTCGAAATGCGCCGTGGCATATTTACCATCGCTCGAGTACTCGATCCGCTCCAGTTGAACCCCCCAGCGGATATCCAAGTCTTGCATGAGGAGCCCGCGGAGCTTTCGGCGCCGCAGACGGTAAAAGTCATTTGCGGGCACAGCTGTCATGAGCTCGCCAGTTTGACCGTTAAGGAATTGGAGGGAATCATGCTCTGCGGTTGGGGTCGAGGGATCGACCTGGACGGTTTGAATCTGTGCCCACATTTCCTCTGGAATCAGGGCCTTGAGAGGCTCCGCGCCCCAGTGTAGGCCCATGTTCCAGTCGCGGGGTTGCGCATCCAGAGATTCATTCTTCTCGACGACAATGCACGGTATACCAGCCTTGAGGCATTGTTAGCGTGCCCGGATTAGGGGGATCGTGTTTCCCAGCACTAGGGATCAATGGGGAAAAAAAAAACCGCAAAAGACTAACCTTTTTGAGGCCCTGAGCCAGTGCTAGTCCCGTTGAGCCTAGTAGTACCCATGATCAGTATCTGTAGGTGATGGTGTTGGAATCCAGGGCACTGGAAAGGACTATATGGTAGGCCGGCCGGGGGTAGGGCATTCATGCTATACCTGCACCAACCACCAGAACCGTAGTGGTGGGACCGGGGTGGGCTTTGCCCTGGAAGAGTGAGCGAACCCGCCGATAGAAGCAACTCATCATGAGGAGAATTTCGGGCCCAGAAACGAGGAAATCGTCAGCAGGGGAGAAGAGCAAAGGAGGAGGGTGAAGAAAGCAAGAAAGCAAGGAATATAAGAGAGGATCCCGATTGCGAGGCCATGGCCGACAAGAAAGTAAGTGTATGCTGTCATTCCGTACTCCGTAGAGAGGTCAAGATTTCAATCTATCTACTCTGAACTAACTCATAGTTAATGCCTTTCGCAAATAATAATCAAAGCCGGTGGAGACGGACTGGAGCGGCCAGGGAGAACGGGGTCATGCCATTGTTCCACCTACGCGGTATACAGAAAGGAAGCTGAAGTACATCTATCCATCCATATCCCTAAGTAGACGTAAGAGAGTTCCTGAGGATGTCAATTGTTCCTCCCTCCCGAATGTCCTGCAGATATCCTGCAGCATGATGGCAAGGATGAGGGTCGGTTGACGGCGGATGTGTTGGAACGATCATGACAGGGATTCTGATCATTCTCTCCAACGAATTCCAAAACTAATCCGGATGACCGAGTGGCCTAAGACAGACGAGGAAGGAGACTAGAATTACAAGAATATTGGGATTGGTGGAGGGAGAGGACAATAATCAACAGGATTGCACTAGGGCTGGACTAGGGTTGAACTAGGAGTCAAGTACGAGTCCACCCGGAAGGAGAATAATCATAATAATGGCATTGTCGAAGAGGGTTTAATCCTTTCATACCTCGGCTACTCTGCTAGTCATCTATTATAAGAAATACCTATGCAAATGTTCATAATTCTATCCAGTACTTCCCGATTTGGGAACACTACGAAGCACTAATCAGTAGGTACGGAGTAGTCACTCACTACTTTGGTAGTAAACGGCTGCACGGAAATCCCATAATTTAATTACCGTATACACTCTACCTACATCTGATTAAGAAAAGAAAAGAAAAAGAAAGGATAAAGGATGCAGAATTAATAACTTGAGGAAGTCTTCGAGTCTCCCATAGAAAATACTGTGAGGTCAGGTGATACTGAGTACCTCATCTCCTTTCCATCTTTCGACCTCATCCTCCAATTCATACCTGCATCTTCTGCCGTTTACCTTCTATTTATTCCACACGAGTAGATGCGGCACTGAAAACTAACTTGGAAATGACAGAATCTTGATCTCCTCCACTCTTCAACTTCACATCCTGTTCTTCTATCTCTCCCTCTCTCCCAGGTGATGGCCATATCCTTCTCTAGGTCCTTTTTCATCATTCCTCCCTCCTCCCAGTAAAGCCAATCCTTCTTCTTCCCTCTCATTCACCCATATTAGATCGGCGGTGTCGATCCCGGCGGCTCGTCGGTACGGTTCCTAGATCTTGGCACCCTTCATAATCTCGATTCCAGTCCGCCGTACTCCGCCATGGTCGCATCGGACTGTGAGGGGCACCCCCCGGCAAGCGGTTCACACATTTCCCACGTTGCGAATATGCCTCCTGAAATGCTGTATTCTTATGGAAGTGGCGAGCGGGAGCGGGAGGATGCGCTGGCCGACACCGATTCCGCCTATGGGGAGGATTCCTTGCTGGGCGACGACACAAAATCGCTATCAACCTACATCACGGACTACCGATACGAGTTTGGCCGTCGGTATCACTCCTACCGTGACGGTGCATATTGGGTACGTTGGCTGAGCCATTAACCGGGATCTCGCTCACACGGATAGGGCCCAAATGACGAGGTCGCGAATGCTCTTGTAGACCTAGCCCACCACATGTACTTTCTCACACTCGATGGCAAACTGCACCTTGCCCCTATTGAAAACCCACAGGTCCGTCGTGTCCGGCACTTTTTTGGGCGGGGGTTCCTCAATTTGGAACCAGTTCTAATGGCCAGTAGGAAATCCTTGATGTCGGAACTGGAACTGGCATCTGGGCCATGTACGTCAGTCTTTTGCTTCATGTGTCTTCGCGTCCTAACCTGCAACCACTCCAGAGACATGGCCGATGAGTATCCGAGCGCGCGAGTAACCGGTGTGGACCTCTCACCCATCCAGCCCTCGTTTGTACCTCCAAATTGCATCTTTGAAATCGACGATGTAACGCTTCCCTGGACCTACGCTTCCGACTCGTTCGATTTCATTCATATCCGTGAAATGTTTGGCTGTGTCCCAGATTGGGACGAGTTCTTCAGGCAGTGCTGGCGCTGCCTCAAACCCGGTGGTTATATCGAAGTGGTGGAACATTCAGTCCAACCAATTGCGGATGACAATACCATGGGCCCCGACCATTTCTATCATCTCTGGGGGCAAACGGTGGTAGAATCGGGGCAGAGGTTCGGCAAGAGCTTCACGATCTGGGAGGAATCTGCGACGCGCCTGAAAGCAGTGGGGTTCGTTGATGTGGTTGAGAAGCACTATCACTGGCCTGTAAATGGGTGAGTATACTTCCTCTGAGTTTCATCCTGCAATTACTGATGTTCTTGTTTTGTATAGGTGGAGCTCTGACCCAAAAATGCATGAACTCGTAAGTCTTGATCATTGCATTCTGACGTTCCGTTATTCATTAACCTTTGTAGGGTCGCTGGAACCAATTCCGACTCAACGGGGGTGTAGAAGGGTTCATGCTCCGGCTTCTGACTTCGACCCTGCAATGGTCCTACGAGCGCTCACAACTGTTCCTCGCACAGATGCGCTCCTCTCTCCGGGACTACAAGACCCACGCCTATCTCCCGGGAACGGTAGTTTATGCCCGGAAACCAGAGAGCGCGGGCTCATGGCGAGATCAGTAACTAGAACATGTAGCATAGCCTTCCCATTCGTTTTTCTTCGCTCCTTCTTTGCGGGCTGGGTCCATTTTGATCGTGCATTATATATATAATACCCTTGTTAGTCACTGTACGTTATGACGGTTATGATAGTTGAATGCGGGACATTATCAATGCAACCACAAGAAACCCTCAATGGAAATGACATTGAGTTGTCGGATCCGGATCTCAAGCATAGGATGGATGGCCTGCTTCTTAAGTAAAAGAGGGATTTCTGATGGGTCCAAAATCGACTGCTCCGACCTACTGGTGGTAATCTTCTGCCGCAGTAGTGTGGGGGTTCATACATAAATGGATAGATGCCATGGAGATTGGAAGGAAATGTTGCCTATCCCCATATTTAGAATTTTGATCTGCTTAATGAAATCCTATTTGAATGAGGTCGTAATATTAACTACCCGCTGGTGAACCTTTTCGGGGTGAGCCCTAATTACTTGGTAGCATCACACGATGGAAATGGCATCCTCAATTGCCATAATCCCCCCCCCTGACGCACGACACGGCAGGAAAGTATAAGCTGCGTCACCCGAAACGGCCGGGAGTCTTCAATCGGCTCGTTACTTTCGGCTCCACGTCGGAAGGGAGCTTTGGACGGTACAATGCCGGGAGACTGAGGGGACCAGAACCATCTCCTGGCTATTTATCCCACTTGCCCCGGGAAGGGGAGGCAGGCAGGGCGACTGGGATCTTCTATACATATATTTTCCCCAGGTTAATTGCAGCCAAGGTCTAGCCGTCATGCCGAATCCAATTCGAAACGACATCACGACCGTGGATGAGACCTCTTTTCCCTACATCTTCGAGCAGAATGCGACTATCGTGCTCAAGGACGGATCCGGCCTTGTCCGGTGTAATATCTATCGTCCCAAGGGGGTGGGCAAATCTCCGGTGCTGGTGACATATGGACCATATGGCAAAGATATCCCCTATGCCGACTTCCATCCCCAGTCATTCAGCGAAGTCAACCCCGAGCACCACTCTACGCACTCGGCTTGGGAGACACCCGATCCCGGATTCTGGACTCAACATGGGTATGCGGTTGTGCGCGCAGACGAACGCGGCACGGGCCAGTCTCGGGGGAAATTGGATACCATGTCGCGGGAGACCAGCGAGGCTTTCTCCGACGTCGTCGAATGGGCCGCAGAGCAGCCGTGGTCTACAGGGAAGGTTGGTCTTCTCGGAATCAGTTACTACGCTGGCAGTCAATGGCGGGTCGGTGCACGGCAGCCAAAGGGTCTTGCCTGTATGATTCCTTGGGAAGGGATGTCGGACTACTACCGCGACCGCTGTCGTCACGGAGGGATTCTGTCGAACTCGTTTATTAAGTTCTGGTGGGATCGCCAGGTGGTGAGTAACCAGTACGGATTGCCGGCGCGTGCAGCCCGAAACTGGGGCCCAGATACTATTGAAGGGGATCTACCAGAGGAGGAGCTTGTTGCCAATCGCCAGGACCAGACCATTGACAACGTGGATCACTGTTTCCGAGATGATCTCTACTATGCTAGCAAGGAGTATACTATGACTGATATTCAGGTGGGTGGGCGGCACACACACACAGACAGACAGACAGCCAGACCATTCTGAGTCCTGTTTTGGTACTGACCAGTTCTTTCTTTCTTAGGTGCCTCTTCTCTCTGTCGCGAATTGGGGTGGCATTCTTCTGCATCTGCGTGGAAATGTTGAGGGGTACACGCAAGCAGGCAGTGAACTGAAGTACCTCCGATTCATCACCGGCCGCCATGACCTCCCCTTCTACTACAAGGAAGAGGTGGAAGTTCAGCGCAGTTTCCTCGACGCTTTCCTCAAAGGCGAGGACCGCGTGGGATGGGCGAATGGCACCGCACCCAAGGTGGACATGGTCCTGCGCAAGGGCGATGTCGGATTCAATCACGCTGAGGCCGAGCGGCAATTCCCCCGTCGTCAAGAGAGCGAGTGGCCCATTGCTCGCACCCAGTACACCAAGTACTACTTGACATCGAAGCAGGAGCTGGTGACCGGTCCGCCCCAGGAGCGGCCCAGCAAGATCACATACCGTGCTCTGGGAACCCTAGACACCCCCCAGGCTGTCCAGTTCACAACGCCTGGGTTTGGCGAAGAGACTGAAATCACAGGCCACATCGTCGCCCATCTCCACGTGTCGATGAGCCCCGTCGCTGGCTCTCCCACGCCTCGCGATCTTGATCTCTTTCTCACCCTGCGACACATCTCCCCCGACGGGAAGGAGGTCTTCTACACGGGTACTGCTGGTGACCCCGTCCCGCTCTGCAAGGGCTGGCTACGCGTCAGTATGCGCCAGGTGAACAAGGATCATGAACGCCACCGCGAATGGCTCCCTCAGCGCGACTATTACTCGACAGACGTGCTTCCAGTCATTCCTGGCGAGGTGTACCCCGTGGACATCGAGGTCTGGCCGACAAACGTGGTCGTCGAGAAGGGGGGCAAGATTGTCCTCGAGGTCGCATCGGGCGATACCCAGGGCAGTGGAGTTTTCCAGCACAACTCTCCCATTGACCGGTAAGAATCAATTAACAAACACTAGTTCAATCCCTTTTTTTTTTTTTTTGTGTCTAACATTGTGCAGATCCCCGGAGAAGCTTAATGGACTGAACCATATCAACTTTGGACATGGTGATAACTACATCACACTGCCTATTATCCCCTCGAAGCCAGTATTGACATAGAGAGAGAGAGAGGAGGCTCTGTATGAGATCTACCGCAATCCGAGATTTCTAGGTTGACCTTATCCTACTAGTAACTCACGCTGTCTTTAATGTAATCATCGTAGAATATGCGGAATGGTTGAACCAACGTAACACCCAAGGAGCAGTGGACAATCATTCAATGTGATGATACCTAGGTCCTATACACAGTGCGGTCAACGACTACCATTCTCCTCCCACGTCGTAGCGAAATATCCGGTCATTCATTCTTCCTCCCGTGAATCTCCATAGCCGCGATACGGACTGCGACTGTTAATTATTACTGGATTCAAGGAATGGTAGAGGATGTACGTACTGCATTGAGCCAGACACCGTGGAGCATCGACTGAATGAAGAGGAACTCGGGAAGGTCGACTCCTGCTGGTCTCTCGGCTTGATCGAGATTGCGGTTGGTAGGGCGATGGGGAGGCATGCGGCGGTAGTGACAAGGCCAGTGAATAGACTGTGGTGTTGGTGCTCTCGGGTTGGCAATCGGCTCAACGTTTGAAGTCGCCTCCGAACCACTGTGATGCAGGTCGTAGTCGGCCAAGATGTCGAGCGTACTGACTTGGGTTGTAGTGGTCGACATGACGGTGTGAGTAGTGGTAAGTGTATATATGCTCTACTACGAGGTAGATAGAAGGGAGAGGAGAATATACAGCAGAATTTAGGGATAGAAGCGTCGAGGATAACGGGTCTGGATAGCGCGGGCATGGCTCCTCCACATGCCGATGTCTCTCCACCACTTGTATACCTTTAATCTCCTTTTTAAACCCTCCTTTTTCAAACCCTCCTTTTATGACCTGAGCTTCAACCATCGGAACAGGGCGGGGGAAACTCTGGAGCGTTCTACGATGAATTCGTGGATCCTCTTCCCGAGTATGTAACGGCATGTCCACAATAGCTTCATCTTATACCACCAACTGCTGCTGGGAATCCGCCCTTCCTAACAGAGATCAACCTTTCAACTTGAGCAAAAAAAAATTCCAGACCATGGTGGCTCCTCAGGCTTTCTCCCGGCTGGTTGCTGCCGAGATCGATGGCCGATGTCAGAATATTCGATACCGCCAGAACCAATTCCATCGACTGCAGGCTGCTCTCGTCCAGCAAATTGACCAGATCAAAAATGCGATCCAAATAGACTCTGGGAATGCCCCGGAGGAAGTTCAGGCTGAGATTTGTCTGGCGCTGAAGGAAATTCGGACACACTACCTGTCTCTGGATCTAGAGACCGACCTGGAGCAGGAGTATCAGGTTGCGCACGGAAAGGATAATGGCGGCGCTCTTCGCGGGACAGGTATCGTCTACATTATCCCCGCCACTCACACGCTGCTCTTTTCGGTGATTTCTGCTCTTAGCGCTGCTATGGCCGCCGGCAACTGTGTTATTCTGGAGGTTAGTGAGCCGTCCTAGACAGGAATTCGGGTTATGATCTCACCATCAGTAGGTGACCAAGAACACCACCATGTCTCTTGCTCCGCTCCTCCGCCAGATTCTCGCTCGGGCCCTGGATGCGGACACCTTTGCGATCAGCGAGGAGAGACCAGATGCGGCGTTTCTCCACAAGGTGCTAGTAGTCGCACAAAGCGACGTATCCCATGTCTCTGGGCCGAGCCTCATTTCACCCACCACGGCCAGAACTGTCGCAGTGGTCGACCGCACCGCGGCTGTGAGAGCTGCTGCCCAGTCGCTGGTGACGGCGCGATTCGCATTCGGCGGTCGCTCCACATACTCTCCAGACGTGGTTCTCGTCCAAGAATTCGCCATGAAGGAGTTTGTCGAGGCGATTATCCACCAGTCTTCTAAATATCTTTCCGGTCCGGCCGGCGAGGCCAGACAAAACGCAGTTCATCCTCGTCGATCCAGTCCCGGGTTGTCTTTCTTGGATCTGGCGCACCAGGATGCGAGTGCAAGGGTGCTTGTGGCCGGGTCCGGATGGGGGATTGTCGAAGTTCACGACCGGTACATCCCCCTTTTTTTTTACCTGATACCAACCGCTATGGACACTGACCAAAAGTAGCAAATCTCCTCTTCTGCAGCGAAAGGTCGACGAGAAAGTGCTAGTGCTGCACCCTGTAACTAGCCTAGATGACGCGATTGATTTTACCAGCTCGTCTGTTCTCCTTTCTCCTTTCTCCTTTCTCCTTGTAGTCGACTTCGTGCTCATATTGGACCATCTAGGTTGGGAACCCTGGCTGCGACATACGCTTTCGGCTCGCCGGCCGCCGCCAAATACCTGACCCAGTTCATCGATGCCTACGTTTCATGGATAAACCAAGTCCCCGTGGAGATGTTGCTTGGGCCTGCCTCGCCTGTGAATGGCCCTCTCAGCCGGGGAACCCGTTACCCTACGAATCTATTCCAAGTTCCGCGGCCCCAGCTCGTCACCGAAACTAGCAACACCAGGCTTGTGCGCCGTGTCCTTGACCAGGCTGGCTCCCAGAAGTCTGTTGCGATATGGAATGAAGCGATGGCCCCACTGCCTTCGACTGGGCAGCGACCTGGGCAGAGGATTGGGTTCTTCGAGCAAGGCATTATTACCGGTGGAGTGGTTACTCTGGTTTCGTTGGTGGCGACCGTGTCTACATTAGGGTATTATACGTATACATGTGTGAGGAAGGTTGCTTAGTTTAGTGTTGTCCATTCCTGCGCTCTGTTGTGTTACGGGGTAGTTTCATTTCTCGAAGTACATATATATCTATACATATATATATAATCCCCAAGTTGACAATTCACAGAGCTGCCTCAGTAGTTGTCCCTTGGATACTTATGGTCTAAACATGAGAGAACTAACCTAAACAGCTATTTCCTTCTCCCACGATCCAAATGTAAACTGGGAATTGCACATATTCGTCAACTCCCAGCTCTCCGCGCCCATCTCCGCCGCGGTCCCGGCATCTTCCCAATCGCCCATCGCGCCCGCGACAAACATCGCGGCCATGAAATGGTCATCGGTAGCATGCGCCTCGCGGAACTGCGGATGCTTCATCAGCCGCGTCATGGCGCGTCGCAGCTGCGGCCCGGAGGTCTTGGTAATCACATCCTCGACGGCCTGGCGGAATTCCAGCGCCCAGTCCTCGGGCGGCGTCTCCATGGCAAAGTTGTCCCGGAACCGTAGCATCGGCGCCCATCGGTTGCGGTAGAGGTTATGCACCGCGCCCCCCGTGCCGATCAGCAGGTAGTTCTCCCGCCGGAGCGGACGCAGGGTGGCGCCCACCTTCACGTGGTAGTGAGGATCGTAGCGGGCGTTCATGGAGACGATGGTGGTTGGCGGGCAGCCGGCCGGGAACATGTGGATCAGAATCAGGTAGACGTCGTGGATCCAGTCAAAGGTCGGGTTCCCGCGGACAGTGAACCCCTCTGCGGCGAGCATGGCGATGCATCGTTCGGCCGTTGGGATGTCCGGGTTCAGCTCGTACTGGATGTATTTGTCGGGGCGGACGTAGGCCACGGGGGATTTGCCTGGGTTGGGGTTGGTGGCGACTTCAATGTGATCCCCGAGGCAGTCCCAATGAGCACCCTATTCTGTTAGTATTTTCTTCTCTGAGTTGGGGGGGGGGGTGGATTTAGATGCCTAGTAGTACCATTACAATCACCCCCTGGATGTTACGGGCTAGGGCTTCCTCCCCGCATTTCCGCCAGTAGTCGGCCGACTCGGACTGTTCCCCCAGCATCATGGTGGAGCCATGGGAAAAGAAATGGACAGGAGTGAGGCCTATATTTATTAGTTAAAATATCAAATAGAAGATGCAGGGTAGAGGTCGACTTACCCATGATGAGAGTGAGTATCTGAAGCACCAACTTGATGAGATCGTTAATAGTGACAACGCACGAGATTTAAGACTATCAAGTAGAATATCGAGAACTGGTGCCCTCGGAATGTGGAGGAGACTCCCGACCCTGAAGATCGGGACCATCTGGAAGAATCAGTATAACTAGAGGATAACTAGAGGATAACTAGAGTATAAGTATAACTATAAGTATACTAGAGTATAACTAGAGTATAACTAGAGTATAACTAGAGTATAACTAGAGTATAACTAGAGTATAACTAGAGTATAACTAGAGTATAACTATAAGTATAACTAGAGTATGTACTTGATAGTTCTCCGTATTCCACAGTATAATGTAATGTAGATCCCCCCCCAACATTTCCCGTCCGTCCCTCTTTACTTCCTCCCCCTCAAAATTTACATCCTCTGTATCCTCCCCTCACATACAAATGCTGTCCTTCCACCATGTCCGATGACTCGCAGCTCCAGTCTACCTCCAAATCGCGTCAGGGCTACTTCAAATGCGGATTTGGTGCCTGTCGCAAAAGCTATAACCGTGCTGACCATCTCATCCGACATGTTCGATCACGTTGGTACTGGAAGCGCTCTCTCTGATTCAATCATACTGACTACTGCACTGACTAGATACTCGAGAAAAACCGTATGTGTGCCAGGTCTGCAATAAGGGATTTTCCCGACCGTGAGCCTCCTCTTCCCCAGATATTGGCTCCCTGACTAATACCCCGGAAAGGGACCTGTTAAAGCGCCATGCGGCTGGCCATAGCAATAGCCATAGCCATGCCCCCGATCCCAGTCGAAAGCGACCGGCCTCATTCGCGAAAAACGGCCGCGTATCCCAGGCCTGTAAAGCCTGTGCGACCTCGAAACTGAAATGTGACGAGGAGAAACCCTGTCGTCGCTGCCGCAGTCGGAAGCTCCACTGCGATTGGCATGATGGGATCTCGAACGAGGCTCCTGGGTCAGCAGAGCAACAAGGTACGTCTTTGCTGATGAATGTCGTGGATTCGGGTATGCTGATAATTTGGTATAGCTTTGAATGACGTCCAAGATGACGACGACCACGACCACGACCACGACCACGACCTAACTTCGCAAATCGATTCCCCTCCCCCGCAGAATGCCATTTCGTCTCCGATTCACCGGGGTCTTGAGAATATTACTGACCCGGGCAGTTCCCGCCATATCGTCACACCAGATGTCTCATTGGAGAACTACCTACCTCTGCAACCGAATTCCGCCCCCGAAGACATCATCATGTCGGTGGCATACGAGGGTAGGATGCGTGATTCTTGGTATTCAGTCGACGCTGACGATCACAGATAACACAGTCTCTCCGCTTATGGATCATGACAGCGGCATCTTCAGTGTCGACGGAACCTTTTTCCCCGAATTCATCCCCGACTCGTTGGTCATGCCTCTATCGCGACCTGGCGAACTCGACCCAGCAGCCTTCCCTCCGACGGATTACATGCATGGCCTCTTTGATCATAGCCTGAGTTGTGACTTTGACTTGACCGAGATTGACGTTGGCTTGATTGACCGGTACAACGCTCAAGGCACGACGACGGTGAGTGCTATGACTCAGGTCCCCGATGAACCCAATGATCGTTTTGATACAGACAGCGGCGGCATTGCTCTCGGCGCTGAAGCCTATCAACGCTCGTCGCTGTCAGCCTGGAAACCAGCGCACGAGGACCACGCTTTTGCCAACCAAGGCGATCTATCGGTCCCCAAATCGATCGACAGCCCGGAGACGACTGTTCGTGCAGACCGCCAAGTTCTTTGCGATCGGCTCTCCCCCGGCAGTCGGGATCTCATTCTTGGTATGGTCCTCCAAACTAGCCAACGGGCCAACTTGGGTCGAATGATGAAGTCGTTTCCAAGCACAGAACTCCTCGATAGTCTCATCCAAGACTTTTTCGCTTTTCAAAGCCAACAGGTCGACACGTGGATTCATGGGCCTACGTTTCGCCCCAATGAGCAAAATGCCGATATGTTGTCTGTGATTGCGGCCGCGGCCGCAGTTCGGTCAACTGTCCCAACCATCCGGAAGTTGGGTTATGCGCTGCAAGAAGTAGCACGTCTACAGATGTCTGTGAAGGTGTGTCCTGATTTTCCTTTACCGCATGTTTATCTAGATTTGCCTCTTGACGAGTATAGTATGAGAACGACAATACGACTATCCGTGACCTGCGTGCATCGCAGACCTTCGCGTTAGTGATCGATATTGGAATCTGGAGTGGGAATAGGCGAAGGACGGAAATTGCTGAAAGTTTCCAGCAGCCTTTGTTGACGGTATGCTCTGCGAGTCGTCTTCAATATGCATGCATGGCTGATTATAACAGATGCTGCGTCGCGGACTTCGATTCCGACGCTCCATCTACCTCCCGATCATCCCACTGCTAGAGGATACACCGGAAATCCTGGAGCGCAAATGGCGCGACTGGGCGGAACAAGAGTCATTCAAGAGGTTAACTCATTTCCCACCCAGATTTCCCTAACAATTGTGGCTGACGACGGCAGACTGGCCCATCATCTATTCTTGCACGATGCTCAATCAGCCTTGATGTTAAATGTCAACCCCCTGATTTCCTATTCGGACCTCGAGCTTCCATTCCCGATGATCCGTCCGTTGTGGGAAGCTAGATCGGCAACAGAATGGAGGGATATATACCTAGCCACTGCAACTCCTGGTGCAGACCGACTACCGTCGCTGGTGGACACATTGAGGGATATGTCGCAGTGGCAGGGACGGATTGACTACCAGCTCTCAGGCTTCGTGATTCTGCATGCCATGGCGGCGCTGATTAGCGAGTATCATCGGCTGAAAATGATTTCCCAGGGCAACTCCAAGCACTGGAGCGCCCTCGTAATCAGCTCACGACAGCAGGAGCTATCTCAAGTTCTGCAGCATTTCCGTATGATCTGCTGCGAATGGGCGAATATGCCGGGACCGGAGATTTCTCTGGTGTACGAGGTGATCTCCATGTTCCTCTTCATGTCCCTGGAAGAATTGCAGCTCTTCGCCGGCAAGGAGGACAAGAAAGAGGCGCGACGGGTGTATAACAGTGCGTTGGAATGGATCAATAGTGCAGACTCGCGTCGCGCCGTCTGGCATGCCGGCCAAGTGATCCGGGCCGCCAAGGCCATGCCACCTGGATCGCTAACCGGGTTCCTGGCCGTAGGCGTGTACTACGCCAGCCTTGCCTTCTGGTCCTACAGCGTGGTATCCAAAGCACAAAACACTAAGGTGGCTGCCAGGAACCCGGATCCGGACCCGCGTCTCCGCGACGACCGGTGGCCCATGGTCTTCCTAGACGGCGAGGAAACCACGGACGTGCAGAAATTCATCTCCTTTGGCCGGGGGTGTCCGGCTCTTCACGGTCTCCAAGGCCCCGCAGTAGTGGCTGCTGATCCTGGGCTGATCATGGATGTAACACGGGGGCTTCTGCGGGCGGACGCCTCTCCCGACGCGCTGCCTCCGTTGGTTCAGGGCCTCTGCCAGTTGATGAAGGATTTGGGCACCGCGGCGCGATCCAGTTCAGTCCCTTTGCCCTAAATCGAAAGATAATATAATAACATATATACAAAAAAAAAAAAATAAAGCTTATTTTCTAGTCCTTCTGTCTAGATGATCATGATGGTTTGTACAATGATTCCTTGCTTACTAGCATAGTTAACAAGCTCTAATCCTTCCATTTATATTATATTTCTTATGAGACTTTATTTATTGTCAAACTCTGGATACTCCTCTGTACTCTGTATAATATTTATAGATCTAGATGGATCGTAAAAGCTCCACTTCTGGAGGGATTTCTGCCCTATGAGACCCGCTAACCCGAAGGGGCTTAGTATCGGCACGGAAGAGCCGTGGTTCCGCGATAACCCCGTGACCTCATCTGCGGTCGGCCAATTGCCAATCTGGAAAAGATCCAACTTACATATAAAAATCAGCATAATGCACTGACTATGCTTGTAGCGCTGCTCCTCAAATGATTTCAAGGCGTGGTATCTCCTCCTGGAGCATCCCACAGCTGCCCACCACTTGCAACTTCGCCTCCTTTTCACGGCCTCGGATCGACCAGTTCCGGCATACTACTACTGTTGATGCTGAGCCTCTTCATCGTTACCGAAAAGGTGGCGACCATCCTATCGCGTTGGGAAGTTTTCTGAGGGACAAGAGATACAAGATTTTGCCCAAATTAGACGGGGGAGGCTATTCGACGGTTTGGGCTGCAAGGGACCGCAGGTTATAGTTACAAACTACACTTGCTGGCTGCGCTTCTGGCTTAATCAGCACTAACTTGCTCATACAGAAGAGGCTTATGGGGCTGTTAAGATCTGTATTTCTGCACGGGAGAATAGTGAAGCAAATCGAGAACTCCATGTCATAAAGAGATTGGCATCTATTCACCCTTGCCCTCAGCACGTCGTGCGCCTGCTTGATGACTTTGATTTATCAGGCCCAAATGGAACACATCAATGCCTTGTATTCGAGCTCCTAGGGCCTAGTATCCCTGATATAATCGACGCACACTTTCCCGGTGGCAGGCTTCCTGGCAAGGCCGCCAAAACCATTTGCAAAACAGGCTCTTGGTGGACTAGACACTCTGCACCAACATAATATTGGACATGGAGGTAGGTCATACATGCTTGCATATTTGCATTCAGGAATCATATCTGATACTCACATAATATAGACATCCATCCGCGCAATTTAGCGCTTACTGTACCTTGTATGAACAATATGCCTGAGGAGCAATTTATGGAGATGCTAGGGAAGCCAGAAATCGGGGCATGTTCAAAGGAGCGATGGAAAAGCTCTAGAACCTGGTGTACCGAACTATATTGTCCGGCCTGCCTCGTACTGCTCCCTCCCTTGGCCGTCGTCAATGTCAATCAAGCTTGTAGACTTTGGTGAATCGTTTTTTGCAGACAACTATTCGGCAAACTCTTCACACCCCACTACCAGTTCGGGCGCCTGAAGTTATATTTGAAGAACCCCTGGACTATCGTGTAGATTTATGGAGTATGGGCTTGTCTGGTAAGCAAAATTACCAAACGTTAAACAACCTGGAACGATATTAACGACCTTGTTAGCTTTTTGAGCTTTTTCGTCGGCCAGCCGCCCTTTGACAGCTTCATGCTAATCAAACGCAAGAGATGGCAAGACTCGTGCAGGACAGCGGATGATGAATCTGCCGCAGAAATCCCAGGACCTGCATTGCAAGAGTGGTTAGAAGACATGTATTTTGATGGTGCGCGAAACGAAGACTTGACCAAGGATGATATAGTTAGCCGTCCACCAGGGAGTCAGCGAGGGAAATTCTGACCGTCACAACTGACCTACGGAATATATGATCGCTGATCCGAGATATTTCATGCATTCTATTCCTCAGACACTCATGCGCTACATTAGTCAGAAAATACACTATTGTGACAATTCCACTCCAGTAAGGATTCGCCCTGTCTTCGTGTGATTGTCCGTCCTTGATCAGGATTGCATGATGCCGGCCTTGTCGGAGGAACTTTCCCAGCGAGTCTCTTTGTGAGGGGATTTATTTGTAACTTGACTAGTACATTATTCGTAGTTTTGGGTATATATATATATATATATATATAAGTTTGATTCTCATTGCATAAATGATTTGGGTATAAATCCAGACTTAAGATGACGACGCATTGTGGCCCGGGTGGTTGCCTACAAGGTCCAGAAACCGAGCGGGTTTTGTCGGTGGTTGTCTTTTGGTTCCTTAATATAGATAACTAATTGCTTCTTCTTCTTCTTCTTCTTCTTCTTCTCTACTTTTCTCTTCCTGTCTGTCTCTACTCTCTTTGCTCCTGTCTGCTCTGAAACCCCGCCATCCACGCCCCTTCCTTCCCGTTGAAGCCAGCCACCTCTCCTCCACACCTGCGCTATATAATCCTATCATCACCAACTATCCTATCCAGCCGCTTCCAAGAACAATCACTCCGTGTGGGACTTCGTCAACTGTTTCCTTCTAGCCTTCCGTGTACGATAGACTCCATTTAATCTCTCTCGTTCCGGGTCCGCCTTCACCCCCTCAACGCCTTTCAACCTTGTTGTTTTTTTTTTTTTTTCCCCCGCACCAGACTGAGCCACAATGTAAGTCAACCCCCCGACCATGCATGCCACCAACGGCAAGGACTCTGGCTAATAAGCAGTTCCTGAGACATCATGCAGGCGTATTACGGTGAACGTGATCCGACCGGACCAGGCCGACCTGGACTTGATTCCCTTGGTGGTGGGCCCGGATATGACAATTGACCTCCTCAAAAGCATCGTGGAGAGTGAAACATCGATTCCTCCTTCCTCGCAACGACTCGTCTATAATAATCAGCTCCTGGCCGATGATTCGAAGACTCTCGAGCAAGTCGGGATCGGAGAGGGAGATATGCTGGGGGTTCATGTGATGGTTCGGGGTCCTCCTCCTCCCCAGCCTCGCCCCGCGCCCGGCCCAAGTAGCTCCCTTGCTGCCCAACAGCACACCCAGCGACGACAGCAACAAATGACTCCAGACCCCGAGATGATCCGCTTGCACATCCTAGGCGATCCCCGCGTGCGCGACGCCGTACGACAACGGAATCCCGAATTGGCTGAAGTGGCCCAGGACCCTCAGCGATTCCGGGAGGTGCTCACCGCGCAACAACGGCAGGAGGCCCAGAAGGAGGCGGAGAAGGAGGCGCGGATCGCCATGCTGAATGCCGATCCGTTCAACCCCGAAAATCAGAAAGAGATCGAGGAGATCATCCGTCAGAATGCCGTCACGGAGAACCTGCACAATGCCATGGAGCACCATCCAGAGTGTAAGTCAAAGGTCGCATGGGCCAAGCCAGGATGAGAGATGCACACCGCTAACAGGTACCCCCCACACAGCCTTTGGTCGTGTAACCATGCTGTATATTCCCGTCGAAGTCAACGGCCACAAGCTCAATGCCTTCGTCGACTCGGGCGCCCAGGTCACCATCATGTCTCCCGAGTGCGCAACCGCGTGCAACATCATGCGCTTGGTAGATACCCGTTATGGAGGTATTGCGAAAGGCGTTGGTACCGCAAATATTTTGGGCCGCGTCCACTCCGCTCAGATCAAGATCGGGAGCTTGTTCCTCCCGTGCTCATTTACGGTCATGGAAGGGAAGCATATCGATCTTCTCCTGGGGTTGGACATGCTGAGGCGACATCAAGCGTGTATTGATTTGAGGCAGAATGCCCTCGTGATTCAGGATCAAGCCGTTCCGTTCCTCGGCGAGGCCGACATCCCCAAACACCTCATGGAAGAATTCCAAGACGAGCCTGTGGTCAAAGGTGCGGATGGCGCCGAGGTCGGCGCTCGAACGGGTGCCGTCACCCATCCAGCCGCCAGCGGGCAGGGGTCGAGTGGTTCCAACGCAGCCGCGGCGATATCTTCGTCCCGCCCAGCTCCCACCCAGTCATCGCGCTGGCCGCAGGACTCCGTAGCGAAGATCACCGAACTTGGATTTACTCGCGAGGAGGCCATGCGGGCCCTGGATGCAGCTAACGGAGACCTGGACGGGGCGATTGGGTTCCTGATCTGATCGACCTGGCCCATGTTGGACATGGAATCCCAGGCTATGTTTGGCGGCATTTGTTCCGGTGCCAGGGTATTCTGCCCGGATCTCTTCCAATTATTGTCTGGTATTGGTGGAGTTGATCACTTTACTTGCTGCACTCCGCAGCCCCGGGTTTCCAAGATGACTGAATATTCTAGAATAGGTATCTCCGGTACCCGCTGTATTCATTATTTATTCGAAATGGTCGGCAGGCGTTTTTTTTTTTTTTTTATCAGGCTAGAAGCCTATGATTGGGATTGACTAGTGAATTTGCGGCATCAGTTTTTCTTTTCTTTTCTTTTTTTTTTCTCTCTCTCTCTCTCTCTCCATATGTATGGTCCAGAAACTTTTGCGGCTGTTTACCCTATCCTCTACTTATTTACCACGTCTTTGAAAGGATCAAGACTCTGTTGGAGAATGACAACCACAAAGAATAAGAGTCGATTTTTTTGTATTATTTGATTACTGTCCTGTATGTATATTTACATATATTTGGGCGATATGATGATGATGATCACACCACTCGGATAGGCTTCTTCGGACCCCGGCCAGGAGAATGAGTGGGGAGATCCAGTGATACAGACCTCGTTCCGGAATAGGTATGCGAATTCGAGCGCATTCACAAGCTCTGCGCTGCTCTACTCCTGTTTCGGCTTGGGGAGCAATCTGCCACGCAGCCGGAAGAACATATCCAGCGCCATCAACCCGCCTAAAGTGAGGTTAGCTCAGGTTCCGATCCTCTTCAGACCCAAGGTTCTCAGGTCCAAAGTAGTCAAAGTCAAGGATAGGAGGAGAGGAGAGAGAAAAGGGCAGTGAGAAAGCGAAGGAACAAAAACCTACCGAGAGCAACATAGGGTCCGTAGAGCATGGTGATATTTTGCTTTTCAGTTACGGTGCGATCATCCCAGCCCCATACTTCGACGAGGCAGGTCAGCGAGGTGAGAAACGATTGGATCCCGAACACGAGGAGGTGAACTGGGACCAGGGGGTCATCTGTAGGTATATCGAGTAGTCAGATATCGTATGGTATGGTATGGTATGCCAGCGGGAGTCAAGACACAAGAGCCAAGATTAGAATCCGCACTCCTGCTATACTCTGAAGCATGGATTGCGGTACATACCTCGGAGCAGCGCGACTAGAGCCCACGCACTCAGCGGGACATGGTAGCATAGTTCCATCCATATGTAGCTCGTGAACCAGGCCGGGACGGGACCTTCGAAGAACTTGTCGCGGAAGGTCTCGATGTAGTAGCTGCGCAATTGGAGAGAGAGATCTGTCCTGAGGAAGGACGGGAGGAGAGGGACAGTGTCAACCACTAGCAGATATCATTCCATGCCGGTGTTAGTATTGTTGTTGTCGCCTGTCCTGTCCCAGGTTACTCCGTACAATCAATAGCATACGAAGCAGCAACACTTACGAAAGATGATAGGAATGTGGATTGCAAAGAACCCGAAATAGATTAGGTCGCGTTTTCGGCTCCAAAGATCCATGGTGGGAGGAGAGAGACGATTATCTACAGAGATTATTGGGAAGAATAAAAATATTGCAACAAGTCCAGATTTGAGGATGTTGTCGCGTGGTCATGTGATGTGACTGGGGAAAACAAAACAACAGAAGCTGAAGCTTAGTTGCGTGGGTTTATATTCTAGATGAAATCTGTATATATCTTGCAATATGTGGCATGTTCTTCATAAGCTGTACATCTTCTAACTATTACAGTGTGCTTGCATGGTGATGGTTGCGTTGACTCCCAACTACCCAGAACAAGGCCGAAGAATATATAGATAATCTTCCGGATTTTGAGGCAGGCAGGGCTTCTATCGACATGAGAGCATAATCCGCAGGCTCTAACAGCTGGGTTCAAATCTCGTACGGGCCCATTGTCGCTAGCCTATCCAAAGCTGATTTGTGGGTGGCCAGGAGGAAGAAGTGCCTTGTTCGGATTTATTGGATTCATGCTGATCCCTCCGCGTGGAATTGCGCATGTTTCGGCATCTTTCTTTCTCGATAATGGGTGGCCACATCCTCCATCTGCCCTCGCCGCTGCTAAGTGTGGACTATGACGAAGCGCGTCTGGTGGAAAAGAGTGCTTGCCACGTACTGGGGATTGATACAGCGCCGGTGGAAGATATCCTATCCGACCTCCGCAGTAGAGAATGGCCTAGAGGACCATGGATCTCATCAGCTCGCACAAAGGTTTTTGGTAAGGGGGGGGGGGGGGGGGGGGTTGGAACAGTCGAGGGCAGACAGTAGGCGGGATTGCTGCTGACGGACAGCCTCGACTTGATTGGACATACAGCCAAGTTAGTAGAGGGATCCCCCAATTGCTGCATGGACTATAGGTCCCGAAACTGACCAGCGAGTTTTTCAGTGTTGGCGATTCCAAGACAATCGTAATCCATCCAAGCCACCGAACGGACGCAGAGCGGCTAGGGATAGGTGCTACTGATGACTTGATCCGGCTGTCCGCAGGAACGGAGCATATCGATGACCTGATCAAAGACCTGGACCAAGGCCTGGAAAAGGCTGCCGCAGTGCATCCTTGAGGTATATATACTCCGTACACACCAGAGTTTGGCACAGAGATGACCCCGGGACAGCCAGCTCTGGACCTCGCAAAATAAGAGGGGGGATGTCAGGCATCAGTACCTAGCTAGGGTGGTGGGGTACCTAGGTAGTGAATGTATTGGGAGTAAGGAAGAGCCCTTTGCCCATCCGTTTCGACGATATTATTCCTGTGGTTATGCGACTGTTCAGCCCTAAGTCGGAGGAGATCCCGTTGGTATCATCTTGCCTCGCTTTCTGGTCTTTTCTTTGCTTTCCTGTAACTAGTCAATGCTTGATCAATCTAAGAACTTGCTTGACTCTACCTCTACGGAGTACTTTGACCCGGACATGCGGATCGAAATGCCCCTGGGGCCTGTCCTGTACCCCCTCTCGTAGCTTCCAGGGTTGTGGTTCCCGCTTTCAGGGGGTGGTGATAAGGGTGCAGGAGGTTGCATTCACCTCCTCTTATATAGCTCGCAGTGTGGGTCCTGTCAGTTATATAGCATTTGCACAAGCAACATATCCTAAATAATAGGTAGATGTGACGTATAAATTACGGAGGATGACCTTGTACCTAGGTATCAATTTCCAGCCATGTAACTGGGTTCCCTGTGCAGCTTCGATTCTTATAGACCCATAGCTTAAACTGTCCACCACCCTTAAACGATACTGGTTGCAACCCTGTTCAGGGAGTAGCATTGGACCTGATGGCGAGGTTGTAGATATATACCAGCGGGGGTGAGCTCAGTGGGGGGGAGGGAGGGCCACTGCGGAGGCCGTAGTCATCAGGGCAGAGAGTCCAAGAATGGCTAGGACGAGTCTCCGAGGACATTGCTTCGAACAGGCTGGTGTGGTTCTGTACGCCATGCTTGCTTGGATGAGGCGAAGGCAATGGTATTGGCAGTGGGATCTGTCTCGCGGAGTCCTGGATCGATTCCGCGCAGTGTGTTGGTCACAAATGAAATGTCTTCTTCTGATACAGGGTTTCGGGGGGGGGGGGGGGGGATTTAAAGAAATAATAGTCATTTTATGGGATTGGGCTAATTCCCTGTGGATTGGAAGGGTATAATACTATGTACCTTCCAACGTTCATAAATAAATAAAATCAACCCACCTAATACCATACTTAAGAATATACAAGAAATTCCAATTACCATCACAGAGCAACCCACAGGAGGATAGTCGGCAAGGAGTAGTTGAAATGGCTTATAGCTTTGACTCTATCCATGTCCAGGACAGGTTATGATTCCCTCACCCTGGTCAATGACCATTTGTAGTTCCTCTAGACCGCGATTTTGGCAGATCTATTGACACTGGATTAGACGAAGCGACAAGCAGACCATGCTGAAAGCAGAATAGAATACGAAACAGTGAATGATATAGAAAATGCAGGGAACACTCAAAAGAGATGCTACTGTGAAAGCATTGCATACCACAAGCGAGCAGCTGCGTAGAAGCGCGGGGACCATAGGACCTCAGACGAACAGCTCAACGGTTGAAGAGACAGGTACTAAAGTATCTCGTTTGTCAGACCATTGTATGTGTATAGCCTTAAAGCTATGAGGTAGGGAACAGGCAGTCAGGAAGTAATGTTGTGATAGAGCGGTATTTCATTTCTAGTGTTGTTGTGTGGTCATGTGACTGGGATCGTTGTGGACAAAAAAACATCACTTCTTCTTCTTCTTCTTCTTCTTCTTCTCCTTCTTCTCATCTCCAGCTGTTCGCCAGATCCAAGCCGATGGGAAAGCAAAAAAAAAAAAAAAAAAAAAAAAAAACCAACTTAAAGATAACACAGAAGTCATCCTAAGAGGATAATTGCTTTTTCAAATGCACGCGTCTGAGATTCCCTAAGCATAGCTTAAGCTTAGCCGCGTGGATCGTATTCTGTACGAAATCCGGTTGTATCGGTTAGTAAAGTTTAGTGTGTCTCAAATGAGATGTATAGTCTGAATAACTTCTTGCTAACACACCACTTTGCTTTTTTGGCCCTTTTTGGCCTTGCAGAATATCTCAACCTGGCCCTTGAAGCTTACCGGGTTTGTGGAACATGAGCCATATTCTCACGTCCGGAGCCTGGGGTCTGGAGAGTGGGAGATTTTAGGTCCGAATACGACGGACGACCCATGCTGGCTGATCGGCCTTGGTTTTACATTATCAGTGAGGCATATAATAGCCAAAGAAGGACCCCCTCACCGCAACTCTGGACTTTTGCCAAATCCATAAGTTGGGACGGAGAGGTGAAGTTCGAGTAGTGCAAAAGTCCGTGGGAAAGTCCAGGGTGTCAACTCAACCCCCCCTCCTCGTCCTGGAAGTACTTTGCGGTCTATGCCATCCTGGACCGGAAATCGGTCTGATTTCATTGTTACCGTCAGGTACTACAGGGATTGTCGTGTCTGTATCTGTTCCCAGCAGGAAGGATGCGTTTCTCATATCTTTCAGCCATCAGCATAATCACAGCATGCAGGATCCAGCCTAATAACCCGATCGAGCAATTCCTCTCGAACTTCCGATGGCCGATTTCTGCCACTAACGCTTTTGTGAACTTGGCCCGGCCCGCCCTCGAATTCGTCGGGGCAGGCAGGCCACGGGAAGATGGCTTTTAGTGTCAGACTATAACCCACCAACCCAATCATAGTCCATTTCGTGCCATCTAATAGTCTCGAAATTGAAGTGGGCTAGTCCCCAGAACCCGAGAAGCGCTCCTCTCATATTACCTTGGCGGTAGTTTCCCCGGAAGTTAGTTACAGAAGTTTGACCGCCGGGAGTTACAACCTACAAGGGACTAACTAACTACTCCGTACTGCGAATTGTTTTGTCAAGTTGCCACCTCTTGCTCATTGGCATCATCAGCCTTGCGACTCCTTCGTCATTCCTTTGACATTTCTTGAGCTAAGTGGATTCATGTGCAATGAAACACAATAAAACAACAGAAACCAAAACAGAGGACAGTATTGGGCGTCCTTGGGTCAATTGATTTCCCATCCTATTACCTCGAAAAAGTGGCGACCTCAAGATGAGCTCCCGATTGTAGTACATGTGAAGTTCATGGTAGATACCGACAAATGATAAAGATTTTAGGCAATATGTCGGACGCTCGGTTCATTTCATTTCGCAGTCTCGGTTGAAATTTCATCCCCACTCAGGTTGCTGAGAGACCACCCAGGTTCTTCGAGCGAATCTGGAATAACAACGGAGCCTGCACACTGTGCGCGGTGCATGCAGGTTAAGCCGTCTCTGGGTATTATTACGCTTATCGGAGCAGACTTAGCTGCGAGCGCTTCCTTCGAGGCTTCGATGGGTCTTCGAAAACGGCCTGGAAAAGTTTCTAGACACCCGAATTCGACAGATACATAATTTTCTGGCTCTCCCCAGTCGAGAAATGTACCGTTGTGGGGAACACTGGATAAACTACGGGCATTGGACTGTATTTCCGAAATGAGATGGGCCTGGCTTGAAACAAGCGCATCGGCTTGGACTGTCCCTCACACCCTAGTCGAACATGCTGAAGACCAATGATATCGAGAAACCGAGGGCAAGGGAGTTGATAGATAGGACTTTTCTCTTACAGGGACAGCCACAGACCTCCCATCTCGCAAAACCCATGTGCGACCCTGGAATTCCGCTTCGTCAGGGGGCGCAAGTCTGGCCCAGCGATGACGCTCTCATTGATCAGGATATCAACTCGTTGACTGGGGAAGCTACAGTAGTTTCCTGAGGACCCCTTGTTCGGCGGAGATGAATACCCCGGTTCAATTCAATAATTTAAGGTGCTACCAAGGCCAAAAAACATCGCTCGATCTCGCCTAGGCAATAAAACAATGGCAAAAAGGCCAGATACATCGATTCCTTCCAGACTAGTGTCGCACGGAGTGTGCTTGCTGCATTATACCTTATCAATCATTTAAGAACAATTTACTCTCCACCAACCGAAACTCAGAAAGAGTTTGTTACTGCAGTATCCGTGCAGCTACTGTCTATGTATGTACAGGACTGCCGTAATTACTTACCGATCGTGGTTGCATATGTGGAACATCCAATAAACCCATCAAGACCAAGGTACCACAAGGGAATAGGAGTCCTTGAAACCGGGATTTTACCAACTTCTCCCAAGCCATGCAAGGGCTAATGCAAGATAGCAAAGCTACCGGGAGCTGCTGCTGCTCTGCTCAGGCAGCTAATTACCGCGGAGGGCATTTTCCTGCGATCCAGCGCCAACCCGTTATAGTGCACGAAACAGACTCAAAAGTTAATAGTTAATGTATCGGGCTAACTAACGAGCATGCTATACGGTTCCACTTGCCCGTCCTCCTGCGGTCTCTCGGCTTTCTTATCGTTCGTTCTAATTGCACCAGACCGAGCGGTGAAACTGCGCCAGAAGTGGACGGAATGAATACAGATGCAAGTGCCAGTCCCCCGGAACAGGCCGGGAGCAGAGACAGACGAAGGTGCTTAGTACTGTTCCAATCGCTGGAGGGAAGACCCAATCATCCTGATAATCGCGTCCATGAGGGAGGTACTATGGAGTATCGTTGTTCGATACAAGTTGCAGAAGTTGTGAGGTCGACCACCCGAGGATGACCCGTCGCAGGCCTCTTTCTCTCTCTCTCTCTCTCTCTCTCTTTCTCTCTTGACCGCCTCTCTTTCCCTTCTTGTGGCCATCGCGGACTCAACTCCGTATGATGCTCCTTTCCTCCTATTACTCCGTTCTGTTCCTTTTGCTTCTTCAAGTCCTTCCCTTCCTTTGAGTGGCTTGCTGGCCTGCGTATGCCCCTCACCCGCCCCCCTTTACGACCTCCGTTCCAATCTAGATGTTCGTACTTCATCCGGCACCGACATACCCCTGCTCGCCCTGGCATCGCAGAAACGCCTTTCTTTTCTTTTTTTCTTTCTTCTTTCTCATTTTTATTTATTTTTATTTCACCTTTTTTTTAGAAAAATAAATCCGTCATGGATAACCTTGCGCATCTCCATTGCGAGCTTGTCGGCCCGGAGATGAAAGGGATAGCAGTCTGAGCGAAACCGCCCCGGTAGGTGCACATATGCTATGCTGCTGCGACCATATCGTTTGATTCATCCACTCAATCCTTGAGAAAGAGCTTTATCGCGATGACGAGGTTATGTGGAGGCGGCCTTTGATCACAAAAATTTATTTAACTATCCTCGTCCTCCACCATTTTGGAAAAATTGACTCCTTCTTGACATTATTTCCTTTCCCCAAGGAATTGACTTAGGCCTTTTATCATCCTCCTTACCTTGCTTCGTCGTGTATCAGTCCAGTTCTTTGATAGCCCTGGGAGCTATTCTGGAAGTAATCTTTTATATACCTTTCCCTTCCCCCTTCATCCTTCACCATACCTAATAAAGGGGGGGCGCACAAAGTCTCCTGACCATAGCTATATCGACATAATCCCTCCGATTATTCACAATGCCCTCCCCAGCCCCTTTGCTAAGGCCCAAGAAGGCCCAACCGGTCAACGCCCCTAAGGAAGATGCGCCAATTAACTACGACATCAACATCCCTTACGTGGATGTCACCAAGGAATCTCACTTGCGCACTAGGTATCCTGAATACCTCCCGACATGGGACAAGATGTGGTTTGATCCACTCCCCCATTTCGATTATGATGACCCTGCCCTGCGCGTCGAAGACAAATCCAAACGCAACTTGTTAACTCCCAATGCGAAAGTGACGGAGATCCAACCTCAAATCGGCAGCATCATTGAAGGTGTGCAACTGAGCCAACTCTCTGCAGCCGCCAAAGACGAGCTTGCGCTCCTTGTTTCCGAGCGCAAAGTTGTCGCTTTCCCTAACCAGGACCTGATCGATGCTGGTCCCGCCGCGCAAGCGGCCTTTATGAGTTACTTCGGTAAACCGAATTACCAGCCCGTCTCAGGTACCGTGCGCGGTTACCCTGGGTTTCACATCATTCATCGCGATGGGAACCGGGAAGAAATCTCACGCTTTTTGGAGCAACGCACCACCACTACACTCTGGCATCAGGATGTCAGCTATGAGATCCAACCACCAGGATATGTGATGCTAGGTTTGTTGGAAGGCCCTGAGGTTGGAGGTGATACTGTTTTTGCTGCAACCGATTTGGCCTATAAGTGAGTACCCCCATACGTTGCTTTCCTCGTCTTGTTTCAGAAAAAAAAACCAAAAAAAAAACTTATTTTTTTTGGTTTTTGTTTTCTCTCGTCAACTACAGAGCAGAGCTAATCTCCTGCGCAGGCGCCTCTCCCCCACTCTCTGTTCATGGCTGGACACTCTGAGCGCTGTCCACTCGTCTACAAAGATGATTAACCATGCCCGTCTTACTGGTGGCTTGGTGCGCAAAGACCCTGTTAACACCGTCCACCCGTTAGTCCGCATTCATCCCGTAACCGGGGAGAAATCCTTGTTTATCAACAGGGAATTCATTCACAAGATCGAGGGCCTCAAGGAGCCCGAGCAACAATGGTTGCTTGATTTTCTCATGCAGCATATTATCAGTGGGCACGACTTCCAAGCTAGAGTACGATGGCAGCCCAGGACTATCGTCATTTTCGATAACCGGAGCACGATTCGTAAGTTGTCTTTTCATTTGTGTTTTTACCATGCATGCATTAGCACCACAAGCTATGGAACTAGCACGTAACTAACTGTTATTTTCCCCCCTGCTTGAAAAAGATTCGGCTATTGTTGACTATGTTGATGATGATTATGGTGCCAAACTCCGCCATATCTTCCGGCTGTGTGCCTTGGGCGAAAAGCCAGTCCCCGTTTACGACGATTTCGAGTAAAATGCACGCACGGTTTGCAATAAATCAGCAGACGAAAGAACGAAAGAAAGCAGAAAAAAAAATTGCTTCTCCTCTTTGGAAAGTAATATATTTTAATATTGCAGGCGGCGGGACAAAAAATTAGTTTTCTACTTTTCTTAGTTCTTTTTTTTTTTTCCACGCTCGGGGAAGAAGGTCGTCAAAACCAAACCCCTTCCTTCCCTCGTCCCCCTTTTTTTTGGGACCTATTTCCTTTATCTCGCCTCGGTGACTTTGCTTGGTCTCGCATGCATGGCGCTGATCCTGCATGTGCCTGTTCTGTCATCTTTCTGCGGTGATTCCTTTTTCGCTGCTGCTTTACGCTGCTTACTTGCAGGAACGACACCTTGCTTGTTTTTTTTTTTGTTTTTTGTTTTTTTTTTTTGCGCCCTTCTTATCTCGTTGATACCTCGGTCCGGTTCTGATAGACGGTTTTATGGCTTTGTTTTTTGTTTTTTTTTTTGTTTTCTTTCTTTACTTGATAGTACTTTTTTTACATTGCGTTGCTTACCTCTCTGGTTAATTATTTAGACTTGGTCCTTTTCTGTTGCTGATAGACTTTTTGCGGGTTCTTTTGTTTTTTTTTTTTGGCTTTTTACTCTCATGTCTGGATATGTTGCGGCATTTTACTGAGTGAGCGTCCTAATGAAAATAATAGATAGACGATTTGATGATCATATTTTACCTCTTCTGTTCCCTTGATCTCCAACTCGCAATGACCATATCTAGACAGGTACTCAAAAAGAGGACGATGACGGTACTAGTCGTACATAGGTACTGTACATTTCTCCAAGTCCCGTTATAACTGCGAGTGCAACTATGACTATGACTGCATCTATTGGCCCAGACTCTGATTCTCGAGAAGAGAATACTAGAGAGAAAAGAAAGAATCACAAAAGGGGAGGGGGAAATAAAGGAAATTCGCAAGCATATAACAGATTCCAAACCAGCCCTTCCTGCATCGTACAGCCTAGTATACCATCAAATGCTTCTCCAAAGTAAATAAACTATAGTTCATGGGATGGAGGGGAAAAAAGAAAAGAAAAGAACGCCATTTTTTCAAAAAACTGGCTTTGTAAAAACGCACTCCAATCGGTCATCAGGGAGAAAATCAAGATGCGGTGGGAAAGATAAAAGATAATTATTGATGCTATATTCTTCTCGAAATATAGAAGCACAGGAGAGAGAGAGAGAGAGAGAGAGAGAGAGAGAGAGAGAGGTAGAACGAAAAGAATGAATAAAGGAAGGTTTCATTACCGTCAATGAGTCAGTCACTTCATAGAATCACCGCAAGATATCCTGAATTCTGGCCCGCAGTTCATGCGCTACCTGCATCTGCTCCGAAGTGATCCCGCCTTGCTGGAGAAGAACAAGCATTTCTGAGATGCGCTCCGCGACCACGTCGCTGCCGAAGACGATTCCGCCCAGGCGCACGGTATCGTGGAACCAGTGCTGGATTAGGTAGAGCAGGTCCTTGGCAATGAGCTTGCGGTTAGAGCCGTGGAAGGGGGCCTCGTCCGTGTAGTACATTGATTCGAGGACCGAGTAGATGGTCTCGTGCGCAACGCCTAGATCGAGGAACACGTCAATGACCCACGTTGGCGGGCCGACACCACGCTGGTGTTCCAAGGCATATCGTTCAAGCATGGGGAGGAGGGTCGGGACCGGGAAGATAGTTTCCGACATCCGAAGCCGACTGCCTAGGCTGCGCACTTTCTCAATTACAGCCTCGTAGGGCTGAGGAGAGCCGCGCGCGACGATTTCGTCATGCAAATCCTGGAGCAGGTGCTGCCATGTAGCTCGGATATCTGCCGGGTTGCGATGATCAGCAACAAAGAAGATCTGCAGGCAAATATCGTAGTAGCTGGCGGGGTCGGCGTATTTGTTAAAGATCTGGCCAAAAAGTTAGCATATGTAAAGCGCCAGGGTAGGATTCCCGCGAGCTGGTTCCATACGGTAGTTATATCCAGAATTGGTCCGTCCACCTCCTTAAGAATTTCCGCTTTCTGGTTGGGTTCGATTCTTTGATCATCCTTTAATCGTTGAAGTAAATCATCCTGAATGTTTGCAACATCGATGAACCCGGATATTTCTTGTAGCACCCGCTGCCTGGATTGCCGCCCTACATCCTGCGTAAAGGTTGAAGCGTTGGCTCTCGCTTGACCAAGGTACTCAATTCTCCGGCTTAAAGGAAGAACAAAAGAGCTTCGGGCAAGATCGAACTGGACCTTGGCGGCTTCGTAAAACCGCTGCGATTGGGTATAGTATCTCGACAGGAGGTCAGCGTGCGAAATGTCATCAGTCGATTTGCGTTGTAGATAGATAACCACAAATGAGGAATCTGTTCTTAGCAAACGGTCGTTCCAGCCCTGCTCTAGATACCAGTCATACAAGCTCGTCAAGAACACCTCATCAGTTGAGTCTGAAATGATCCCGTAAGCCTCGTTCTTGCGTTTTGAAATAATGGTTAGTTGCCCATCAACGACACCGGGGTCCTGAGCCGCCAGTGTATCAACCGCAATGATGACCTTGAAGATCAGGTCGTAGCATTGCTTCCTGAAGTAAAAGTAGTCTCGTCGTGAATCCTTTACTACTTGTTAGCACCTCGAAAATAATAAGAAGGTAGCTGCCGAACTCACCTGTTCTGGTCTGCCGTCGACAATCCACGACAATGCCATGTTCGCCTTGTCTGAGCGAGCGGCAGCGTTCAATGCAAGTTGGATGGCGCCTAGAGAAGACAGTTTAGAAAATTCACCCGACGTGATAGGGCATTAGAACATACCAGCAAAGAACTGGTTGGAAATATAGCTTTCCACCGCAGATACAAGATAATCCATGGGTAGGCTGTCGGACACCTGCTGGAACAAGTGTAAGCTTTCATTAAGCAGATTGCGGCCAAGTTCGGAGTTGAACCCGGCTTCGGTGGCTCTTTTCAAGAGCTCCTGTGCCTTGAAAATGACCACATCTTCAGCGCTGCAGAAACTACCACATCGCCTGCGCAAGGCATCGGCGACTGTTTCAACATTAGATCCCTTGGCGATGTTTCGGTTTACAATTCCCTTGACCAATTCCTTTGCGATATCATGGCCTTTGCTGGTGCTAAACAGCTCCTCAAAAGTGAGTTTCAGGAAGCGCTGCTTGGAGTCCTCTGGCAAGAGCGCAACAATCTCTTCCACACGCTCATCAAACAAAACTAGCACAAACGAAATACCCTCAATGGTATGAGATACGAGCTGGACAAGTGAGTGCAGTGCCCTGTGTTCTGCCTGCAACGCAGTCTCTTCCTGTTTCGTTGACACGCGTGCCAAAGCTTCCGGACCGCTCAAGCCTTCGATAAAGGTCTTGTTCGACTTGAAAAAGTCTTGTAAAGCAGACAAATCCTTTTGAATACTCTGCAGTTTGGCAACTGAGAAGGAAGCCGATACGGTTTGTGCTCCATTAGGTGAGCTACCGACCTTGGCAATCTCCTTTTTCCAGATAGAGCGTATTAATCTCGAAATATAAAGAGCGATTCCCGCATGACGGGGTGAGGGAACGACAGTGTCAATTGCAGGAGTGGAATTATCCGCGACAGCATTTTCGTTCATCGTAGGTCGACCGCCATATTCAATGAAAACCTTGCGAGCGAACTCCAGAACTTCAGGGTCGTTTATTTTCGTAAGGCGCGAGTCGGTAGAAACCTCGACGCCTTGACCACATGCAACGGCAAGGGCCGTTGCGAGTGTTTCGCTCCGGCCATAAGTGCGAATGAAGTTCTTAATCTCGCCCTCTAATCCCTCGTCGCCGCCACTGCCACCGTGGCGAACTAGGGCAGCAAAGATATCAACAAGACGCCGTCGGCGGAACACATGGATACCTGTGTTGGTTAAAACAGCAACCTCAGCAGCTGGGTTGTCAAACTGAACAGCAAGTTCGTTGCCAAAGCCCCCTGGGGTCGTTGTTGCTGGAGTTGTTGGTGAGCTAAGCCCGACATCTTCTGCTCTACTACTCAGAGATAGCCAGATGCCGGTCTCCGCGGCCTTGCCAGGGATGACATTCTCTTGCGAACGCGCAACACGGCCCGAGTCGGGAGCGGAAATGAATAGCGTGTCAGTCTTTTGCATGGTATCCTTGCATGTAAAGCAAAAGAAATAGCCGGGGGGGTATCGAGCAGAGAAACGAGCGGGGTCCAGAGAATGAATTGGAACTTTCCCCGCCGTCGATGTTTGGAACCGCGATGGGCCCTGGAATCCAGTGGTTCCCGGACTTGCGGGGGTGTTGTCAAAGGGTGGTGTCTTCACGTAGTGCGCCTGCATGCTGGTAGGAGCATTTGTGCCATTTGGTGCAGGTGACCAGCTATAAGAGCCTGTAGCGCTCAAGTAAATCCGATAGCCAGTCGCAGTAGTGGCCATCAAGTGGTATCTCGATGCCTCGGCGGCCGGAATAGGGCTGATAGAGACAATCTTCACCTTGGAGTTCAAAGCCTCATGGGAGGCGATAATATGACCAACGTTGGCATAGATATCGAGAGCGGGCTTTGTGATGGCTAGCGCAAGGGTGCCATCCGGCTTCAGGTGGAATACTCTAATGGTAGATGACGAGGACAGGGTGTAGAGAAGTCGTCGGGAGTCGTCAATCTCCATCTGCTCGATATGTTCAAACGTCTTTTGCGTGAAACTCAAAGTTGGGGTAAAGGCGGACAGGCGCGAGCTAGTATGGTTCACCTTAGAGCACCGACCCTGGAACCACTTCTCTTCTTGTTGATATGTGAGCTCATAAACATCGTTGTCGGAAGAACCGCCGAAAAATATCCGACCAGTGGAGTTGCACGAGGCCATAACGTGAATATCCAGTCCACGAACGGGCGCTGACATGCCCGTCTGGTATAATGTAACCTGTCGAGCACCTCCAGCGGTAGTCTCACAGCCCATTCCCAACAAAATGACCTCGGCTGTCGTTGAAATAACCAGCAAATGGGTAATACTTGGTAAAAACACGCCGGGGCGAGGCTTTGCGAGCTTGACTGAGTTGATACTATTCGGCTGGTCTTCAAATCCAACCAACTGAGGATTAGGGTGCGTATAATCCCAAATGTAAAGAGCGTTGTCAATGGCAACCCATGCATGGTTCAGCTCTGCCAACAGTCCCATGCTTGTCGATACCTGTGCGAGGTTGTACTGGTCGAAGATTTGGTCGGGGATATTGTACATCTTGACCTTCTGGAAGGGGGCCCATGACGGGGAGACGGGAATATCATAGTCGGACGAAAACCCCTCTGTCCCAAGATTGTTAACGCTATAGGGTCCGACGGGCGCGGGAGCTCTACTTACGAGAGAGATAGCTATCAAGGTCCGGATAGCGAGCCTCCTGGGCCAGCGTATCGTTGACAGTTCGCGCTGCCCGCTCTTCGGTACTCAAGGTCTGAGTTTTCGACTTTGAGGCAGCTGGAGGAAGCTTGGGAAGTGAGGCGGGCGAAGCTGCATCTGTGGGGGGTACAACGGGCTTGGGCGAGGGCGGTTGCGGAGTCGGAACACTGGGGGGAGCAGGCGTCTGAAAGTAAGTGCCAGGAAGGGGTTTCTGCGGCGTCATAGCCGGTTGGAGATTGGGGTAGGACATGATGTCGTTCCGCGGCCTTTATGAGGCTTAATGAAGGTACTCGCGCTCCCCGGCGTGGTAGAGATTGGCCCAGCGCAAGGGCAGAAAAAGAAAAACAATTCAGCGAGAAAGAGAGCGGCCGGGGAGATGAAAGGGAGAAGGAAGCAGAAAGGAGAGGAACATGAATCAAAAGGAAGATGTGTTCCTGGGAGTGAGAACTGGTTGGTGCCAAATTAAAGGCAGTGAGTGTTAACTCGCAGAAAGCAAGTGAAGTGAAATAATAAGCAGGAAAGAAACAAAATTGTGCACGGGCCCGAGAAGAGTCAAAGTTGAGCTCTCCGCCTTTTGCTGCTGTTGCTCCGATCACCGATTCTGCCTCTTTATTTGACCTTGATTTCGACCCGGCGGTTTCAGTTTTGATTGTCTTTCTATTGCTATTTGTATTTCTATTGTTTGATACTGTCCTACCGTACCAATGTTCCGATCTCTGCGACTTGCTCCCCGCGTGGTCCGCTCTGCGCGATGGAATTCGACCTCCAGTCCAACCACGCCGCCCTTGATGGCTACACTCAGGACTGATCTGAAGACCGCAATGAGGGCAAAGGATACCGACAGGTATGGTTGATTTTTGAGGATTGCGAGTAAGGTTGTGTGTTGTCTGTATATGCTAAGCTATCTCCCACCCAGATTGAACGTCCTTCGAGCCCTTATTTCCGAGACAAACAATTCACAGAAAACCTCGTCTCCCATTCAAACAGATCTGCAACTTCTCGCATTGATCAAGAAACGGGTTGCCGCCGCGAAAGACTCGGGGCAGCAGTTCTTGGAGGCCAACCGACCGGACCTGAAAGAAAAAGAGGACAAGGCCCTCGCCATTCTGGAGGAATACGGTGGCCATGTGCAGACCATGGGCTTGGACGAAATCAAGCAGATTGTGTCCCAGGAAGTGTCCAATTTGAAGGAGGCCGGCAGGAAGGTTGAAATTGGAGGCCTTCTAAAATCCCTCTTTGCGCCTGGAGGCGCGCTGGATGGCAAGCCTGCAGAACGCTCGGAAGTCGCGAAGATTGCCAAGGAGGCCGTTTCTTCGGCTTGATTAACAATCTTTGCGTTCATGGAGATCAAACGCTAACTGTATATTCCTTCTGTATATTAGATCCCGGGATGGGTTCAGGTCATGCTATTAAAGCCGAAATCTCTGCGAGATCCCTGCGCAATATGATACAATAAACTCGAAGATTCTACCTGTGCCTATAGAACAAGAATTTCCCCTGACAAACCTGGCAATTGCCCAACCATTGAAACAATATCCTCTGACCTCAACCGAAGCAACGGAGAAGGTGATTCAATTAGGAGATCAATAGGACAATTCCCCCTAGGGTACTCATGAAGATTCCAATCCACAACCAGTGGTCGGGATCAACAAGGTCTTCTCGTCTCACCAGTTTCCTTACACTATATGGCGAGTCTGAGTCTCTCGTGACATCACGCTTCGTCTTCCCTGCCGTAACGGGGTTCAAAGTCATGGTGGGAAGCATCTCAGGTGGCCTGTAAACCAGGTACATCGGATGCATGGGTGCTCCATCGAACGAGTAGAGGTCCAACCGCAGATCATCATAATACGGGTCGACAGACACAGTAAACGACTATCTGGGGTTAGCAAAATGGACGCTAAAGTGGAGGGAAGGGGGGCATACATTGTACGTCTCTGTCTGATTGTACCTGGTATATACGCTCTTCAGCCCTCCGACACATGGATCTGAGAGAAGCTGGCGGCCGTCGACCGCGATAGGAGTCAGGTGTAGGGTTTGGTTAGCGTCGATTGTATAGGTGCCATGTTGCCATTGCATGATACCCTTGGGACAGGCAGGTTCTTGGGCTGATTATTCGACCCCCGAATTAGAACACGGCTCCGAACAATTTTCTTAGATAGTATACTGACGATTGGCAACAGCGCGATAGAATGCCTCCTCATAATGTCCATCGGCGGTAAAGGAGAATGATATTCCAGGAAGGTTTGGTTCGATGAATCTATCCTCAATAGGATCATAAAATTCCTATCAAAGCAAAGGTGTATTAGTGATGATGAAATTGATTGATGATTCCAAATAGAAGGGAGTAAACATACTGGTCCTGTTACAACCGCGCGAGACTTTGTTGTCCAAGTGCCTACAAGATCGGCAACGTTTCCGGCACTAGCAGCGGTAGCTAACAGGCTACTCACCAAGTAGTATACGGACAACATCTCTAGTCAGTGTTGAGACGAACAGACAGTAGTTAGGACGAGGTTGTTGGAGTCTAAGAGAGAGGGAGGGATAGCTCATTCAAGGGCGCAATCCAGACAGCCCTCTAGAAAGGGAGCACCTCTGAACGAACTGGCCCTGTCGATCCAGCCATGTAAATCACTGGTTGACATCCAGCAAAACAATGTAATACATAATGCAGATGCCAGGCCACCGCCCGATCGTTAACAATTTAAGCACTCTGGGGGTGATTCACCACGTTAAGAAAACAATCACCTTCATCTTCCTCTCTTCTCAACAAATAAACAAGATCATAACCTTTTCCTACCAGATATCCCTTCCATGTAAAGCTGCTCCTTCCAGTGGATATGATGGCCGGAATCCAAACAGCCAAAACGGATCTCCGCCGAAGAATGCGGGATGTCTTGCAGCAACTCCCCGCGGATTCTATCGTTAGTCAATGTCGGGAAACTCATCCTGTGCTACATGCAGCATACACTGACCTTCCATAGCTAGAATCGTTGCGAATAGGCTTTTCGCTCTTCCGGAGTATCAAAGGGCAAAAAGGATAGGGATTTACCTATCCATGCCGTCGGGAGAACTGTCGACATCGACCATAGTTCAAGATGCCTTGAAGAATGGCAAGGAGGTTTTTGTACCATATATACATACCGTTGAAATCCCATCGACCCATCAGAAAGTCTCCGTCATGGACATGTTAACTTTGGAGTCGATGGAAGAGTTTACATCTCTTACGCCCGATAAATGGGGGATTCCTTCTCTGACTAAAGCGCGGGCTCTCAAGAAGAAAAACTGTTTTGGGAGGGTCGGGATTTCGGGCGCAGAGAGCGACGAGGTTTCCGGGGATTCCTCAGGTTTAGATATGATCCTGATGCCGGGAATGGCCTTCGATCCCCAGTTTAGAAGACTAGGCCATGGCAAAGGTTATTACGATAGTTTCCTAGCCAAATACTCGAAGTGGGACACGCAAACCCAGCGAACCCTGGCCGAAATGCCTTTACTTGGTGAGAATCAATCAACCGTTCAATCCTTGGAAATTAGGAAAGCAATTAATATTCTGACTAAATCACAGTCGCCCTCTCTCTCAAGGAGCAAACGCTTTCCCCACCTGAAGAAATACCCGTTACAAGTCATGACTGGCCAGTAGATGTCCTCATTGTTGGCGATGACCAGTGTTTTGTGCGCCAACGGTGATCTTGAAAAGCCCAAAAACAGTTTCCTCTCATGTCCCCAGATCCGTCTATTCAATCGTGTGCATGGGACCCATCCTCCAGCGGTCAGGTGTAAATAGTTGGGATTAGATTTTCGTAACAGGGAGAAAATAGCAACGAGCTTTTATTTTAAATGGCAGTGGAGAGTTAGATGCCAAGTGAGGCGCGTTTCGAATCACTGAACAGCTTGGATGAGCGACACATTGTCACCCTTTAGCAATATCTGACCTGTATGCACATCCTGCGTCAGCATCACGGGCCATAAGCACCTTCAGGTTAATTCATTCATACGTACCCAGTGGTCGCCTCTTTTCCTCCTCACTTTTCGTCGCCAGTTTGACCTCGACGGCATCGTCAACGACCAGGTTCATGAACTCATCAAACCCCTACTCAGCTCGTCAGTAACATCCTCTCCGGGAATTGAAGGTCCCCCTTACTCTAATCTTTCCTTCTATCCGGAACGCGAGCTGCTCATACAGCCAAATAGAAACTGTCGACCGTTGTTGGAGGAGTTTGAAGATGAAATGAATGGGCGCAAGCAGTGTCTTGCGAGCAGCTCCACCGCCACCTCTGCCAGTCATTGTGAATACTGGGCGCGCAAAAAAAAAAAAAACCAAATAAATATAAAAAAAAAGACAGAGAAATAAAGTAATATGCAGCAGTACGAGATGCAAATCTCTACAAGCTGTAATGAATTGCAATAAAGAAGGGTGGTGGTAGCGTAGGTAGGGGTTGATGTAGAAAGAAAAAGGTGAATCCCAAGCTTCATCTGGCCGCGGATTCTCTCCAAAGCGGCTTCGGGGGAATTGTTGCGGCTCACCAACTTTTCCCTTCAAGTGGATCGTCACCACATCCCACTTCCGCTTCCTGTTGACCCTGCTTTTACCACCTTCCCGAAAAGTTCAACCTCCTTCTCTCTGTCACTTTTCCCCCATTTCAATCATTCCTTCTTTGCCCTTTTCTATAATTGTTTAATGACTGTTCATGACTAGAACTTCCCGCTGTTGAGCCTCTTGGCCTGGCTAACCCCTCTCTTCTCACTTCTACCGACTACAACTACCTCAAAGCAACTCGACTCGCAGTTCTACCATGGCTAGCAAAGAAGGGGCCGCTGGACAGGCCTTTGGCCCCGTCCTAGCAGCGGTCGCTACTATGCAGGGAAATGTTTCGCGCACTGACAAGGCTCACGCTCATGAATTTCTCGAAAAGTTTCAGAAATCGGTTGGTTCGCCCCTAACCCCTCACTGCTCGCGAAGTTGCAGCACCACGCTTTCTAAAGGATTCTATACTCACAATGACCTCTCGTTTGTCTAGATCGAGGCGTGGACTATCACCCATGAAATGCTACAGTCACCGAACGTCCCTGTCGAAGCCAAGTTATTCGCCGCGACTACGTTGAAGGGAAAGGTGAAAGGGATTCGAACCTTCTGCGGGCTATGTTTGGTGTACTGACTGTCCTAGATCATATTCGATCTCGACCAATTGCCCGCGCACTCAGTGGTGGCTTTGAGAGATTCAGTTTTGAGTTTGCTCGTCGCGTTCGCCGCCGGACCCCGACCTATTCAAACCCAACTTTGCGTGTCCTTGGCCAGTCTTGCAATCCAGATGATCGAGTGGAAGGACGTCTTGGCTACTGTCGGCTCAGTTTTGGGAGGCAGCGCCGGCGACTGTGTGCTAGAGTTTCTCAGGATTCTCCCGGAGGAAGTAACAGAAGGCCGCAAGATTAATTTAAGTGTATGTTCGACAGACTCAGCACCCCATGTTTTCACCAGCGACCAGCGACGATCCCTTTGCGCGGCAACAGTTCAGAATCTAATTCATTCGCCTTAGGAAGACGAACTCACAATGAGGACCAAAGAGCTGTTGGAAGACAACGCCGAGCAAGTGATGCATCTGCTGATTCAGTACTCCCAGTCATCACGTACGTGTCTTTTCCTCCTTTCCAATGGTCTTATTTTATTCGTACGCTAATATTGGCTTCTTTTGTCTTCTATCTTAGCTGCGGCCTCCAAAAACCCCCGTCTTCTTGACTGCATTACATCCTGGATGCGTGAAATCCCAGCTTCAAGGATTGTTGATTCGCCATTAATGGACGTTATTTTGAAGGCACTAGATGATGACGGATCCTTTGATTCCGCTGTAGACAGCATGTGCACTATATACAGAGACACCCGCGAGGTGGACGATTCGCTCCCCATTATTCAAGCCTTGTACCCTCGCATTATGTCCCTCCGACCTAAGATTGCCGAGACTGCGGAAGCCGAAGATACGGACGCTTACCGGGGAATCACGAGAATTTTCGCCGAGGCAGGTGAAGCTTGGGTGGTTTTAATCGCTCGCGTGCCATCCGAGTTTCGGGGTCTTGTGGAGGCAGTTTTGGAATGCTGTGCGCGAGATTGGGAGCGCGATGCAATTTCCATCACCTTCGCCTTCTGGTTCGAGTTGAAACAATATGTCACCCTGGAACGATATGCCGAGTCCCGTATCGTCTTCAACGACGTTTTCTCGAAACTGGTAGATATCATGATCAAACACCTTGAATACCCACGTCCAGAGGAGGGGGAGACAGACCTTTTTGGCGGTGATAGAGAACAAGAGGAAAAATTCCGTCATTTCCGACACTCTATGGGGGATGTTCTCAAAGATTGCTGTGCTGTCATCGGCGTTACGGAATGTTTGACGAAAGCTTACCATGTCATTCAACAGTGGGTGTCTAAGTACGCATCCCAATCTACTGATGCACACGTCCCCAACTGGCAGGAACTTGAAGCCCCTCTTTTCAGCTTGAGGGCTATGGGCCGCATGGTTGACCCAGAGGAGAATGCCGTTCTCACTCAAGTCATTCCCTTGATTGTTCAAATTCCCAACCAAGAGAAGGTGCGATTCCAGGCCATCATGGCGCTTGCAAGGTACACGGAATGGACAGCACAACATCCCGAGACACTTGAAGCGCAACTGAATTATGTCATTTCCGGCTTCCAGCACAGTTCCGTGGAGGTTGTTCAGGCCGCTGCGCTGGCATTCAAGTTCCTAGGAACCGATTGCCAAAAGCTCCTAGGGGGCCATATCACACAGCTGCACTCGTTCTACGAGTCAGTTCTCGATAAGCTGAAGCCAACCAGCCAAGAGGAAGTAACAGAGGGGGTGGCAGCTGTGGTTGCAGTGCAGCCACTGGATAAAATTTATGAGACCATGAAGATGTTCTGTGATCCCATTATGGCACGAATTATGAATCTAGCAAATAATGCCAAGGATGAGCAGGGTCAGCGGGCTGTTGCGGGTAAGTTCGGAAGATTTACTAGCCCTTCAACCTACTAATTGTCGACAGACCACCTACAGTTGATTACAATCTTTATCCTAGTGGTAAATCCCTGCGTCTCTTCGGGCGAGCAAAACCCCGCAGTCAAATACTGCGGCGAAATCTTGCCTATCATGTCCACCATTGCAATGAACTTCACATCCTCCACGCCTATTCTTGAGCGCATATGTCGTTGCTGGAGAAACATGATCATCTGCTATCGAACCGCTATGACACCTCTCCTACCAGCTCTAGCTCAGAGCCTTGCGAGTGGATTTGAGGCTTCGCGAGAAGGATGCTTCCTGTGGGCAACTGACGCTGTGGTGCGCGAATTCTCCGACGGGGCCGAATATGTCGACCCTTCTACGAGTCATGCAGTATTCCAGTTTTACGAGCAACAGGCAGTGGCTTTCCTGCGCACTCTGAATGACCTAGCGCCAGAAAATCTGCCCGACGGTACGCAGGCACGGGCCCCGGTTTCCATTCATTTGCTAATTGATATGTGGACAGTGATCGAGGATTTCTTCCGTCTCTCTTCTGACGCCGTTCGGTTCTACCCCAAAGAATGCATCACATCATCCCTTGCAATGCCGATATTTTCGGCCGCCCTTAGTGCTCTGACTCTACAGCAGATTGACCCTCTCATTGCAACCTTGCACTATTACCACGATCTATTTAGTTTTGCCTTTGACAAACCCGCCGTCTCTGGATTCACGACCACAGACGGAAAGCCTTATGCCAATCCGCCGGAAATCCGGGAAGCCGTGAAACAGCTGATTGGCTCACAAGGACAAGTCCTGACGCAGCGGATTCTTACTGGGATGATGTTCACATTCCCGGGGGAGTGCTTCCCGGACGCGTCAGGTGTTCTGATGTCGCTGTTTGAACTGATGCCTCAGGACGCAGGAGCTTGGGTGCAGTCAACGCTCCAGATGCTACCCGCGGGGACAATGAAGGCCGGTGAGGCGGAACGGCTGCTCAAGGGCATTTCTGACAAAGTCCAATCGGGAGAAACGCGGAAGATTCGAGTTCTCCTCCAAGGTCAGCAGCGGATGCTCGCGCGCCGTGATCGAATTGCATTTAGCTAACAGGATGTTCTAGACTTTACCAACTCCTACCGACGTCGAAACGTGGCTCCCAGGGAAGGGTTAGGCCGACTAGAAGCCACCCGATTCCGGTTTAGCGGGTAGAGTGTCGTCTTTTCTTTTCATATTTTATTTGGGGGGGCAGTAGAAATAAGGCCGTCGAGACAGAAGAGGGGTCTTTAAAAGGAGAGAGGAGAGGGCAAGGGATTCAGTGAAAAAGCTCAGGTGAACCAGATGTTGGGAACCCCATTCCACCACCAGTTTCTCCATTACTTACTTCCAACGCACGCTGCAACAGAGAAAAACAAAAGAAAGGAAAGGGTCGTGTGTCTATCTATCTAATCGGCCCAGGATCAGGACGTGTTTCCGGGCTAGTAGTGGAATAAAAACGACTTAATGATGTATTTTAGTCCGCGTGCCGGTCATCCCAAGCGCAGAGAAGGTTCCCTGACCAGGCCTCGAGCGATGGCGTGTCGATCGTTTCCGAAGCGCAGACTGCATGGTCTGGATTAAGCATGTCTCTTCTTCTTATGCGTATTCTACTATATCAACTGAGAGAGAAGGTATGGGTAGCAGAGCCACCATAATCGAATGACCCGGGAGAATCAGGTCACTATCGGAAGATTTCAAAACGTCAGTCGATGCTCTACCAGACGGTCGTCATACGAGTATCTACATTGTATCGTACCTCAATGATTCTGATGTCGTCGTCTCCTCTATATATATATATAGTATAATATATAGTATAATATGGGTATGAAACATAGGGCTGGTTACGCACCAACCAACCGTCTGCAGATCTCTTTTTTCACTCCTGGAAAATGAATTCGCATTCAGTATGTATTGGATCAGATTATCTCTTCTTAAGCTGGAATGGAGTAACCGCCGCTGCCGCCATGCAGGATCATACTATTTCTCTAGTCTTGTACTTGTAGATTCCTGGAAAAATACTCCGGATAGTTCTCTCCAGTTGCCCGGCCCCACTGGATTTTTATTTGATTTATGTATTCCTAGCCAAAGAACAGCAAGGAAAGGAAAAGAAAGAGGAGAAATTTAATCAAAACTGGTGGTTAGAACGTGATGATATTTAAATCAAGAGCCCTTCATAGAGAGAGAGAGAGAGAGAGAGGATACAAAAAAACTTCCCCTCATCAAGTCGGACCATCGCCGGCCACGCATCTTCTTCCTCTTCTTCCTTCATCCTCCCCCCTTCCGCTAATTGTTAATTATCATAGATCCAGATCTTGGTAGAGTCGTCTACCCCTTCTGGACTCCTCCTCTTGCCTTTGATTTCCATCTCCTGCCCTCTCCCTCGTCTTCCGTTTCCCCACGGGGATACACGCCCTCCCCTCCGCCTTTCCGCCCGGCTTTTCACCACAGAGCCCATGGCTAGCCCACCCTGACCCTCCGATTTGGATCCTCTCTCCGATCCCCTGCGAGCCTCCTGTTCCCGGTTCTGATGGGCGTGTTTGACAAGTGCGAGATTTCTGTTGCTCACCTGACGGGTATTGGATAACGCTGGGTGGCGGGGAAAGAAGGCGAAGAAGAAGAAGAAGAAGAAGAAGAAGAAGAAGAAGAAGAAGAAGAAGAAGAAGAAGAAGAAGAAGAAGAAGAAGAAGAAGAAGAAGAAGAAGAGTACAGGCACAAACACACTGTACCAAACAGAAACTATTCGGGGAAAGAAAAGACGGGTAAAATGACCTTGACAGTAACTACAATGCCGTCTCTGGATCAAGCAACCAAGGCCTCCCGCCGAGGCCGCGAGGTCAGCCTGACTACCGACGACGCTGCCGTACATGAGATGGATGCATCAGCCCGCAAGAGGAAGCGAACCCGCAAAACCCACACGGATCGTAAATTCGAATGCACCTTTGAGGGCTGTGGCAAGAGCTATTCGCGTGCGGAGCACCTGTACCGTCACCAACTGAACCGTATGGCCTCTCTTCCTTGCATCATCCCACCTTTGCTCGCATGGATACTGATCCTTGGCTGTCCTAGACACTCCCAAGCAAATCTACCGCTGCGACTTTCCCGATTGCTATCGGTCTTTTGTGCGACAGGATCTCTGCATCCGCCATAGGGAACGACATACCACCCAGGGCTCGCAGCTTCAGAAACGGGACCATTTTGCGCAAGCCGCGTCCACTACGAATGACACCCTCGCCAACCCCCCGATCGGTCGGCCTGTGTCGCATGCGCCTCCGATTCTTTCGCCTCCGACTTCCAAACTGACCTCAACACCGTCCGGGTCGGACGAACCGCTCAATGGTGCGAGTGTCCCGGTCTCCTCGCCCAGCTCCATCGGACCCAGTCAGCCATTTACCAACTATCACTCTATTGTTCCGACACACCAGGGCGTCGAGGTACCCGACCCTGCGTTTGCCCACTCGCCAACGCAGTCGATCCCGACCTATAACTCGCCGCCGTTGCGGCGTCCGTTGCCCACCACCTTCAGCAGCCGCCACTCCGCGAATGGCTCCATTGCCTCCACCAAGGCAGGGCAGGGTGCTCGCGCAAATCATTCCTTGTCAGACCCTACGCCGACGTCCACCCCTCAACCCCCGGATGCTAGCCGTGGCTACAGGGTTCCAACCGACCTGCATGGATCGCTAGTCAGTCCGACCGCCTACGGCTCCCCGCACGGGCTGCCCATCGCTCTGCATGGATACCCCGAGATGAACCTAGCGCCAGCCGCTTCAACCCCAACGACGTCTCTAGATCAGACGGCTAGCCTAGCGGTCCTGGACTCTATGGCAGGGATGATGCCTCCAGGCTCCGGGGTAGGGGAGCCGGGGTTCGATCCGCTGCATTCCGGGGTGTATCCCATGTTCGGCGGGGAGAACCATCGCTCTCCCTTCCACATGGCCGACGATTTCACCGCATGGCTATTTAACGAGCCTATTCCCGGGTCGTCGTCGGTGCCCAGTATGGTCCCTCACTACATGGAAGCCGCACAGCTGCAGAATCAATTTGTGATGAACGAGCCTACGTACGGCAACTTTCTGAATGGCGCCATCCCATCTCATTCGATGAGTGTGACTAGTATTCTCGACCCTGGTTCGCCACGAGCCATCATCTCCCAGGAGAAACGACAGGAATTGCTCGACCTCATGGCGACGCGTTTTAATGCGGCCGCATACTCGGCGGTTGCGAAGCGGACAGATGCGCTGATGGATGGAGACATGGAGGACGATGGCCACATCCTTAGCTTGTCCAAAATGCAGACCTACATTGGGTCCTACTGGTACCACTTCCATGTCCAGCTGCCTATCCTGCACCGACCGACCTTTGCAGCCGATCGAGCCCCCAGTCTCCTGCTATTGGCCGTGATGGCTATCGGAGCAGCCACGCTCGACGGTATCCATGGACGGGAAGTGACGGAGGCGGCGTCAGACCTGGCCGACTTTATTATGTGGCATCTGCGGTGGGAGATTTTTATGGAAGCGGATTTCCGTCCGCCGGCCAAACTCTGGGTTTTTCAGGTGCTTTTGCTCCTCGAGGTCTATGAGAAGATGTACTCTACGCGTGCGCTCCATGAGCGGGCGCACATTCACCACGACACTACCTTGACTCTGATGCGGCGTGGCAGTTCCCTGATTGGGCGCTCTGCACTGGATTCCCCTGCCAGCCTGAGGGAGGACCGGCCGGCCCGGTCGTCCGCTTCTTCGGGGTCGACCACGACGCCAGACTTCGCTGCGGAAGAATCCTGGGCACATTGGATTAAGACGGAAGCGACGAGACGCGTTGCGTTTGCGGCATTTGTGTTGGACTCGACCCACGCAACGATGTTCGGACATTCCGCCAAGATGGTTGCGCATGAGCTGCGCCTGCCGCTCCCGTGCGATGAGGCGTTGTGGTCCGCGACCAGCACGTCGGAGATGGCCCGGGTGCAGTCGAGTCTCCACGCCAACAGCGTCAAGCCGGTCATGTTTTTGGACGGGCTGAAGCAGACCCTCAACGGGCAGCGGGTCCGAACCAACGCCTTTGGCCGGACGATCCTCATGGCGGGCCTCCTCAGCGTCAGCTGGCACATGAACCAGCGAGACCTCCAGGTTAGCTCGTTGGGGGTCCCCCATGCCCTCGGAGGCCGCGACAAATGGCGGTCTGCGCTTCTCCGGGCTTTTGATAACTGGCGACGCGATTTCGATGAGGCGCTTGGACAGACCGGAACGACATCCTTTCCGACTGGGTATCGGGGACGATATTCCCTCGATGAAGATAACGTCTTCGAGTCGCGCGATGTGCTGCACGGGCTAGCCCACATGGCCTCCCATGTGGACGTGGTGGACTGCCAGATCTTTGCGGGCGCCCGTCGGCTCATGGGGCGAGCGATCATGCCGCGCGACTACAGCGCCGCGCGAGAGAAGATGGTCGATCGTTGGGCAACCAAGGCCTCCGCGCGCGATGCCACTTTCTACGCGCTCAAATTCCTCTCCGAGTGTCTTCTCGACAACCACGGCGGCTCTGACGCCGAAGGCGAGCTCTACTGCGGACGGACCGATTACCTCCTCAACCGGCCGTGGGTGATCTACGTGGCTGCCTTGGTGGTCTGGTGTTATGGGTACGCACTGGACGGGGCAATCGCGGATGCACCAGAGTTGTCCACGGTCGCCGAACAACGGCGAGACATGCAGGCATTCTTACGGCGCGTGGGGGGGGTACGAGAGCCTAGCGACCTGGAAGCCATCCCCGGGCGCAACCGGTGCCTGGGGCTGCTGATGATCCTGCGGGATGGGTTCGTCAACGCGCGATGGGAGCTGTTGGCGGAAGCTGCAGACCTGCTGGGCAGTTGCATTGACAAACTACGGGGGGTCTCTTCGTGAGAATGGTATCATTTTAGACTAGAGGTTTTCTTTTGTTCGTATACGTGCCATGACTCGAGTGTATATATATATTCTTATAATACTTACTATATACCATTCCTCTGTATGCATCTTCTCTTCCGATGTTAGCGGACGTGGTGTACTCGGTAGAAAACAGCGCGGTCGTTACCACAACAACCGCTAGTCCGATCGTCACCACCACCACCACCACATCTCCTCTTCCGCTCCCCTTTTACATTCCATCCTGTCTCATCTGAACCCTTCCCCTCAAGTGTGCAATTCAAACTTCATCCCTCGCGCAGTGCATTCCACCTGTTGAACTAGCATTTCTATCCCTGAACCGTCGATCCATCCATCCATACTCCTCTCATCATGGTACGTTGACAGTGAATCAAGCCCCGATTCCCCCTTGTTTATTCCCATCGCGATTTCCCACCCCAGTTATTCCCTGCACCCCGAAGCAAAGCAAGGACAGCGATAGAGCGAAGACTGGATACATACCTAGCTAGGTACCTAGGTAGTGGTGTTGTCGCCAGTGTTGGTTCCAGGGATCAAAGCCAGAGCCCAGCTGCGGTTCCATCCGACCACTCACTCACTCGCTCGTTCAACCTTGTTGTCACTTCTTCCCTAGTCCCTCCTCTCCTCCAAGAAAAACAACCCATCCTCTATCAAGCCAAATCCACGTCCAAGAAAAAGAAAGAAAGAAAGAAAATGTCCCAAGCAACCCCCGCGCCGTGTGGCTCACCCGATTCTTACGAACAGGCCTCCACAAACTACAAAGAAGCGTTCTCTCTCTTCGATAAGCGCGGCACCGGGCGCGTCGCGCTCGAGTCCCTGGGCGACCTGTTGCGCGCGTGCGGCCAGAACCCTACCCTGGCGGAGATTGCGGACCTCGAGAAGAGCGTTGGTGGTGATTGTACGTTTCCTCCTGTTGCATCGAGACGAGTCTAGGGCTGGGGTTGGTTGGACAAGGCTAACGAGAGTAGTCGACTTCGAGTCCTTCTCCAAGGTTCTCAACCGACCAGGCGGATTCCGCGAGCCCGGCGAGCCCGAGGAGTATTGTCGTGGATTCCAGGTGTTTGATAAAGACATGACGGGTGTGATTGGCGTGGGACAGCTTCGTTACAGTACTATCCCCGCCTTTCTTTTCGTTGAGTGACACACTAATGAATGTTGAATGTCTAGTCCTGACGAACTTGGGCGAGAAGATGTCAAACGAGGAAGTCGACGAGCTGCTCAAGGCGGTTGATACCAGTTCCGGCGAGATCAACTACACCGGTATTTCTTTCTTTCTTTCTTTTTTTTGCTCTCTCGTAAACTCCGAGGAATACCTTGCTGATCCATATTGTGTGGGGGCTAGATCTTGTCCGGACCATCCTGGCCAACTAATAACGATACCCTGAATGTCACGATTCCACGTCTAGTTAGTTTCCATTAATCAATTCTGCTCTCTTCATTCTACTCTACTCTACTCTACTCTACTCCGTAAACCAGCCATTCCACTCGCGATCCAGAATCCTCCTCTTCTCCTCCTCCTCCACATCACACATCGTAGCCGTTTCAACCAAAGCCCCGGGAAGCAAATACACGACCCGCTCCTTCTTCATTCCCCGTGCATCTTCTTCTTCTTCTTCTTCTTTTTCTTCTTTTTCTCCCCCTGCAATCCCAATCCCAATCCCAGATCCAGCACCTGCATCTGCATCTGTCTCCGCAGTCGCCGGAAAATGCACCGCGTCCAGAAAATACCCTATCACCACTCGGCACCGACCACACCGCAGCAAGCACCGTTTCTCGAATCCGTCCTCGCGGCGGAGCAGGGTCGGTTTGCGATCTACGACGGTGGTGGAGAGGAGAATCGTGTAGTGGGGTTGCTTGTTTTCATTTTCATTTTCATTTTCATTTTCATTTTCCATGTCGTTGTCCTTGTCGTTGTCGTTGTCGTTGTCTTCTGGGGCAGTAGCACTAGCACTAGCACTAGCACTAGCACTAGCCCTAGAGGCAGTTGTAGTTGTAGTTGTAGAAGCAGTTGCAGAAGCAGGTACAGGGGTAGAAAACAACGGTAGAACCAGCGCCGAGTCCCTGGCGGGGGGTTTTCTTCGTGGGAGGGCGGCGATGCGTCGTGTCGTGGCGAGGAGGAGATGGTTGCAGAACCGACAGTGGTGGGTTCGGATTGCGAGTTTGTTCTGCTGCGGGGGGGAGGATTCTTGGGGTTCTTGTTCTTGGTCTTTTGGGGGAGAGGTCGAGACGGAGGGGGGGTCGTGGTGTTCTGGTGGTAGCGTTGGGGAGGAGGACATTTTCTGTCTGTCTGTCTGTCTGTCTGTCTGTCTTGCTTGTCTTGTTGTGGCTGGCTGGTTCTGCGGTAGATTGGAAGTGATTGTGAAAGAAAGAACAAGTGTTGTCGTATGTAGCGAGAAGTAGGATTGTTATAGCTTGAGGACTTTGCTGGTTATCGATAAGCCTGGCTGCCTTGTTGCCTTACGACTACGGTGGGTAAATAGAGTTTCGGCAGTCAGAACAATTTCTCGCGACAGGAACCCCGCGACTCCGTACTCCCTACTCCCTACTCAAGATTAAAAGATATTATTAAAAACTGGTATCATTCTCATTCAGTGATGCTTTTACCGCATACGATGCCAACTCCAAACTCCAAACTCTAATAAAAATGAACGCCAGAGTGCTAACCCACAACCTTGAAATGAGAGGCGATGCCAACAGACAAAGAAAGAAAGAAAGAAAGAAAGAAAAAAAAAACTATATTAACAAGATCAGGCCGCATCCGCAGTAGGGATCGGCTCCGGAATCTTAGTGACCTGCTCGCCCGCCCGGATGATCCGCTGGCCGGTCTCGTCACGTAGGTACTCGGTGTTTTCCTTCTGAGCGCGCTTCCAGACCTCGACCTCACAGCCACCACGGATCACACCCACACGCATAGTGGATAGCAAGTTGTGAGCAGCGTTGGAGTGGTAATAGACACCGCCGTTGAACATGGCGGTGGCGTCCTTTCCAATGCCGGAGTTGATCATGGCCTTGCCACCGGGGTGGTCCTTGATGAAGTCGGTCACGTCGTGCACCACACCCGCGATGGCAACCAGACCCCGGCCGTTCTTGGCCTGCTCCACATAGTCGTCCCATTCCATGACGGGCAGCTGGTCCAGGGGAACACCCCAGTCGAGCTTGGCACGCTTCTGGTCGATCTTCTTCTGGAGCTGCTGGATACGGCCCTTCTCAATCTCGTTGGCACGGAACTGCTTCAAGTCGTAGGCCAGACCCAGCTGCTTCCACACCCAGATGCTCCACTTGGTGGGGTCGTACTGATGCCATTCGATTGCGTTGCGGTAGTCGGAGGGGAACTCGTGGTGGAAGTTGTGGTAGCCTTCGCCCAGAGTGACCAGGGCAGTAATGACGTGGTCACGAGGAGAGTTGCGGTCATCGAAGGGCTGCTCGCCGAGCCAGTGGGCCAGGGAGTTGACACAGAAGGTGGCCTGCTGGACAAAGAAGATACGGAGGATACCGGCATACACGAAGCCGCCCATCCAGTCACCCCAGCCGAGACCAGCCACGAGCATGGGGACTGCCAAGCCCATGACAAAGACGACCTTGAGGTAGTTGCGGTGCTGCCAGACGACGACGGGGTCTTCGTTCAGGTCGGAGATATCGGTGCGACCGATCCGCTTGGGGTTCTGCTTCATAACCATCCAGCCGATGTGGGAGTAGAGCAGACCCTTGCGGACGGAGTAGGGGTCTTTCTCGGTATCGGTGTAGCGGTGATGAGCGCGATGGTCCCGGGACCACCAGCGGATGGAGCCTTCCACAGCACCGCCACCGACGGCAGCCAGCCAGATGCGAAGGGGGAGAGTGGCGGAATAAGAGCAGTGGGCCCAAAGACGATGGTAGCCTGGGAGAAGTGGGTTAGTTTTTGAATCTACGTCCCCAGATCCCTAGCGGAGAGCGAACTTACCTGCGGTGATACCGAGACCAGTGAAGAAGTAGTAGATGACAGCCCAGATGGCAGTCTTGGCCTGCAGAGGGACCCAGAATGCTTGAACGCACCCACAGAAAGGGATACCCAAGATCAGAAACACGTTGAGCCAGTTGACATGCTTGTACCAGTTTTGGCGAGTGATGGCAGTATCGGCGATATGGACCTTTTTAGGGTCAGCAGCACGAGGTCGAGCAGCGTCTGCCATTTTTGCAGACATTCTCTCTATTCTCTATCAAGATGGAGAGATGGAACAAGGGAAGGAATGAAGGGAAGGATGGCGTGGATGAAGGGTGATGAGATGGAGGGGAAAGAGAGGAAGAAAAGGAAGAGTTTAAAAAGAGAGAAGAGAAATTGGATCAAAAATAAGAGGCAACAGTGAGAAACGAAGGAGGTTCAACTCTCTCGCCCCGGGTCCACTGGGGGCGGATGAGACGATGATGGTTGGGGAGGAGAGGGAGGAAGAATCCTAATGAAGGTCAGGACGGAACGGAGAGGAAAAGTGTGGTCAGACTCAAGAGCAGCCAGCTCATTGGAACAGATTACTATATCATTGTATAGCAGAGTTCCAGTTGTTGGGTTGAAGGCAAATCCAAAAGTCTAGACACTCCGCCAATCATGGGGAAGACGGTATCTGTTGAATCCCCAACAGTTTTTTTTTTGTGACGGGCGGCTTTTCCTGCCGCTGTGGCGGTGTGCTTATGTCATGTGGCGGTGTTCTTCTTCTATTCAGGGGAGGTACCAGGTACTGCCTAGGGAGGTATAAGGTGGTAATCTGGGTTACATCTGGATACTACTTATCTAATCAATGTTTGTGATCTCCTGATAAGAATTGTAATGCCAGGACAGAATCTTTGATTTCATTGGTCAGTCCCCATTTCTATAACTAATCGAAACAAACTATGACTAAAGTAAATATCCTATTGGCTCTGTTCTATCTACCTACTTCCTAATTTGAGCCTGGACTCTGGATATCTTCATTCTTCTGGCAATGAAGAAAAGAAAGAGAGAGTAATATAGACTGACTCCTTGTCGCCCAGTCCCACACAATTCTCACGCGCCATCTGGAATTCAGGACATCATGGATGGTCCCGACCAGATCGGTCCGCATCTCTCTCCCCGGACGACTTTTCGGGATCGCGCACACCGAACCATCAAGAAATTCACTACCAAAGATGGCTTAATTGGAGACTATGACTATGCCTTTCTCTTCACGCCTCAACTCCCATTCATGAAAAAGACAAGAAGAGCCGCTCCGTTTTTCGGCCTGGAGGATAAGATTCCAGTCGTCCTAGCCTTGCTTTTGGGATTGCAGCATGCGTTGGCGATGCTCGCAGGAGGTACCTTCCTGAGGTATGGAGAGCAGATGAACAACTTGCTGACACGACCCAGTCATCACTCCCCCCATCCTTCTCGGGGGCTCCTCCGGTGCCAACTTTGGCTCCGAGGACTACCAATACCTCGTCTCCACTTCCCTTATCGTCTCCGGACTGCTCTCCGCTATTCAGATGTTTCGATTTCACGTCTACGGCACACGCTACTACATCGGAACCGGGTTGATCTCGGTGGTGGGAACTTCCTTCGCAACCATCACGGTGGCCACCGGAACCTTTGAGCAGATGTACTCGACCGGATACTGCCCCGTCGATGGCTCAGGAAACCGACTCCCCTGCCCCAAGGGATACGGCGCCCTCCTCGCCACCTCCTGTCTGTGCTCGCTTCTCGAAATTGGCCTGTCGTTCATGAGCAGCCGGCTGCTCAAGACCCTTTTCCCTCCTATCGTGACGGGCCCTACCGTCCTGCTGATCGGAGCTAGTCTCATCTCGAGCGCGATGAAAGACTGGGCCGGTGGCTCGGGGACCTGTAGCAACAACCCCGGAAATGGCGCCCTCTGCCCCAGCGCTGACGCCCCGCATGCCCTCCCCTGGGGCAGCGCCGAGTTTATCGGCCTAGGCTTCCTCGTCTTCGTAACCATCATCCTCTGCGAGCGGTTCGGCTCCCCGATCATGAAGTCCTGCGCCGTCGTCGTCGGTCTCCTCGTCGGCTGCATCGTCGCCGCAGCCTGTGGCTACTTCGACCGCTCCGGCATCGATGCTGCCCCCGTCGCCTCCTTCATTTGGGTGCGGACGTTCCCCTTACACATCTACCCGCCCTTGATCCTCCCCCTCCTCGCCGTCTACATGGTTATCATGATGGAATCCATCGGCGACATTACCGCCACCTGCGACGTCTCCCGTCTTCAAGTCGAAGGCGCCACCTTCGACTCGCGCATCCAGGGCGGGGTGCTAGGGAGCGGGGTGACCTGCCTCCTTGCCGGCCTTTGCACCATCCCGCCCATGTCCGTCTTCGCGCAAAACAACGGCGTCATAGCCCTCACCCGCTGCGCCAACCGCCAGGCCGGCTACTGCTGCTGCTTCTTCCTTGTGGTCATGGGCGTCTTTGCCAAATTCGCCGCGGCCCTCGTGGCCATTCCTTCCTCCGTGCTGGGCGGTATGACCACGTTTCTGTTCTCCTCCGTCGCCATGTCCGGGGTTCGCATCATGTGCAGCGTCCATTGGACGCGCCGGAACCGATTCATTCTGACCGCGTCGTTTGCCATCGGCATGGCCGCCACGCTGGTGCCGGACTGGTTCTCCTATTTCTTCACCTACTCCGGCGACAACCATGCGCTGGAGGGTTTGCTGCAGGCGGTGGAACTGGTCATGGCGAATGGATTTGCGGTGACCGGGTTCCTGGGCTTAATTCTGAATTTGTTGCTACCCGACGACCCTGATGACGACCCGGCATTAGTGGAGTCGGATGGACAGGTTGGGGGTAAAGCAGAGGGGGAAGTGGTGGTAGTTTCTTGTTCTTCGGAGCAGGGGCCGAGTCTTAAGGCTTGATTGATTGATTGTCTGTCTTTCTGCTTGCGTCGTGGACTTGTATATAAATAAATAGATGGTTTGGTTACGATATACTAGGATACCCTCTGGAGGTTCATGGATACCCATTGATACGTTACAACTGTATACCAATTGATCTTTTCTGTAGACCTGCCTAGTAATCAAGTGTTTTTTTTTATACACTGGGGATCTTCTCCCCCGGCGCCAGCATCTTAATATAGCAATGATCCCCCCTTTCAACAACAGACACTGAATCTCCCACGCGAATGACGAATTCTAAAACACCCGTGGAATTAGTATTGTCTCTCATGTTTGTCTCGAGGGAAAAGCAAAATTAACACACACCCATACCTTGAACCGCAGGAACCCCCTGCATCCCCAAACAAGCATTCGTGGGATCTCCCCGATCAATCCTGCGATACCTCTTCAGCGTCCGGTCCGGTTCCCAACGATGCCGCACGCCAGTGTCCGGATCGACATTTGGAAGACGACACCGGATTGTTCGGCAGACGGTATGTATTTGGATGCTTTGGCCTCCATTATCGCTTTCTGTCTCCAAAGCCGAAGAAGAAGCCGAAGAAGCCGAAGGAGGAGGAGGACAAGGACATCGAATCAATATCCTCTTCCAATCATCCTCGGCAAAAGCCGGCGGACCCTGGATAATGATATTCGCTCGGAACCGACGCACCGAGAGTCGCGGAAGGTCGGCTGCGCAGCGGGATGCGACGTCCTGCACACTCGAGAGACTGAGGATGTGCAGGGGATATGCGTCCGCGAACCCGGTGAGGGGCTGGAAGCCTAGAGATGCTTTTCGTGGGGCGCACCGGAAGATTTCACGGTGGTGCGATGGGTTGACGCGGAAGAGGGTGAGAGGTGAACAACCCCTGGGGGAGTGTTTTTTGTGCGCGAGAGCAGGAAAAGAAGAAGAAGAAGAAGAAGAAGAAGAAGAAAGGGCAGGATCAGAAGAAGACAGCCGAGTCAACGGGGACAGATACCGACGGAGAGAGTCCGGGATATGCTGTGCGTAGTCGTAGGAAACAGGACGGTCTTTCCAGATTTGCACCGGGACAGTGGGATACGTCGCGATGCGATGTGTCGGTGGGAACAGAGGAACGCGGCAGGATTCTTCTGCGGGGAGGAGATGCAGGGAGACCCCCAGGCGAAGGAGCGCAGAGTGGATTCGGTTGCGGCCGAGTCGCGGGTAGTAGATGACCATGACGCCCTGGGATTTGATTTCGTCAAGGTCCGGACTGTAGTCCGTTGCTGTTGGATCGGGGAGCCAGATCTCGGGGCGGATAAGAGCCATGCGGTTGAAGTTGCGGTCCCGTAGCGTTCGCGCGGTCCAGTTTGATAGCTGTTTCTCTTGAAGCTGCTGCACTTGGCAAGAATCCTTCCGACGGGGGACGGTGGTGGTGGTGGTGTCCTCTGCAAAACAGAACTGACGGTCCAGAGCGAGTCCGGTAGAGACCCCGTCGGCTGTATCCAGCTCAACCCCTGCGCAGCTTTTAATCGGGTACACGTAGAGCGCCTTCACGCGCCATGCGGGACGTCCTTGGTTGTCGGTGCTTGTTTCCGGAACGCCCTGGCTGTATTTCGGGTCGAATTCATCATGCAAGTTGCTCTGCCCCGGAGGAAGGCCGAGCTTTCGGCATCCTTTGGGGCAGTGGTCTAGGACTGTGCATAGATGGAGGAACCTCCTGACGGTGGTGTAGAAGAGGAGAGCGAGTACCCCTGATACGGCAATGAGAGTGTTCACTGCATTTGGGGTAGGGCTGAGATTCCGTATATAGTCGAGCATGGATGCTGGATGTACCAGAACGTTCTTCAGTAAAAATGTTAAATATCTACAGACTTATATAGCTCTGGTACGGAGTACGGAGCGGAGTATAATGAGCCTAATTTCACGAATATATGTGGGTCAATATAGGGTTACGCGGATCTTGTATACTGTGGATAACAGGGAGATGTTCTATGACTCTTTAGGGCTATTAGAGCAGATGTGCTACGGTTAATGGATTAATTATAACCCACAGGTCGCCGGCTCGACAGCCCGGGAATCACAATGTCTTTTGCTCTGTTCAACACTTTCCAGAGCAAAGACTGTAAAGTATCAAAGAATTGTCCCGCTACAAGAATCTCTTTCTGAGGCACCTACCTTCTTCATATGGACTAGTTTTAGGTCAAGGGCTTAAATGTCACATGTGCTGACATAATATACCTGACCTGAATGACCTGCCGTTTTGGGTAAGTACTCTCACGCCAACTTGAGTCGCTCGAATCCACGACCAGACAAAGTGCACCCATGAACAACCACTATGCGATCAATCTTGGATATAGAGTTCTTGGTATTGCTTTTTGTTATTGCGGGTAACGTGTCAGATCCTCTCCCGGCTTGATATGAAAATGAACACACAAGACTTGCTCAGTCCTGTAACTCAAAGATCTCGTATGTTATTGAGCTATCGAATAGAGGGAATCATAGCTAAGACACAGTACAGGACCAGTTGTCTCATTCCCGGCATCGCAGTCTCTCTGGGCTTCTACGACCCTGAAAACGGGAACCATCTCCACGGGGATCTCCCAGCTGGACGATGCAGTCTGCACACCCTCGACTGAGGGGGATGATGACGGTGATGATGATGACGGTGATGACGGTGATGACGATGCAGACTGCCGTGGAATTCACCAAGGCCATGTGACTGAAGTATATGGACCTCCTGGAGTAGGAAAGACGTCACTCGCGTAAGTCTATTTTACCCAATGATATAGGGGATTTTCGTCTAATGAAAGTAGATTAAACATCGCCTCAAATGCTCTTCAGACCGGCGCAAAAGTGGTTTGGATTGGTATTATCTCCAACTCACATCCAATAGCAACCTCTAATTCTCATCTTAGATACCGGATCTCCCCTTCCACGGTTACGTCTTCGGAGCATTCTACTGAAGTCCATCCAGTCTTCAGAATCAACTGAATCGCCAGAGGAGCTTATGAAAAATTTGGTCTACTTCCGAGCTCAGTCTCTGCCGCATTTACTGGCGCTTCTGCTCCATCCCCCGACAGGCTTTCCACCAGACGACAGCAAATTAATGGTCATTGACTCTGCATCCGCACCATTCCCTTCATACTTCTCTAATCCGACGGAACTCAAGGCTCGACTAGCACAGTCAAGGACGACAGACAAATCTCATATTCAATGGCTCATGAACCGGAACTCCAATGTCACGAGCGATCTCGCCAATCAATTAACTAAACTAGCGACTGCACACAACCTGGCAGTGCTTGTTATCAACCAGACTCGCACCAAAATCAAAGGCCAACCGCGCGCAACTCTGTGTCCAGTACTGGCTGGGGGGGCGTGGGAAAGCAGCGTTTACACTAGAATTGTGATGTACCGTGACTTTCCATCTGACGAGGAAGATACGCCCAAAAACGTTCGGTTTGCAGAAGTGACGAAAAGAACAGGCAAGATGCTAGCACTGAGATTGGAAAGTAATATCATTCCATTCGTGATTGAAAGAGTAAGATGTTAACCCGGGTCTACGCATTCCATAAGCTCATTTTGACTAGGACGGGTTACGTGGGTTGGACAAATATCAGTCCCCTCGTATGGTTGCATTGAATTCAAAAGAAGACCCAAATAAAAACGGACAGAGAAAAAGAAAAGTAGATGAGATTTCGGACAGTCAAGACGAGGGCGACTCAGACGCTGAATACGGTTGGATTGACGGCGATGATGCCGGTCTGCTCGAGCAAGACTAGCAGTCGTGGATACCACGCCAAAATACAGGCAACATATGGAACCACCCATGAAGTCAACACACATATCCCTCTGACTGTCACATTATTCTGTTACATCGTTTTATACACTGCCGAAAGTACTGCCTGCCGTGCTAAAGTGTCCTGGGCTCAAAGAGCACCCCGGCTGATTCTTCGAGGAATCGGATTAGGCCGCTTCAGTAATCTTGTCTTTTGGACGCCGCTCAACCCAAGTTGAAACCTCCGTCATGGCCAATATTTTATCCTCGGGGACCTCAATATGTGCGGTACCTCCCCGCTCTTTGGAGGTGGCGTTGATCACCGAGGTGCGACAAAAGCTCAGTCCCCCAGGAACTGCTAGTGACATTGCGCCTGGATTGTGACCAGACTGGAGGGGGGGTAAATGGATTGGGCTCCCAATGAGATGCGGGCGTCTGTTTCCCTGGACTACATCGACCAGCTTTCCAAGCACAGCAAATTCAAGCTTTAGCTTGATGCTGTAGATCACGCCTTTGAGGGTTATCTGAACTGAATAGTAACTGGCATACTCGAGTCCGAGCAAAACCAGGTCCATGATGACAATCGACACGTTTATACCCACAAGCTGATGCATGATTTTTCGGTTTTCGCGGTTGGAGCCGAGATGGAGCATTCTGGTTGTTTCCCAGACATATAAGCCTGAGATAATTATCTCCTGGACCGTGAAGCCGGTCATCTGGATCTTTTCCATGATATTATATCCTTTGACAAAGAGTGGATTTCTGTGGAAAATGTTGGAACCGTAAGTCAAGATTGTTGTGGGAACGTGCAACAGGAATATGTTCGCGATTATCATGTACAGCACTCGACGGAGCATGCGTTCGTCTCGAATCACCAGATGCAGACGGGAATATAGGACGAACGCCTGCCCAGTGACCATTGTCCACCAGCCAATCGTGAGGATGGTGACAGAAAATGTGGAATCCGCGCCGCTGAAAAATTTCAAGAGAAAGCCAACTGAGTATGGAACGACGCCCAGGCAGCCGGAAAGCAAGAGACTCCAGAAATATAGTCCTTTCCAGTGGCGGAATGTCGATAGCACGAGGACCACCAGTTCGAACACATTGTAACAGGCGAGCGCGATGAAGATCACCAATACTGCCTTGAGTCCATACCTGTCATCCGCCAGTTCCCCAGATATTCCGTCCAGAGGGTCCACGGTGGAAGACACAGCCATGGTGATCTATGGTGGCCTTCGAGTAGTCAGGATCATGAGAGAACTGGTAGAAATGGAGGGTGAACCTTTTAATTTTTTTTATTTTTTATCCCCCTCCCTCAACCTGTTGCGCGACGGGAGGCAAAGAAAGCAAGAAAAACCAGCATAGGGCAATATTTTAAACCCGTCTGAAGGGAAGCACCCACCACCAGCCGATATCACCCTAAAGACTATTCGTGAAGGACAACCACCAGCAACCGTCCTCAGCCTGAGTAACGGTTACCCCAGTATACCTGATCGATACAAATACATACACAGACCGCCGTTTACCCTTCAACCTAGTAGCCATTTTCCTGATATTAGAGCAAACTCCCGATCTCGACCAAGCCATCACTTCCACAACAGAAAGATGCATCGATGAGGAGGAAAATCGAACACGAGCAGCCCCTGCCGTTGCTTTAAGGCTAGACATAAAGCAGAAGATGGGACGCTCCAACCGGATGAGTGGAATACAGTAAGTACACAGTCGGTGTTGGGGGGGGGGGGGGGTGGTACAGTCTTTCCGAAGCTTTTTTTTTAGTATTATTTTTCTGATTTCTTCGTCCTTGCTAGTGTTAATAGGGACACAACGCTCCCATCTATGACAAGACTCCCTATGTATTGTTTGTAGTCAGAGTCAGTCGTGGTGGGTGCATCTCCGCTCAAGAGGTCTTGCAAGCATCCAGACAGCTCGAATCCGGGGAAGCCACCTTGGAGTAGAAAGCAATCAAACTTTTTTAGTCAGACCCAAAACACTTACTTACAGTCTTCTTAAGTCGAGCCAGCGCTGGGTTGAACAATTCCCTTCTCTCTTACCCCCCTCCCCCCCCCCTAGAAGATAGCCACTGGAACCATTTCTTCACCTGTGGAAAATAACACCTAACACCTAGTCCAGCTGCACACGCGGGAACAATAAGACCAAGAAAGGGATTGTTGTTCGAATGTTTCCATGTGGGTTTCGTTTCGTGGGCTTTGCTTGAGAGCGAATCAATCACCTACACTACAATATACATACCATACCTACTAGTTAGTTATGGGACTATGCGGGTTTGCTATGTAACAGCAACATATGTGGTAACCCGGCTTTCCATTGACGTTTTCTACTTTACTACTACTACTGCTTCTACGGATACTAGTTGCCTAGTAATTACTTCGTCACGGAATACATACGCCCGGTTTCACAGAATAACTAGTGCGGGAGTCGCTCCAAGGCATCCATCCATCCCGCGTATACCGTTTGACGAGACTGGGTTAAGCAACGCCTAAGCGACCTAGTGAATCCTACCTATTATCTTAAGGAGGTGAATCGCAAGGGTTAGGGTTAGGAAGAAGATGGTTATTATTGGTTTCGTTCAATAGATTACTTGGCGATAATTCTTTAACCACGCCCCGGCAATTTCATCAGCTGGACCCGTCACTGTGGCCCAAGCTCAGATCTACAAATCCGATACTCTCCGATATCAAGTGCTAGGGCCATCCCTTAGAGAGCAACGGGCAAAGATGGAAACGCTTATCATATCGTAGGAACCTCGCAAGACTTGATAGATGTCTATTATGCTACAAGGCTCGACGAGGATCAAATATGGAAATCGGCATCAACGAATAAATCATAGACTGGTCAGATAGTCCTCGATCTCCTCTTTGGTCAACTTCCTGAACCGGGGGCCACGCGCCCCTTCGACACCTTCGAACCCCAGCAGATGATCGGCGGGGGGCCCAACGATACCTATGATACCTCAGTTAGCAGATGATATATCGTAGGAAATTCTCCGTTGAGTTGGAGAAACCCTACCAATTTCTATTGTGTCCCCGTTCATCTCGCCTTCGATTGTCTCCTTCAAGGTCAACAGCGCAATATGGATCGCATCTTCAAGCTCGAGCCCCTCAGTGTAACGCTTCTCCAGGAATGTCTTCGCACTCGTGGCATGCTTGCCAATCGCCGTGGCCTTCCATGGGTAATAACTGCCGCTAGGGTCGACCTGGTACAAGCTAGGGCCACCCTTGTGGATACCGCCTGTCTTCCCAGTCGCCTTCTTGGGCTCGTCCTCGCTTTCCTTCTGCTCAGTCTGCTCAGCCTCGGGCTCGATTCCCTCGTCCCAGCCGGCAATCAGTAGACTGACACCATACGGTCGGACACCGCCGGACTGGGTCGCCTCTTGCACGACACGGGCAACATCCTGCACTAATATCCGGGTTGGGGGGTATTCGTTGTAGATGCGCTTGTATCCCGTGTGAGAAACTTTGCGTGCCTTGTCGACGAGCACACGGTAGTCGGGGCCCATGCCCGCGTAGACCATGCCGATATCTGGTGTGATCAGGGAGATTTTGGAGAGAGAGGGGGGATCGATCAGGGGCGAGGAGGATTTCTTTTCAGTAGCCAGGACAATTCCGTTTGTGGCTAGTTAATTGTCAGTAGCTAGACGTATGCAGTTGATCGATGTTGTAAGGCGTGGGTGGGGCGAGTAGCTGTACCTTTGATTCCGAGGGCAGTTACGCCCTGGTTAACTGCGTTCAATGCATATTCTGGACTCAATCAGCAAGCTAGCTTCGGGTCTTGATGGACAGAGGTAATTACCGATCTGTACCAGCTTTCCGCTGCAAGTGAATGTTAACAGGTGTTGCAACCGCCTGTGGTTTTTCGGAGCTCCAGCTTACCTGGGGGAGAAGGTGGTCAAGGAGAAGGAATATCTGTCGGCCATCGGGACGTCTTGGCAGTTCCACGAGCTTTATTCGAGATACCAAATTCAATAGCGAGTTCAAAGAAGGATGTTCGAGATGGAAAGAGAGTCGTGGGGGGGGGTCCAAGATGAAGCTTCCCTCAAGGCCAGAGTCCAGAGCAGGCGACAGGATGTTGACGCAGCAGCTTGGGTCGATTAGGCGCCAAGACCGCGTCTGGGGCGGTGACGATACGCGAGCGGCTAGCTTCCTTTTTTTCCGTCAGCTTCTCTCCACTTCATCTTCTTTCGCCAGCTGATATTTTTTTTTTCCCCCTCTTCTTTTCTTCCTGTGCAATCTGTCGGATTGTGTGCATGGTTGATCTGTGGCAAGAACCCCAACCGTTGATGTAATCGGTTGTCGTGCTATCCTATGCTATTGCTATGATCTTACCACTCTGAAATCCTAGGCCAGCAGCATGAATAGGCCAACCTGGCAATGGTCTGCAGGAACCTCTCCGACGCCCACAGCCTCCAGGAGCTCCGAGGCAGACCAACCCCCTGAAGAATCCCGGCAGGCCGGTGATTCAGGTGTTCCCAGACCTGAGGCTCCCAAAAAACATTACCCACCTCGCGTCTGCCGCATCTGCCTGGAGTCTGTGCCTCCCACCTTCGTTCCTCCCTCTGAGAACATACCAGGGTTTCTCCAGCGCGAGCCACGGATTATCTATGAGTCTTCGGATCCAGAGCTAGGCCGACTCCTTCGGCCCTGCAAATGCAAAGGCTCTGCCCGGTATGTCCACGAAGGATGTCTCCAAACCTGGCGTCATGCGGATCCCGGCTACGGCAAGCGGAACTACTGGAACTGCCCGACTTGTGGGTTTCGGTACCGGCTAGGTCGACTCGCCTGGTCGCGCTGGATCAGTAGCACTGTTACGCAGATATTCTTAACCTTCAGCATTCTGATTTTGACCGTATTCGTTCTTGGTTTTATTGCTGACCCCATCATTAACCTTTACGTCGACCCCATGGACACGATCTACTACGCTGAATTCTGGGAAGTCAATAGGGTATCGAACACCAAGCGGGCTTCTTGGTTCGAGCACTTCGTCAAGGGAGTCGCGTCGTTAGGACTGTTGTCGTTTGTCAAGGTGATATTTGCCATGTCACCGTGGCATTGGTTCAACATCCGGTCCACATCTGTGGTGGGTGGACGCAGAAACGCCGGGAGAAACCGAGTAGCTTCTCTGAGCTGGATCATGATTGTGATTGGTGTTGGAACTTTTCTCTGGGTATGCTGCCAACTGTCTTTGGGTTCTGTATTAGCTGCTAATGATGCATAGGCTGTATATAAAGGCGTAAGAGCTTGGAGCCGGAGAACGTTGGAAAAGGCCAGCGAACGCGTGCTGGATGTTCCCCTACCTGACGACGACGATGATGATGATGGGGTTGAGGAGACAGGACGTAAAATGCAATAACTATACCTGCATTGAAGCAAGTCTGCTTCGTGTTGTCTCCCGCTGTTGTATCAACATCGCACAACTTTAAGTTGTCACGCTCCTCTCAATGACGTGCCAATTAGTCAATGTGCGAAGAACGACACTGACCCTCGTAACCTCGGGCAATCTGAGAGGTAGAATATCGGGAGGGGACGTTTTGTTCCCACCTTCGTTCTTCTCGTCAAATCAGGTATGCTTTGAGGGAGGGTCGGACTGCATTTTGACTCGATCAGTTCCGACGCCTTTGAAGTGGGCGTTTTTGATTGAGGTGCGGTGCATTCTTAGTTAATTGTAATCAATAATCTACTCTCGGTACTTGTGTACTTTTTTCTTTTTCTTTTTCTTCCATTGTGCTTTAAGGGTATGGATTATCGAAGCCTGATCAAACCTGCCCACCGCAGTACTCTGGCAGACTATAGATCTTATCTTCATTCTGGATGATTGGCTCAGTTTGTGATTCCATACTATATTGATCTGCCTGCAGCCACAAAAGTCTTCACACAAAGTTGCAAAGCATTCTGCAGGTTCATTCAATACCATATACAACATAGGTGATTCTTAACACAAATTCATGTGATGACTGGTTCTATATCGGGGATTTCCGTTAACATCTAGCATGATTAGATTCACTGTAAAGAATAATACTATTATAAGCACAAAGGGATAAAACTAATCACTATCTAAAATATATAGCGCATTCTAGCCAAGATATATAGTGTGATTCCTGTTTTCCCAGTGCTTGGGATTCTATACTGGCTAAAATGCGTATTCACTACGCCAAAGCTGGAGTGAGGTATATCAAGTTTATTAGCGCAATATATCACAACACAAGACAGAGTGAATGTTATCTTGTTAATATAGTGGTTGGGATTTATTTTCCTTGACTATAAAGATGTCCATCCTCACCTTAACACAGAATCTCTCACTTTGTTTCTTCTTGCCCTCTCTATTGTTCCCAAAATCCCCTGTTCCCTGTGTGCCTCGATATCCAAGTTGCTGCTGTATCTGAAGCCTTTCAACCCATTTCCGTTTCTTGTTCTCGCATTTGAGGTAGCCTCTCTTCATCTCATTCATCATGGACAGAGAATTGCCTGTGGACATCAGCGGAGAAGCTGCACCTTCTTCTTTCGAAGCCCAGCATAGTTTCGGCCTCCATTACCAGACCCCCCATTTTCTGCCTGTCCGCATCAAAGTCTCAGATGAGGCAAACGAGCCCAATGAGCCTGAGGATTTCTACGGGGTTCGTATTGACCAAACCGACGAAGAACGGATCGAACAGATGCTCTCCGAAGCGATGAACACGCCTCTTGACACCCCCGTTCCCGACGAGCACGACAGCTCCCAGGACCATGACAGTAGCCCTAGTCGTAATTTCGACACTACCAACTGCAACATCGATCGTCCTGACACTCCCCAGTCCACGGCCTCGACTATCACGGAACCGTTCCCGGACTATTACGAATCCTGCGAAGCGAACGTACCGCCTGCGGCTGACAGGGCCCAAGAAGAAGAAGAAGAAGAAGCATACAACTACGCCATCTCCAAGGTTGTCGACGAGGTTATTCGTTTCGGCGATGTCGACAAAAGCATCTACTTTCTGCCCTTTTCCCTTGACACCTGTGAATCGCCGACGACTGTGAAGGGGATCGAGCCCGTTCCCCCGGCAGTTTATGAGCATGTGGGCCACGATGGCAGGTTCACGGAGATGGAGGCTCGCAAGATGCATCTATGCGACCAGATCCAGTACATTTTGCTCAAATCCGACATCAAGTTTTCCCTGCGCAAGCGGTTCACGGCGCTCACCAACATGATCATCGAAATGGAATACGTGTTCTGGCGCGGCAAGGGATTCCCTCGGGACTTTCTGCCGTTCCTGACGCCCGAGGAGCTTTTCAAGGTCAAGGGCTTCGCTATTGAAATCGTTCTGTATGCTTGTCGTCTGGGATCGATCCTCCACGAGGAGGCGAGGAACGCCAATCGCGTGCGGCACCTGGTTGCGGAAATCGCAAACGAGAAGGACAAGTCTGTGTTGATTCGGTTCAGGAATATGTCTCAGATTATTCTTCAGTAAGTTTTCTCTCCGAGTTTCGTTCCGTAAGAGACCGGAGGGGGGGGGGGGGGAGCGAGCGCTGACTTTGCTGCTGGCACTCATTTAGTAACCTCACCAAACCGCGGTCCATGGAACAGCATCTCCTGGAAGTGTTTTACGAAATCTACACTCGCTACTTCTATCATGATTTCATGGTCTTCTTCAACCATTACATCCAGCAGGCTGACTACATTATCCCCGAATTGGCGGATCTCCACCGCATATCGGTTGCGACTGAGGACATCCTTCGCCAGGGCATTTACGACTACAACGCTGTTGCGGCGGTCAACCTGGACATTAAGGATCGTTTTCTGCAGCCGGCGTTCGCTCAGTTATCCGAGGGTCCTGCGATCTGGCAGCAGTGCGTTATGGAGCGTCAGTGTTTGGATGAGTCCGCGGAGGCGGCTCCTGAAGATGAGCATCATCAGCGTGAATGATTGGAGTTTTATTGGGATATCTGATTGAATAAGTGCAGGTGGCATACATGTGGATGATGAGGGGGGAAGAGAGAGAGAGAGAGAGAGAGAGAGAGAGGAAGGAAGGACTCGAGGTTCAAGGTACAATGATAGTACTAGTCATGGTTGACGAGATGTATGAAACGAGACGAATATCTACGGAGTAGTTTAGCGTCTGCAGAGTAGATACCCAAATGCCAGAGTGTTTATAATATTGGTAGCCCAAAGTACATATTTACATCTATCTAAATAAGAAGAACTAACTAAGCGTTTGAATCCTTATAATCACCCAACTTGAACAATTTCTTCGCATTCTCCCTGCCAATCTTCAAGCGGTCATTCAGGTTCAACTCGGCATTATCAAACCAGTCGCAGGCATCCCCAAAGGTCTCAAAGGGATAATCGATGGAGAACAGAATGCGATCGGCCCCCACCTCGGCCATGCAGAAATTCAACGTGGTGGTGGAGAAATTCCCGGAGGTGGTAATCCAGATATTGTCGGCAAAGTACTCGCGGATGGTGCGGCGGCAGGTCTCAGCCAGGCCCAGCAGCTTCTTGCGGTCCTCGAACCAGTGGTTGATGCGCCACATGTCAAACGGCACATGTTCGCCCAGGTGGCCCATGATGATCTGCAGCTTTGGGTGGCGGTCGAACACGCCGTTGGTGACCATGCCCAGCACGTGCAGACTCACGCCCTGCGCAAAGCTGAGCGGCGGGCCGATCAGCCATTTGCGGTCCGCCCAGAGCTTGTCGTAGATGGTGCCCGTGGGGTTGCGCGGGTGCAGGTACAGGGGCACGTCCAGCTCCGTGCAGGTTTGCCAGAAGATGTCCCAGGCGGCGTTGTCGTAGAAGATCATGTCGTCGCCGTCGGGCCCGGCCCGTTGCGTATCGTTCACCAGGGCGCCTTTGAAGCCGTACTTTTCGACGCAGCGGCGGAGTTCGGTGGCGGCTTCTTGGGGGTTGTGCATTGAGAGGGTGCTGTAGCTTCTTATTAGATTCTGTTTCTTTCCTCCAGAAGTCAAGGTAAGGAAGTCAGGGTAGGAAAGTAACACATACGCAAACGCGCCAAAGCGATCGGGCTTCTCGCGAATCTGCTCGGCAATGTAGTCATTGATCTCCACGGCGAGGGCCTGAGCCTCCACGGGGTCCCAGATATCCTGGACTCCCGGGGCAGTATACGACAGAATCTGGTATCCCACGCCGTACTTATCAGCAAAGTCGACGCGGATCTTGTTGATATCTGTGATCTCCTTGGTGTGGGTTTCAGGGTCGGTGGAGAAGAGACCAGCCCACCAGCGGGTCTTTTCTTCGAACCGGGGAAGGGCGAAGGCTTCTTCGAGAGCGATCTTTCCAAGCATTTTGGCGGTTGTTGGACGGGATAGTTGGAATACGGGAGAGGTGACAATGAAGGGAATGAGGGTATTCTTATATAGATGTCAAGTGCGCGGAACGCCATCCGACACCAGCGATCCGCCTCCTGCTCTCTACCCGACAGACTCTCCCCGCATTGATAAGCGACAATATATAGTTAACTATGGGGTATTTGTAGGTAGTATATTATTATATATCCTTCATTTACCTAGTTATCTCCAGAAAGAAATGCTTACTCAAATTAATCTAGATAACTATATTCTGGGAATGTCCCCCTACCCCTAGGAAATGTAGAATTATCAATATCCTAAGAATAGCTTCTTGTCCTGCCACGAAAGAAGCAATTCCTCATCCCGCCCGGGGCAATGTCAGCTTCGTGTCAACTCGAGTGCTCTCTATTCCATCTCCTCTCCCTCTCCCCGATTTCTCTTGCTCGGTCCGGAGTACGGAGAGCACAGAATCTAGGTCCCATGTGGCGGGTGTTGTTGTTCTTTGTCCTCATTTTGGCCGATATTGAGTTCGTTCTTTGTCTGCAACTCCCGAACCCTCGAGTTGATCACAAGCCCTCTTCTGGGTTCTCGCTCCTCCCTCGTCACCTTGGACTTGGATCCCCTCATGTTACTGCCTGAATTCTAGGATACGCCCCCTGTGAGCAAGCAGTGTTGCGCTGGAAATCCCTTCTCCTATTTGACCCAACACCACACATCCCCCACACATGCCAGCAAAAGAGGGGTTGGGCCCCTTTGCGGACCTGGTTGTTGAACAGCAGACAGAGAATATTGAATTTGCGATGGATATTGATGATGGCTTTGTGCCCCAGCGTGCCTTTGGGACTGCAGCAGAGCGTGCTCGACGGAACATGAATGCAAAGCTGGCCAACCCCCTGGCGGGCTATACGCATGCGGAGCTGCGCAAGCAAGGAATTAACTTTGCCATCACACATACCATCGGCGGGGAGGAGGATATTCGTGCCTTTGCGATTGGTGCCGTCCTGGCCCAGGCTCCCGAGAAATTCGAGACGGTGGCGGGCCTGACGGCTCACGAGCTGGAAGTCTTGCGGAATGAGTTCGCTCACCGGTGGTCGCAGCCTTGGACCATGTATCTGGTAATCATACTGTGCTCTCTGTCGGCTGCCGTGCAGGGGATGGGTAAGTAAGTCACTTCTCCTAATCAATAGGCTTAATAACCGGCTGATGCGCCCCGCGCGCCAGATGAAACCGTTGTCAATGGCGCGCAGATCTTCTACAAGCATCAGTTTGGAATCGCAGATGAGACGGTCTCGCGGTCCAACTGGATATCGGGCCTGGTGAACTCGGCTCCATATCTATGCTGCGCGGTGGTGGGCTGTTGGCTGACCGTGCCTTTCAACTCTTGGTTTGGCCGACGTGGAACAATCTTCATCACTTGCGTTTTTTCAGCCATTGCCTGTCTCTGGCAAGGGTTCGTCGGCACCTGGTGGCATTTGTTCATCGCGAGATTCGCGCTGGGATTCGGCATTGGCCCCAAATCGGCCACCGTGCCGGTCTATGCAGCTGAAACGGCCCCCCCGGCCATCCGTGGCGCTCTCGTCATGCAATGGCAGATGTGGACAGCCTTCGGGATCATGTTTGGTTATGCGGCGGACCTTGCATTCTTTCGAGTGCCCGACTCCCCTGGGATCGTGGGCCTCAATTGGCGTCTCATGCTGGCCTCCGCCATGTTCCCAGCTGTGGTTGTCTGCTGCTTTGTCTTTACGTGCCCTGAGTCTCCGCGTTGGTACATGTCACGGAAGCGCTATGACCGAGCATACCAGTCGATGTGCAGTTTGCGCTTTGAGAAGATCCAGGCCGCCCGCGATATGTACTACATGTACACCCTCTTGGAAGCCGAGAATTCTATGAAGCTCGGCCAGAACATCTTCATCGAGCTGATGAACGTTCCTCGCAACCGTCGTGCGATGATAGCATCGGAAATCGTCATGTTTATGCAACAGGTAAGACACAGAAGAGATTCATTATTCCGCTTGCTGTCTCTTTCAACCGACTTAACGCTGTTAGTTCTGTGGGGTCAACGTGCTCGCCTACTACTCCTCGGAGATCTTCCTGGGAACCGCCAGCGCGCACTCCATGCTCACCATCTCAAACCAGCGCACCGCTCTCACTGCATCCCTAGGCTGGGGCCTGATCAACTGGCTTTTTGCCATCCCGGCCGTCTACACCATCGATACCTTCGGCCGTCGAAACCTCCTCCTCACCACATTCCCGCTCATGGCGCTCTCCATGTTCTTCACGGGCTTCAGCTTCTGGATCCCCGATGACGCGCAAAACAATGCCCGCCTCGGCTGTACAGCCCTGGGCACCTATCTATTCGGAATCTTCTACTCGGTCGGGGAGGGCCCGGTGCCGTTTACATACTCCGCAGAAGCCTACCCGCTCTACGTCCGCTCCTACGGCATGGCTTTAGCGACCGCCACCACCTGGCTCTTCAACTTCGTCTTGGCGATCACCTGGCCTTCCCTGCGCCAGGCGTTCAAAGACCAGGGCGCGTTCAGCTGGTACGCCGCGTGGTGTATTGTCGGGTGGTGGCTGATTCTCATGCTCATGCCCGAGACCAAGGGGAAGACCCTCGAAGAGCTAGACCAGGTGTTTTCGGTCCCTACGCGGTTCCATGCGGCTTACGGACTGCGCCAGATTCCTTACGTCTTCAAGCGCTATGTGCTGCGGTGGCCCGTCCAGCCGGAGGTTTTGTATGAGCAGGATGATTCGTCGGCGAATCTGGCAGAGACCGGGTTCACCGCCGTGTGCTGAGTTCGAGGTCAGGGTGATGATTATTATGGTGAGGAGATTACGCGAAATGAAAGACATGGCATATACCCCGGCGCATATACAACAGGGAGAATATTATACGTGTAATATATGTATATATATATATATATATACTACGGAGTACATAGGAGTACATAGGACGGATTCTGAATCAACACATTCCATTTGAGCTGTCTAATATATACGCTGTGTAAAACGAGGCGAAAACAGAGATCGAGCGAATATTCTATCCTATGAATCCTGTTAGCATGCTGATCTGATGAGCATAGAAATGCAGCAAGAACAGGGAAAAGCACTTCATCAGACAGCAGTTGGTACGATTGCTGATCCGCATAGAATAAACTCAGAACAGGTCTGTGTGAAATCTTGCTTCATCCTTGAAGTTTTTGGGGGGGGGGGGGGGGAGGGGGGAAGCCACATCAATACATACCTTGATTTTTTTTTTTTTAGTAGAGAAATCTGATTCCATCAAGTCCATCAATGATATCGAAGAGACATGAAAAGACATGAAAAGAGAAAAGTAAAAAAAAAGTCGGCGATTTAAAGGATTGCTCCGACCACGCTAGACAGGATTTGGTTCGCGTTTCGCTTAAGCATCCAATCAAACTGCAGAAATCGACAGAAACCGCCTCATGTTTAGCATATTTGCACGGTTTGCATACTTTGCGCAGATCCCAAAAAAAGTAAGTCTGCCTTTTTTTTTTTTTTTTTTTTTTTTTTCGACACAGGCATCTCCATCAGCGCGTGGGCAGGTTTAGTGGGTTCCGCTCTCACGTTGGGTTTTTCGCGCCGTTCGAAGTCGAGATTCACTCGTTCTTTGCTTGTCGATTGCTGTGTAGCGAGCGCTATTGTGGTTGCGACTTGAGGTGAGAGGTTGAATCTATCTACGCTATACTTACTTATGCCGCTCGTCTACCCTTTTGTGTCGGTCGAATTCGGAAAATCAGCAAAGCTTGGTTTGAGGGGTCCTGGTGCTAATACTTGATTGTCGTACAGATTTTTCCGTTTCCTTTCACATATATTACAATCTTTTTTAATAGATATAACCGGCAAGATGGTCGACGCTCCCGAGAGCCCTGCACCGGAGCAACAACAAAGTGTGTACTCCGAGATATCAATCTATACCTGAACTCCAACTCCCCAACTCCTTGGGCTACTTGTTTATCTGATTGGACCGGCGTTTGACTAATTCGATCTTTTGCGCTTCTTCTAGCTCCTCAGAAACCTTTCTATCAGAATGGTGTTAGAACGACAGGTCGCGCGTTCCATTCCCCCAACTGGCGTGTGAAGGGTGAGGAGAGCCCCAGCACGGCTGGTGCTGGTGCTGGCTCTGAGGCTGCTCGGTCTGGTTCCCCCGCTGGCACGCCTAGGACGAATACCTCGAGAGTGGCGTTTAGCAAGCCTAGCCCGCATGTACCACAGGCTATCTCGGAGGGACGACGACTATATGTGGGGAATATGCCCTATACGGCGAAGTCGGAGGATGTGCAGGCGCTTTTCACCGCTGCTGGGTTTGGAATGTATGGATTGCCCTTTGCGTCAGCGTGCAAGAGAGAGAGAGAGAGAGAGAGAGAAACAAAACTAACCAGGCTGGGGTTGACCACAGCGAACGAATCGATATCGCCATTGATCCCTTTACCGGCCGCAACCCCTCATACTGTTTTGTCGACCTAGAGACCAAAGAACTGGCCGAGCGGGCAATGGCTGAACTAGACGGACAGGATATGCTCGGGCGTCCGGTGAAGATTAAGCCTGGTGTGATCAAGTCTGCAGGCGAACGCTCTCAACAACGAACTGAGCCCACGCTTGGTTCTCCTCGCAGCAATAGAACCTCGCCCTTCAATGCGGACCGGTGGCGTCGAGACGATCCCGCCGGTGCCTCTGCTTCTGCTTCTGCTTCCGCTGCCCCTGGGACCCCTTCCAAGACAAATTCAGATTCCAGCCGTCGGTTGTACGTTGGCGGCCTGCCAAAATTGACAGACCAGGAGGCGATTACGAGCAACATTACCAACTTTTTTAAGGATTATAATGTGTATGTTGTTTTCTCTCTCTCTCTCTCTCTTTTCAATAAATCTTCTGGCATTGGTTCTAATATCACGATAGGGAAAACGTCAGCAAGCTCTTCACACCTCACCCTGCGAAACGCTTCGAGCCCGGTGACCATTACTACCTGTTCGTTGACTTCAGCACGGCGGAAGAAGCGCAGACCGCGATGAACGCTTTGAACGGACAGGAGGGTCCCTGGGGTGCTAATATCCGCGTCCAGCGGGCTCGGGGCGAGACATGGAATTCCGAAGAGAGGAAGAGCAAGTGGCCTTCTTCTCGGGGAACTGGAGCTCCTCCCGCCGCCACCGAGGATGCTGCTCCCACGGACGCATAAAATTTTGCTTTTGCTTTTTTTTTTTTTTTTTGGAATTTTGCTAGACTTACTATTATGACGGCCGGTGTTTGTATTATTGCGCGAGTAAATGACAAAATGAGATGGACTTACGGCAGCATAGCACATGTTCTACGAATGGATTTCATTATTTTATGCCTCAGGCAGCGCATCCACATCGAAAATGATACCCGAGCCACCTTTGGGTGGATATCCCCCGGGAATCTCCATTAGCAGACAAAAAAAAAAAAAAACCAAGAAGAATTCCCACCTGCATGTCTGGAACTTTTAGTTTTGGGCTCTTCAACTGGTAGAAGAATCCAGAGCGGGTGCGATTTTACCCGACACGAAAATGTTGTATGGATCACGTGGAGGCTGGAGTCATTCACTCGTGTTCAATCCTAAAGAAGAAATAAATAATCATCATCTGAGGAATCCAGTGAATCAATTGATCAACCGTCATTCTCTATATATAACCAGCTAACTGCTTGATTCCCTTCTCCTGCGGTTTCCTGTCTCGTTCGATTCCTCCTTTGATACATGTTGGGGCCAATTCTTGCCCCGCGGTATGACGTCTGACTCTCTCTTGCTCTCTCTCTCTCTCTCTCTCTCTCTTGCTCTCGCTCGCTCGCAAAAAGGTTCCTCCTCCTCTCTCCTCACCGCATCGACACTTCTCAGCTCCATCCAACCAGATCTGTTGTTGATCGTGTGATAATCTTCATCTTTTCCCAGGAGGTCCAGCCCAAGTAACTTGATTTATCTACTAGTTGAGACAGCCGGTTCTGGCTCTTGGGCAAATAGAAAAGAACCCTGTTTTTTTCCTTTAATTTAATTTGTTTTTTTTTACCCTTTTTTTTTTGCTGTCTCTGCAAGAAAAAAAAAAAAAAAAAAAACACCAAAAGGAAGCAGAAAAAGGATTCATTCACCGTTTTTCTGAGTCCCGTCCATCTTCCTCCCTCTTCCCCCCCTTCCTCTTCTTGCCTCCCCCAGCATTTGTCTGTCTGTCCCGGTCGGGCAGTTCTGGTCAAGGTCCGAAAGTTCCCTTACCCGGAGTCAAGCAATTTCATCCTCCATTGTCCATCATGTCGGCCTTTCAGAGGGGGAATGGCCATAAGACCTTCTTTGCCAGTGTGAGTGTTAATTCCTCTATTATTATGCGCTTCTTTTTGATCTTGCGGGGTTTATCTGCGTTAATTGTTTGGGTTTGCTGGTGGTTATTGTTGTTGCTCCGGTATCCCCCCCCCCCCCCTCCCCCCGCTTTAGTGCTTCCTTAAGCCCGGCTTGGGGCCTTATCCTTCTTTACACCCCTTGTATATTTTCCGCGTCCAGTGATTACTTTCGGGATATGCAGTTACTGGCATTCTGATTGAAAGATGGATGTTTCTTCCTTCACACAGCCACCTACATGCTTTGTCCGGTCCTTGTCCGGACTTGCACCGATTTCTTGGGAAAAGCTTGGCCTAGAATATCCTTACAGAACACTAACCTGAAAGCCTAGTCTGATGATTCCAAGGTATGTGTGGTCATGGTTGGCCTGCCGGCCAGAGGAAAGAGCCTCATAGCCGGGAAAGGTACGTAGCTCTTGTGCAAGTTCCCGTTGCCGCTGAAACTGACCAAGACTAGCCATGCGATATCTGGGCTGGGTTGGCATTCCAGCGCGTGTATTCAATGTGGGCACCTATCGCCGTCAAGGCACCCCCCAGCCAACAGCCACTTTCTTTGATCCTCGGAACTCGGAGGGAGAAAAGATGCGACGGGCAGCCGCTGAAGCTGCGGTGACGGATATGCTCAAGTGGTTTGAGTCAGGGAAAGGCGTTGTGGCCATTCTCGATGCAACGAACTCCACGCGGGAGAGACGTCGCTGGATCTATGAATGCTGCCACAATGCCAATATCGAGACATTATTTGTGGAATCGATATGCGACGATGAAGATCTAATCATGAACAATATCCTCGAAGTCAAGACCACCTCGCCAGACTATAAGGGGCAGGACCCTGAAGTTGCGGCTCTGGATTTCCGCAATCGAATCCGCAATTACGAAAAAGTTTATGAAACCATCGATGACAATGAAAAACATTACACCTACGTCAAGCTGATTAATGTTGGTTCTACCGTAATTATCAACCAGATCAAAGACTACCTGTCCAGTCGGCTTGTCTACTACATTCAGAATCTCCATATCAAACCGCGTTCCATCTGGCTTTCTAGGGTACGTGCGCCTGGATTTCTTTCTTTCGGGAGGTTCATACTAACTGTGACTAGCACGGAGAATCGGAATATAACCTAACGGGGAAGATTGGTGGGGACTCGAATATCTCCCAGCGTGGAGAAGCATACGCCCGAGCCCTCCCTGGTCTTCTCAAAAAGTCTGGCGTCCCGCCAAACACAAAGATTGTGATCTGGACTTCGACCCTGAAACGGACAATTCAAACTGCGCGCCATCTTGCGGCTGAAACCAGCTACGAGAAATTGGAGTGGAAGGCTCTTGATGAACTCGACTCCGGGGTTTGTGACGGCCTTACCTACGAGGAAATCGCAGAAAGATACCCCGAAGACTTTGCAGCGCGCGACGAAGACAAATACAACTACCGTTATCGGGGTGGGGAGTCTTACCGCGATGTTGTCATCCGCCTTGAGCCTATTATCATGGAACTGGAACGCAGCGAAAACATCATCATCGTTACTCACCAGGCCGTTCTGCGCTGCATCTACTCATACTTCCTCAACGTGCCTCAGGAACAGAGTCCGTGGATGGAGGTTCCTCTCCACACGCTCATCAAGCTGACTCCTCGCGCATACGGCACCGAGGAGCAGCGTTTCAAGGCTGACATCCCTGCCGTATCCACATGGCGCGCCAAAGGAACTTCCGCAAAACACCAAGACTTTCCCACAGAGCTGAAAGTATGACGAACCAAACCAGGGTAACTATCTACCTCTTTCCTCGGTCTAGAGTATCTCGGGTGCGACACCAATTTTTCTGATATATTCTCTCCACCAAAGGCTGTGCCTTGTCCCTTTTCCTTACTCCAGACTCCAGAGCTATCTCAGATTTTAAAATCTTGTACATGTTATGTTATACACCGGCATTCTATCATACCTTTCTTCTTTCCGTTTGTCTACGAAAGCCGGAGCTCGATAAGTCATATCATACCCACTATTCTCTCTTCTTTTTTTTTTTTTTTTCCTTTCTTAATTTCTTTCTTCGTTTGTTTCGCATCAGGTACATTATTAGAGCTTTTCTCTCAAAACCGAAAAGGAAACGGGGGGTGTTCTGAGTCCGCTGCTAGAGCAAGAGAGGAGTTTGATAGTGGGAGGTAATGGAAATAATATGTTATAGTACAAAACACAAGCATAAGCAATTCATTGGTAGTAATAATGGAAAATAGTTACGAAGTACCTGGCTAAATGAGTTAAGCATACATGTAGGAACAGCGTCTTTTAAGGTCTTGCTTGGCATCGGACCTTAATTGCCGGTCAATCTACCCTTTTCTACCCCAGAAAACCAAACCAGACCAGACCAGACCAACCACCACCACCACAACCAACACAATCATGAAGAGAGCAGCTCTCAGCGCTGCCCCCTTCTATTAATTCACACTCATCCAGTCCTCCGATCCAGATCATGACGCACGTTCTTTTCCTTACTTGTTCTCCTCCTCTTCTTTCCCCCTCTCTTTCGGTCCCGGTCCCGGTCCCGGTCTAAGGCCAAGCAACGCTATGTTATCTGCGTTTACGGCTCGCCCGCTTGTCGAGCTCAAGCCGCGAGACAAGTCGCGGATCGAATCCGTGCTTGCCTATGGCGATCGCTTATTGGTGGGGTTGAATAATGGGAGTTTGAGGATTTATCGGGTGAATGAGGTAGGGGTTGGGGTTGGGGTTGAGCTTGGGCGGGAGTCGCAGCCGCAGCCGCAGCCGCAGCAGGAAGGGGTTGGGGCTCGAGTCATGGAGAATGGACATGGGGACGGACATGGGAATAATGCAAGTGACGGGGTTGCGAATGCTACGACGACGACGCCGACGAAGAACGGGAATGGAGATACGACGAACACGACGACGAATAATGCCGCTACCAACGCGAAAGTGAAACAGACGGATCTACTACGCGAGATGGAAAAGTTTTCCCGGTACAAGATCGAGCAGCTTGCTCTGATCAAGGAAGCGAAGCTACTTGTTTCTCTGTCCGGTGGATACGTCTGCATCCACGACCTCCAGACCTATAAGCTGCAGGAACAGCTCACGCGGACCAAAGGCGCGACGGCCTTTGCAGTGACGTCGAATATCGTGAATGACCCCGAGACGGGCGTTCCGTCGATCGTGTCGCGGCTGGCGGTTGCGGTGAAGAGGAAGATCCTGCTGTGGTCGTGGCGCGATATGGAGGTGGAGGATGACACGACGGAAATGACGCTGGTGAGTGGGATAAAGACGCTCACGTGGGTTTCGGGAACGAGGCTCGTCGCCGGGCTGGGGTCGAACTTTGTGCTGGTGGATATTGAGACGGCGGCGGTGACGGATCTGGTCGGCCCCGGGAGTATCGGGGGACTACCGGGGCAGGAGACTGGTGGTGGTCGGCTTGCCGGCGTTGGTGTCGCCAGTATGAGTTATATTGGCATTGGAGGGGCAGCGCCGAAACCGTTAGCCACCAGGCTCAGTGAAGGCCATGTGTTGCTGGCCAAGGATATCAATACGCAGTTCATGGATACCAAGGGGAACCCGCTGGGGAGGAGGCAGATCCCGTGGAGCCACGCGCCTGTGGATATCGGGTACTCGTATCCGTTTCTCCTGGCACTCCATGATTCGTCGAAGGGGATGCTAGAAGTGCGGAATCCCGAGACGTTGTCGTTGCTGCAGTCCGTTTCGTTGCCGTCCGCGAATACGATGCATATTGCCCAGCCTACGATTAGCTTAGCGCATGCTGGGAAGGGGTTTCTGGTCGCGAGTGATCGGACCATTTGGAGGATGGAAGCTTTGGGTTATGACACACAGATTGATTCTCTCGTGGAGAAAGGCTATCTGGACGAGGCGATCAGTCTTGCGGGTATGCTTGAAGATGCGCTGCTGAAGGACAAGGAAGGTCGGATACGGGAGATCAAACTGGAAAAGGCACAGGGTCTTTTTAGTCTCCGGAGGTACCTGGAGTCGCTGGAACTATTTACTGAGGTGTCTGCACCCCCAGAGGTGGTAATCCGGCTTTACCCTAGGATTATTGCGGGAGATCTCACGTCTATCATCGAGGAGCCGCCCGAGGAGTCGGAGGGGAGTACCACAGATAGCCAACCAAAGCTTCAGGATAGCCAGACCCCGGCCGATGGGATGCAGACAGAAGAGGCTGCTCCCGTCAAAACCCTGACCCATACTCCGTCCGTGATGTCTTTCCTGCGGACAAGGGTGGAAGATGGAAATGGCAGCGACGCGGGGAGTATCCGAGGGAAACCTGCAGAAGACCCGCGGCCTGAAAAGCCGCTCACCGGGAAGGACCTTAAACTTGCTGTTCGTGAGCTACAGGCCTACCTGGCTGATGTCCGGCGGCGCTTCCAGCGGTTTTTGAACCCGGACGGCTCTCTCAAGGCCATGGATTCGCCAATGAACGCAGCTAAAGACGAGTTCACCGACTCGGTCCGGAAGTTGCTCGACGTGAGTAAGGACGAGCGCGACTACGATTTCGGCGAGAAGCTCCGCGAAAAGGCCAAACTCGTCGATACCACCCTGTTCAGAGTATACATGTATGCCACGCCTTCTCTTGCCGGTTCCCTCTTCCGTATCGCCAACTTCTGCGATCCAGAAGTCGTGATGGAAAAGCTGGACGAAACCGGTCGTCACAACGATCTGATCGACTTCCTATACGGCAAGAAAATGCACCGCCCGGCCCTCGAGCTTCTAAAGAAATTCGGACAAGCCGAATCGGAAGAAGAAACCGCGCCGCAGCTGCACGGCCCCAAGAGAATGGTCGGGTATCTGCAACACCTTCCCCCGGACCAAATTGATCTGATCCTGGAGTTCGCTGCGTGGCCGGTCCGAGCGGACCCGGAATTGGGCATGGAGATTTTCCTCGCGGATACTGAGAACGCGGAGACCCTTCCGCGACACCGGGTTCTCGAGTTTCTCCAGAAGCTCGATGTCAAACTCGCCGTGCGCTATCTCGACCATGTTATCGGCGAATTGAATGACCTGACGCCGGATCTGCATCAGCGGCTTCTCACGCTTTATCTGGATCGGTTGCAGAAGCATAGCCGGAACAAGGCTGAGTTTTCTAGTGTGGAGGAATCCGAGGAGTGGCGTGATAAGTTTATCGATATGCTGCGGACGAGTGCTCAGTATTCTCCCTCTAAGATACTGGATCGGCTTGATCGAGATGGTAGGGTTTTTTGTACTCCGCTTGATGGTGTTAATATCATGCGTGTGGGCTAACTCACAAATGGTAGATCCTGAGTTTTTCGAAGCCCGGGCGATTCTCTTTAGCAAAATGGGCCAACATCGGCAAGCACTGGAAATTTACGTTTTCAAGTTGGAGGATTATGCAAAGGCAGAAGAGTATGTACACAGGGTTGGGTCTCGATCGATCAGAGATATATAATTGCTAACCTTTGCTACCAACCACAGATACTGTAACCACCTTCACAGGACAGAGGACCTGACAACCGTAGATGAACCCGCGTCTCAATATTCCACTCTTCTTCCGTCAGATGAACAGCCATCGATTTACTTGACATTGCTGGCGCTCTATCTCTCCCCACCACACGGGTACCAACCGCAATACGGACCGGCCCTTGAGATTCTGGCCAAACATGGATCTCGATTGCCTGCGAATTCTGCCTTGGAGCTCATCCCCGAGACGCTGCCGGTGAAAGAACTGGAGTTTTACTTCAAGGGCCGAATGCGGGCCGCTGCGTCGATTTTGAACGAGTCGAGGATTGTCACAAGTCTTCTGAAGGTGCAGAATCTCAAAGCTCGGGCGCAGCTGCTGGTCGGCGAAGGGACGGACGGGAGATCTTCCAGGTCGAGACATGTTACGGTGACGGAAGAGCGAGTGTGCAGTGTCTGTCACAAGCGAATTGGCGGGAGTGTGATTAACGTATTCCCTGAGTGCGTTGTTCCCCTTGGCCCCATCCTCGGAATTGGGTTCATTTGCTCGTTGCTAACACACTGATAGTAATACTGTTGTACATCTTGGCTGTGCCAGTCGCATTCCGTCTTCCTGATTATATGATGATGTTCTGTAGATAGACTCGTGGTATGGGATTGATCAACGGGAAAGATTTGTTGCAATTTTTTTTTCTTTTTCTTTTTCTGCATCCGAATTGAGAGATAGCTCTTGGAGTGAAATGGCGGATTCTTCCTGCACTTTGATACCCCCGGGATAGCGAATCATCCAAGGATTCATTCAATCTTGAATTTTCAACTGTACTTGTTGTGAAATGGACATAGCAGTAGCTGCCGCCCTGCACACCATGCGAGCGTGTGTAATTCGTGAATATATATATATATATGCTTGATAATATCGAATCTTTACTCCTCCTCTTCCACCACTTCCTCTCCGTAATTCGCCTCCTCTTTGGCTTCTTGCGCCGATAGCAGCGAACGGCCCTGGGCTTCGGCAGCCTTTTTGTCCTCCTCCATCTGCGCAGTCAGAAACACGTTGATGTCGTTCTGCAGGGTTGGGACCAGGTTCCTCAGTTCTGCAAGATAGGCGACTTTGACCTTCGCGTTCTCGTGCGGGGGGGTTGGGACGGGTGCTGTGAGGGTGTGTTCGAAGGTGCGATCTAGCTGAGGGGCAGCGTAGACAGCGCGGAGGGTGACCTGGGGGACCATTTTGCGAGTGTAGTGTAGTGTAGTGTAGCGTAGTGTATTGAAGAGATGATTCTGTCCAGAAAGAAGGAAGAGAAAAGGGTGAGTGTGGTGTGTGTGTAAGTAGAGAGAATTGCAAATTGTGTGCACAGGGAAGGGAATTATTTACCAGCGGGGCGAACTAGTATGTAGTAGTATCTAGTATCTGTCTTGTTGATCGACGGGGAGCTGTAGAAAGAAATAGACTCTTCTTTCTTTTCTTTTCTTATTTTAAATAATTAATGAATTCCAGCTGAAGCCTGACCGGATATTAACCTGACTATGGCTGGGAATAAATGTCGTTGAACCGATCTCGATTACATACACAATCCCACATCTCCAGCTTCTTCTTCTTCTTCTTCTTCCTCCAATGTTGCGTTCCCCAGTTTCACCAGACCGCGTCCCTCCTCCTCATCGTCCCTCCCTTGATGGCGATTTGGACCGACCAGGCTCCTCTGGAAGTGATGCCTCGTCCGTATTATCAAATGTGACCGCCATCTCTGCAATCCAGGCCACCACCACCGCTTACAACCCCGGAACCTCCTCCCCCCTCCGAATCAACACCACCACCAATAACAACAACAACAACACCTTAACCAACGGCCTCGAGACCCCCCTCGGTCGTCCTCCTGCCTCCTCCATGCCGCACCATGACCCGCTTGGTAGAAAGCCGTCCGGACGCTCCATCCCGGCCGAGCTGCAGAGACGCTCCCGTCACCACTCGCAAGGCTTCTTCGAGCCATCCCTTCCGACCGCTTCTTCATCCGAGGCCTCCCTGTCCGCCTCCAGGATTGCAGCCCAGGCGGCTATGCTGCACCAGCAGCAGCAGTCGACTGTGCAGCTGGTCGGAAAACGCCCACCGACTAATCTAAACAGCCCGGATGATGGCTCGCGGAGCCGGAATGGAGCCAGCGTCTCCCCGCCCCCGCCCCCGCCCCCGCTGCTGCCCTCGACGAGTGCAGTGCCTTCGCTACCGCTCCCAGGCTCGGGGGGGATCGCTGCCGCTCAGCAGCAGAGCAGTGCCAGTAATGGGTTCGTCGCGGGACAGGCGCACGCGGCCACGGCGGCGGCGAATCTAGTGTTTTCGAGGACACCGGCGCTACCGCCCCCGGGGATGGACCCGGGCTCGTCGGAAAAGGAGTACAAGCAGAAAGGGGAAAAGTCGAAGATGAAGCTGTTTTCAAAGCCGAAGCATATCGGGATCAGTCGCGATAAGGACAGTGTCAAGGACCGCGGGCTGCCGTCGCCGAATAAGCTTGGTGGTCTAACGCGGATTGTCAGCGCGTCGACAACCAGCTTGGCCGACACGTTTCCCTCCAATAACTCGTCCATGTATAACTTGTCTAATGCCTCCGCCAGCACGGTTGTCCCGGCGGAGAAGCCGGTGCCGAATGAAAAGGACAAGGACAAGGACAAGGAAAAAGCGCATAAACACCATTTCCTCTCCCGCCAGAAGTTGAAACTGAAGGATAGAGACGACCATTATAATCTGCCGTTGTCGTCTGCGTCGAGCAATTCGAAGCCCTCGGATCCCAATGCGCCACAGTCGCTGTACTCTTTTACCCCGGCGTCCCCGAGCGCGACGACCACGACTTTTAGCAAGTCCGTGAGTGGATTGGATCTGCTGCACGGAGGCCGAGCGCTGCGCGAGAAAAAGAAGGAAGAGAAAGCGCTGGCGGAGTCGGAGCAGCTGGAATGGCTGGCGAATTCCACCGTCGCCGGGGGCGCATCGGCCGCGTTTGCAGGGCCGTCGTCGCTCGGGAGCACCGGGGGGTTAATGCCTGAAGCTGCTTTACGAGAGACTCTCCAGGGCTTTGGCCTCAACAATATGAGTCCCGAAGATGCCTGGGACTTCTTAAAGGCCAAACTGCTGGTGATCTTTGATGGAGAAGACGTGCGCATTGCAATCGAAGACCTCAACAAGTTGGTCCAGATCCACATCCAGCGCTGCGTGCAGAAACGGACGCCGACGGTCATTGTCGACGACCTGCGAGAGCTGCTGGAGGCCGGGTTCGCGACCTTGAACCATACGCTGAATGGCGTTCCCGATGAGAAGCTGGTTCCGCATCTGGTGCAAATCTGGATGCTGGTGTTTGGGACCATTCTCCCCTTCATTCAAGCGGTGTTCCTACCTCTCGACCTCGAGTTTAAAGGATGCGGGTCCGTGATGAACCCGCGAGAGGCCCGCGAGTTTTGGAGTATACCGCTGGAGGATGAGTATTCGGGCTGTGAGCTTGAGGTACGAAATCTGGTTCTGGTGGCCTTCCGTGATATGGTTATCCTCCGGCGCTACGACGGCCTGAAAGCTACATTCTCGCGACTCAGCCTCGACAATATCAAACTCGGCACCTCCGCTCTCAGCGTGACAACCAAGAGTAGCAGCAACAGCGGACGCCCGGCAACGGCGGCCTCTCTTGACGGTGGCTTTGGCAGCTACAGCTCGCAGTCCTCGACGCTGCTGAACACAGCCGGCAGCTACTCCTCCGAGTCAATGGGCTGCTACAACCGGAGCCGGGCAGCGTCCAACACCTCCTCCAATCCCGATCAGCTCATCTTCCAGTCGTTTTCCTCGCCCTCGCAACAACGACCCACCATTATGCACCGCTCCGCCAGCGCAGCCGATACGTCGCACGTCATCACCGAGACTGTTGGCCGCATGCTGCAATGCGTGAGCGTGCTCGCCAGCGTACAAACCAGCGACGACGCGCAGGACAAGATCGAGACTCTCAGCAAAGACCTGAAGCACAACTGGCTTGGACGGGGACGGACAGGACGCGATCGACGGGGTTTCGTAGGGACCAAGATCCGCGCGCCGATTGTTGTACCGACGGAGAATGACGATTGCATGACTGATACTATAAACGAATTGAACTTTCATATACAAAATGGGCGTCAGGAACTGTTTCTATGATTTTTTATTTTTTTTTTTTTTTTTTCTTTTCTTTTTCTTTCTTTTTTCTCGATTTCTCCTCTTTTTTTTTCAATGTTGTGCTGTTCGTTATGTCTGGTACAGAACGGATTCTACATGGAAGGTACCTAGGTAGTTCACGGGCGAGTTTGGCTGGACTTGGACGGATTGAAATTGTTGTTACTAGATTGTACGTATAGCATGGCTACGATTCATATCTGAGCAGTTGCTACCGTAGAAATCTCCTATCACGAGCCAAGTCTCTGTCTCGGTTTAAACAAAATTCGATCCACCATGACAACCATAATCTGCAGACCTTAGATCCACTCAAGGAGACAGCAATCTTTCATGCCTGGTCGTTGTCGTCGTTGTCGTCGTTGTCCTCGGTTTCATCTCCAGCATCGGCAGCAGCAGCAGCAGCAGCAGCAGCACCAGTACCAGTGGTAGTACCCGTGGTAGTACCAGTAGCAGCACCCTTCCTATTCAACTCCTTGAACTTCTTCAGCAGCGCCGCAGCCGGATACTTGGTTCCACTCTCCTGTTCCAGCACCTCCGCGATCCTCGCCCACTTCTCTAGATCGAATCTGTCCTCGATATCTTTTTTGATTTTGAGAAAGCGGGTTGTCTGATACAGATCGATACTTGTTAGTTTGCTTTCTCTTCTCTCTCTCTCTCTTCTTTTTCTCTCTGTTTAGAGAGCCAATGTAGAGTAGAGTAGAGTACAGGTAAAGTAAGTAAGGTAAAGCAACTTACATCCTCCTCGGAAAGAGACACAAAATTCGCCTTCATGGTCTTATATCTCTTTTGGATGCTGGACACCCCCACCTGCACGGCTGTGAGATCGACATAGGCCTTGGTGATCTCGGCCCAGGGGCGCTTTTCTTCGTCGCGCATGCGCAGGATGAGGCGGTCTGCTGGGCCGGCGGCGTTGTAGGAGGTTGGGATTTGGGTTGATTTGGCAGTAGCGGTAGCGGTAGCAGTAGGAGCAGGGTTCTCCTTCTTGGATCGCTTCACTGGGGATCCCCTGGACTTTGGATTCGTGGACGAGCCTGGTTTCCGGCCGCGTTTGCGGGGTGTAGATGTCGCGTCTATCTTGCTGGGGGTGTTCTTGGGGGTGACGGTGAGGGCGAGGGTCTAGATAGATAGATAGATAGATAGATATTAGTATGATGGTCTGTGTTTTCTACCCAAACATAGAAAGAGAGTACCTACGTCTTGCTCCTCTGTAGTTTGTTCCAAAGTAGCAGAGGTATGTTCTGAGGGGTCTTTTGTGGTTCCGGTGGTGTCTTCGTCGGCCATGTCCATGGGGTTTATTGGTGTGAAGGCCATAGGGTCCTCCATGTCCATGTCCATGTCCATATCCATATCCATATCCACTGGATTGGAGTTGATGAGTACTTGGGAGGGAGAAGCGAGGCCAGGGCAAGGGACGTGTGATCAGCAGGAAGAATATGTAACACTGAGGTGTAGGTTCTTTACCTGTGAGAGTGAGGGAGTGTGAGCGAGAAACCGACACAGAGTTATAGCTGGCTTTTATAGTATGAGGGCATCTGATGTTGAAGATAGATGTGAGGAAGCTAGATATTGTACTATTCTATCTACTGGTCTCACTAGGGCCTTCATGACTTTCACTGCACAGTACTGCACAGTACTGCTCTGTATATGAAGATATTCGGAATGAAGCTATTCATACATACTTCCCGTATGCTGCTGCCAGACTTGCTCTACCGATTGTCGCTTAGCTAAGACTAACCGCTCGCCTTTTTCCAGTTGGCCATTGATTTAGAACCTAGTTCCCTTCTAAACTTGTAATGCATCGTACTCAAAAGTGAAGCGACGCCAATTTCCTTCGACTCTCCGCCCGATTTGAAACCCCATGGCAACAAGCAAGACCAACGCTATCTTGGAAACCCACTTCGCCCAGCCATCCACATGTCTGATATCCCCCTGCACTAGATTACTCTCTCGCCAGGGGTTCCCTGCTTCGTTAGCTGCTTCTGTGACTGGTCCTCCGTACGGACTACGGAGTGACAAAAGGTCGAAATAAATCCTAACCGGATAGGGGAAAAAGGTACTGTATCTGCACTAAATGTTGAGCTTGCCGTCAGCAGGGATGTTAACAGTTATTCGACCCGCGGCCCACTGCTTTTTTTTTTTTTTTCCTGGAACCTAGGGATCATTGATTCTGTGTAACAGGGGTTCCGGCAATTAAGGATGGTCTAGTCCTTTCCGCTCTCCTCTTCTCTTCTCCGTGTCTTGTCTTGTTCCTCCACATGCCCCGTTGTTGGGGGTTCGCTGGTGGATTCGCCGGGAAAATGTCGGTGACCAGAATCAGCTACAGTCACGGTCAACATAGGAAGAGGTGAGATTAATGAAGGGATCACACACTCACTCACTCACTCACTCACTCACTCACTTTCTTCCTTTCTTTTAACGAAAGAGAAAAAAAAATTCCCCGGGGAGGTGGAGGAGAGGAATAGACCGAGAGTGTGCACGGAGGGTAGTCAGTAAGTACAGAGTCGTGTACAGTTCAGGTATCTTAGAGTAGGTAGTTAGTGATTGAATATCAATTCCAGTTCTTCAGTAGATGTGAGAGTTGAAAGGAGTATCAGTAGAAAAGCCTGGTTTAGGCGGAGATTGTCGAGAAGAACGAGCAAAGAAGGGCCGACATGCATTGTAGGGCCACAAGACACTATCATCATCATCATCATCATCATCATCATCATCAGGATATGCATATCATCAATCACATTACCCTTGTGTCAGCCTGATGGTCAATCAAATTTACGATTCTTGAGAAGCTAAAATAAATTCATAAAAGGAGAGTCATCTGCTGCTCTGCTCTTCTTCTTTTTCTTTTCTTGTAGGTATCGTCCTTCCTGTACACACCGCCAGAACAACTTCTTCTTCCCTTCCCATCCACCAATCCACGCCTGCTGTTTACACGCAAGGCAACCCTCTCAGAAATCGTATTTGAAGTGCGTCTGTCCTCCCCCCTTCCTGGTCGTTTTTTCTTTCGTCTTTCTTTCTTCCCGTCTCCTTGATTTCGGGAGAGCTTCCTCCCTTTGACTCCACTTCCTGGATCTCCAACTACACCTCACGGTAGCTATATCTTCTACTTCTCTCCCAGCTGGAGAATAGAATCTACTCATAGTCTCGTGGGCGGGGGGAAAAAAAAAATATCTATAATGTCTACTGCTTCTCCCCTACCCGGGTCTAACTCTACCGCAGAGCACGAGGCGCACAGAGATCCAAGCGCAGCCCCGGGGCCAGTACTAAGAACAGCTCCACAGCGGGTCCCTTCTCCGGCGCCTCAAGCTATGGCTGATTCGAACAATCCCACCGCCGCCTCCGCAGATACCAAGCACGAAGCAGAGCCCGCGACAGACAATAACACCGTCAAAGTGGAGGCGAGGCCCTCTGTCTCTGTCTCTGTCGCGGAAAATGCCCCCAAGAAATCCTCTTGCAAGAAGCATCCGGGAAAGGATCAGGACCCCAATGCTCGGAATCGTGATTCCAAGAAATCCTCTCGCAAAGCTGGCAAGGCATCTTCAGTAGTAACCCCCAGCGATGATAGTTCCTCCGAGCTCAGTTCCTCCGAAGCTTCGAGTGCCAGTGAATCCGCGTCAGAGGATGAAGACCTCTCGTCGAGCTCCGAAGAGTCAGAGCTGGGGAGGAATGCCCGGCGGAGGCGGACAAAGGCCAAGGCGAAAAAGGTACAGAAGCGGAGCAAAAAGAAGAAGTCCAAGTCGCGGTTACAGACAGAGTCAGAGTCAGAATCTGCCGCGGAGGATACGGCGCAGGACGATGCCGCGTACGATGAGAAACAGCTCAGGAAGCTTGTCAATAAGCTCAAAGCAAAGAAGGCTAGGATGCTGGTTTCCAAGGAGGACTCCTCCGAGGACCAGCAGTTTGATGACGACGATGAGGATATGGTGGAAATGTCGCTTGCGCTTGCCAAGGAGAAGCTTAAGGCGAAACAGGCCGACGGAAAACGTATCAAAAGTCGCCGGAGGAAGAGTCTCGGCGAAACTCAGTTGGACAACCAGAAGGGAGGCTTGCAGAAGCATAAGGGGAAGAAGAAGGCTGGCTCAAAGATGGCATTTAAACGAGTTGATCAATGTGCGTCCGTTTTCTCTTCTCCCCTGAGGCGCAGACAAATGTTCGCGAACCACAAACACTAACCCAATGACTCGGCTGCCTAGTATGGGATAATACGATTCACAACTTCAAACTCACAGAAACTGTGGACGATCCGGATGCAAACGAGTGGGACCAATATCTGTTTACGGTACGCCGCAAGTTTGACTGGGACAATAAGTACATGGAAACGGTGGTGGATCTAAAGAGTAAATATCTTCGGGATGCGCTAGGCAAGGTCATGGACGGTGTCAAGGGGGTCAGCTTGGTACAGGAGACGGCGGTTGTGGATCCAAATATGCTCTTTTTGTATCTCGAGGAAACCCGCCAGTACATGAAGGAGCTCAGGCAACAGGCTAAGACGGAGAAGAAAAAGAAAGCAAGGAAAGCCGCAGCTCTCAAGGCCAACCACCTGAAAGTCCTTATCAAGTACCTGGATACAGATTACTCGGAGACCAAAAAGACTCTCTACCCTCTGCTGGAGGCCAACACTATCACTTTTGATCTTCTATGGGCCTTATTTAAACCAAACACCATCGCATATGCATCCACATATGGGAACCAGGATGAGCCACGTGCGTTCAAAATTGAGTACGCTACCAAAGAATCCTCCTTCATGAAAGGTCAATGGTACAGTATCGAAGGCCGCTATCTCGAATACGACGGAAAGTCCTTCGGGATGGGGACCATGGCCGCCGAAGTGGAATCTTTCAAGGGGGCCCGCAAGATCACCAGCTTAGGATGCTATCCTCTGAAGTATCACCGAGAGGCCGAAGAAATCAAGCTCAAGCTCATTGAACGTGGGAAGAAGTTTGTCGCGATGAGGGGAATGAATTACCGCTTCCACAAAGGGATGGCCTTCTACAAAAAGAAGCGCTCCGTCATCAAGGTCAACATCAATGGACGGGTTATGATCGATCCAGCAATCCACCGGCGTATCAACCCCAACTACCCCATCAGTACGGTCCGACCTAAAGACCCCGACTTTCTGGGCGGGTCTGATAATGACGGCAGCGACGATGGGTGCTGCTGTATGTCCGGGTCAGACTCAGATCAACCCGGTGCAACACGTCTTGATTCAGATACCCCTCAAGTCAAGTATAAGGTGGTTCGCGACAAAGAGGGTCGTCCCCGAGTCATTGAGGTCGAATTAGACGAAAACGGCAACGAAATTCAGAAGGAGAGCATGGATGAAGTCGCAGACCCCTCGGATCGCGACTTCACCGAGGAGGAGCTGCTCATCGCCAGTCCTGTGGTCCTAGGCTTTGCCTTCAGCGAGAAACTCTGGTTGGAATTTAGTATCTCCGGCATCAGCGAGATCGATTGGAACGAGGATGCGTTTGATTCGCTTGTCCTCCCCGAAAACCAGAAATCCATCGTCAAGGCTCTCGTCGAGTCCCATACATTCTGTGCCGCACAGAACATCGACGATGTGATCCAGGGCAAGGGCAAGGGCCTGGTGGCCGTTCTCCACGGGCCCCCAGGGACCGGCAAGACACTCACAGCCGAGGGTATCGCCGAGCTTCTGAAGCGTCCCTTGTACATGGTTAGCGCTGGAGAACTCGGGACCGATTCGCGGACTCTAGAAGCCGAGTTGAACAAGATTCTGGATATCGCCCATTCATGGGGCGCAGTTCTTCTCCTCGATGAAGCCGACATCTTCTTAGAGAAGCGCACAATCCAAGACATCCACCGCAACGCCCTGGTCAGCATCTTTCTCCGACTCCTCGAGTATTTCCAGGGAATTCTATTCCTCACCACCAACCGCGTTGAAACCTTCGACGACGCCTTCCAATCCCGAATCCACGTTGCACTGCGCTACGGTGATCTCACAACCAAGGCCAAGCGCAGCGTATGGAAAATGTTCCTGGAGAAAGTCCAAGCCATGGAGGGTGTACAGACTGCCAATTTCACAGAAAAGGACTTTGACATGCTCTCCCGCCACAATCTCAATGGACGACAGGTATGTAACCCTTCCCTCCCCTTTTTTTTTTTTTTTTTTTTTTTTTTTTTTTTTTTTTTTCGTCTACTGCTTTACTTCTCCTTGTAGCTTAATTAATTTACTGCCGTATGACATCCTTACTGATTATATCTTTAGATTAAAAACTCCGTCCGAACGGCACAAGCTCTCGCCGTTAACGAAAAAACACCATTGTCAATGGAACACATTAAACGTGTTCTCGACGTTGCCGAAACATTCGACCGCGACCTCCGCGGTGGAACTGGTTACATCGATGCCATGCGAAGCTATACTTGATCAGCATCTGCTGTAGAATGTCCCAACTTTGTTTCGTTTCGTTTGGTTTGATTGATTTTTTTTTTTTTTTTTTTTTTTTTGCTCCGCATTATGTATCCCTCTACTCATATATCTCCTCTCCGCTCTACCTCTCACTTCTGCCTTTTTTTTTTTTTTTCTTTTCCCTGTTTCTTGGCCTCTGATTCTTCAATACGTTTTGTGGGGATTTGATTTCTCCATCTGGTTGGTTTTGTTTCACAGCCCTATGTATTTGACTTGGGGGCTTTAAAGTTTAGGTTGAGATGCGGGAATGACTAAATGAACAGGCAATCGAGGATTTTTCTGGTTTTAGTATGTATACCATGAACGAAATGATATACTTATCTTATGATATTAGAATCAAGAATGAAAATTGATGAACTAGATACCTTCTCATTCGTATGGCTTGTGTATGAAAGAGAGTCTCATAAGGAGTGCACATTCTCCTAGTTGCATTATATGCGTGATGCTGGCCAAAATGTTCCCTCGATGATGCCCTTGTAAATTCTCAACAATATCTACTTTTCAACTCTCTCCCTCCCAATAATCATTTCTATCACACCGCCCCGCGGCTCTCTTTCTCTCATCTTCCCTTCGAATACTCTTCACATACTCATAAAACTTATGGCTAATATCGAGCGCACGCTGGAAGTGCGACTCATCTACAGCGATGGCCATTGTAGAGGGATCGAAGTCCGGATCTTCCTCACACTCCGTTTCGGCAAGCGTTATCGCTGTCTGCAGTGCATTGCGGATATCTCGTCCATTCAGTTGTGCTGTCCCGTTGAGTGCCATCTCCAGCACCCAGTTCTTCGCTCCTGGAGCAATTTGGATCTTGCCTGGTCGCTCCCTTGTGAGCTTGCGGAAGAAGCCGTTCCAGATTCTCTTTCGGTCTTCACCACTAAGTGCCTTATATCCGATTGCGACGTGAACTCGTGAGATAAAGGCATCGTCAATTTGACCTACCCGGTTCGTGGTGAGGAATAAAAGGTTTTTTAAATATTCCATACGTCTGAGAAATGCTGTTTGGTAGTGTAATGTCAGAATTCAAGCGCTTACCGGGGAGGGTTGTGATTACACGCAGGCGTCTCACCAGATACCAGTCCGTTTCTAGCTAAGTCTCGATTCTGTCTTCTCTCGAGGAAGATGTCCGCCTCATCAACTAGGAGTACTGCATTCCACGCTTCGGCCAAAGAGAACCATTTAAGCAGCTCGCTTTCTACGCGTGTCTCGATGGTGCCGATATCAGTGATGCTGAGAGCTAGCAATGGACGATGTAGCCACTCAGCTATGGCTTCGACGGTATACGTCTTGCCAACTCCCGGGGGACTAGTAATGGTCAATTCCTGACTATGGAGGCGCGAAATAATGTATCGGTGCCAGCTGAGCTTACCCATGGAGTAGAATTATCTGCCCGGTACCCTTTCCTTCAATAAAGTCTGCTGCCCAACTCTCTTGTATGTTGTTTTGGCGTTTGGCGAGCCTACAAATTGTTTTGAGATCATCCTCTCCTAGGACTAAATTATCAATACTGTCCTCTGATTGTACAATCTCGGAGACATAGTCTGCTTGGATCATCACTGTAGTTCATTCGTTGTCAGCCTCATCGCATTCAAGAAGAGCCAAAAAATCGAGAGTCTCGTACACCACTGTTTTGTCTTCAACGCGAACGCCCAGGCAATGGGGGAAAGGAGCAAAAGTTGATGATCATCCAGTTCCTTCACGTATTCTTTACCTTCGTGGCCAACGTTTAAGGTGTTAGCATTCACATTTGTATATTCAGAAAGAACGGCAGGCTCCGACCCACGTGTTCCATGGAAAGCCTCCCGAGAAGAAGACCTTCTCGGCTCATTGGCGAGTAGAGCTTGCTGCCGACCTGGAAGGTTTTCGGAGAAGAGTTCGGTATTTATCCCAGGATCATCGTTTAGGTTTGTGGATTCATTGACAATGATTCCATCATAGCCACAGAATTGGGGGCAAAAATCCCTCACCCGTCCAATCGATGGTGGCTGGCTTTGGGTACTGGATATCCCTCGCCTGTGATCAATAACGACAGGCCCTGCATACTGCATTTACATTAGAGTCAGTCCTGAAACAACGCGGCACTGATAAACACACTCACATATCGCGAACTATTGAAAACAGGGCCATCATGGCGCGCCAATAGAAATCCCTGTTGAAGCGCCTTGAATAGGTGACTACTACGCCTCATAATTGTCTTTCGGCGCTCTCCCTTGTCAAAGGCATCCCACACTGCAATGGGACATATATCTAAGCTTGTGATCTCTCTCAGTCCTGTGAAAGCTTCTATTCTACTTGTTGCTGGCGAGCGACCAATCTTCACGCCATCACTATCAAGGTACCATAAGTCAAGAACCCAGAGATTCACGATATTTTCGGTAGCCTGGACTCCATCGTAGTCCCTATAGTCGCGATCATCAAGGTTACTCCTAATATTAGAAATAACACAGGCATACACCACTCTGGGGGTACGGTAATAAACTGTTGTTCCGGGTCTGTAAATCCACCAGAGCATATCAAATGCGATTCGAGGTGCAGTGGTCTTGAGCTGTTCTTGGAGGGGTAGGATTTGGGCTTGATATTGGGGGTTTAAAAAGTCGTAGAGGCGTTTAAGATGCTCTATTTTGAGCCTAGAGACTTGCGGGTCATCTTGCTCCCGTTCGGATTCCTGATCCATCTTCTGTCTGGGTTGAATGTTGTTGGCAGTCGCTTCTATCTCGAGGAAGTGGTGCATTAGCACCGCATACGGCTCATAGATTGCGAAGTTTGAATTGACTTCAGAGCCCCTTTTTAAGAAAAGCTTGAGTAAATTGGCAGCCGGTAGCTCCATGTAAAATGACGGATAGTACCCTACAATATCTGAAAGTATGCAATAGAGAAAGGGTGATTTAATCCTGATCCCCATCTCTGACACACGATTGAATACGAGGGAACTATCGGCATTCTCTTTGGCCGGTGGGTTCGCCTTGCCTGTATTTCCAGATGGTTTCGCGGCGTCGGAACGAGGATGATGTACGTAGATTGATCGAGGTAATGGATGCTCTAAGGCACGAAAACACACTTCAAAAACAGCGCCGGTCCAGCTGACGTGATTCTGTTGCTCCCCAACGTTCTTTTTGTCTGAATTCATAAGTTCAGAATCCCCAGATAATGGTTGCAACTTATATTCCAGAGGGCGGTCATCGTAGTAAATAGCCCTAGGTTCATCTCTTGAAGATTGCTTCCCATGCCGAGCCCTGTAAATCCTAGCTTCCCAGATAACAGGAGGATTACAGTCCTGGCTATACTGCTGTCTTTCCTCGTATAGCCGACGAATAACGTGTCTAGGCGTACGATAGGAAAAGGAATCCCGCACTGTACTCGGCTCTCTTATTCGATTCTTAATGATCCTTGGGGTATTCCAGGTCGAGTCGTCAGAATCTGGGTCTGTGGATTCAGATGATGCAGAGGAATATTCTCGTTCGTTTTTCCCCCGTCGCGCTAGATTTTCTTTGCTTCGTCTAGTACGCTCTCTTGAGGGAGGAGATGGTGGTGGGCTCTCGGTCGTAATCAAGGGCTCACGATCGGACTGTGGCGGTAAAGTGGTCCTCGGTGTTTCTGGTGGCTGCCCGCCTTGTGGAAATTCAGACTCCATGGCCGTAACTAGTTTTTTGGAGCAATATCCGTTTCATGGAGGAGGGAAATTGGCCCATATTAGTACTCTCCGAAGCGCCAGAGGTCAGGGTACGTTGCAGGCTGCTGGACCACGAAGGAAGCCACCAATCGGTGGCACCCATGGCTTATGAACTTCATAGTCATATAAGACACCTAAAATAGCACCAGCTTATTTTAGCCTAGTCATTATAAGTTTGCCTTGCAATTAAAGAGCAAGGTAGGTTGATGTGCATATGAGAACGAGCTGCCTATTGCTCAGCTTGCGTTGATTTTTTGGTATAGAATTTGCAACCTAGCCTCACGAGCAGGAATTAATGGCCAAGGGTGTTTTCGAACATATTCAGCCTCGTTGGAGATTTCTGCGGGCTAACCTACTGGTAGGCTGCTGTCCCTCTTTCCCGATATTCCTCAGCCTTTGGCGTGGGATTATCCGTCCCACTGTCTAGTATAGACGGACTTACCTGTACAAATCATATCACAGTATGGAAAGAGCCACCGAGAAATCCCAAGATCATCCAGGATTATTTCTCTTCGTAAAGCGGGGTCGGGCGCGTATGGGTGTTAGAAAGAGAGACAAAAGAGGGGCGAAGCACTTGACATACCCCAAAAGAATGACAATATGGCGTACTTGTGTGCGAACTACCTGAATCGCTACTACAGGCAAACTGCCAGATTCCTGTAGGTAAAATGAGGCTTGTTAGAGAGAAATGCACCAGGGACGGACATACGGAGTAGCTCTCTAATCGAGCTGAGCAAATCCTGGCCTGATTTCCAACCGTCATACAGTAGGTCCTGCTGGGATCTTCTTTCATATATCACTGGTAGAAATAGAAATGGCAGCCTGTACAAGTGATGAGCCTGGGACAAGCAACTGGCTTGTATCGAGCTTCAATGATGATCCTCAGGAAAAGGGGGCTGCGGATACCCTAAACCGAGGCCTGGCTGCAAAGATGGCTGTGGAGAGATACCGGGAGGAGGAACCTCTCTCCTTACGAGATCAATGGAACCTATTTCTCCAGGAGGCACATGAAATGGCCATAGAGTATGTGGTAATCCGCTTTACCCGAATATCAATAACAACTAACGATATTGTAGCTCGGTTCCTGACGACGAGGTGCTTCTATTAAAACAAAGCCAAAAGCTCTACGCTTCATGGAACAAATTCTGCAAGCAATTACCTGACGAGAAATCTCAAGAAATGACCAGCCAGATCCCCAGTCTTCGATACTTGTTTCAAACGATAGAAGCGGCATCGAAGACTTGGGACGAGGACAAGGACACAAAGAATTTTGGAAGGATAAAAAAGACATTTGCAAAACTGTGTGATAACATGAATGATCACAAAGCTTTACTCTCTATAATCCCTACCAATGACAAGTACGTAAGCTTATTGTCGGGTTCTTTGACTGCTATTGCCCAGGTCAGTATCCTCTTCGGGGTAATATTTGTGAAGATAAAGATTAACCCAACATAGGCCTCCATGAATCACCAAGAAATAGCAAATGGAGTTGCAAACAGCCTGGAGGAACTGAGTGAGGATATTGCTTACTGGTCTAGACTCGTGCAGGATAGCGGCAATCCCAAGAAGATATATCGCTATGTTCGAGAGCTCTATGTGGTTGTATTCGAGTTCTTGACCGAAATATTCAGCAAATGGTCTAAATCTTCCTGGAAAAGGTGAGGGTAAATCAATTCGCTTTATCACTCCCTGTATTAAAGCCCTTTGTCTGTTATTTTGGTTCTATGCAGTGCCATCTTAATAAAGAGCATGTCCCGCCCTTTAAATAGACCTACTGACCCTTGTTTTGTCTTTGGTTTGCATAGGTTTCTAACTAGCTTCGACGGAAACGCATTTGATAAATTATTCAACGAGAAGCGAACCCGAATGCGAGCAATCGAGCAAAGGATGCAGCGGTATATAGATTTGGATTTCAGAAAAGGCGTGAGTCAAAAATTAGGCGAAATCGAGGCTGGATTCCGAAAAATGTATCGCGATCAAGAAAACACAGTTGTGGATCAGCGGAACTTAATGATGGAGCTTGGAGCTGATGTCCAGCGGCTTCTCGACCAGCGCCTTGGTGGTCTTCCTATGGTCGGGCTTGCTGAAGTGAAAGATACTTCGCTACCAACTTCGACTTCGACATCGATGTTGGCCATCACAAACTCAGCAGTCCCACTATCGATGTCCGTAGTCAGTCCTGGTTCACGCATCCATAGCAAACACAACGAGGAACCCTCGGATATAGGGGAACGAGAACATAATGCGGGCCATCGCTACATCAAAAATGAGATTGTAAAACTGCTTAACCCGCTGGCAGATAAGTATGGGCAAGACATGAAGATAGTGACGGCCACTACATCCCAAGCCTCCCAGGCCATGATTAACATTCGGGTCAAAAACAACATCACCACCTGGATTAGGTCAAATGAAGACGAAAGTCTTTGGATTCAAGGCCCACATGATGTGTCATGTCCTAGTCTAAACACCTTGACCGCGGTGTGTCTGGTGGCACTCTGCAATCAACAGAAGATCCCGTCTGTATCATACTTCTGCGATCTGCGAATAGAGGAGTTCTCCAAAAGCAAAGTATTCGATCAGGAGCAAGAACTAATGGCCATGCTAAAATCATTGCTCGTCCAGATGGTTCTGGTGATGCCGGACGTTGTCGATAGCCGACTAGATTTCTCGCAGGCACGATTCGAAAAAGTTTTACTAGATTCAGTCTCTTTTGACGATATTCTTCAATTGCTCTGTGATTTGCGGTGCGTGAGCCCGCCTTATCTACACTGTGTTATCAGCGGCATTGAGGCTCTCGAGGATCGAGGTAACAGGGAGTACACGAAGACGTTACTCAGAATGCTTCATGGAATCACCAGCATGCACAGTAGCGTCGTTCCTTCAAGATCAGGTAGAGGATTCGAATTACTTGCCAAAGATACGGAGCATCCTCGACCGCGAACGACAAAGATATGTTTAACAACCAATGGCTATGTGGACACGCTTGCACAACTCGTGGGAGACGACCAACTGCGTAAGATCGAATACTCTCAAGAAGCAGGAGAGTCGCTTGATGATGAGAGTGTTTCTGTGATGCGGTATTGGCATGATCAGATAGATTAGGAACACAATTAATTGGTGTACTCGATTGCGTCCTTTTCTTACTCTGGATTGTTGTCTATTCCTATTTCAGCTGTCATACATACGTCAGAGCTTCCGAGGTCTTGACGGGCTGCCTGACGCAAGGCGTGTTTTGGCCTTCCTTGTTCGTAAGAAAGCTCCCATCCCTGTCCCGCCAGTTCCGAGCTATGTGCGGGAGGTAATTAATATCCACAATTTAATAAACAAAAAAGAAAGGAAAGGGCGAAGAAAAAGAAAGAAAAAGAAAAAAAGGAAATGCCCCCACCCAGGATCGAACTGGGGACCTCAAGATGTCACAAACAGTCAATCCTGTTATCAGGATTGTCATATCAAAGTATGAGACTTGCGTCATAACCAACTAGACCATAGAGGCGATGGAGATTTATTCGTCCTTAATTGCATTATAACCTTACCTGGTACAGAACCAGCAACCTACCGAGGAAATACCGCCAACCGCCAACTCCGTACAGTACAAAGTATAATTCCTCCTTTTGTGCTTAACGCTCCCGAAGTCTTCCTGTCTACTCCGTACAGAATATGGTACGTACTGTATGAAAAGGAAAGGCGCGGGACAAGTGGCTTCGGCTTTTGATCGGTCAACCCATCATCGGCCTTAGTACGGAATGGAGTGGCTGGAAATTACGAATTTGGGTAATGTGGAGCGCATCATTCCGGGTTCAGTTCGTCCCACTGGACGTAACCTTACAAGGTACGACTACTAAATCCGGCTTTTTCTAATTGCAAAGATTACGCATTGGACTCTCTTCTCATAAGTCGTAATTACGATTTGGATTCCATATTCGGTTGTAGGAAATACATGTCATCTCATCTCCCGATCACCGATTTCCCTTGAAGCCGTGGCTTCCACCATAATAGCTGCGCTCCTCCGATGTAGTAGTAGTCGATGTGAAATGGGAAGTGTATACGGGGGGTAAATAGGTCAATGACTAAGGACTGTTATACAGGGAGGAACACCGCCGCAAAGCTTTCACGTTTGAACTGCATTTAAGGGTTGGCCTTAACAAAGTCGACACCTAAAACAAAAATTAGTCAATGATTTAATGTTGACAGATCTACGCATATTAACATACCCTTCTTGATGTTCTTCTTGAGGTCGCCGAGGCAGGCCTCGAGGAGACCCTGCTCGTAGGTGTTGATCTCACCGACGGGGTGGATCTTCTCAACACCGTTGGGGCCGAGCTCGACCCTGGATGCGAAGAACTCGATGCCCTGGTCCTTGTACAGAGGGCTGTCGACGAAGGTGGGCTCAATGACACCCTTCTCACCCTGGGCAGCGCGGAGGAGGGACTCAGCGAAGCGAGCACCAGCCATGGCCATGGAGAGAGTGGCGGAACCAGCACCGTCCTTGGCCTTGACGACCTCGTCACCACCGAACTGGATGCGGTTGACCAGAGCGTCGCGAGTGGCACCCTCAATCTGGGGGTGGTTGGACTGGGAGAGCAGAGGAACGATGGTCACGCCAGAGTGTCCACCAACAACGGGAACAGCCTCGCCAGAGGGGTTGGTCTTCTGGACCTGGGAGATGAAGCGAGAGGCACGGACAACATCGAGGGTGGTGACACCGAAGAGGCGCTTGGGGTTATAGACACCAGCAGCCTTGAAAACCTCAGACACAATAGGGACGGTAGAGTTGACCTAAAGATAAAATTAGCTACGATCCCCTCTTTTTTTTTTTTTTTTTTTTTTGCGCGCAAGGTGGATCCATACGGGGTTGGAGATGACGAGGATGTTGGCCTCGGGGGAAGCCTCAGCGGCAGCCTTGGCAAGGTCGCGGACGATGGAGGCGTTGGTGTTAAAGAGGTCTATGAAGCGATCAGTTCCCATCTCAACATAGTGTCAACAAGTCGAAGATGCCACCATACCATCACGGGTCATGCCGGGCTTGCGGGGAACACCGGCAGGAATGAGGACGATCTCGGAGTCCTTGAGGGCAGCACGAAGGCCGGAGGGGGTAGGATCATAGCCAGTGACGGTGCTGTTAGTGTTGATGTGGCTGAGATCAGCAGCAACACCTATACAATTTTTTCGAATTAGTCCAGTTCGCCGCATATGAAGCGACTTCTATTGAGACATACCAGGGCCACCGCGGATATCGTAAAGAGCGAGCTCCGAGACACGGGGGTTGAGCTTCAGGAGAAGGGACAGAGGCTGTCCAATGCCACCAGCAGCACCAAGGACAGTGACCTTGGAAGCCTATGGATTGCGACAACAGAGGGTCAGTACACTGCTGAGGTTTGGGGAGAGAAACCTCCGAGGCATGAAGCCAGAAACGCAAAAGAGCTGGTGAAGGTGCACACACCTGGCTAGCAGAAGCCGAGAAGGCACGCTTCTGGAGGACACCGAAAGACTGACGAGCAAACATGATATCTGATGTATAGTAGACAGATAAATAATTCTATCTGAACGAGATAAAGAAGGGGACAAAGAACAAAAGACAATTGGGATGGACAGGAAGAAGACAAAAGGAAGAGAAGAGAGAAGAAAGAGAAAAGCCGTTTGTTGCCGGTGAGAAGGAAAAAGGGCTTGGGAGCGGTTAAATCGCTCCGTTTCCGATCTCCACGGCAGCCAACGGAACCTCACCTCACTTGGACCGGGTTATTACTCTTTTGCGTGTTTTAGGTACAACCTAGTTTTGTTTCTGGCAAAATGCATGGATGATTTTCTCACATATGAAATACTTTAATTTGGAATCTGGTATGGAAACTATACATACATCCTTCCATTTCTTGATGGGAACAAAAAGTAAAGGTGATATCATGGCCAAAGCAATCCAACTGAACGCCTGCGCTGGTAACCAACTCGAGCAATGTCAACAATACACAAGAGCAGAAGCAAATTGCTGCTAGTACAGATAATGAGTAACCCCTACGAAATAAAACTGCCCTAACGCTACCTCAAAAAGTGCAACACAGTCCAGCAGAAGAGAAAGAAGAGAATAACTCCACCCCAGAAAATCCACTTATCCTGCTTCGCTCGTCGTTCGACCTTCCGAATCGTCTCCCCGCTTACTCCTAGCGTGTTCGCAACACTATATAGGCGACGCTGTGTTCCTTTGAGTACTTCGCGCTGCTGTCCAAGATCCGCAAGTACGGCCCGACCGCGATCGATGAAATCATCGATCTGAGAATGCGTAGATCCTATGAAAGACTGCTCCCGAAGCGCATGCGTCTCTCGGTTATAATCTGCAGATGGACCTCCGAAGCCGGCCCCCGGCCGAGATGAAGAAGGCGCAAATGGGGAGGCATGCGAAGCTGAGGGTTGAGCATATGGGTTTTCGGGTGTAGATGTGTGGTGTGGACGTCGACCAAGAAGTTCGTTGCGATTCGTCACAGATTGCTATGTGCCAAAGAAACGGAATTGGTTAGATTGTCTGAGTGGGATGTAGAAAGGTTAGGAATGGGGGAGTATCAAGCTTACCGCGCTCTCTCTCTCCTTCCGTAGTTGATCAAAATGGTTTCGGTAGTCTTGAAGCTCTGCTCTGAAATTCTTGACTCTCTCAAACGCTTTTTCTTGCTTCTCCGGGATCAATTCTCGTTTAGATAGCGCAGAGTAGTCATCGATTGTGCGTGATAATGACGCTAGGGATGCTGCGATTTGACCTGCAGGGCATGTAAGTATCGTTCATGCCTGAAAGCCATGTACATATAATAAGAACTCGGTCATGAAGGTAGAGACACACCTTGCAGCGCTGCAGAGGATGTCGCCGGTGACTGTGAGAAGGTGTCCAAATCGCGGCGGATAGCCGAGGATTGCTTGAGAGCAGAGTTGAAAAGGGAATTCTATAGAAGGTACATTCAAATTTCCAGTCAGTTATACGTCAAATTTTTCTTTCCAAATAAGAACAACACACCATCTTTTGAGGAGCTAGGCGTGGTATTCCAAGGTTGGGGGGGTGTTTGAAGATGGATGTATATCACAAAGAACGATGCAGTGACTGCTAAAGAAACCGTGATTGAAAACTTTTGGCTGAGAAACTCATCCCAATAATTAATCGGCGTCTAGAGATCAGATCAGCGACGTGTTCGAAGTAGATGCTCGGCAAGTAGTATCCAACAGCGTCCAAATGATGCTAATTATAATGATAGGCCACACATGTCTCTTGCGGTGGCCACAATTCTGACATCGCCGACCGCCTTTATTTCCAGTACTCACCAAACAACTCCTATCGTGCAAGTCTTAATTCTCGGCCTCGAGTATCTTCTAGCTCATACCTGCCTGCTCCTTTTATTATTTGTGGGAGAAATTACCATCAGATTGAATGTATTCTACTTCATCATGCTTTGAAATCTCGAATGAGGGGGTCACAGAAGGATTTCACTCACGTCAAACCCACACTATATATTTGGCGTTGCTCATCGGCAAATACATATCTAAAGGACCTGATGGTAAACCTCAAAATGGGTTCCCATAATTATTATGGTATCATGTGCCGAAGAACGGGAACCAATCCTCCCAGGAGAGGGAGCAACGAAGGAAGCCAGAGTGTCCATGTGGAATAAACACTCTCGGGGTTTGCAGGGTCAGGTATTATACAGATCTGCTACGAGGACCAATACGTCCTTATCCCTGTGCTACTACCCGCAAACCTTAGGTAACTTCTGAAAGCAGAGGATACCACGGGAGGTAGTAGTATTTTACACCAACGGTAGATTCATCGAATATCCCTGCAATAAGATAAATTTCAAAAGAGCTCCGTGCTTTCACCTTTATCAATAACTAGCCTCAAATCCTCACTACGCTCGGCGGCTTGCATATTAGTATAATAGCTACTATATTAATGCAAGTATAGAAGTTAGAATTAAAATAGGTATTAAAGTAGATATTAAAGGAGGTATTAGCAGGTATTGAAGCAGGTATTGAAGCAGGTATTAACTAAAACCTATATAGATATTAAAGCAAATATTAGTAAATATTAAAGCAGGTATTAAAGCAGGCACTAAAGTAGGTATTAAAGCAAGTTCAAGTAGGCATTCAAGTAGGCATTCAAGTAGGCATTCAAGTAGGCATTTAAGTAGGCATTCAAGTAAGTATTAAAGCAAGTATTAGCAGGCATTCAAGTAAGCATTCAAGTAGGCATTCAAGTAGGTATTAGCATGGTAATATTAGCATGGTAATAGCTTATAAAAATAGATAATATAGGAATCTCTATAGCTAACAGGTTAACCAACATCCCCAGGTTCTATAGCATGGAAAAGATGGCCCTGCGGGCCATAGTTCTTCCGAACCGCCAGCGCGCGTAGAACTCAGCACGGTGTACGGGTCATACCACGGGTGTTTGAGGGGGACTTTCATATATTATTTAATGATATTGTGTCTAGTGCTGCAAATCAGGTACTAACACGGGACTATTCACTTGAAGGTTAAATATCATAGATTTCTGAAACATCTGGATGATTTGAGAGTTAATAAATGGCATCAAAAAAACTAGAAGTGCACCAAAGCGCCCAACACTATATATCCATACACTCCGACATCAAGGCAAAAGGATGTATGAAGTATCTGAAACAAAGATCGACTGGGACTATCCAGCGCCTTATTTAGGGGGATACTTGTTCTGGAGAAGCCATCTAAAGAAAACAGTGTCAGTAAGAATCTATCAATCTATCAGATCCTAAAATCAGAAACCGGAAAAGCTCACTTGCTGACAAAATAGTCGACTGCACCAAAGGCACCGACAGCTCCTGTCCAAAGACCAACAACCTGCCACGACAGCTGGCCCTCGACGTGCTTTCTGTACGCACCAAACCCAAGCCCTGCACCTACAAGCGCCAGGAGAGCAGCATTTCCAACAAAAACGGGGTTGCCCTTGTTGCGACTCACGCTCGAGGTGGCCTTCGACTTCGGCTTCTGCTTCTTCACCCGGGCTTTTTGGGCCTCTGCTTCCTCTCTTTCTATACGTTCAGCCTGAGTAGTAGTTTTGACTTCCTGTTCCCGGAAATTGGAGTCCACTGCTGTAACGTGCGGAGAGTCAACGTCAATCAGGGAGGCGGTACTTTCGGACTCGTCCTTGTAGACTCGGTCGACTTGGGGGGCGCGGCTGTAGTGGACCCAGTTCGTTAGCAAGAAGGATAAGAGAAATAGTAGCTCTAGGGTTTGACTTACGCCTGTGGTTCGAGTTAGCAGGTTCTCAGCGGGTTCTGGAAGCTTTTTATTACGAAGGGGGTGCAAAAGCGTACCTCATCCGGAGATTGCTTGGGCCCTTTTGCAGCGGCTTCAGCGTAAGACATGTTGTAGATTTCCGAGGAGGATCAGGTCTGCGTCAAATAACTAGATTGTAGATTTCATCAGTAAACAAAGTTCGTGAACTGCCTCAAGGATGACATGCCGGGACACTTACAGAATCAGAGGAGATATGGACAGTTAAACCAGGGTGCACGAAATTCAAGTTATACCGAGGAGAACAGAACATCCAGAGAAGGTTTTTGGAAACGGTGTCATGTGCATTTATACAAAAAGCTACCTTACATTCCAACTTGAAAGTTGGCACGACAGTGATGTCATTGATCAGTAGATAGTGGAGTTAGCACATATTGCCAAGGCTCGCGACCAGAAAAGAAGGCTTGAAGACATTTTCAGTATACTACCTGGTAGGCACTACAGGTACTGACGTTCGCTTAAAGTACCCTCGCCCGCATGTGGTCCTAGGTAATGGCTTTGGTGTAGGGTTGGGTCGGACTACTACCTCAAAAGCAGCGTAGCTCACTCTCTACGCATGAACAAGGATTATCGCATTTCTAAAACACAAGAAAGGGCTGGAATTTATAAAGCTGTACTTAAGGGCCGGATTGGCCAAATAATGATTCGGGGGGTTTTTAATACATAATAAGACAAAGCCAGTTTGGATATCCGTGTCGGTACGCTGGCGCACCCATTTATTCGGGATTCAAATCAGGAATTGCACATTTAGAGAAGGAGTTCCAGAGGGTTCTCAATAACCTTCTTGAGCTCCTTAATCCACTCAGCACCAACAGCACCATCAACAACCTTGTGATCGAAGCTACCAGTCACAACAATCTGGTCATCCCACTCCACAGAAGTGCCTTCTTCAGTCTCGACAGGAACAGCAACCTTGCGGGTAGTACCAACAGCCAGAATACCAGCTTGAGGGGGGTTGATAACAGCAGTGAATCGCTCAACAGCAGGGTTCATGCCCATGTTGCTGATAGTGAAGGTACCACCCTGGTACTCCTCAGGCTTGAGCTTGTTGTCGCGAGCACGCTTGCCGAGATCCTTGATCTGGTTAGAGATGCTAGACAGACCAAGACCCTGAACATTCTTCACAACAGGGGTAATGAGCCCGGAAGGAGTAGCGACAGCAACACTGATATCAACAGCCTTATGCTGACGGATAACAACCTGGCCACCCTCCTCGCGCCAGCTAGAGTTGACCGCAGGAACCTTCATGAGGGCCGCAGCACATGCCTTGACAAGGAAGTCATTAACGGAAAGCTTGTACTGGCCGTCAGAGGAGGCGTTGAGGGCCTGGCGGAGTTTCAGGAGCTTGGTGACAGATAGAGTGGTGGAGACGAAGAAATGAGGGTTTTCCCTCATGGACTGTTGAAGGCGGCTGGCAATGGTCTTGCGCATCGATGTGAGAGGAATGTCTTCGAAAGCGGGTTCGGCGGCGGCAGACGTGCTAGGCTTGTACTTTTCAACATCCTCCTTGGTGATCTGGCCACCCCGTCCAGTACCCTTAATAGCCTTGATTGGCACACCCTTCTCGAGAGCCAAAGCCTTAGCGGCAGGGCTGACAGACGGCTCGCGGTCAAGACTAGGCTGGAGCTTCTCGCCAGAAGTGTCGGGCTCGTAAGCCGCAAGCTCGGAAGCAGGTGTTGAAGGCGCAGCAGGAGTTTCCTTAGGAGCCTCCTTGCTTTCCTGTGCGGCAGCAGCAGCGGCTTCCTCGCCAGCATCCGCCAGGCTGAACGATTCGAATGCGGAAACATCAGTACCTTCTTCAACCAAAACAGCGATAGGCTGGAATTGCGTGGTCAGCATATATAATTTAGCCGGATTGGATCCAAAAAACACTCACAGCGCCAACAGACACATCTTTTTCGCCAGTCTCCTTCAGAACCTTAGCCAGGACACCCTCGTCCTGGAATTCGAAATCCATTTGCGCCTTATCGGTTTCAATTTCGACCAGGACATCACCAGGTTGCAGAGCGTCACCGGCCTTCTTCTGCCAGGCTCCGATGTTTCCAGCAGACATAGTTGGCGACAAAGCGGGCATACTGATGATAGTGTGAGGAGGGAAAGCTGTGTTTCAATCTGTCAAAAACGGTTGAACATTTTTATGTAGGGAGAAAACAGGCAAATGCGTACTCTTGGAAGCATAGTAGCGAGAGAGCGCAGAGAGCGCGGGCAATTGAGGTCTGTAACATCGAAAGCCAGCATTAATATCCATGTATCCAAGGGAAAGGGGCCAGAAAAATGCAAGAACACGTACTGAATTGTGGCCGTCAAGCGGTAGGCGGCCTGCGGTCGCCTCAACGAGGAGACGCCTTTTGAGAGAAACATAGCGCTGGGAGTGCGCATCCTAACAGCAGAGGCAACCATAGCGCCTAGATGCTGTGGTTATTATACAATGGAGGGGAGAGGGATACAAATTAGGATGAAGAATGACGGGTGGAAGAACAAGTTTGTCGGAAACAAGTTGAGAGAACTTGCAGCTTCTTGGAACTTTTCCGTTGAGCTTTCCCGGTGAGCGATCGGAGCGCACTGGCCGATGACTTGTTATGTAAGCATGCCATTGCGGGTTAGGCGTTAACGGGTGTCCGTATAATATCTCCGGGAAAGACACGCATCAAGTTACCATGAGCTCATGAAAACATTCCTCTGCATACGTCTGTTTTCTACGTTAGTTTTTCCATTGATTTCCATGTGGACCTTCCGCCTGCTTGGGTCTGGAAACTCCACACGGAGTCTCTCATAATGGCCGAAATCGAGAATGGCTCTGCAGCTGAGCCAACCCAAACATCTATGCCGCAGGCAGACAACAAGGAGAATGGGGTGAATGTATCTACAAACCCACAGACTCCGGAAGATGTTGTGGAGTCGAAACCAACTTTACCAAATGAATCAGAACGTCAAAGAATCGAGATAGAAGATCCGGAAGTGGACACCATGCCGCCAGATCAATTGGAATCCGATGAAACAACCTTGTCCCCAAACCAACCCTCCGCGTCCCCCAAGGATACCTCTCAGCCGCGGGAATCCACGAACGAGCCGGACCATGAATCAAATCCAAAGGACGACCAAACAGACGGGTTACGCGAAGCTAAAGAATCAGGTATAGGCGACAACTCTCCGAACGAAGGTTCCAGTGAGCCCCCGATGATACCTCAAGATGAGATTGCCCAGGATATGCGGATGCGCTCGGACTCGAGATCAACCACCGCCACTTTCGCGACTCATCGATCATCAACTGTTAGCTCAACGGTTTTCATTGTTACAGCTCTCGATACAATTGGTGCGTCCAAGGAAGCAAGAAGGAGTAAGGAGCTGGAGGATACTGTGAAGAGTGCGCTGGCAAATGTCAAACACTCAGACCGTCAACCAATTGATCCGGAGGTTATTTTCCGCCCTCTCCAACTGGCAACCCGGACTTTCAGCATCCCGCTGCAAGTAACAGCTCTGGATTGTATCGGTAAACTGATCACATATTCGTACTTTGCCTTCCCATCAACCCGAGAAGTCAAGGCGTCGGACTCGGACACCCCTTCAGAACAGCCACCTCTTATAGAGCGGGCCATCGACGCGATTTGCGACTGCTTTGAAAATGAAGCTACTCCGGTTGAAATCCAGCAACAAATTATCAAGTCCCTCCTTGCAGCGGTCTTGAACGACAAGATCGTGGTTCATGGTGCAGGACTTTTGAAGGCTGTCCGACAAATATACAACATTTTCATATACTCCAAGTCGAGTCAGAACCAGCAGATTGCTCAAGGGTCTTTGACCCAAATGGTCAGCACAGTTTTTGATAGAGTTCGTGTTCGACTTGATCTGAAAGAGCTGCGCCTGCGGGAGGGCGACAAGGCGCAGGCTAGCTCTTCGGACATCGCAACGCTTGAGGCACCAGATACCTCCCAGACGAACGACGATGACCATGCTTCCGATGCTGCTTCGGTAGCGCCGGATCAAAATGAGCCAAAGGAGCCAATTGAGAAGCTTACGCTTCAGAGTTTTGAATCCAATAAAGAGGTGACCACCCTTAATGACAACGCTCCTACAATGGTTACCCGTGCGAAGATCAGTCAAAAGCAAGCACAATCATCTTCTGGGGCGTCAGAAGAGAAAGATGATAGTGACGCTACCGGAGACGATGATGAAGATGAGATTTACATCAAAGATGCCTTCTTAGTCTTCAGAGCCCTCTGCAAATTGAGTCACAAAATTCTCAGCCACGAGCAGCAGCAAGATCTGAAGTCTCAGAATATGAGGTCGAAGCTACTGTCCCTGCATCTGATTCACTACCTCGTTAATAACCATGTCACCGTCTTCACCTCGCCACTTCTTACAATTAAGAACAGCTCTAGTAGTTTGGACGCAATGACTCTCTTACACGCTATTAGACCACATCTCTGTTTAAGTTTGAGTCGAAATGGTTCTAGCTCAGTCCCTAGAGTGTTCGAGGTTTGCTGTGAAATATTCTGGCTCATGTTGAAGCACATGCGAGTCATGTTGAAGGTTGGTAACTTCTCGACGCTGCTCATGAGATGGAATCTAACTCGAAACAGAAAGAGTTGGAAGTGTTCTTGAAGGAAATATATTTGGCTATCCTGGAGAAACGAACTTCCCCTGCCTTTCAGAAACAGTATTTTATGGAGATATTGGAGAGGCTAGCAGACGATCCGCGCGCCTTAGTTGAGATGTATCTCAATTATGATTGTGACCGAACGGCATTGGAGAATATTTTCCAAAAGTTTGTTTCCACCCCATCATCCCTTACTGGACCATCATACTAACTCGATTACTATAGTATGATCGAACAGTTATCACGATATGCTAGTGCACCAGCACCCGTGAATCCTGTACAACAGCAACAGTATCAGGAACACCATGTGAAGGCTTCAAGCGTGGGAAACGAATGGCATCAATGTGGCACTCTTCCGCCGTCCCTAAATACTGCCAACATAGCCAGTAACCCGCAGCCAGCTACACAAAGTGTCCCTCCTGAGTATATTTTGAAGAACCTTGCTGTTGAGTGCTTGGTTGAAATCCTGAAATCGTTAGACAATTGGGCCTCCCAGCGTCTTATTGACCAACCAGCTGTCCCATCTCTGTCGCAAAAATCGATTGATAACTCCAGAGAGTCTCTAGACACCAGCACGCCTACGTTTCTAGCTTCACCAAGAGTTGAAGGTGCTGATGGTAGCACCGGCCGCTCCACACCGGTTCCAGAGGATGATCCAAGCCAAATAGAGAAGGTCAAGCAGCGGAAGATTGCCCTCACAAATGCAACCCAGCAGTTCAACTTCAAGCCTAAGAGAGGAATTAAGGTTTTTATTGAGGAGGGATTTATTCGCTCAGATTCCCCCGACGACATCGCATCTTTCTTACTTCGCAATGAGCGGCTAGATAAATCCATGATAGGGGAGTATCTTGGAGAAGGCGAACCCAAAAACATCGCTATCATGCACGCTTTTGTTGATATGATGGACTTCTCCAAGCGACGCTTTGTGGATGCTCTCCGCTTGTTCCTTCAACACTTCCGACTACCAGGCGAAGGCCAGAAAATTGATCGATTTATGCTCAAATTTGCAGAGCGCTATGTTACTCAGAACCCAAATGCCTTCGCCAATGCCGATACCGCCTATGTTCTGGCGTACTCTGTTATCATGCTGAATACTGATCAACATAGTGCTAAGATCAGGGGCCGCCGTATGACCAAAGAAGATTTCATCAAGAATAACCGTGGTATCAATGATAACCAAGATCTCCCCGACGAGTATCTCATCGCAATTTTTGAGGAGATCGCGAGCAATGAGATTGTGCTAGACACTGAAAGAGAGCACGCAGCAAACCTTGGCATCCCCACTACATCCACACCCACCAACCTAGCATCTAGAGCTGGACAGGTTTTTGCAACGGTTGGGCGGGATATCCAGGGCGAAAAGTACGCGCAAGCATCAGAGGAAATGGCAAACAAGACTGAGCAGCTTTACCGAAGCTTAATTCGAGCTCAACGCAAAACTGCAGTCAAGGAAGCACTCTCCCGATTCATCCCTGCAACTTCCGTTCAGCATGTTGGGTCCATGTTTAACGTCACCTGGATGTCTTTCCTTTCCGGCCTTTCCGCCCCAATGCAGGATACACAGAACTTGAAAACAATCAAACTTTGCATGGAAGGCATGAAGCTCGCGATCCGTATTAGTTGCGCTTTTGATTTGGAAACCCCGAGGGTTGCCTTTGTGACTGCCTTGGCGAAGTTTACAAATCTGGGTAATATCAGAGAGATGGTCGCCAAGAATGTTGAGGCCTTGAAGGTTTTGCTTGATGTGGCGCTTTCGGAAGGAAATCATCTGAAGAGCTCATGGAGAGAAATTCTTACCTGTGTCAGTCAGCTAGACAGGCTTCAACTGCTTAGCGATGGAGTAGACGAAGGCTCTCTACCAGACGTTTCGCGAGCCCGCATTGTACCTCAACCAACGTCTGATGGAGCCCGGAGGTCAATGCAAGCATCAAGGCGCTCTCGTCCTAGATCCATCAACGGGCCGACAACTTTCCGAGCAGAAATCGCAATGGAGAGCCGGTCAGCTGAAATGATCAGGGGTGTAGACCGAATATTTACTAACACTGCTAACTTGTCACATGAAGCCATAATTGACTTCGTTCGAGCCCTCAGCGAAGTGAGCTGGCAGGAAATCCAGTCATCCGGGCAAACTGATTCCCCTCGCACATACAGCTTGCAAAAGTTAGTGGAAATCAGTTATTACAACATGACAAGAGTAAGAATTGAATGGTCTAAAATTTGGGAAGTGCTCGGGCAACATTTCAATCAAGTTGGGTGTCACTCGAATACAACAGTGGTTTTCTTCACCCTAGATTCGCTTCGCCAACTTTCCATGCGCTTCATGGAGATTGAAGAATTGCCAGGCTTCAAATTCCAAAAGGATTTTTTGAAACCATTCGAGCATGTAATGGCCAACAGTAATGCTGTCACCGTGAAGGACATGATTCTTCGCTGTCTCATACAGATGATCCAGGCCCGTGGGGATAATATTCGATCCGGTTGGAAGACAATGTTCGGGGTATTTACTTGCGCAGCCCAAGAGCCTTACGGTAAACACAAGCAACCTCATTTATAACAACAAAGTAAACTAACATGGTTTACAGAGGGAATCGTCAACATGGCTTTTGAACATGTAACTCAGACATACAACACTCGCTTTGGTGTTGTGATAACACAAGGAGCCTTCCCTGACCTTGTTGTGTGCCTCACAGAGTTCTCAAAGAATGTGAGGTTCCAGAAGAAGTCTCTACAGGCCATTGAGCTTTTGAAATCAACTGTTTCAAAGATGCTCAAGACGCCGGAATGCCCGCTATCCCACCGCGGTACATCACCAGAAGGCTTCCACGATGACGCCACAAATCTCACACAACAGCTGACTCGACAGTCCAAAGAAGAGCAGTTCTGGTACCCTATCTTGATCGCATTCCAGGATATTCTAATGACAGGCGATGACCTTGAAGCTCGATCGCGGTAAGCTTTATTTTGCTTATATTGTTCTTCCGAAATGGCGCTAATTTGAATTATTAGGGCATTAACTTACCTTTTTGACACTCTGATCCGATATGGTGGCGGTTTCCCTCAGGAGTTTTGGGATGTACTCTGGAGACAACTTCTTTATCCCATTTTTGTTGTGTTACAATCCAAGTCGGAAATGTCCAAGGTTCCAAATCACGAGGAGCTGTCTGTTTGGCTTTCAACTACGATGATCCAGGCCTTGAGGAACATGATCACACTTTTTACGCATTATTTCGACGCCCTTGAATATATGCTTCAGCGTGTCCTCGAGCTTCTCATATTGTGTATCTGTCAGGAAAATGACACGATTGCACGAATTGGCAGCAATTGTTTGCAGCAATTGATCCTCCAGAACGTTGAAAAATTCCAGCGAGACCATTGGACAAAGATCGTTAATGCATTTGTCGAGCTCTTTACCAAAACTACTGCTTATGAATTATTCACAGCTGCAGCCTCTATATCTTCAAAGCCAGCAAGTGTGCAACACTCAACGAATGACCAGTCAACAGACAATCAGGATGGAGCCCTAGACGCGATTGAGCCAGTATCTAACGAGGAATCCCTTGCTGAGGTCTCGAAGGCCAATGGAATGACACCCGAACAGGAGGAGGGTGACATGCCTGCGGCATCAAGTGCCGAGCTAGAAGATTACAGGCCGCAAACCGATGTGCAGCAACAACCGGCCGCTGTGACAGCAGCGCGACGTCGTTATTTCAACCGTATCATAACGAACTGCGTGCTTCAATTACTCATGATTGAGACTGTTCATGAATTATTTTCAAACGAAAAAGTCTACGCACAAATTCCCAGCCCTGAACTTCTACGATTGATGGGCCTTCTCAAAAAGAGTTATCAATTTGCAAAGAAATTTAACGAGGACAAAGATTTGCGAATGCAGCTCTGGCGCCAGGGATTCATGAAATCGCCCCCCAATCTCCTGAAGCAAGAAAGCGGAAGTGCTGCAACATACGTGCACATTCTGTTCCGGATGTATCATGATGAAAGAGACGAAAGGAAGAGCAGTCGTTCCGAGACAGAAACCGCATTGATCCCGTAAGTACTCAAATCCCACCTTTTGCTTTCCCCCCCTTCTAATGTAATTACTATTCTAGACTCTGTGCAGACATTATCCGTGGATTTGTTCGCCTTGATGAAGATTCACAGCACCGGAACATCGTTGCCTGGCGCCCTGTTGTCGTGGATGTCATGGAAGGCTACACGAACTTCCCGCCCGATGACTTCGACAAGCATATCGAGGTATTCTATCCACTCGCTGTTGATTTGCTTGGTCGTGATTTGAATCCCGAAATCCGTATTGCCCTCCAGTCCTTATTTCAGCGCATAGGGGAGCTTAGATTGGGTGTCCCTGCACGGCCTCTTCCAAGCCCAAGGAACTCTGTTTCAGAACAGTCCACACGCAAGCACAGTACCGGGCGGCGTTAATCACCTTTGTATTGCATACTCACTTTACATGTTTACATGGTTTATCTTCGTACTTTTGATTTCTTTGGTTTTTTTTTTTTTTTTCTTTCTTTTCATCTTTGGATATCCTTGCCTCTTCGCCTACGAAGGCTTTTTTCCGTCTCGCTTTGTAAGGATATTGAATGTAGAATTAGCCGATCTGGAATGTTGTCTTTTCTGTTTTGAACCCTTGAATTCCCCGATGCGAGCTGGGCTTTATATATGAATGTATTGTACAAAATATCAGAGCTCGGAAAGTTTTCAGTGTTACCAGCCGTCCCAATCAAAACTTCGATACATACATACCCAGGAACCGGCGGTCTATTGATGGTATCAAACAATAAGAAATATTTAAGAATTCACACAGATAGTAAAGGAACTCATCTGCGATCCCATCACAACAATCATTTGAATTTTTTTTTTCACTCTCACTAAGCGGGCATATTAGATCGAACCTCACCGAAACTTGGGATCTTGCCAGATTCGTAATGAGCAAGTAGTCCTATCATATCTCGTTCATCCATTTGGACCAGATCTTCCAAACTCCACGACTCGCAAACCCCAGACATCCTAGAGCAACCCAAGACAATTAGTTCAAGCAACATGGGAAGGAATAGAGAAAGAAGAGGATGAAAGTAAAACCCACCACTTCATCCGCTTCGGACCTTCATGTGGACTAGGCGCAACCTCCCTCAGCTTCTTCCGCAGCCTCCCAACATTTTCAATCGCAGCACCCGTATTGTTCGGTAGGGTCTCTGCAATCTTCTTCCGCACAATACTCGCCAGCTTCGGCCCGTTCCCGTTCGTGCTCACCATAATCTGTAACGGGCCATCACGATGCACACTGCCGAAGTAAAAGTCACATTCGGGAGGGACATCCGCAATATTAGCTGGAATTCGTTTCTCCTTACAGAGTTTCCAGATCTGGGTTGAGGCTTCCGGGTCATCGATAGCACAGAGTACCATGTCCGCTCCGTCTAAGTCTGTGGGCTCAAAGGGTCGAGCAATGTGAATGACTTGGCCTTGGGAAACTCGATAGGCCACTTCTTCATTGAGTCCTGAAGCTGGACATACAACAGTTACTTTGGCATCAGCATTGAGGGCATGAAGAATGCGGCCGGCAGCAACCTAGTCAGTAACTATTAGTGACCTGTAGCGTAAATATATCGGTATGTATATATATCTTTAGCCTGCGGGGGCGAGTAGATCGTACCTCTCCACCGCCTACTACGAGGATATTCTTGCTCTTTGCTTGCCAGGCAAGGATTAATGAGCCTCCTCCTTGAACGTCTGGGAATTTAGATGACATCTCTGCGCAGATTGGAGAGCTGGAAAATCGACGTGACTCTCTATGGTGGGGGTTCGGTGGTTAAGTAATCGCAAGTCCGCGAGAACCCTCAGTACGGCAAACCATAGATGCCTAAAGCGTTCTGCCATTTCTTCTTCTTCTTTTTTTTCTTCTCCAGCTCCGATCCTTTTCTTTTCCTTCCTTCCCTCCCATCGATTTCGCTCCCCTACTTTCTCTCGAGCCTTTCTTCTCCTAACTACTTGAGATGAATTACTCATTTCTTCTTTGACCAATTTCTGTCCCTATAGCTAATGCCTACGTTCTTTTAATTCACAGCACAATCAAGAATGCGGGGAGTGCAGATTTTCTCTGGGACATCCCACCCCCTCTTGACCGAAACCGTCTGCCAACGGTTAGGTACTCTGCCTGCGAAGGCAAACCTGGGGAAGTTCAGCAATGGGGAAACCAGTGTAAATATTGGGGTCTCCGTGCGAAACCAGGATGTCTACGTTATCCAGAGCGGCAGTAAAAAGATCAACGACAGCGTCATGGAGTTGCTGATCATGATTTCGGCTTGCAAGGGTGGATCTGCAAAATCTATTACAGGTATGTTGGGGTTGACACTATGAGACTATCTAGATTAGTACCAGCACTAACATCTTCCTTTTCTTTGCAGCGGTCATGCCGTATGGATCCTATTCAGCCTGAATGGTACACACTTAATGCTGACACAAACGAGGTACTTCCCATACTCCCGCCAATCCAAAAAGAAGAGCCATCGTGGAGCCATTACGGCCCGTATGCTGGCAAATCTCCTGACAGTTGCCGGGGTGGACCATGTGATTACTTTAGATTTACATGTGAGTCCTTTGTTGCATTGGACCTGGCGTTATACCCTGGCTTGGATAGAGTTCTTATCAAGGTCATTGAGCAGGCATCCCAAATGCAGGGCTTCTTCGGTAAACCGGTTGACAACCTCTTTGCCGAACCCTTCATCGCACGCTGGATTCGTATGAATGTCCCAGGATGGCGTGAAGCCGTCGTGGTCAGCAAAAATGCTGGAGGAACCAAACGTGTTACTTCATTGGCGGACACATTGAAGCTCAACTTTGGTATTGTCACAACCGACAGGAGGCGTCCAAAACTAGGTGCCACCTTGGCAGACAGTACTGTGTTCTTTGACTCTCTCGACCAAGATGTTACACCGCTGCCTAAAGACCAAGATCCCTTCGTTGTCCACACGCATAGTACCAGGGGGGATGACTTTCAAGCTGGAGAATTGCAAAGCGAGTCAACTGAGCAAAGGGAACTGTTTGCACCGCCCCCTTACTTGCTTCCTGAAATGTCTGGTGCCCGACGACCTTCTGAGTTGGAGGCCGCACATGAGTATACCGATGTTCGGGTACGAGAAGTCATTACCGGGCGCCTTGTACAGGGCCACCTTGTTGATGACGATTATCCCCCCTCTGGTCCCACCTCCTTCCCTGCCTCTAGGAATGTAACCCCAGGGCCCTTCCTCAACCGGGATAGCAGCGATGCTGCACCAGATCCAATGAGCGAGTCTATCTTCTCGAACACATCGTCCCTTGCTGGAGACCATGCCCTTGGTGGCTCCTTTGATGCTGCCGAATCTTCCGACGAAGAAGAAGGAAGCACCGGGCGATGCGCCGAGCAAGAAAAGACCATCACACTTGTCGGAGACGTCCGGGACAGGACCGTCTTCATTGTTGATGATATGATTGACAAGTGTGGATCGTGGATCGCTGCTGCCGAAACTGTAGTAAAGAGGGGCGGTGCAAAGAAAGTCTATTGCATTGCTACTCATGGGCTCTTTGGGGATGAATCCCTCGAGCAAATGGAGGCATGCGAGTCCATCGACTATATCGTTGTAACTAATACTTTCCCAATTTCCCCGCTAGTGATGAAGAAGTCCAAGAAGCTGGTGGTGATCGACATCTCGACCCTCTTAGCAGAGAGCATCAGGCGCCACCACTATGGTGAAAGGTTAGTCATCTCACTTCCTCTTATTTCAATGGTAAATACTGACTTTCTTCTAGTGTATCAGCACTTTTCCATCTTAATGACTGATTTTCATCAGTCATGGGACTTGGTCCCACATCCAATATCCTTATCCTTTGACTCACCTTTATGGCGGCTTGATGAAGCGTTGATGATACCTAGCCAATTTGTACATTGGTAAGATGATGATGAAAGACAGTAATGACAAGAAAACTTATTATGATCTCCTATTTTCCGCATAGAGAGTTTGCAAATTTTTCTTCCTCGAATTTCGCAGGGCGTGGTGTTTTCATGATATTTCTTACCTCTTTCGTTCTTTAGGCGATTCATGATGATGAATATCAGCTTCATTCCGAGCCTGATCTCACTGGTAACTCATGAACAGAGGAAAGTGACCTCTGTTCAATGCTACTACCATGCAGATGGGAAATATCTTCAAAAGCCCAAGCTTATGGTGCTTGCGGATTTATGGATCAAATGATCATCGTCACTATTTTTACCTCTTCTCATACTTGTCTCCTGTAGTGGAAAGCCCTCCCCCCTCCCCCCTCCCCCAAAAAGATCAAAATCAAGGTCAGAGTGGAAACCCATATCTTGACTGAACCAGCGATGCAGTCCACTTTGGGTACTGCAGGGGCGTCTTGTTGGAAGGAGGATCTGATTCTCCTTACTAAATTCACAAGATCGTTCTTAACGGAGCGTTGGAAGAATAAATGAAAGCCTTGTTTTGCGATCTATTTTTCTACACCTTTGGTGCAGGGAGGTAGTTGTGTGACAGGTTTTTCGAGGAATGAAGGCATCAGTTTCTAAAGTACCCGTCTTTTGATGGAGCTTTGGGCTTTCGGGCCAGTGGGACTGATGCAAGAGAACATCTCGAACATTACAGTATGACCGGTTACTCGGTATGTAGGCTGCTGCATGCTATAACAGCGAAGAAAAAAACAGGTGCTTCTGACCTGGAGTGCTTTCTTTGCTCTGCTCTAATGAAAAAAAAAATCCTTTTTCTCCTTCGATTATTGCTGTGTTTCTTTTTTTTTTTTTGAAATGTAATCAATCTTCCTTAGCTCGCCTTGTTTCCTCAGTAAAGTAAGAAAGAAGGATTTGCGATAGATACTCCGTGGTGAAGGCGTCAAGCATCTCCGAAGGGAATAAAAGATTGGTCTGATGGTGTGTGTATGTGCAGGGAAAGTTGAACAATCCCAGATTCCCCGATTTGTGCATGATGCCAATTGTGCCTTGGTTCTTGCAGAATCGATCGAAGCCGATATGGGCAAAGCCAACACACAATGGCTATAATCAATGGGCCCTATATCCGGGCTGCCGGGCGTCACACAATAATCGGTCTGCCAGGGCCCGGAAGGATACTAGGAAATTGGATTCCATTTGGTACATACTGTAGGTACTCCGTAGTTGTGGCGGTGTGCGAAGAAGGACCCGAAAGTTGAGTAGCTACCTATGCAGGATACGACTGTTTTCCGGGTAACCCCCCAACAAGCAGCCAAGTAGGTGGCTCGCATTGTTCCAGTATCCGGGTTCTGGAATAGCCCTATTTAACCAGTGTGCATTCTGCCATGCTGCACTTTGACGAAGGATTTTAATGTCAAAAGGGGAACTATGTATGGATCCTGAATTTCTGCCGCCGGCTGCAACAAATGACTTTAGCCGACTGGAAATAACAACAATAATGAAAATTGGTAGTTAGTTATGCGATTGTCCACGCCTGTTTGATAGCTGGCCTCTTCGATGACCCCAGGTCAGGTTGGAGATGAAACGCCAGTGATACGAGGTCAACGAATCGGGATGGCCGCGAAGCGAGTGAGTAGCTTTTCGGAAAATTAAATACTTGGGGAGGCAGTGAAACGCGAAATCACAGCCACGCTATTTGGTCATGGAAGGGAAGATATTAGAAAACGACCTATCAAAAAAGTCAAAGGTACCATTCGCTTTCGAAAACTTGGCTAGAAGTCCGTTGTCAGGAGAGACGAATTGACATGGTGGTAAGACTAGTCGCGACCCATCATCCCATCCAAGACCAGGATAGGATACGTCGGGGAATCTGCTCTGTATCCGGTAGATCAGCTTAGTGGGTAATCAGAAGTTCAAGATCCAACTTTTGGACCCGGTTGGGTGGCTGAAAATGAAATTCTATAAGCTTGGTACTATTATAATCACCCTAATGCCTCCTAACCGGTTTCCGTAACCGAAAAGGAGGCTAATTTTTTGCTGAGCATCATAATGGTAGTATCGGAGTAATCGCTTTCAGAGCGGAAATCACTAGTTGAATTTGCCGAGATTCAGACAAGGTTGACCCATGTCTTGACCTAGCAGGATTGATTAGGCAGTCAGTCAGCTTTTGAATTTTGTTCCCAGTAGGCAGGGGGAAGCATGGTCAGTGAACAGAAGTAGCGGCTAATAAGCAAAGTAGTACCTAAACAATGGCAATTAACTATAACGTGACAGTGAGGTAATTTGGAAAAAAAAAAGAAAAAAAAACACTGTGGCTGCTGGCACTTACCATAACTTGCCAGGTCTAAATTTATCGCAGCCACTGGCAGTTTCTCCACCATGTGGGAGTTGGATTGGAACTTGTAAAGTTGTAAATATTAGGAAGTTCTGGGAAAGAAAGGGTGCTGAACTTTTAATGCGCCGCGTGCTCATTTCAACCATGGACTGGACTAAACGTTTGAAAGGGCTGTCTGCGGACAATGATTTGCTAGGGTACACTCGATCTACTCCCTAGCGTCACCATATATTTGGACTAGATTCAGCCCCAAACTATTCCGGACCTAGTTTACCTTTGGTGAACAGCTGCCCCAATTCCCATTGGGTGAGCTAGAGCAGGGGGAGGATGGGACAAGTTCCGTAGAATGGACCTGGTATGATAATGATGGATGAGGGGAGTTGATGAGAAGGGAAATGTGGGATTAGGTATTGTGAATTTGAACAAGGAAGGATCCATGTTCAGTACCACCCTTCCTTAGGATTTGTAGTTTTGTATCTCGAGTTGTGTTTATCCGAGAGAAAAGCTAGAACAATAGAGTCAACCCAAATCTTACTAGTCAGGTCTTTTAGTTTTTGACCATGAACCTGGTTGACGGGCCCGCGGATTACCTGTAAAGTCCCGGTGGAATCAGCCATGATCAGCAGGAAAAAGAAAAAGAAAAGAAAAAGGAGCGAGGTAGAATTATGAAGGATGGATGCCCAGGTATGATTATCAAGTCAAAAGTGGTTCCGAGGGTGGATGGGGGGGGGTACTCTGGCGCACATGTACGAGAAAACGGGGGCCCAGACATGGGAAATCAGTGCGGTTGTAGGTATATGTGCGTATATGTATTATGAAGGCAAGTACTCCGTATTAATGTGAATAATCAAAAAATTAAGGACCATGGGTCTTCGAGAGCCTTCTGGCTCCGGTTCTGCTGTAGGGACGGGACTTCCCTGTTCCAGTTGGCGGAACGAATCCACTCTGAAGCCGAAGGAAAAGGTTTCCTTCTGGGATAGATCGTGGGAGGCGTTCAGCTAATGATGCAGGGGAGATTACTCTTTGAAAATTTCTGGTTCAGCTCGGCGATGTTGTTGAAGGAAAGAGAGGATTGGATGCGATGGGATGGGATCGAAGTATGGTGATAGATGGGGGTTAATTAATGAGAGATAGTTGATAATTAGTAACGAAAGGATCATCAATGTGAGGCAAGGGAAGATTTGATAGGAAAGGAAAGGAAGGGGCTGAGATATGAGAGAGTAGTAAGTGAGGCAGGATGAGATGAGAAAAGTGAAGCGTCAGAGAGAGGGGGAGAGGAAGATCAAGATGAGGGGGGGATAAAATAAAGAATACTCGCTTCACAGCTGAATTAGACACAATAATAATAACACAATTATAGGTAATGATGATAAAAGAGGTAATAAGAAATATATATCTGTTTAAATAATTACGGATTATTTCCCTGTGATAAAAATCCCCCTGGATCAATGGAAGACCATGATACATACCTAAGTCTTCTATACAGTAGAGTAGGTACTTTCCCATAATCCATAAAGCTGAAGGTGAGAGAGGTTTATCGCCCTTTTTGGAGAAAATAATCCAAATCAAATCAAATAATAAAATAAATACCTAAATCAAAAGTCCTTTGAGAAAGAAGTCTTCTTTCTCCAGACAATCCACAATCCTTTGGATTTCACGATCTACACGCCAAAAAAAGTCCCAGCACCGCAGAGCTGGATACTTATCCTGGTTTCTCGATCTCCCAATGAAAAAGCTGCGATCAATCGATCGTTTTATAGATCTGGAGAATGAGGCATGGCTAGAAGCATGGTCTTTGCGTAGCCTTAGCCGTGGGGCTTTGAGTCAGGATGGACCTTTTTCTTTTTTTAATCTGAATCTTAAACCTTTCTTGTCAAGCCACAGACTCTGTGATCTCTGAACAGAATTGATCGGATGAAGGTTAATGGCTAGACTATTGTCCACTTGCTTGGTCCACTGACGATATATCATTTCTGGTCCCTGGAATGTCAACCTTTCTTCCGACTGGGTTACGGAGTACGCTTCTACTGTCAGATCACACACTAACTTCCTTGACCTTTATTTTCTTCCTTCCTTAACTGTTCCTCTTACTCCTACTCCTACTCTTACTCCTGGTGTTCTCTCCTCTCTCTCTCTCTCTCTGCTCTGCCCCCTGGTATAGAACATTTGCTTCCTCTAGGATCTTTGCACACCGTATTATCTGATGCTCAAAGTACCAATCTCATCCTTCCTCTTTTTTCCCAATCTAGATTCCACTTTCCTCTCTCACCGTCCCTGTTGCTCCACTCACTCAATGACCCGAAATAACCGGGTACTTGCAGTGTAGATTCCTGTCCGGTAAAGAGATAGAGAGTCTTCATGCAGCCAGCCCCGGTCTGGACTCATACAGGTGTTGATGAAGAGCTGTTTCGAAGAGGAAATATCCCCAGTGCATCCTTAATAGGATAGACCTCTTCTCCAGTCCTATTTGAAAGCTCTGCCTATATATACCTACTATGGAGCTCCGATTTCCCTTCATCACCATCAAGCACAGCAACCACAACACATTCTCTTTCTTGCTCGTCCCTCTTCTCTATATCTCCCCATTCCGCCAACTCCCCGCTTGATCAAGTCCGGGTGTCTCGACCGTCATTCCTGGAAACTTACCTTTATCTTGATTTCCTCTGTCCCACCTCCTCTTCCTTTGGTATCTAGGGCTTTTGGTCGACTTCTTCTTCTAGCTTTCAGATTCGAAGCTACCTTTGATCTCTCCAGCTCGTCCAGTGGACCTCAAAGATCAGCAAAGCTTTTCTGAACTCAATACTCCAACAAGTTATTTAGACTCTGGGTATGGTTCAATGATGCTCAAGTTGTGGATTCCCTCAATGCTGACAACGGCAGGATAGAATCAAAATGGCCAATCAGTGCAGTGGTCATGTTTTTGCTATTGTGCAAGCTACCAACGGGAACATTCTTACCTGGCGCTGCTCTGACTGTAACTCCGGGCCTTTTATGGCTATATGGCGTTGCAAGGCCTGTGGTCACTGCCGCTGCCATTCTTGCCACACCGCTAAAGCATAAGTAACAGTCACATCTTGGCTGTCACCCGGATCTTGTGTCATTCAATTTGGTATGCAAATCGAACCTGCATATTCTCCCCCCCCCTTCTCTCCCCTCTCCCTACATCTTTAGCCCCTCTTTCCCCCTCCCTGTTAAATAGAAAACAGAATCAGGAACAGAGGCTGATTGTTTTTCCATAACCAGACCCAGCAGTTTCCTGGTTTTGGGAAACCCTTTTTTTCTGCAGCTATCCCTGTGCAATTCCCGCAATTCAGCCAGTCGCCGGTCTTTATGGCCCAATTTCCCCTTCTCTTTCGAATGTTTCTTTCGATATCTCACGACTTTCCCATACCTTTTGGCATACCGACAAATCAGCATTTGCAGAAGGTTTCATCTTGGATGCTGTCCAATCAGATTGCTGAACTGGACTCCATATGGAATTGAGTCAGGCTCAAAAAAAAAAAAAAACACACAAGAAAAACCAACCCCCACAGCACAGAAAGGCTCACAATGTTGGATTCGCTCTGTGTTTCACTTTCCCGTTTTATCTTACTTTGATATCTGCTCTTCTTCTCTTACTTGTCTTCACTTTCAACCCATACTTTTTTTAATGGAGCAGTGACGGCCGAACCTTACTATGCTTGTGATCGTTTTCGATATTTGCACAACGAAGCATTGCAATGGTGTCATGGATATGGGACCAAAAAAAGTCTATTGGGTCTTTGCCTTTATGACCATCCTGTTTCTTTTTTCTTTTTTCTTTTTTTTTTTTCCACCTCAGGTCTGCTCTGTTGAACTTATTGGCAGTTGTTATTTCTTATCACATCACCCCAGGAAGCGTGGGATTATTCCATAGATTATTTGCTTATTCCAGGAGTATATAGAACCTTTTTTGCGGCGACGCATGAATGATAACTTGTTTTCTTCCATTTGTCTTTGTTATTCCATTCCCCCATGTAGTACCACCCTGACCTGCTTGCTTCAACACTCCACCCAAGGCCCGCGGAGAAGAAGAGAAGAGAGCAAGCAGAGCAGAAGCGAGGAGGCAACCAAAAGTAAATCCTACCAAGCTTACCTGGAGAGAAAAGCGTGGAGCCGAAAAAGGAAAAGCGAAATACATACTACTACGGAATTTGTATCTATCTACATACCGCCAGCTGTGCAGGCTGTGTCCTCTGCTCTACTCTGCTCTACCGAGGACTATCTCCAGATGCAGGCATAAGCGCCACACACGGGATCCAGACAACCTACCTAACACAATAAGCCATGCATGCATTTCAGCAGTCTCCTGTTTAGTATCCAGTATTCAATATTTAGGTCGTGTCTAGTGTCCAGAGCTCACCTACACCGTAAGATGACGAGGTAAAAGTGCCAATCAACACTAGGCAAGGTGATAACTATACGAGAGTAAAGTTTAGGTACCTAACACCTAGTAACTGCAGGTCAATTCTTTGGCAAGGTTCAGCCAATTACATGCCATATCCAGAAGAAGCGAAACAAAAACAAAAGGAAAATGGTCCCGTGTCTTGTTTATCTGCTTCTCTATACCTTCCTTACCTTACCTTAGCATACATACATCTAACTCTACATCTCTAACTACTAGTATATATTTAGCTAATAATAGTGATAATAATAGACCGGGCTTTTTGTTTTGTTTTGTTTTGTTTTTTTTTAAGCTAGAATGCATCCAACCACCTTAATTTAAAGACTAAATTTTGAGTACCTATTCTACCTACAGTTTACGAGTAAGTAGTATGTACCTAATCTATCTGTCTTCCCCACACCTGTTCACCTACTTTTCGTCGTCTGTTGTCATCGTTCGACGTTAGGCCCTCAACACAGGCGAGATACCGCCTTGTCGACCTGTATATGTGTGTGTTTAGGTTTCCGTCTACTGCTATATCTCTGTCTCTGTCTATGTCAATATTGAGTGGCGTGCCTGGTGGCTTTTGGATGACACACACATACATACATAGTTACACCAAAAACAAGCCCAGCATCCTTAAAGACACGGACTAGTAAGGGAATATATCGGGTTTCTTTCCATCCCTGTGCGTATGCGTATGTGGATTCAGGTTAATAAATTGGAAGAGACCAAGAGATATACTAAGATACTATTTAATTGGGGTATTTGTATTATTGGGAAAAAAAAGAAAAGAAACTAATTAGGTAGTAGTAGTAGTAGTAGTAGTAGTAGCACCTGGCTAGTTCTTAAAATATCACCTGCTCAAATGCTTCACCTAGCCCTCGATCCCGAAGCCACGCCTCCAATGCCTGCATATCACTCCGATTAGCTTTCTGGCCACCCCGTGCCCCTAAGGTATCTGTGATTTCCTCCATGCCGGAGAAGACCCTGTGAATATCCTTGGTCTCCCGAAACTTCTCACTGATCTTTTTCTGGTAGCTGGGAATATCGCCCCACGAGTGGGTTTTAATAAAGCACATATAGGCATCAATATCCGCCGATGCACCCTCCAGACACAACACCCCCGGTTTACCCGCCAGCACAAACCCCGTGAGAGAATAGTCCGCGGCATGGTTGACCAGATCGTCCCGCTTCCCACGGCTCGAGAGCGACGGGAGATAGAACCAAACTCTCACAACGGGTCCTCCAGCGGCACATCCACGTCCTGGCCCCAAAGTCTCACTCCCGGGGGCCGTCGCTGCCGCCGTCGCTGCCGCCGCCGCCGTCATCTCGATTTGAGTTTCGATGAAATGCCGGGCTTCCTCCTGGATATACTGCAAGGCGTCAAACACGTCATCTAACGGGATTCTGGCGGTCAGCTGCTTAGCGACCTCTGCCTTGGACATCCAGCCCGGCTGCCGCACCGAATAACTTAGCAATGGCGACGGCTGCGGCTGCGGCTGGCCGATCTCCGGCGAATCACCCTGCAATCGAATCGAGATGTTGACGTGGATGGTTTTCTCCGTCGCCGGAATCGGCAGGCGCACCGCCAGCGATATACTTGCGGGGATGCCCGACGGCGGCATTGTCGCAGCAGAGGCTGGGTGGTCCTCCTCGCACCAGACTCGGAGTTTTTCAATGCATTGAGTGGTGAGTTCTGGGATCTCAAGCTCTCCCGGAGATGGGAACATCCCCATTAGCAGGTCAACGGTAGACAGCTGGGACTCCATCATGTCGACCGGCAGAAGCGTTATTTGGGTTGGCGCCATTGTGGACGCTCGTAGACGTCGTCGTCGTCGTCGTCGTCGTCGTGCTGGATGATTATTTGCAGAAACGGCAATTGCCAAACCTTCACGCTGGTTCTGAAGCGTGAGTTACTACTTTGTGAAAGAAAAAAAAAATATATATATATATATATATATATATATATATGGGACATCCATTTAGAATGATACCGGGGGTGATGTTTGAGAGGGCAACTACTTACTTACTATGTATATTGAATGATTTCTTGGTCTTTGTGTGGTCGCTGATCGGGACACTGGGGCAAAGAACACCACCCCATGGATACCTAAGGCAACAAAATATCATGTGATATCAGGCGTCCCCAAAAAGGTACTATACAGTAGAGTAGATACTACGAGTAGAACGAGAAGGGCAACGAGGATCTACCCTCCAGGATAGATGGTGATTTCCAAACGGCAATCTGATACCACAATTTATATGTAATATACACCTAACTACAGTACCCGGACGGGTATTTTTAACTGAGTGACCGCTGGCCTTGCAGCTCTCACTATGTATAGATGCTCTGGAGAACTATTAGCGCCTTGCTAGCAATTCCCTCCGAGATATAAACTCACCTCTGTAATTTGATTGACCTGTAGACCGGGTTCGGCCATTTCAGCGTCTTTCAGGAAATCCAGCGGCATCCACACCAAATGTCCCTTGATCTTATCGAGCTTCTCTCGGACCTCCTTGACCGGCACGTACGGATCGTACAGATGGCCTAACTTCTGCCCGCTATTTCCTCGGAACGTATTGTACTCCTCAAATGTTCGGATATTATCGTCCGGGTCTGCGCGGAAAAGAACTCGATATATGTCAGTGTTGACACTGGCCTGCCCGGTCCAAGTGTTCCAGAGTTCATCGTTCAGTGGGTCCTTGACGAATTCGTTCTCTGGTCCCTCGAGAATCTCATTCATGCAAGTGGTTGGTGGCTGCGCATTTGGGTGCTCCGAAGCGTCATAATCCTGTGCGGGGAGCAGCCCTAAATGTTCCCGCCACAGCTGGCGTCGGAGTGTTGCTGCAACGCGTCCGGCCTGGTAGGGCTTACCATCCATCATGCTATCAATGAAGTCTTGATCTTCGACAACGATGGCTAGCTCGCTGTCGTGATACCCAAGTTGTGACTGAGATTGTTAGCGTGCATATCGCAAGGATGTTTTGAGGGTGATGTAGTCCCTTACTCGATCATTAATATTGGCGCTGCCACAAATTGCAACCCTATCGTCCACAATACAGACCTTTCCATGAACATACAGCTCTTCCTGAACAAAGTTTTCCTTTTCTGCTTCAGGATCGCCCTCCCAAAGTTCGTTGACTAGCGTACCCCCGTTGAGCATCGTAAGGTGCGCGAGACTGTCCTTACTTTCGACAGTTTGAATGGATTTGTGAATTTCACACTGCTTCTCATACTTCTGTAACCTCGCGATGCGCTCTTCTCTCTCTTTCTGTGCGTCATCATATCCAACCTCGTTCTTGTCACCTTCTTTACCAATAGCTGGATGGACGCTATCACTTGTAATGGACTCGGCAATACCTCGTTGGACATCGTGATACGTGATACCGGCTTCTTTTTCCAATTCTTCCAACGCAGGGGTCTTGTTGATTCTATCCCAAGCGCGCAGGTTGAATACAAAGATGTGCTCTAAACCACTGTAAGCTTGTGTTCATTGGGCGAGATATGAATGGCTAACTCACGCTTAGGATCAATGCCGTGGGCCGCTATTTGACCAAAAATGGAGTGCTCGCCTCTGTTAATTGACTTGTATTGATAGTCCATGATTGCCCTGGTCCCTGTCGCTTCCTTCTGTCGAAGGTCTCCAGCAAATCCGGGAATACAGGGTATTACGATAATAACTCGGAATTTCCTCCCTTCTTTACCCGCTCGAACGCAGGCGTCGACGATGGAGCGTCCGATGGTATTGAGAATAGGCTTTTGTTCATCACCAGTGGCAGTGACTGGGTAAGGTCAGGACTGGAGAATAGAACATGCAGTGCATCACAAGGTTGCTTACTGAAAAATTGGTTTTCAATATAGACAAAATGCTCTGCTTTGCTGATAATTTCCTTGTAGGCATTCTGGATGCTGTGCTCAGTCAGAATGCCGCTGCTCCAATCAGCGCTGCTACGCACGATTTGTGCCCGCACGGATCCTTGCAGTCCGCGAGGTCTGGCGCTTAGAGGAGAAAACGGATGTTGTACGTATTCACCACAGGGATACTTTGGACGCTGAACTGCAACGAGATCCTCGTCTTCTCCAGTGCGACCCTCAAGCATGAGCCAGTCAACACCACGATCTCGTTTATACTTGTCACGCTTGATGAAGTTCCACCGGAGGACAAAATGTTCCGCAATATCGTATACACAGTCTCCAATTAAGCCCATCGCAACGTCATGCCAGGGCATTCGGCCGTACTGTGCCTTGCTCAGCTCATTTGCCTGCCACTGCCCCACACTTTGGAAGTCCATGATTCGATTGTTATTGAAGTCTTGTCCCGGGAATATTTCGTTTCTCAGGTTTGACGGGTGAACGTCGGCCAAAGGGTGCTGGTTCGCGTCCCATCTTCCAAAGCACAGATCAATGCCTCCAATGAAAGCCAAAGCGTAGTCAATAACGATAAATTTTTCGTGATGGGCCTTGTCATTGTTAATACCAATAGCTTATAGCAAGATTAGATACAGAAAGAGTACTTACCCAATACAGGGTCATATCAGCCGCATTCTCAAAAATGTTGTGATCTGGATGGCGAAGGACTTTGATGTTCCCATGACCAGGGCTTCCTTCGGGACACAGATTTCGCAGAGCATGCTTTGTATGAGCTGAATTACATGTCAGAGCTTGGTTCACCTGATCTGATTAGCAGTTACAAGAGGTACGGTGTGTGACTGGCTTAGCACTAACTTCCTTGTACACAATCACATAAATTTTCACCCCTGCTTCAGCTCGGCGCTTCAGAACTTGATCCAATCGCCATTCCTGTTCCTGAAACGGAGGACGTCGTAGAAATAATTCCGGCGAGAGCCACCAATCCGCGATGTAAATCACCTCCTTTGCTTGATCCAGAGCCACGGAAACAGCCCAAAGATAGTCGAGAGCATCGACATACCACTTCACCTGATTGCCTTCACGAATTGGAGCGAATGATTCGAACCTATGTGACTCGCTAATAGCAGTTCTCTTTCGATCTGTTGCTTGCTCATGCTCCTCATCGTGACGATGGTTTGGGTTCACAATGTTGAAAAACTTGCCAACTTTGTGCTTTAAATGGTGTGCTCTTTCTTCTAAATGCGCCTCTGTGCATCCCATCTTGGTCAGTCCACCCGCAAGTCACTGGAGACGAGGAATTGACCTTTCAAAGTCTCTCCTAACTGGTTCAGTAGGGACATGGTGACACTGTGACGGAAGTCCTGGCACTTCTGGTAATAATCAATTACAAGCCGCAGAATTTCGGGAAGGAAAGCAATATTCAGTTCGAGAGGGTGAATTAAAGGGGCAGCCTAAAGGAATCTCGCAGATCTCCAATAAGTTGGGCCGAGGACTCCGTACTATTTTAACAAGTCAAGAAGAGTGGAGGCTGGGAGGTATTTGGCCGAAACACATGACATCATCCTGACCTTTGTATTTGCCTGAGGTTTACAACATAGTTTCCCAAACAAAGCAAACCTGTGTCTGGATTATCTTCCCAAATTAACCCCTACTCTGTACATAACCGCATCGACCTCCCCTCGCCCATCTGTTAAGTCTCATCCGTCAACGCCTGGTGTCTTTACCGCGATAGGGGAGATCTGTGCATAGGGCTGCTGCCTATCTTTGTTTTAGTTCTTTTGCTGATTGGTGAGTGAGTGCCTCTCTGCGTCAGCCCGAAACCCCCCCAACTGCCCCACTACAGCTCGGGAAGGCATCAAATAACTTGATGGCCCTGCGCCCACGCGACTCTCGAGTCTCCAGTCTCCATGCTATGATTCTTGCCTAGACTTGGTCAACTGACACGCTAAGATCTCCAGTTTCTAAGGTGGCACCATGAGGACGGCTCGCGACATCTACAAGGACGGCGTTGATTTCGCTACTCTTGCATTGCAATCGTCGGACTTTGCAAAATAGTATGGCTTTTCCTCTGCTGGGACCGACTTCAATGAATTAGGCTCTAAACTTAGAACAGTTTGAAATCGAACAACCAGTTGGATTTTACTGACCCAAATGCCGTCAGGTAGGAAAATCGGATGTAGGAATGTTTCAGAACGGGCGTTAGCTGACTGTGTGTTTATATAGACAATTGACTATAAGCCTACTGCAAAGGGACTTTAGCCTGAAGGTTGATATCCCAGAAACAAGGTTATGCCCACCCGTATGTTCCCCGCTTTGCTTGATTGAAGTAGAGAAATTAATGAGGTTGATAGGTGCCCAACAGGTAACTCAGCGCACAGAATACACTTAAAGTAGCTGGCTGATACTTGTAGATTAAACTACATCCTATGGCTGCAAGATCTGCTCGACACCACCGGAAATAAATATCAGGATGCCTATGACTCCGATAGAAATGTTGTGGGGCTTGACATGTACTATTATTCTACCCGTTTCCGTGGAGAGGTCTGACTGGCCGCAGAGGAACAGGATGTTGCAGTATATACCCTCTCCTGGGTTGCACAATACGGCCGAGGTGGCAGTTTATTGCAACCGGTGAGGACTGTGATCCCATACGTTTTATTTGGACTGGATGGCTAATAGGTACGAAGACATCGACAATGATAACATACGGACGTCGTCTTATACAGTCAAAACAAACGGATTGGAGTCACGCATTCGGATTGTCAAGACGAGTCCTAGTGACAATCTTATCTCGTTGACCGCACTTGGAGTTGAAAGGTAGGTGGACTTATATGCCTAATATACCCAACCAATGATCTAATGATGCAAGGATCGATTTCACAATGTGTAACCCTCCATTCTACGCTTCTCGAGATGAATTGGTAGCTTCTGCTCAGGAAAAAGAGAGACCTCCATTTTCAGTGCGTCTTATCAAAGTTTGCTACAGAATTCTTGCTAAGGGAGATGAAGGCATGCACAGGCGCGGAAATTGAGATGGTGACTGCAGGAGGAGAGGTTGATTTTGTCTCTCGCATGATTGACGAGAGCCTTCAACTTAGACACAAGGTCTTGTGGCACTCATCGATGCTCGGAAAACTGAGTAGTGTTTCTGTGTTAGTCGAGAAGCTGATTGAACTGGGAAATTATAACTACGCCGTAACAGAATTCGTTCAGGGTAACAAAACCCGGCGGTGGGCTATAGCCTGGTCATGGACAGATTTTCGTCCAAAAGCTGTATGTTTGATGGTTATTCTTTTCTTTGATTACTTTTTTTCGCCGTATTGATGATGCTTACACAAAACAGAATGTGGCCCGCGGTATACCTGGTTTTCCAAAACACCTTCTCCCATTTCCCTCAGAATACACCTTTGACATTTCTAATAATTTTATCGACGATCTCGGTAAACTTGTTGATGAAGAGCTATCATCGCTCCACATCCAGTGGGTATGGCGCAAAGGCCTCACTACAGGTGTGGGCTTCGCGATGGAAAATGTCTGGTCCCGTCAGTATAGGAGGAAGATGAAAACTTCCCTTACTCAGGAGAAACCCAGTATCAACGAGGGCAAGGCCGAGCTCGGGTTAAGGGTGCAGTTAATAGTTGATCCAATCGAAGCAAAGACGGTCAAGGTTATCATACGATGGCTCAAGGGGTCAGACTCTGTTTTGTTTGAGAGTTTCTGTGGAATGCTCAAGAGGAAACTGGAAAGACGATAGAGCCTATGGTCTGAAGGGTCTCTCTCTCTTTGTCTATATATAAATAACGAGGGAAAGCTAAAGAAGACAGAGTCCTGGATTTTCTTCAATTGACTGTATTCTATTTACATCAAACCAAGGCTTTTCATAAAATAAAAAGATAACAAGAAGCATCAAAATCATTCACATATGGGGATGGCATGACATGTGCGTACAAAATGCCCAAGCCAAGCTCCTATTTACTTCCAACCTCACTCTGCAGCTCCTTGAGACGATCCCACCCATCTGAATCCTCCCAAAATTCCTTTCCCTTGCCCATAATTCCTCTAACCGCGCTTCTAGCTTTGAACCTCCAATCCTTAGCAACGAGCTCGGGTTCGCCCTCAGCTCTCTCATTTTGACCTTCTTTATTCATAGGCCCGTACTTCGCATACCCTTTACGCACTAATCGCTCCGTTGCGCTCACAATCTCCATCCATTTCTTCTCATCACCCATCTGGAATGCCCCCTGCGTTGAGGACGCAACGGTAGCACGCCAGGCCTTCTCATGCGCCTCGAGAGCCTTAGAGGGCTTTTCCCGGAAGAGCTCTACCCGGGCGACAAGCAGCCAAAGCGCCGCGGAGTGCGTGATCAATGGCACAATGGAGGTGTCAATGAGCGAAAGTATCTGGCCGGGAATAGTACCACTTCGAACAACGCGTTCCGGTTTCGCACCAGACGGGCCGTCCGAGTTCACTGTGATGAGGAGGGCTTCGTAGTCATACGCAGTGACGAGGTGGTCAACGAGCATACCCAAGATAGGTAGATCGATGGCCTTCTCTCCCTTTTTGGGTCCCACGAGCTCAATCACTCTGCTTTGCGCTGTGATGATGTCCCGGAAGGGTGTTGTGGGTGGGGGGATCGAGGCTGCGACGGTGAGAAGGTTATCCCAGATTCGGGCATCGGTGTGCTTGAGCTGCGCGGCGCGGTGAAGAGCAGCGATTGCTTCGCGTTTGCGCTTGTGCGGGTCTTCGGGGATCTTGGGGGACTCCGAGCCAGCTTTCTCGTCTTCCTCTGGCTGTTGTGCTGTCTTCTCCTCGACGGTGGAGTCGGAGGGTGTAGCAGTCTGGAGCATAGCGGCTGCAAGGTTGCTCCATGCTTCTGCGTCGGTGTCTTCGAGCTGGACGGTTCGTGTGAAGGAGTCCATGGCTTCGTCCCATCGCTGGAGCTCAAGCTGGACGCAGCCAAGGGCAAACCAGGCGCTGTGGTTGAGGCGGTTGATTTGGAGACTCTTCTGGTAGGCATCCGCAGCCTTTTCCAGGGCAGGAGGCTTCAGGGTGAGGTAATGGCGGGCCAAAGAGCGTTGAGCTCGGGCATATCGTTGGTTGGAGACCTCCCAGGCGCGTTCATACATAGATGGATCAGCTTTGATGTCACCCAGGATGCAGAACAGGCGGGGAGCATCTGCGGGGAGTGGAGAGAGCTCTGGACCATCAAACTTTTCATTTTCGTCATCGGGGTCACTGCCTGCGGGCTTGTAGAGCTGTCGCCGAACCATTGCCTTGGCTTTATCTTCTCTCTCAGTAGCAGCGTAGCAGAGAGCAGCCTCAGCCCACATTTGCAGCCGTTCGTAAATTTCGAGAGCAGTTCTCAGACCACCAAGATTGACCCATCGGGTCGCCAGCTCCTTCTCGAGATCCCAACGTGTGGAGAAACTCAAGAGCCAGATGTAATCAAGTCTATCTGCCGCTGACGCGGACTCGGATTTCTCAGGTCGTGGAAGGAAAGTAGAAGGTTCTTGGACATTATCGGTTGCTTGTGTATCTGAAGTAGCTGTATCCGCTAGAACCTGGTCCACGAGGGCTTGCATCTGCAGGACAGATCGTTCCACAGTCCTAGATCTGTAGCCTTCAATCCGACTTCGTAGCAACAGACCCTGAGTATAGATCTGCCAGTTTGAACTCCCTCCGTCGAGGACTCGCGTAGCATAAGGATGAGTTTCCTCACGGGTGAGTCCGTTTTCCGGTGCAGTGTTCGTAATCGCTGCCGCCAATGCTAAGAGGATTGCAGAGTCAACGGGGTCAAGCAAAGGCTGATTCCCTGGATCAAGACAGGCCAAGGCAGGTGACAGGGAAGACTCGTCTTGGACAGTAACTGCCTTTCCTTGGGACTGGTCTTCTTCCTCTTTAGTGAATGAAATAGCCTCCAGGAGCGTGTCGTCATTCAGATCCAGTTTCTTAGGTGCAGCAGAGACCTGGGCGTTCTCTAAACTCACTGACCCATTAGTATTTGCCCCATCCTCGGTGCTCTTGGCTAGAATGACAAGCTGACTGATGTCACGATCCTGAAACTTTGTCCTCTTTCCCAGTCTACCAGTAAGAGCAAATTCGAACTTCCGTTCAGAAGCGGCCAATTCAAGGTCAGCTCTGGCTTTGGCATCGAAACCATGTTGAATGTGGATGGTAGCTCGCTCAAGAAGGAACTTTCCCTTCTCCAAGCCGGACGGCTTGTCCCCAAGCAGGGCCTTGCTAACTTCTTCTAAGTCATTGTAAATGATATCTTGCAATGTGCTAGTAACTTCAGATAACATCTTCTGATGGAGGAAGTTAATGCGCATCCTAGTGGTCTTCGCTGCTAATGGGCCACCTTCAACCACTGCATCAGTGTCAGCTAAAATAGCCTTTGCAACAGCGAAAAGCTCCACATTGGGGGTCAGCTTGTAGGCGGCCTCTCCATCCACAGACAAATCTCGAATTATTTGGTCACGAATAGCACCGAGCGCAGCAGTGCTCGAACGTAACAGGGACGGGATAATCACATCTGCTGGCTTGAATTCCAACGGAGGACCAGTTACATTCGACTGAAGAAATGCAAAGAGAGCCGCAAGACCAATATGATATAACTGAGACTTCTGCTGTGCAGAACTCAGTCCATACAAGGGTGTTTGGGAGACCAGTGCCTGGGTCTTCTCAACCACAAACTTGGTATAGGAGATCTCCCCACGCGCCACGCGACCCAACGAGCTCTCATTGGTGACGTTATGTCCAAAAACTTCCTGGGCAAGCGGCAATTGTAGAAGAGGAAGTATCTCTACATCTTCTAGACGGATAGCATCGTACTGATCCTTCAATGGGGAGGTCTCGTCAAACAGTGTGTTTAAGGAAGCGGGGTAAACCTGAGTCGAGGATTCGGCCATATTGAAGTTTCGGACGGAGTAATGACAGGGGTTCGAAGGTTGTGTATAACACGTTAAAGGAAGATTTTATAGAGAACAGATAATAATAGAAACAGCACAAATGTCCCACTTGCAACCTTGTGATGATCCGAGGATCAGTATTCAATCAACAGACACGGAGGAGGCACTAGATGACAGATGATAGTCACCGTGTCATGCTTTGTACCCAAGGGGATCTCAAACGAATCTATCAAGCTCCCAGTTATTTGGCAGCAACGAGGAATCCCCAAATAAAACGGAGGGGGGAAAGAATGAGCGAATGGGTAAATAATGAGGGGAATTAATTTGATGCTGATGAAACCCCACCATTTTTTCTTCTCTTGCCTTTTTTTTCATCGCCTTATCGATAAGGCAGAATTCTTGGGCGGTGGAGAAGTCGGTGTGGGAGTGGCATTAGCAAATTTACTTGTGTAGTTTTGGTGGGCAGCAGTATAACCACGCACCATTATCTAAAGATCAAGATATAGATCAGTAGATATTTTGTATGTACACAGCTGTTCAAAGATTGTACCGTGCTTGATGGACAGTCTGGGCAATGGCGAGATGTTACGTGGATTGGCGTAAAACAGGACCGAATACTCCATCCCATATTGCTGTGCTGTTGGTGGTCGCCAATTTGGCCTTCGGAGAAATTGATATTCATACTCCATATATTGTTTCTGTTTGAGTGTGTGTGCCTTTGACCCTCCAGGGCTCTCACTGGTAGAGAAACCAATTGGCCTAGCTTATCAGATATCTAAACTCCGAGTCCTTGAGCACTTGAGGGTTCATATAATTTTCAAAATGCTCATAATTCAATGGAATAATACTCTAGCCACCTATCGCAACACCTCTCCGGATAAGCTTGTTGTAAACTGCTGAGCACCCTTCAGGGCTCCAGTCCTCATCTGGAATATTATAGCTTGCTATTGAATCTCATTATGTGCCGTCAGGGTATCTTGTAAATACCGACATTAATGCATAGACAAAAACACATACACACAAAAGAAGACAAAAAAACACCAACACCGTATATGAATAATGCTCCGTGATACCCAGGACAAAATCGTAGACAAGCAGATGAAATACTAACACAGCCCCATAGCACTCTAATAAACAGAGAAACTGTTTTGGCTAGGTTCAGTTTGTCGTATGTATCATATCATGTATGTACTCGTGTCTGACAACTAACACAAAACCACTACCAATCTTGGCCACGGTCTTTCATGAGGATTTCAATCGCCTCATCTTCCGGAACAGGGTTGTCATTGAGCTCCTTGACGCATTGCGTTAATCCCTCTGCAGCCTCGTCAACTTGCTCGGCCGTCCACCCTGTACATGCCATAACCATTCGACGATAGTTTTGACCCAGAACCACGTTTTTAGATTTGAGTGAATCCACTTCGTCTAATGTGGTCTTATTGAAGGTCTGGTAGCTTTCTATTCGTTGTTGAAGATCCTCAGGAGACGACAACTTGGTAAGATAAGCAATTTGGCCCGCTGAAAACCCAGATGCCGGATCGAAACCTTCCGGAAAGAGTGTCTCAAACTCGGCAATTTCGATCCCTGAGTCTTTGTCCGCGTCACCCACCGATACCACCTTTGATGGATCAAAAAGTTCTCCCTGGATACCCTTGAGGACGACCAAAAGGTTCTCAGATGATCTTTCCAGGTTCTTTAACCGGCGGTTCAACTCGAGACGATCGGAGCACCTCCCTTTCAACTCGTCCAATTGTTTTTGTTCAATCTGCCGAGCCTTAGCAGATTCACGGATCTTCGTGTGCCAGTGTTCAAATTTTTCTTGTTTTTTTGTTAAATTGGAGGCTAGATCTTGGTCAAAGCTCCCTAGAGTTTCCTGAATAATAGTATTGATTTGAGAAAGGGTAGCTAGAAAAGTCAGTATTGATGGAAAGCGATTTAGATGCACTTTGGTCACATACCATCTAAAATTTCTTTCCTTGCTTTTGCCAATTGATCCACGTATGAGTCCCTTGGGTTCCCAGTTTGTGATTGGGAATTGCCGTCCACCAAGTCGACGCCGACGCCGTAATCCGCTGGACGCAGCCCAGTATGGTTGGGAATGTGTGGATCAGCACCCACTTCTAGCAGTTGAGGGACAAGAACAGAGCGTGCCCGTCCGGCAAGATTGAGAGCTGTATCGCCTTGGTCATCTCGAAGATTGACTATTTCCGAGATAAAGCGCCCGAGAGTAATGACTTCATTGGCGTGTGCTGCACTCTGTTTACCCTCGGTATTCCCATTTGGTGTTTGCTGTTTTAGAGGTGTACCACCATGACGTACGATGAATTCCAGCAATGCTTCCAAGTAGTGTTTAGCAGAAACATGACCGCCACCTCCCGTAGCCGCCATCACAGCAATGTGATGGAGAATGGTTCGTCCACTGTGGTCTACCATGTTGATTGTTGGTGCCAAGACTTGTAGGAGACGTGGGAAGCTTCTGTAGTCAAGGTTATTCCGTGTACCAACGGCCTTTTGAAGCGCTGTTTCCCCTGCCCCGTTAAGTCGGAAGATGCTGACACCTTTTTGGACCAGAGCGTGAACCAGTGGCATACGAGCAAGCATAGCCGCCCAGTGTAAGGCATTATTTCGATATTCGTCAAGCGGGATTTCCAGATCCTGACCAGAGAGCTGCACCAGGGCTGGGTGAGTTGAAAAATCCTTGGCCGTTTTATCCAAGAATAATGTCATTATCAACTTCATTTTTTGAAACCTTTCTGGGGTTGTAGCGGGAGGTAGAGGATCGAAAGGACGTATGCCCTCCTCAACGATAGGATTCGGGGCTTCCATATCCTGGTAAAATGAGTCGTTAGGTTCTGTTGGAGTGGGCTCGTTCATCATGGATGCGGACTCGTAGTGAAGACCGAATGACTGCGAAGAGCGAATGCGCTTGCGCGGAGGCTCTATGGGCTCTTCTTGTTCGAAACTCATCACATCTTGTGGGGGATAACGGCCGTTAGTCGGCACATTGCTACCGAACCCGCTGTCAGAAGCAACACTGTATATGCTTTGTTGACTGCCGAAAGGGGCCTGCGGTTCCTGGCTGCCCATCTGCTGCGAAGGTTTTCGGATGGCACTTGAGCGTCTGCTGTCTCCACCTCTCGCTGCGGGGGAGTCAAAGCGGGCTTTACTCATGGCATTGACTGCCGTGGCGGCGGTGCGGGAGATGTTCTGGAAGAAAGTGCCCTGCTGGGGTTGAGACATGCTTCGATTTTCCATACCACTGTAGAGTCGTTTCCTCTGCGCTGCCATTGCCTGCTCCTTTGTAGGAGTATCTAAAGAATCCTGACCCGAGCCACCGGTTCCATTAGGGTTCATATCATATTCAAGAAGGGGCCTAAGCAACTCTTCGACGTGATATTCGCGGCAAAGATCCACTCCTCTCTGGTAATTCACCCACGTGCCCTGATACTTTCCATATCCTCCTTGCACCTTTTCATGCTCACCGGCCGCAATCTCCTTTTCCAAAGTTTTAGTCCTTCGGGCCTTGACCACACCGGCAACCTTAAGAATCTGGGTGGCATTGAGCCAAGAGTCGGAGCGGCGCTTCATTACAGCGACCCCATTCACCTCCATTTCATAGACGGAGACATTGGAATAAACGGCCTGTAAGGGAAGAAAAAGAAGCATCAGTAAAGGAGAAACTAGAAAGGAGTTGGCAACCACAGGGATGCACAGACCCTGTAGATCTGAGGCTTGAATTCCTCGTGGTATATCATAGTTCCATAGCCGTTCATGTCTTCAAACCCATTGAAACCGCCTCTCGCGCCATTTGGACGGCCGTTGCTGTAACTAAACGACATCGCGGACTGCTGGGAGCTTTTCGGAGGGGGAGTAGCGCGCGGCGTAGAAGAGACGGACTGTGAAGCGTTAAAGGAGCCCAACTGGGATTGTGAGAACGATATGCCGTTAGCCGACCCGATGCTACCCTGGGAGTAGGACATTGACAGGTTTGGACGAGATGCGTGGTGGTTGCTGGAGGTCATGTTGTTGGGGGTCCCCAACCGGGGCTACCATGCCATGCGCCTTCTAGGGACGGGGGCTGGCTGAAGGATTAGTAGACGTGGTGATATCCTCTAAAAAATGGCAATAGCATGACCAAGAAGAAATAAACAAATATGATAATAAATTATATAACAGAACAGCACTGCAAAGGAGAAAAGGACATGTGGGGAAATGCACCTGTTGGAGGATCGCCAGAGAATCGATATTAATTGCCGTCGCGCGAGGAGGTGAAGGAGGCGCGTGTGACTTTTTGGGCGTTGAAACAGCCAACCGCGAGCAATGCGTTCGGGAAAACAGCTAGGAGGGCTGGATTTGCCCCTAATCGAAAGATTAAATGACGGAGAATAATTCTGCTTGATAATTAACAACTTTCCAGTCATGTAAGAAGCGAAAGGAAGGGCAAAAGATAGAGAAGATGATATGCCTTGGTCCATTTCCAGGCGCGTTTTGGGACTAGCGCCGTTATTTTTCGCGTACCGAAACGGGTTTCCAGTTTGAGACAAAATTATCGTTCACCGCCTACCGTTTACAGCCACCATGGATATCAGCTTCAAATTATCCCAGCATGCATGAAGACAGGATGAGTTAATCTTCGAGAGCTCACAAGAGAGCATCCCAGCTGCCATGGGGCGACGAATGATCCCTCCCCACGCACGGAATACTACTATTTATGCGCCCTATGAATGGCGAAGTCTTCTCCGTGATCTTCTCCGCCAATGCTCCTTTCTCCCCGATCCTATCGCCCAAGCTGCCTGCCATGACCATGTGATGCAACGCTTTCGCCGCTGGGAAGCCGAAAAAAGACCCTGGGTTAAGTACAAGACTATCAGGGAACACAACAGCTACAAGGATGCCCATCAAAAACTATCTCTGTTGATACGAGCGAACGAAGGATTCCCACGCCCGCTAGAGAAAGTCCTCCGATTCGCATATGGACGCAGTGGGAAGCGACGATGGGAGCTTCTCTCGACGTTGCTCACGGAAAATGTTCCAGCGGACTCGAATGCTGTAGAACATCTCATCAGTACCACAAAGGCCGATTTCGGGGACGATTGGAAGCCGCCGACTGTTTTGGTTGACCTCTTGAAATCACAGAATAACAACCCGTTTGTCGCGCAGCTAAGCAATCGTCCTCCGGTCAAAGAGCTTGAGCCGAAATTCCCGAAGAAAGTTACATGGGGAGGGGGGGTTGCTTTCAATCGCCGAAAGAATATCCGCCGGGATTGGTATAACAATGTGTTATCGGTCATCCTTCCGCCTTTGCCGGACTCAGAGCTGCAGGTATTGGAGGGCTTAATCTCGGGGAAAATAACATGGAAGCGCAGGAGCAAAACCTTGTCCGAAGGAGACTTTAGATTCGTGGCGGACCATCACTCTCACCCTGGTAGGCGTGTTCGAAGACTTTTGTCGTACGGACCGCGCAAGGAGCAAACGTTTGAGGCGTATGCTAGTGGACGCCCTCACACTATTACGCGGCGCTTGATGACTAGGCTTTGGCAGCGCATATCATGTCTGGTCCCGCGCTCGAGGTGGGATACGCCCAGTGGAAAGCACTACTTTACCTGGGATACAGTGAAGCCTCTCCCATTACTAGCTGCTTCCCCCGCAGCGACGAAAAGCTCGGAAGAACTGTTTGAAAGCAAAATAGAAGATATCAAGCTAAAGCGCAGATTGCCATTAACGGCTCTAAATGTGCCGGATGCTGAGGATGATGTTGATTGATGCGTTTTGTAATATACAGATATCCCCCCCCACCAACCATTGTACTGTACATAGGAAATAAAAATACATTTTCAAGTAATGTGTTCTTAGGCCAGCCAGGCTGCAACCTCAAGAGGACAATTCGTGTGGCTCATCAAGAACTAAACCTCGACAGGCCCTACCCTCACTTCACCTCTTTTCTGTAACTCTTGTATGTCGCGTATCTTTTCCTCCTGTTTCGCGCGCTGCGCGCGTTTCGTCGCAAATCGTTTCTTAGAACCGAATCTCAACTTCGTTATCAGATCCGCAGCCTGGCCACGCGTGAGGTCGGCTGGCTGAATTGATCCTTGTCGGATTTTGGCTGCATTTAGAAACTGGACTTGTGATTGCGATGCCCTGTAGTTTCGCCAGGCTTGCCGGGTAGAAATGTAGTGTTCATCAAAATGAGACGCTGCAAAGGTATCTGCTGCACGAACAGCAGTCTCCAGGTCGTTAGCGCTGGCAATCAGACGTGGACGAGTGAACTGCTTAGTTTCACCTGCCGATTTGAATGTCATGACATGATGGACGGTGAATAACGCTGATGTTCCATTATGACCCGAAGGCGATTTTTTCTCAACGGTCAACCACCCGGATCTATCTGATAGAAGATGTCGGTTCTCTCCAACCCGGACCCAAGCATAATGACTAAACGAGCGGATGTGTTTCTCAGATTTCATGTCTTGAATAAGGTCATAAATCGTGTCATATTTGGTGAATGTGAGTTTAACTTCGTCAGAGATATCGGATTCCTCTTGGAGAGAAGATGTCACTTCATCTGATTGAAAGTCTTCGTCTGTCCGGGCGAGCTTCTTTTCCCCCAAGTCTTTTGCAGTTGTTTCTTTCAAAACCTCATCGGGGTGTAGTCCAAATAGGGTTGGCGTGGATATTACCCCAGTATCTAGCGTAGCAACCATGTCAATGACATGGCAGTTCTCCTTGCCAGGATATAGGCGTAACCCCCGTCCAATCATCTGAATAAGAAGATTACGCGACCGGGTTGGCCGTGCGAGTAGTACGCAGTCAACATTGGGTATATCGGTTCCTTCTGTAAACAACCCACAATTAAGAAGAACCGGATACTTTCTCTCTCTGAAGTCATCTAACTGTTCATCTCTTACTCCTTTAGGAGTTGTGCCCGTTATGTATCGAGCATCAATGCCGTATTGGCGGAATGTGTCAGTCAGCTGCTTTGTATGCTCGATATCAACACAAAACACTAGAGTAGACTTTCGTTCTGGTGCGTTGGCCAGCCAAGCGCGCACGGTTATGTCATTGGTTTTGGTAGTGTTAACAGCCTTAGAAAGTGACCCTAGGGCAAAATCTCCGGACCTATCCTTCCTGACCCGTGATAAATTTGCTTCAGATTTAATGGTGGTGAACATGGCGTTGGCAAGCCATTTCTCATTGATCATGTCCATGTAGTCTTTATGGTATACAATATGATCAATGGCTGCGCCTATTTTAAGCCCATCAAAGCGTGAGAATGTCGCCGAGAGACCAACAAGAATAGGCGAGTCCGCAGTTTTTTCATTGAGCCCAAAATGCTCGAGAGCTGTCCGGTAGGTTGGTGCGACGATATGGTGTGCCTCGTCCACCAAGACTAGTTTGAAGCGTTGCGGGTCAAATTTCGCAATACGATCCCCAGAGGCCAAGCTCCTTACGGAGGCAATGATGATGTCGCCAGCTCCTGAAGCTATGCGATTGCCCATCTCAATCTCAACCGTTCGGTCAGGATATGCAAGACGGCAATGCCGATACGCCTGCTCGGCCAACTCTCTGCGATGTACAATAATCAGAGACTTATCCCCAATTTTATCTCGTACTGGGATTCTCCCAATAAGCTGAGTAAAAATGACCTACGTGAAAAGCATAAATAGTCAGTCGCTGTTGATAACGGGACCTTTGCAGTGTAATATATGAAACTAACCGTCTTCCCGGAGCCGGTGGCTAGGGAGACCCCCAGACGCTTATGGCCATCACGTACGTGGTCTAAAACCGACCGAATGCATTCTTCCTGATAGTCCCTGAGTTTGATAGTAGGCGAATCTAAACAGGGCTTAAGTGGTGTTGACGTGGAGTTCCAATGATGAGGTTGCTGCACGGCCAAAGTCGGAAGCCTCCGTGGGGGTTTGGCTATCCTGAGGGGGAACCGTGAGAGTAGGCCCGAACCCAATCTACGACAAAGGTACTCCATTCATAGGCCATGAAACATAGCGGATTCTTCAGAGATCTCCAACTGGTAATTTGGGTGTTTCTGCATGTAGAGCTTGAAGGCACCTTTTACTGCTGATAAACCAGGGCAAACAAACAATGCAAACATCATCTTATCAGTATGTAGTCCCTCAACTTTTTTTCCCCAAACGGAGCTTTCTTCTATTGCAACGCCCACATGGCGGAGATTCCCCGCCTCATTCCCTACGCCTTTTCTCGCGATTCAACAGGTCATGATTACTTTCTGTCCTCGAAGTCCATGCCTTTGGTGCGGTTTCTTTTTCGACCTCCGAACGCTCGACGATGAGCACCTCTGGTCACCGTGCGCCGGAGGACGATGGCGACGCACCGGATATTCCGTCCAGTATCATACCACGGGCTGATCGAGGCACGCGTGCTGAGGCATACGAGAGTCTGTGCATGTCACTGTCCCCGAAATCGGCTGAAGCGTACGGTGCACTTGTCGACCTACTCATCCAAGACGAACCCGACGACGAACAGGGCGCTTTTAATACTACACAGGATGGCGCTGTGATCTGGAACTCTAGGGAGAAGCGCATCCTCTATCATATTCTAGATAAGAAGGGCAATAATGGAATCCCAGAGATTTCACAAGCTATCGGATCGAAATCAGAGCTCGAGATTCAGGAGTATTTGAAACTTCTTCACAGCGGTCTGCGACACCAACATTTCAACCAAAGCCATGCCAGAGCCATCATTCTAAGCGAAATACCTGCTGCTGCCGAAATAAGTAAGGCTTGTTCTAGTGCACTTGATGAATATGCCGAGTTTCTTTGCCTGAAGGAGCAACTGGCCGAAGACGTTATTGGGAAACAGAAACACAAGAACCTGTGGATCATTGATCGGGAAACTGCAGAGCACGTGGAGGAACCCTTCAAACATCTAGATGGGCAAGTGGGTATTGTTTCTAGTGCTGAGCGCACCTCTGGATTGCTCAATCTGCCAAAATGGATCCTGCTCTCGGAACGCTTGTTTATGAACTTCGGTAGCTCAAGGCTTGAGGATAATTGGGCCAATGTAGCATTCGAAGATGAATCCCCATCAATGACAGCTGAGGCTTGTGGGGAGTTCCATGATATAGCTCTAAAGATAACCCGTGACCTAGTTCAGTCGGCGATCGAGTTTGCTCGGATGAGGTGCCGCGGGAAACGAACGGGACGTCGACCAGCAAAAGTTGTGCGGTCCTCAGATGTGAGAAAGGCAGCGCGCTTACTCAACATGAAGCGGAACAGCTCTGACTTTTGGATTGGATTGGCGCGACGATGTTGCCTTGACGTGGCAGACATCCGGCACAAGAAAGGGTGGAAAACAATCAGGCTAAATTACGATGAAGTAGAGGGTGTACTATCTGGCAAGACTCAACTCCCTAATGAACCTTATGAGAGACCGTCATCAGAAATAATATCCCGGAGAATTTCTGAGGCTAGTATAGCGAGCGAATCATCATTCGATCCGCAAGATGACGAAGACGACCTTGAAGTCGCGCATGCTGAAGCCCTCGATCAGAAAATCAGCCATGCCCAGGAGCTACATTGCTGGACACTAATCGGCAAGCCGCCCCCAGCGTCATTTAGTGCCCAGGTTCAGGATATCAAGCTCCCACCAAGGCCAAAAGGTAAACGCAAAACTATGGAGGAGCTGGTAGATTGGCGCGACAGAACCCCCTATCACAGCGAATGGGAAGAGTACGGCTACGAGACTAGAGAACTACACAAGAAGCTGAGAAGAAACCACCGGAAGAGACGACGGATAGAGCCTCCCACCGCCGGATACCCAAACAATTTCTCTAGCCGGGACAACATTAGTGGCAGTACTGGAGCTGATATTCTGTCTGCTAATAAAAACGGAACTACATTGTTTGGTGCTGGAGACGCAGATGCGATATCAGAACCTACCTGGTTTGGAACCAAATCCGCACAAAAGCCTGAAAGGGGGGATGAAAATGCCGTTTCTCCGAAGCAGGAATATGAAATGGAAGTCGACTTCGAGTCCGATCATCATGAAACGCTCGACCACAACTACCCTTACCAAAAATATCTTACCCCCCCGGGAGCCAAACCAGCAGATGATGGCATATCCTCTGGCTCAGAGAGCCTCCCGAGTCCGGACAAAAGAAATTTGTACTCGTCAGATAGCGAGGACGACAACGACAACGACAACGACAACGACAACGACAACCCGGACGAGAGAGGGGTTTTCTCTGCACCCATGACTCCATTCGACTCCTACGCGGATTAGATGAACTCAACCGTTTACCCAGCTGGCTGGAACTCATGAATAAAACTTCACGTTGCCATTGTCAATTCTTCTGGCGCCGTTTCTGGGTTATTGCACTTTTATGTGATGTTCTACTCCGTATTAGAGAGATATTATCTGCGAGGGTCTACTTCGGACATGGAATGTACCAAGGAAATTTTCATGTACATCCATGGATAATCTGAACAGGAGAAAAAGGAAAGGAATTTAAGGGTAAATTCAGTTGTTGATTCACTATAATAAAAGAACACAAAAGATATAGCACTGGAACTCCAAAACGAAATGCGCCCTTTTCCTAGTAATCAATGAAATCGACTGTCAACTCGAAACAATCGTCCTTTAATAGTGGTAATGTAATAATAGTTGTAAGAAGAAAAATCTCCCCTCGCCCACCCCCCGCCATTTACCCAGAAGAGGATAAGAAAGAAAATAAAAGCTAGCAGTGCTCCGCGTGTCGTTCTCCCGCTGAAATCCACCGACCCGTTTCATTCTTCCTTGTCTCGCCGTTTACCAATTCAATACTTACCAATTGCTCGAGTCTTCTCCTCGCCAGAAGATATTGTACAGGACAACGCATGGATATCAACGAGATAAATGCTCATGGTCGTAAGAAACCCCAGAAGTGTATTACTTCATTTGGCCCAACTTGTCGTTAAAACACATATTTCCAATTTCGTGCACATTCGCGATGACGAACGCCTTAGACTCGTCCGCGCCGTGGGCAGGAACTACAGGTCCAAAGTCTTGAAATCAGCGCCCCCGGTGGTGCTCAGAGGCTGTGGAGCACCTCCTGCAACGGCCGGGTGAAAGTTGTAGCGGTTGTTGATGCCTGTAGTCGCAGCATCGGCAATCAGGTCGCCATTGTCTCCGTTGGGACCTTTCAAACTGAGGGACTGAAGGTTATCCTGGACTTCCTTAACTCGCGTCTTGAAGGCCAGTCGATCCAGGAAAAGTTGCTGGCGAGCAAGTTCGAGTTCACGGCGTTCAGCCTCGATAATCTCCTCCATTTCATTGAATTGTTGGAGCTTGATTTCGAACTTTTGAAGGGTAACATTGACAGCAGCCGACACTAAGCGAGTCATCTCACGCTCCTCATGGGAAGCAAGAGCGCCGGCACGTGCAGCAGAAGCTGCAAGCGCAACTGTGGCAAGTGAGGGTTTGGACTGTTTCTCAGAGGACTCAGCAACCTCTGTAGAGGTTTCCTCCCGAGCAGCATCCACATCCATAGAATCTTCACTCTTCACTGCGGTGCCTTCCTTCTCCTTGCCCTTCTCTTGTGCCTTGTCACTGGGTCCCTTCTCCAGTTGCTTCTTGAGTTCTTTGCGGATCTCTTCTACCGACCGTCCGGCAGCGGCAGCGGCAACTGATGGCTCTGCCATCTGGGCCAGGAACGCAACCACGGACAAAACTGGATTCTCGACGTGGCTAACGGGGTCTCGTCCAGGTCCGGCCCGCACCTCCGGCGTCTCGTCGAGGTATTGATCTTCGATTTCGAGCTGGAGGAACTTCATTACACACTCTTCCTTTGTTCTGGAGCCAACGTGACTTGCAATCTGCTCCCAGTTGTCGTCAAAGTTCTCAAGTCCTTCAAGGAGGAGGACAAGTTCGGAGTCAGACCAAGGGGCGTCCCGATCCGGAACAGCTGTGTATGAGGTTTCCTCAAGTTTCACAAAGTCTGAAGCGTTGTGAGTGGAAGGCATTCTCCCCTGCAAGAAACAATTAGGACAAAGGTCGTATTTTGAGTCTGGAGCATTGGTGTTGGTGGTAGCTGGGGTCGACTTGGCATAATGAAATCGGAGGCGCGTGCAGTCAATGCCGCAGGAGAAACAGTTAACCTTCTTTCGTGGTTCTTTGGAGGCGGTTTCCAAAGCTTTAGCGGCGTCACCAGGGGTACCATTGGCTGTCGATTCGCCATTGGCTTGCTTCTCCTTATCCTCAGCGGCTGGAGTGATCTCCTTTCCTTTGTCGTCGTAGACATTACGGCGGATTTCGAGATTCAAATCAGCCTTGGGTGCGGGAGTGGCCGAAGCAGCGCGCTCCGTCGCTGGCAAAGGCTTGCCAGGCTTAACAAAATGATTTGGCCCAGGCTGGAATGGTTGAAGGCCACGTGGGGTATCTGCAACGACTCTGAAATGGCCTGTGAAAGGGGGGCCGATGTTGGATGGGCGTGTTTGAGGGTCCACCTAGAAAAAAAAAAAAAAAAAGGCTGCATCAGTATCCATATACCTCTCCGGGAGCGAAGCTGGTACTAACCTGATAGTTAATCAAGCCCCATTGCTCAAGGAAGGAATGGACTCGCATGATGGCACACACGTCTCCGGCCAGATTACGACGGCATGCTGTGACAGTAAGGTACTCGATTGGGTTCAGTCGGTAGGTGTTGATCATGAAATCTCGGTAATCCTTGTAAACGGCTGGCGTCTTGCTGCGGTTTCTGCTGTTGAAAAACTCCGCCAGAGCTTTCTTCTCAATGGGATGAATGGTGTGCATATCGAACCAAGTGGAATAACTAGGGAGGATAATGGCGTGTGTTTGCGACACGAGGTGTGAGCGCGCGGAAGCTTCGATGGAGGATTTAGCCTGCGCCGGTTGCTCCTCAGACGCGCCTTCAGCACCCGACTGCGCAGCAACATCTGCCATATCTTCGCCGCCATCGTTTTCTTTCTTGGTCTCATTCTCAGTGCCACCCATCTCCTCATCCTCGGGTTCGCCGTCGGTGTTCCGGGGCTTGGGGGACGAGGGGGCATCTAGTGGGTTATCAGTCCCCGGTAAATTCTCTGTCGGTGATTCAGAAGTCGTTTGATGCGACAGCGATTCTGAAGCCATGTCACCCTTGCGAAGGGGAGGGGAGATGGTGGCCGGAGCCACTCATTGGGGGATGAAAAGGTAAGTAACACACGCACCGGAAGCATTGATCACATCACCAGGGGCATCCTGGCCAGCAGTCACCGCAACATCATCGGCGAGACCGCTCGAAACAACCTGGTTCTCATCCATCGTGGAATGCTGATGAATTGCTGATAGAGATTCGGGTCGCGGGTCACGGGGCGAACAAGGGTCCTAGCTGTCCTTAAGAAGTCGACGGACGAAATGGACAGGGCGCACATGCAACTCTGTGATTTAAAGAAATAAACGCGACACGACACAGAGAATTGAGGATGGGAACAAGTGGGGGGATCGACTCCCAGGACGAGTTGCTGGAGGATCTGCCGTATCTGAGGGTGTTGGAAGCAGAGCAACTCCAAGTTTGCTCGCTTTGTCGCGCCTTCGCGCCAAGACACGCTAACTGGTTGTGGATTGCTTATGTAAGTCTCCACGCTAGCCGTTTCTAGCCAAGCCAGTCTTGTTGTTGCCTCAGGCTGCCATCAGGCTAGAACAACAACAACCGTTGATCAACCCGGGATACGGAGTAGTACCTACTTTTACTTATTTATGTGGTGCTGAAATCATGATCCTTTTACTCATATGATGCTGAATTATCTACCACTATCTCACAATGCTCGAACAAATACCAATCTTCCCTGTCACTCATCCTCCAGCTCTCAACCACCAAGTCCACATATCTGGCTCGTATGAAGTAAACCAGCCACATAGCCCTCGACCAGCACCGTATAAATGACCAGAGCAGTGAGGATCAAATGCAGGCCACACTTACACAGGGCCGCATTCGCTCGATTCCCACAGCTTTTCGCACTCGACTCGGATACATAATGTGACTCGACCATCGTTTTCGCCCATTTGGTCGTCTCGAGATTCCGTTCCACGAGAATACAAGGAGTCACGTTGATGGCTAGCTGCAGGGCGACAATCAAGCCAGCCGGCCTGCACCAAGAACAAGGACTGGGGGTTCATGGCAGATTGTTTGCCGTCCTGCCGGGGGCTTAGTCCTGACCAGATCTTAACATTATCATGTATGTTTGTTCCAATCGGGGTAGATCCAACCAAGAAAGAGGGTGATCATTAATACCTGCAGGAAATATTTCTAGATATGGCCCTGTCGTGTAGTTACTACAGATCTTAACGGTAACTAGATCTTCAGGATTGAATGCCTCTAGGTGAAGGAATAGAGATCTAGAGCCAAACATAGGCATCTTTATATTGAAGATCTGCAAGCTAGTGATAGTTACTTGAGCTGGTGCCAATTAGTAAATTAAATTATGCACTGGTCATGATCATAGAATCGAGTAATATCGTTTACTGAGATCTCTGGTACTTCCTCAATAGTAGCTGTCAAATTTAGTACTTGAGAGCATGAGAATAAGATATGGAATAGAATCCATCAACAACGAGCACTGATTGTATTTGCTGACTGAATGAATGAAGAATAAGCATTTTCTCAGAATAAGGCTACTATAGTAAAATGAATGTAAAAGATGAAATTCAGGCCGTATTAGCGTCCATCTCCATTTTCAATATCCTTCCACCAAGTCTCAAAAACCTTCCCAGCTTCCCGCAGCACATCATACCCAAGGAGCTGGTCTTGATAGGTTGAAGAAGCCCATTCATATGGACCTGGTTTTGGCTGGGCCCAATTGACTTCTTTTAGCACTTTGTCTCTTTTGGCCTGCTCTTCGCCGTCGGGCAAATGATAGAACCATCGGTTGTGAACGGCACCTTGTACGTTCACGGTAGTACGATGCTTGCGCAGGTTTTCGAAGAGCGACAGGATCTGTTTGATTCGATCTGCAGGCAGCTTGCCTCCAAGACGCGCATGGGCAATTCCAAGCAGGAGCCCAAGGACACCCCCGTCCTCCACAGCCATAGCGGACCCCTGGGCTTGGTATGGGAGTGTAGGGTGGCAGGCGTCGCCGATGAGAGTTGTGCAGTTCTGGATAGATAGCATGCGGTAAGCCAAATAGACATCAAGCGGCATAATAGCGAGCCTTACCTTTTGCCAACAGTCAAGTTCTTGGAGGTGCATGAGCTTCCATTTTAGTACAGAAGGGACGCATGAAACTATATTTGTTACCCTTTTCTAGGATGTTAGCGTGTGTCCATTGGTGTTGACCCATAGCCTGAAGAACTAACACCTCATCCCATCCGGTGAAGCTTTCTTTCATTTCATCGAGGTCCCCCTGCGTCGTTCTCACATTGGTAGGAAGATTATCAGGGCGCAGAAGGACTAGATTGTACTCCTTCCCGTTACGAATGGGATAGAAAACGCAGTGTCTGTCCGGTCCCATCCATAGAGTGACAGTGTGTCGTTGACATAGCTTTTCTATTTCTGGATCGTTGAGAGCTTGCAACTGCTCTAGCGAAAATGTTGCTCGATAAGCCAGGTCCCCTGTCTCGAATGGCGCGACTGGGGTTTCAAGGACCTTGTCCCGGACGACGGACGAGAGGCCTTTACAATCAGACCAAGAGCATGCTGTTAGCGAAGTGAGAGAGACGTTTTAACTTCAATATACCTCACCATCGGCACCCACAATCACATCACCAGCGATCACTTTTCCCGATCTCAGCGTCACCTTGGTTTCGGATACATCAACGTCTACACCCTCAGCGTCGAGCTCAACCACGGCCCCAAGTCGCTCTGCCTCTTTCAAGAGAATATCGTGGTAGTCTGCACGATGAACAACTCTGCAAGAATGTAGGTGTCCAGTCAGTCAGTCAGTCACCCACCAATGCTAGAGATCTCGACAAAGAACACTAACAGCCACGGCGCACCCATAGCATCTCGAAACTCCTCCCCCAAAGGCCGCTCTGTTAGCAGTGACCCGTCTGCATATCGTCTTAACCCCAAGCTCTCCACCTGAATTGCCTTCTTTCGGATCTCCGGGAGAACCCCGTAGGTGGCCAACACCCGGCCCGCATTTGGAGGAATTTGAATCCCAGCCCCGATCTACCATCCAAGGCAAAAATTGAATCGAAACAGAACGCCTATTTATTTAGTCGTCACGGACAAGATGGGATCCAAACTCACCTGTAAAATCTTCGGCGCTCGCTCAAGCACATGCACACGCAATCCCCAGCGTCTACACTGAATCGCACACGAGAGGCCCCCTAGGCCAGCGCCAACAATCACAACAGTCGGTGGGATCATTTCGATAAAAGCCCTAGTAATTAGTTCCTGATGCGGGGCGCTTTTTATCTTTTCTTTTTTTTTTTCCCAGAAGAGGTATACTTATACTTGATGCATGCTGCTTTCTCTTGAATTCCGCACCCGAATCAACCGTGGGCCCGCAGTACAGAAGTTCGGAATAGATGGCAGGATGGGATAAAATACAGATATACCGGGAGGGGGAAACACAGAGAGACAATTCAAAGAGTCCTAGTCATCGTTACACCAGATTCCACCCATCGGATGCTGACCCGAGTCCATATGTATCCGCCATCACAGTTCCTTTGTTGAGTCCGATATTTTATTCCAGGCGTTCACCGGTATCACAGAGGGATGCCTCATGACATGGAAATAAGATTCTTTCGGAAAAATATCTAGTATACTATTTGGATTCTGTGAAATGCGTGGCTAGTAAACACTACAGGCAGTGTTACATGAGTATCATCCCATCCTCCGTTGTACTGTTGTACGCTGATTGAGTCCGCGCCACCGAAAGATCCTTTGATACGGAAGGTACAACCACTTCGAGAGATGCAGCAATCCACTACCCAAGGACAAGACAGACCTTCCTCTTCTTATCCACGTCTACATTCATATTCACATCCAAGTCTTTCATTTATGATACATTCCCTCCTTTCAACCCGATAGTACAATCAATCAACCCATATTCATACCCATATATAAACTTCACAGCCACATCCCAACCAGCCAAGCCCCATGAGAATCCCAAGTGTAAGTGTATCTGCATACTGTATCTTCATTCTTCCCAACTCACTGACCATAAACCCAGCCTCATGAAGTCCCCAAATGCCTCTCATTCACCCCATCGTCCAACTCCACAGCTGAGCTGGCGCTGGTAAGGCACCTGTTTCCCAGCCCAATCAGCCCAACTCACAACTAACGATGGATAATGAAACAACGCGGAAAACAGAGAATGTTTGAAAAGCTGAGCGCATTCGTCGTAGCAATGAAAGCCATTGAAATGCTCACGGCCCAAATCAAAGACCTCACTGAGCGGATCGAGATCACGAACGAGGAGATCCGCGAGTTAGAGAGCATCGAAGCCCAGTGGAGGAATATTATGGATGTTGAGATCCAGTTTGCGTCGATTTTCCAGGGGGTGGAGGAGATATTAGTTGGTGATGCTGAAGAGACGAAGGATGAAGAGTGATTGCTTCGATCTTTGGTTAAAAGAAAGGTATCAATACGGAGCTAGAAGATGCGTTTCTTCTTCGTTGGCTTGGTTCTGGTAGGTATCATCGTATAGCTTAATTCATTGGTATATGCGCATTGGAATCCTGAGTATTGTTATGTCTACGCCTTTGATATTGATATTTGTCATTAAAAGGACGCTTGAGTGCTAAAAATGAACCATGATTTCTTGTATATCAAACAGCTTCCAAGCTTTCCAGTATTCAGCATATTTCATCGGCCATTACGGATGAAATAATTAGCCCTAACTTGCACTGGGCTCATTAATTGCACCACACAGTTCTTGCCCCTCTATCCTTAAAATCCAAGATAGGACAAACATAGAGAGATAGTCATAGGAGATAGAGGTACAAGTAGAAATCATGCCCTTCAGACATGTCAGCACAATCAACCACACCAAGACCAAGACCAAACCGAAACATCAGATAGGCACGTACGTACCAGAACGGCAAATTCACACAATAAGCAATACATACATATCGCCCTTGATCCTGACTTGGAGGTTGACTTCTCGTTCGAGGCCAAGTGAGAAGCCAAGAATATTGTGTAATTCTTCTTCTTCTTCTTCTTCTTCTTGTTCATCATTGGTCTCATAGTCGCTATCCTCTCGAGAACTTAGGAAACTTGAGAAGTGCAACTCTGGAGAATGATTCTTTTTGGGCTTCTGGTCGTGAGGCCGGATCTGTTGTCTAGAACGGGGATAAAGAGTAGGTCGAAATGGGATCGTTGGAATTAAGTTGGAAAACGCAGAGTATATATATATATATATATACTGTATACCTACTGCTAAGCCCACTGCACTTGGTGACGTCATATAGTAATACCTACTCTATGATCAGGATAGAAAGAATCGACATCTACTTGTTTCCAAGTATTACGTGCAGGCCCCCCTTTCGAGTCATTATCATTAAATGGGACGCACTAGAGTTCAGAGCAATAACCTTCCTTCCTTCCTGGATGAAGTACGGAGTAGCAAGCAAGCAAGCAAGCGAGCCCTAACATGTCAACATATCAACAATGAGACTCATCACACCAAGACAGTAGATCTCAATAGAATGCACCCCCCCCCCCCTCTATATGTCTAAGCGCAAGGTAATTCAGAAGGGCATTCATAGAATTGGCAGAGTCGGCGATGAATCGACTACCTAGTTGGATGCAAGCCCCTCCTCCGGATCCTTCGCATCTCTCCCCTTCTCTGCAACAGCCGCAATATCCGCATCATGGGCAACATCAAACTGTCTTCCTAACCGCTCAGGCCCCAAAAACGTCACGATAATCGTATACGCATAAACACAGCCCATGAAAATACAAATAACCTTGCCGTACTCGTACCGCTTCTGGCCTTCTTCGGTTGGCGGGAGCGGGAACCGCTCCCCGATTGTTGACTCGATCGTCGAACTCGCCGACGACACCAGGTTACCGAGCTGGTAGGCTGTACCGACGGTGAACGTGCGGATTGCACCGGGTGAGAGCTCCATCAGGTGAATGGGGATGACGCCCCATGCGCCCTGGACGCAGAACTGCTCGAAGAATGCGGCAGCCATGACGCGTTCGGAGGTCACGAAAGTATACGGGTAGAGAAGAGCGCCGCCTACAATGCTGATGGCAATGATGGAGAAGCGGCGGCCGAAGATTTGACTTGCCCAGCCGCAGAGTGTGCCGCCAGTCAAAGCGCCGAGGTTGGCGACGACCTGGGTGACCGTCACAGCATTGGAGGAGAAGCCGAATTGGCGTCCAAGCATGGTAGGGTAGAGGTCCTGGGACCCATGGGACTAGATGATTGGGTTAGAATATTTCGTTGTTCTTTTTAGGAAGAGAACATAAGAAGGTATCAGGTACCATAAAGTTGAATCCGGCCATCAGCAGCACCAGGTAGATCAGGAGCATCCAGTGCCGCCTCACAGCGACTTTACCCTCCGACATGAAAGTAGCCGTGACTCCACCGCGGATTTCCTCGCGGATGGCCTGGCGCTCCCGGTATGCGTTGGTCTCAGGAAGACAAAGACGGAAGATAATCACCGGCACTGGAAGACAACCAGAAAACCAGAAAAATGGTCTCCATCCGTGCGACGTAGTCCCGACCAAGGCGCGAGCAAACGCCGTAGCCAGCAAGTACCCAAATGCATACCCTTGCTGCAGCAGGCCAGATACAATACCTCGGGCTTCCATGGGACAGTCTTCCAGCGCGGTAGCAGCGACGTTACCGTACAGGCCACCCATGGCAATTCCAAAGAGCGCGCGACAGGCAAGGAACTGTCTATATGTCTGGGTGAAACCCGTTCCAATCTCCAGGGCAATGAAGAGAATGTTGTTCACGATGAAGGGCCACTTGCGGCCCCAGCGGTCGGAGGCAATTCCGAAAAGAATGGCACCGACGGACCGGAGCATTAACACGAGGGTAATGCCCCAGGTGATATCGGTGATAGACTTATCGAATGTCTCCGCGAGCTCAGAGGTAGTCAAAGAGACGGTGAAGAAATCCAGGGCGTCGAGAGTCCAACCAAAGAACGCGACCTACAGCTGTGAGCGTGGCACTTGGAGAAGAAAAGAAAGCAGAGGGGGACAAGAGTGGAACGAACAGCAAAGAAAAGCCATTGTTGTCTGTTGAGTAAAGCAAGGGCCTTGAAAGGATTCGGCGCCTCGTTCATAGGCGGCTTGAGGGTTGGCAGACGCGTAACCAGATACTTTCTCCAGCTCATAGACAGCGGCTCATGTATCACAGGGGATTCAATGTGCTGGCCCATCGGAGACTTTTCCTCGCTGGATTCGGCCATGGTGAGCTACAGAAGAGAAAGAAAGCTCTGGCGGAAAGGAGGCACCCCTTGGTTGGTCGGAAGCAGAAAAGGCGAAGAAAGACGAGAGAAACCGAGGGCCGCGAGAGGCTTTATGCGTCACAGGAAGAACTGGGAAGCGGGAAATACCCATCTCACCCCGCAGAAGATAGCCAGATGCCGATCAGTCAGTCTGGCTTGGGCCAACTTGGCTGATTGGGGAGGAGGAGGAGGCGGGCCGTATAGTAGTACTACCACTACTACGGATGGGGCGAAGAAGTTAGGTCATTAGGACAATGGAGAATGTTGTTAAATGGAAAGATACGCGAGACACTGCAGATGACTGCCTCCGTCTTCTTGTTTAGAATGGTTGCATTCCGAAAGGATTGATGTTGAAGTAAAAAAAGAAAAGAGACGAGAGCAAGTCACCTGAGCTGCACCAAAAACCCTCCATCCTGAGATTTAATTCCCCGTAATTCAAAGTAACCATCGTCATGATTATTATGATTACCGTTATGCATATTAATACCATAGATACCCACCCCTGGCCGGCCTGAGCTGATCACTGACAGAAACGACACTGTCGATGCTCTTTTAAGCTTCCCTTTCACCCACTAGCATCTATATCGTATAGGCCCGGTATATCCTCCCGGAGCACAAGAAAGCTGGTCCTGCCGATTAAGAATTTAAAAAAAATGAAATAAAATAAAAACCGAATAAGAAAGCATAACACAATTGTAACATGGGAAGAAAGTTGATGATAATGGAATGATATTGCTAACTAAGAAAGAATTCATTACTACCTAGGTAGCTAAGACGGCTAAAGGCAGGGTGGTAATAGCGATTAAAAAACAAAACTCTGCAGTGGAGACACCACTGGTATACTCTGTACTAGTTCGTGCTTTGGTTCTGGAGTTGCCGTTGCGTGGCTCCCAAAAATCTTTCGCAAATTGGATCAACCTCGTGAGTATGACATCGCCTTCCATGATTCCTGCCGCTTGGCGGCCAACGAATATGTCAAAATCAAGACGAACCTCATCTGTCGGAGTGACAGCTTGCGTGACAGGGTCCATCAAACGGCCAGAACTCGTAGGCACGGTTGCCCCAGGTGCACGTAAAATATCCATCAACAGAATCCGGAATGCAGAGAGCGGCATATTGCCGGTGCTGATGGCAGAGTTTCTATCATCAACCTTCCAAACTTCAATCGTAATCAAATCATCATCGTTGTTGTAATTAAGGGAGATCGTTAGGGCAGTTCTCACGGTGGCGCCTGGTGTCTCCAGCCAACCCCGAGCGTCAATAGCAAGCCGCGACGCGGATTCTGAGGTTCCGATCTCGACAACAAAAGTGGCTAGGAATTGATGCCATACTCACAAGGGACCTGTTAATCCAATTTGCGAAAGATTTTTGGGAGCTGCGTGGCAAAGCACGAACTAGTATACCGGTGGTGCTTCCACTGCGGAGTTTTGTTTTTTTTTTAATCGCTATTACCACCCTGCAGATGTCGGGCTCCTTGGCCCAATCCCCAAGCCTATTTATTAGCTGAGTCTGATGGATTTGCACGGGCAGTTTCGATCAGAGAGGGTTTCAAATTGTGAGCTGGTCACTCCGGAAAACTCGAGGTATTGTTGTGCGATCTCACGTCGTTGAAGAAGGGCGTAATAGTGGTAGACGGCCTCGACGAAATGGCCATCTCCAGCGTACTTCAAGTAGATCGTACCGTCTGGGACATGGTAGATGCTGGAACGTCTGAGGCGCAGGTGGAGGAATGGAAACAGTCGCGGCGGGGAAGATGGCCTGTAGGCTGGACGGTTGCACCTGGCGAGTCCATCGTAGCGATTATCTTAGGAAGGTGGTGCAATCTATCTGATGGATCATAGATCTGAATGCAGGGATATTAATAGGCCACTCCGATTGAACGAAGATTACGCTCAGATGGACCTTACCTTGGATTTGAGGTTAGTGATGAGAGCCCTCAAGGAAGCGTTGAAAGCTGAAGGAATCTTAGACAACAAAGGGCGTTCATATTGAGGTGATTGTCACATGACGGCCACCACTCCACTGAGTATTATGAAGAAAAAAACTACCTGATCACTGCTCAGCGCCCTCATAAAAGCGGGACATTATCCTGTCTATATTGTGTACGGAGTACACCCTCCGGGAACTTCGTTTACTTTTCCCTACCGACAGAGCCAACCAATCCTCTCATACATAGCTTCATCCCATCACAGGAATAAGTAGCCACCAAAACCAGTCGAGTCCTCCGAGAACGAATGAGAACCGACTCGAGACAAACAAGTTACTCTGTACGGAGTACTCCGTACCAATATCCGAATACCTACTATGAGCATGGAACATCCCCCCCACCACACAGACTTTTCGTGTGGGGGTGGAACTGCGGCTGGAAGGATGTCCCTTCATCCACCAACCAACCATCTTACCTACCTAGGTAGTGACCTGGTCCAACAACAGGGGATCCGCAGCAAAGACATTTTTCCAGAATGATCAAGGCGGGATGAATCGCACGGAGGCCGCTCGCATCTGCTTCCAGGGTGTCCCTTTCTTCCCCTTTCCGTAAGGAGTTGGGGTTGAGAATAAGTTCTCACGACTCCTCTGATGTATGCGAAAAACTCGCCCAGACGGCCCGGTTTTCTTAACCCGGCTTGGCTTTTGATCCACGAACACCACCCAAAGCTTGCGGAGGAATTGAGTACACTTGGCAAGCTGCAACCTGAATCAGAACTACAGAGTACAGAGTATGGGGAGGAAAATTTCGGCGAGAAATTTGCTTGCAAAGATCCATGGGAAAAAGCGAGGCCAACAAACGGAGCGAGTTTAAAAAGACGGGGAGAACCCGGTAGAATACACGAAAATAATCTGGAGAAATTCGTTAAACTGGTGACTACGTAGTATATAATTATACTATATATATAGTTAGTCCAGGAACTACGTCGAAAAGGATAGTAGTCAGATTTATTGACCGAATTTCGGCGTCCAGAAAAATTAGCGTAATCAAACATTAATATGTATGTCTTTCTCACTCTCGCTCTCGCTCTAACTCACTCCCTCTAGCGTCAAAGTCCATCAGGACATCAGGATCTGAGTCCGGGCCAGGCATATCTATATCCAGATCCAACTTATATACAATCGTATCAACCGTATGCAAATCCAGTCACAATCCACATTGCCTCGTTGGGTGCAACTCCGCTGCTCCTCGCTTCGTATAGGACCAGCGAAAACAAAATTCGCCCTGTACAGCCTGACCCATGTGCGTAAGTTAAAATAAGTAAGTAAATAAATAAATAAATAGTAAGCGATTTAAAAAAAAAAAAAAAAAGAAGAAGAAGAAGAAGAAGAAGAAAACGCCGCGCCAAAGTACAACTCCGTATAGGCATGGCTAAAAGCCGCAAAATGCAACAGAGAAGAGGGGAATATAATCAGCGGGGGCTCAAGAGAGAGAAAAGGTATAGGTGTCGGGAGAAAGGAAAGGGGCATATCGGTCATGGCTTTTTCTTCATATGGCCCCCTGGTTCAGAGGTCCCTGCGGCTCCTTCCTCTCCTTCTAGGATCCGCCAAAAGCGTCGAAGGGAGAACCCGCCACGGACCAGGTAAATTCCCACGAGCCACACGGCGAGGATATTGACAAGGTGGTGCAAAAGGTAGGCGTACGACACTCCGTACACGGCGGAATACGTGGCAATGCAGAAATAGAGGACGGAGGTGACATGTTTTAGGCTACTTTCGTTAGTCCCTGGCTCGTATATGGGGTAAAGAGCGAAATTACCGTGTAGTAACCCGAGGAACCATTGACCCGGTAGTCATAGTCTCAACAAGGATAATAAAGGGCATTATGGATAACAAATTATGGTGCGATGAGAACGGCATGAACCAGTGTACAACAAGGTTATGAGCCCACACGAGGAGAACAAGGATATTGATCGGGAGAACCCAAAGCATGAGAATGAACATAGAATGAGTGTAGTTAGAAAAGTTATAGTGAGCCGTTGATCTCTGCAAGCCTGTAAGTTTGTGATACACTGCTAATAGGAAGGAAGACCTACAGTCTCTTTAGCGTGCCATTGTGCGCGGACACATGTTGCTAGTTGCACAATACAAGCCACCAAATACGCGAATTGATAGGGAATAGCAGTTGACACCAGTATCAGTAGGACTGCCATCTTGATTAATCGACGCCGAGGAGAAGGGGCGGGAAACATGGGAAGATTCCTAAACATGTTAGCGATATCCATCTACGGAAATTATATCAAACTCACCCCTTGTCATCACGACGGATATACCCTGACTTGCTATTCACAACGCCGTAGACAAATGAGAAAACGGAAAGGATGAAGAGCACCACATAATTGACAATGACACACACTCCGACACTAATTAAGCCAAACACAGGAACGAGGAACCAGAAGAATGTGTCTTGAGAGCCCAAAAGCAGATCATTCTTCGTAAAGTCAATAGGTGACTCGGTGGAATTCGTGGCCCAGTGGAACGGGCCATCCCCTGTGGGTAGGGTGGTCGAGGTAGCGAGAGAAGAAGCAAGCAGCGACATAGCCAGCAGCAAGACCGGCATAGATGACCGCAAGGCGCTATCCAACCCCTCGGCAAACGTGATGAAAAATCCGGTCTCGTCATACACTTGGAATTGCTTTCGAAGAACCAAAGCAACCACAAGGAGAGGAAATGCCGCAAGCACGGTGCGGTACCGCATCACAAGCTCGCCCAAACTACTAACAATGTCTACCGTCAAGGTAATGTCTACTGTGGAATCGCAAGTCGGGTCCGTCCACAGCTGGAAGGAAACGCCGTTCTGGATTGTTTGTTCACGGAGCGGAGGAGGCATGTATGGTGCAAGACCATGTAGGTTCACGTTAACCTGGTCTACATTGACGAAGAATTTCGACTCGTGAGGGTCCGGGATCGACTGGCGTAGGAGAGGCGCAAAAAGCTCTTGCTGGTTACCGTGACGCTGGCGAACGACGCGAAGCTTATAGTCCAGCAGACTTGAGTATAACGCGGGGATTTTCACCTCAGTAAGCATGGGTCGATTGGCTGGTAGTCGCACTTTCAGTCCAGCACTAAGTAACCCCCCCAAGCCTACCTTGGCTTTAATAAGGGCATCCGAGCTGTCGGAGAATTCTGCCAAAACCCACCCACGAGTCGGTGCCCGGGCTTTATCGACAACCGCCACAAATTGATGTTCAGCAAGGTCTTCCAGATCATACTGGAGATATGAAAACGGGGTAACCAGGTCCCACGCGTTCTTGGAGGTACGGGTCGATGCAGGAAGGTGAATACCATCTACAGCCGCGTTCTTGCACGCGAGACGTGTTGAGCCCACATTAACTCCGGAAAAGTCCAGATTCAGAGAAAACAACGTCTGAAACTTTCCATTGTGTAAAGGGGACACGCTGCAAAACAGCACCTCTAAATTTCCTTGGTCACCGGGTTTATCAAAGGACTGATCTGTGAGAAGGGTGAACTTCTTTCCAGACACTCCTTGCGGAGGGACAGGGAGCAGGTGCGCGTTGGGAACGCTGCGATGGCCGAGCTCGCGGAGTACGAGTCGCTGTCCTGGTGACAAGATCGTATTGGTATGGTCTTCAAGAGTTAACAGGGTACTCGGTTCTAATTTAAAACAAGCTTCGTTAGCAACCAAGGCGATCTTTCGGGTTCAAGGGCAATTACCGTTACGAGGGAGCATCCTTTGAGATACAGGCTCCAATCCCGTGAGATAGCATTTCTTGAATATGCGCATTCGTTCTGCCCGGGGCTTCGTCTGGCTGGCCCGGCGCACATCAACAACTTCAAACAAGGACTTGATGATAACCTTGCGGAACTGATCACACCAAGTAATCGAAAGATGATCTACCCCAATCCACACATCGGGAATCGTCGAGGTGAACACAGTAAAGCCGTGAGTCTCAGGGACGAGGGACGAAATGCTCGCATAATCGGACGGAACCACAGTATCGCGCGAACCACCCGCAATTGAGATCAGAGTCACATGCCACAGAGGATTATTGTTAGCCCAGGTTTGCGAATAGGCCTCTCGCCAATAGTCATTGATCTGCTTGTAGGTGTGAACAATATCCGAGTCGAACGAAACCGGAGGTTTGGCGTGGGGTGCTGACATCGTGATGATGGTGTTGACCGAATTCTCTTGGAAGTTTGCCATTGTCAATGCAGTTCGTGCGACAATCCCGCCCATTGAGTGTCCGACAATTATGACCGAGGTAGGGTCAGGAAGTTCAGGGTCTCTTCGGGTGCGTCGGGGATCATGGTAGAGGGAGAGGATATAAGCCACCGCCTCATTTACGTATTCCGCCTGGTCGAGCAGAGTCTGTCCATGAAACGCCGCCATATCCTCGTTAAAGTCAATCATGAAAAAATCCAAGCTCCGGGTTCCTGCCTTCAAACGTTCCTGGTCATGTTGAACCACCTCTGCATAGTGTCTGGACGCTTCAGCGGCGAGAGATCGGACTTGTCGGTAACTTCCTGCATTGCCAGGTAAAAAGAGAACAGGTGCCCCATTTAACTAGACAATGAGACGGATGGTCAGTAAGCTTGAGCTTTGGACTGGAATCCTGCGCGTTGGAAAACAAGGCAGCCTACCCCAAGATTTTCCTGGTTGTACGGGTCTACACCTTCCTCCCGGTAGAGAAACAGATTATACTTGCTCGCAAATCGTGTATGCTCTGTATCGAACCCCACCATGCGGAGGAAAGTTGGACTCATCACGGGAATCCCACAGCCATTGCTTCCAGTCTGAAGGGCGGAGAAAGAGCGGAAAATCGAGAAGAGAAGCAAAGACGCGAGGACGGTGGTGAGCGCAGTGAGAACAGAGGATTCCCAAGGGCTGCGAAGACGAGACGATCGAGAACGGTGTTGAGGATCGGGAGATGTCTCCACGGAGAGGCGCTGGGAAGAGGTCAAGGGCATCATGGCGGAGAGATATCGAGGCTCATGGGAAGTCAAAGTTGCGGTCGACGAGGACGACAGGGTCCTCCACGTGCTCGAATTTCTTGAACGGGGCGTCGAGATCCCGGTGGTATCTCGGCGCAGGTCGAAGCTCGTGCCGGTCCTAGCTATCTGAGTGCGCGGCTGCTGCTTTTCGGACGAATCGAGGACATTGGGACCATGATGGGATTCATTGGGGGATCGAGAAACCAAGGGATCTTCGGCGTCGTCCTCAGCAGGCGAGCCAGACGAGCGTCTGTGCATTGGAAGAGGCAGAAGCCGTCGTACTCATCCAGCACGCAGGGGACCGATCGGGGAAGAGAGGGGGTAGCAGATCACAGGCAGATGCTTTGCGGCGACGGCGGCAAGGGGATCAGGGGAAGGGAGACAGGAATGCGCTGGCGAACCCTGGACTCCTGCGGGTGATTGGAAGATATTAAGGTGGCTGGGGACGCTGCAGAAGTATGTTTTTTTTTTATTATTAGTATTTATAATTTTCTGCTGAATCCAAGACAGCAGAAAATTGCCCCTAGGAGAATCCCAAGACCGAGGAGGGTGTAATGAACGGCAGGCCGACCGTGGAGGGTGAAGGGGGGACGGCCTGGAGGGATTCCGAGAAAAGAGGAGGGTAGAAAAGAGGGGAATGGGATTCTCACCAAGGAAGAGAAAGAGAGACGAAGAGAAACAGGATCCCCAAGATAGTCCAGGTGAGGAGAGGGAGAGAAAGCAGAAGGAGTCCGAAAGATTGAAGTCGTAGTAGTAGTGGTGGTCGCCGTAATAATTCCGCCCGAATCGTCAGCCATCAACAATTCAACTGGCCGGTTTTCTTTTTCTTTTCTGGCTAAAGCCGGAATAAGCTTGGTGGCTGTTCTCAGGACTTTGGGGATCTCAACGACACCAACAAGAACCACTGTGTATATGTATGAGATCTATATAGATTCCAAGGCAGAGAGTACGTACACTTCCTTAATGAAAAGGGTTGGAGGCTAATATTGTCCGTGCAATCTCAATTCCCCCAGAGCCAAAGGTGAAACACTAGATCTCACTAACTAACTACATTACGGAGTATATGAGATGACTTACCTACAGTCAGATCGACAAATTCTATCATCTACTCCATAACTGGTACTACAATAGATTCAGTCTAGTTGAATCAATTTAGTCTATTGCTAGTCCCTGGTACTCAGTGACAGTGTAAATCTCGTCCATTTCCCTCTGACTCGCTTATGGAGTACTCCGTGCTGTACCGAGTACTCTTCTCTCCTCTGAGACCAGACAGAGACTAAAAGTTAACCTGGCATCTCCTGGGTTATTTAGAGACAAAAAACTCTTATGCTACCTAACAACATGATAGAATCTGAATTCCATTGGTACTTCTTATTCAGCTCGCAATCGATGTCCCAATCAATTCCTTCAAATCCGAACAAAATGAAGCACTTTAGTTGTGGATTATGTAGTCATCGTGCTCTTCTCGGCCAAGCTTCGACACTAAACCTAAATGGGTCAGACATCGCGATGGCTCCACGACTATGTACCTATGTATAGGAGACTGGTAGAGACGGAATACGAAGAATGAACAGATCCTCAGGGTTTATTGTTGCAGTCATTAAGTAGAAGGGAAAATCAAGCATATAAATACCCTCATTAAAAGCCATGTCTGTACCATCTGTTGTGTACGTGCTGTGCTTCAAGCATACTCCGTGCCTCATCTTGACCGAGCAAGTACTCCGTATTTATGTATATTATGGCGCTCTTTCCAGACAATATCTCCAATTTCACAATTTCAGCGCAAAAACGCAACGTTGCCATTGCGGAGATCACCCTATTCTCGCTCATTCTTATTGTTCAGTTTTTCACCAGATTCATCCAGGAACGCCACTACTGGCACCATAAGAAACGTCGAAGCAATGCTCGTTGCTTTCTCTACTCCTGGTGGGGGATGATAGGCATTCTGGCACAACGTACGTGAAGCTGGTTCATCCCATGCAGAATACATCACTTATCCTATCCATTTTAGTCCGAATCGTCGGCTCAGCATTGATGATTTCTCACCCCAAGCCAAGTCAGTCGATGCTGATCGCTGAAACTTGTCTGCAAGGTGTAGGGTTATCACCTCTTCTTTTTGAGGTCAGCCTGATCCTCCTTCGAACGTATGGTTTTCCCACTTTTCCCCTCCCTGAAACCAAAAAAAAAAAAAAATTCTAAAAAAAAAGAATAATTCTATAGTGGACAATCAGGCCAAACCGGCCCCGGAAACTCACGACACCCGAAATATTTACGGTTCATGCTGCACTTCTTCCGATTTCCTGTCGTCGTTTCTATATTGTTGGCCTTGGTTGGTGGTATCATCAATATCCGCGGTTGTGCGATAGCTGGAACAGTGGGGTTTATTCTCACGTTCGTATTTGTGTGCTGCCTGGTAATTGGGATGGCCGCAACATCCCGCAGCACACTCTCCGCAACTGGCTATCAGAGTGTGCTGGTGGTTCTTTCGACTCTCCCGTTCCTGACGGGGCGAATTGCTTATTTTGTGTTGGCAGAATATGGCCCACAGAAGTATAGTCCGGTTATCGGGGATGCTAGCGTCATGGCTGGAATGGGATTGCTGATGGAGATCTTTATTGCGGTTCTGTTGCTTGTTTCACGGGCTGTCGCAGAACCATTTCGGGTAGCCGATTTTATTATGATCGATGCTGAGGACAACTGATGGCGTGCCGCTACTCTCAGGAATAGCCTGGCATAAAGCCCAATGCGTTGTGGTGTTGACTAGAGACTCGACCACTTCATACTCATTTGATATTGATCTTAATAAAACTTGATGAATGCATATGGAATCATAACAGTGCGGTGCTTAAAAAGCTCCCGGGTGTAATATCGCATAGAATGTCGAAAACCTTTTCAAACACTCGTCGATCCACGCCCTAGTGACCGGATCTGCAACTTCGTAGGCCACTCTTAACGGAAACCCCATTCGATACGGACCCAGGAGTCCTTGAGCCGTGTATTCCACAGACTTGCAAATTTGGTCCCGAAAAAAGACAACCACGGCTGCGTGTTCGCCAGGGTAGCCACAGGTCTTTAAGATCTCGTGGATGAGTACCATGTAAGAATAATAGCCACAGAAAATGGTGGCGCTATTAACGTCCGAATAGGAGAAGACAATCGGATACACAGGATCGTCGGTGGACGAGATAATCTCTTGGGGAATAGGGACGGTGCAAGAAAACTCATCGTACCAAACACTAAGCTTGTTCTGCATATCGAGCGCCTCAGTCAGAATTTCCGACACCTTCATTAAGGTGGCTGGATTGGTTATATCTGCCTCTCTAAGATCGAAGAGCTTGTGTATAAGGGCCGGGGAACGAGTAAAGTAGGCAAAAAATTGCTCCACGAGAGTATCCAGACCAGATGACAGGCCAGGGTTGTACTGTTGCCTCATTACAGTATGCCATTCATCTGAGGTAAGGATGCATTTTTCTCCTCCAAAAAGCGCGTACATAACCTTGACACGTTAGTGAGGATTGCCAGTATTTGTCGAAAGGACCACCCACAATCAGGCCACGAGAGCTTTTGAGTAAAACGTTATCAAGTTCGGTCTTGTAGCGGGATGGTCCACGAGCTTCTGTCAACTGACTAAGACCTTTTGCATGCTTTATCCATGAATCTCCTTCGAGGGGGTTTGCAAAAAGCTGGCATCATTAGCTCTCTTTTTTCTTCTAGTAAGTGTGTAGCCTTACCTCGTATAGACATAAAAGCAATACTGAGCAGTATATCTCGGAAGAAAGGCATTCCGAGCGATGATTCAGAGAGTGCCGGAGCTTGCGAAGAGCTTCTTGATAAGAGCACCTAGCATAACGCACAGCTTCCTGGTTACGAGTTATGCTGCCAATATGATGCGCAACAAACGTTCTCACGGTAGCATCTAATGTTTTATTCTGTCCATACATACCAGGTAGAAACGTGAGCCACCGAGACACCACATACCCCGATGACGAGGCAAATGGCTGGGAGATCTCATAAGTAAGAATGTCCAGGCATTGCAGTACATTGAGATTTCCAACTCCAAGTGAGTATTGTTGGACTCTCTCGATAGCTGAAGTCTCTTGATTGCTAGAATTGCTATCCGTCGTGGAGTCTGCGTCGCGCTGCCTGTCCGCTTGCAGGTTGGATACTTTTGGTTGGCGTCGAGAGCGATAAGGCTTCCCTGCTACAAATTTGAAACCCCTCCAATATCCAGGACAGGTCTGCCCATATGTTTCGCATCTCAGGCAGCCAGGATGTCTCTCATCACACTGGAATTGACTAGCAGTAAGTGCCTGCACAACTAGGTCTGGCGGCAGCAAAGAGGGAGAAGCACCAACCTTCACTCGACGTTGCACACAAAGCAGGCAGCCACTACTTCTAGAAACCATATCCTAGGCTATAGGCTGTTATCCATTTCAAAACCATGCTGCATAGCATGGGCTATGCTGAAGTTGCAATTGTCCAGCTGAACACGAGGTAATGAGCATCGTTGAATGCAGTTAGTCAGCATGATACATAACTGCCGTTGCGCTTCAGCCACAGGACCCTCCAGAATACGAAGGTGGCGGTGCCATACGAGCTGTCTAAAATAAGAAATGCTGGGGAACGAGGGAGAAGGCTTACTTGTCCAAGAAGGGTAAACGACTCGTAGTTCCAGGTTAATTAGAATAACTTCTGCTTATCAATAATAACAACAGCCAGGTCAGTTGTACACAGCCTCATGTATCCACAGGAAGATTCTGCATGGATGGCATTCCCTGCATTCATTTGGTCTCTGCATGATGTGGAGATTACCTAGTACTAGTAGTATCTCGGAATGAGAATTTGGGGAACCTTTGAACCGCACTACAATGTATGCTTAGAGATCAAAATTTGACTTCAAAAGTCCCTCTTCATAAGGCTCAATACAAGCATCATCATGTCTCAGAATACCCCTCACTCTTAACGCTCACAATCAACCAGGGAGAAATCTTCAACTCCCGTCATCTCTAGCAAATTATTAAGATGACCACAGGAATATCGTTCAGCACAGCCAACGGGAAGGCGCATTCTGAATGGATAGGAGACCCTGTACTATCTCTTAGCGGGGATTCTGCGTCTTTCATTTCCCATCTCCGGAAAGCCCCTCGATTATGACCCCTGCTAGGCCCAAGTGTTTTCCACCCTGTCAGCTTTGATATTTAAACGCCCCTCTCCCATCAGGCTCTTGCTTCTTTTCTTGAAACTGCTCGTGTCAAATTGTCAAACTTAGCTAGGCAACCTCGAACCTCGATCGCTGCAGAGCGTATTCTCACAATCATGTCTGACCCATACGGCAATCACTCCCAATACAATCAGTACAGCGGTGCACCTCCGCCTCACGATCAGTACAACTCCGGATATTACGGAGGCCAACAAGGCAATTATCCCCCTCAGGACCAGTACGGACAGTACGGGCAGCACGGACAACATCCCCAACAGGGTTACTATCCGCCCCAGGTGAGTGGAATTCTTATATGCTGCTTGATCCGATATATTATCGCCGTGAAAGATTACTCAGAATAAAGTAAGACCCCCTTCTAAATTCGCATGTTAACATATCACGATTGGTTTTTTCAGCAATCCTACAATCAGAACCCCAACGAGCATTATCCTGGCAGCCCTCCCCCTTACGGACAACAAGGATATCCTCCCCATGGTCAACCACCCCAACACAGCGGACCACCGGGGAACCCGCCCTACGGCCAAGACCCACACATGAACTATGGCAACGATCGTGGCCACTCCCCATACCCTCCCCAGCAACAACAGTACCATCAAAGCGAGAGCGCAGGCTACTACGGCGGCCAGCCAGCACACTCTCCCCAACCAGGCCACGGCGGCCCGGTTCCAGGTGGTCCAGAAGGTGAAAGGGGTTTGGGTTCTACATTGGTTGGTGGAGCTGCTGGCGGTTTCCTGGCGCATAAGTTTGGAGGTGGTGCGTTGGGAACCGCGGGCGGCGCACTTGCAGGTGCTGTGGGATTGAATATGGCTACTAATGCGTAGGTTTATCTTGTATTTTCGTCAATGTGCTTACCGTACTGACTTATCGACCGTAACAGGGCCAAAAAGCATAAGAAGCACAAGAAAGAGAAAAAGCACAAGCACAAGCACAAGCGCAGCGGCTCCAGTTCCTCAAGCTCTAGCTCTAGTAATTAGATTCAGGACGATTGCTTGTATCCTTTTTGCCTTTTTCCTCGGCGGGCATGAAGACAGTCATATTATTAAATCCCATACTGCTCTCCACGGTTGAATTTAATTGATACCATTACTGTTATATTCTCAAGGATTCAGATAAAAAAAAAGTAATAGTTGTATCACCTGTTTCTTCCCTTCATGAATATCATTGTCATGAATTTTAGTTATTGCTTAAGTGTAATAATTTATCCAGAAATATCTGGCCATGTAATCTCTATACAATATCTGCGCTCTTGATGGAACAATGCAAGATCATGACAGTGAATATAAGTAGTTAGAATATTATAAAGGTTTTATGATCCTGCTGCTTGGATTAATATTGTTAATGTAACTAACTTGATTAATTTACCTACTCAGAAGGAATGCAATATTGTCTAGTTAGAATATCAATGTCTGCACCCTTTAGAGGTCTTTGCCTGGTTCTCTAGGGACTGTAAGGATATCATATTATAAAAAAATGAGCCTAAGTAGTTGCTCTCTATCCTTGGCAAGATCAGATAGTCCTTAGAGAATTATATCAGAATTCGTGGCACAAGGGTAAGCGCAAGTCTAGTTTATAAAAATATGCCTTGTAGGCCTACTTATCTACAGTGGCTGCAATGTAAGTAAATAAATAACACTCATATTCTTCTCAATCTTTGCTTCCTAGGGTATTGTTTTTGATACCTAAGTGGAGTCTAGGCCGCTGAATTAGGAACTATAGGAAAGTTTTATGTTATAGGGCAATTACTTTATTCCCATTATAATATTAGTGCCCTGTTCATTGTATTCAAGACGGAAATGAAATTTCAGGTGGTATAAATAGATAGAAACTTCTGGCAAGGCTTTATGCAGCAATTTAATATAGTAAGAATCTTGCAATAAGACTTGGTTATTTCCACGCCCCTCTCAAACATATGTTGACTAATAGATCTCCAGGTGGCGGGGTATCACGTGCTACATGCTGATAACGATAAAAATTTTTACCGACCTATTTTACAATTGCACCCACGCATCACTTCCAACAACGCCCAAAGCTTGTCAAAATGGACGTGGATACACCTATGGCGATGACGGCCCCTCAGGCCGACTCAGAGCAGTCCGTTCCAACGTAAGGCCTCCCGCCCTTGCCGTTAGATCGTGAATGTCTGCTAATCTTCATCTTCAGGACCCTCTGCTACAACTGCGGGGCTCCATTAGCAGGAAGTACGCTGTGCAATGATTGCATGAAAACCTCCGTAGATATCTCCGAGGGTATCCAACGGGAAGCTGTTCTGAATTTCTGCCGTGATTGCGAACGTTGGCTTCTTCCCCCAGCCTCATGGACGGTCGCCGCTCCCGAATCACGCGAGTTGATGGCCCTTTGCCTCAAGAAACTAAAACGTCTCAATAAAGTCAGAGTGGTCGATGCGTCGTTTATTTGGACTGAGCCACACTCTCGTCGGATTAAGCTCAAGCTCACCATTCAAGACTCCGTTGCCAACGAAGTGATCCTCCAGCAGACATTTGAGGTTGTATATGTCGTGATGTACCAGCAATGTCCGGATTGCCAAAAGTCTTACACCCAAAATCACTGGCGTGCCAGTGTCCAAGTGCGACAGAGCGTATTACACAAGCGGACATTCCTCCACCTCGAGCAACTTATCCTCAAACACAACGCCCACAACGACACCACCAATATCAAGGAGGCTAGGAATGGTGTCGATTTCTTTTTCGCTCAAAGGAATCACGCTGAAGGCTTTATTGACTTCCTCCACACTGCCGTTCCCGTGGAAGTGACGAAATCTCAACAGCTTATCTCGGAGGATATCCACACATCAACAAAGTCATACAAGTTTACTTACTCGGTAAAAATTGTGCCTGTGTGTAAAGATGATCTAGTAGCTCTGCCGATCAAGCTAGCACGACAACTAGGCAACATTTCTCCATTGCTTCTCTGCAACAGGATCGGTACATCTATATCCTTCCTTGATCCAAGCACCCTCCAGGTCGCAGAACTTAATTCGAAAATTTATTGGCGAGCGCCGTTCACATCTCTCGCGGAGGCGAAAGACCTGGTGGAGTTTATTGTTCTTGACGTAGAACCCACAGGTTACAGTAATGGCAAATGGGTACGTGATTTCGCACCCTCTCAAGCTGGGGACCATGTTGCTAACATTACCTAATAGCATTTGGCAGAAGCTACCGTTGCCCGGGCCTCAGACTTTAGCGGCGACAAGCAGTATTTTGCCAGAACCTACTTGGGAAACATTATCCATCCGGGTGACTCCGTGCTGGGCTATATGCTGACCGGAGCGAATTTCAACAACCCTGAATTCGACCAAATCGAACAATCAAAGGCTTTCGGATCAAGAATACCAGATGTGATGCTTGTGAAGAAGTACTATCCCCGCAGACAGAAGAAGAACAAGCGTAACTGGAAGCTCAAGCGTCTGGCCGTGGGCGAAAGTGACTTGTTGCCCACTGATCACGAGAAAGAGCGCGTGGAAAATGATTTCGAGATGTTCTTGCGCGACGTCGAAGAGGATGCAGAGCTGAGGGCTACACTTGCACTTTATCGGAACAAGAAGAAGGACGATGAGATGAGCATTGCAGAAACCGATATGACGGATGGTGAAGTGCCGAAGATTGATATGGATGAATTGCTGGATGACTTTGACGACCTTGATATTCACGATAACTAAGCATGAGATGAGGATTGAATCACTATAACTGGATATACCCTTGATAGATAACCTGCAATATATCAAAAGTTTCCTGCACTTTTCTTCCCCCCAAAAAGCTTTGAGTCTTCAATAGAGAAGTAAAGTATAGGTACATTACACATTCTCTTACTATCACTGGCAGGAATGTAGAATACTGACCTAGCACGAAGAAGAAAAGGCATCTGGCGGTTATTACGGGGGAATACTACACCACAGTAACTATATGATGTCATAGTACATTACCTTGTTGAGAACGCTACCTGCCCTCCTCATTCTTCTTCGCCCTTCCATCTCACTTTCAACTTTCCGTATCCCTTCAGTATGGAATATAAAACTGCTGACATTAGAGTGTCCGATGCGAAAGGCTCGTAAAACACCACGATCACAGTCATAATAGTATGGAATAAGAAGTTACTACTATGGCTGTGGTCGTGGTGTTTTAACCATCATACCTATGTCCCACCCGCTGCACGATGCGATCGAGCCTTTCGCATCGGACACTCTGAGAGAAGCTCTCCACCCTGACGACTGGGTAGGGCCGGTTTCGGAAGACATTGTATGACTTCTCTGCCAAACTCTTTGCGTGAACTTACCTAACTCCACAGAACAATTTCCCGACCCCAGATTCTCCTCATGGACCTGTTCTCCACATCCACGACACATTCCCCGCCGATCACCGAAGTGCCACTGAAGGTTATGACGATACTTGAACAATGCAACTTGACATGGATATGTGTAGGCAGCACTTGCCTAAGCTCGATCGTCTTGCTACCTGGATTTGAATCTTTGCGAAAAGGACCTTGGGGTTTGGCAGAAAGAGCGGAATTAGAGGTCTCGTCTATTATCGAGCATTGCACGCCTCGGACCTTGGAATAGCGAGAACAAGGATTCCACGTGGGTTTCTCAGTAGACCTAAAGAATGCGACGCGCCCTGAGGCTCTGATTCACCACAATGAAGTAAAAGGAAAATCCTATGAAGAGAACCCCGTTTTCCGACCCGATCTTCTTGTCTTTGCAACTTCACATCACTTGAATCATCGCACACGAGTTCCACTTCGTTTACCTCGGCGAGCAATGAGAGGAGGACACTTTGGAGCGTTGCTTTTGAAGAATCGACTCATTTGTTAGTTCGGGCTTGCATCAGATCCAGACCACCCAAGTCATTACTTAGCAGCTGCAGATAATTTACAATCCTCCTGAATTGTCACTCCAGACATCGTATTCTGAGATGGAAGACCTTGTGAAGAACTGACTAAAACTGAGAGACAATGACATTGACTAGTTAGTTAACTATCTTGGAAAGTGCGGCAGCCGAAGATCCTCGATAGCAGTCTGCAAACCTAGGTAGGAACACAATTTACGTATTGCAGCTATTGAAAACAATCCAGCCCATATCCAATAGATTCTGAGTAGAACCACAGAACTTCAGCAATGATTGCATGCCTAAGGTGAGACCCAGCTAGCGAACTTGAGGACACTAGAACCACACGACGCATGATTTAGTTGACTGAGAATGTGTCTAATGAGTTTACTGGATATAACTGGTGGTACTTGGATTTTATGCCTAATAAATACATGTAAACCACTGTGTGAACCCCAATACGGTCGACATGCAGCATCTCAAGTACGGTTTGCACATTGGACATGGAATATGTATACCTACCTAAAGTAACAAACACGAAAAGAAAAAGGGATAGTTATACTATCAGCTCACTCAGCCGGGCTGCTGACGGGAGACAACGGAAGAACGCCTCGAATCGCCCATGGTTCTTTTGGAAGTTTAACTGCCCGATTTCGATTCGATAATAATTAAACTCGCACCTCCTTTTTTTTTTTTACGAAAAAGAATAAGACAAAAAGAAAATTGATTCAAGCCAAATATTGATGAGTGTCTGGCTGCGCCACCGGGTGCAGGGTAGGGATCCAAGGGTGGCGACAGAAAAACATTCAGGATTCTCATTATTGCATGGAGAGTCGAGACTAACCCACCAGGGTGGAGGATGGTTGCATATCCCCGGATTCATTGCCTGTCAGAGACAAGACTTCAACTGAAGCCTTCCTTGAATTAATTCTCCTGGGGTTGGGATCAAAAGTCAAGTCGAAATCAAGGGGGGCGCCACTACAACTAACTACACCTAGGTATGCGTCATTACCTCGCAATTGAAAGAAAGGAAGGGGTTCTATTAGTAACAGTATTAATGAAGAGAAATATTTTCATCTCCGAAGCTTTTCCAGGATTATAGTTACCTATACTGGAAGAGAGAAAAAAAGAAAAAGGCCAATGACAGGAAGCGAAAAGCCACCCATGTTATCGGGTTGGCTCAAGACAAAAGTCCAGTGGCAGCCTGAGGTTCTCCAGCTAAACCCATTCCGTGGTTAGCGCGGGGCGGTAACAGAAAGAAAAGAAGAAGAAAAATTTTTTTTATCTTTTTGGGTTTCTAATGGAGGGCGGCAAAAAAAAAAAAAAAAAAAAAAAAAAAAAAACAGTTAGTTAGTTGTAGGCCCACAAAGCGATAAATATCTTCTTCCCCCATCCACTTCTTTTCCCCCTCCTCCCTCTTCTCTCTTCTCTCTCTCTCTCTCTTCCTCCTCCTCCTCCCCATCATCCTTATCTCTTCGATAGAGGTCTGGTCCTCTCTTTACTTCAAATCTATTTCTCTTTCCTTTGTCTTTGTCTTCTCCTCTTAGACAAAAGAATCGCTATAGATTATACTTGGCCACTTTAGAGCGTCTGCGTCTCTTGTTCAGGACGCAGTTTTCGTGGGCCGCCACCTTTTATCGAGATACCCTAATAGGACGCCTTTTACCGCGTTCTCGGTTCTTTGGATTTTCTCCCTTTTTCCCCCCTCTTCTCCTTTCGATTTATTTTCGTCGACTCTTACAAAATGCCTGCTGTCGACGTTGCTTCCGTTCCCGCCGTTTCGGCCAAGGAGACTGCTCAGTCTGTCGCCGTCCTCGAGGACCTCATCAAGAACCTCACCATTTCCACAACCCAGGATGAGGCGAACGCTGCTGCTGATAACCTTGCTCACTTGTTCAGCGGTCCTATCCCTGAGCAGACTCTCCCCCTCAAGTATGTGCTGTCCTCTTGTCGCTCTGCTCTCTCTCTCTTTTTTTTTTTTTTTTTTTTTTTCCCTCTTCTCTCGCTCCCTGTTGTGCCTTGAGCCCCACCAAGAATCAGAGTTTTTTCTACCTGATTTTTTTTTTACCCCACCATGCTACCGATAACAATGAACTAACCTGTCTACTTGTTCTTTAGGGCTGTTGAGTCCTTCAAGAAGCAGCTCTCCAACAAGAAGGATGCTGTCGTTCGTGAGCGTGCTCTCCAGGGCATTCGGGCTATTGCCTCCCACGCCACTATCGCCCCTGGTGTCGAGCCCCACCTCGTCTCTCTTCTCCCCGCTGTCCTCGCCGCTGTCGGTGACAAGATGGTCCCCGTCAAGAACGCCGCTCAGGGTGCCGCTGTTGCCATCGTCAAGGGCATCAACGGCAACGCTGTCAAGGCTGTCCTCCCTCCTATCCTCGACTCTCTTGCCAACGCCCAGAAGTGGGCTGAGAAGATGACCGCTCTCGACTGTCTGTCCGACCTTGTCGAGTCTGCTCCCGCTCAGCTCTCCTTCCGTGTTCCCGAACTGATCCCCGTTGTCTCCGAGGCCATGTGGGACACCAAGGCTGAGATCAAGAAGGCCGCTTACACCACCATGGAGAAGGTTTGCGGTCTGATCGTCAACAAGGATATTGAGCGTTTCATTCCCGAGCTCATCAAGTGTATTGCCAAGCCTGAGAACGTCCCTGAGACCGTTCACTTGCTCGGTGCCACCACTTTCGTCTCCGATGTCACTGGCCCCACTCTGGCTATCATGGTCCCCCTGCTTGATCGTGGTCTCGTCGAGCGTGAGACCGCTATCAAGCGTAAGTCCGCTGTCATCGTTGACAACATGTGTAAGCTGGTCGAGGATCCTCAGATCGTCGCTCCCTTCTTGCCCAAGTTGATGCCCCGTCTGGAGAAGAACTTCGACACTCTGGCCGATCCCGAGGCTCGTGAGAAGACCAAGCAGGCCTTGGATACCCTGCTCCGTGTCGGTGACGTTAAGGACGGCAAGATCCCCGAGATCTCAAACGCTGGTGACATTGCCACCGTTGCTGCCATCCTCAAGGATATCCTTTCCGCCAAGTTCCAGGCCCAGATTGAGCAGTCCGAGGCTGTCATTAACTACGTCGGTGCCATCGCTGGTCAGCTCGTTGACGAGAAGGACAGCGAGGTTATCAGCTGGACCCAGAACGCTCTTCCCTACATCACCGCGATCGTCGGTGAGGAGGAGGCTAAGCCCATCGCTGAGACCCTCCGCAAGCGTGCCTCCCCCGGTGCTGCTGAAGACGACGCCGTTCTCTCTGATGAGGAGGAGGGTGAAGATCTCTGCAACTGCACTTTCTCCCTGGCTTATGGTGCCAAGATCTTGCTCAACCAGACCGCTCTCCGTCTGAAGCGTGGTCAGCGTTACGGTCTGCTCGGCCCCAACGGTTCCGGAAAGACCACCCTCATGCGTGCTATCAACAACGAGCAGCTTGAAGGTTTCCCCAAGAAGAGCGAGGTCAAGACCGTCTACGTCGAGCACGACTTGGACGCTGCCGATACTGAGCAGACCGTCATTGGCTGGACCCTGAAGAAGCTCTGCGAGGTCGGACTTGATCTTAAGCAGGAAGATGTCGAGGCTAAGCTCGAGGAGTTCGGTTTCCTCCGTGAACAATTCGAAGGTCCTATCACCTCCCTGTCTGGTGGTTGGAAGATGAAGCTGGCTCTTGCCCGTGCTGTCTTCGAGGCCCCCGATATTCTGCTCCTGGACGAGCCCACCAACCACTTGGACGTCAAGAACGTCGCCTGGTTGGAGAACTACCTCTGCACCTCTCCTTGCACATCCATCATTGTCTCCCACGACAGCAAGTTCTTGGACAACGTCCTCCAGCATGTCATCCATTACGAGCGCTTCAAGCTTAAGCGTTACCGTGGAAGCCTGAGCGAGTTCGTCAAGAAGCTGCCCTCTGCCCGCTCCTACTACGAGCTCGGTGCCTCCGACATGGAGTTCAAGTTCCCCGAGCCCGGTTTCCTGGAGGGTGTCAAGACCAAGGCCAAGGCCATCATTCGTGTCACCAACATGACCTTCCAGTACCCCAACACCCCCAAGCCCCAGATCAGCGACATTTCTTTCCAGGTCTCCCTGGGCTCTCGTATTGCTGTCATCGGTCCTAACGGTGCTGGTAAATCCACCCTGGTTAACGTTCTGACCGGTGAATTGATCCCCACCTCTGGTGAGGTCTATCAGCACGAGAACATTCGTATCGCCTACATCAAGCAGCACGCTTTCGCTCACATCGATAACCACCTCGACAGCACTCCCTCCGAGTACATCCAGTGGCGTTTCCAGACCGGTGAGGACCGTGAGACCATGGACCGTGCCAACAAGATCGTCACCGAGGAGGATGAGAAGGCTATGGACAAGATCTACAAGATTGAAGGCACCCCCCGTCGTGTCATTGGTATCCACGCTCGTCGTAAGTTCAAGAACACTTATGAGTACGAGTGTTCCTTCCTGCTTGGTGACAACATCGGCATGAAGAGCGAGAAGTGGACTCCTATGATGACCTCTGACAACGCCTGGATTCCTCGTAACGAGATTATGCAGTCCCACGCCAAGATGGTCGCTGAGGTTGATCAGAAGGAGGCCCTGGCCAGCGGTCAGTTCCGCCCTCTGGTCCGCAAGGAGATCGAAATCCACTGCGCTCAGTTCGGTCTCGATGCCGAACTTGTTTCTCACTCCCGCATGCGCGGTCTGTCCGGTGGCCAGCGTGTCAAGGTCGTGCTTGCTGCTTGCTCCTGGCAGCGTCCTCACGTCATCGTCCTGGACGAGCCTACCAACTACCTCGACCGTGACTCCCTTGGTGCTCTGTCCAAGGCTCTGAAGGCCTTCGAGGGTGGTGTTATCATCATTACTCACTCTCGTGAGTTCACTGAGAACCTCACCGAGGAAGTCTGGGCCGTCCTGGACGGTAAGATGACTCCTTCCGGCCACAACTGGGTTCAGGGTCAGGGATCTGGTCCCCGTCTCCAGGAGGACAACGAGGCCAAGGAGGTTGTCGACGCCTTTGGCAACAAGACTGTTGTAGAAAAGAAGAAGAAGCTTACCAGCTCCGAGCTCAGGAAAAAGCGAAAGGAGCGTCTTGCTAGGAAGAAGCGTGGTGAGGATGTTTCTGAGGATGAGGATTTCTAGGTTTGTGCGAAAATCGCTAGGAAAAGTGACTTTGCTTTTTTTTTTGATGACCGATATGGGGTTAATACATGCTTAGCTTTTTTTGTTCATGTATAGAGGTTATGATTCTATGAATCCAATTTCATTTGTTCGCTTCAAAATCATGTTTTTCTCATGATCGTAACCCTCTTCTTTTAAAGCCTCGTAGAAAGGGCGAGATCGCTCAATCTTGGCGTCGACCGCTACATAGAAGCTCCGATGATCCTTTCTAACCAACCAAGCTCTCGCTCTCCAATTCTTCGAACTTCTTTTGGTGACTGCTTCGTGGAGGAATCCCTTCGCGTCCCGTGTAGTTTTCCAGCTTGGATATTGCGGCAGGTAAACTGGCAATATTTCAGTCGCTTCTGATTGGTCAACAATATTATGACAAACCTCACCCAAAAAAGGCAAATTGCAGCCTCAGGCCGCAAACCGTATCGCGAACTTTCTCTCCGCCTCGCACCGGTTCTGGCCGGTCTCACTTTCGTAGTCCCACACCCACTCCCCTCCCCCCTTCCCCAATTCGCCCTTGTATCATCCTCGTTGATGTCTTTGTGTCGATTCTGAGCTTCTCCTCTCCCATTCTTCGCATTCCCCTCTCACAACCCCCTTCTTTCGCTGCCATGTTTCGACCCGCATCCAGAGCCGTCCTCCGCACACCGGCTGTCGCAGTCCGGGGCCCGGCGAGCGCAGGTCGACGATTGATAAGCACAACACCTACAGAGACCAAGTCGAGGAGCTGGAAGAATACCTTCGTCCGACTGGGATTGGCAGCCGGTGCTGTCTACTACTACAACACGAGCAACGTGTTTACGGAAACCCCGTCGCGTACGTCTATCAATTTCTTCCCTCGTGACATGCATATACACCATCCTAAATTTTCTACAACTCCACTCGTGTCAATGCCATGACGAGGGGGGGGGGGGGTAAGAAAAAAAAACGAAAGAAAGGAAATGGCTAATATGAACAACCAGTCTTCTTCCGATCCCAACCTCAGCCCACATCTGAAGATGATTCCTCCTCCCTCCCAACCCTCAACTCCGTCAAGCCCAAAATCCGTGAAGAAAAAGCCGCCACCCCATCCCCTTCGCCAGCCCCAGCTTCCGATTCCGCTCCCGCTCCCCAGTCTGATGACGCGCAATCGGACGACGTCGCCCTGAAGTCAGCCGGAGAACTCGAGCAGGAAGCCGGCCAGGAGGAGGCATTCAACCCCGAGACCGGCGAGATCAACTGGGACTGCCCTTGTTTGGGTGGAATGGCTCACGGCCCATGTGGAGAGGAATTCAAGGCTGCGTTCAGCTGCTTCGTTTACTCTGAGGAAGAGCCCAAGGGCATTGACTGCATTGACAAGTTCCAGTTCGTCTCTTCCCCAATGCAACCGATGATTACGGTGAAAGTAAAAGCTAATCAAACTGTAGGGCCATGCAAAACTGCTTCCGCCAGTACCCCGACGTCTACGGTCCCGAGCTTGAAGACGACGAAGAAGCTGCCGCCTCTGGATCTGCCGAGGGCGCTGAACAGCCCGTGAGTGCGCAGCAGATGGATGCCGCCTCTACCCCGGACGAGAAGCATGCCCATGCCAAGGAGGTCCACGACCAGGTCAAGTCCGAAGCCAACGAGCTCGCAGAGAGCGAGGAGCTAATTCCCAAGGCCTTGCTTGAGTCCGAGCAGCAGACGGAGAAATAATCACCCAACCCAGCATACCAGCATACCAGCATACCGGAACAAAAGCGAGATCACGGGACTCGAAATGGAAAAGCGTGTATTATCTTCTCACAAAGGTGGAGTCAATAACTGAGGATGGACAGATCAGGATGTGTATTATATGATCCATATATGATAGTATATCTTCCTTTCCTTTCCTTTCCTTTCCTTTTCCTTTTCCTTTTCCTTTCCTTGTTCACAGTGAGTGAGTGAGTGAGTGAGTGAATTAACTATAATACTCTAACCTATTATGCCATTTCTCATCTCGACTCTATTTTTTGTTCTTGCCCCCTTTATTCCTTTTTGTCTCTTGCTTTTTTTTGAGCACCATTCCCATTTTGGTTTTTTTTTTTTTTTTTAACGCCTGTGATTCTACCATGTAACTATCTATGTATGTATGTATGTATGTACTTCTAGCTGGGTGGTTGTGGTTGTTGGAGACAAAATAGATATATAGAGTTCTTTATTGATTGTATACACTATTCCATTCCATTCCTACATAGCCTGTCAGAGATATGTACACAGTACATGTAAGTTACTTAAACCTCGGCAGAGCGAGGGCAGGCATAACGACAGAATGCATAATAATAGGACTGTATGTATATATCATATCATTGCTACCTACATACTAACTAACGTTAAAACTAACTAGTTATCGATCTGGCTAAACAAAACAGACCGAACCACCTAAAGAATCAATATCAATATCAATCTGGACCCATCGGCCTCGCGAGATCACATCATACTTGGCTCGGAGATAGTATAGTATAGTATAGTATAGTATGGCATGCCATAGCATAGCATAGCATAGCATAGCGTATTCATGTGCGGAACGTTCCATTCAGATACACAATTGTGTACACTGTAGCGGTGCTGGACAATTCTAGGCTAGGCTAGGCTAGGCTAGGAAGTCTGCGTTATGCTGTGTGGTGATATTTTGCCATCGCCACTACCTATCACTATCACTATCATGAAAGCCAAGTACCTACCTACCCACATATATACCTGCAGACACACACTCTCTCTCGCTCTCACACTCATCCAACTCGTTGATGACAAACAGATGCCATATGACAGACAGGCATAGCGTAGCTAAATCTAACGGGTCTGTCTTTTCGGTAGCATCACCGTCCATGATTGCATGCATTGGACTTGCAATTGCAAAGCTCTGCAACCATGGACTCGACGCCGCGGAAAGCCAGGAATCAGACTAGTTTGATAACTTCGGACTTGCTGTGTTCAAATCCAAACTCTGGTCATCTGATCCAGCTCCGTTGAAAGTAATGTTGTTAAAGATATTGGAAGGGGGAGGGATGTCTTTTTGCTTCCCTTGCAAGACCCATTACCAGTTCACGTCGCTGAGTTGCAGTTTACGGGATCGGAAGGCGGAGCGTGTTCCGCCTGACTTGTCAAGTCTGGAGTCGCGGTGTGGAGAACGTCTTTCCGCGGCTAAGAAGATAGAAATCATTAGAAGGGGAACTCGGAATAGATAGAGAAAGTAGTCTTTACCCTCGGTGGTCTCGGCATCGTTGGACATCTCGTAGTTCAGAACCAAGTTCTTGATTCGTTGCTGTTCTTCACGGTCTGCCTGTTGCTGGCTCCTCATCGCGACTGCAAACGTAGAATCGGACGGGAGATCGATAGTACGGGTCTACTTGGTCAATATAATCTTCTTTACGACCCAGGAAAGTAAACTCACCTGTTGCTTGTTTCCCTTCTTGGTCATCAACGAGAAAGCCATGGTATTTGTTTGCGGTGGCTGTGGCTGTGGCTGGGGCTGGGGAGTACCACCAGCTTCCGCCGCCTGGGCAGACCGCTTCATTGGCAGGGGAATATCGAAAATAGCTTTACGCTCAAACCGTCGAGACTCAACACTGTCCGCCATCATCTTCTCGAACTCGCGATCAAATTCTGCCTCGGCTACAGGATCACGTTCCTCTTCTTGACGGGTGACGAAGATCTGCTCCTCTTCCGACTCACTGTCGTCGTTTTGCTCGTTTCCAGATACCTAGGTTGATCGTTAGAGAAAGCATATAAACATATACATACTGCTGGTCTTACCTCGGCTTCGTCGCTTAGTTCCTGGTCATCCTCCACTTCAGGGATGCCATCTTCCTCGAGGTCATCATCCGATGCGCTGCTCTCAGAATCCACGTCATCTGGTTCCCCAGCTTTTTCCGAATCTTGTGTTTTGAAATTCTGGGCTACGGCCTCGCCGAATACACGAGTAGCCTCATCCGGATCAGTAATTAGGTTCCACTGAGGACGAGTTAAGGAGAAGGTATCCTGGACAAGGAAGTCGATATCCATCGGAAGGGGGTCTTTTGTGCTGAGATAGTACTGCAACCCATGAGTATCAGGCCATCCAATAGCAAGGTAGACATACCTGAAAGAAAGTCAAGAAAAAATCTAGCTTCTTCTTTGCAGAGCCTCGATCGAAGCAGTGTCCACAAGTATCTAAAAGCGTGCATACCAAACGAATCCGAAAGAAGTCGTCTGGCATATCCAGCATGTTGATCCTTCCAGGAATAGGTGTTCCGCCTTCTACTCATCATTAGAAAAAGTTAACCCGGGAAGGGGAGGAGAATAACATACCATGACCAAACGTGACGATCCTATATAAAGTATCGAAAATGACAGGCGAGTCGATCATCTTGTAGTTGTACAGCTCCGCAAGATATTTAACTTCTGCGATACGCTTCTGGTTGAACTTGAAGTCGTTCTGCTCAAGTCCAAGCGTGATATACTCCAGAATATTATCTACAACCCCAATGACAAAGCCTTGGTGGTATCTATACAGAGCGCTGACAAGAATGGCAAGCAGGTGAATATTGCCGTACTTGACCTTGGCAGGTTTGCTGAAAACACGTTCCAGAATATCGACGACCTATAAAGTCAGGAACATCCAGCAAAGAAAGAAAAAGGGGGGTAAATGCCACGCCATACCTCGGGTTCCTCCCAGTGGAGTTTCCGGACAGATTTTAAGATCTTCGTGTAGTTACGCTTGTTCATGTCCAAGTAAATAATCCTCCGAATGTACGCCTCCATAGGGGTCCGCTCCTTCTGCTGGATTGCTGGCCGTGGAGGCGGGTCAACGTAGTAGACCGCATTCTCAATGATCATGCGTTCTTGTTGGCCCAAATGCTGAACTGTTTTCTTCCTTCCAAGAGTCTCCAGGAAAGAGGCCATTCTCGGGGCGGTGTCTGGGTTTCGGAACAGGTAACGCCCGCAGTTTTCCAGCAAATGACCGATGATCTCAATGTTCATGCGGGAAAAATCGTCCAGAGAGACTTTGAAACAGTGGAAAATGATGTGCTCGGGAACAACTCCAAATTTGGTCAACTCCGCAAGATAACGGACATTGCTCATTCGCACCTGACCAAGGAATTCTTTCGATTTGCGGCGCTGGAGGCTGCGGAACTCTTCGTCAAGATACGTTGTCAAGCCTTGGGGAATATCCGGCATATACTGGCCAAGAGTTGCGATCAGGCGCGAGTACAAAGGCAGAAGGTCGATACGGCCCTTTGGAACATCCGAAACGGCTTTAATGAGCCTGTTCCGTGATGCCTTCGAGTTGAGGAAACAAAAGTCGAGGGCTAGCTGGTCAACTTGATCTTTTGTCTGCAAGTCCGGAAGTTTGGTCAAGAGAGCATCGACCTGGGCCCCAACAGTCTTGCTCACAATAGCGGTAGATTGATCATCAGCCTCGGTAGCCCTGTCTTCAGGAACTATAGAGGTTTCCGCCGCGCTTGTCTCGGGCTCACCGTCTTTCTTCTTCAAAGTCTCTTCGGGTTTCTTCTTCCTACCATCCTCCAACAGAACAGCCGGAACCTTTCCTTTCAGATCAACCAAGTTTTCATAGAAGCGTCGCTCTTCTTCATCCTCCCAGATACCAGCTCCCTCACCTTGTCCTCGCAGATACTCGGATGTCTTCACCAGACCGATACCACCACCTGAAGTAGGGTCTGTAGCTTCCTGCTCGGCCAAGGCAGGCATTTCCACGCCAAGTATCTCACACAAGACCTGGGTGTTCGAAATGAGCTTCTCCAGGGACTTGGTCTGTTTTTCGAAATTCGCCTGCCGGTCCTCGAAAATCTCACCACTTTTCACATATGCCTCCGCATTGCGGCGGTTCTGAGCAGCCAGCGCTCTCTGATCTCGAACAACATGCGCTTTGACATCTTCCAGATACCGGTTCAGAATACTCTTAAAGCGAAGCTGCATCTTGTCGGAACTCAGTGGTGCATCATCTTCGCCCGATATCTCATCCGCCAATCCATCATCATTCTGCGTCTCAGGCTGCGTAGCTCCGTCGGCCTCAACCGTCTTCCTGCCCTCCTCAACAGCCTTCACACCAAGAACATCCCAGCTAAAGCTTTTCGCAAACAACACCGCAAGTGGCAAATTCGCATGGTCCCGATCATGCCCCAGAAGATCCTTCAGAACCTCCAAGGGGAACGGTTCCGGCTCGCGATCTCCATCCTTGGCCACAGAAGGCGCCGTAGTCTTACTCTTCAACACCCCATCAGCCACCTTGCTACCAATCCCAACAGCTCCTTCTTTCCCCTTCGCCCCGAGATCCTCTGGCCGCTCAATATCATCGAGTGTCTTCAACACACCCACGAGCCAAAGCTCCGTAACAACCCTCAGTAACACTCTATGCCGCGAAAGTCGTTCTTTTTCCTCGCGCTCACGCACCTCCAGGCTCAGAGCCTTCAACTGGCTTTTCTCCGGTGAACTCAACCCCCGCCCTAGTAGCCAGCCAATCTGCCGTGTGAACTCCGCAGGCCCGAACCGCTGATGCAGCGCGCTGGTGACTTCGACTCCGGCGGCGATCTCGCCGGGGGATTTGAGTTTAGTGAGGCCCTCGTAGCAGGCTGAGATGATCTCCGAGAGGTACTTGTGGAGAGTTAGGGTGCGGATATCCGTGAGGAAGGTTTGTTGAGCGGCGGTGTTGATTCCGGTGCGAAGACGCTTGATGAAAGCGGTGTTTTTCTTCAGGGAGGAGTCGAGAGATTTGCTGACAGGGAATACATCTATTCATTTTTGTTAGACGGGACCTATTCCTAGTCGTAAAAGAAAGACGGCATATTACCATTCTCACCCGCCCAGGCTCTCTCATTGAGACTGCGGAGCTCCCCTGGATAGTCATTAGATCCGGTTCATTTCTCAGGTGGAAAAGAGTGAATAGAAAAGCATACGCTTTCTCTGCCGATCCATCTTTACCGCTGTGTTGTCCTTGTAATGGGGACCGGTAGAATTCACTTGTCGCGGAGTACTAGTACTTTCAAGAAGTCGGAAAGGAAAACGTTAGAGTGACTTGAACGCCACATTGGTGAAAAATCCCGGTAAATCGAAGACGCACAACGTCAGGGAAGTTGCGTGAAACGGGTGCGTTCAGAGGAGGTTGTAGGACGATGCTTGCCTGCAAAAGCTGTAGGTGAGCGGTGCGGTGCAGCGACTACAGTACGGCGGCGGCGACGACGAGGTGGGAAAGGAAGCGAAGGCGGCGGCGGATATTTTGGGAGTTTTGGCTTCTGGCGCGTGGGGGAAAGTTCTTTGATCTGAAAACTACTACACCACATCAGCCTCAAGTTAAAGAGATCTTCATCTTCTTCTTTCACTCTGATTAAAATCCAGGAATGCAACAGAAAAAAAAAAAAAAAAAAGAAAATAAGGGAAATAAACTCAAGCTATACATAATGCGCTCTCAAACGCAGAACTACCCTACTAACTACCCCTCCTCACCCAATCTACTCTCCCCTTCCCTCTCAATATCCAGAAGCCTCTTCTGCAGTTCATGCTTTCTATCGTCTTGGCTCCAACTCATCGATCGAGTCCGCACTTTGCTGTTTTCCTGTCCGGGTTTCCACTCACCTTCTCCTTCGCCCTCCAAACCAGCACCCACGCCCGAAATCAGATTGGCTCCAGGTTTTCGTGACAGAGCATCATCAGAACCACCTAGATTATCCTGGACACTCTGTGCATTTAAAATAACATCGTGATATAAACATTGTTGTTGGAGTATACATAGCAACCGTCGTTCCCAAAGTATCTCCACCGCATAGGTGGTATATTTGACTATGGCAACCTTGCTAGGACGGAACTCTGGCAACTCAGAGACAGCTAAGCAAGGCAAGAATTCAAAACAGCGTTACTTGTGCACGCCCGAGTTGAGGATGTCCTTCCTCACTTGGTCAAAAAGCCACCACGGTCCCCTCCCTACTAGTGGATTCACAACTATCAGTGCTGATCAGCTAGTTGAAGAGGAGGAGTTGCCTGATTACCGAGCTGATCGATTCTATCCTGTTCAACTGGGGTGAGACTTTCCAAAACCGCTACCAAAACAGTTGCGAAGCTTGGTTGGCTCGAGATCTGGAATCCCACAAGTACGTTGCGCTATTATTGAGCTTCTTCAGGCTCCTAGATTTTCTTCATTCACATGGGGAGGTTGTACATACTGGTATTTATGACAAAACAGCCTGCTGGAAAAATCTTGAGGAAAAGGAATTTACATCCCCAGTACCTCGCAAACCAGTTTCATCCTCACTCACCATCTATCTCTCGCGTCTGATGCGCCCTAAGGAGGGTCCAATGCTGCTTACTGTACATCAGATATCATGTCTATACTGTGGCTAACACAGGTAGGTATTCAACATTAGTATCTATACAAAGAGTTAGATAATATATAAAGACATGTAGTAGATCAAAGAAACAGCAGAGCTATATTAAGAATACGGCACTGGCTCACTTATCAGTTTGTAGAAGAGGAGCAGCATGCAATTTCTAACGCATAGTCAAGGATACACACTAGTTATCGATTTCTTCCCCGCCGCAGGAAATCCCGCAAACATTACGAGCATGGGGAAGGCTGGAATGAAGTAACACAGGACTTCTGGGACGCCTTGTCGGGTAATCATGGGCAGAGATTTGGCTGGACCGCGCAACACGCACACGCAACCTACGACCAGGCTATTTCCATCTACTCCCAGATCCACGCTCAAGCTTCCTCTCCCTCATCAAGTATGTATGTATGTATGTATGTATGTATGTATGTATGTATGTATGTGTCTCACTAATCATCTGTTCGCATACTCTGTATGTACGGATACTACGGAGTACTGTTCTGATTTATTCAAGGCCATGCTGAAATACCCCGAGGTCAACTAAGAAATACTCTATCGTCTGTACTCCAGATGAATAGTGAATACTTTTTTTAATTCCATGGAAGTAACATACAGATCATAATGTGCGCAAGCTAATCAGTACAATGATATCACACAGGCAGATGCAAGCATCACTTCTACCTCCGAAAAGGCCAATAACCACAGAATGAGAAAAGAACAAAACCTCCATACATCATACAACATAAAAGTCAGAATGGGTATGTCCACGCCACGCAATGCGAGTCCTTGAGAAGGGACAAAGAGGGATAAGAAGAAGTAGAGCCCAAAAGTGAGTAAACACGGTAAATATGTACGAAGAACAGAATAATATCAACGAGGGGGTGATGATGACAGGCGGTCATTTATTTCGGTTTTCGCCAATAGTATTGCTTGTCATGGGTTAGCTAATGTACATCCCAGATGCGCAAGTGACATACCTTATGTTGTTTTCGACAATTCCGAAGACCAGGCTTTCTTAGGTCGGTCACGACAGCCTCACGCCGCATCTCATCGTCATCAAAGTCGGGAATATAATAATATTCGGCTTCGAGTGGTTTCCCGGCAGCGTCCTTACCTTCACGCGCCACCTTTCCGATGCACTTGGTAGTATCCAAGATTGCACGGATCTCATCTTTTGATGGCCCATTTCTGGACTGGCTGTCCCGTTTCCAGAGCGAAGGAGGGAGGTTATTAAGAATAGTAGAGAACGGAGTGGAGGAGAGACGAGAGAAGGCCAGCTGGTTGATTGCATGGTTTTGAACACGCTCACCACCTTCATCCAGAACGACGGGCTTAACTGGCTCATCAGATTCAACCACGAGGTTTGAGGGTTGTCGAGAAGATTGAGTGGGCTGGAGCGGATGGCCAGGGATGTGGCAACGTGCGGGTCGAAGAGGTGAATCGTCGGCAGTGAACGAGGCCATGCGAGGCAGTAGGTTATCGCCAAACGGTCCGAAGGAATGGATGATTGGGTCATTCTCCTCATCGTGATCTGACAGGTCATCGTGTTTGCTCAAATCACTCAAGTCACTTGTCTGAGAGCTTTGCAGCAGGGATGCTACACTGGATGACGAGTTCAGGGTGGCTTGAGAGAGCAAAGCATCTCCAGATGTGCTACGGCGGATAGGGGAGGTTTCGTCTTCATACACAACCACGGCATTCCGGGAACGGGTGGGGGTGTACAAAGGAGATGATGGAGGAACGAGGGACTTCACGGCTGGAGAGGGAGAAACAGGAGAGGCTAACCGTTGACGTTCAGCACCGGGGCTGTCCTGTAAACTCCGACGCGACTCTTTGTTCCGTCGGGGCGTAGTCTCCTCCCATGTCTGTTCTGAATCAGTGGACGCATCGTCCTTCCTCTCATTCCGCGGCCACTGAACCAGAACACGAGCATCATGAACATCGATCATGATATCCGCGTCCTTAATGTCTGACGTGAATGTCTTTCCCTTCGCCAAGTCATATGTCTTCCCCTGGCAGTGAAGTTTGATTCCATTCCACCCCAGACACATTATCTCTACCCTATCACGGTCGAAAGGGTTCGGTGCGGGCTTATAGGTAGCCTTGACATGTATCCTCGAAATCATGCGATTGGCGGCGAGCTGGTGATGACACGAGGCACTCGATCTACCCATCAAGGTCGGCTCGCCAGTCTCAGAAAGCATGAGGGTCGGAACAGCGGAGAGAGGGCTTCGTTCCGAGCCAGCAGAGGCCGGAATTCGACGTGACGAGGAACGTGGCAAGGCCATTCGAGGCGGCGAGGATGACATGATATGGGTGGATGAGGTGGGGACGGGAGTTGGATAAGTAGAGACGATGCCATGGTCATGGCGTGCTACACGCTTTTGTGGTCGAGGAAGAGAAGGAGAAGAACTCAATGGCTCAAAAGCAGGCAAGAGGGACGCTGGACGCTTCATGCCTGCCACGGGAGCAATAGGCGTGCTCCTTGGAGGAGAAGACTCCATGGTGATCTGAGATTATTAAAAAAAAAAATAAAAAAAAAAATAAAAAAAAAAAAGTGCACCGACCTTTCTTTTCTTTTCTTTCTTTCTAAAAGACGACGAACCACACTATAAAGGAGTGAAGAGAGAAACAATTGAAGGTTCGCGTCGAGGACAGGGTAGGGTAGGGGCTCTATTTTCTATGAGGGATGACAGACAGCCTCTCTCCACACGCACACACGACAACAGGTCCAGAAAGAAAGACAGAACAGGAAGGGAAGCTTGTTAAGGACGAAAAGGAACGAGTCCTCAGACTTCCCCCCAGGATGACGACCAGGAGGTTGGGAGGCACGTCGAGAACGAGTCTACAAGAAGAAAGAACGAAAAGATATTGAAGAAAAGGGAGAAAGGATGGGTGTGTGGTGAAAATGGAATGTCTGGCGGAACACAGCAAGTCTGCTTGCTCCAGCGCGGAAATGCACGCTTCCAGCCCGAGACGCGTTCGATAGGCGCCGACGAGGGTCTTAAGGCGCTCCACCATTCACCGCGCGCATCCTCCCAGCCTAACCTTCATAAACTATGCATTTCCATCTTTTGCATTTTCGAGCAGCCAGAAATGCCATCCCTCAAAATCCGAATGGCAACATGCCCGGGTTGACGCCAAATTCTTCTTCCCTTGCCCTTGTTCTGTGCCTTGGAGAGAGAATCCCCCCTCAAGTCGCGTCTCCCCCGCGTCTCAAACCGCGTTCTCTGGTTCGAGTCCCGTGACTCGCGCCAAACCACGTGATCTGTCTCCACTGGACTGCATGGCCCGTGCATGGCGCTTTCCCTAATGCGGACGACCCATCCGGTGATGGAAAATTTTTCTGAGTCGCTGATTGGCTCGCTACATCTGCAGGGAATTGTGACAGATGAACCTTGAACGTCTACACATGCAATGTAATTACAGAGGACAATATAATATACCCAGTAAAAGGGACCTAGGGAAATGTAAAATAGGAGTAGAATTGAAGCTCCAGCGTACACGGCCAGATTATCTAAAAAAATAATAAAAAAAACACAGCTTGGGGCAGAAAAGTGGCTGTCGCGTACTGTAATATGCCCAGTTACTAGTAGGTATCCCGACGCGTCGCGACGACACCAAATCCAAAGATGAATGAATGTTCAGTAACTTACCGGTCAAGACTGGGTTACAATCCGGCCATTCAATTGAATTTCACTCAACACGCAAGACAACTAGTACCAGGACAGTGGACTAGCTGTCAGAATCACGGATTCAACATAAAACAGCAATTCCAACGAATTCCCCCCCCCCCCCCAGTGCTTTATGCACCTCCTACCTAGGTACTACCTCTTTTAGTACCTAGGTAGTGCACAGGGGGAGGCTGGCTGTACACGAAACACCAGGGGGAATTTCCCATTTCACAGCCAAAATGGATTCTTACCTAGGCAGCGACAGGTAACAACATACTGTACGGAGTACCCATCTGGTAATGGTAGTCCCTCCCCGCCTTGGCTTCGTCCATTCAAATCGTACTCGGTGCAAAATGTAATCCCTCATTTTAACAAGCTATCAACATCCGTCAAAATCAGAGATCATCAAATTGAGTGAGTTGGCTGGTTTCCTTCCAGCTCTCCGAGATTCTACTCGATTATAGATTTCATAGGAAAGGCGTATCATTCAATTACAGAATACTATAAATGCAACATGACCTCTTAGAGGAAAGAAGAGAGCAGGCAAGGGTATACATGAGTAAAACGAAAATCAGTGTTACTTTGCAGTAGAGAGAGAAGGTAAGTCTAACCACAAATGTCCCCAGCCTGGCAGTTGGCGACGGAGGGGGAGGGGAAAAAAAAAAAAAAAGGTGAGAAGAAAAAGATTTTCCAAGTCATATGGGACAATATACTAAGATACACAAAGAAAGCAAGCACACTGAACGGAGGTTCATAAACAGGGTGAACAGAGGTATGGGAAGGTTTCTATTTGCAATTTGGCTTGGATAAGTCGACCAGAATGGCCATCGGTCGCGCTGCTCTTAGCAGCGCGACATAGGCAACTCTAATAGAAAACGTAGGAGGCCTCTCCAGAGAGGACCTCGACCTTTTAAGACAGAATCAGTATCGAATTGCGCCCAAAGGAAAAGAAAAGAAAATCAGGGAGAGCGCTTACCGTGCAGCCAGAGTCGTTGGAGCCAGACTCCGAGTAGAAAACACCGTTCTCGTACTTGCAAGATCCGCTGAGGTCGGATCCCTGGATCTTGACATTGAAGTCGAGCGCCTCGGTAGTGGTGGGGCTGTTCTGGAAGATAGAAAGCCACTTGCCGTTGTTCTCACCAACACCAAGGTTGATGGGGGCCCAGTTACCAATAGCGGAGCTACCATCACCCCACTGGCAACCTTCACTGGTTGAAATACCCTTGGGGTTAACGTAGTACTGGGCAGAAGTGGTCTTGCCCTCCCACTTGTAGTAAGTAGAACCGTTAGGGCAGGTCAGAGGCTGGGTGGCGCCGGCAGAAAGGCTGAGGGGAACGGTTTCAGATTCGGTACCTATACATTGTATTAGAAATCGCATGATAATCCCTGATGCTTTTTGAGTGGTACCCACCAGGATAGTCGGTACGGCAGACGGCAACCTGCTCGCTCAAGGTGTTCTTAACACTGACGCCACCAACACCAGCAACGCAAAGCTTGTCAGAGAGGTCTGAGTTGGTCAGGTACAGCTTGCCATTCTTGCACTCAAGACCACCAATCGACTGGCCAGTGGAGCCCTGAGTGGAAGGCCACTGGGACTTCTGGTAACCGGGAGGGCAGGCGTAAGAGCACATCGCACCACTGGTGCAAGCATCACCGCTGACCGCAGTGACGATCTCGCTGATGACTTCATCGGCCCAAGACAGGTACTGGATTCCAGAGTAGCCACCCAATCCGAGGTAATCGAGAGCAACAGCACCGTAGTCGGAGGGGAAGGTGCCGCAGTCGATCTCACCGTCGGGGAAAGACGCATCGATTCCAGTGGCAGTGCTGGTGCTAGAAGTGGCGGTGGCCACGACCGAAGAGGTGGTAGTGGTGGATGTCGTCGTACTAGTGGTAGTACTGGTGGTAGTACTAGTGGTCGTGGTAGTAGTGGTGGTGGTCGTGCTGCTAGTTGTAGTCGTCGTGGACGAGGAGGAAGTCTCAATGAACTCGGCGGCAACGACGGTGGGAGCCAGGGAGGAGGTGGCAGTGGTACTGGTGCTGGTGCTGGTCGTGCAAGGATCCCCTGGGGGCTTGCCATCAGCCCACTTCAAGTAACCCTCACTAATACCCTTGCACACATCGGCGGCAGAGATCAGCTCGTTGTTGAGTTCGTACTCGATGACGGTAGGACCGTCAACGGTGACAACCTCGGGAATACGCTTGTGGTGATGGCGGTGTTGGTGCTGGTGCTGCGCAGCAACCATAGAACCCGCCGTGGCCAGGGTGACGGCAACGGTGTTGAACTTCATTTTAGAAATATGAAGCGCGAAAAGTCAGGTCGAAAAATAATCCCTATCCGATCTAGATCGAATCAAGATAATTAGTATGCACATCCATAGCTTCCATCAAAGATCCATTCCGATCACATTCCAGCCTGTCCTTCTGTCATTGCTGATCCCAGGCTCCCGCCAGTAGAAGATGCGATTTCGTAGTGGAGCCTAGAACCCGCAACAACACGGAGGCGCATCACCGAGGAATGTGACAAAAAAAAAAAAAAGCAAGCATCTGGACATACATCAAACTTTACGGCAAGCCAGTCGCACGTCGGTTAAAGATAATTCTGTACACGAATCGAAGGCGCTGGGAGAATGCTGACAGCGGTGTGACAGGGCCAAAGGGGGCCGGGTAAGACGATATGAGAACCGAAAGAGCAAAGTCACGAAAAGAAAGGAGGTGTCCAAATGAATGTGCTAGAGAGAAACAAGTCTCTCTGGTCGGATAGGAACGCTCAATGGGCTAGCGACAGCCTTTAGGGGGGGGGGTGTGGTCTCAGGGTTCTAGTATAGGGGAGGGGGAGAAGAGAGGGAAAGAAGGAGAAGAAGGGGACGAAGAAGACGAAGGATAGGGAGCTTATTTTGAAGGAGACAGAACACCAAGGAATGGACAGTAAGGAACGATTAAACAGAATAAAACGAAGGAATGGAATTGGATGGGTAGAGTTAGAGCGAGTCTACGCAGTACGGAGTAGGGGGGGAAAGAAAAGAGGAAAGGAAAGTGGAAAGTGGGAGTTGCGTGTGTGGCCCCAGTAGAGAGAGCGAATGAGGAGGAGACAAAGAGAGGCAACAATCAAAACACTCGGCACTAATCTTGAAATAGAGGAGGGATTCAGGGGTTCCACCAGGAGATTCGAGACATGATTTTATTATGTATTTGATTATTATTATTATTATCACCATTTTCCACTTACAAAACAAAATACAACAGGCCAACTACTTCCATCAAGTCATTTGGCCGTCCATGGAAAACGTGACAATCTCTAGGATTTAGGTACAGCCTGGTGGGGGGGGGGGGAACAGATATGTCCACATTTAGGCTGACTCCTGAAAGTCCTCTGCTCTAGACACCACACTTACCCCTAAACCCTCAATACTTAGCTATGGAACATTGGAACCTCGTAAGATACATACGTAAGTTCACCTGGCAGTTGAACACGAGAAACTATTTTTACTTCATTCTTTTTTGGTCTTGAAATACAATCATTCCCATGTTTGGGATTTTCCTGTTCCTGAATCTGGGCTGGGCGGTTACCGAAATTACTCTGTATTGGGAACAGCCAATCAAAATGAGAATACCAGCACCTGAGTGGAAATCTGACTTTTTTTTTTGCCCCCTTCCCAGCCAGGTACACCAATAAGGATCTCCGAGACAGTGGAGCCATCACGGCAAGGTCGTGACCGTCTAGGGAAAGTTTCATGTCAGATCCTAGGACCTAGGTACACTAGGTAACAAATACCTAATGTATACGGAGTAATCAAAGAAGATATTGAATTGAATTATAATTACAATAATACGGGACCCATGGAAAGCATTCTGTAGTTACCTCCTAACTAACCTACCTACGGAGTACCAGTGCCGATCTACACTTACCGCAAGCCCTCTAGGCTGCTCTGAACAGAGACCTTTCATTGGTACTTTGGCACAACTAATCCGCGAGGAGAAGGAGCCTAATGCAGCATTCGCCGTTAATCCTCTGCAGTAATGTCCCACCGACACTGTAGTGCAGCCTGCAGGGATAACCTCCCTACAACTGACAGCACAGCAGGGCTGGAATCTAGGGACAGAAAAATGAGATTGACGATTTCGTGCGACGTGTGCGCGCCAATTCAGACACCTATCAATCGCGAAACGAGCCATCTTGCTGTCAACCCTTGATTGACTACTGGCTTCATGGAGTAACTATGGTGTAGGATACGTATTTATCCGTCCGATTCAGTCGTCCAATGCCTATCTTATCTACTGAAGATTCGGATGTATCACTAAACAAGTCAATGCCACGTTTACGGAATTGATAGGTGATGTATTCAGTCCATCAATTCATCTGGCCCTGGGGCCTGTGCAAGAGAGAACGTAACATCGCTTTATGGATGCTTGGATCTCCTTTCACAGCTAGGTATGACAGGGTATCCGAATCCTATCTGAAACCACGGTGTGAGTGTTCACCAGATCGCTCGAATCCAAATTTAGTACAGAGTACTCCCTATGGTAAACTTCGACTACTGATGAGTACTGTTACTACTGTAACTGGTAGTTAGTATCCGTATATAACATATCAGAATAATCCATGACAGCGTCAATCAATAATAAGAGGAAATAAAGCCCAAAAACAAGCTCTTCCCGTCCAACCCCTCATCTAACCTCCAGGTTCTCCTCGAGCCGCGTCACTCCTCATTGAAGACTCGTACATCATATAATAACTACTACCAACCTACTTCTCTTGCTCGGGGTTCACGTCACTTGTTCCTTTTTAGTTCAATCGAATTAATATCGCATTTACACGGTACACTTTTGCTGTTGACGCCCCTCCATTTACAAGTTCGCTCTTTTTTTTTAGCATACAACCCCTCGAATGAGCACTATAAACCCCTGGGTGGGGAGTCTAGCTCCCACCGAAAGCCGGAAATAATTTGACTACGACATGCCCACATTGCATGATATGATATCTTTGGGTTTTGGCTTTTCTTTTCTCCAAAAGCTTAACCACTATGGACGCAGGTCTTGCCTTTCCTCAATAGCAATTACGGCCAGCTTCCAATGGTTTCGTTTGCATCTCCGCCGCCCACACCTTCCGCACCTGTTGTTTGTCTGAGAATATATTACCCCTCGTCACTCTTTGCGTGTGCGAGTACGGAGTACTCATGAGATACAACGAAGGCGTTCTGTTCTAGATTTGTGGAGTTCTCCATAGTTCGTTCAGAATGGGTAGCCAAACAGGATCCTCTGTTCGTCAGCTTTTAGGGTCTCGGATCTGGAAACCAGGCTATATGGAGCCTTCTAAAGTCTCCTGGGCTTTCATTCTAACTGCCGTCCCTGGCGAGGAAGAGCACGTGGTGGAGACTGCCCAAGGCCATTTGACATTGTATCCTCCTGATCTATGGCATCTATTCGACCCTTCATTGAATAGCGTAGTTTCTCGCAATCAGGGGGTGCCTATTCTTCCAAGTACGGAGTACTCCGTACGGCTGCTCGTAGTTTTCATTACTTCAGCTATGCTTTATCTATCCAAGCTCTGGTTCGCCAGTTACTGGATATATACTTGTAAGCATGTTGTTGGCTTTGTTCCCCTGTGGTTGTGATATCCTCACAATGTAGCTTCGTCCATGTACCTACTCGGTAAATATATACAGTACAGCTTAGTTGTCATGATTCGCCAAACCACACTATTTGTCACAATCTAAGACTGATGTTTCCATAAGAGTTCCTACCTAAAGCTGTTAATATTACATATTTACAAATAAAGAAGTTAGAACTACAGATGAAATGGAGATTTGAGTATCTTGGTGTTGGGCTATTTGGCCGGTCACGTTCCACCCACGGGAATATCATATTTCCGACATCGACCGGATCGTGACTAATCACGCCAAGACCCACCATGCCCTCACCGCCTTCTAGTCATGGCGATTTGACTTTTTTTTTTTTTTTTTTTTTTTTTTTTATCAGTCAATATCACAGAAATTCGAGACGGTTGAGATCAGACACCATATCATATTGAATATCGTCAATATGGGGTCCTCTACTGCGGTCACTACTAAGGTGGCCTCTGGCACACCCTACCAACTTGACCAGAGCCAGGTAAGCGTCCCGATTGTATATGAACGCGACATCATTTGCTAATTGGAAACTTCTGCACCGCATCAGGTCTCCAAGGCCTCTTCAGCCCTCCTGCGACACATCAAATCAAGACAGGACGAAAAGGAAAAAACGGCAACCAAGAAGACCCTCATTGGAGACAACGATGACGACTCCGACGCTGAAGACAGCCCCTCGCACAACGAAGCAGTGTGGCTTGTGCTTACGACGAAGAAGCACGTCGTCGACAAGAACCGCCTGAAGCCCGGCAAAATCAGCATCCCGCATTCTCTGAATGCCTCGCCATCTCTGAGCATTTGTCTGATCACAGCGGACCCGCAGCGCGCGGTGAAAAACATCGTTACGGATCCTTCCTTCCCACAGCACCTGTCCTCGCGCATTGACAAGGTCATCGGTTACTCCAAATTGAAAGATCGGTACAAGAGCTTCGAGAGCCGACGACAGCTTCTCTCAGAGCATGATGTCTTCCTGGCTGATGACCGGATCATCATGCGTCTGGTGACTACACTGGGCAAGATCTTCTACAAGTCTAGCAAGCGGCCTATTCCCGTGCGCATTGCAGAGATTGAAAAGGTGGATGGGAAGAAGGTGAAGAAGGACCCCCAGCAGAAGAAGTCCAAGGATGAAGATAGCACGTTTGCGACCCCCGCGATTGTGGCGAAGGAGATCGAGAAGGCCCTGAGCTGTGCGCCCGTGCACTTGGCCCCGGCTACTACTGCGGCTATTCGCGTTGGTTCGTCCAAGTTCACGGCGGAGCAGTTGGCGGAGAATGTCGAGGCCGTGGTGAAGGGCTTGACCGACAAGTATATCGCAAAGGGGTGGCGGAATATCAAGGCCCTTCACGTCAAGGGTGCAAACACTACTTCCTTGCCCATCTGGCTGGCGAGTGAGCTGTGGGTGGAGGAGACTGATGTGGTGGAGGCCCTGGAAGATGGCAAAGCGGACGGAAAGAACGACAAGAAGCGTAAACAGATTGAGGGTGGCGATGAGAAGCTCCTGGAGGGAGGCAACAAGAAGTCCCGGAAGCAAAAACCCGCAGAGGAGGATGACGACGCGCAGACCCTGGCCGCTCGTAAGGAGAAGCTCCAGAAGCAAAAGGCAAAGGCATTGGACGACGGAGAAGCCATAGCCATGAAAGTAGGGTCTGGCCCGACCAAGAAAAAGAGAAAGTCGACTTCATAATTGTCTTGTTTTACGGGGTTGATCCTAACCTAACGGCTTCTTTGTTCTTTAATTTTTGTCCGATTAGTTATATAGTACAGATCAGTCAGTCTTCAGGATTATTATGCAGGGGTCTTTAGCGAATGACAACAAAATTTTCACCCCCCAAAACACTTTTCCAAGTAATAAATATAACTAGTAGAGTTGAGTTATCCAAATCCGCACCATGTCGAAGCAAAACCCACAACCCCGTAAAGAGATGGGCTAGATCAGATGCATATCCGCTCGATAACCGACATCCGAGGATCTGGCGTTATTCTGGATAGGAACCGCCCGCCGGAATCATCATCGTCCCGAGAGCAAGCCCGTACGTACCGGACTAATTTGCACCCACCCCAGCTCTCTCGTCTTCTCCTCCTCCTCCTCCTCCTCCTCACTTACACCTTTCTCCCCTCCACACGTTTTTTTTTTTTGCTTTTCTTGCTGCAGTTCAAGATTTTATCCACAATGATCCCAATTGCTAGAACCTCGGTGCTTCGCGCGGCCCGCGCACAGATCAACCCATCCCGGGCCTCTGCGCTCGCCCGTCTCCTCTCCACCCTGGCTGTTCTCGAACAACGGGATGGGAAACTGCAGAGCTCATCTGTCTCCGCTATTGCGGCCGCCTTGAAACTGGGAGGCCCCGTCACAGCTTTTGTGGCTGGTACCGGGGTGAAGGCGACCTCAGCGACCGAGGCAGCCCAGTTCCAAGGTGTGGAGAAGGTTGTCGCCGTTGAGAATGATGCATATGAAAAGGTACCTATCCTCCTGCTTTGATTACTATAGCCTCTCTCGAGTAGAGGAGGGGAGAAAGAGGATACATCCCCTGCCAGAGAAGACACAGAAGCTAACGCGGTTCACATGTAGGGCCTCGCCGAGAACTACGCCCCTCTTCTCGTTGAGAACATCCAGAAAGGCGACTACACCCACGTTGTGGCGGGCCACTCAGCCTTCGGAAAGAGTCTCCTCCCCCGCGTCGCTGCTCTCCTTGACGTGCAACAAGTCTCCGACATCACCGGTATCGAAAGCGAAGACAGTACGTGCATATAATATGACTCACCACCTCCGCGAGGAAATAAAAACAGAACTACAGCTAACAATGGCAAATAATAGCATTTGTCCGCCCCATCTACGCCGGCAACGCGATCCTCACCGTTCAATCCACCGATCCCATCAAGGTCCTCACCGTCCGCGGCACGGCTTTCCAAGAAGCCTCTGCTACCGGTGGCTCGGCTACGATAACCGACGGCGCTGACCCCAACGCCCCTGCCCAGACCGAATGGGTTTCCGAAGAGCTCGCCAAATCCGAGCGCCCTGACCTGGGAACCGCCTCGCGCGTCGTCGCCGGTGGCCGCGGCCTGAAATCAAAGGAAGAGTTCGACCGCATCATGGTCCCGCTCGCTGACTCTCTGGGTGCGGCGATTGGAGCGTCGCGCGCAGCTGTCGACAGCGGCTTCGCTGATAACAGTTTGCAGGTTGGACAGACGGGCAAGAACGTCGCGCCGCAGCTTTACCTGTGTGCGGGTATTTCGGGAGCGATCCAGCATCTTGCTGGTATGAAGGATAGCAAGGTGATTGCGGCGATTAACAAGGATGCCGATGCGCCGATTTTCCAGGTGGCCGATGTGGGACTCGTAGGGGATTTGTTTGAGAAGGTTCCTGAGTTGACGGAGAAGTTGAAGAGCCAGGCGTAGATAATTCTTTTTTTTTTTTCTTTTTTCTTTCTATTTCTCCCTGATGCTAATGCTATCTATCTATGGTTTTCTTTTGCATGCGTATATATAGTCATGTCTTTTTTTTTGGTGTCATACCCTGAATAAGTGCTAGAAAATAAAAGCCCTGGTTTACCACCTTTTCACCCTTCTTATAGAGAAGCTCTCTCTCTCTCTCTCTCTCTCTCTCTATGTGTGTATAAAATATTAGGTAGGCATGCACTCAAATCATACAATCATGACACATCATTCCTACAACCGAGAACAAATTAATATACTCGAAACTAACCCTACAACCCAGCCAACAACTCCGCCAACGAAATCGGCTTGCGCACGGCATTCGAAAACCCATCGTGATACGTCACCCAGACCTTCCTCTCCGTGTTAGAAGAAGAAGAAGAAGAAGAAGAAGAAGCCTCCCTTCGAGTCGCTGGCGCATCGTCCGCCCCAGACACCGTCGTCGGATCCTCGATGACTCGCCCGAAAAAGTCACGCTTCACTGCACGCCCCGGTCTTGGGACCTTGCTTGCTGCGTCCTGGGCGTCCGCGGGCTTGCGCGGGAGGTGGTTCCGGCTGTTGCTGGGTTGGTGCATGGCGCTCAGGGTCTCGGATTGCTTGCGCGTGGTTTCCTTGCGGTATTCCTGGTCGAGGACTTGGCGGACGGCGAACCGCACTGGGGCGGTGCGGGTGGAGAGGCCGTTGGTTTTGGAAAATGTGACGAGGGAGTCTAGGGGTCTGTATATATATATATATATATATATGTGTATGCGTTTCGAGGGATTGGTTAGATACTGGAAGAAGAAAAGAAGAAGAGGAAGAGGGATGGATACTGACGGTTCCATTCGATACGCCCATCCGCCATATGCGCCGCCCTCGTTCTCGACTCGGACTTTCTCGAATGTCACGTTTAGGCCGGTCATCACTCGGACGGCGGCTTGGACGAGAGCTCGTTCGCTTTCTTTGCGCACGCTGGCCACGCTCTTCTGGTCGCCGTTTCCTCGGACGACGACGGGCTTGACGTCTGGTGAGAGCATCTGTACGATGTTTGGGAGGAGCTCAGTGGTTAGGCTATCTGTTGATCGGAAAAGACGGAGTATCGGAGCGGAGAAGGATGATTGGAATCCTGTGATTAGGGCTTGGTTTTGTTTGTGGGCCTCAAAGGCGGCGAATTCAGCTCGAGGTCCCGAGAAAGGGTGCGCCTCTTCTTCGTCCTCGTCGGGCTCTTTGCATTGAACTCGGCCTTGTGCAGTGGCAAAAAGGAGGTGGAATGCTGTGACGGACTGGCTGAGATATGGGCCAAGCTCCCAGTCGTGGGCCGAGTAGACTCTGGATGACAGGGTATCGTGAAAGTACAGCCAGTCGTAGGCTAGGTTGGGCTTCGAGAGGAATGTGTCGTCTTGGTATGGTTGTATGGGATATGAAGTGAAGCATTCAGCAGTGCACCGGTCATGGTCCCCGCTGGCCTCGACCATCTCGCGGAGTCTAGTGACGGCATGGCGTTTCTTCATGCTTGCGACGTCCACGGGTGTCTTTCCGCCTGAGCGATCAAACGGGTCTTGGAACGAGCCCGCGCCCAGGGGCACATCAGGGAACCCTGCTCCTTCGGTGAAGACACGGTCTACAATATCACGCACTCCACCGCGATTTAAGCCTTTGAAGAATGAGCTGCCTCCGCCATCGCCAAGGACCCGCTGCTCAAGCCAGCTTTTCGTTAGCCTCAAAGCAGAGGTGCTTTCGCTTCTCAGTTTATGAGCCACCCATTCGGCAGCTACTAGGACGCTTCGAATATCCCCCTCTGCCGTTCCGCTGCTTTTAACTCCTCTTTGCCTTCTTTTGGCAAGGCCCCAGGATGCTTCACAAAGACGTCTCACTCCGTCATTATCAGCTGGAATTCCCTCCAGTGTGAAGATATTCTTCATCCTAGTCACAACATTCTCCAAGGGAGCCTGACGCACGTGAATAATCTCAGCGATAGAGGATGCTCTCAGTGGCCGTAGACTCGAATGGTATACGTCGTTGCAGACTAAAATGAGCGGGCGAAGAAATCGGAAGTTGTCTCCCCTTCTTTTTCTTCCAGATGCTTGTTCAGATGTGCGGGTGGAGTTCTTTTGGTCTAGAAGTACTAGATCGATTAAGGCTTTCATAAAACCTCCCTCCCCAGAACCCCCGGATCCACCAACGACTCCATCCACCTCGTCGACAACAACGCAAACAGGCCGTCCAACTTTGCGTATCTTCTGTTCGCCAACTTCTACGTTTCTTCCTTTGACATTCTCCGTACCGAGAGCATCGCGGATTCGCCCCTTTACCACATCTCTGCTTCGATCATCGCTGGCGTTGATTTCCAAAACCTCATACCCCGCCTGCTTGGCGCAGACGTGAGCCAGAGTAGTTTTACCCAAGCCAGGCGGACCGCAAAGAAGAAGAACTTTTCGGTGAACCCGTTCCTCCTCTTCGGTGTTAAAAGCCGGCTTCTTTGGTTTAGACCGGGAAATATTCGGGTAGACAATGGGGTCCCATGCTCGTAACCAGCGCAGGATAGATCGGTGAGTGCGTTCATCCCCAATGAGGTCGGTGTATTTGCGAGCGCGGTACTTTTCTGTCCACATTGCCGCAGAGAGTCTTTTACTCTTCTGATCCCCGAGAGGGGCTTCAATCGACGGCTTTACAGCGGGTTTGTTGGGGAGTGGTTTAGACACCTCAGTCTGGGCAGCCTCCTGCTTAACATCATCAAGTAGTTTATGTATCTCGATGCCGTAAAAACTTTTCTGAGCTCTCCCAGGAGCAGTGATTGATCGACCAGCAACTAGCCTCTCGTAAGAGACGCGAGCAGAGGATTGTCTCAACGGAACGCTTAGCGTTTTCCCAGAACATGTCTTGATCTGAATTGAGATAGGCGCTCGTCTTGATGGCGTGTGGGATGTATCTAATATACTCCGATCAGGGATAGATGTAACCACGGGGGGTGGCTGTCTAGGAATATCAGGAAGCTCTGCGGACGGCTGTTCGATAATTTGTTCTTCGATGTCAAACTGACTTTTAAGTTGGGCATCGTGAAAAGCCTCTAGTTCATCTTCGTTGTCGTCATCATCGTCTAGAAACCCGCCCATTATCTTTTGTCGTTTGGGCTCTGTTGATTGAGATTCGTCATGCTTGCGCTTCTGAGAGTCTGGGGACGGGGCACTTGGCGGAAACAAAACTGGAGATGATATGAACGGCATGCTGGGAGCTGGAGGAGAAGAGGGAAACAGCGTAAGGTCGTTACTCGGTGAGCACAGGGTTTGCCGTCGCGTATTCTTTGGTGGTCTTGTAGGGGTGTCTATCCAAGTCAGTGGTCACCCTCTCTCCGAACAAGGAATACATACAAGGCCTCACGTCCTCGTCGCTCCGAAAGACATCCGACAAATTCCAGGATCGATGTTGGATCACGACTTTATTGCGAGTCTTTTCCAAGCGCAGGAGGTGCAATGCCTCGATCTCGTCGTCGAAGCACTCTGAAGGGGGTTCTCCAGGATCTTCGGAGTGAAGGTGAATGGCAGGATCGAAAGACGGAAGAGCCAATGGAGAAGAATTCGTCATTTAACAGGGTAAGAAGGGATTTTCTCATACGTTCCTCATTCAATAGGTTGTTTTCATGGCTTCAATCTCCCAATCGGGCCCCCGTGATGCCAATGCGACGCGTAAAGAGAACGCGTAAAGAGAAACGCGCATTAAAAACACGCTAGTCCATTTTAGGCCCCCGGCCATGAGTTGCAAATCCAAAGAATCTCCTCCATGTTCTGATTCTCATCCAATTGATCGTGCATCTTACGATTCATTTCCGACAGAATTGCCCAAACGCATGGGGAGCTATCACAAAAATCCTTCACTTCCGGCTGTCTAAGTTACAGCAAGTGGAGGATCATAAACTCCGAAGAGAAATACATATGCTCGGAGCTCAGTGCTGTATCGGAGTAGCCTTTCGGAGTACCAGGGATAGTCATTTCAATCTTCTCTGATTCACGATTCAGTTTTCTAGTACAGACTGACTTTTGGGGGTAAACCAGACCCAAATTTCAATACAAACGCATCCATCCAATCTTTCCCGTTTAGGGTCCAAGCAGCGAATGGCATTAATCAGCAGGCATTGAGTCATCTTCAACCCGTTGAACCAATGGGAAACTCCCTCCAACCACAGATGATGGGAATAGCGTCGTATACTTGGTCAATACGAGGTTGCCTGTTGGGGCCTGACTCATTCTGCGTGCTCCCAACCCTCCACTTGTCTTCATACAACACACCACGCCCTTGATGCTTGGCATGCAGAGTACAAACAGCCCAAATGTGACAAACTTCCCGGGCTGAGCGGCCTAGCGCATGAAATATCTGCGGTTGTTCAGGCTTTGGAATGGTCAATTCGAAGCATGTGGAGCCTATCTGTCAAGCGCTCCAGTGCTAAGCTTTACTTTCAGTGTCCGGTCTGCGTCATTCGAATCCTCTAGATTCTATTCCGCAGCTCTTAGCTTTGAAATCTTCCTCCGTCGGAGTAAACATGTACGGGGCTCACTACCCAAAGAAGTAGGAGTATGACTCCAGAAGCGACGGCGATGAATATATATAGAGGATGGGATTTATCCTGGAACCGTTTCTTCATCATCATCATCATCATCATCATCATCAATTCAATCCTCTTTTCACTTGGTTCAAGATCCTCAGAGCGATTCCACCCAAGTCCTCAATCCTGCGATATATCATTCTTCAGATATCCAGCCACATTCCTCCAAATCAACCATGGCTTCGAACAACTGCAAGGCCAACACCTTCCACGACGATGCTGCCTCCACATACAGCGCTACCTCCACAACCACCCTCACGAAGGAGAAGAAGGAAGCAACCAGAAAGTGGTTGTCCAAGAACAAGGCCAAGAAGAGCCCGAAACCTCCGATGACCCAAGCAGAGAGGGCCGAGAAAGCCCTCCATACCGAAGCCCTGGTTGCCTACCTTGCCTTTCGATAACTTCATCGACGTGGCTGCCATGCAACTCCCGAAAAGTCAATCCGGCCTCTGACCCTAATTTCAATGTCAGGCCGATGTTTTTTAACGGTTTTATGATCATACGCATTGGATATCTTTGCTGTTTTTCCTTTCATCTTCTACTATTGGTCATTGTTTGGTTATATTGGGAGTCTGGGTTTTCGAACAAAATGTCACGGCGACCACGTGACATGCAACCACATGCCGAACCACATGCCGAACCACATACCCAGTAACCGAGGGTAATCAGGAGAACGGCAATATTCAAGTCGCCTGCGCCATGCTGGCGACTTAACTAGGTAATATAAATAGTAATGTAATAACCCCCAAAGTACTAAGAGGTAAGTACTTTATTTTATTACTTCTAATACCTTCCTATTACCCTTATACTCCATGTAGCTTTACTTCCTTTACTAATACTACTTATACCCAAGTGCCTTGCTAGTAAGATACTTATAATTTAAAGTACTTTCTTAACTAAGCAAAGTAATATAATAAGTATAAGAAGGACTACCTGCTCCTCCTTTTAAGGAGTAGCAGATCTAAACTCCATGGAATCTATAACTATAGTACTGGAAATTATTATTAAGGAAAGTTTAATAGTACTAGTAATTCTCTAGTACTAATCTATTAAGTTAATAGAAGATAATAAGCTATAATATATAGCCTAATATATAGCACAAGCTATATAGATAGGTAGGGAGAAGGTGCCTAAATCTAAGTTTTTTAAAATATAAAACTTAAAGAAACTTAGTATTTTTCTAGAAGATTTTTAAAATTATTTTAGATTATAAGAGAAACTTTATAAGAGTAATATAATTAAGATTTACTATATTATAGATTATTTAAAAGATAATATAAAGTAGGTATAATACTTTAAGTATAAAGTAAATTTTAAAGAACTTATTTATATAAAATTTACTAAATTCTTATAAAACTTTTTAGAATTAGAAAAAAATTATAGGTAAATAATAACTTACTAGCTTCTATATATAAGATAAGGACTATAATAAAGTATATAAATTTTAATAATCTAGATAGAGAAGTTTATCCTAATAATTAAAGTTAATTTTAAAAGATTTCTTTACTAGCTAGCTATTTAAATAGCCTAGCCTAAATTATATAAAAAAATCTAGTAAGATATAATAATATTATAAAGTCTAGTTAAAGTTACTAAACTAGGGGCAAGGTATAAGAAATTTTAGAAATAAGAAAAGTAGAAAAGGTTAAATAAAATATAATTAAATTAATCTCTGGGGTTTTGTATATTAAAGAATAATTTAAGAAAGAGAAAGAAAGATAATAGTAAAGTAATAAATTTTTAACTAACTAAATTTTAGTAGAAAAAATTAAAAAAAAAATAGTAAAATTACTAGAATTAATAAAAGGAAGGTTAATATTACTAGTATAATTAAACTAGTTATATTATAAGAAAATACTCCTAGTATAGAGAAGATATTAAGAGGGTAGAAAAATTAGAAAACTAGGATTAATAATAATTAAATATTCTAGAATCCCTAGTACTTTAATAGAATAAAGAGATACTAGTAAGACCCCTTCTAGTTATTATAGCTATCCTAATAGGTAAGAAATAGGTTATAATAAGGATACTTATAGATATTAGAGTAAATAAGAACTTTATTTTTTATTACTTCTTAACTAAAGAAGGAATAAATCTTAATAAAATAAAGATAAAGTAACTTATATATTTTACTAATAATTTAATAGTACTATACTATATAAGATTCTAGATAAAGAGCTAAATTATAGATAGCCTTAATAAAATTAGAGAATTTAATATAGAATATTATATAATAGATTTAGAAGAAAAAGAATATTAACTAATCTTAAAATATAGTTAGCTAAGCCTAGTTAATCTTAATATTTTCTTAGCAGTAAATACCTAGTATTATTAAGAAAAAAAATTAAAGATTAAAATTAAATTATTTAAGTAATTTAAAAGTATAATAAGGTAAGGACTTATTATACTAGTCTTAAGCTAATTATATAATAATAATAGTATAATAAGGACTCTTTCTAAATATTATAAAGAATAAAAATTAATATTTTTAAAAAAAGAGGTAGAAGTACTTCTCTTTAAAAAAGCTAGTTATAATATACTATTAATTACTAGTATAATATTATTAATAGGCTAGCTATATAATATATTAAGAATAAAGTTAGTAATCTTAAAAGAGTATATTAATTAATTATTAGAAAAAAAATAGATCTAGTCCTTAATAAATATAATAAGTATACTAGTACTTTTTATATAAAAGGCTAATAAATTATTATAATTCTATATAGATTATAAGGGCCTAAATATAATTATTATTAAGAATTAATATTCTCTCCTATAAATTAATAAACTAATAAATTAACTAGTTAGAGCTAAATAATTTATTAAACTAGATTTATAAGATATTTATTACTAGATTTATATTTATTAAAGTAATAAATAGAAAATAGTATTTTATATAAAGTATAAATACTATAAATATCTAGTTATATTTTTAGATTATATAATATTTTAGCTATCTTTTAAATATATATTAATAAAATAATAAAGGGGATTCTAGATAAATTTTATATAATATATTTAGATAATATCTTAATTTATTTATAAATAAAGAAAAAATATAAGTATTATATTAGTAAAGTATTATTATATTTTTAAAAGTATAATCTTTATATAAAATTATTAAAGTATAGCTTTTACTAGAAGGAAGTATATTTTCTTAGCTTTATTATAAGAATTAAAGAAATCTAAATAGATCTTAAATAGGTATATATTATAGGTAACTAGCTAGAATTATACTTGTTCTATAATATTTAAGTATTTTTAGGATTTATAGGATATTTTTAAAAATTTATTTACTAGTATTTTAAGATTACTACCTTACTAAGTAATATACTAAAGAGGATAGTAAAGGGAAAAAAAAGTGGCCCTTTTAAGATAATAAAGAATAGTTAAAGTACTTTTAAGATACTAAAGCAGGTATTCTCTAGACCCCTAGTACTATAGTATTTTAATCTAAAATAAGAGATATTCCTAGTAATTAATATATTAGGTTTTATAATTATAGGAATCCTAATATAATATAATAATATTTAATTTATAAAAATATAGTATATTACTTAGTAACCTATAGTTTTTTACTTGAGGAAATTAATTAAAATAGAGAGAAGATATAAAATTTATAATTAAGAATTACTAGTTATAGTAAAATACTTTAAGATATAATATTATTATTTTAAAGATAATTTATATATAATATATATATAGATAAATTATATAAATCTAAAATATTTCTATATTATTAAGATTTTAAATTAATACTAGACTAGATAGGCTAAGCTCCTAGTAATATATAATTTCTAGATTAAATATTAACCTAATAATCTTAACCTAGCTAATATACCTTTAAAATAAAAGAATTATAAACCTGCCTAATAGGATATAATTAAGGGACTCTTGCCTATACTTTAGGTAAAGCTAGGAGGTTTATAGAATAATTAAGATAGGAGTAAGATAGTAGCTCCTTAAGAGACCCTAATCATGTAGTTAAAAGATCTAAAATTTTTAACTTAAAGAATACTAGCATGAAGAATAGCTAGTAATAAGTAAGCTTATAGAATATTATTAACTACTCTATAAAACTTATTTTAAGAGATATAATATAAGAATACTTATATAAATTATATTTAGAGTAATACTAGTAAGAAATACCTAGTATACTAGAGGCATACTTAAATAGTAGAGAAATTATCTAAATAAGAAGTAATAAAGTAGCTTAAGAATAATACTAAATAAAGATAAACTTATAAGAATAAATAGTATATTAATAATAAGGGATTAGTATAATATAATAAGGTTATTTATATTTCTTTTAATTAAGTAATATACTAAGAATTACTAAAAATATATTATAATAACCTATATATAGGCTACTTTAATTAAGAAAAAATATTAGATCTTATTAAATAAAAATTTTATTAAAATACTCTATAATATAATATTAAGGAGTATATAAAGAGCTATTTAATTTACTAGAAAATAAAGATATTTAGATAACTTCTACTAGACTAGCTTATAAAGCTTCTAGTACTAGAATGCCCTTAATAAGATCTAATTCTAGACTTTATTATAAGCTTATTACTATTAATATAAAAGGGGTATATATATAATACTATCTTAGTAATTATAAATTAATATATTAAAGGAGTTAAATACCTTTTAATAATAGGAAATATTAATATTAAGAAGCTAGCTAATATATTTATAGAAAAAATTATACTTAAAATAAGAGTATTAAAAAGCCTAATAAGTAATTATAGCTTACTCTTTACTAGTAAATATTAGATCTAGTTATATTAAGGGCTTTAAATTAAAAAATAACTAAGTATTATATTCTATCTATAAATAAATAGCTAAATAAAATATTAGAATTAGATATTAGAGATCTATTTAAGAATCTATATTAGTTATTAATAAATTAATTAAGTAAACTAGCTAGGTATAATAGAATTTATATATAATAATATAAAAAATATATTATTAGGAATATTTTCTTATAAGATATAATATAGCTACTAGCTAGTATTATTTAAGCTTGCTAATATTAGGGACTCTAGCATAGTTATAATAATAGAAGAATAACTTAACTAACTATAAGTAAAATATTATTAACTAGAAGAGAGCTTGTATTATACTACTAAATAATAAGTAAGGAGCTATAATAGGAGGTATTATCTAATTAAATATTATATAGGCTAATAAATACTACTATTAATAAAGAATATCTATATATAAAGGCTTAGTAAGAAACTAGATATTAAATATAAAGAGCTATTTAAAATAATTAAGGTAATAAACTAATAAGTATATTACCTATAATTATTTAAATTATATAAGAAAATCTACCTAATCTTTTATATATTACTCTTTAAGAAATAGAATATAAAAAATAGTAATTTACTAATATTATTCTAGCTAGTTATTATTAATAATAAGAAAGAATAGGAAGTAGAATAAATTATTATATAATAAAAGTTATATAGTAAAGACTAATATCTAGTTAAATAAAAAGAATAGTTAATATATAAGAATACTTAATAATTAATAGAAAATTTAGAAAATATATAAGATATCTTAAATAAGTTCTATTATATAAATAAGATATAGGTAAGGTATTAGTAAAATATTATAAAATAATAAAATATAGTAATAATAAGTTAATAAGATTAAGGAATTAAAAAAATTATAAAAATATATTAATAATATTATTTTTTTTCTTTTTTCTACTAGATTTTAAGATTTAATAGAGATATATTATAAGTATTAAAAAATTTTAAGAAAATAACTTGATTTTATTATATAAAAATAGAAATAATAAAATATCTATACTATAATATTAGTAAATTCTTAATTATTATAATTATTCTAAATCTTCTTATTATTATTCTCTAATTTTATTATATTATTTCTAATATATTACATATTAAGTAGGTAAAATATATTATAATTAATAAATTAAAATAATCTCTCTATCTAGTCCTTAGTCTTAAGATAATAAATAAAAATCTTAGTAATATAAGCTTATTAGATATAGGCTGCTATACCTATTACTTTATTAAATATTACTTAAATTTTCTTAAGACTAACCTATACAGGCAAGATAATAAAGAAATACTTTTTATATAAGTAAATATATTAAGTATATTACTATTCTAAATTTAGGTATATATAGGAATAGGCTTTTATAGGATTATTATCTATATATTACTAAGACTTAGTATAATATAGGTAACATAGTATCCATGTAATAATAGCTAGGCTAGTAAAGGTAATTAGAATAATCAGAGTAGCTAGGGCTATAGTAATAATAGGAATAATAGGAGCTAGCACAATAATAGGAGCTAGCATGATAATAGTGGCAGGAGTAGCTAGAGTTACTATAGTAGAAAAAATAGAGAGAGAGGTAATAAGAGTTACTATAATATTAGGAGTAGCTATAGAGGATAAGAGGGATATAGTCTTACTAGATAATAAAGTAATAATAGTAAAAATTATAAAAAATATACTAGTAGTAATAAAAGTTATAAGTATTATAATTAGTATAAATATAAGGAAGTTTACTATAAGAGCTTATAAATAATTAGTATAATAGACCTATGCTACTAGAATAAGGGTATTTATAAAGAAAGAAATAATAGTAGTTAAATAAGTTTTTTTTTATAGAGATATAATTAATATAATACTTAATAAAAAATATTTTAAAGGAGCTATAAGATTTATAATATAGTTAGCTATTATTATAATATTTAAGTAATAATAACCTACCTAATATAATATATTAACTTATTAAGAGGGACTTTTTAAAATATAGATTAGGCTAGAAAGAATATATATAGAGAAGTATTTTCCTATAATATTTATATTATAATAATATCTTTATTTATTACTAGTATATCTAGTAAACTACTTATTTTTATTTATTATCTTATTTAAAGTAAAATATAATATTATTTATATCTTATTTAATAAAGTATAATTAATAAAGATAATATTATATATATTATTATTATTTCTAGTATTAAATAAAAAAGTAGATTATATTATACTAACTAGGACTAGCTCTTCTTTAGTAGAATACTAAGCTAGATTAGGTATAGTATATATAGCATGCGGACGCGCTACTAAGGAGAGAGAAAGTAATTATTATAGTAATTATATAATATATAACTACATGCTAAATTACATGCTAAACTATATATCTAGTAACTAAGGATAATTAGGAGAATAGTAATATTTAAGTTACTTATATTATACTAGTAACTTGACTAGGTAATATAAATAGTAATATAATAATCCCTGAAGTACTAAGAGATAAGTATTTTATTTTATTACTTCTAATACCTTCCTACTACCCTTGTACTCTGTGTAGCTTTGCTTCCTTTACCAACACTACCCATACCCAAGCGCCTCGCCAGCGAGACGCTTACACAAAAATGCATCCGATTTACAGAGAGTTTCTACTTAATATCATACATACACTTTTATATATCTTATTATATAATGAAATAAATGCACCATTTTTTTTTTTATTTTTTTCCCATTGGAGTTAAGCTTGTTTAGAGCCCCAGCACTGGGTCCGAGTCGATGTCTGAGTGGAGCATGGAGAAGAAAAAAGCCTTACATATAAGAAGGGTGCTGCTATTCTCATGGCTCAGCTGGTCATTCTCACGGCACAGCTAGCCCTTTTAGGTTAGTGGGTGGGGTACCTAACTAACCATAGTTAGTGTATGGGTCCTAGCTAGTTAGCGTGTAGTTATGTGGGGTACCTCGCCTAATCAGGTTGGTCACGTGTGGGGGTTTATTCTTAATTTTTAGTTGTATGGATATGCACGTGACCTGGTAGTCTAGTGGTCTAGCGGGATATCACGTGGATTCCTGGAAGACCTTGCAGAGCTATGAATCGTACTACACGAGATCTGTCATCATTTGAATGTACTAAGCAGCTAGTATCAAGCCAGGTAGGTAGGGAATTGATTACTCGGAGGGAGCGGGAATAGTCAGATTAGCACGCAGCAGAGGAAGGATTCCTAATTAAATAAAGCCTTTTAATTGGTTAGTAAATATATTATATAAATATTAGAACTTATAGTCTTATTTATTGCTTTAAAATTGAATTCCTAAGTATCATTTTTATATAAGAAATTAATAAAATAATATCTCGAGCTTCTCTAGCACGTTTTCATGATTATATGACTAGTCTAGTCCTATTTAAGTCTAGCTAGTTAGCACTATTCTATAAAAGGTCAGGTTCCTGCTGATGTGGAGCTGCTACGCCCAAAGAGGCTAGCTGTGCCGTGAGAATGACCAGCTGAGCCGTGAGAATAGCAGCACCCTATAAGAATTACCTAGGTAACTATGGGCGTACTCCGAAGTTACTCCGCCTGAGTTATGAGCCAAAAAAAAAAAAAAAATTAAGGATCCGCTGGGTCGGAATCGAACCGACGACATCTGGATAGCATCAAATTTCAGTTACAGTCCAGCGCCATAAACCAACTAGACGACCAGCGGATATGAAAAGATTTGGGATTTTTTGGTTTTATAGCCCGACATTTGACTACTCGACTAACACAACTCACTAGTGATCCGCACATCTTCCAATTATCACACGTTTAATTATATAACTATTATATCGGCAAGTTAGTTAACTAACTAGCTACTGGAGTACATGTTTCTGACTCAGCATCAGGAAGTGGGACTTGCTGCCGAATAAACTACTGTATATACCTGTAGTACGCAAGATCAGCATATATACATCAACCTCATCACCACAAACACACTATCTACAGAAACCAACCAACCTGTTCAACAGCAATGGAGTGGGACCCAACACAGTTCTTCCGCGACGACGAACCCCCCTCCCCATTCGCTCTCATCATCCTCAACCAGCCAATCAACGAGACTGCACTTGCACTCCTCCGGAAACACGGTACGCACGTCTCGTCTCTTTCTTCCCTGTCGACCACCGGGAACCCCGTTAACAAAGGACACAGCCCTCCTAACCGTCTGCGCGGATGGCGGCGCAAACCGGTTCTACGACTGGATGTCAACGCACAACCGGGAGGGCAGCGAGGTGCGTGATCTGCCCTGCTGCGCGACATTGGTAGAACCACGAAAGCAAAGAAAACAAGCTAACTCGCACGCCCCCCCTTCCAGCTCCCCGACGTGATAATCGGCGACCTGGACTCGGTCCGCCCCGCCGTGCGAACACACTACGAGAATCTCGGCGTGCGCGTGATCGAAGACGAAGACCAGTACTCGACTGATTTCACCAAGAGCCTGCGATACCTCCGCAGCCACGCCGGGGAGATCCTCTCATCATCATCATCATCATCATCATCATCACCGGGAACACCGAACCGTCTCGAGATCCTAGTCATGGGCGGACTCGGCGGCCGAGTCGACCAGGCATTCTCGCAGATCCACCATCTATATCTCATGTCAAGCCTGTACTCTTCTTCTTCTTCTTCTTCTTCGACAGCCCCCGCCGCCGCCACAACAACAACAACAACACAACCGCAAAACCATCCCGTAACAGGAGACTTATACCTCATCTCAGAAGAAAGCATCACGTTCATCCTCGCCCGCGGGAAAAACACCATCCACACACCCAGAACCAACCGGGGAGATCTCGCGCGGCCGACTCCCCACGAAAAGCAAAACGAAAACGACCCCCCCCCTTTCCTCGAAGAAAACATCGGCATCGTACCGCTCTGCGGGCCCGCCCGGATCACAACCAGGGGGCTCCAATGGGACGTGGAGAACTGGAGCACGGAGATCGGCGGGCAACTGAGCACGAGCAACCATATCCGGAGCGAGAGGGTGGAGATTGAATCGGACGTGGCGGTGCTGTTTACGTTGGAGTTGGCGGGGAGGTTGAAGAGGGTGCAGAATCGGTAGGAGGATGTCTTTCTCTTTCTATCGTGTATATATATTTATTAGATAGACCTGAGTTATGCTGCGTTAACTACTCTGTAGATACACAGATCACTCCCAAGTTTACTTGCACGGCATGTACTGGATTGAAATTTCAAGGATAAAAGTCAATTTATATCAAGAACCAACAAGTAATACCTAGACTACCTAGGTTAAGCATCCATCATTAAACAAGTACACTGTCGTAATTGACGCCCTCTCTGCGTGAAAACAAGACCAGTCCTAAATCCCATTTCATCACGCCATCAGTAAACCCGAACGCAACAAACGAAAGGATATCAAAAGAAACGGAGCTAAGAGTAGAGTAAAGCAAAGGAATACCCCAAGCTAAAGCCACAGGCCAAACAGGAAAATAGCTATAAGTAACAAGGACGAGCAAAACCAAAACGAGCAAGCAACCCTATATGACCACCGTTCGACTATCAGATAGACTTCCCAGGCACACACAGGAAGAGAAATGATAGGGGAAAAAAAAAAAAAAAAAAAACAGTAAAAAGATTCCTGCCGGCCATCCTTCTACAGTCCTCCACCTCATTTATTTTTCTGGGATTTCGTCGTCACTCCGTTTCCAGCTGCAGACCTGACACAAGACGTTATGACTCCAGTACCAAAAAAAAAGTAAGCAAGATAAGCGTTATCATCATCCAAACATGAGCATAAACAGTAACGCAATTCTTAAACCGGCTCCTGCCACAAAGCACGCCGGCACATTCATGATATACACCCATATATAAAGTGCAAGAAAAAGGAGATGATAATTACTTTCGAAGGATCGCCTCGTACAGAGTGCCGATTCCTCCAATTGCGGCGCCGGTCAACATCCCTGCAGCCTCGAAGGGAATAGCCATATTGACTCGATGGATAGAATACCCGTCGTAGAGGCGCCAGAAAGTAAATCCGTTTGCGTAAACAAGGTACGCAATCACGGCCTTGCTAATGTTGAAGCTCAGAGAGTCGAAGCTGGCATGTGCGGCGCGGCTTCTGCGTGTGCTGGACGCAGGACCGCCGCTTGATTGGGCGTGCAGGCTGATGTTGAAGAAGTAGGCAAACACCAAAGGCAGAAGAACGTTGGTGAGAAGCCACAGAGAGACTGGAGCCCAGAAAGAGCTGTCGACCAACACAAAGAGGTCGGGAATCTTGACTGAGATCTCCGGAGTATGGATTAACTCAACAGCAGGGATGGTAGCCAGGTATCGTAGGGGAACAACCTCCCTGATGACACGGAAACCCTCGAAGGCGACAACAAGAATCTGGACAGATTTCACGCTGCTGAGAGTTGCGCGAAGGGAATTTGACTGTTCCTGGACGCCAGAGTCCTTCCAGGCCTCGCTGATGCTCTTGCGCCACACGGCAGCCTGACGATCGATCACCTCAGTGACAATAGCGGGCGAAGGAGGCAACTGGACGGCAATATCCGCCAATGGACGTGCTGGAGTTTGAGCTGGAACATCGGAGTCATCTCTGTTACGGACGGATTAGTGACGTCGAATCCTCGATCGGAGAGACGGGCAAAGGAACATACGTTTGCTCAATTTCTTCCTTTGGTTTTGGTACTCGCCGACGGACAGATCTGGGAGGAGTGTTTTCGGCTTTGCTTTCTCTCTTTACCGGCGATGCGCGCGTCGGTTGCGATAGGCGTTTGTAGTACTCTGCCAGGCGCGCGTCGGATCCGAAGATAGTACGATTAGCTTGGAGATGTTCGTCCAACTTTACAGCAAGATCAGGCTTGGTAAAGTCTTCATAGCTAGTGTTGCGGGGAAAGAAAAAAAAAAGCACATTAGTTGCGACATCCAACAGTGTAAATTGAGATAGGTCGCGCAACTTACTCCTCCAGAGCAGTGACCTCAGCGAGCTCGACTAGCTGGCCCTTGCGCTGCTTCTGCAAATAAGGTAATGCGGCAGACATGACGATACGCGTAGACCATGCGACAAGCAACTAACACAGAGCAAGGGGGAGGGGCTTCAAAGGGTTCACGAGGTTAAAGTGTAAACAACTGATGACGATGATCTGGCGCACGAGAAGGGTATGGAGTATAAGAGGTATAGACCAGCAGCACTTAAGTAATCAAGAAAACAATAACAAAATGAGGCAAAATGAAATACGAGGAGAGGCGATGAAGAAGAAGGAGAAGGAGGTGATGCTTTCAAGTGGGCAGAACAGGCGGTTGCAGCCAATCACAGAGGTTCCTGAGAGAGACTGGCCGGATTCGGCTTTGTTTACATTTCGCACCCCTCATTTCCTATTTGGTACCTCCACTACCTATTAACTATAGGCTCTACGTAGCTGGATAGCAGAATCATGTCTAACTCGGGGTGTATTGTACAATTACTAACTTCGTCTAAGTCTATATTATCGCAGAATTCTCCAGCAGATTGTGTATATACACACGGACAGATAAGAGAGGGGACTAACCAACCCATGCCATCGCGCCATCATCAGGTACCTATGTAATGTAATTTCGAAATAAGATAAAAAGGGGGGGGTAAAAAAAAAAAAAAAAAAAAAGAGAAATTAACATCACAATCCTACCAAACGCCCATAGATCTAGCCATCTAGCCACCAAAACACGGGCATATGCTCCGGGGTGGTGGTTGCCCTGCGTTTGGTCTGTAGTTGAGGTTCGTTGATGCCCCACGCTCTGTTCTTCAGCCGGGGGCAAGGAGGAGAAACATCGCAGCTCATTTAAAGAGAACCCGTCGCCTCCGTACTCTGCCATGTCTCCAACTGCTTGAGCAAGTATTGATACATGACCAGCATGGTTCCGCTCTGGATGCTGGTCCAAACTCCGCGGGGACCCACGCCTCGGAACCATCCTGCGAAGCCTTCCGTCTGGTAGATCATCCGCAGGCCCGTGAAGAACGATGAGGTGTCAAGTCGCGGGGCTCCAGGTGGCGCCACGGAAGTGGACGGAGATGATGTAGATATGGGTCGTGAGTGGGTTTTCAGGCTGGGTGTGGTTTGAGAGGGAGCGTGTTGTCGGGGACCGTCCTTGGCAGATGCTTGGTCCATTGCAGATCTGGATGAAGTAGAGGTGGATGGTTTGCGGTCTGGGTTTTGCTGAGTTTGAATGCGTGTCTTCACCACATCCATAGGACAAGTGATCACGCCTGCCATTCCACCCGCTGTTGCGGCAGTCAAGACCTCCAGACCAAGACCGATGTCTCTGGAGCCCACCCATTCCTTTGCGAGTCGTTGTTCCTGCTCATAGAATGCGAACTGTAAGGCTGAGAAAGGAAGGTCGCGGAAGATGGTGGCCTTGTATCCGTAGAAGAGTGCAGAGAACCCTTCCTGCCTGATGATCGTGCGGAACGCATCTCCAGTCGAGCGGTAATTGTATCCGGACTTGAAATAAGGGTTGTTATAGCGGCCTTGGAGTTGTAGTCGAGTCTTTAAAACCTCCGATGGAACGTAGACGATGGAAGCGGCCAAATCCGCAAAGAAACCTATGCGACAATTCCCATCAACATCGTACGCATAGACAAGAATGTCAACACCAGCGGGCACTTACCACCAGACAGATATGCTACATTGGCATTAACCCCCGCATCTAGCATCCGCCGTTTGGTAAATTCATAAACACCAAAAAATATCAATGTGCCCGGAAAAGAGCCAAGAAGCGCCGGCGTGACTCCGCCGTACAGTCCGCGCATAAATCCCTCTTGCCGGTAGATGGTTGTATACGATGAGGTCATGGAAGTATATCTTGGAGGAAAATGGGGATCGCCTTGCTGTCGGGTTTTGACTGTATCTAGTGAATGCATGAGCATATCGCCGCACGTACCGCCTATAGCTCCTGCAAGCATTGCCTAAATGAAATCCAATTCCCAATTAGTATGTTAACGAGTCAAAACATGTAGACTATGATAAAGCACCCCGGAGAGGGGGGGGGGTAGAAATTGACGCACATGGAGGTACGGAGGGCGAGGCTCCTCTTCTTCAAGATTATTTTGTACATGGATGCCAATCTCTGCTCTTATCGGGTCTACAGTATTGAAGACATTGTCGCCGGGATTAGCGGCGGTGGAAAAAGCCGCTGGTGCGGGGGAATCGGAGGTCGAGGAATCTGTCGGCGTAAACAGGCTGAACACACGCGAGGTCAAGCTCATTGCAAGAACACCGCAACCCAACAAATCGTGGTGCGGGTTAGACCACGGTCAGTTGCGATGCGGCGACGATGGATCAAGATCGACTGAAGGGCGCCGCCCAAGTGAGGGTAGCCGGCGAAGGAAAGGGGGGTGAAAGAAAGAAAAAAGATGAGGTGGAAAATACTAATACAACATCAATGAGAGTTAGACGGCGAAAAGGGCAACATCGCACCTTTCAATGCAGAGATTCTTGGAAGAGTTGATGTCGTCGTTGATGCTTTGCTGATAAAAAGGGCCCGAATTTTTGGCCGGGTTTCCGCTTTCTCCGCCGCCCGAGACCCCGATGGGAGGCCTTAAGGCAGACAAATCGGGTTCCAATCCCTCCCGAGCAACATATCGCCGAATCATTTATATGCCTCATTATACCTCATTAAGTATAAACGCACGTGCATTAGAAGCATTCCAGGGGCTTGGTGTTGGATTCGAAAGAGAGCGATTTATTTCGCCATAACAGTGCTTGCCAGATAACTTGCCGTGAAAGTACTCATTAGGGACTGATGAGTTGTGATTGCAATATTGGATACAGAGCTTTCCCCACGAATTACTCGCATTTCAGATATATAATATGGATAGAAAGTGAACAAGGACAAGAAAGAGAAAAAAAAAAGAAAAAAAAAAAAAAAAACCTTAGGTAGTAAGGTGCTATTCCTTGCAGCATTTACTGGCTCCAACAACAGACAAACTTGGGTTGTTATAAACAATACCCCCAAAAGATAACACACCAATCTATAGCCTTCCTCATGTGGTTATCTCATAACCATCCTTTTCATTCGTTACATTGCCACTTCTCAACCAAAGCTGAGATTGATGGCCTGTTGGGTCGTTAAATTCTCATCAGTTACGGTACTTGGCATTCGGAGTCGATAGACATGACGATAACAGGTTGCTGGAGGGAGCGACAGGGCCATCGTGATTATAGTCTTCCTTCAGCATTCCCCAGCACAGAGTATGATATCGTCATTATTCATCTCGCCTATCCCTTACTGGGGCTTCTTGGCGCCTGCTCCAGCGGTGAAGCGGCTGATATCAGTAGCCGAGTAAGCCTGGCGCACAAATTCCTTAAACGATTCCCATCCCTGGCGCACAGCGGGTGGGGTGCTCTGGTGAGACACAGAGGCATCAACTCTCGCGGTAAAGTGGCGGACGGACTGCTGGACAAAGGTGCTCTGGGTGAAGCGGGCGCGGAAGAAGGCGAGGTAGATGAACAGGAGAACGAAGCTTCCCTTCGAGAAGGTAAGAATAGCCACCGCCAAACGGAGCAAGAGGGCCATTTCCAATCCTGCCACAAGATCCATGCTGGCATCATAGTACTGCTTGACGAACCTCCCAATAGTCTCTGCCAGGGGCGATTGCTTCACACCAGCGCGAGAGGGGCCGGGAGATGCGGGGGATGCGGCGGCAGTTGGGGGCTGGATAGTAGGAATCAAGTGGGCGCGAGTGTAGGTTGCAACATGGAAAATGGAGTAAACGCTGAATGGCAGTAGAGCAAGGGGAACCTGGCGGGAATAGAGCCACACCAGAGCCATTCCTAATTGATCCTGGGTCAGTCCAGCCTGCTCAGTTGCAAAAGGAAAAGAGGGCAGGTACTCACCAAGATACTGAACATTCTCGTCACCCGCAAGTTTCAGCGCAATGTTGGGCACGCTTCCTTGAAGACGACCACGAGCGATATGGCCCTTGTACACAACGATGCCATATGTAGCAGCGGCAGAGAAGAATGCAAGACGATAAGATACTTGTGCGGCGTTGGAGTAGTAGTTGAAGGTAATGTATGAAAGGAAGTATCGGAAAACGGAAATAAGTAACGTCACATGCCTGAGGGTGGTCAGCGATGCCTGGAGGGGCTATAGCACAACGAGGTGCGACGTCATGGACACAGACGCCAGACTACAATGGCTGAGAAATGGTCTAGACGCAGCGGAATCGTGGAGAAATCGATGTTAGGTATAAATGGGGGAGAGCCTACCCAATAAACCAAGCAAATCTGCAGGTTGGCCACCTGGTCAATAACGGAGCTTGCACAGTTATGAGGGAGACAAGGAAACAAATCACATACTGCAATGTCTGGGCGAGGGCCTTCAGCCTCTCAACCAAAGGCAAGTTCGACGGAGGAGGAGGAGCCATAGGGAATGCGTCTGCTGGATTGAACGACCTGTAGGTAATCGAGGGTGGGAGTATTCAGGATTACGGGAGCTGCGGGTTTGCAGGTAGGCAGAAGGAAAGCAGCTGCTGGGTGATGACGAAACGACCGCTAGGTAGGAAAGAAACAGTGGAGAAAGAATAACGTAGGAAAGTAAGAATTGAGCGGTAGATACTTAGCAGCAGTAGGACAGAGATCGCCGTGTTGAACACTTGGGGAGGCTGGGCGGTGGGCGGGGAGAGATTGGAAGCAGTGTGTGACTGTGTGTGAGAAGAGGGCGGTAGGAGTGAGGTAGAATAATACTGGGTAGTCGGCTAAACTGCACAGAGATGGGGAAGAACAGTGCGGCAGCGCCCACCCTCCGCGAACTCTCCATACTCCATAAATATACTTACTACTACGTAACTATATCGCGACCGATTCCGCTCTTGTGACGTCGACTGAAACCCCGGGAACGAATACACAGAGTTTTCAACCACTCATTCGTTCTTTCTGTCGGCTTCCTTTTATATTCTTCTCTGAGATTTTGCACAGAATACTACGGCTCTTCAATAATCACTTTTATAAAACTTTCAGATTGGCAACTAACACAACAACAGCAGCAGAAGTAAAAAGAGGTTCAAGGAAAACGTCCAGAAAGATGGTTGGTGGTGGGTGATCTCACTAAAATGTGTAGAAGAGTCAAAAGTGCAACGAATATGAAAAGGTAAGAGTACGAGGCCACAAATGGGGAATAGGAAGCAGGCGGAACAAGGTATAGCATAGACAAAAGTACATAACAAGAAGTGAAAGGTGGACATGAGGCAGTCAATTCCCAACCTGAAGCGGTCGGTAGGCCGCCACCCCGTGCATCATCTTGCAAATCCAGGACTAGACCTCTCGAGCATGCAAGCTGATCGATCATCCAGCCAGAAGTAGCTCTTGTGTTCCAGCACATCTCCTAGGTAAACCCCCCAGTTGGTATTAATCCGGTTGAGCAAGGCAAAGAAAAGGGGCATTCTTTTTTTTCTTTGGTCCACTCAATTTAAAAGGTTCAGTCATTACTGCAAGCAGGTAGGGGAAACAGGGTTGAGGGAGCGTGAGGGAGGGTGTGTTTGGAGAGAAGAGGAGGAGGAGAATAATAAAAAAAACACAAGAGAAATAAGGCGAAAAGTTGAAAAGAGCGCTCGATCAATCGACAGTCGTGGAGAATCAAACACATAGAACCACCAGAGAGCCTCCGACGACCATACGTACTTTGGGTGGTTCTTGCATAGATAGCCTTTTGGGCGAGAAGCATCAGGGCCCGGGACGAAGAATTTGTTTAACGGAGAGAGAATCCCTTCCTCTTCCCCTTCTCTTCCAACGGCCTTCCGCTCTCGAGTCGGGATTTCTTTTCTTCTAACTCCAGGCGTTGACGTTCTAGTTGGTCCTTCATCTCCCGATGCCGGGCGTATAGTTCGTCTTCGCTTTGCTTCAATTTGCTCTCCTTTTCGGCCACCTTCTGCTGGAAGACCATCTTCATCTCCGTCTCCATCTTGGCGAGCTTTTGTTCGTGTAGGGCACGCTCCTCCTCCTGCTTGACAGCGGGGTTGACCTCCTTGAACACGCTTGGGTCCTGAGCGACTCCCATCTGGGTAAGCTTGTCGGAACGGTAATTCTCGTACAGAGAGTTGTTGGTGTGCTCCTTGAGCTCTTCCATGTGTGTGCGGATAAGCATCTGGCGCAGCTTGACGAAGTCACAGTGGTCCTCGTTGTCGACCTCAATGAGACCCCATGGGTAGCTACGGCCCCGAACCTTCCGGCCATCGGAGGTGGACACCTCCGCGTTAGCACCAACAACGGCGAAGGGAACCTTGGACATGATTTCCTGGTTCTCCGCAATAGTCTCTTCGTCGTCCAGTTCGTAGCGGGGGCCTTCGAAGATCTGGATGGAGTGATGTTGGATATCGGCAAGAATCTAAGGGAAATGCACGTGTTAGGCCTCTCAACGTCAATATACGGGAGTGTAAGAAAAACATACTCTCTTCTTGAAGAGGGAGATCTCGTCATCAGTCAAGGTATCAGCCTTGGCAATGACTGGAATAAGGTTGACCTTGGTGTGCAGACGGCGCATAACCTCAATGTCAAGCGGCTTCAAAGAGTGGCCGGTGGGCTGGATGAAGTAGACACAGGCATGAATGCGGTTGTCGACGATGTTGGTGCGGTTGACCTTGTTCTCAGCCTCTAGGTAAGCATCGTACCTCTGTTCGATGTTCTCCACAATTGGGCGCCAGGAGTCGTCGTTGTTCACGAAATCACCGAATCCGGGGGTGTCAACAACGGTCAAGCGAAGACGCACTCCGTTTTCTTCAATATCTGCGCTGATAGACTGAATGGAGACGGTCTTGGGGATGATATCGTGGCTCGGACCGGCACGCTCCTTGGGGGGGTAAAGAGAGGTGTTGAAGAGGGTGTTGACAAGGGTAGACTTTCCGAGGCCAGATTCACCTAACGGACGCGTTAATTGACGGGGAAGTTCTTCCCCTCGTTATGTATCGGCTTTTGCAAGCGCAACTTACCAACAACCATGACGTTGAAGTTGAATCCCTTGCGAACACTCTTGCGGTGCCATTGGTTGGGCAGATTGGCAAAGCCAACGTAGCCGGTCAACTTGCGGCGAACCACATTCTTCATGTCTGAGGCGGCCTGGGCCGCAGCCTTAGGGTCCTTCGAGCTGACCGTTTGGGCATTTCCAGCACCCATTGGGTTACTACGCTCAACGAAAGGAGAACTTGGCTTGCTGCTGGGAGGAGAAGAGGAGGAGGCAGGAGTGCCATTGGCAGGAGCGGGAGGAGGCGAAGCTAGATCCGCGGGGATAGAGTTAGCAGGTGATTTGGCAGTTTCAAGAGTACATTCGGATGGCAATTGGCCCAGCAGCCCCATGGAGTATGAATCGCTCTTTGGTCGGGACGAGATCACTGGGGGGGGGATTCCGAGGTTTTCTGAGTCTCCTTGCGAGCGGCCAAGCGCACTCCGCGGCCTTGAGGGGGACATGGTCCTGACACAGGAACGCGAGGACTCGGGAGAGCACAGCAGATGGAAGTTGAAGCCTCAAGAAATGGGGCAGGAGAGCGTAGATTTGGGTAATAAGAAAAAGGTGCCGGGCGACAAGCTTACCCATTGTGGAAGTCAAGGGTGTGCGATATTGGAAAGCGAGCGTGGAGGCGTGAGGTAGCGAGCGCTGAAGAGAGTAAGTTCCCCTGAACCGGTAGCACCTTCTGGATTAGCACACGGAAACCTTGCAGCGGCGGAATCAAGGGGAGGGGCTCGGAGTAATGGGATGGATAGAAAGCAGCATGCTGGAGGATGGAAACTGCCAGTTCCAGGGAAAGTTCTGTGGGACAAAGGGCCATACCTCGAAGTCGTTCACCAGAAAAAAAAAAAGGGTGAGGTTTAGTCGATCCAAGTAAAGGGAGAGAGAGGGGTTCCGCTCGAATGGAGAATCAGGATAGGGGGAAATAAAATATTTTAGACAGAGAAACAAAAATTAAAATTCAAAAACGGGCGCTGAAAGAGAGAAAAGAATAGTGAGAAGAACAGGGGGGAAAAGGTCGAAAGACTGGACCTGTGGAGGTGATGGAGGTGATGGATGGGATGGATGGGATGGGGTGGAGAGAGAAGAAGAAGCAACAGCAGCAGCCGTTGTCAGCCAGACTGGACAAAAGAAAGGGGGATTTCTCTCTCTCTCTCTCTCTATGGGAGCTAAATCTTAGTCCTGTCAGGTAGATTCTTCCGTTCTGACTATCTAGCAAGAATTATTATTATTATTATTATTATTATTATTATTATTATTACTACCTGAGTTCTTCCTTTCGAATATTCTACCCATCAGAATCTGAGAAAATCTATTGGATTTCCAATTGTGTTGGGGGATAGGTTGTTAAAAAGGAGGTTGCTGCATGGGGGAGGGAGTATAGGTAAACAGCCTATGCTCTTGTCAATCCAGGAGGATAATCTAGCACCAGACGTGTCAAACTCCAACATATGAACAATAATAGAATCACCATCCGGTAAGGAGTACGGAGTAAAACCCGTGGGATCCCAACTTGGATCGTGATCGTTGGTTGAATGTTCCCATTTGGGAAATCCGGTTGCTCAAATACACCCGAAGCATTCTTGGCTAAGAAATTCTATCCAGGAGCTTAGATGGAATATTCCAGGGTTATAACTTGTACATGAATATGAATAGTACTGGCAATCTATTCTTAGCTCCAAGTCATGGTATCCCAATGCGTACACGAGAGACATTGTTTCAGGGAACTACAGACTCACAGAGTAAAAGCGATGGTATTGAACTGGTCAGGGGTGAAATTACAAGGCAGGAAGGACAGAGAGGAATCCCCAACCAATCATTTGGACCACTTTGGCACTTACAAGTACGGTCTTGTCTGGATAACACACTATCTTTAGTATATGAGTAAGAATAGCAGGTTGGGAGGATGATTCGTGGATGATTCGTTCCTCGAATGTTTGTGTGGAATCCAGCAAAACAAAAGCATGCTCGGGTAGTAGTACTGGATGCATGTAGGTTCCCTTGTAGTACTACTGAGGTATTGTTTGCTATCTTTAAACTGAGTAATTGTAATTGAACTAGCTCAGTTTATCCTCTGGACATCAGAGTACAATGAAAGCTGTTCGATGCTTCGATTCTTCCCTCAGCCTGCCAAACTGACCCAAGTTCGCTAACGACGCCATATGATATACCTACCCTATGCGCCTGCATGGAAGCTCAATAGCGTTGCCAATACTTTGCATTGAACGGGGCGTGTTCATTAATACGACAGGTCGAATCCTTGGTAGTTGCTGTTGTATCTGTGAGGATACAGCGCCAGTCTCTTGTTGAAATGCATCCCTGTAGGTAGGTATATAGGTGGGTAGACATGATTCGGTGACAATCTGATGCCCCGAGGGGTGTTTGAAGGGAAATCTGGATAGCACCACCGCACATAATAATATCCTACCTTGAAGAGATACAGTCTAACCGGAAAAATATTGATATCATATTGTCCTATTCATTAAGTAAATGCAACCGCGTCCATGGAATTTTCAACAACTTGTATAGATTACAAAACCAGCAGCATTGGCGGCGCGGCTGGTTTTCACGCTTTGTTTTTCTTCTTTGGCCGTGAGTTCTCGTCCTCGTCCTCGGACATCGCTTCATCCTCGTCGTCGTCGTCGCCAGCATCGGAGCCTTCTCCCATTTCAGTGTCGCTGCCGCTGCTCTCGTGTTCGGAGTCGAACTCTTCGGCAACTTCCGAGTCGGATTCGGCTTGGAAGTCTTCGTCGACCGATTCCTCGTCTTCGTCGGCTGAGCCACGATCAGCACGTCCGCCGTCGTCTTCAGATGACACCATGTCGTCATTGTCAAGGGCTGCGACAATGAGAGCGGAGGTCTGCGGATAAAGTTAGCGGGAGGGAAAAAAAAAAAAACCCCCCCCAACGGACAACTGGTAAAAGGACATACATCATCTGACATCTCGTTCTTGATTCGGATGTTCTTGACCTTGAAGAATTCTTCCAGGGGTTGTTGCTCCTCACTGGACAGGGTTAGCGCTAAGCAGGTTAATCAGCCGTCCAAAGGAGCTTACCGATTGATGTTGCTGAACTGGTGTTCTCCCATGCCAGCTTTGAGGCTGACAGTAATGTCAAATGTCCTGCTAGCTGAAACAGCACCGCCAACGCGGGACATGGTGACGACAGCGACATTTTCCAGCTGAATGTAGGTAGCGGGTTTAGGAACGAAGATCAAGCTCTTATCCAAAAAGTATAGGAGACCTTCGTTGGCTTTGATGGAGCATTTGACACCGCTGTGGCCGTGGTGACTTTAGAACTGTCAGAAAAAAAAAAAAAAAAAAAAAAACCCTGCATATGTTTTGCTCAGCGAGATGACCAACCTGACGAAATCTTTCGATGGCATGATGACCTTCTTGCCTGACAGGCCACGGAAGATCTTTGTAACCACCTGGTGGATGGGCTCCTCGTAGCGAGGCTCCAACTTGTCCTTGTACCGGGTCTCCAATAACTCACTGTAGGCAAAAGGTTAGGATGAAATAGTAGCATCTCGGTGCATTTCGGAAATACGAACTCTGTCATGTTCAGCTCCAGGCTAATCTCCTCGTCTAATTTTAATTGCATAACCAGGAAAGGATACCGAGTCTGGCCCTGGCGAAGGGGGGGTTCGAGGCCTAGCACGATGAGAGTATGTGTGTCGTCATTCTTGGGAAGCAGGAAGAACTTCTTGATCGAAGAGTATTGAATCTTGTAATCGTACGTCTTTCCGCGCAATCGGAAGGAGGATTCGTACATATCAATGTCGAAGCGACCTCTGGAATGGGTGTTAGAGAAACGTGGTAAATATGGTACCCGCGCGATGCATACCTTGGTGTAAGATGAAGAACATCCAAGAACGTAGCGAAAGTATCGCCCGCCACATCTCCAATCTCGGCCTTTTCCATAAGGATCTCGTAGAACAAGTTGGCAGCATTTTGTTCCTCGCCTTCCTCGCCATTTTCTTCGTCCGTATTATCATCCTTCAGGCCCTTTTCTGTCTTAACCGCGGTTCCCGGAATGTAGAATCGCATCTCAACCAGTTCGTCGGGCCCCGCTGCGGCTTTCCTCCCGCGGTTCTTGGTGCTACCAGCCGGCTTGGAATTGGCATCATTAGCATCGGCAGAGAGGGCAAGCTCGACAGCGACTTCATTTCTACCAGCAAGGTTTGTGTTTGAAATCTCGGAGTAGGGAATTTCGAATGCGGGTCGGTTTTGGACGTTGAAGGCCAGCTCTGCCTTGGCGAACTCTGCTTTGCCCCAGTTCCATCCTCGAAGGGCGTGTTCCCTGCTTTCCACGTTTATACCGTACCAGATCTTGAACGCCTTGCTCAATCGCTCAAAGTCCTAAAATTTCCCGAACGACGATCAGACCCCCTTGTCGAGGGAAGAATGTGATTGATGAGCCCTTACCTCTTGGTCAAATCCGTCCAGCTGGATGACACCAGAAGAGCGCGACAGGATTTTCAATTCATACCCTTTTGCAGCTCGGCTCCATTGGGCTGCGCCGATGTTACTGCTGTCCAGAGTAAAAGTATCACCGCCACCAGCAGGTCGCCATCCCAACCCACTCTCTGCAAGCTTGCACTTTCCAGGCTGCTTTGAGAGGTCCAAGTAAATGTTGTCAAAGCTCTCCCTAACGAGATGATTGTCAAAATTTGGGGACAAACGGGCAAAGGAGGCAAAAGGAACTCACATGTTGGAGAAGCCCTAAGAGATTTCACGCTGGAGCGTTCCTAATATGAAAATGAAACGAATAATTCGAAGAAGGCGCGTCAGGCGACGAATGAAAGGGGTGTCTGCAGAGAGCAAAAGATGATGAAATCTACCGAGCAGTGCTAGTGAGCTCTGATAAATTATCCTTGATTCAGTTTCGCGTTGCGTCGCGGCTCCGCGGTGCCTTTGGCACCACTTTCGCTTGAAGCGGACTAGCGTGTTTGGTGCCTCAGGCACTTACCGAGTAGGAGGTTTCCAGGTAATTTCCAAGGTAGGACACTCACAGAGGCCAATTGGGTGATTGAATGAGGCAAATAGAATGATGAGATAAGACTGAAAGGAAGTCGTCTTTAACCCTCCAATACTAACTAGGAAAATATGTATTTCGGCTGGTACAACTATGTATACAGATTATGAAACTTTACTGCTTGGATACAAGATATGAAAGAATCATTCAGAGAAAATAGTATAAATCTAATGTTTTATGCTTTGCATACTAAACCCATGCCGCTAGCCAATAAACCCCATTTAATACCTACCTACATACCTAGGTAGCTCTTATAGGACATGATAACCGTAATACCCGCAAGAGATTGAGATCCATCGACGCGAACTAAGCATCCATGTTAGGTCAGGCCACTTACCACTCCCTAGCTTGCGACTGATAGTTATTGTAAGCATGCGTACATCTTCCCTGCAAAACGTAAATGCCTTTGCGAAAAGGCTTGAAGTTCTAGCTCAAACTCGTACTGGCTAGTCGCCATTAGCCTTTGCCGCTTGTAATCCCAGTTGAGCATCGTGATGATATGGACATTTGCAGCAGGATGATTTTTGAACGTGCAATCGTATCTAAGGGTCCCACTGACCCGGTCGATGTTCTCTAAGAGACCACCGTAATAATGAGTGCTCGCATAGCCTTGTCTAGCAATTTTGAGGGTTCCTATGAGGTGGTCCAGGTCCGGAAATGTGATGGTCAAACAAGGACAGAGATCAACCCTGCCTGCGTAGGGCATGCAAAACGGCTTCTGGAATAAGAATTGCTTTTTGCTCAGTGGCATTCGCCATGCAGACCGAGGATGGAGCTTCCAGCATCCGCGACAGTATCGCCAATGGTTGTTTTCAAGCCGGCGAAGTAAATCTGTTCTTGGTTGCATTTCTGCATCGATGTTGCGGAAGAGTACCGGTCGCTTTCTAAACGGACATAATTGAAAGGCCAATTGATTTTGCCCACTAATTCTGCTACGACTACGAGCTGGTAGGTAGGATGTTGATAGTCCTAGTACTTACGGAGTATACCAGGGCAATTTGAGCAAGTAACCTGACTGTACCTTGAACACTCACTTAACCATAGATATATGTATGTAGGTGCGAGTATGTATGTACCCATGTAACAAATAGGGCTGTATCTAGAATCAATCAGTGGATAAAGACTTAGGAGATGAGGCGCCCGATAATAAATGAAGACATCCACTCTGCACGCCGTCTCATCCGGTTCGATCTGAATGGAGGCTTCCTGTCCTAAATTTGGACCACTTAGCCCTAGGGTCGTGGGTCCGAGAGAGGCTTAACGGTTAGTTACTGGCGTTAGGAAACCAACTACTCCGTACTATAGTAACTATTCAGACCAAGAGGCGGAGCAAACCAATCCTCCTCGAATCATCGTGCTGTAGTTGTTGGCTCCCAATTTACCTCCAAATCCTCATTCACGAGCTTAGCCCTGTTCCTGGCACCTATCGCTTGCTACGTTAATGTCCACCGCTGCCATGGCGATACTCAGCCCTCGTCCTGCGCCCTCTTCGTCCTGGAGTAAACGCATCTCGATTAAGAGACGGATTTTCTGCGGTATAAAGTAGGCTTACTGGCAGCCATCAAATACCTTTTCTCTGGTCAAGCAATATACATTTCTCACCTTTTTCTTTCAAGGATCGTTTCTTTTTCACATCTGTTGGGTAAATATGGTTCTCCTCCCTTCCGCTGTCGCTACGTTTCTGCTGGCGACGGGTACACTCGCCGTCCCTCCTGGTAGCCGTTCGAAGCAGGGAATCCGTGCGCCTGCCCATCGCTTCATCCCCGAGAATAATCTCGTGTCGCGAGATACGGGGGCAGTTTACTCCATCTACGATGGTGGTGGCTGGGTTCTCCCTGTTCTTCTTGGGAGGCAAGAAGTCTACTTAAATCTGGACACTGGCTCATCAGATCTGTAAGCGTGCAACCCATGTATGTAATACGTGAAAAAAAAAAAGGATACTAATAGTATGAGTAGATGGACAGCAAGCACACTAATGCCGGACGACCAGCAGTCTACCATCACTAGAGGATCAGTCTATGATCTCGCTAAGAGCTCGACGGCTAGCACGATGTCCAACTACACGTTTGCCCTAGGCTACGCAGACGGCTCTGGGGCCTCTGGCTCCGTGGTCCGAGAGACTGTCAACATTGGCGGTGCAATCGTCCCCAACATGCCCATCGGCATCTGTAGCGACCTACAATACGGCAACGGAAGCAGCGGCACCCGTGACACTGCCGGCCCAGTTGGTCTCGGCTTCGGGGTGATGAACTCCATCCGACCAAACCCCCAATGCACCTTTATGGAATGCCTCGAGCCCTATGTCCCTGAACCAGTCTTTGGTACCTGCTTCAAACTCGACAATAAAGGCTTCGTCGACTTCGGATACTCCGACTCCAAGGCCTACACCGGCGATCTCACCGAAATCTCCATCTCCAACACGAGCTCTGGCAACGAAGGCCAGTGGATGGCTCTAGGTGTCCAGTTCGGATCCGGAGGCACTCTCTTCGACGTCGACGCCCTTGACATGGACTTTGATTCTGGCACTGCGTCACTTTCCGTCTCGTCGGATATCGCTGCTGCTTATTGGGCTCTGGTTGACGGCGCTGACAACTCTTCCGGGTCATGGGAGTACCCTTGTGGCACTAGGCTGCCTGATCTCGACTTTACCTTCGCGAGTGTCCTTGACGGACCCTCGACAGTCACTATTCCTGGATGGAACTTGAAGAACGGTGACGATTCGACCGGAATGTGCGGCACTTGGATGGATGTTGTTGATGGACAGGGTAATGCTGGCCTGCCATTCTATATCACCAAGTATATGATCTGGAACCCGACCCGGCCCAGCTTGGCCTTTGCCGACCAGGCGAAGTAGGCTTTTTTTTCTGCAGGAATTCGACGAGATGTGTAGTGTGTACTATGCTCTCGGAAGGTTAATCGGGTAGCATTGAGCATCTATCTTGTATATATACTTCTGTACTGTATGTATAAGATTATGGGATACATGCTACCCTCCAGGCCAAAACTTGACTTGTTTCATTCTGTTCCCAATTATAGCATGACAATTTGTGTTACTAGGCGTATTCAAGACCCAGCAAAATAGAGAGCACGGTGCCGGTAAGGGTTGGTCTACTATTATTAGATTCGGTGTTTAGGCCTGCCAACCTCCACAACTAGAACGGCTTCATATTGAAACTCTTGGTAGGGATCTTTTAATCGCAGATCAAATCTGATCCTTCATAATTTGGGTCTACATGCTGTAAGGCGGTTCCTGATGCGTGTAACCGCCCCTTCCGACCTAGTCTCCAGGGTCGCGCCTTGCGCGCCCCCGACAGCTCAACGCTCAGGACAGCTCAACGCTCAGTTTTGTATAGCTTCAATTTCAAAACAATCTAGTATACCCAAATTAAAAGATATTCTAATATAAAATAGATATAAATAAACCTTTATACCTCCTGTATCTTCCTAGATTTCCGATGTCTCTTTAAAATAATTCCCTGATTTAAGGCATAGGTAACAAGTTCCTGCATGACCTTTGACCATTGTCTTTGTAATTTGGATAATTCCTTCTCTATATCATAATTCTTTTCTAACTGCTTTATTTTAGCCAAATTTTGACTAGATACAGTGCCTCCTTGTTGTAGACGGGATCTTGAAGCCTTTGCACGCTCATGGCGGGCCTGTTCTGCCCGGGTATAATGTCGTAATTCATCCTTTAATGATTTTGCTAGATGGGCCTGTGCAACACTACCTTTAATGAAGCTATTTAACTTCTCTTTAAAGCTATATCTATATTTCTCTGCTCGGGGAAGATGTTGTGTATAGAATTTAAAGTGTTTAGCAGTCTTAGGAGTGCTTCCAAAGAAATGAAAGGATCCAGAATTGCTAGGAGTAGTTAGTTGAGTAGAAGGTCTTTTAGGTAGTAATTGTAGAACTTCTTGAGGTTAAAAAGGCACAATTCCAGTATTTTGAAAGTTATGGGTAATTGTACGCCTTTTAAAGGTTTTTTTTCGAATTGTATGAAGGGCATGAAGAAATTCAACCTTAGTAAATTTTCCACCTCCAGAATATTCTGCATCAGCAACTGCTTTAGCATGCCAATGCTTATAGGCATGAAATACCCCAATATCAAGAGGTTGAAGAATATGACTTGTATGAGGTGGTAAGAAGAAGATAATAATATTATTCTTTTTACAGAAATTGATGAATTCAAAGGTTATATGGGATCTAAAACCATTATAAATAAGAAGTTGATATTTGCCTTTTGTATAGGATTTCGTACACCGGTTGAATATTTGTATTTATTGATAGGCAAGCTTATTATTTAGATAACCTGTATCACTAACCCCAATATGATATCCAGGTTCTAATTGATCAAACCAGCCCTTTAGGATACACTTACTACTTAATAAAATAAGTGGTTCTGCAGTATATCCAACAGCATTAACTGCTTTAACTACAGTTGCATATTCCTGATTAGAATTAGAAGAAATATAGGCCCTTTGGTGTTTCTTTACACGCTGGACAACCTAATGATTCTTTCCAACTCCAATCTGAAAGCCAGTTTCATCAAAATTCTATATATCTTCAGGTAGGATACCCCTAGTAAAAAGAATATATTTCAGATAAGTAAACTAGGTAGAGATAAGATCTCTATTTTCTGCTTTCTTCCTATCTGATTCCATGACTCTTGCCCGCTTTCTTATATATCTAGGATTCTGTGAAAGCCATCGGTTGAACTATTTTTTGCTAACTTCAGGTGGTTGGGTCTCTGGGTCTTCGTGGGAGGATCGTAGGATAGAATTTGCATAATTTATAATCATTTGAGGCTGCGGGTAGACTCCTAGATTATCTAGAGTATCAATATATTGATAAATAGCAAAATCCTGAGCCAGAGATAACTTCATAGTCGGTGGTCGCCGCTGGGATTGAGTTTTACGACCCCTCCAGCGTGCCCCAAGGCGGTGCCTTGACACGTTGAAATCTCGTGTAGTTTTGGAGATATTAGGTTTTTTTTGAAAGTATAAGGCATTCATAGCATCCTTAATTTGTTTTTCGACTTCATGATAGTCTTCTGATATGGTGGTGGTTGAATAAAATAGATTTGAAGTAGGATAGTTGAAATTTTGAAAAACTGAGTGTTGAGCTGTCCTGAGCGTTGAGCTGTTGGGGGCGCGCAAGGCGCGACCCTGGAGACTAGGTCGGAAGGGGCGGTTAGATGTGTCCCTAGTCTCCCGATGCCCTTTTATTTCATTTTTTACGAGGTACGACTCCTTGATACCGGTATGGTAAGCAGAGACCGTAAGATACCGGATTAAAGTAGTTGCGCACCGTAATTAGGACCGTGGCACGTAATCATAATACTCACTCCATTCGTCCCCTCGATGGGATCTCGAATAGCTTAACAAACAACTCGAGCAGCACCCCCTGCCATGTCACTCTTTTGGCCCATCCAACTTCTCTCAGTCATTCGTTAAGTTTCTTTGGCCATTTCTTTTTCATGTCTTGATTCTTGGGCTTCTGTCTCTCTCTTGTGTCGCTCTTTATTTTCCCATCTGGTCATTTTCTTGCTTTTTACTAGTTTTTTCTTTTTTGACATTCCTGTCTACGCCACTCCTTTTTCTTGTCCCGCGTGTTTTTCCGTGCTGATACAGAGTACCTCGTCTCCTTTATTCACGACGTGACTGGGAATTCCTCGAACTTGGCCTGCCCTTTTATACTTTGTCTATGCTTCTCTGAACTCTTTACTAAAAAAAAACTAAAAAAAAAACCTTTCATAGGGGTTGTGTTTCTTTTCTGTCTGTCGTCGCGATCCTGAACAATGAGGCCCCCCTCACTGTTTGGGCCTGCGACGGCCGGCTTTTCGACCATGGCTCGGGTCTGGCTCTTGAGTTCCCTCTCGCTTGTCTCTAGTCTATCTTTTCATTCGGTACCGCAGCCGAAACTTGATCTTTCACCTCTAGGTCAAGTTGCTCTCACAGGCGACTTCGATGCCGCGGCTTTCTATTCTTACACCGAACAATTCGATACCCCCTCCACAGACGATAATTCGCAGTCCATAATTACCGCTCTTCCAAATGGAATCCTCATATCTCTTGAATCCACCGACGCTGATATTCGTGCGATGTGCGCCTTTACCCAGAAAGACGGGGCGTATGAAGGTATCTTTGTTGGCGGAAACTTCACCAGTTTGGGTGGTGTCAAGGCCCAGGGAGTTGCATTGTACAATCCGGAATCAAACAAAGTCACCGCTCTTCCAGGTCTCACAGGCTCCGTGTCCGCATTGCTCTGCGACCAGGAAACCAACAGCGTGTACGTCGGTGGAGCGTTTAAATATGGAAATACGTCAAATGCGGTGGCCTGGGTGAGCGGTGAAGGCTGGAAAAGCTTATCTTTCGGTGGATTCAATGGACCTGTCACTTCGATCGTCAAGGATTCAGATAACCATATCGTTTTTGGCGGCTCTTTCGATGGCATTGGCAATACCACAACGTCGAAGAAGAACGTGCAGACCATCAATCTTCAAAATGCTACAGTTACTTCGGATGCGCTTTCCTCCAAAAGTGGATTCATCGACCCTCGCAATGTTATCTGTCAAACGAGCGGCGCTGACGGTGAAGGAAAGACTTGGTTACTGGACGACTATTCGCCTGGGTACTGGCGCGCGGATATGGGCTTCACCTTCCAGCCATCTAAACTTCGTCTGTACAACACACATCTCGAAGATCGAGGTGCCAAGTCCTTTTTCTTTAGGCGCCTTCCCGACAATGGAATCATGAACATGACGTACACGGACCCCGATACCGGCGAGGAAACCCATTGTGATCTCTACTGTCCGCTGTCCAATAGCACGGACGAGAAGTATCGTGATTTCACCTTTGTGAACTATGTTGGCATGTCCGGCTTTATGCTCGAGATTCAGGACTGGTATGGATCTGGTGCTGGTTTGAATGGGATCGAACTTTTCACAAATGGTTAGTCGAGAGAACTGGGGTTGCGTATCGTGTGGTCACTGGTGTGTTCTAACAATATTAGATATCTATACATATGCCGTGAACGCGTTCAATGAGCCGACCTGTGCAGGCATTAGTCACTCATCTACGGCAACCCAAACTGGATCATGGACCGTGACGCCATCCGACCAAAGCCCCGCCGAATACCTGACCGCAGATGTCACTGATTCCACCGCAACCGATACCTCCGTCGTCTTTGAGCCGGATATCAAGCAGTCTGGAAACTATACCATTCTCTTGTATACTCCAGGCTGCGAACAGTCGTCGACCTGTGATTCCCGCGGCATCGTCAATGTGACTGCCACCGTGAAGTCTTCGGGAGCTTCTGACCCCATCGAGACACAGATTTACCAAACGAACGCCTATGAAAAATACGACACTATCTACAGCGGCCCAGTAGATGCCAGTGGTGATTCATTCCGTCCACGCGTGACACTGACTGCAATCTCCGGCCAGGGCGATATCACTGTCGTCGCTTCCCGGGTCAAATTCGAGCTTCTCTCTGCCTCAGGTGGATCCAGTGGCGAATTGAACGGCTTATATGATTATGATCCCTCGTCGACGAGAGTCAGCACTAATTTATTGGAGTCTTACATCAATAGAGCCGGATATAACCTGCATTCCGGTGCTTCGGTTCGGAGCATCGCTACTCACGGGAGCGCTATGTACGTTGCTGGAAATTTCTCCAACTCTGATATCCGCAACATCCTGCTTCTCGAGCAAGATGCCAATGTGACGGAAATGTCCCAAGGCGGTTTGAATGCAGAAGTGACTACGCTGTCGGTCCTGAACACTACCCTCTACGTTGGCGGAAGCTTTACCGGGACCTCTACAGGAACGAATGACAATCTTAAATATGTTGCATCCTATTCCACGAGCTCCCAATCCTGGTCTGCGCTTGGAGGCGGAGTTAACGGACCTGTCAAGCAAATCATCTCACTTCCCTTGAATGTATCCTCGGACCTCAATGAGACTATTGTCGCTGTTAGCGGTGATTTCGATGAGTTGCTTTCCTTTGGAAAATATCCCGCCGTGGATGTCTCTGGATTCGCGGTTTGGGTTCCGTCGCAAAATAATTGGCTGCAGAACCTCAATGTGAGCCAGGTGGATTTTGTGGGGCAACTGTCTGCCTACGCCCTGGCAAATAACACCGCCATTCTGGCTGGCAGTCTCTCCTCCGGAGGTACGGCAGCTGGTGGCGCGGTGGCTGTCCTTTACGAGGATGGGCTCAGTTTAGATCCCTTGCTGAAGAGGTCAAGCGGCGAAACCTACACGGGAATATATGATATTAGTTCGGACCGAAACCTTACGATACTTGGCGGCCACTTCACGGCGACCGCTAGCAATGGGTCCGCAATAGAGAATATCGTTATCCTAGATGGTAGCAACGGCACCATCAGTGGTATCGGCGCGGGAGTTGACAGCAACTCTACGTTCTTGACCTTTGCGATTTCCGATGACGTCTTGTATGCTGGTGGAATGATTACTGGTGCCGTGGGCAATTCCGGTTTAAACGGACTGGTCTTATACGACCTCGAGAACCGCACAATCGCCCACAACCAGCCATCCAAGTTCAATGGTGGAAATGTATCTGTGACTGCCATTGCCGTTCGTCCTGATTCAACCCAGATCTACTTCGGAGGGCAATTCTTAACAGCTGGATCTCTTCCCTGCCCGGGTGTTTGTTACTACGACACTTCGGCGCAGCAGTGGAATCGGCCTGGAGTGAATCTTGAAGGTACCGTGGTGGCCCTTGAATGGGTCAGTGGCAACTCGCTGCTCGCTGTCGGTAATCTCACTGTTGATGGCAACCAGACCGTCGTTGCAATCTACTCTCCTCATAAGCAGAGCTGGGAGGCTTTCGAAGGGGCATCAACGCAGACTATTCCTGGGACTGTGATAGCTTTCACACCTGCTAGTGTAGATGCTTCAACATTCTGGCTCGCTGGACAGTCAAGCAACGGCTCCAACTACCTGATGAACTATGACGGATCGAGCTTCCAGTCTACCAAGAATATCTTTGGTGACGGAACCGTAATCAAGGGGTTGGAAGTTCTCCCGTTGGCTTCGGATCATGAGGAGAACAAATTGCTGCACAATGACCAAATCCTTTTGGTTACCGGCTACATTTCAGTGCCGAATTATGGGGTTGCTTCGGCTGCCCTATTCAATGGCACGACCTTGACCCCTTTTGTCCTTTCTTCTACGTCTGATGGAAAACCCGGCAGTATGTCGCAGATGTTCTATCAGAACAGCAACCCTTACACCAGAGAAAGTCAGTATTCTAGATTCCACTAACATGTTATATACGCGCTAATAGTCCAACAGAGAGCCATCACTCGAACGGAATTGTTGTTTTGGTTGCGTTTTGCTGCGCGCTTGGCTGCGTATTCCTGATCGTTATCGCTGGTGTGATCTTCAACAAGATCCAGCGCCGCCGCCAGGGCTACATGGCCGCGCCGCAAGGAGTTGGAACGGACCGGCCGTCGACAATGCGTCGACTTCCTCCGGAGTACCTGTTCAACTCTCTGAAGCAGCCCAACCCCGGCGCACCAGTGATTTAATTCAGAAACGCACTTTTTCGATGACCTTTATCTTTCTCTCTCCATCTCTCTCCATCTCTCTCTCTCTCCATCTCCTATGAGAAATAGTTGGCATATCCGTTGACCTTTTCTTATTCCTGTCTAATATCTGAGAACGGCGTTCTTGGGGAGACAAACAACGACATATTATACCCTGCTCTAATTCTGGTTTTGTTGTCAGATTTTTCTTTTCTTCTTCTTTTTTATTATTCCCCCTATCTTCCTATCTTGTCTGCTTCTTGTGTTGACATGGTAGGAAGATCCTTTTTTTTTTTTTTTTTTTTTTCCTTTTCCAGCGCATTTATTCACCCTATCCCCAACCACTGTAACTCCATCATTCAACAGTGATTTATTTGTGATTATGTTTAATGTTTGTACTATAGTCTCTGTCACGCTACCTAGTTCCTGGACATGTACATACATAGCCTGCGCTAGACCGCAAAGCTATGGATTTCAGAGTAAGAGTTTCCCAGGTCTTTTATTTGTCTCTGTAGAACTGTGTACTGCTAGTTAGTGCTAGTAGACGATAGTAGTGGATAGTTAGACGCATAGAACGAATCGCAATTCGGCATGGGGGGACCTTAAGGCTTTCCCATAAACGAAATCATTTCATTGAGATTATCTCCCTGATAAACCGAAGACAACCTCTTTCTTCAATGTGTGGATGGATATATCTGGATATATCTGGATATATAGTACAGTGCAGTACATGCATGTCATGTCAGCTTAGCTGGGAAAAGGCGGTACTCCATAATACTCCGGACCTCTGTCTAGTAGTTACTGTTATGTGATTCTTCTTCTTCCCCGCCTCTCATTTCTTCGTCTCCTTCTTCTTCTTCTCCTTTCCCCTGGTCTTTTCCGCTCCGCCAGGGCACTGTACCCCACGCTTGAATTCCCTCTGTTATTCGCTTCGCTCCGCTTTTCTTTCTCCTTTCCCTCCTTCCTCCCTTCCCTTCTTCCCTTTCTTTTCTCTTCACATCGTTCTATGCACCTGGATCGATCTGTTGTGGATCGGGGGGATCTAGCCTAGATCTTGATTTTCTTTTTTCCCCCTCTCTCTCGTTCCTTTCCCTTATTCTCCACCCAGTTTTGAGACACCTTTGCACGCGGCTTTTCGAATGGTGTCGCTCACTCGCCGACGTTACCGTACGGTATGCGATCCCGCACAGGCTGGTATGTACTTATCTATTCTCTGATCATCGTGCAAATGGGTGGTTTTATGGCTTGCATCGATGTATCCGTTCCTTGAGTGTGCTACATTCCAGTACAGAAAGGGCTAATTTGCACTGGTGTCGCGTGTATAGTTTGACGTGTCGCACTCGGAAACTGAAATGTAAGTAGGACGGACTCTTGTCGACAAAGAGACCTAAAAAAAAAAAAAAAAAAGGCTAATGGAGCTTGCGCATGCTAGGTGATGAGCGAAAGCCTGTGTGCTCTCAATGTCGCAAGGGCGGCAGAGAGTGTCGCCCCAGCGAAGGGGTCATCTTTCGTCATCAGCAGAATGCCTCCATGAACAAGGATCTCGACGGCGCCCCCGATGGTCGTGGAAATTTGAACGGGTTTTACTCGTATAAGAATACCTTTGACAAGGACAGTGTTTGGCTGGATATTCCAAAACACGGTACGGATTGGCGAGCTAGAGCTAGAGGTGCTGGAGAGAGATGCTGATCAGGAAATGTCCCGTGGCTGCAGTTATCTTCGTCGACAACTCCGATCCTTATGCTGAAGACCTTGAGGCTGCACTGGGAGAGTCTGAGGCCGCGATCCTCGCTGCGAATTCACAAAACTCTGCGTGGGATGCTGGACGGACATCCTCAGCCCAGAGAGACCTTCATGGCCTCGAAGCGCTTTCAGCTGTCGCGACACATGACCCCTTGTCGTACCCTGCATTGGCTGCCGACCAACAGTCCATTTCGACGCCAGACAGCATCAACTCGTTTAATAATATTCCGACAGGAGTACCAGCACCCCCTCCGAACCAACTATCCCGCGCCATCTCATCCCAATCCTCACCGTCCATTTCGATTCCCTCCGATAATGGCAACAATACCACGATAAATTTCCTCCTCAATCCATCCCAATCACTCTCGCCTCCGATCGATCCCACCACTCGACATACCCCCGAGGGCAGGGGCTCTGCATTAATGCGTAGGCCTGCGGAACACAAGCTCGACCGGGCTGCGGAGACGGACCGGGAAATATCGTTTCTCCTCCGACACTTTTCAGAGGTCCCAGGGCTTTGGTACGTGGAGGAAGAGAAGACCCCTCTTGTCGCGAAATCTGGCTGATAATGTTCGACAGGATGGACCTGTATGACCTAGGCACGTATTTTGCGTCATATGTTCCAGTCAGAGCACTCCAAAACCCGTTGTTAAAGTACGCCGCATGCGCATACGCTGCAAAGCAACTCGGCCATATCAAGATCCCAAAGCCTGCGGTTGGTGGTGTTTTCCTGCACCAAGCTTTCCCGCAGGACCCGAAGAAGATCGATTGGAGTTGGAACGGGGCCAAGTATTATGAGAAGGCCATCCAACTTCTCATGAAGGAGTTGGAGCCTGATGATGGATCCCCGTCCGCAAGCACTGCTGAAGCGTTCGGAGGTGCGTCGGGTGATCTGCGCGATGACCCCGATGGGAAGCGCAGTCGGCATAGAGAAAATCGACTTTCAAATGGGGCCCACTCAGACGAGATTCTCGCGGCCACGGCCATTTTGTCCGTATACGAGTTTCTGGATGCCACTGGACCAGCATGGAATCGCCATCTAAGCGGTGTGAAATCCTTACTGGATCTGGCTGAGGTTGGGATGCGCCCTCTTCAGCCTTGTCTTTCGCCAGGAGAGCTTTCGTTGCAACGTCCGAAGAGGCTTCGGCTTTCCAAGGCCCGAAAGGCGATCTTTTGGAATTTTGCTCGACAGGACTATTTAGCTGCATGTAAGTGTACACGAGGTTTGCCGCTCCAGATTTCTTGCTCTGCCCGTCGCGCTGACTGTTTCTGTGCCCCAGTCATCAATGAAACCCGCACCAGGTTAAATACCGAGGATCTGGCCCTGTGGACTGAAGCTGGCATTAAAATTGATAATATGGGCTTCGTCCGTGCTAGCAACACGAATGCAACTGGATATCCTGAAGGGGAAGATGTCATGAAGGAAGACCTTATCTCAAACGCCCTTGTTTGGATTCTTTCGAAGATCGTCAATTTCGTAAACACGAACGGCGGGCCACAGCTAAGTCATCCAGGTGCGGTCAATGCAGGCCCTCTAGGCGTTTCCGAGCAGGCCGCCGTTGAGCGATGGTACCGCCTAGAGGCTGAACTGGACGTCTGGTACAACGGGCTCCCGGATTCATTCCACCCATGCGCTAGAATCGGGCCACCTCAATCTGCAAACCAGCATGGTGGCGACGCCGAGGATGCCTCTGCGTTGACAGAGATATGGTACAGCCTCCACATGTGTTCATCCGCTATGCAACACTACCATATGGCCCGTATCTTGCTTCTTATCAACAAGCCGCACGAGTCTACCGCGCGACGGGGTACGATCACAAATCGACTCAGCTCGTATCGATCAATTGAGAGTGACATCCGCTTCCATGGCCGGGAAATTGTGGGAATCGCCATGGCTTGCCCCGCAGGCTCCGCTCGCATCAACTCTCTCCAGCCGTTGTTCGTCAGTGGTCAATGTCTTATCGAGTCTCGTGAGCGACGGATGGTTCTGCGGATGCTCCGAGACATCGAAGCAGAGCTAGGCTGGGCAACTGAATACCGCGTCCAGCAACTGCTCAGGGAGTGGGGTTGGGAAGAGACAGCAGCGGACGCTCCAGGGAATTCCTAACCAGGTCGCACGCCGTTGCGGGTTTGTTCTTGCCCCAATCTCTCTAGGCCACGGGGCCTCTCGACGTGGCGCTCTCCCCACCTTGGAAATCATTTTCCAGGTCCGGAGTACTGGATAGTCCTGTCCCAGTGGAGTTCGGGTATCAGGCCATGCCAAGTGATTCACGGAATTCAGATGTCAATCCAGAGTCCAGGACAGGCGGAAAGCGATACCCCGCCCTCTTAACGTCGTTTCAGGGAAATGCAGCCCGACTGTCTTGTTAGCTTATGAGACCACGCGGACAGCCCGGGATGGCTGTAGGCAGAAGCCAGTGTCAGGGATCCTTTGTAGATCATCCGGATTCCAACTATATGATACCATTTTTTCTTCTTCTTTCTTTCTCATGGTCTGGTCTGTGCTGTATACTGTACCAACGGCGATACACAGGCAGCCTGGACCCTTTCATTTGTCCTTCAGTCTTGTTACTTTTATCGAACAGGTTTAGTAGGAACTCTGCTTCTTTAGCGTGGGCGCACTGTTGGAAGAATTGAGATCAAAGCGTTCGTCTAGTATACTACTTTATTAGGTCCAACATGAAGAATTAATTGCAATACCAGTGTTATCATCTTTTTGTAATTCTTTTATTTCTTCTTTCTAATGTTTTTTGTTTTTTTCTTTCTTTTTTTCGGGCCAGTTGCCGGTGTCGAAAGTGGATACAAGAAATTGTCTCTTGGGAATTAATTTCCTGCTTGATGACCGACTCTCGGGACTCACTAACTCACTCACTCACTAACTCACTAACTCTTAAACTAGTTGGAAACTTGGAATGATCAGGATTCAGCGGTGTGCCCCAGAGTACTTCTTGAACAATAATTGCTTTATCTGGCCTGCACGTTCACCCTCGATCTAATTTCCTCTGTCCCTCCGAAGACGACGACGACGACGACGACGACCCATTCTAGTGGCAGGTCAATTGTCTGCCATCTACGCCCCGGGATAGAATCAAGCCAGGAGAACTTGATTGACGGAGCAGAAGTAAATTCCAGCCCCTGTCAAAACGTTCTTCGGTAGAACCGGGAGAGTCTAGCTGCATCACCCACCAACCAATCTGGTTCGCGCCAACTCCGACGCCAGCAATCCTACTAGTATAGGCTATGAAACCGTGCAATATGCTAAGGGACTCTCCCCACTTTCGTCACGAACGGAGTACGCTCGGAGTGGTTGTATGACACGATATTCAGAAAGGATCCGTTAGTTTCTGGTGCCTATCCCAAAAATGGCTGATACCCGTGTTAGGAGCGTTTGCGATCTCCTCAGCTCCCATTCATTTCTCGACATGGAAAACCGCAAGAGGGGGGCTTGATTCAAACTCTCCTTATTAATGACAGGGCACTGCCGGTTGGTTACTATCTAGATTTCCCTAAATCTGCCCAGCCCAAAAAAAAAAAAAAAAAAAAAAAAAGGAATAATTCATCTGGGAAAAGAGTCGCGGAGGTCATATCATGTCTGTCGACACTGATGTTCTTATTATCGGCGCAGGCCTGTCTGGAATCGGATTTGCCGTGCGACTCCAGCAGGAGTTCCCGCGGGTGACTTATGAAATATACGAGCGAGCCGAGGACCTGGGAGGGACATGGCTGATGAACACATATCCTGGGTGTGCCTGTGATGTACGGACCCGCTGCTCTCTTCTTTCTTTTCGTTGTGGAGCGAGCGCGCTTGCTTCGAGATAAGAATCAATTGATGGCTGACCCTTCTTGTCTGTGCGCTGTAGATCCCGTCGCATCTTTATTCCTACTCCTTCGCCCTGAACCCGGAATGGAGTATGCAGTTTGCGCCCCAGCCCGAGATCCAAGCCTACTTCCGCGCTGTCGCAAACAAGTTTGACATCCCCCGCCATATAACGTTTCGCTCGACCGTTCGGAACGCGGTTTTTGATGAGTCCTCTGGGACATGGCTTGTGGAGATCCTTGACCAGGAGACAGGCCGTGTGTATGAGAAGCGCTCGAGGGTTCTAATCTCCGCGGTTGGGATCCTTTCGGAACCGAATGATTGCGAGATTCCCGGTGCAGAGGCGTACCAAGGCAGGCTTTTCCACTGTGCGAGGTGGGACCATTCGTTTACATGGGCAGGGAAAGATGTAGTGGTAGTTGGTGTGTGTTTCCTCTCTTTCTCTCTCTCTCTCTCTCTCTCGGATCCATTTCTCCATGCTGATTTTGTTGTGGATCAAAGGCAATGGCTGCAGCGCGACACAATTCGTTCCCGTGCTGAGCGATGGCGAGGGAAAAGCTAATAAAGTTGTTCAGTTTATCCGCCAGCCTCACTGGATTGAGGAACGCCCTAACCCGACTTATCCTGCAGCCTTCAAATGGGTCCTGCGCCATGTGCCCCTTGCGATGCGCTTCCTGCGGTTGTGCATTTTCGCCGTCGCCGAGAGCTATTTCCCCACAATGAACCGGATTGCCGGGAAGAAGCTTCGAGAGAAGAAAATGAGAGAGCAAACAGAGTATATTAAGCGCATCGCGCCCGAAAGGTACCATGACGTGCTGGTCCCCAAGGCGGAGCTGGGATGCAAGCGCAGAGTCATGGACACAGACTATCTTGCCTGTCTCCACCGGGAGAATATGGAGCTCGTCTATGCGGATCCCATCGAGGCCATTACGTCGACGGGGGTCAAGACGAAATCGGGACGAGAGATCCACGCCGATGCCGTGATCCTCGCGACGGGCTTTAAAGCGCAAGATCTATGTCCTGTGGAGATCCGAGGCGAGAGGGGGATGAGTCTGAATGAGCATGTATGTTCTACCACCACCACCACCACCACCACCAACAGAAACTAGTAACCCTTACTAACCATCACTAATTAACTACAAGTGGGCAACCTGCCCCTCCAAATCCCCCCAAGCATACTACGGTGCCTGCGTCTCCGGCTTCCCTAATTTCTTCCTGCTCATGGGCCCCAACACCGTCACCGGCCACAACTCGGCAATCTACACAGCCGAATGCCAAATCAACTTTATTCTCAAACTCCTCCACCCCATTCTCACCCCGCTACTCTCTCCTTCCTCTTCCTTTTCTTTTTCCTCGTTATTGTCCTGGTCCTGGAACCCATTCCGCCGCCGCCGCCGCCGCCGCCGAGCCCCCGACACCGTCGTCGTCACGGCCGACGCCGAGCAAAACGAAAGCAAATGGATCGACCGGGCAAGTAGCAACTTCGTCTGGACGAGCGGGTGCGCAACTTGGTATCTTCGGCCCGCGACGGGGCGCAACACAATCATGTATCCGGACTCGCAGGTGAAGTTTTGGCTGAGGAGTGTGTTTGGGCCTGTTTGGAGGGATTTTGTTTTTCGGTCTGCTTCGACAAGACTGCGTGGTGGTGGTGGATTCCAAGAAAATTAGCTAGGTCTCTGGTTAAGTTAACTAATAGTTTAGGTTCGTTGTTTCTCTGCGTGGTGTGTCTTGTCTTGTATTCCTGGGTAGAAGTAATCGAGAAACTGATGGTATATATACATGTATTTATAGTGTGTAGTATATACGAGGAATTGAATTGATCATATTTACAAGGTTAGCTGGTTATTCTTCGCGAGCTTAATCACTCACTCACTCACTCACTGGCTTCGAAGCCGCTTCGAGGTCCTCCTCGTTACGGGGTGAGATGTTTTCGTCTTTGTCTTCGCTTTCACGGTCGGTTTAGTTTCATCGTCACCACTCTCGGTTTTCACATCACCTTCTTTGTCTTCTTTGTCTTCTTCTTCTTCTTCTTCTTCTTCTTCTCCATTTGCAGCTCGTTTCAGAGAGGTCTTCCTGGGTGCAGCGGTAGTAACCTCAGTTTTGACAGTCGGGGTTACGGTGTCCATTACATTTTCCTTGTCTTCTTCCTCGGATTTCACGTCCACTTCGATCTTGGTCTGTTTCGATGGCGCAGCTAATCGATCGGAGAATGTCCTCAGATCCGCCGTAAACAGCACGCTATGCGCCCAGCCGGCCTCCCTGCCCCAGAGGTTCCGGAAATGGTTCCCGACAGCGTCGTATGTCGTCTTGGTCAAGGACCTATGCGATCCTTTGCCGAATCTGTAGTCTCTCTGGGCGATTTGCCATACTTTGCAACGATAAGTCAGTACGGGTTCGCAAAGGAGCTGGAAGCAGAAAAAAGAAAAAAGAAAAACAACACCTACCGTGTGTATCAACCGGCACAGCCTCTCTCCACCCCAGCCCCATTAAACAGACACAATCCGCCACCTTCGGCCCAACGCCCTGCAACTCCAGCAGCTTTGCATGCGCCTCGCGATACCCCGCTCGCCCCTCAGGGCTCATTTCTCCCCCTGGCGCAGCAGTCGCAGCATGCACGCGGCGGCCCTCCGTGCCCAGCGCAAGCGCAGGGGACTCCGGATTCCTCAGCGCATCCAACCACCCCTCCTCGCGCTGCCTGGCGACAGTAACCGCAGTCTGGTAGATGTACTTCGCGCGGTACCCGAACCCTAGCCCCCGCAGCCGGGACTCGACGTCGGCCGCCGTGAGAGCCTCCGGGGTCGGGAAATCATGGTAAACGCGGCCATTCACTGAGCCGACCAGGGGGCCGTAGTGGGTGCAGAGTTTCTCGACCATTTGCGAGATGCGCGCGATATTGTTGTTGCTGCTGCAGATGAACGAGACGAGGGCTTCCCAGGCGTCTTGGCGGAGGATGCGGATCCCCGTGAACTGGGCGGCCTTTTTTCTGAAGTTGGGGTCTTGCGCGGACCATTGCTCGTACAGAGGGGTGAGGTTGGAGGCGAGGTTGAAGTAGTCGGTTATCAGGGAGCGGGTGTCGTCCTCTGTGCTTGCGGGAGGGTTTGGTGTGATGAGATAGGTTCTGTAATAGAGGTATTGCGGGTCTTGTCTTAGGGATAGGAGACGCCCGTGGAGAACGCATCGCCATTCATCGGTCTCTGGGACCTGATGCCATCTGGGGGAAAGAGGTTAATTGAGAGGCCGCTACTATGTAGAACGGCTAGCGACGTACCGGAATGACTGGCCACAGCGCAAGGTTGTATTGATGCAGAGTTCACCGAGACTCACCGGCAGCCTGTGCCATTCTGAGAAGGCGCCCACAGTCATCGTAAAAATCGAAACTGAAGCGGAGAATCCGTCGATGCAATTTACCTAGGTACATACGTACGGAGTACATACAAGTCCTGGGAGAACAAGCGATGTCCATTCTGCCAGCGCTGAGTCCAAATACAGAAGGCGGTCAGCTCACCGCATGACAAAGCACGCTAACCCAGTTCCGTGCTAGGCGCCGGCGCGGGCTCTCGTCGCCGATCGTTGCAAAAAGAGTTCCTGCGAGTTTTTGCAGCGCTCTCTTTGGCCCCTGGTGTTTTCCCCAGCTTATCCCCCTCTCCATCACCGTTTCTTCATCTTGTGTCGCTGGGTTCGAGATCGGCTCGGAGCCTGTTGCACGTTTTGGACGCGATTCACTAGCAGAATTGACTCGCATTTTCTTTCCCCGTCGCCACCTCAGGGATACTGGAAAAGGAAACCAAGCCATCGCCGCAAAGGAAAACAAGAGCTACTACCACTGCTAGAGTTCAGGATGAACGGCGATACTTATTCGTCTAGAGGTGAGCAGATACGTTCCGATTTGGGGTTGTTATGGGAATACTAACCATGGAGCAGCGGAGTCCGGTCGCTCAAGGGAATACTACGTAAGTAAAAATATATGGCTTTTTTTCATATCTCGCGCTATCTCGTGTAGTACAGGGTTAACGGAGTCTGGGGGTTTACAGCGCGACGAGCGACGAGAGCGCGGAGGAGACAGAGGCGCGGAGAGAAGACGGTCTAGATCCCCTCACTACAACTCGAGAGGTTCCCGACGCGAAGCAGAGGCCGACTCATACTCATCAAGCCGCGACTATCGTGCCAGAGAACGTGAGGACCGCTACTCAAGCCGACGGGAAGACCGGGAATGGGATCGGGACCGGGGCGATCGCCGACGCAGAGACTACGATGACCGGTCATCTCGTCGCGAACGAGGAGGAGGTGCTCCTGCTGGGGCTGGGGCTGGGGCTGGGGCTGGTGCTGGTGCTGGTGCTAGTGCTAGTGCTGGCGCTGGAGGAGAAAGGGATTTGTTTGAGGGGGAGAGGCCTCGCCGAGAGGGAAGAGATCGCGGTGATCGCGGCGAGCGTGGCGAGCGTGGCGACCGTGATCGTGAGAGGAGAGAGCGCAGGAGAAGCACCTCGCCTCCACGAAAGAAGGAGGCTACTCCCGATCTCACGGATGTCCTGTCGGTCTTGGACCGCAAGCGCCGTATGACACAGTGGGACATTAAGCCTCCAGGTTATGAGAATGTCACTGCCGAGCAGGCTAAACTTTCGGGTAAGATTGCGTTTTATATATTTGGGGGGGGGGGGGGGGGGGGTATTAAACACTGAATACTGACTGAACCAGGCATGTTCCCGCTTCCCGGAGCTCCACGACAGCAGCCTATGGACCCCAGCCGTCTCCAGGCTTTCATGAACCAGCCGGGTGGTAATTCTGTGGACAACTCAACCCTCAAGCCCTCCAACTCTCGCCAGTCAAAGCGCCTGTTTGTGTACAATGTGCCGCCTACCGTGACCGGAGAGGCTCTGGCCGCTTTCTTCAATCTCCAGCTCAACGGCCTTAACGTCATCCAGAGCGTTGACCCGTGTATCTCTGCACAGCTGTCCGAGGACCGCACTTTTGCTCTGTTGGAGTTCAAGACCCCTAACGATACCACGGTTGCGCTTGCGTTTGATGGGATCACCATGGAGGAGCATGAGGGTGCTGGAAACGGTACAGAGAACGGCTCGCAGAAGGGGCTGGAAGTGCGACGACCCAAAGATTACATTGTTCCCAATAGTCCCGAGCAGGAATATCAGGAGGGAGTACTGTTGAAGGAGGTTTCCGACTCGCCCAATAAGATCTGCGTGTCGAACATTCCTCAGTACATTGCGGAAGAGCCTGTTACAATGCTGCTCAAGTCCTTTGGAGAGCTCAAGTCTTTCGTTCTGGTGCAGGACAGGTCGACGGAAGAGTCCCGGGTAAGTATACTACTCTGGTTAGGAAAATGTGGCAAGCTAATATATATATATATATATTTTTTTTCTTAGGGAATTGCTTTCTGCGAATATATTGATCCCACAACCACGAGCATTGCCGTTGAGGGTCTTAATGACATGGAGCTCGGCGGACGGCACCTCAAGGTCGTCCGTGCCAGTATCGGAATGACGCAGGCTGCTGGACTCGACATGGGAGTCAATGCGATGTCGATGTTCGCCAAGACCATGTCTCAAGATCTGGAGAGCAGCCGTGTGCTGCAGCTTCTGAATATGGTGACACCCGAGGAGCTTATGGACAACGACGATTATGAAGGTGAGCCACGGCTCTTGCCCTTCTCCACTAGGGAATACTAACAGAATAGAAATCTGTGATGATGTGCAGGAAGAATGTTCCAAGTACGGCCAGGTCGTCGAAGTGAAAGTGCCGCGTCCCACCGGCGGCAGTCGACAATCCCCTGGCGTGGGCAAGATCTTTGTCAAGTTCAGCTCTGTTGAGGCCGCCACGGAGGCATTGAAGGCGCTTGCAGGCAGGAAGTTTTCGGATCGAACAGTCGTAACCACATACTTTTCGGAGGTGAGTTTCTTTTTACCTGGCGAGAGAGCCAATCTAATAGTCTCTACAGGAAAGCTTCGACGTCAGTGCTTGGTAGTGGAAGACTCGCTCGGATCTACGAATGGTTCTAGTTTAAAAGAGGGCGAATACAAATAATCTATCCTCAGGTGGACGGTATTTGTTCTGCTATACTCCTTGGGTTAATGTATCATAGCGAGAAAAATGGACGCACATTGTGACTTTTTCAGGCGTACATCCAGCCAGCTTGTATGATCCCACTCAAGTTATTTGTATTCTTCGCTGCAGGAGAACAAGTCATGCGACAATCCCCTATCTTCCCACACCCCATATTCCAGATGTCACTACATAGTCCATACTCGTCGTCAAAGCCCTAAAAAAACCGAGTCAACCAGAACTCTTAAGAAGAAGAAGCTTTTCTCGCTCCAGAACACAATGTTCGCAGTTATACTGAACCGAGGCATCTCTTCCATCTCCGCAAACTCGTACAGACTAGGATTTGGATCCCACGATGAAGCTTTTTTTTTTTTTTTTTTTTTTTTTTTTTTTTTTTGGACAGGGATGAGACAGTTTAACATTACATGTGACTCTGAGTTTAGTAAAGAAGAAGAAGAAGAAGAGGAAAACAATGCAGTTGGTAGTAGTTCTGTTTACTCTTGTCCTTTGGATATCTACTGTACCTCGTCTACATACCTCAGGTAGTACTTAGTACTAGTAAGTATATCCTAAGTACTCCGAGTCTGCACTCGTAGTTAGTTGTGTTTCCATGAATATGGTCGGTTGTTAGTGTACTGTACCTACTAAGAAATGTATGTATGTATGTATGTATGTATGTATGTATGTAATGTAATGGAATGTATGATACAGTACCTAACCAGGTCAGTTGGAGATTCGATTCCAAGAGAACTTACCTACTTGTTACTTGGGACTTGTGACTTGACCTCTCAAGGTGCACTGAACTACATCCATCATACAATATATACTAAGATAGCGTCCGAAAATATAGTTACATATGTCCGGAGTAGTTGGTGGCTATCTATCGATCTATCTAGATATTCTTCCATGTTCCAGAAACACCACCTTTTCCGGGTCCTGAAGAGCGGTCTCGCCGCAATTAATATACTACTAGTATCTACGATCTAGTGCAAGAGATTTAATTAATTAATTAATTAATTAATCAATCAATCAATTATTTCCCAGTGTCCTCCCACTAATATTGCATTTTGCCATTGTTATTGTAGAGCAGGAAGAGGAAGAGGGGCAAAGAAATGACAAACATCCCCGCTAAATTCTGACGGGCGTCTATCTAGACTTATTAGTTAGTTAGTATCTCTCTCTACTCCGTACCTTGGGGTTTTCTTACCTAGGGATATGTACATTCTTGGAAGACAAGGCTTGAGCCAGGGATATGATGTCGCTTATGGCCGTTTGAAAAGTCTTCAGATTCCGTACTCGAAGTATATCTATCTATCCTCTCTGTCTCTGTCCACCTCGACCACCAAGTAGTAGTATCTCAGAACCTTCAAGTATACCTACATACCTTAGGTACTATGTGGAGGCGATCTCGATTCCCCCCCCCCCCCCCCCGGCCTGGCCTGGTAATGCATCTACCGGCCATACTACTCTATATAATTCGGAGAACTTACAAGTTACTACTTAGTTAGCTAGCTAGCTAGCTAGCTAGTAGTAGTTGGCTAGTACGAACATTAGTTACAACTTACGACTGTCAGGAGCATGGCCCCGTATTCTAGCACCATGCAGAGTGCAGCGCCACATTGACAGGAGACTACGACTAAGAAAGGAGCCAACGGTGCTGGACTGAAATCCCGTTGATCGTAAAGCACGGAGAATCAGGGTTTGATCTTCTGTTCTCCTGGGTTGTTTCTTCCGGGTTCATATATATATATATATGCGAGGATTTCTTTGTCATTGACATGGGATTCAATACTGATACATGATGATCTGTATACAAATAGATCCGAGTCCTAGACTACAGCTGGCTTGATCCGGAAGTTGGAAATGGTCCTCAAACTGAATTCTAAATTGATAGACATTGCTACCACAAGCATATGTTTGAAATCATTTTCATGGGAAAATAAAGTTTCAGATCCTGCATGGTCTATACTTGCCATGCAGGAGGGAAGAAAACCGGTTTCTATCCAACTCCGGGGGATGTCCACGGACTCCCGTCAGCATTGTACTCCGTATCCAATACACAACGTGGCTGCTGTTAAGAGCAGGAAAAGGAAAAATGTAGCGAAATAGTATGATCCTTCGGCCATTCTGGCCAATTGATCAAGTAACATAGGCAAAGTGAGTAGCCAAACAGAGTAGTGTCACAAGAAATAAATGACAAAGAAGATAACTGGGTAATAACTAAGGGTATACAGTCGTGCTCATCGTAGAATACAGTGCTTTTCTTCTCTGGTCTTATGCGCGATACAGAAAATAAAATTCATGAAAACAACAAAAAAGGGCATTATCGGGCTTCGTATTAGTAGCGACCCTGTGCAAAGGTGGACTGAGGATCCCACTCTCGGGCATTTGCTTGCGATGCGCTTGGGGGTCGAGGACCAGAGAAGCTCATCGATGGCCGCACATACTTGGCGTCGCGCCCGTACTGCTTGAGGTCAGGGCTCATTGTCCTGGAGGTGTAGGTAGGGCTTGGGGATCGCACAACGGGTTCTGGGGTTTTGTAAGATGGTAACCCATTGCTGTTGAGCATTTCGTACGTACGTTTGTCGCTTAGTAGATTTCGAGCGTCGGCAGAAACGAACTCAGGATGAGTTGGGCTCCTGCCTGTAATGAGGTCGATCCAGCCGACAAACATTGACCCGCGTGCAAAGAGAACAAAGTTCCATAACCCGACAAGAGATAAAAGAACCAAAAGCGCCAGAAGGGTTCCTTTCGTTGGTCCAATGTCCGTGGTGTAACCGAAGCACTTTGTCCTGTCGCCGTGGGCTTCCACGAGACAAAGCAGCCATGGCAAGGCGTTCTCGGTATTCGCCGCGGTTGGGCTGAGCTGATTGTCTAGATTCATGAATATAACAGCAAAGACAATGACATTCGCGATGATAACCACCACAAGACAGTTGCTTCTCCACTGCAGCTTCAGAATTTTGCGGATCCGTCGGTAAGCTTGACGAGCAGTCACGGTTCGGATACTCGAGGAATACGATGGCATGCCGGAGCTGTTTGTGGACGAGTTCGTGTCGAAAAGCGACTTGATGTAGACGTGCACGCAGTATCCCATAGTTGCAAATTGCACAAACAGGGCGGCAGTGGCGAATATCATAATAGGAATCCAGTAGTCATGCAGACTGCTTTGGATGTTAATATGGCAAACTTCTCCAAATCGATATGATACTCCGGTCAGGGTGAGCATCACGATTGTCCCGATGATGGGTATGCCCCATCCACAGATAAATGACCCCCACATAAACTTAGTGCCAATGATGACTTCCCAGCATACCTGGAGATGAAAGGCGATAGTACGAATAAAACCTAGGAAGGTTAGCACAGCTTAACACTAAACGGGCCCGGGTTGACATACTCCACACGACCACCACCCATCCTCCGAAAAGCAGCATTGCGCCAGTAAAAGCGCAAGACAGACTGGAGTACATGTCATTGGGTGTAATTATATTGTGGCATTGTTCCGGTTTCACACCAAGAGGGATGATGAAGGCAATCTAGAATCCAGGTTTATTTAGTCCCACATCTAGACACTTTTGAGGCCCTGGCCTAGCTCACCTGCATGCAGCAAATGCCCAACGTGAAACAGATACTCAAATAGTGACGGTGGGTTCGTTTTGCAGGCAAGACCGCATAGGAAACCAGAAGGAAAATGCAGAGAGGTAGTACGGCAACTGAAAGCCAGCTCGCAATTCTCGACTTCTCCTGCACGCCTGAATAGGGTCAGCAACCATAGCGGATAGCTGCCAGAGGGGACGCCAAAGGTACCTTCACCGTAGGTCCATGATGCGAAAGGACATGGCACGCAGCAGGAAACGTTGCCGATTTGCTGGCAGAAACGTCCGCCAATAACTAACCAAGCGTATGGCTGTCAGTATTGTCTATGAGGAGTCGGGGACATCCAGGCGACATACATCCACCAGTCGAAGGAAAGAGATCTTCCTGGTAAAACGGAATCTGGCACTCCCCGTGCAAGTCTGTCCTTGACATCTTGCGCGTCTCTCCGTCTCAACAACAGTCAATTATTTTTCTTCCGCTATGCGTGTTGGGGATGCGATTGAGGTGACTGAGAGAAAGTCGGTCATATCCTGATGAGGAACAGGCAGAGAGGTGTTCTGAAAGGGTTCTAGGACTGGAGGGCCCGTGCCAGAGGCTCGCAGTTGCGCAACAGTTTCGATTGAGCGAAGAAGAGGCGTGACACTTGAGTTATCGCATAGAAGGCCAAAAGGGAAAAAAAAAAGCTCAGGGCAGACTGGGGGAGGGGAGGGGGGAGACATTGTCAGATATACTTAGTACCCAGTACATGGGTACTAATCTCTCCTAGGTCCTAATAAAAGCGGTTTCCGTGGGTTGGATTACCAAAAGACTGGAGGTCCGTTCCTCCAAAGCCTCGACTGCCTGCGGCATTGTCCTAGACGAGCATGATTGGATTTGAGACCTTGTCACGCCTTCAATCACAGGTAGTGGGAAAGAACCCTCGAGGCACTTTGTGACCCATAGCTTAGCATCAAAGGGGTAACCCAGTGAAGTGTGGAGCTGAGATGAAGCGAGTAACCAAAGAATAACAGGACTAAAGTCTCATCGGGGGTTCCAATCAGCCGGAGAGAGAGAGTCCTTGATGCAGTGAATTGGCCAGTAAGAGGAATAAAAACAGGCGATTTGGAACGCTGGGAGCGCTAGACCCAACTGGGAGCGGTTGCTCCTTGGTCACGCCTGGTAATTTTGGTACGGTACATTTTTTACCTGACTGTACCAGAACGTAATTTTGATGCCGTTCGTATTTTATTTACTTTCCTATGTATATCGTTTTTCCTTGATTTTCCTCCTTTTTCTTTTTCTTATTAGACAGGTGTTATCGTGTGATATCCAAATGGGTCCCCTATCCATTGTTTCATACGCTTGCGTTCGTATGACTTGGTCGATGTCCGACTCGTCCGGATCAGGTGGTCTGTGATTATCCCCTAATCTAGTAATCTCTCCACGATGAACTACTTATGTACGATTGATTGATCTCTATATAAGTCTTCGATCTTACGCACGAGTCCAGATTGCCTTTTGGATGCATCATTCAAATCTAGAAGGACTCTATAAAAACAATCCCGCCATAAAAAGGGAATCAAAATCACCGTTGAATTTGTACCAACAGAGATAATCATCTGCTAGAACTCAGTAAATCACCGCATTCTGGCCAGGATGATTTTTCCTGCCAGTATTACTATTTTATTACTCTCAAAATATGAGTATAAACCTCCCTACTGGACGGTTTGGCTGCCGCTAAACTAGGGTGAGTATCAAGTCCTAGGGCTAGTGACACTAATGCTGTTTCCTCCGGTTCTTATGGGAGGGGTATCACACTAAGGCCTCACGACAAGTTGCCCTCTTCTCCAGCCCCTGGTGCCTTACGGTCACCATGGATCTGGCTGGGCACGAGGTGACTGTCGCCTTTCCTTAGCTTTTTCATTATTTTCTCTCTCTCTCTCTTAATATTCCATGGTCGAGCTGACATGACATATGTCGTCGTTTTCCGATAATGACCCCCAAATTCCAAAAGTAATCTGAAACCTGATGATCAGATCCACTGATGAAAGACTTGGTAGACGTTCTCCATAACAGAGTGGGTGGCCAATTCAAGTTCTTTATCACGAGTCAGGCATCGTTGAGGTTCTGAGTAGGTACTCCGGCCTGTCGTCGCTTCAATGTTTCCCGATTTAGCGGATTCGAGCCTCAAGGAAACCTGTTTCACTTTGGTTTTTCAGATAGGCAAGCTATCTCCGAATACTGTATTCCCTGCGCGTCCTCCGTACACATAGCGACTGCATCAGTCTCTCCAGCTTGTCCGAAGTAAGCATCGTCCCATGAAACACACGGGCAAGAATTAGGGTTCCCGACACCCGCACAGCGTCGGCAACCAGAGCTTGCAATTGAGTACTGATTGTCGGTGGATGCCGGCATATCTTCTGGCTTCTAGAAGCAGATTATGATCGGGACATTAATAGCTCAGGACCCATGGCATGTTAAAACTTACACTCACCCTCCGGCAAGCTCCGCTGTCATGGAAAATATGTGCAATTGTTACCTGATAATCCGTGATGCTAGACTCAACTTTGCTGCGAATTCCTCGTTAGACTGTGTCGGATACACGTGGGGATATTCTATTTCAGTCCTCGTGGCCTTGAGAAAATTAATGTGGATTCGGACTTCCCCTGTTTTAAATCTACTTGAATCAGTCCAAATCTAGGTACCTAGATAGGTATCTACCTGGTAGTTTCGTTTAGACCGGGGTATTAATGTGTGAGTATCCTGCGTATCATCTTCGGCTAAATGACCACATTGCTATCAAGTCCTTGGCCAAACGGGGAACGTGTATCTTCTTTAAATAACTACTACGGAGGAAAGCTCCTCACAAGTTAACAGGGGACGAGTACGGAGGATTAGTTAGTAGTTACTAGTACTAGTTACGTAGTTGGGGCAAAAAATCTACAGTCTCAACACAAAAAAATACCATTATCCCTCAAAACCCATCTTATGAGTTATAAGAAAAAGAAAAGAAGAAGAGAGAAAAAATTTCCCCGTCCCCTGGCGGTGGCTGCAGCCACCTGCATCTTACAACTATGGGAAGATATCAGGAGCATTATAGGACAGAAAAGATCTCAATTGTGGAACCACGGCCTCCAATTAACGACGGGGATTTGTCGGTCGTCAAAATTCCTTTGTAGGAAGTACTTTCTTAGTAGAGAAATTATAATCTCTGTATGGAGGACCTGGACCTACTACTAGCTAGTAGAATACATGTTAGATAGTAGGAGTAAAATTATCCAAGGAATACTCCGTACGGAGAGAAAGCATATCAAGTCAAACACAGTAAAAGCACTAAAAACAGAAATTCCCAAATCACCAACAGCTTGGGTATAGATCATTTGCGATCTTCATAGGATCTCCCAAGTTCCCAGAGTCCAGACGGAATGAAGGAAGAGATCATGCCCTTTACGAGTAGTTGATGTCTAAAACCCAATCAAGGAAACATTGCCCTACCACGAAAATACAGGTAAATACCTGGCTCAGCAAGAACGTGTGGAGAGCTTATTGTTTAATATTATTATACCTCAACTAACTACCGTGCCTCCACATTCTCAATCTTCACCTTTGCTGCCTGTATGGCCGATGTACAAGCGCGTGGGCGGCAACATCCCCTCTTCCCCCCCGCCAATCGGGGTCTGGCTCTTGATAATACAGATCACAGCTCGTGGAACTCAGCTGTTGTTGTTTTCCGGTATCTCATTCGGATTCTAGATCCTGTATCGTATCCAACATTCAAAGGAAGAAAGCAAAAGTAGCTGACTGCCCCGCAATACAGTGTGGACAAACAACCTCCAGCTCAGCCCCAACCTTTGATGGTAATATGCACCGTCGATATGATTTGACAACTCAATACGAAAGCGCTACACTGGTTTTTCCTTGGGGATCGAATACCGTTGCGTCCCTCACTCCCCGATAAACCCCGGGATATATACCGAGAGTGTGTGTCTTGCTTCTCGTACCGGGTGACTGGTCTTTTCCTGCCCCTGAGAATATCTCGAGATACTCTACGGAGTAGAAAAAAAAAATCCAAACTCGAGCGTCACAGCCCACATTAACAACCGATTTGTGATACATCGCCAGACGAAAGCAAACAGCCCACCTTTGCCCGCGTTGCCACCGCTTCCTCTGTTGATTCGAATACCGCTCCTGGCTCAAAATAGACCGCCAGAACATTCGAGGTAGGAGGTATCTTTGTAAGACGGATGTTTCCATGTTAAGTTACTCGTAAACGGGCCGTGACTCGTGCGTCACTGATCCGAGCTGTCTGCGGGACACTGCATGCCAAAACCTATAGGTCTATAGGTACTATACTATGCCAGTCCACGTTCATGGGCAGAAAAGCAAGTGCCTGATAAACGGAACAGATATCTAGCTAGCACGACAATGATGACAATCATACTGCTACATGCGCGGACTTGCAGGACGGTTGTTTTCCTGGCTATTGCGTACGATATGCGAACCCACTTTTTGCCTGCAGGAGAAAATGAAGGGGAAAGAGCGGAGTATACGGAGTATGCCTCTCTGCAGCATCCTCCTGTTCTCCTGTTCTCCTGTTACGTGTCTTGTGCGTGGCGGAGAAAGAGGGGCAGTATGGCATTATAATGCTTCTTATTCTAAATAGCTAAAGACTTGATGTAGGCCATTCCTCCTTACTCAGGATAATGCAATCATACGCAATTGCCAATAGCATATAGACTGACCATCGGCAGGCTACTTCAAGGACTCTGTCCGAGCATCCAGCATAGTGCGGCACATTTCGCAAAACTCCACTGTGCCAAACCTTGCAGACTCCAGAGACATCAACGCGGATTTACATTACTTGACGACACAGGCATGGATTCCTCGCGAGCAATCACACCGCAAGTCCGATATAAATAACATCACAAGACGGCAGCCACCCGAGCTCTCTCTACCCGTGCACGACGCTCGTTTCGGCCGTCCCGTTGCTTCGGCCGTGCATCTCAACAAGCGGTAATATTGGCCCAAGAGCCGGAACGAAAGCCAGATTCCCGCGTAAGCTATATTCCCAGACATGGGGTCTGGCATACGGCTTGCTTCTTCAACAAAAATAAGCATTTGGCATTGACGCCGGAAAACAAGAGCGCATGGGACAGCAGCTGAATAATTTCATTTTGTGTACGGCTAAGCTATCTGTACTAAAATTGGGAATTCGTAGGACAAATTCCCCTTGGGAGGTAGTAACCAGAACCTAACTGGAAACAACAGTCAGTATGTTTCCGAAAAGCAATTGCTGAGCAGCAGAAAAAGGTATGTGAGGAGATCAGAAGTCCGGTTAGATCATCGAGATAGACCACAAGGATCTACCGCTGACATAAGAGGTACCAGAAAAAGAAATGAAAAGGTTTTATTTCATCATTGAAAGAATCGAGTAGAGAAGAAAAAATACATCAGGGGAAGCTTACCTTCAATGTCTGTAGCCGCGAATACCCTATGTCAGTCAGTCAAGGTGTACACGAAGAGCTGCATAATGCTCCAGCGATCATGCTGAAATAACTGTCTGTTCAGCGAAACAAAGTGCCATAAACAAAGAACCGACGTTAGTAGTTGTAATGAGATGAAAACAAAAAAAAAAAAAAATAGTTAAAAAGGTTAAGCGAATCCCGCACACACGTGACCCACAACACCACGTGACGCACTATCCACAATTCCTCGCACTTTATTTCCTCCGCCTAAATTGAACTTCCAAATTTTCGACTTTTGCGCACACTCACCAGCCGTCGACAATCACACCGTCCGACAACGCCAAAACACATTCAAGATGGGTCGTCTTCACTCCAAGGGAAAGGGCATTTCGTCCTCCGCTCTCCCCTACTCTCGCACTCCTGCCGCCTGGGTTAAGACCACCCCCGACCAGGTTGTCGAGCAGATCTGCAAGCTCGCCAGAAAGGGTGCTTCCCCCTCCCAGATCGGTGTTGTCCTCCGTGACAGCCACGGCATTGCCCAGGTCAAGACCGTGACCGGTAAGTAACACTCGTTGTTTCGTTCTTTGCCTGCGAATCCACCGCTAACTGAAAACAGGTAACAAGATCCTCCGTATCCTGAAGTCCAACGGTACGACACCACCACCACCACCAGTATTCGTAGTCCCACCTGTGCCAGTGAGGTGAACAAGAGACTGTGATGCAAGAGAAGCAACAGCTGCCGGCGGTAGTCGGGAAATGAAAAGAAAACAAAAATTCATGCAGATGGAGACCGGTAACAGGTTGATAATTCATCAAGATGAAAAATTTTCCCCCTCTATCATGCCGTGGTCTCGAGCTTCTGTTGCAGCCAAAACACATCTCGAGTATTCTCTCCTGGTTCAGGAGCAAAAGGCAATTCTTCCGCAACTTGCAGAAATGCAAGTTGCGAATTGAATCCTTTCATGCCATATATCCAATTTTATATATGCCTCTGCTTGGTCAAACAACAGGCTGACAGAGTGATTTTTTCATGTAACAGGCCTTGCCCCCGAACTCCCTGAGGATCTGTACCACCTTATCAAGAAGGTAATTATTTTATGCCCTTTCCCGGATTTCGAGTTCGGGTTTGTTTTCTTTTTGCACTATGCTAACTTAATCCACACAGGCTGTTGCTGTCCGCAAGCACCTTGAGCGCAACCGCAAGGACAAGGACTCCAAGTTCCGCCTCATTCTCATCGAGTCCCGTATCCACCGTCTGTCCCGCTACTACAAGACCGTCGGTGTTCTCCCTCCCACCTGGAGATACGAGAGCTCCACCGCCAGCACCATGGTCGCCTAAACGATCGGCAACCCAATTGTTTAGCAAAAACCGTTGTTACCTGGTGTGATCGGTTCGTCGGTTCCAGGATCCCGCCGCTCTATCATTTCCTCCTATGCGCTGTTTCTCGTTCTGGAATGGACGTTTTCGGCACGTAGGTGAGCCAGGCAGGCGCCCATTAGCCCCAGCGGGGGGGGGTTGGATCAGTATTTAGTCTTGGCTAGATGTCCGATTTGCCTGTGATCATGGCCGCGAGTCTAAAATTAAAAAGAAAAAAAACTCTTACACACTACATTTACTTGTTTTTTTTTTATGTAGACACCGTAGATTGATGTATATCGCATCAACTTGACACGAATATCTATCATTATGTATGTATGTACGCATTTTACATCGCACTACCTCACCTCACAACCCTGACCTCCCTTGCAACAGCATTGCAAAGCTCAACCTTCACGCCGGCACCCACCAAAACATGAATCCACAGCCTCTGGGTATCGCTCAGCCGATCATTCTCCGACTTGACTTCCACAAACATAACCTCTTTCCGATCGACGCTCCAAAGCAAGAGATCCGGGATCCCGCCACCACGCTGCCGGTACTCCTCTGCCATGATCTTGCATATCACAGCGAGGGCCTCGCCGCGGAAACACTGCACGATCTCCACGAGGTCGTCAAGCTGAAATGCCCAGTCGATGCCGATGGCGCAGGGCTGGCGCGCGGAGTGTCGGGCGTGGATATCACGGACGATGCGCTCGGAGCCCCCGTTCGTGATTTCCACGAGGCGGTGGTTGATCTCGGATGCGCGCGAGGGGTAGAAGGCGTCGGTGTGCAGGTCTAGCGGGCAGGTTTGGAAGACGGTCTGGAATACATTGGGGACGTAGGTGAAGATGATGTCGTAGAAAAGGTAGCCGAACTTGGGGCTTGTTAGCGGTGACGTATCATGTATGTATAACTAGCTGCTATTACCAGCTGGATCTGGGGAATGATGATGTTTACTAATGTCCGAACAATGCCTCCTTCGGAGTGATGTCCTTTCCAGCCGTGGTCTCTATACCAGCTTAGACACATGCTTTCGACCCTGCACTCGCACTCGCCGCTTCCTTCTCTCTCGTCTATCCAGATCGTAGGCCCCGTGCGCTTGGGGCCGCCCTCTTCTCTCCTTGCGCTTGCGGGCCCCTTGGGGGCGGGCGGTGGTTCCTCGCGCTCGATGCGTATCCCCTCGACCGTGCGTTCGTCGGGTTTTATGAGCGCGACGTGGCCGAAGTCATGCTGTTCTCGTTTGACGATTTTCAGCGCTCTTTCGAGCTTTCGGATCCGTTTTTGGAGATCGTAGTGGTAGATCAAATGGCAGCACCGGTCTTCCAGGGCTTCTTCGCAGGTTCGCAGCGCAATCCGTTTCCAATGCTTCCTCTGTGCGTCCTCGCTGCGTCCTTCAGAGGGCATCAGGCTCCACATGTAGTGCTCCTCTAAAAGGGCTTTGCGCTGATACCAGGCACCCCTTCGCGCGGGGTGAAACAATCTCTGGGTCAGTAGTTCGGTCAGAAGTCTATGCTCTTCCTTGTATTCTTTAAACCGTCCAAGGGGGTTGAGCCCCTTGTGAAGGATTCGGGTATAAACCCAAGCCGGGGAAAAGCGACGCAGATATGCGCCTTCGCCAGACTCGTAAATAGTATCTTCCTTGCGTTGCTCTTCTTCGAGCAGGATTCTCCACCGTGGATAGGCAGTGTCTGCGAGGTTTTTGATCTCCTCCAGCCGCTCTTTCTGCGGGGCCCCGTTGAACTCAAGGATATTGTCGATTCTAAACTGCGTCCGTAACGCGGATTCGAATTCCAGGAGGACTTCTCGAGAGGGGAAAAGTGAGCCGGACCGACAGACAACATATTCGGGAAAATTCCTGCGGGATATTTTGGCGAGGATGATGGTTGTGAGGGATTTGTCGGTCCATTCGGTAGACCGATAGAAGACCAAATGCACCCTCTCAAAAAGAGCGCGAGGGCCAGAGGCAAGACGGATGCAGTCGCCTGTGTAGTCGAGAATTTTCGCCATAAAATGTTCCTCTCGATTGGAACTCGATGCACCAGAATTCCACCCAAGTCCGGTCTGTTTCTGGCTTGAATCATGCAAAGCTGCAATCAGCTCCTGTTTACTCTTCCCTTGTACCCTGGCCTCTTTCCCAAGAACTTTCAGTTCATCAAGGAGTAGTAATGACGACGCTTCTTCTAAAGTAGTAATCTGATCAATGGCATCCGCGAATCTGAATGCCCCATCCAACCCCAGGTCGGTTGGTGGAACCTTAGCATCAGCGGGTTCCGCATTCTCATCGACAAGCGGAGGTGAAGTAGAAGAAAGGTTCCTCGTTTTCTGGAGGTCCGTTACCACACGCGGTACATCGGCAATATCCGAGTAGTAGCCCAATTTACTGACACGATGCCACGCCGAAGTCTTGCGTAGGAAGAGACGAACGTATCTAGAAATGTCAGCAACACGAACACCAAGCTCGATCCCCCGCCGCAAATAGAAAAAAAAAAGAAAGAAAGAAAGAAACATACAAATACTGCGACTCATAAGACAACTCCTCCCAATGCCGGAAAATTTCTCTTTCAATCTCGTTGAAAAGGTGCGCCTCCTCCGCAAGGACAGTCTCCAGCGCAAGATTGAACGCATCCACATAGATCGAGCTCTTTCCCTTTCGCCACTTTCCATTCTGCATCCTTTGCTGCAGCGAGTCCTCCTCCTCCTCCTCCTCCTTCACTCTCTGCGAAGATTCGTATTCCTCGATCGCTCGGCTATCCGTCTGCACAGTAGGAAGGGAAGACTCGAGCTCAGTTTGACTATTTGGAATGTCGTGCTCCTCATCCTTCACCGGTACCTCCGCCTGCTCTTCATCCGCAGGAACTAAGGATCTTGCATCGAGAGCCTTCTCTCTGGGACTCTCATCCGAAAGAGAATCGTTGATATCGTCCTTTTCAATTTGCGGCGTGGATTGCTTGGGATCGGGCGTCGATACTTCGGATGTGGTTTTTTGGCGCTTTACAGGCGGGCGCTGGGTGTCCCAGTAGTCCAGGAGGGACATCTTGTTGACCGTCACGAGGGCATCCAAAGTCGCGTCCTATCGACGCATGTATATACTATCGACGCATGTATATATCTTTTCAGCAGGGCGCCAGCAGTGTCTATCTTGCTGCAACTCAACCCAACGGAATCAACCTTCCACACCAGAAAAGAAAGACAAAAATATACAAGAGAATGAATCAGAGAAGCGCCAAATGATCTGATTAGTTATGTATTGTATCCTCATTTGTCAAGCGTCCAGACGAGAGAAAAGCGATGTGATGCGTAGGGCACGTGCCGGCGAAACACGAGATCACCTGATCAATCTCCCTGCCTGAGGGGAAACACCCAGGCATCAATTCTGACAAAAGATAAAATCATGAATCAGCGCTGAATTATTCTAGAAAATACCTATATTTCCTTGATATTATTATAGGCGATCAATTTCGTACATATACACATATATATACAGCTATCAAACACCATGGCGGACGTCCCGGTAAGTCTAGTCTTATCCTCTCCGCCCTCAGTGCAGTATACATAGTACGTACTGCCCGAGATTTTGAATTCAGTCATTCATTCTGTGTTGTTCCATTCCTCACTCTTTCTTTCTTCCCTTTCACTCTAGCAACCCACACAAAAACCAAAAAAAGAAAAGAAAAGAAACCAAATCCATTGCCTAATTGCTACAGTCTCCCCTCCCAACTCTCCCGCCACTATTGCAACACCTAGACCCAGATCATCCTCCCCCGTCGATCGCAAGAACAGCAACACCAACACCAACACCAACACCAACACCGGTCCTCACAATGGCAAACGATTCAACCCCTACAAGCACAGCCGCAGGCGGAGCAGCGAATACCCCCGCGGCGGAATCGAATGTCTCCGCAAATACGCCCATGCGACCTGGAGGCGCGCCGGCTCGTGTGTACATGAACGAGAAGATCGTCCCGTATCTCTTGGAAGGGATGAAGAATGTTACGAAGGAACAGTATGTTTTTTTTTTTTTTTTTTTTTTTTTTTTTACCCATTGGTATCGATTGTTTTCTTTAATGAAGAAAAGAAAGAAAGCGGGAGGGGAGAAGGGAATAAATACTGCGCTTGTTCATTGATTCTCTGATAGATGGATGAGACTAATCTAATGCTTCGTGCTTGATAGACCTCCCAATCCTCTGCGCGTGCTGGGCGAATTCCTCATTCAGAAGAGTAATGAGGTGGAAGGTGCACCGTCCGGGAAGACTCCCGAGTAATTAATTGGTCCACTCGTTTTCCAAAACTAGAAAGAAAGAAAAAACAAAAAAAAAAAAAAAGAGAGAGAGAGAGAGAGAGAGAGAGAGAGAGAGAGAGAGAGAGAGAGAGAGAGTGGGAATGTATGTGAGAGTGTGAGAGACAGGGGGTTTCTACTCTTTGTTGCTGGTCAGCTAGAGGTATAGTTAGCCTGTCTACCATCCTCCTCCTGCCTCCCGCTTCCTGTCTGCGTGTGATGATTTCGCACTCTCGAGCTGCTTGTGGCGCCTTGTCGATTCTTCTTTGCGCGCTCGGGGTGACACTATTATGGCCATTTCGGGTTGACACGTCGATTGAGTCCTCGGTCCACCAGGAGGGTCAATGAGCGAGGAAAGCATTGGAATTAGGGGGCATGCTGATCTCTCGCTTGGATCATAATAGGGATCCTGCCAGGGTTTGTATACTAGCGGTAAATGTCTTAATGTTGAGATATATAATGGGACCTATTCCCCGGCAAAGCTAGGTTTATAGCACCACTAACATGGCAGATTTCTCAAGGCTGACTACGATGCCCTAAATAACTATGCTACTGAATGCAGGTGTTGTGACCAAAAACTTCCATAGAGATTTGATTACGAACAGGCAGCAGATTCGGATTCAAACCCATGATGATATGCCAGTAGATGTGACCCCCGAAGTTGTGACATGCAGGTGCAAAAATGTTGTCCTATCTGTTAGTGACTGGGAGGACCTACTCAATCAGCGTCCACAGCGACCATTGTAGAACGGAATAAAGCTAAATGAGTCGGTTTCCAGGCACTCGGACCACAGCTGAGGCCTACCCGGAAAGAATACTTGCCCTGCTGGGGATTAGCTCTGGCTTATCATCACCTACCGTTCAGAAGAATAATCGCACTGCTAATCCTAGATGGCAAGACATTCTGGAAGACAGGGGTTCAGCCAGGGTTCTTGCGCAAAGGTGCCGCAATGCCTCTCTGGCCATGGATAGACTTGACTCCGGAATTACAGTGACTTGTCTGAAACGTCGACATCTAAGGGTGAAAGAAAAGGCTGTCCTCTGGCTGGTACTACAGACACACAAACAACGGTATGGCGGACTGGCGAATTATGGCCGGACTCCATGTCATCTGCTTGTTTGAATGCGGGCGAAGGAAAAGTGTTTGGCAAAAGTGAATGGCCTGAAGACAGATTTTAATGTGTTCCTGGCCGAATACAATCGAGTCGTTACGTAGAAAAGGTGTATAAGACGCAACAAAGGCGAACAGCTGACTAGCGAGATAACGACCAAGTTTCCGGTAGAGTTGAAAATGAAGCAGTGCTGACCATCTGACAATCCGAGGAATTACAACGTTAATAGAAAAATCCTGCTCTCTTTTCCCTGCCGCCAAAAGATTCCGGTGTTTCGAGCGAATCAACAAAAGAAAACATCAGCTTGCGACCGAAGAGTGACGACCATTTCCCCTTGTTTCCTTCTCTTCTTCTTGCGTTTTATTCTTTTAGAAAAGGGCGATAGCTGGATGGTCGCAAGGCTGACGGCGTTCCGATTTCGCCGACATGACATGTAAACGCGAAGACGACTTTTTTTTCCCTTTGATAAGACAACATAAATGACGCCCCACCGTTGGCCCGTCGAGATCAATCCCAATCGAAGGAGGGAGTGTTGAAAAAAAAAAAAAAGAAAACCCATACCAAGGAACATAAAAAAGGGGGATGAATGGTTACAGATTCAAGGGGGGGGGGGGGGGGGGAAGGGGTAAAAAGAAAAGGAGACAAAGCCTGGGAACGACGCGGGGGGGTGTGTATGTCGGTAGACGTAGGTAAATTACAGACCCTTAATCGGTAGACTGACACATTGTGTCCTACCTTCCGGCGTACCGATCTTCACGGGGGTCGTAAGAGCGGCCGGGATAAGGCTCGCGCGAAGGAGCACCATGGCCGTAACTGGGAGGGTTAGCATCACGGTCATAGTAGCCACGGCGCTCTTCACCACCACGACGTTCCTCGCGGCGTTCTTCGCGACCGTAACGTTCCTCACGGCCGCCAGATGCATACCGGTCACCACTGCGATAGCCACCGCTGCTGCCTCCGGCACCACCGCTGCCACCACTACCACCACCGCCACCACCACCAGCGTAATCATCACGGTATTCACGACGGCCACCGTAGTCACCACCGCGGTAATCACGGCCGCCGTAATCACGGCGATCGCTGTAAGAGTCGTAGCGCCCGTAGCGGTAGTCGTCGTTACGACGCCAGCTTCCGCCATAGGCGCCACGACGGTCATCGAAGCGGTCACCACGGCCACCGCGTCCTCCACGGAATTCTGCAGATTTGGAATGTTAGAAGAAAAAAAAAAAAAAAAAAAAACTAGTACCTCTCAATGAAAATACTCACCACGCTTGGGGGGGCCAAAGTATTTGCCGGGGGTTGGGGTTCTGGGACGGCTGCGGCGAGCCTTTTCGATGCTCAGAGTTCGGCCTTCGATAACCTCGCCCTGCAAACCCTCCTTAGCAGCATCTGCTTGCTCAGCAGTGACCATCTTGACGAAGCCAAAGCCACGAGACTCCTTGGTGTGAGGATCAAGCATGATGGAACAGTTCTCAACATCGCCGTATTTCTCGAAGAGTCGCGAGATATCCGATTCAGTCAAGCGTGGGTGAATGCCAGTAACGAAGAGGTTGGAGCCAGTGTTGAGGGCCCCTTCCTCATCATCATCGAGAGGCGGCTTACGAGAATCAGGAGGAGCACTGCTAAATTTACACATCAGTATATGGCTCATAAAAGATGTCACTTTCTCTCTCTGCCTCTCTCTTTCTATACTCTCCTAGAATATGCATTGAGGAACTAGAGATCGTAACATACCGTTCATCAGCGCGACCGTTCGGGGAACGGCTACGGGTACGGTCAGCACGCGGCTCATCCCGGGGAGATGCGCTGCGATCGCGAGCGAAACGAGGCTCGTCTAAAAAGGAGTGAAAACAAACACAGGTTAGTAAATTTTTGCTTTTTTTTTTTTTTTTTTTTTTTTTCTTTTCTTCTTTCATCATTTTCATTCTTTGTCTTTTTCTCATGGCTTGAAAACATAACCACCAGACTTGCTAATGGTAACGAAGCATTGTACGTACCATCATAACGGCCGTTCTCGTGGTCGTATTCTGTGGCCATGGTGACGGAAATCGTAAAGCGAAGATGAAAAAAATAGATTAGAGATGATAAGAAAGAGCCGAATTCAGGCTACGCGGAAAGAACGCGCGCGACAGATGGTGTCACAGAGCGCTGGGGGTGTTTGGGGAAGGAGAGCAGAAAATTCCGCCACAGACACGAGGAAGAAAATAAGCTGGAAAGCCGTGACCCGGGGGTTGGCTAATGGAACAGAAGAAGTTGAGTCCCTACACGATGAAAAGGAGAAAAGGAAATAAGATAGAGAGAGAGAGAGAGAGAGAGAGAGCGTGAGGAGGAAGAGGAAGAAGAGAAGAGAAACAGGAAGGGATGATGAGAGAAGTTGGTTGGCAGCTGATGATGAAAGAAGGGGGAGCGCTGCCTCAGGCTCCCACGTTGGTGTAGTCAGCAGATTCCACACCTCAAAAGTAAGGCTGCCAAGCCTCACTATGGCCGACAAATCCGATTCATGGGATGGATTCATTATCGCGTGGGTTGTATCTCTCGGTAAATTAACATTTAAAAAAGAAGAAGAAGAAGAAGAAGAAAGAAATATTGCTCTAATTAGGGGATGGAATTGTGAGCAAACGCCGGTCCTTCCAGAGATATAGGTAGATCCTCCGCATCTCAAAACACCACACACAAAATCACAGAATTAATAAAAATATGAAAAAAAAAAAGCGACCCATTTATTTAAATCCCCTCCACCGTCGCCGCGTGCGATGGACTTTCACCCCTTGTTCTCCGCCGGGGCCATCGCGGGTGCCGTGGGTAGAGGAGGTTCCCCCCCCAGCGGTTCCGAGAGACCCTGCGAGCTCGTCATCTCCAACCAAATCCTTCAATTCGTCCTCGTCCAGCTCACTTAATTCCTCACTCATGCCCCGCATGACCTCTCGGCCCGTCCAGCGCTCTTCATGGATAGTGGTTCCGATAGGATCAAAGGGTTGCATATACCATAGGATGCCTCCTTGGGATAGAAGGTGTTGTTGGTCCCCTTGGAAACTTGGAGGGGGTGTCAATGGGCCCTTCTGGGTTTCGGCTGACGGGCGAACGATGCGTAGATTGGCTTCAGCCGATTGGGTGCTTGCTTCCGTGGCGGTTGACTGAGTATGAAGAAGGGGGGGTGCGGTAATAGAGGTCTCGCCATGATTATGGTTGGTGCTCGATGCATCCGTTAAGGGGGTGGCATCCGTCATGACCGTATCCACCACCTGAAAATCAGCCGGTCTCTCAGGAGCTTCTGCCTGACCACCGGCTTCAGATATACCTGCTACGGTTGTGGGTTCTGTCATGGGCTCATCATGCGTCTCCAATTTCGCAGTCACCTCGTTCTTCTCATCCTCAATATGTTGGGCGTGGCCGTTCGCAAGGTCAGCATTTTCGGGACTCACCAAAGTCTCCTCTCCCACGCGCTCTGCGGCATCAATTTCGGAGCCTCTTCCGGACAAGACGCTATTCTCAAGCATGACATCCAAGTCTTTCAACTCCTGTTCAAAAGGCTTGCGATTCAACTCGCTCTCTTTTCGGATGGCATCCTCGAGAGCGGGCTGGATCGATTTGATGATTCGCTTCGCCATTTTCCGTTTTTCACGCTGCTCGAGACTTAGTTCTGGAGCACGGCCACTGATTTGCATCTGAAGCTCGGCGGTATCCCCGGCTGGTTGCACTCCGATTTCCGACGTAAAAACACTGGCTAGATGAGCCGAGAAGGAGGAGACGGAGGGATAATAGCGCTGCTCCAATTTTGTGCGTATAGCCGACAGCCCATGTCTGAAGATACCTTTGCTATCCAACCTGAGATAATCGTTAGCCGAAAACAAATGGAAATAAAGGGTGGGTAGTTTGGCGGGTGAATGACTGCTTACACTTGAGCCTTTTCAAAGATGGGCCAGAGCAGGGGGAAAATCGGGAAGTAGACGATATCGACCACGCTCCGAAGAGTCTCAGCATCCTTGAGCTTCTCCCTCTCACGTTTCTTCACCTCATCGCACAGCATCCGTAGGCGATCTAGGTCGTAGTACAGCCGTTCTCCAAACTCGATGCGTCGCTGGAGTCGCTTATTTCCGGTCACCCCCATAGCAACGTAATCTCTCCGGGTCATCTCCATGGAGGAGAATGTCTCTAGCTGTAATTGTAGCCGTTTGAGAAGGGCGGCACCTCTTCGTGCCTCTCGCTTCAAGGTCCAGTACTTACAGGCGTCTTCCGCGTATTGCTTTCTTTGACGCACACCAAAGCGCTGGAGCGAGGCCACAACCGAGTTCAGAACAACTTGAGGTATAACAGGCGCGCCCGATGGTAACTTCCAGATGGTACGGGGGACCGTAGGCCGCTTTCGTTTGCTACCTCCAACGGTCAGGGTAATGCGGGGAGTATGGGTCCGTTGTCCATCGTCATCTATGGGATCGCCGCTAAGCGGATGATGGGCGGGTTCTAAGGATAGCGCAGCCGCTTGGCTGTCGCCCCACCGACGACCCTGCATGGTATTGCGATAGTATTCAATAGCATCCGCAGTCGCCGCATCGGTCCCATGCTCCCGACGCCACTCCGGCGGAACGTGTTTGTCGCAGAAGGCTTTGAGCAGATGCGAGTCCATCACCGCGAGGGTCCCGTGGCCGGATTTCATTTTAAGGTAGAGCTGGGCTCGTCGCGCACACGTCACATGGAAAGCCACAAAGCAGTTCTTGTTACTGCACTGAATGGATGCGCCCATTCGCTGACGGCAAATATAGCACTGAAGCTTCCAGCGGCTCCGGGGGACCTTCTCGATGTCGGTGATAGGCTCCATTAGAGACGGGTTGCCAATCGAAACTTCAGGAATCCACATTGCGCAGAGAAGATGGGACCATTTGGAGGTAGTCGTTTGTTTAAAAGCACCTTCAGTATTCGGGCAGAAGATACAATTGACCGAGCCCCTTCCGATAAGCTGGCATTTGCGACATAGCCACTGGCCCTCTGGAATAAATGGAACGCCGTAGCACTCTTGGTGAACCGCCAGGTCACAGCCGTCACAGAACACAATTGCGTTGGAGTTTTCACAATCGCCATCGTCGCAGATAGCGCATTTGCTGTCTTGTTCCTCCCCCGGCCCTGTGGTTTCGCCGTTAACAGCAGCAGCGGAGCTGGAACGCGGGCGATGCGTTTGCGGTGGCTTGGGATTCGGTTTGGGGATGCGTTTCTCGAGACTATACCATTCCTTCTCGATCTTGGTCATGGTGATTTCAAAGACCGCAGGCTTGATCGGTTCAAATTGGTCCTCTCGTCGTTTCGCGTTGTATTCCTCGAGCCATTTCTCATCTTGCTCATCCATATCGTATTCCACCCGACCCACGGCGGCATTCACCTCTCCCTCACTTGCCACTGGATGCGCAATATCGAGATCGTCATCCTGTGCGCCCTCAGACATCCGAATCAAACGGCGATCGTGACGGAGGAAGAGATCGCTCTCTTGATATCCCACGCTCGCCATCGTTCGGTCCACATAATTTTGCTGACCAACACCTGGCTGGTCATAGAAAGTAAAGGGGTCCCGTAATCGAAATGAGGGTTTGGGAAGGGTCAACTTCTCGCGGGGATTGGGGCCCGGTGGCGGAACGACTTTGGGTTGGGGCGTCACACCGAGCGCTTGCAAAATAGCCTCCGGACGGCGCGGCGGACGTCCAGGCCGCCGCTTGATCGGGGTTGGGGAGGTGCCGTTAGTATGGGCCCGAATCAGCTCCGCGATGGGGTCCTTTTCACCGCTCTTTTCAAGGCCATTCGGGGATAATATATTGGCCAGCTGCGCCGAAGGTGGAGGACGATCCACTTCTGTGGAAGGGAAAATCGCAAACTTGGCATCAATATCAAGTTCCGGATGGAACTCCTCCCAACCACGCTCTTCTCGTGGCTTGTACCCATCCCCCTGTTGCAACGCAAGCGCGGCCGCGGTGGATGATCCGAACCGTCCACGGTTCTGGCTCTTCTCTCTCCTTAGACGCGCCGACGGCGGTGTCGTTGGGGCAAGGGGTGGTGGTGGTGGTGGCGGCGGCGGCGGCGGCGGCGGCTGCGGCGGGAGTTGAACGGGTTGCAGAGGTGGTTCGGCCTCCTTGGTTTGACGGGTTCGAGAGCTAGATGAGCTCCGTCTCTTTATGGGGCTCGATTTCGGTTTCGGTTTCGGCTTGGGCTTGGGCGTCTCCCTCACCTCGAGCTCAATATATCTACCTCCACCGCCAGGACCCCCGGGAACATACTTTCGTTTCTTGAGGGGCGGGCCTTCGGTGGTTGTAGGGTCCGACGTTGCTGGGGCCTGGACGGAGGCCTTGGGGCCATTTTTCTGAGGCTTTCCAGGGGAACCGCGAAACTTCGAGGCAGAATAGGGCGCCATTTCCGAAGGTAAGTGCAGAGCAGTAATGACAATGCTTAGAGTTGGGGAAGGGGGGCGAAGAACGACTGTTGTTGAACCGGGTGCCGCTTATCTGGTGTCCAGACTCAGTTCAATGAATAACAACGCAAAACAAATGGCAAATCATAGGAAATGCCACTCATGACTGGGAAAGACAGGGCGTATGGCAGATGCTAGCTAAAAGGAGAGCCAGCAGGCCACAGGAGCAGCACGCGAGGAGGTGGAAGTTGGTGTTCTTTGGGGGGCGGATGGTTGTGTACGGCGCGATGCAGTTGGAGGATGGTTGCCAGTGATGTTGGCCTGGGGCATCCAAGTCAGCTGGGGCGTGTTGCTGCCTGAGGCAAATGTGCGACCCCGTATTCCATGAGCCAGAAAGGTACTGGAGCTTACTTTTATAACTATAAGTTAATTTATGATTATTTTATGACAGCCCTACATCTCGAGCACTAATAGCGTCACTCTAACTTCTTATCAAGCAGGCTTCGCTTACGCATCAATAATACTCTACAGCCACTAAAGAATATGAAGTCACTGTGTATATGATGTTGAAGTACAGAGTAACTGTGAGCACTTATTAGTGTGCAAAAACAATCACTCTATTCGGATCTATGGCTCTATCATTCAAGTGCGACAAGCAGCTCGGGAATTCTAGGTGTTCCAAAAGGAGAATTGGCTATATGGCCGTGTCTACTGCGACTTGATGGCGTAAGTTCTGCGATAGACTTCGTCGATGCTCTCCAGATAATATGTGCCAGGTGCCAGCGAGGTGACGTCGCCGACCGGTGTGTAGCTCTTGCTTCCATAGGCCTTGAGGCGGAGGGCACAGGCCTTGATAGGTCAGTCTCCAAGATGGTCTTGATTCAAATGTCCAGATGTCAAGACGTACCTCTTCATATTCCGCTGGGGTTGCGATGTACCGCTGCTTCATCTCTCGAAAACACTCTCCGAGTCTCTCGGTGCAGAGCCCGATCACGCCCACTCCCAACCAAGCGGCTTTCTAGAGGCTGTCGAATGCATCGCCTCGGAAAACGAGGATTCTAGCTGGACAATCAGGTCTTCTCGCGGAGAAGGAAGTCCCATGTCCCTGGGACGCTGGCTCGGAAGCCGCATGGATACTGCTCGTTGATGCCATCCTGCTTTTCACCTTCTACGCCACGGTTCTTTGCGTGAAATTGGAGGTGATGCGGATCCGGAGCCCAGTGCGGTCGGCCCAGCAAAGAAATGAGGCCTCGTTAAATGTACAGTATAGTGCAAGATAGTTATAGAACCCGAAGAATAAAATCGAATTCCACCCGATCAGACGAGATAGATTAGCAGTGGTTGATGAAACAAGCGGCGGTACCTGTCGTTACTCGTACTAGTTAACTAGTGATAAGTCGGATTTTGGTAACTAATACAACAACATTCCTTCCCCTAGTTTAGTCAACTCATCTCAAGACGACCGGTTTCCCACCTTGATTCGGCGACAATGAGTGGCCCGGCTGAGGAACGGTAAGTACCTAGACCCCTTTCTTATTTATCCATTCCTGGTTGAAGTTCTTTTGCTTTCATCTCTAACCCGCTAACTCTCGACCTAGATGGCGCGGAGCCGCCCGTCCATACGACCCGAACCGCCAATCCTCACGACACCCGAATCCACGGAATATGAGCGCACATGGCGGGCTCCGTGGAGGACACCAACCCTCGCACGCCCCTAACAACACCAGTAACAGCACCTGGGGTGACGCGCGGGATCCCTCGTCAGGACTATCCCAGGAGCCGCACATTCCCGTACGAGGCTTCAATGCCGCCGAAGCCAAGGCGGCTCTGAAAAAAGGCATGTTGTTGCCGCTTTGGTTACTTTGTGTTCTGAAGCATCCCCATCCCATCCTATAACTATAGTAGTCCGTCTGTGTCCGTCTCTTGCTAATTTCTTCCTTAACTAGGCCCAGGAGGTAATATCCAGACCCGACCCGACCCGACCCGACCCTCTAGAATTTCAACGATTAACTGTGTGTGTGTGTGTGTAGCGTCCAAACCCTTCTTCTACAAGCTTCAAGCCAAAGATGCGAATCACCGTGCGAGTGGACCGTGGGGGTCGAAAGGTACGTTACGTTACCTGCCTCCTCTTTCCAAAAAGGAAACAGACAGACAGACAGACGGACAGACAGACAGACAGACAGAAAGAAAGAAAGAAAGGATGAAAAAGATTCGCTAATGCCGCTCAACAGCCAACGCCATGGCCAACGGAAAGGACTTCTTCCTCGAGCTCCGGAAACAAGTCACTGCCCTGCGTCAGGGAGGAAACGCAGCAGGAGGTTGATTGGAACGAGGCGAGACCAACACACTTGAAATATACCTACCGGTCCTACGGGCTTTTGGGGGGGGGGGGTCCGGCACCTAGGAAGAGGGATTTGTCTAGTTGCTGGTCGACTGGATCTCATCTGATGTTTCTCTTGGTGTTTGAGATGGATGGACTGCATTTACTTTAAGGTGGAGTTGCTGATTCTATGGGTAGCTCTGGACGGTGTAAGAAGAAGAAAAAAATAATAATAAAAAATAATGATGATGATGAAAAGGATTGAGTGTAGTCAGTTTCCTACCATGATGAATTTCTACTCCGCGTACATGGTTCTTGTCATAAATTTATACATAATGGCATGCTATATGTACAGTACTAATACAATTCGGAACTCTCTCTCTCTCTCTCTCTCTCTCTATAGTTAGAGAGAGAGAGAGAGAGAGAGAGAGAGAGAGAGAGAGAAAAAAAAAAAAACTGTATTATACAACTCTCCCCCACCCAGTAACCCCCAAGACCCCCCCCCCATCGTCCGCCCGCGGATCAAGAGACCATTTCCGCAGCGCGCGACAAGCTAGCTCCGACCGCCACCCGGCCTCGAACATCTCTATGCCCGCCCACCCGATCATCGCGGCGTTATCCGTACACAGGGCCGGCGGGGGCGCCACCAACCCAACATGGCCGAACCCGCGCACATCCAGAAACGACCGGAGCAGCGCCATGAGGAACCGATTCGCCGCGACGCCGCCACTCACGACCAGGGTGCGGACGGGCGGTGCCGATTCCGAGGGTGCGAGCGACTCAAGGGCGATGACGGTGCGGGAAGCGAGGTGCTCGAAGCAAGTGCGCATGGCTTCTCGGGCGAGGGCGACGCGTTCGTCGTCGGCGAGCGGCTGGTGTGCCTGGGCCTTGCGCGAGAGGATCTGCGAGACGGCCGTGGGCAGGGAGGCGAAGCTGAAGGCGAGCTGGCGGGTTCGCGCGAAGGGAGTCGTCAGGGACCAGCCCCAGGGGGACACTCGTTTGCGGAGTTCGTCGCCGCGGGTGCGGGGCGCGGTGTAGTCGGCGTAGTCGGCGGGCCCGTTGGGGAAGGCGTACTGTTCCAGCAGTGGGCCGTACATGGTTGTTTTGGCGGTTTGGAGGAGGGACTGGGGCAGGATCTCGCGGGCGACTTTGTCGAGGGATTCGCCGATGGCGACGTCGGCGGTGGAGGCGAGGATCTCGTGGTCGGTGAGGGAGGAGGAGCGGACAAGGAGGGAGTGGCCGCCGGAAGCGAGGATCGAGAGAAAGGGGAACTCGGGGGTGATGCTGGTGGTGGTTTGCGGGTCGGGCGAGAGAGCCGAGACGAGTCGAGGGGTGAGGAGGTGCGCTTGCATGTGGTGCACGCCGACGAAGGGGATTTGCCAGGCGACTGAGAGCGCTTTGGCCGTGTCTAGTCCGACGAAGAGATTGGAGCGCATGCCGGGTCCGCGCGTAACGGAGATGAAATCAGGCCTTTGGCGGTTGCCGTCGGATAATGCGATGATCTCACGAGCTTCATTATTGCATTCCGATGCGCGGGGGAGATATGGCAGGGCCTTGTTGACCAGGTTTGCCAGATTTTCTTGGTGCGATTCTAGAGCGCGCACGGGGTGGATGCCTTGGTAGGCTGTCGAGTCGGAGGTGATATTCTCGAGGAAATGGATTCGAGTGGCGCCAGACTGGTTCTTGTCTACAATAGCAACGCAGGTATCATCGCTTTGGCAACCACACCAGTTAGATAAGGAGTGATTGCTTCATCATGGATGGACCGGGCTTACCAGGAGGTTTCAATGGCGAGGGTCAAGAGTCCCCGACGGCGCGCAACCACGCTCCATTGCGCACTGGTCCCGAGAGTCTTGCGACTGGCCGTAGAGGCTACTCGCAAGATGATCATTAGGATAAATATCCAGGCATCGACGTGACTTGTAATGTCGCCCTGGAAGGTCTGGAGAACAAGAAGTGTGAAGCCGAAGTTTGGCGGAAGGATAAACGCACGGGCCACTAGTCTATATGTACAAGACCAGTCAGTATACCTACTTTGAAAGAATCTAAAACAGGTGCGTGTAGGAGGACACAAAGACTAGTAAAGAGAGATACGCTACATAGTACAGTGCAGAGAACAAGAGTAGTCAAAAATGGATTGTTTACATAGGATCATGCTAGTCATCATAAATCATAACCATAACATAACAGTTCATATACAACACCGAGGAAGCTATGCCTCGAGATCATGCCATTCATTCCAGCGACATCACCTTTCGCTCATACATCTGACACTCTCAGGTGTTTACCAAGCCAGACAGACGACATAACAGCCGGGGCCGGACACGAACACTCAAACTGACCCGGCAAGACTGGGCTTGGTCTTGGTTTGGTTCTGGTCCATCCCCACCATTGGACAGGTGCGGGAAGTGTGAGAGGGGAAAAAGGAACCGCCGCGAGGCGTTCATTCCCGGACTATCCAGCGACGCTCTTCGCGAGAGAGCTTAGTATAAGTTCCGTAGTACTCATCGGTGTTCTCGATCGGGGTAATGCAATGCACAATCGGCGTGCCCTGGAACTGGATGCGTTTCTGGGTGCCAGGCGCCGAAGCGGCGTGTTTCTTGAGGATACTCTTGGAGGAGCACGAGTTGACGTAGTTGTAGGATGGCACTTGAATCGATGAGGAGAAGCGCTTTGCAGCTGGACTTGCGGGACTTGGGGAGATTGGCGTGCGAGGAAGACCGGGAGACTTGAGAGACAGTGCAGGTCGTGAGGAGGTCTGCATGGGAACAATGTTCAGAGAAAGCTGGGGCCTTGCGCGATACATTTTGTCTTGTCTTGAGAGAGAGAGAGAGAGAGAGTAAACAAGTATATGTCAACAAAGTCAAGAACTCCAAAGATGGCGTGTAATGAATTATTAAAGCGTATAGTTATAAAAAGAGAGAGAGAGAGAGATGACTGTGCCAGAGCAAGATCCAAGAATAAACCAACCAGGGTAAAGATAGAAGTTGTCTGGACCAGCCAAACCAACCAAGAATGCAAAAGAGACGAAAATAGAAAACTGGGGAGAATCGAAGCGGTTTCAGAAAGAAAGCCTGCAGTCAACAATGGCGACGTGGGCGGCTATATAGGAAGAAGACGGAGAGCCCATCTGAGAACTTGCAATGAGGAGGGAACGACGGCATTGCGGTGATGTGGCTGGCAGCCAATAGCTTCAACTCTCGTCTCTCTAAGCGCCGGCCAGCTGCAAGTCCCCAGCACCGTCACATCTTAGTCTGGGATATGAGCGCGAATCATAGCCTTCGAGGGCCCTGTCTCCTGCATCCGTGCACATCCTGTCCGTCGAATTTCTGAGAACCTGCCCCGACTTGGAGAGATATGCCTTTCACCGTCTGATCAGCCAGGTGATTCGAAAACTCCGTCACACTCTGTTCGCAGGGAGACGGCCAATGATGATATGATTGTCTAACGGGGCCGGCTCCTGGGGGGGGGGGGGAGGAGCTAGGATTGTCACAGTATGCACATCGATTTCACACACTTCTCGTCCAGATTTGAGTTTGGGATGGCTTCGTTTCCCCTCGACATGCAGGAAAATGTGATGGACTCGGTAGATATGACCCTGTAGATGTGATAATGCCATTCTCTCCTGCAGTGTTTTCCCACATGGGTGGCGGGTTGTGAACAGGTGACGATCCCAGCCTGGAAGATTTGCGCTATAACATTGCTGAGTGATGAATGCGATCCTTGGTCTCAAATTAGATTTCAAGCATTATCCTCTACTTTGTACGATAACACTCGGCGCATACAGTCTCGCCCTCCGTGGGTATGACAATATCCTACGTTGTGTATACAATCCGGGACTAATCCTATATTTTATCTCTATATCAACGATTTCGCCCGGTGATCGCTTGACGAATATCAGAACACGCCACCAATCATCCACCAGACAGAGGGGCACGGATAGTAAAGAGGGGAAAACCCACTATGCAAAGAGATACTTGGCCGCATGCTCAATATGGTCATCAGAAAACGTCGCCATAGTATAGTAACTGTGGTCGTAGTCCGGCTGGTAGCGCACATTGATGCCCGTCACACCAGCCTCCTTTGCAGCGGTTTCTAAATTCTCGGGGAGAAGTTGACCTTGCTTGTAGAAGTTATCTCCGGTTCCCTACTTCTGGTTAGCTTTCCCCTCCCCTTCTTTCTTCTTCTTCTTCTTCTTCTTCTCCTCCCGGTCTATTGCAGGACAGGAAAACAGAACATACCACATCAATCAGAATATCCAACGGACCCTTCCACTTCTTCACCAGCTCCGTCGCATCATGTTCCTTCCATTTCGCCAGCTGATCCTCACCAAAGTAGCCCCCAAACGCCTTTTGACCCCAGGGACAATTAATAGGGTTGGAGATTGGCGCAAACGCAGAAACAGACTTGTATTTGCCGGGGTTCCGAAGATACTGTTCACAAGTCAGCCAGTCAGCCAGCCAGCCACTTCACTCGAAAACCATGCATAATCTGCTATAGGCCCAGGAACACAGAAAGAAATCAAGCAGAATACATACCAAAGTTAAAGCACCATGACCACCCATACTATGCCCCGTAATACTAACACGGGTAGAATCCAACTGCGGGAACGCTGCAAAGACCGTGGCCGGTAGCTCCTCCGTCACATACGTATACATGTTATATCCATGATGGTAGGGCTCCCTGGTGGCATCGACGTAAAAGCCAGCCCCCGTGCCAAAATCCCACGAGTCGTTTTCGCCGGGGACGTCAAGACCGCCTGTGGATATTAATATTAATGATCATGTTAGCCAGCTTCAAAACCATCCATCAAGATTCCTGATTTTTTTTTTTTTTTTATAAATCAAAATGCTCTATTTATCTTTTTAAGTAGATAAGGAGTAGTAGGTGGCATACGAGGACTAGTATCCGGATAAAGCACCGCAATGCCCTTCTTGCTCGCTCCGTGCTGGAAAAAGCCCTTCTCAGAGCAATTGTCCGCCGTGCAGGTTAATCCGGACAGGTATATCAGAACGGGGACTTTCTGCGCTGGGTTCTGGTAGGCTTGTGGTGGAAGGTAGAGGTTAAAGGACATTTCGCAGTTGGTGGTTTTGGCGACATGGCTGAGCTTCAGGAGCTTTCCGCCGAAGGAGGCAATGGTGGCTTTTGTTGTGACGGACATGATGATCTTTGGTCTTCTCTTTCTGAGTTGATATACCCAGTCTGAGTCGAGATGTAAAAGAAGGAAGACGGGGGAAAGAAGAAGAAGAAGAAAAGAAGATATGGGAATGAGGGGAATGAGGGGCATTACAGCATCCGTACGTGTATCGTATTTTTCTCCTCATCCCCCGGAATCTTTTTCCCTTTTCGTCTTTTGGAGAAGAAGATGTTGTGTTTTTTTTTACATATTCATTCAAGAGATTAATTATACTTCCTACATATATACAATGCCCTGCCTAACCAATTTACTCCAAAAATACACCAGGAACGCCATAGACAGCGGGCGCAGCGCCGTTCAAGTACTTCAACACACACGCCTGGCGCGACTGAGCAACGGCTGCGTCGAGAGCCACTTTGGTATCTTCACCACTTTCTTCCTTGCTGGCCAACAGACCCCAATGCTCAAAGGTGGCTTTGGCAAACCGATCGATATCTTTATCGGTCACGTCCCACAATGTAGCCACCAGCGCTGGGGCCCCCGCCTGGAGATAGTTCATCGGGGTTCCGTACGGTTCGTACTCGCCAGCTTCGGTCAGGGTGCCACTGCTACAGCCCATGAGGAAGGTGACCGCACACTGGTCTAGCCGCTTGACGGTGCGGCCTCGGATGTATTGTGCGCCGCTACCATGTCCGAAATAGAGAAAGAGGCTTTGGGACTCTAGGCCGTCCTTGAATTCGTCCTCACTAGGTTGTCGATTGACAATTCCGTTCCAACCCTCCAGGGCGCATAGATCTTTCTCAAAGGTTCCCTGGGTTGCCTGCAAATCTCCCGTGGGATTGAGGACGTAGGTGCCATTGTGTCGGTCAATGCCGAAGCTGATCCCCGCGGGATTTGCGCGTTCGTGGCGGAATCGTAGAATTCGGTCCCGAAGACACTCCAGAGATGGCACACGACACACAGGTAGCCCCTGCAGGCAGGGGAGTGATTCCCAGGGAAACAGATGCAGGGATTTATCCAGGACGAGGACAGTGTTGTTGGGCTTTCCTTGTCCGCTCGCATTCTTGGTGGTCTCATGATAAGCCTTGACCGCATCCAGCGTTTCAACCACCATCATGTCAAACTCAATCTCATCGTATGCGTTGCGTTCGCCCTGGAACTGCAAAATATCCACGACAAAATAAAGAAGATCCATCAACGTATCCTCTGGGTCTTCCTGGTCCCCCAAGTCATTAACGCCAATAAACAGTTCCAGCACATTCGGGTGCAGCGTTAACCGGGGACCCTCTGCCCGACTGCCCTTTTGTCGTGAGGGAAGATGGTTATCGAGAATAGTCTGAAATGAGCTTGCAAACCGCGCCAAAGCCTTGGTGTCGTGTGGAATCGGTGAGAAGATTCCCCTAAACCCTCCAAACCAAACATTCTCGATGTTCTGGAGAAGATTCTCCAATCGACGGTCCAGAGCCCCCCGGTTCTTCCACCATTCTTTCTTCGCTTGCCGGTCCACCTGGTGTTTCGCCGCATGGGCGCTTTCGTTCGCCAGCCGAATAATCTCCTGCATCTCGTCCCTTCCATCCTCAAAGGTAAATTGCTCCTCCTCGTCATCCTCAGAGTTCCCTCGTTTGAGCGGAAGACGGAGCAAGAAGGGAGAGCGGCCCCGGTGCAGTCGAGATACTACGAATTCCGTCTGATCGGCGCTCAAGGACAGAGAAAGAACGTTCCAGGTATCTGGAAGTATATTGACGTACTCGTCGGCGAAATCAGGGCACAGGTCCTCGCTGCAATCTGTCGCAATATCCGGGCTAGGCCAGAGTAGCGGGTCGCAATATTCGGCCAAGTGCTTGTCGATCCCGATAGCGGCACGCTCTCGTGCAAAAGCTCCAATCCGGCCAATTTCTTTTTCACGTCAGTAAAGCACCATATTCGATAATAACGCAAAAAAGAAAACCTACCATTCATGTTGGCCGGTGATTGGGACCACGGCATTGGATTCTGAGGGGCTGTGATATGGGACAGCATAGATATCCGGCTCATGAGACGAGAGGCAGAGTGACTGTCAAGTGTGGATCCCAGGATAGTAGCGGTTTGAAAAATGTTGTTCAAACACTCCCCCGCCTTGGAGAGCATGATAGAGAAGTCATCGGTTGACTGCTGAGCTTTGGAGCGTGTTCCCCGCGTAGGTGCCCTAGTTCTCCGTGAGGTCGATGATTTGCTCGAAGTACCGGCCTCGCTTGCAGCCCTGCTGCTAGATGGTTGTAACGATGGCAGCGAGATAGTCGATTCGGGAAGGACACAGTAAACTGCGTGTGTTGCAAAGTGTCGAATGGCGTCAGCCAGAAGATGCTCACTTTCTCCGATGTGTTGTGATATCTTGCTATCCCTAGTGACGGCGAATTTCCGAGCATCATTTAACAAATCGAATGCCTTCCCAAACTCCCGTTGTGCGCGCAAACAAGCAGCCTGATGTCGTAGAATGTCACTCCTTATTTGCAGGAGAGTGCTTGACTCTGTCTCTGCTGGCTCAGGGCTCGGGGGAGACGGGGTTGGCGCACTTCGAGCGGAAACGGTCGCCGCGCGAGTCCTTCTATTTGTCGTTGTTTGCCTGGTATTTCTGGTGCTCGCTCTGCTGCTGGCTCTGCTGCTCGGCCGTATTCGTAGTTTGTCCATTTTTTCTGATAATTCGGGAATAGAGGAAGCTGCACATGACTTGCTGGCGGTCTCAGAGCCAATGCACTCATCAATAAGCTTCTCGGCGTTCCGAAGAGCCTGTAACTCGGTAGCGTAGTCTCCCTCTGCCCTGTGAAGAGCGGCAAGACTCATTTGCAGCGAGACAAGCTCAATGCTGTTTTCTAGCTGTCCAGATAATTCCTTCGCGGCCGTGAGGAGCTCCTCCCCTTCGGGGAGATGGCCCCCCAGAATCCAGTGAGAGCCCAGCTGTGCCTGAGAAGAAATCAAACGGACATTAGCATTAAGTGTCTTGTTAATCTTCATTGCCTGTTCCCCGTAATATATAGCATCCTGGAATAAACCATGATGTGCAGAGAGGTTCGCCAGATTTAACAATGAGCTGTGGTGAGACCCAATATGAGGCCAGAATGGGGCACCTTGAGAATATGTGGAGGAAGTAGACGCTTGCGAAACCTCAAGCTTAGCCATTCCCTCCACCACGACCTCCAGCTCAGAACTGTCCCCTGCTGCGATAGCCTTTTCTTGTTTCCTCTGAGCGAGTTTCTCCACCTTGGCCCAAATCCTGCAGTTCAACCTGACCGACAGCTTGGCATAGAAGAGGGCATCCTTGATCGAGCCTTGAGCAAATGAGAGTTGTGAGTTCATAAAGGCAGCGTCGGCCACGAGTCTTTCCCACGCGATTTTGGTCAACACAGAGCAGGTATTAAGGTCCTGTACTGTCTGGTTCTTCTCGTAAAGTGTTCGAGCCGTTAAAAGAGTGGTAGCTGCCTTTTCAGTTTCTCCTGTCTCCAGGAAAAATCCGACACGAGCTAGTTCGTAAGAAAGCTTCGCTAAGCAGGACACCTCGTTATGACTGAGATATCCATCTGCACGATTGAGAAGGGCATGCGCTTTGCTGCAGTATCCTAGACGACAATACTGCAGCACAAGACGGGAAAGAACCATAATCGCCTCAGAGAATGCACTGCAACCTTGTAACTCAGTGACACGTAGCACCAATTCGAGGGCTGAAAGTTGAAATTTCCAAAGACCGTGGATTTCGGTGTAGTCGACAACAGCTTTCATCTGGAGAACGAGGTACTCCACATCGCCAACTCGTGAGAGTAATGACTTCAAGTCTGGACAGTCTCGCACCATCAAAGTCCAGGACGAAATAACCAGATTCAGCTGATCGGGCTCAAGACTACCCTGATGAAGACCTAGTGTTAAACGGACCGAAGTTGTGAGATGGTGGGCTAGGCATGAAATATCCGCATCGTTGCCATATCCCGGGTCGTTCTCGATAAGATCGGTACCTCCTTCAAGTAGGGTTTGCAGGAGCGGAGCGTCGAGAGATCCGGGGTGTTCTAAAGCAAAACGGAGCCCGCAGAGAACCACACGGAGCCGGCGAATTGGGTGATCGTGCGTCGAGTACACGTCGAAAAGCTTTGAGAGGAGCTCATTGAAAACAGACCCAAAAAATGAGTCATCACTGTATGTGCTGGGATGTTGCTCAGTTAGTATACCCATCTGCCACTCCAGAACATGGCCTCTTTGGGCCGGTGGAAGCGTGTCGTCGTCGAAGAGATCTTGGGCTTTCGATTTCTTGTTTCGTAATTTGACTTTCAAAAAGCCAGAAAGAACCCGGCCAAGAAGGAATCCACTAGTCTTGGGATCCTGGCTGACTCGATGAGGAAAACATCCAACAGGATTCGATACGAGCTTGTCAAGTGCACCGGTCACGATATGTTCCCCAATCGATTGACGGAACGCGTTTTCTGCATCAGAAGTCAAGTTGCCTTCCAGGTACGTATGAGCAAGCCTTTCGAATTTCAATGGAGAAAACCCCGTTAGCCGCTGGGATGGTGAACAACCAGACAGTAGGGTGGCGGATTGTTTCAGCAAGGGTAAAAGATCACGGCCGCCTTTCCCACTCTCCTTTTCCTTGATGTAGCGCGACCAGAACAAGTTCGACAGCTTGACCAGGGCTAGATCAATGGTTTCGGCGATTGAAGACTCGAGTTCGTCACATGAGGAATCAATCGTAGTAAGAACGCGCTGGCAATCGATCAATGTTGGAACAATGTCATCCCAGGGCGGCCTCTGAGACATAACAGACAGCTTTCCCACCGCGACGGCAGAGTCTACAGCGGCGAAGACAATGCTTTGGGATGCAGTAATGCGCTGGAAGAACGACTGTTGATCTTTTGCCTCTTCATCCGGTCGTCGTCCGATATACCGGCGTAGAAAGCGCACAAATCCGGTTAGGTATCCGTAGACTCGAGGCAAAGTTTCGTTTTGATTTTTTTCGTGTTGCTTTTCTTTGGCTATCACTTCTCCAAACCAGCCCATCGCGAGCTTTTTGAGCTTGGCTGCCTCTACTAGCAGCTCGTCCAGGTCCGCAGGGCTTCCTTTCAACGGTAGACTCAATGCAGTGGTGGCCTCTGAGACAGCAACCGCCAGGTCAGTAGAGGGAAGTTTAAGCGAAGCCCTAAGGGCCTGAAACTGAAGTGATGCGATTTTACACCGAACGGTGGCTAGTCCAAGACATTGTCCGCTTGAGAGAGGGTGGAGGGATTCTGTGAAAAGTTGCAGAGCCTCTTCAAAGCAGCCTGCGTCTTGGGCCAGCTGTCCCAGAATAGTCGCAATCCTAGCAACTGACACATTGTCCTTGGGGTTGACCGGTGGCTGATTCTGTGACTTTGCAACAGCCGATTGGAGCCGAACAATAGTCTTGTATAAGGCCGCAAACTCTGCCTTTTCTATTCCCTTGCTTGCATGGACGAAAGCCCCAAGATAGCGGGCTAGCGGATCCCACATTTCTCTGCTGTCCTCACAGATATGACCCGATACTTTCCAGGACAAACAGCGGATCTCGAGTGCCAGAAGCTGGAGGGTCACTGCCGTAATTGGCTTCAAGCGATCTTTGGCGACACCGCCGCTGGGCTGCGTAGCGGAAGACAGCGACAGCACAAGGCTGGACAGTGACTGAAGCTGAAGCGCTCCCTTATCTTTGGGCAGGGCTCCTGATTCGATCGCGCTCATTATAACAATCGCCGGGCTGCTCGAGTCGGTCATCTGCAGCGAGGAAACGACCTTCTGCACAGTGGCGGGTCGGTTCTCCGACGCGATAAGTCGCAGCGCATGAGACTGAAAAGAAACCAGCAGACCATACACAGCACGAGCTTTGGAAATATTCGAGAAAGACAAAAGATCGGACATTCGTTCCTTCAGCGGTTGTTCTTCCTCGTCGTTCCAAGCGCCTTTCTTATCCACCGCCCTTCTCCGACCCGTGCCTTGCGCGTCAAGAAATTGCTGCATCCTCCGCTTGAGACTTCTCAGTTCCTTATAGGCCATGTCCTTCAAGCCCAGGGAGAGTAACCGGCCCGCCAGCACACACGCACCCTGTTCGAGCTGGATATTCGGGAACCCGTCGGACCCACTCGCCTGGTCGGGGTTGAGCATCCTCAAGCACGAAAGCGACATCCTCGCGCATTCAGCTACAGCGCAGACCCCGCTCTCGGGCTCCAGGGCTCCTCCTTTGTCTGTCCCAGGTGATGTTTTCGATTTCGCGGTTCGTTTCAGCGGAGTGGATTGCACAGGCGTGCTGGTCCCCGAAACCCGGGGGTGCTTGGCGGTCGCTACTACCTTCAAGGCATCCGAAAGGGTCTTCAAGGTTGTATTGAATACCTCTGTAGCGAGAACCAGTTTCTCCTGGTTCGATAGCCGCGCCGCATCCTTCTCCGCGAGGGTTGTGAGTGCCGCTTCCTGCACGGATGTTTTCGTCTTCGTCGCCCGCGACGTCGTTGGCTTTGTTCGACTCGTTTTCGTTGCGGCCGTTGCCGTGGGTTTCGTAGTGCGTCCCGCCCGCTTTACCGTTGCGCTCTCGATCTCGGTCGTTGGCGGGTGAGGTGAGCCGCGGAAGAGTGTTTGGAGGGACAACACTGTGGCATTGGAGCAGGTCGATGTCGAGCGCACGGTGTGCTTGACCAATTCCACGGAGGAATCGGGCAGAAGAGATGTGACAGCCATGGATGGATGCTAGATAGTTAGTGGGACACCATTCATTGATTCATTGATTCATTCCTTTCTTGCCGATTGGAATTTCAGGTCTATGTCTAGACTGGACTCCGTTGTGCTTGGGGAGTTTCCAGCCCAGACGGCGCCACGTTGTCACAGCAACCATTCCCTAAACAGCTTAGCTCTGTCTGTTCTGCCTCAGGCTGCTAGCAGTCCGCAAATGATCCATCCGATTACGGATATCCCGTACCTTTTCTTCGACTTCATCTTTTAAACACTCACTTGCAAAAGCAACCATGGCCTCACGTACAATGAACCCCCCCACGCTTCTACGCCGAATATACAGCAGAAAACAACCCGGTCCGAGTCCAATTCCACCCCCACCCCCACGAACAGGCCCTGCACTCTCCAACCAGCCCCAACAGCACTTCTTCTCAACAACCACCACCACCAGCAACAAAAGCAACCCCCGCCGCGCCCTCCCCAAACTCGCCCAAACCTCCCTCTGGGCCTCCATCCTCCCGAAATTCCTCCGAACCCGGAACCCCGCCCCCCCGAAAAACACAACCACCTCCCCCTCCAAAGAATGGAACCCCGCCAGCTTCTACATCATCATCTTCATCCTGATCGGGTCGCAGGCGATTCGCATGATCGCGCTGAAGAACGAGTACGCGGCGTATACGCGGAGCACGGACGCGAAGATCCGACTGCTGCGCGAGGTGATTGAGAAGGTGCGGGCGGGGGAGAAGGTGGATGTGGAGAAGTTGTTAGGGACGGGAGAGGAGGCGAAGGAGAGGGAGTGGGATGAGGGTATGTTTTTTTTTTTTTTTTTTCTTCTTTCTTCTTTCTTCTTTCTTTCATTCATCATTGGAAAGAACCAAAGGAAAGCAGGGAAGGAGGCTGGATGCGTGTGCTGATTATATTCTTTCTCTATAGTGCTTCGTGAGATCGAGCGGGAGGATTCGCTATGGCATCAGAGGCAATCGTTAGATGCTCGACTCCGGGAGGCGAAAGACAAAGAGAAGGAGAAGGAATCGGAGGCGGCGGCGGAGAAGAAGAAGAAGAAGAAGAAGAAGAATGCAAGTGAAAATACAGCCAGCGAAGGTGATGGGAGCAGTGATGCCTCTGCTGCTGCTGCTGCTGCTGCTGCTGCTGCCCAGGGCCAGACAAAACGAAAGGTCAACTTTTTCTAACGGCGTTCTTCCTTGCGACGCTGGAATCGGTTCCAGGTATATTGAACGTTGGCCGCGTTATATATATAAGTGCACGCGCGCTATGCCTTTTGGCCATGTACAGTACGTATCATGATTATCATCTGTGTACATTATTTAGACAATACCCTATGGAGTGACGTGGGTAGCGTAGGACGCAACCCAGGGCTATCTATCTATCTGTATATCAACCCATTCAAAGCTTGCTCTGCATGAACATCATATCATGGATATATCTATCTCATCTTATCTTATCCTAATAATCTACCCAAGACCTAGGAACTAGACCAATTGATCCCTCCCCAACCTATAAAAGCACCTCAAAAGAAAGATATTAATACCTATCCGCAAGCTAAATTCAAAGAACAGTAGAAAAGAGAGTATAAGAACAAGTACATGTACAATCATATACGATGCCCCTTCAAGATAGAAGAGAGAGAGAGAGGGGGGGGGGGGATATGTCAATCAGGTAGTGGATGAACCAAAGCAAGTAGAATATGCAACGCAACGATTCATCATCACAAGTCTAGAACTGAGAAGACTCGGCAACTTTAGAAAATCAGGCAAAGACAGCCCCGTCCCCAAGTCTATCTGCTTTTGGTACAAAAAAGGGTGGGAGATGCGAAAGTCGGTTTCTTCCGTGATGCCCTGGAAAGAGAGGGGGGGGGGAACGACAATAGAAAGGATATGGAGGATTGCTGTGGCCCCAAGATATGTGACCTGATCTCACATTCACATGGTGTGAAGTCGAGGTTGGAGGAGGAAGGGCGGGATCATTCAATTCGAGACAAAAAAAAAAAAAAGAGAACTGCGGGAAAGAGAATCAAACCGCATCGCTATCAAAAACAGGAAACATGCCAACGGTTATCTATTGTGGTTTTGAGGGGCGGATAAACTTGGGCCAGCTTTCTGCATTGGGGATGGCCACGCGGCCGATGTTCTCATCCAGGTCGAGGATGAGTTTGAGGGCGTTTCGTGATCGCAGGTAGGGCAGAGGCTCTTTGGCCACGGGATGGCCCACACCGGGCTCGACCTGTCCGGCGGGGGAGGGTTCGTGGGTACCAGGCATGGGGAGCCAATTTTGCAGAACTTCATAGGCAGCGAGTGTGAAACCGAACTGGGGGGACGAACGGAGGATACGGGCAGGTCCACCCTTGAAGAAGGCCTTGAAACCTTCATCCTTCCAGATGGTAGCGGCGCAGTGGCGCAGGCCGGTGTACCGTGTATCTCCCTTACGGGCTTCAACCTGCAGACGGGTCTTGATAACGTCGCAGGGAGTGGTCAGGTAGGCGGCGGGCATACCAGCGATGGCACCCGCGGTGAGGAGCTGCATGACACTGAGCTGGTGGGTGCGGGATTCGCCAAAGAAGTCGGACTTGAGATGAGCGTAGGTGGGGAAGTAAATGGCGGAGAAGGGGACTGGCGGTTGGTTATGGTTAGAATAATCCTACTAAAAAAAAAAAAAAAAAAAAAAAAAAAAAAAAAAAAACTCACCATCACGAAGCAAGCAAGCGCTGGCTCCCTTGTACAAGCCAACCAACCCCAGGTTCTTTACAATCCAGAGGGCAGAGCGGCGGGGGGCCCCTTCGACATTCTTGGCGATCTCGCCCTGAACCTGCAGACGAATCTTGACAATTTCCAAGGGATTGGTGAAAATCACCTGGCAAGCTCCGGCACTACCACCGGCCAGAATTTCGTAAGGATACTTGATCTTGCCGGTCTCCTTGTTGGCGAAGTGTCCACGGACCAGATCATTTACCGTCAGCTTAATGGCCTTCTCCGGAGCGACACCGATCAGCTGAGGGATGACACCAGAGTACAGACCCAAGAATCCCTCGTTACGGATGACCTTCCTGGCGCAATCGAGGGAGTTGTTGTAAAGAAGCTCTCCAACGCGGGTGGACCGCTGGTTTTGCATGCGGGTCTTGACGAGATCAATGGGGTAAACCATGAAAGCGCCAAACGCACCGGCAACACTGCCCAGGGCAAAGTGGTGGACCGATTCCAGAACGCTGTGAAGAATGGACTTGGTCTTTTCGGCGGCCTTATGTGTTGCATCGGAGGCAGTGGCAACGGCATGCTCGGCCACCGCAAGAGGTGTCCGCCACGACGCATCAATGACCTTGGCGAAGTCGTTCTGGGAGAGTCGGCCAGAAGGCGCATCCAGTCCGGCAAAGTGGAAGAGAATGTCGGCCTCCATCGGGGTAAAGAGGGAGAATCGGGTGAGGCGGGCGGCGGCGTTGAGGAAATCGGAGCGGGTGATTTTACCATCGTCGCTCTTCTCGGTGGCTTCGCGAATGATGAGGTCGATCATATCCATCTCGCGCATGATATTCTGGAAGGCACGCACAGTGGCGTAGGAGATTTTGGTGCCGGCGGAAATGTTGCACAGGCTCGGGAGATGTTCCAGCACGTAGTCGGACAGCTTATGTTTCGAAGTCTCCAGGATGATGCGCTGGAAATCCTCCGGTTCGATGTAGCCGTCGCCGTCCTTGTCAAACACGTGGAAGGCCTGTCGAATGCGCTCCCCTTGCAAGCCTCGCAGCATCTGCGCAAACTGGGGGTAGCTCATGTCGTGGCGGGTCTTGGTGCGGCCGGTGTACAGGGAAGCCCATTCCGAATTCCAATCAAAGGGTATGCTATCGGGCGTCTTGCTCATGGTGTAGATCTTCTGGAAGTCATCCCACTTGACAGTACCTGTCCGGTCGGTATCGAAGAGGCGGAAGGCGATCTCGTACTCCGCATCGGGTTTCGACAGCAGGTTCTCGAAGGTCGCCCATTCGGTGAGGGTGATGCGGCCGGTTCTGTGGGTATCAGCAACTCTGAAGAGGATTCCATAGTGTTCCCGCTTGATTTTATGCTAAAAGACGAAAGACAGAGCGATCAGCTGAAGATTCGAGGTATGACATGACATGACACATCGAGGCAGATTGACGTGGAAAACTCACGTAGTCTTCGTGCTTTGGGGCAATGGCCTGGACAAAGTCGTCCTGGGCCATGTAGAGTTCGCCGGTTGTCTCATCCTTGCGAGCGTGTCGAAGGAAGGTTGCCCTGGCCTGGAGGGAGAGGTGAGATTCTTCGAAAGGGGTGCCCAGCAGGGACTCTTTGACCGCGTCCTTTACACCAGTCATCGTGCCATGCAACGGTCTATTCGTCTATGGGACTGAAACGAAAAAAAAAGGAAAGAAAGAGAGAAAACGGAAAAGAAACACAACGACAGTAAGAATAACGATGAGCGAAGGGGTTGGGATAAGAGAGATGTGGAGAAGGGAAATTAGAGACGAAAAAAATCGGGGGGGGGGGAGGTTCAGTAGGTATACTCCGGACAAGTCTCCAAGAGAATAAAATAATAATTCTTATTATTATGACTATTACTATTATAATGATAACTACGATAATATAAAAAAAAAAAAAACAACTACGTGGCAATTTGCGTTTAGTTTTTTTTTTTTTTTTTTCTTATATTTTGCCCCTTGGGATCGGATAAGTAGTACGGAGTACACCAGGTACCTCGTTTCCTAAAGAACTCTGGTCTAGTTCGAGGTACCAACAGTCTACGAACCAGAAATAGTGAACGATCCCGGCATCGGCGGGCTCTGGTCACGTGATGCTCACCGCCCATGATCCTTTAGCCGAATCATCCAGACATAAAAGAGTACGGAGACTGGGTATCGGACCGAAAGTGGATATACAAGTTGACTCAGAAGTAGGCTCTAGACCGGGAGATTTAGTCAAGGAGGTCCGTATTCTAAATCTATCTATCTAGTTCACTAGAGAAGAGGCTGCTATCGGCACTTTTGCCGAGCTCACAATGATTATATAAGCCGATGGAGACATAGTTACCAGTAGATATAGATAATTACAATACTCGATATGTCATATGTCCTCTAATTCACTACTCCTTTCAACCTATTCAAGCACAACAAACTGCACGCGGATACTATCAGAGATACAAAGTTACCGCTTCTCCAACCCCAACCCCCGAAACACCCGTCGCTCGACCGGCAAGAGACCCAACATCAGAGAATTAAACTGATATGCGGCGAGAACCACGCAAGCCCCTGCCACCGCGTCCAGAATGAAATGATTCGCCGTCGCAACGATCGTCACCCCCATGAGCGTCGGCCACACCGGTGCAACCATCCGCACATACCAATGGGGACTGAAATGCACCAGACACAGGGCCACGAACAGGGAGTTCCCAAAGTGCAGAGAGGGCATGGCGGCAATCGTGAGCTGGAACTTGTTCTGGGTCCAGGCCGACCCGCCCCGGTTGCTGTGCAGCACGTCAAGGAATCCGTATTCCCCAGGGAGGAGGCGCGGCGGCATACAGCGCCACAGGGTGAGAAGCGTAAATGCGATGACGTTCTCTAGGGCCAATGTGCGGCGGATTTCCTGGTACTTGCTGCGCTTGCAAAACGTGTAGCAGTACACGAGGAAGAGGACCCCCACGGTAATGTGCGAGTAGTATACGCGGGCGAGGAGGGCCATGAGCCACGGCGCCGTCCCAAGCACAAATTGCTGGACGGAGAGTTCGATGTTGAAATGAAAGAGGGCTTCTACCCTGAGCACTTGCCTGGCGTGACGTTCAGCTCCATCAAAGATAGCCTGGTGGCCGCTAATCCATCTGGCTGACACCGCGCGCGCGCCCTGGTAGATCTAGTCCTCTGTCAGCGAATGTCGTCCATCGATCCAGAATTCCCATCCCCACCCAGTATGTGAGCAGCCAGTACCAGATCTCCAGCAGGAACGGGAATCGAGCGAGTATCCGGGACTGGACTGTGCGGCTGTTGTCGACCGTATCAGCGCTGTACTCGTCCTCGGTTGGTTTGGCATCTGGGTCATCCGCGAGCAGTGGCGATTCTACAGATGGTGTCTCTGGGAGTCTAATCGATCGACGGCGATTGATGAGGGTACCTGCGATAAAAATAATAAGAATGGCTGGAGGGGTCAGCAATCTATAGCACCCTCCGTCCACATTAGCGACTGACCACCGGGCTCAAGCAAAATTTCAAAGCCTCCCATTATGCCGGTATGTACTAAGAATAAGGAAGGAAGGACGTCGTCAAAACGGACGGAACTCATGCGACAGACGAGGCACAGGAAATCAACATTGTTGGGACTGAAAGACGATTGAGAGATGCGTTGGGTATAAGAATAGATGCTGACCAGGTGATGAGACGAGGGAAACGAACAGAAACAAATACACGAGAAAGAGGAGGAGGAGGCACGAGATAAAAGTGCAGCTGCCGTCATCCATACAACCGTATCTTACTTTGCTAAGTATTCGTCAAGTAATGACCGGATATCACCAGAGATCATACAGCAGACTCTCCAATAACCATCGTGTCTTCATTTGAAGTATTATAGGTAGCTTCTATGGATATTTTCATTCCTTGATACTCCGTATACTGCCTCATGGTAGTCTGTTCCATCTCTACGCAAAGAAGAATCTGTACTGTCGACATTCTCCCCTTCCCACATCTTTTTTTTTTTTTAATTATTTCTACGCTGAACATGCACTCAGGACATACAAATGAATACGTACGCTATGTGTTTCCAAAAGCAAAACACACGAATCACGATTGATCAACGCCAATTCATGCAAATGCCTCACAAACTATATACCTTTTATCCCGAATCCGGTGTATTCATGACAGAGACAGTCCGTGGTATGACAGAAGGAAAATGGCCGCCGACAGAGCGATCGGAGAATCAGTGATGAGTAGGACGTAAGGTAGGGTAGAGTGCGGTCGGGTAGAGGGTCAAGGATCAAGGATAGGATCACAGGAAAACATGAGTCATCAAATCAAACTGTTTTTAAAGGGGGGGGGGATATCTAAGAGGAGGTGAAAGGAAAACGTGGAACAGTTGATCAAGCACAGCGAGACAAGACCAATGATATATGAAATGAAACGAAAGGGAAATGGTAAATCCAGGTATAGATGACAATGATCATGCGCTCAATCGTTGGATAAAGGACTGTTGGGGAAAGCAATTAGCTTCGTGTATACACCATTTGAGAGAGAAGAGTGAAACAGGAGCGAGGGAAAACATACCGGAAAGAACTGCCGGAACCCTCTCATGTCCAGCCGGCTCAACGTGCCCAAAAACTCTTCTACGAGGTCCGCACCCATACCCATTCCAGGTAATTCGCGGTCCCGGAGGTACTCGATATACTCCATGCCGGTTTTGCTGTAGATGGTCCTCTGCAGCGCGCCCGCTTCGGCAAGGACCTGTTTCGCTTGTGCGTCTTTCGGGTTGAATGATGGCGTTGCTGGGAGAGCCCAGCATAGCGGGGAGAATCGAGTGATCATAAACTGCCCGAAGCCGGGGAGGGCGACCTGCCCAGGGACTGCTCCATTGGAAGTCTCTGGCGCGATATCGGGTCCGCCCCAGGAGCTACCCATCTTGGAGAGGACGGAAAAGGCCATCTTTGCGGTGGTAAAATCGTCAATGTCCTTGGCGAAGTGCTCGATGGTTGTGATGACGGTATCGAACATCGGCTGGTTTCCTGGGGAGGGTTAGCATTCATCCATAGTAACCCAACTGTGGAACTGGGTGAACTGACTCTCACTGATAATGACAGACCCAAGGTCGTTATTCAACACCGCAAGCAAAAAGTTAAGGTACTCCCGCTTCAGCTCAGCCAAGTGAATCTCATCATCAGTACCGGAAGGAGGATCCGCAATTCCGCCGAACACACGCTGCAGGAAAGGCGTCAACAGAGTATCGAGGATATTGTAGATTTCGCCCTTGAATCCGAAAATGACTTGATCCAATAGGCGCAGGAACAGGGCCATCTCGTCCCTCGAGGAGGTTTGGGTAAGCAGACCGTCGATCCATCTGGGGAGCTGTGGGAGAATCTGGGAACCAAGAACTCCAATGAGCCGGGAGAAAGCAAAGCGAGAAGCTGTTCGGATGTTGAAGGACGATTTTAGAGACTCCAAGGCGACCAAGGTGGCTTCGGAGACCTGGCCGAATACCGCTGAAACTTCAGGCGCCGGGAGTGCGGCGGGAGAGTTCGCTCCGGGCATCCAGTCGGAAAATCCCCTTGCAAGGGTGCCAAGCGCCATAATATCGTGGTGGATCTGCAACACGGCTCGCTCATCGCCAGATTTAGCCAGAGGAAGGGTCTTCTCCATGTCGCCAAAGATGGGGGACAGAACGGATTGGGCATAGACCACTTGTTTATCGGCAGGGACACCAGTGACGGAACAGATGATGCCCACGGCTTCAAAGAGGTAGAGTTGGCTGTTGAACACGGCATCAGCAGAGCCCTCATGGTCTTCAGAGGACATCTCATCGCCATCCGATCCCTCTGAAGAAAGCTCCGCCTGGATGATCAGGAGATCGCCCAATGCTTCCACGACCGTCTGGGCGACATTGCCGATGAAGCTACGCAGTTGCTTCACCAAACGTTGGAACAAATACCAGGCTCGAGTCTTGACTTTTTTCATGGGATGATGCGCAAGCTGAAGGAAGCTCTCCAGGACACCGGGAATGAGATGAGCATGAGCCTGGAAAAACGAGCTGTAGCGGACGCAGATTTCCATGTACTGCAGTTGTGTGGCGGGGTGGGTAAAGGACCGGATATCTAGTCACATTGTTAGAAGATAGATAGATAGATAGATAGATAGATAGATAGATAGATAGGCCCAATATAATTACTGCGACCTACCTGATTCGACCATTCTCAGCATCATCTCGATTAGTCTCTCTGCGCAGGGGTTGTTGGGTTGGCCCTTGGTGTACAGGCCGCCGGATTTGACAGCCACCTCTCCGAGCAGGTACATCTGGTGCAAGGCGAGGTCCAAATCCCGCCAGTCTAGCTGAGCTCCAGGCTGTCGGAGGTTCTCGAATGTGGTTGCCACAAGTTCGGAGACGGCATCAATACACAGTCTCTCGTCTACACTTGCGACGATCTGCTGGAGAGTACCAAGTCGCTTGCGGAGCTCCTGGAACTCAGCTTCGTCGGTCTGTTCGTCATCATCACCCCAGGAAGAGGTGTCATCGTATCGCATCTTCGAGATGATCGCCTTCAGGATCGGGAGGAGAATGGAGGAGTGTTGTTGGGCCATGGAAGGATTGACTTTGGTGATTTTTCTCAAGTAGGAAAGAAGGTCGCTCACACAAGGAATGACCGTCGAGCAGACCTCGTCGTACTCGTCGGAAAAGTACCGCAAGATATGCGGGAGGAAGACCTCCAGCAGACCATTGGCTTTGTCCCGACACTCGCCGGGGACACCTTCCTGCTCCAAGGCTCGCACAATATCCACGACGATGATATTGACCAGCTTGGCCACCGTTTCCGCCAAGTCGGTATCGTATTTGGATGTGAAGCGGTTGGCGTAGAGAGGAGGGCTAGAGGAGATCTGCGCGACCACATTTTGGAGGTTCAAAAAGACAATCATGTCAATCTTGTCCTCCGCCTTCATCTTCTTACCAATGATCTCTGTGAAGACATCAACCGCTGCGTCTCGCACCTTCTCCTCCCCTTCACGAAGGTCGGCCTTCTGCACCCGGCCTAGCTGCTGGAACAACAGATCCAGCATGGTCTGGTTCACGACCAAGCCAATATCAATCCAGCTGACCCAGCTTCCCACGGCCTTGAGCGACATCTCGACGATCACATCATCCCCATCCCTCCACTGCGACAGAATCTCCTGCCACGAGTTGGCGATCTTCTGCATATCCCTCACTCGGATCAAGTCCTTCAACGCATTGGCGCGGTCCTGCTCGGCGCGCGAACGGGAGACGAGCACGTCGCCAATCTCATCGTGGATGGAGTTAATCACGCGGAGGTAAAAGATAATGCCGAGCGGGTTGTCGCGTGCCGTGCTGGCGGGGGATTTGTGTGTCAGGCTCAAGAGATCGTCGAAGAAGGACTCCCAGCCGTTCGCGTACAGTGCGGAGAAGAGGAAGGTGATGGTTTGGGCAATTTTGTTCTGGATATTGGGGGGGTCGGGGGTCACGTTTTCCTGGCCGTACACCTGGCGCAGATACCCCATCAGGCCGTCCCGGACATACCCCAGGGCCTGCAGGTCAATTAAACCGGCCTGGGCGGCACTGTTGACGACCTCCAACGACACATGCCGGACGATGTGAGACTGGGGCGGGTTCTTGGTGAAGAGGTTGAGGCAGACCTGCCACCCCGAGGGATCGGAGCGGAGTTGGTTCAGGTAATCGAAAGCTTGGGCCTTGAGGGCGGCGTCTGAGGAAAGGTTCCCGGCGATTTCAATAGCGTTTGCTACCTATTGGATTAGACTGACGTTAGGATTGATACCAGCATAGAATCCCGGGTCCTAGACAGAACCTCAACGGGGAGTGCATGGGGTAAGGAGGGGCACACGAGGGAAATTGGGGATAGCGGGGTTGGAGCTGCTGTCCCTTCTTCTTTTCAATTTAGAGGGACGAAACGAGTCTCTTGAATCGCAGGGGAAGAAAACCCCCCCCAGCGTAATCAGTCGACGCAAACTCAAAGGGGTCGTACCTGCTCTTCCATCGTCGACCGGCCGGGCTGCCTTGAAGAGTCGAGAGGGACTCGGGACAGCAAAAAATCACGAGAGAGAGGATGAAGGAGAAAATCGAGCGTTGATGGATGCTAGTGGCGGACAGTCATATCATTTGAAAGCAAGGAGATTCATTCAATCATGACTTAGTCTCTGCTGCCAGCACAAGAATAAAGAAACAGGAGGAAATGCGAATTAATTAATCCAGACCGTAAGTTGGTGAGTGAGGGAGCGTTGGGCGGTGATTTCGGCAGCTGCTCGAACTAAAAAAAAAAAAAGCGTAGTCAGACAAAGCCTCCGCAGAAAAGGCAGAAAAGGGGGGGAAGAGAGCTTACTGAGGGAAAAAAGCAGTTGTATATTTTTAAAAGAAAGGGAGAGATAAAATAGAGGAATACTAAATATCATGGAAGATGTTAATTTTCTTGATTTGATTAGAATTCCTACCTGGGTTTTTTTTTCTCTTCTCTTGTGCGCAGGTTTTGGCTGACCCAAACAGGGAATCTGGCAGCCCCCGGTTTCAGGCACCAACTATACTCTTTATACTGAACATTCATACTGAACATTTATATATATATACAGTCGACTCGAGAGATATATATGTATATCAAAGGGCCAATGTTAAACCTTCCATTTCCGCGGAGAGCCTATCACTGCCTCCATTCTCACCCACAAACACGCCAACGTTGCGGCGGCCAACAGCACGCCAGTTACAATTCCCGCCCGCTCATAGATATACGACGACGTCAGGGCGCCAGAGTTGGGGATCAGCATCCCCGTCAACGGGGTCCCAATGAGAGCGCCCATACCACGGATCAAATACAGAGCACCGTTGACGCTAGTGAAGTGCTGCACGCCAAAGAGCTCGATCAGGGATGCCGGGAAAAGCGAGATATAAGCGCTCGCAAAGGCGCCATAGAGAATGGTGAACACGATAAACAGCCCGTCCGCACTGGATTTGGATACATCCACCGTATGGAACATCGATGGAATCCAGAAGGCAAAGACAGCGACGGCGCTTAGTAGCGTTGTCCCGACTAGGGCATTGATACGTCCGTACCGATCCGCAGTGTACCCGATCACAATGCGAGAGACAAAGTTCGAGGCGTTGCTCAGGGTGATGAAGTTTGCGGCCGTCGTAGGATTATACCCGAGCGTGCTCGCGTAGGCTGCATAGAAAAACAGCGGGGTCGAGTATCCCGCGGACTGCAGGAAACAGCCCAGTGCCTGGGCCACGAACCGCTTTGAGCAAGCCACACGATAGTTAACCATAGGTGCCTTTATCCACCCGCTTCTACGGCGGAGACCCTGGGTCTGCAGTCGAACTTGTTCGGCAAACTTGGGCTCCCAGCGGAGATAGCACCCGGCGGCGGACACACACGTCAGGGATATACACCCGGAGATTCTCAGGGCGTTTCGAAACCCCAGATGCGTAATCATTGCACGCAAGGCAGGCGGCCAGATCATCCCCCCCACGGCGGACCCGGAAATAATCACGCCCATCGCGAGGCCGCGACGCTGATCGAACCAGGTCGGAGCAACGGACATGGTCGGCACATAGGCCAGGCAGGTCCCAATTCCAAGAAGAACGCCCTGGGTGAGAGCGAAATGCCATAGCTGTTTACCAAAGCTGGACAGGATGTATGCAATCCCGAAGACCCAGCCTCCGGCGATGATGACGGCCTGGGGCGAATAGAGCTTGGACCAGAGCATAGCGAAGGGACCGCCCATGGACATCAACGCGATAGCTAAAATTCCGACTAGGTTGATTAACGCAGTAGACTTCCCCGAGAACGGGTTGCCTTCCTGCGCGGCCATCTCTTCGTAGAGCGACTGGTACACACCATAGGCAAAGATGAAGGCATTGGTTGTGAACATTACCATGAAGCCCGCAATGACGATAATGATAGAGTGCCTGCATGTTTAGTTGAGTTAGTAGGCTTGACTCAAAAAAAAAAAAAAAAAAAAAGATGAAAAAAAGATAAAATGAAACATAGTCTCACCAAGTGGGAGTTGGGTTTTGCTCCTCTGCATCCTGGGGTGAAGCTTCGGGTTCAGCGGCAACATTGTTGTTCGCCAGTTCAACTGCAGCATTGGATGCCATCATGAACAAATATCAATCCCTCGTTATTTCTTGGGGATTTTCTATTCCTCACAGAGGGTAGAGAGATAAAAGTAAAGAGATGAGAACCGACGTATCTTATTTCATATATATTTTATATATATATCTCGGCATGTACTCCGAGTGCGCCGGAAGTTCCCTTACCCACAGCCAGAGCGCCGCGGATTATGAACATAGAGTGAGGGACAACTAGGGATCATTTCATAATTTAGGACCAGTAAAGTACCTGGAGTTATATATGCAGTTAGTTAACTAGAAACCCTGTGAACCCTGCAAGAAAAGCTTACCCTGACTCCGTCCCTTGGATTTGCAATATTAGGTAGGTACTACTAGTAGGGTAGTTTTATAATATACTATATTTTTCCCTCTCTATCCTTCTTTAAGATGCAGTCTGAATCATTTCTTGTACAGTAAACTAGATATAAAGTTGTGTAGCGAACTTGTAATTACTGATGGAAAGTACCTAGAAAGTCAGGACATGTCAGTGGTTAGTTAGTACATGTAACTTTGTCGTGCGTAAGTGGACATAGAGCAAGGAAAGGTGTGGATAGTGGGTCGATCTTGAACCACAACACAGAGATTGAGATCACGAACTCTGAAGAGGTAAACTGAACATGAATGGGACAACCTTCTTGTTGTGTCCATACCAATGCGTTTCAGTTACGAGCGACGAGTTGGAGCGAAAATGCGTTCCTAAGCCAACCAGTCCCTTGCTCGAACAGAACGCTGTGAGACCGTACAGCCCGGATCCATCTCGGTGTAATGGAATATACGCCATAACCCTCTGGGAATCTTGAGTTGCGAAATCTGAATGTCGAGGCCACTCATAGAATGAGCGGGCAGCAATGGACTCACCCACGGAAAGTTCTGTCCAAAGTCCAATTTATTGTGAGAGCTGACGCGGGAAATTTTCAAGCCCTAGCGCTTACCATCAGCTCTGAGCATGCTATATGTTACCAAAGGGCTCATACATCCCACTGCAGGTCCACCAAGAGTGCGCGTGCAGGCTGAGAATAAATAACACCCCTTAAGTCAAAAACACTCCTCCACTCGGTATCTTTCTCTTCACTAGCAGAGTTGAATGCAGCTTCCAGAGGGAAATCAATCCCTCGAAGTCCATAGGGTCCTAGGGTAAAGGTGAAGGCGGCCATAGACAAGGGAATAGAAATATCGACAGATCGGTTTGCTTTCATGTCCATAGATTGTGGCCCCTTGGCGAATACCGCAAATATATGTCCCGCCTAGAACAGATCTGAGATAGGTTACGATATCTCCATGCAAACATAAAGTCGCTCTACCCGCGGTAGAGATTGTTGATCGAGTAGTCTCTGCAGCCCAGAGCAAAAAGCAAGCACCGGATGGGACTGGGTGGGATAAAATCCCAGATGATAGCAACTAATTCCAGCGGAAGATTTCTAACCCGTTCGAGTAGTTCACGAAATGGGTCTTGTTCGTCAGGTTCCTGATCGAATGCTGAGAATAAATTCTGAATTGCTTGGGATAATGCATGTTGGATCTTGTAGAGATTTTGTGGAAGATTAGTTCTCAAGAATGGCGTCGTAGCAAGACCGAGGTTGTTTACTATGGATAGAGGTAGCATTCTTAGATTTGCGTCGCGGACCTTGCACCTATATCAATCGTACAATCTTCTTGAGAATTTATCGGCTGGGTCAAAATTGGCTCCTGATGCTTTGACTCCACAGCTACGCAGCATCAGCATCGGTAAGGAATCACTGTTTGAGGACGAGGACACATACCGAGGAGGAAGTAAGTATTCAAATCAAACTTTTCACCACATAGTGAACAATGTGGTGTGATCTTGTATAGTGACGAGGCTGTTCCTGCGAGATTCCCATTGTGTTGTTTCCCCTTTACGGTAAATCCATAACCGTAGATGAACGCCAACAAGCGTTGCCAGCATACACGAATTCAGTTGCCCTTGACCGATCGGAGTCGAAGTATTCGTTCCAATAACCGACAGCTTGTGTTTCAACGCTTGGGGTATTGGAAATTCTCGCCTGGAAAGGCTCGTTTGCCCTCGATAAAGCACAAAAAATGTCGGATTCCCCGTCTTTTGTCATATACTTGGCCGCAAGGTCAGGCTTCATGGCACCTGGGAGTTGACATGAACATTCGCATTTCCTATGTTAGTGTTGTGTTTAGTGCAACTTCGTTGCTAGATTAGATGAATCAGACCTTCATATTCAGGCGGTTGTTTAGTGTTGAGACGCAACGCGTCCACCCGTGTCTCACGAGCCGGTGGCGGCGTCTCACTAATAGGTGTGGGATTCTAGATGCATTTGATTAACTACAAGTGGTTCTTAGAGTCCTGATAGTTGGGTAACTAATTCTACTTGATACATCAATTGATTATGGGCATCAGAGATATATAACTAACTATAGGTTTGAATCATCGTGTGTGGTCAAATTACAAGTTCAAGCATTTCGCTCCGCCTCCTGCTTCAACACTTGCAATTCCATCTTTTCGAATCCCTCCACGGCCCTGCCGTACTGTTCGAAAATCCCCTTTTGATAGCCGTCCGCAATCTTTTCAATAAAGTCTTCCTCGCGCCATCGTTGACCGATGAGGTCTTCGAACGTCTGTCCCTCACTCCGCTCAATCGCCCAGACAGCCTTGTACGCGGCCCCCAGGGCACACGCATTATCGCCAATCTCCAGCTTATACACGCCATCGCTGCCGCCGAGAATCTCGCCTGCGATTTTCGCGATGGCCTTGTTTTTGGATCCGCCGCCCACGAGGTAGACTCGGCGGGGTTGTGCAGGGATGCCCTGGGCCGGGCTCTGGGTGAGGCCGCGGGATCGGAGACGAAGTGAGAGGAGCTGGCTCTCGACAATCGCGCGCGCTTCGTCTAGCGGCTTATCCCAGCCGTCGTTGGTCTCATGCAGGCTGCCATCCGCGGGGTTATAGTTGAAGCGCCACTGTCCCGAGCGCAGGTTCGGGACGATCTCGGGGCGAGGGAAGAATAGGCCCATCTTCATGGGGTCCGACGACTCCGTGCGCTGGCCCATGGGCGCAGTCTGAAGCGCGACCTTGTCGAAGTTTGTCCAGGGCTGCGGGAGGTCGTTGTCGCCGAATTTCTCGTTGATCGCATCACGGACCAGTTCGCGGGCCAGGCCGCCGTTCTTGTAGCAGAGCATGAACATGTATAGACCGGGGGTGGTGGGGTGGTTGAAGAAGTGAGTAGCCGGATCTGGCTTGTAGCTCGGCGTGGACATCAGGAACGTAGTCGAGGTACCCAGGGAGACCATGGCGTCGGACGGCCGCAGCGGCAAGGCCAAGATCGTCGCTGGGTTGTCGCCTGTTGCAGGGATGACCGTACAATCGGGGCTAAATCCATACCGCTGGACGTAGTATGGGTCAACCTTGCCCAGGTGGAAGCCACCATCCTCAGGCACCTCGCCCAGCTTATGTTTCAGGTCCTCGACTCCAGAAGAGCCCGCGCACAGCTTCAACAGCTCTTCATCATACGCACCCTTCTTGATATTCCACAGGTTCATCCCGCACACGTCCGAAATATCAAAGGGAGCAATATGGCCCAGGAACAACGAGGCCAGAAACGAGGACACGAGCGAGATCCTCGTGGTCTTTCTATAGATATCAGGATATTTTCTCTGGAACCGCAGAATCTGAGGACCTGTGAATCTCTACAGTAGCCAGACAGCACCTGTTAGCTCCAACCCCAACCCTAAAAACATATATATATATATATATATACAAAAAAAAAAAAAAAAGAAAACTCACATGATGCGCCTTGCTCCCCGTCGCAAGCGCCAACTCCTCCGTGCCACCCAAAAACGCATCAAACTCATCACACTCCCTCTGTGTACTCGCATCCTGCCAATTGGGACTATACGGGTGCGAGAATGCCCCGTCTAACTGCTCCTCCAGCGTCCTCCCCGCATCCAATCCGCCGAGCAACCTCTCGGCATCCTTCCCCCAGTAAACACTTCCATGCTGCTGCCCGGCACCACTGATGCCCCTGACGCGGCCAAAATCCAGCCCCTGCCTGCGGAGATCGGCCAGCACGGCATCCAGGGCCTGCAGCCACATCGCGACAGGAGCGAAAACCTCATGTTCGGCTTCGTGGGTGAGGACGCCCTTTTTGATTCCAAAGCCGTGCGAGTCGGCGTCGAAGTCGAATTTGGAGACGTAGACGACTTTCAGCTCGGAATTGACGACGATACCTTTGAGTTGTTGGGTGGAGAGGTCGAATCCGATGTATAGGGGGGGTTGGGAGAGCATTTTCTTTTCTTTTCTTTTCTTTTCTTTTCTTTTCTTTTCGTATTGTTTATCAGAGAGCAGTGAGGAAGAAATGACGTCGACGGAGCTCCAGTGTAGATTATCGGTAGATAAGGAATTGGAGTGTACCTTGGGTAGGGGGAATTAATTCAATAAAGGTCGAGAGGAGAGAGGAAAGAGGATTCTTTATCAAGGACCAGAGAAAATTCCGGGAGGAGAAAAGTAGAATGGAGGACTGACTCTCCAGCAGAATGGGAGGAGAGAGAGAGAGAGAGTTTTATAGCATCAGAGTAGACTACCCCATTACCCATTACCCATGACAATGAAATTCTGCTGATTGATTCTTCATTTTTGCCTTATAATCTAATATAATCCATCTCAAGTCTATACTATACAATCAAAATCATGATAATAACACCCACCGGAAAATTACCCGGTTAATATCAAAGACAGTCTAGATTCATCGACTGGGGGAAATGAAATCAACCGAGCTTCCTCCCCACGGACATTCTGCTAATTAGTACGGGGTTATTGAATTCCAACATATATTCTCTAAGACTAGAATTCGTCTATTCGTGGTCGTATACATTTGTCAATCCAATCTCGACGCCATCACATCCCCAGACCAACAGGTGAAGACGGTCGAAGAATTAATCCGAACTCTCGGAATGACACCTTGTCCCGCTCTCTTCGAAAAGAAAAAAAAAAAAAAAACGCCCTCTTGGGCATCAAAGATCTCGACATCTTTCCTACTCATTTGAAGTAAACTGCTGGTTAAGCATAAATTCTTCCATTCTGAATTAACCCCCCCCCCTTATTCCCTTCGCGTATCAGCCAGGCGAGTTCCTTTTCTCGGGTCTGTGCAGGAATCCAATACATAACCTACCCAGTAGAAGTTCTAACTTCAGAGCTTCTTGTTAAAAAAAAAAAGAGAAAGCCTTTCTTTTATGTCTAATCTATCCACTCCTCACGTCGAGGCTGGCTTTTACCAGCGGGCACAAATGAGCGCGTCTCGGAGTGACGAGGATAAGAGAAGGCTGCGGGATAATGCGATGATGCTAGTAACTATTATTGGCCCTGGTCCGGGAATACACAAGTTCATTTACTAACTAAGTCAAGTTATCAGGGTATGAAAAGGTTCAGATCGCTCCCGACGAAACTACCGGCGAAGACGACTTCAAGTATGCAGATGCTCCGGCGGTGTGTGCGGTGGTGGTGGACAAGGGGAGTGGTGTTGGATATGCGCAAATAACCGGCGGCGGCAAGAAACCAGACATCGTTTATACTGGTCGCGGCGAAACGGGATATAAGCTGGCACATATTTCTACTGGTCAGACATGTATGCTGTACGGGCGGCCTACGGTGCTGTATGTCTATCCTCAGCCGTGAGCCGGTGGTGGTGGTGCCTTCATCCTTTCCTTCGTCCTTTCCATGGCAAATCTGATCAGGGCCTGACACATCTCTCGAGATAGTTCGATCACCGGCATCTTGCCATAGTCGTCAGGTACGTTGATGGTTAACGACCGGTGTTTCCCCTCATAATTCCCAAGGAAATTGATCAGGTCTTCTTCCTTCAAGGGGGCACGGTATGACAGGACTCCTTTGGGGCCATCTTAGATTTAATTTAGAATATGAAATCCCAAACGGAGCTACATACCTTGATTATTCCCTGGTAGGATGTTCGCATAGTGTACCAATACCGCTGACAATCCTCCCGGGTGCTCCACCCCTTGCCACCATTCCATCATATCGCGAAGAAAATCGGTCGATTTCAACGTGCCAAGCCGCGATTGGTATGTTGATAATGCACAGAGAATGAAGCCCTCTGGACAATGAGTCCATAATTCACTCAGGACAGTGTGTGCACGCAGCTTGGGTGCATTCTTGCCTATTGAATGCCGGTTTGATCTCACCAAGGTCGAACTTTTCTGGACTTTTTCCAATTGTAGGTTAGTGAAAGGGATAAAATTATCAGAAAAACTCCTCCTTGTGGTATCGCATAGCGCTATTAATTCGGACGACGTTAGATTAGGGGAGGACATCCTGATCAATGAGCGAGGGTTAGATCGAAACAAGGCAAGGCAAGGCAAGGCAAGGAAAGGTGAGGTGAGGTGAGGTGAGGTGAGGGCAGGAGAGGAGCGGTTGGACTTATAATCAAGGCCAGGATGGAAGAAAGATATTCCAAGCCGGAACAGCCGAAACCAAAACATACGGAGTTATCAGTACACTGCTTCCTCCAAAGTTAGGTGCATGCATGCTTCTATAAGATCAGATAGTAATATAATCTATTTTTCCAAATCTCAATCTCAATCCAATGATCCCTTGGTTCCCTTCTGACCCCCAATTGTCCCTTCCACCAAACGATAAGAAAGTTGGTGTCCGTCCCCCCTTTCTCTGTTTTCATAGTTTTCGACTGGACACTTTTGTTTCTTTCAGCGTCAAGATTTGTTTCCCAAGTCGGGATTGGCTTCATCCCACTGTCTGGATACTAGTTCCGTTGTATTGAGAGCTTCCTTCCAATCAATCCCTGCCAAGCCGGGGTATCATGGTCTTCCAAAGGAAAAATGTGGGGTTAAATGTGACCCAAAGCAAAAAAAAATGATATATAAAACATACCATTCCTGGGGTGAAACAAGTAGTAAAAGGAAAGGAAAAAAAAAAAATCTAGCCAACGCTTATATAAACAGAAGAAAAGTAGAAAAAACCAAGTGACGGAAATTTCCAACCAACAATTGCCCCCTTTTTTCTTGAATGATGCATCTAACGCCGTTTACGAGCAGTATTCTCATGCTCATGCTCCTGCTCAAGAGAGTGTGTGTTGTTCTCTGCAATATCACCATTCTGTTCTGGCTCGGGTTTCGCTTGGCTGATAACTTCCGGCGCAATGAATTCTTCCGAAAAGTTCAACTCCTCGTGCTCAAGGGGAATGAAACGAACTTTGACTCGCTTGACCCCGCGAACGCCCATCCCAATGGCTGCTCGAACTTTCTCTTCGATCTCCCGGGACCGTTGGATCGACCACACCCCCGGCACAGCTAGCTCAACATCCATCAGGTAGTTCTGACCCGATTTCATTCCCTGCACGTCCCGAACCTTGACAGCGCCGCCGTCGTTAACGTTTCCAAGTGCCTTTGCGGCGGCCTTTTGTACGGCGGACTTGATGTCGTCGTCGACCGTGGTATCGGCTAATTCTAAAAGCGACGTTCGAGTATTTCCCAACCCGGCCTTGATCACCATCAGCGAGATGAGCAGTCCGCCCACAGGATCCAGCCAGGAGGCGTCCTGAAATAGGTAACTTCCGCCAATTGTAAACAGGGCGACGATACTGGTAAGGGAGTCGATACGGTGGTGGATGGCGTTGGAAGCTAGGACGGACGACTTGCGCTCATTCGCCACTTTCATTGCTGTAAGTTGTAGGCGTATAGATTAGCTTGGATTCTTCGAACCAACGGGGCTGAAAAAAAGGAGAGGAATACATACTGGCATGGTAAAGCCACTCCTTGATAACAATAGAGCCCGCCGCAAGCCAAGCAGCGTGAATGCTAGGACCAAGAACATCAACTCCATGGCTGTGGGAGTGGCCGTGTCCCAACTCTAGGTGAGAAATCGCCTCAGCCGCCTCGGGGAAGAACTGGTTCAGGAGAACCTGCCCCGAATTTAAGCCCATAAATACTCCACCGCAAAGTAAAAGCCCGCTCACTCCCAGTGCCCCAATGCTCTCAATTTTCCCGTAGCCGTTTGGAAACCGCTCACTGGGCGGCTTGAGCGACCACGCGACAGTGCCAAGAGTCAGAAAATCCGAGATCAAATCCGTCAGAGCATGGTAAGCGTCTGCAATCAAGGCCTGCGAATGGAAAACATAGCCACCGATAAACTTTCCAATCGCCATGGCGAGATTCGCGATCAAGCCAATGCGTGTGATCCGCACGCCGGCGTCGTGGGTGTTCGGGGAGGTGAGGTAGACATTTCCATGGTGGTGATGGTGATGGTGATGATGGCCACCGTGGCCACCGTGGTCTCTGGTCTGCATTGCCATGAACGGGAGGGTGGTGCTAACGGCAGACGATGTTGTTGATGTGGTCAATACAGGTAGTAATAGCGGGCTAGTTCGGGCCCGGGCATTGGCGGAGCAGGAGGTGAGCGGGGGATAAGTAGTTGGTGATGGGGAAGATCTTGAACGAAAGAACGCGTTGGCGGTTGTTCGCAAGACACGAGACTGGGCTGAAGAACGCGCAAGCGGGGGACGAATCAGCCAGGATCGTCCTCGAACGATGGAACTACGGAGGCCTGAAGCTGATGTTGCTGGTGTTGGATGGACCCTGCACCACAGGGGCTGCGTCAGCGGCATCCCCCCGAACGAAATAACCTCCAACAAGCTTCGCTAAGTCCTAGTTCGAAAAAGGATAAATAATGAAGAGTCAGGGGTAAAATATCTCAGGGTGGCATCAATAATAATCAAATTAAAATTCCGGAACCGTTAGTTTTGCGCCTAAGGACAGAGTGTTCTTCTTAGCCGTTGAGAGATGGCTGAACTGGCCCATTATCTGCTCTAGAGAGGGGGGGGGGAGTATTGGAGCCTGGACAAGGAGCGGAGAATGGAAATATGTAAGTGAATTGAAAACAAATCACAGTGACTGGTTGTTTTTTCCTTTGGGGGACCTGAGGTTCTGTCTGAAAGCCAATGATTCTTCTTGACGTTATTTTATAATAGTACGTAGGTGGAAAGAGAGAGGGAGAGGGAGAGTCTTCAAGTACTGAACCGGCAGAGAGAAGCCGAGATGCGCTGATTGACACCAACATAATAATCATGATAATAACCAGCGACTTCCATTTTCTCCCGATGACTCACTCCACAATATCCTTTCTGTCTTTCTTTCTTTTTGACAGTCATTCTCTCAGTATCTAGGCACCAATTTCCCCCAGCTCATTTTGCTCCCTATACATATCCGAAATGATCACTGCTGCGCCTAGATTGGCCGGAAATAGAACAGGACTACGTACTCCGTATATTATGGGCCCATTTATAGGTAAATTGAAATCAGTAAACGCGGTTGGTTAACTATCAATCAGTAGTTAAGGGAATGAATACGACGGATATCGTACTCGGGATTCTGGAGTACTCTGCATTGCTGCAACTGAGCATCGAGTCCGCCTATCTTCCTCGTTTCACTTCTTCTCTGACCAGTTCTCTTAATGTTGCTCTCAACCGTCGGGCTCTAATTAAAATGTATTAGCTGTTTCTCACAAGTTCCCCATTCTACTACGAGTGCAGTGTAGAACTCTTGAAACCAGCAGGCCGAACTTAGACGGATTTTAGTCCGAGATAAGATTATTAGTCTCTCTAGGCTTGAATTTAAAGGGAAAGCAAGGCTGGATCTGGGGAAATGAAAAATCCATTGTAAAGTGTCTAATTTAATCCTTAAAAAGCTGTCTAGACTCGTAGACCGTAACTAACTTTGACCTCATCTACTCTTCTCCGCGATAACAACCAGATGACTTGGATGGAGGAAAAAGCGGTTAAATGGTGAACACCATATCATGTCAGCAAGAGCGCGAGGGAAAGTCTTTTGCCTGAATAACTATTGCTTCGTACATCTACCAAGCTACTAGTTACTACCTAACCTTTCTCCCCCTCCTTCCTCCACCGTCACCTCCACCGTCACCTCCAGCATCACCTCCAGCATCACCTCCAGCCCTCATTTAATCATTATCTATCATAATGGCTGCATCTCAAACTGGCCTTGATGCTCTCCGTGCTAGGACTGTCGTGGATTGCGATACAATGGATGAGCAAGGTGCTTCCCCCACCAACAACTCTCATACAAAGGAAACTGAGAATTCGACCCCCAGTTGCCAAAACTCTTGGTCCCTTCCAGGACTGTACCTCTAATCAGGTATGTGAATCTCTTTTCGGTGGTTAAGGATGAGCGTATCTAATGAATAAGGCCATCGCATACGGAGAGCTATCCAAACCTGAGAATGCAGCTTTAGTCGAGTCCTCTGTCGTAGCAGCAAAGGCATTGTCTCATCGTTTCTCGGGCAGCAGTGTCCCTGGACTAGCCACAGAAATTGCGGTGTGTTTATTTCCTAATTTCGAACCTTTAAGCTCCGAATCTAGAGTAACAAAGGCCACAGATGGTTAAATTAGCACTCAAGATTGCACCCCACATTCGAGGATATGTCCACATCCAGACCGACCCTTATCAATCTTACTCAACTGAGAAGACAGTTGCCAATGCATTGAGTAAGTGACCCCTAGTCATGCCCTAAATATCGCTGCCACATACAGACTTTCCTGGCTAACTGCTTTTCTTCCATCCAGGAATTGTTCAGCTATTCCAGCATCTGGATCCCAATTTCGACACCACTCGCATCTGTATCAAGATCCCAAGCACTTGGGAAGGCTTGATGGCCTGTCGAACCCTTGAAGCCGCAGGAGTACGCACCCTAGCAACAACACTGTTTACCTTCATACAAGCTGCCATTGCAGCAGAAGTCGGGTGCACCTACGTCGCGCCTTACGTTAACCAACTGCGAGTCCATTTTGAGCCAGGGTAAAGGTGCTTTTATTCCCTTGTCTCTCCCCAACCCACGTTAACAAGAGAGTAGGTTCGAGGATCCAAACAAGCTCTTGCCACTCTGTGTTTCCATCCAGAGATACTACGAGTCCATCGGCGCAAAGACGCAGGTTCTCCCGGCTAGTTTGACGTCTACAAAGGAAATCTTTGCGCTTGCAGGTGTCCAGCATATCACCATTGCTCCTGGTCTACTACAGCAGCTTTCCCAACCTGACTCTGCTCCCAACGTTGAGTCATTGTTTGACTCCGCATTACAAGCGCCATCTCCTAAGGCGATATCGTATGTAGGCAGGGAGTCGGTGTATCGCATCGGATTTACGCGATCTGAACGTGGATCGAGCGAGGAGAAACTCACGCAGGTACGTCGATCTGATGCTGCTGATTTTTTTTATCCTACGATCTAGGACATACCTCTCACACGTATTAGGCTATTAATATCTTCTGCGATATGCAGGATAAGCTAATCAAGCTTATGCTTGCGACTGCAAACCGACTTAACGGCACGGTGTAGATGCTTATGACATGGCCAATGAGCGACGAGAACCAGGATTACCCATCTCAAGAAGCAAGCATGATATCTTTCTGTTTATAACCCATAGCTTTGAATTTAATACCAAGGTACTCCATAGCATCAATAGTGATTACGCGGCCAAGAGTTGTCCAAAATATACCATAAGAGGGTTTTGTCCCGAATGGGCAACTGGTCACAAACTTAGGTGGTATAGCGGGGGACGAGCTGCTCGGCACCAGCCAGCAGCATTTGTCTGGGCCAGTATTCGTGTTGTCTCGATTGCCAATAGCTGTGACCCAAAGACACCTCGTCCAGATTTATAGCACCAGACCCGGCTCCTGCAAGATAGCACCTGGCAGTTAAAGAGTAGAGATTACTTAGACTACAGACTTTACAGTGAGATGTAACCCTGATATGAAACCCTTTCCTTTCATGGAAAGAAAGAAATGGGCGATTAACGACGGGACGAAATTCTCCTTCTCAGGTGTCTCGTTGACCTCTGCGGTCGCGACAGAATGCCGAAACCAGTGAGACCCCGCCAGGCACGTTAAAATCATCCCAGGTGTACTGGTAGACAACGTGGGCTGAGACCCTTGGAGAAAAAGAGAAAAAGAGAAAGAGAAGAAAGACGAAGATTAAAAAACCGAGCGGAAGAAGTGGGCGTTGGTGGAATGGAAGAAGAATCTTCCGACTGGGTAATAGGAGCGTTGTGATTGGCCCAATTTCGTGGAATATTCGCAGTCCCGTGACTAGAACTGAACCCGAGGTTCTCCGTCCCGTGATTCCGAGCCGTTGCGAGAGGGCCGGGAATTCAATTCAAGGTAACTAACTCTCTTCCTGGACGACGACAGTCAACTAACTCTCTTGTTTGGATTCAGCCTCTCCATTGTTGCTCTGTATCCAGCATATCAACTATGATTTCTCAGAAGGTCGCTCAGCAGTCGCTGCGACGGCGTATGTGCTTCCTATTCCATGACTTTGCTGAATTGAGCCCGTCTAACTCCTTCCAGTCGCCGTCCAGCAGCCCTATGCTATGCGCTGGTCTCTTATGAACGCCGCCTCCCCTGCCGCTGTTGCCATTGGAAGGAACATTCAGACGAGGTGAGTTGTGCCTCGCGGTTTCTTGATCCAGCTGCCGACAAATTTCCCTCGATTGTGTCCCCTCGCACACACACCTCGCTACGTCATGCATTGAATGCTCTCGTGCCACAGGATATTCGAACAATATTTGGGATACCAGAACGCCCGGATGCTAACAGGGACAATCAGATACACTGCCTCCAGTGCCAGCACCTCTGATCCTACCAAGCTTCTTGCCCAGCAGCGCCTGAACCGTCCCGTTTCTCCCCACCTTTCCATCTACCGCCCTCAGATCACCTGGATGGCCAGTGGTGCCCACCGTATTACCGGCCTGGTACTTTCCGGTCCTCTCTACCTCTTCGCCACTGCCTACCTTGCTGCTCCCTTGTTCGGCTGGCACCTTGAGTCTGCCACTCTGGCTGCCGCCTTCGGTGCTCTTCCTGTCGCCGCTAAGGTCGCTGTTAAGGGTCTCGTTGCTTTCCCCTTCACCTACCACTGCATGAACGGTCTGCGACACTTGTCCTGGGATTTTGGCAAGGGCATCAACAACAAGACGGTTATCCAGACTGGCTGGACTGTGGTGGGCTTGAGCACCATTAGCGCTCTTTTGCTTGCTTTTCTGTGATTTTTCTGTGACATACCTATAAGTTTTTGCCCCCTTTTTTTTTAGAAAAAAAATTCATTCATCTTGCAACATATTTTATACTGTTCGATTAAGGACTGAATTTTGAATGAAACTCTTTCATGTCTTGGAAATCGCCTGCTCCTGTTGTCCAACCCTAACAAATCCATGTTAGAGGGAATCTAGAAGAATAGAAACACCCACAGCCTGAAGATGAGATCAAGACAAAAAGGAATCTTGTTGATGAGATACTACAGTAATGGATTCCTAACATTAATGCATGTTATCCTAATGCCTTCCCGGTAGGTACGGCACGCGCAAGATACCTGGTGTCTGAAGTGGACTTTTGAAATAGATTTTGAATTGCAGTTTATTACTGATGAAGACTCAGATTCAGAAATCATAGCGAACCCTCCATCCTACCATCCTCTAATTTTGCAGTCTTTCAGGCCCGTCGATATTCTAAAATTATTCTCAACCCATTCTATGAGGTCCTTCCAATTTTCGGCTGTTTGGCCCCAATAAATCCGTCATCGAGCCGTACCGTTTCTCTTATCACGCTTCGCTCGTTATTATTGCCCTCTAAGCGGCCGTCACATTTGCTTCCGGTCGTCTATACTTTTGATCAGCGTCCGACTCAAGCAACCACAACCTCGACTTTACCTATAGCTGTATCTACCACACTGGTCTCCCAACGTACCTCAAGCGATACGCAATGACTTCAAGCGGGACTCGGTGGGGGATTAGGAGGAAATGGCCTGGGTGAAGGTGGGTCTTGTACGGAGGAATCGGTCGTCGCAATATCCTGGTTGATGCACAGAGTCTGGTTGTGCTCCGTGGCCATGCTAGAACCGAGGTGGTGCATAATACAAGTCATTATCTTGTTCAGTTTCAACACCGGATTCTTATGAGACCTGGAACTGAGGTATGTCCCTATAGCATCGGCGAATTTCAACAACAACAGGACCAGTAAGAGGGGGGTTGGCTTTATTATTCCAAAGCAGCTTGAGGAGTGAGAGGAACTTTCTTCTTTGTTTTATTCACGTTGAATATCTGTGAGATGAATATCCCCCCCCCCCCCCTCTTCTCTCTGTGTCCAGGCTAACTCGGCGTTTAAGAACCTTAGCGCTCAGTGCCTTGCTGCCTCCAAATGATTGCTGCAATTGAACAAGCTGCACACCGCCAGAACTACAGCCTACGGGAAGGGACCGCGTGGAATATGACCCTCTTTCAGTCGATCTTTCCAGATAGCATCAGATCTTGAAGTTGTTTTTGGCTCCTTCTGCAAGGGCCCGACGGGAGGCTAGTTGTTTGGGATGTTAGACGGCGTGCTTGCAGCGGATCGTCTCCCACTATATACACAAGGCAAAATTTTCAACAGTATAGAAATTTTGCCCTGGAAGTCCTGCGCTATTTGCCTTTGGCGCGGACGGACCATTCCCTTGCGACGCACTGGTTACCCAACCCTGCATATTTCTATACAGTACGACCAGAGTATAGAGGACTTTCCGGTTTGCTGCAGGAAAGACTCCCTGAAGAATTTACACGTTTGGTCAGATCACGGCTTTTATCTGGAGGTGGGCCAGCCAACTGGAGCTGTTTAATGTCATTTTATATTCCCCAAAGACAATACTGAAATGGGCACTTCTTCGGCTTGCCTGTCATTCATCACCTGTGTGTTTTGACTGGCCTGAGTTTGCGCTGTGCGTGGTCTTGCAGGTTAAGTTCGATATAAATATTGCTCATATATCAAGGGTGTTCGATGATGGCCATACCTGGAACTAAGTGCACAAGTACTGTGCCTTAGGCCTAAACCCAGCATAGATGTCTAATCACTCCCTCAAAAGCTGACGTATATACTCCAACACGCCACAACTCTAGGGTAACATGCTGTCGCAGCCGAATTCTCTGCGCTGGCTTGCGTTCTAGGCCCATTTCCTACAAGGCAAGTTTGCTTCAACTAGACGCGGCAAAGGAAAAGCAGAATTCTCATTCCTCTTGAATTTGGAAGTGCCGCTGATAAAAAAATAAATAAATACTACAGGTTCGAAAAAGTACACCCGGAGCCTTTCACGCAACACCAGTGTTTCTACGAAACGCTCAGAGCAATGCCAGAAAGTCTAGTTCAAACGATACGAACACGTGGACAGTCCTGTGATAGGTATGTACATGTTATGTGCGGGTCACACAGACGGTAGAACCCTCTAGCCCTGCTTTGGCTCTGGAGAGCCATATCCCGTTCAAAGTCGAATCATCTTTGATGGCTATCAAGCGATTTGTTCCCTGAATTATTAGCGACTGGGGGGCTACCCGCAGCCGAGGAAGATGTGTGAAAGTTATAGATAGTTCGGGAAACAGGGTGCTCTGGAAATCCGTCGGCTCGACTTTCCGTGCATTGCGGTATAGAATCCCTGTTCAGTCAATGCGGAGGCGGTTGGGATCTTGCTTTGCTATGCAGCAGGGTTCCATGACCTAGGCTCCCAGCATAGGAAATTTCATATCTTGGCCAGCAGCAACTGTGGAGAAAACTCCAGGTATTTCTAGGAATGGAGAAATCGACGTGTTCACCCTTATTCTCCTCGGATCTGCTAGTGAATCCTACTCAGCTTCGTTTTCTTTCCCCTGAACAGATTTCAACCGCCTTGTGGCACAGTTCTCTGCGTAACCAGAAAGCGGCAATAGATGCCTAGCCGGCTGTTACTTCAGGTCTTTCAGGAGAACTGCCTTCTAGAACTCTGTGTCTAGACGGCCGTACGGATGTTACCCGGCATCACATGTGTCGGGGCACTGGAAGTGTGCAGAAGGATGTTTACCCCTGGTCCTGTCGCCGCCAATCCAGCTGAGTGGGTAAAACAAGACCTATCTAAGTAAAGAAGAGCAGAAAAGGACAACCCCTCCAGTGCTGAAAGTGAAACAAGGAATATTTTCCCATGGGGAAGCTGGGGGTCCGAAATCATGGGATATGTGATGTGGCTTCTGCTCGCTTGATGTTGCGGTGCGGAGGTCTGGCTAACGCCTGGTGTGACACACATGCGGGCAGAGTTAGTGAACTAAATGACAGGCCTCTTCTTTTCCCCCTGGTTCTTTCAAGTTTCAACCCTCGAGGTTGCGGTGTGGATTGTATGTAGTAGTCTACATGCATATATCAGGAATTATCTCATTTGGCTAGATAGATTGTTTCCCCCAAGTGTATGCTAGCATAGCATGATCTATTCTTCCCGTCCATTCACACTAAAGGATTGATATTTCCCTATCTATTTCTCTTTCTATAAAGTACCAGTGGCTGTGTACAGAGTATGTCCATAGATACACATAGAACGTACGCCCTCATCACCCTCGTCTTTTTTCAACCATAGTATTCTAACTCTGGGCTATATCTGAACCATGAATCACTATTGACCTTGGACCCTATTTAATTAAATTGTATCATGAGTACATATCCAAGCACAAATCCAGGTACTCTGTAGGTACAAGGTACAAGAACCCGCTGGTATTGTTAGCAGGAGCTAAAAGTAGAGGTACATACCCCGACTATACCCAAACAGGACTAGCCCCGAACCTCTTGAATTCTTTCCAAGACCCGTCTTGGATTCACATCGCCCGCGGCCGCTGGTGAAAAAAAAAAAAAAAACAAGATCAGATCCAGTTTCTCCTACACTCCCTAGATCCCATGGCTTCATTACTCCCCATTCGAGTGGTCAGGACCACCACCTCCTCCTGTTCCGCATGCCGCTCTCTCACTTCCGCCGCAACTCCAACAACACGCCTCGCCGGCGCCGCCGCTCCTCTCTTCCGCCGCAACTTGTCGACACCCTCCGAGCAACAGCAGACCCCCCCAGCGGAGTACTCAGATAAGCCACGATGGTCATACACTCCTCCTCGCGCGAAGGCCCCCTTTAGTCTACGCCTGAACTCCAAGAGACGCGAGTTCCCTGTGAACTCCGACCCCAAGGTGCTCGACCAGTTCTATATTCGCATGCTGGGCGAAGACGGCGACAAGGTTCTTTCGGATGAGGTCAAGTGGCTTACAGTTACGCATAAGAGTTTCGACCAGGGGAGGAGAGGATTCAATGATCGATTGGCTTTTCTCGGTGTGTGTTTTTTTTTTTTTTTTTTTTTGAACTATTTTCTCCTGGAATTATGTTTCTTAGTTTTATTTTTTTTTTTTTTGAATGGAACTGACAAATCCCGGCTGCGAATAGGAAAACGCATCGTTCAGCTACAGGCTTCCCTTGCTCTGGCACAGAGCCCTGGAACTGCTGTGGTCGCTGATGTCTTTGGTCGAGAGCCTTTCGCCCACCCTGCGCTGGATGGACTGGGCAATCTCTCCACGAACACGCGGAATTTCCTCACAAGCAAGATGAAGCTTGCCGAGCTTGCTGAGAAATATGAATTACAGACGGTGTTGAGATGGAGCCCTCGAAAGGTGAGAAATCTCGGTTTATTTTCTTCTCTCTTAAGTCTCGGCGGCCGGCCCATGCTAACGAACCTGACCAGCCCGACAACCTCCCAGCCTCCGGTGTCGAGCTCGTCCTCGCGCATACCATGTACGCCGTGATCGGTGCCATTTCTCTGGAGAAAGGCGGACAAGTGGCCAACAAGGTGGCACAAGAGCGGATATTGGCACCCTTGGGATTCAAGGTGACGGCTTAAGGGGCGGTGCTGTGTGAGAGTATGAAAATAGCCGCAGGAGCATTTTCCAGGCGTTAATTTTTTTTTTTTTTGTTTCCCTTTTCGTTGGATATTTTCTCTGTATCTGTTGGCAGGGGAGGGAAGATATTTCTCGTGTGTATTTTTAACTACGGCTTGTGATATATTTGACGGCAAATACCATCTCTTCAGTTCTCTCTCTCTCTCTGGATACTGAAAAGAAGATATTGAATTAAAGAATGTACGGTTCCTCTGACACCGCCCGAGTAACAGTGCAAAATACCCGGCCAGCTCTTATGGAACCCTCATACGATGCATAGTCTTCGCACCTCTGTATCGCAAAGCAGCAATAGAAACCCAACAGCCAAATCGGACAGAATGTCTGATGGTCATTGGAATCACAGAAAATGTAATTATACTAGCTTGCACTGTCTAATGGGAGCGTATGGTACAAAGAAGAAAAGAAGAAAAGGAAAAGGGACGTCGCTGGAAAAAAAAAATTTGAAGTTATATTCGGTGGTGGGGATGGCGCTAAACCTAATATAGCTAGGCCAGAAGAGGTAGTGGATGCTTACTAATCACACGGATTGAACTAACTGTATTAGGTAGCTAACTAGAGTTCGGGGGTTCGATTCTTGCTGTTGTCGATTTTCTCGAGGTCATTTTTATTTTGTCTGCTGGGATTGTAGTTCTGTTCTATTCCGATTATAATAACACTGGTTCTAAGCTAGTTCTATCTTGATGTATATAACTATATATTAGATTCTATCTGACGATATCACTGGTTCACATCCCGCTGGTTGGGCTCATCTTCTCTCCGCCCCCGACTAGTGGTTTCGTTGGCCTCTCCCGTTGCACCTCGTCCAAGAGCTCCAGGCTTCTTTAACACTTGACTATCCTTCCTTGACTGCTTCCCCCCGTCCTACGTGATGGCGTCGGCCATTTTCTTTCTCGATTTGAAGGGCAAGGTACGTCTCTCTCCTCGATTGGGACTGGGGATATCGTCTCAATTCCATCGGAGCCACTGACCTCGTGCTGACTTGACCTCCTCCTCTTAGACCCTTCTGGCCCGAAACTATCGCGGAGACATCCCCATGTCCGCCGTCGAGAAATTCCCTATCCTCCTCAGTGACGCCGAAGAAGAAAGCTCCGCCGTACCTCCGTGTTTCTCCCATGAAGGAATCAATGTATGTTTTTTACCGTTGCCAACTGAGCCATTCATTGTCGCGCCTCTCCCTCCCCCGCTGCTCCCCCGCAACCCGCATCGCATCTGCTCAACTTGTATTCATACGACTAGATGAAATGGGACGGCACAACAAAACACAATCCATATGCTATATATATATATATATATATATATACATATATACATGTTATTCATCTGCTGACCTTGGGATATGTGTCCCCCTTTAGTACCTCTACATCCGTCACAGTAACCTCTATATCCTCGCCTTGACGAAGAAAAACACCAATGCCACGGAAATTCTCCTCTTCCTCCACAAGATCGTGGAGGTCTTTACGGAATACTTCAAGGTGCTGGAGGAGGAAAGTATCCGCGATAACTTCGTCATCATTTACGAACTGCTCGACGAGATGATGGACTTTGGCTACCCTCAAACAACAGAGACCAAGATCTTACAAGAGTATGCCGCCCTCGCCACCTTGATTCATAGAAAACCCCCCGTCCTAATAATTTCCTACTCAGGTATATCACACAAGAATCACACAAACTCGAGGTCCAAGCTCGCCCACCCATTGCAGTCACCAACGCCGTCTCCTGGCGAAGCGAAGGCATCCGCTACCGCAAGAACGAAGTCTTCCTGGACGTGGTCGAGTCTTTGAATCTCCTCGTATCCGCGTCTGGCAACGTGCTACGGTCCGAGATCCTCGGCGCGATCAAGATGAAGTGCTACCTGAGTGGAATGCCGGAGCTGCGTCTAGGTCTAAACGACAAAGTCATGTTCGAGACCACCGGACGCGCCACACGGGGGAAGGCAGTCGAGATGGAGGACGTCAAGTTCCACCAGTGTGTGCGGCTGTCTCGGTTCGAAAACGACCGCACCATCAGCTTTATTCCGCCGGACGGAGAGTTCGAACTGATGAGCTACCGGTTGAACACGCAAGTTAAGCCCCTGATCTGGGTTGAGTGTCTGGTGGAATCCCATTCCGGTTCTCGAATGGAGTACATGTTGAAGGTGATTTGACTCCTCTTCCTTCCATTTTTTTTTTTTCCCCACCCCCCCCGTTTGTCTCTCCACTGACCCCCCATATTTTCGTATGACCCCAGGCCAAAGCACAATTCAAACGCCGCAGCACCGCAAACAACGTCGAAATCCTCGTCCCCGTCCCCGACGACGCAGACTCCCCGCGTTTCCGCACCAACATCGGAACCGTCCACTACGCCCCCGAGAAATCCGCCATCGTGTGGAAAATCAAGCAGTTCGGCGGCGGCAAGGAATTCCTCATGCGCGCCGAACTGGGTCTCCCCTCCGTCAAGGGCGACGACGAGCACGGCGGCGGTATGACCGGAGGCTTTGGCGGCAGTATGGGCGGCACCATGCAAGGAAAAGCAAAGCGGCCAATTAATGTCAAATTTGAGATTCCTTATTTCACTACCAGTGGCATTCAGGTGCGGTACTTGAAGATTACGGAACCCAAGGTACTTTTTCCTCCCTTTCCCTTTCCTCCAAAAAAAAAAAAATGCGTGAATCTATACATATTATATGTGTGTATGTGCTAATTGTATACGGATAGTTACAATACCCCTCCCTCCCATGGGTCCGATACATTACGCAATCAGGCGATATTGCCGTCCGCATGCCAGATGTACAATGATGTAAAGCGTTTCTTTTTTTTTTTTTTTTCTTTTTTTCTTTTTTTTTTTATCTTTTATTTTACTTGATAGTTGCAATAGATATCTTGCTGGGTCGAAATCTTCCTGATTAAATATATATATATATATAGATAGATCTGTAAATATTTATTGGGGATTTAAGTGATACCGTATGTATCATGTTTATAGTCTTGACTCTTCATTAAATCGACGAGACAAGACAAGACAAGACAAGACAACTGAAGTAACTCATGCCAGGCAAGGCAAGGTAGCTAGCTAGCTATTTGGATTTCTATCATACCTATTCTAGCGCCAGTGGTGGTGGTGGTGTAGTAAGAATACAAAATTGCCCATGGGCTGGGATTATCGGAGGCTGGGTATCTCAAAAAGGTACTAAACTAAACCGAACTGGTTTAGTAAAGTCGTAGAGTGTAGAGGGTATAGGATAGGTAAAGTTTAGTGTGGAATAGATGGTGATGGTGGCGGCGCGGGAGGCAGACTAGAGCTTGCTATTTGGACAACCAGAGTAACAACGCCTCATATACCAAATATGGATGAGAAGGGAAATTCTCCTTTTAAAATGGCCCTTGCGAATCGGGGGGTTTTGGGAGGGACAGAGGGGGGGGGGGGAGGAAGTTTTAGCTGTTGGTAGAGTTACTGTGTAGTTCACCGTCTGGCGTCTCTGGTGCTGGGAGAGGGAAACCGTCGCCGTGGTTAGTGCCCGCCGCCTTGTAGAACCCTTCTCGGGCTAGCATGGTGTTGAGCACGGCGCAATTGTAAGCAGCCTCCCCGGGGGGCACGACAACAAAGATGTAAGTGTTATCTGTGAAGCGGCCGAGGAAGACATTAAACTGCAGGGTTTTGGTATGCATCACGACAAACCCGGCCGAGGCTGGGGTGGTGTGTGTGTTGCGGGCAGCGCAGTGCTTGAAGGCCTTCATGATGTTGGATAGTCGTTCATGACGGTCATAAATAGGGTTCATATCGCCAATCTCGGACGAGACGGAGGTCACAGTGAGGAACGTCGAGCGCTCGAAGAGGATGACTTCCTCGGCGTCGATACGCTTGGAGAAGGCCTGCAGGAACCGTTCGATGACGGTGAGGTTCGGAATGAGTTTGTGAACGATCCCAGCCCACGCTTTATAGAGAGATTGGTCCCAGATACTACTCCCAAAGGTGTCGATTATGAAGTGCTCGGTGCGGCTGCGAATCAGGGCGGAGCGTTCGTCGTAGATCCGTTGGCGGTGCTCAGCTTGGATGAGATCAAGCTTGTGTACGAGACAGAAGACGTATGCGTTGGGGCTGTATTCTTTTAGAGCGGCGATGACGGCGGAGTATGTATCGAGATCGCGCTCGACTTCACGGGATTCGATATCAAAGACGTAGATTAACACTGCGACATCTGAGAAGATGTTCCCACGTTGTGATGCAAGATAGGTTTCCATGAAGGCATCTTGCCTTTTAGACAGAGAGAATTAGTTACACCAAACTTGGTGGAAGACGAGGTGGACGACGGGCTCACCCTCCGCAATCCCAGAGATTCAACGTCAAGTTTCCCATGAATTTGACATGGCTATGTTCGACGTCAATTGTAGCCCCCAATCGCCGTACATCCTTAGCAACATAATTGCTGAATATGATCGACCGCATAGATGACTTCCCCGATCCACTCTTCCCCATCAAGAGGACCTTTCTCTTCTTTTTGCGGACATCCATGGCGATCGCTCAAATTGGAAAGATCCCTTATGTTCAACCGATACCCCGCAGTTGCCGCTATGGGAGAGTCCTAGGGTTCAGCATTCGATGACCCATACGGCCATTGGGAGAGTGAGAAATAAACGAACTTCAATGACAACAACAGGGAGACTATGGAGAAAGAAGACACTGTGAAGCTTGAATTGGAATTCCAGGTCGGAAGGTGATCACTGGACCAGCCTCGTCATATCGTCACATCGCCGGACCAACTATGTTCCGATAGAGTCACGTGTTCCCTCTCTATCTCTCTACCTTAGGTATAACTATACTGTATAACTATACTGTATAACTATACTGTATATATAGACGTCAGACCAAGTCTTGGTAGCATCGATCATATAGAGATCAACATGAGTTTTTATGCATTTGTAATATGTAGTTTGCCTTTGCTGTCTTTCTGTCCTTGGTATGAAGCTAACTCTTGACAGTCAATACCCCGTCCTTCCCTCCCCAGTTCCTTTTCCAAAATGTATACAAGAATAGAATCATCCCCCCCGGCTTCTCTGGTAAATGAGTCTTTCAAGAGAAATATATATAATAGGGTGGATAAAGGACAGCGATGAAGTGTAGAAAGGAGAATATAAGGCATTATAGGCATAGTCATTAAACTTCGTAAAGTCTACCCCCAGCGATTTCGACAAAACATGAAGCTGGTGGTTTCTGGTATCTAAACAGGAAATTCGAAGGGATATGCGAAAAAATCAGATCACGGTGCCATCGGAGCGTATCATAATCGGAGGCTCTTTTGTATTTGGTCTGGAGACTTCGGCAATTTCACGGCCACCCTGCGTATTATCGTTAAGACAAGAACATTGGTGCGAAAGGACTGGGAAGCACGGAGTATTCACCTTCCAAGTACCCGCTTCAAGCATCTGGGAGAGCGTGAGTTGATCAGCGCCTAGCAGTCCTAGCTGCCCGTTGACCTCATCCAAGAGGTCGTCCAGGAATCCAACGGTCACTGCCCGCCACTCCACCACTACATCGTCCGCCGCAGAAAACAAAGGAACCACTTCCACGCTAGGCTGGCCCCGAATCTGAGCGTTCTCCCTGTAAGCTGCCAGTCCCCGCTCCAGATCGATCTCCTTCAGGGTCAGCAATCCAAGGTCAATCAGGAGACCGCCGTTGCGGTATTCGGGAAGTCCAGTGAGCAGTTCACTGCCAGCAACATGAATCTTCATCAGTCGCGACATCGGAACCATAATCGAGTAACAGAGCCACTGAGTAAGCTTATGAAAGGGAACGATATTCTCCCAAGGCTGCGCGGGCGGAGAAGCAGGCAAGTCAGAACACGGCCAGGCGTCTCCAATCGAGAGCCCATCGATCTGCGTTCGGGAGCGGGGCCAGATGGAAGCGAAACCATCTGTGAGCACGGCCCAGAGAGTTGTGATTGAGACAATGGGAACGGACGAGGCGAGTGTTGATGGGTGCGAAAGGAGATAGTCTAACAGGAGTAAAGGGTCAGCACAAAGTTTGAGGTTCCTGTATCTGCACCATCATACCGAGCATGTTTCCTGGTCTGGCGTCTACCCCGAAGAACTCTTGGTTATTCAGTGCATCCGATAACCTGATCAGAAGCCCCGCGCGCCCTTCAATACCAGGGAGTTGGTTGCTGTCCGAATGCTGGAAGCCCTTGGCCAACACGTGGACTGTGATCTTCTTCAGTCCAGCACCATCTACCTGGCAGGGTTCTGTGGGGTCGCTACTGAACAATCCGCTCTTGAACATTTCCAGCGTCGCCACAGCTAATCCTTCGCTTCGCGAATAAATCTTGCCGGATTCCTTGGACTTGTAGGACCAGGTAGTCCCTGCACCAGCATCGAGGAGAACCGAGACCACAAAGAGGTCGATCAGTCGGCGGGTTCGCTCCTGCGCATCAATGGTGCTAGGCCAAGATTGAAGCAACTGGTTAATACGGGGTCTTCCCCCCACGTCAAAATGTTGCCAGCGGCCATGAGGAGGAATAGATGAATAGTCGGGAGCGTAGTCTCTCTTTTCGCAGGAGGTTCAAGAAAGAGTAAGTCAACGAGAGCCAAAGAGTAAAAAAAGAAAGAAAAAGGAAGGAAAAGACCCACGACGGTCCTTATCACATGATGAGAGGGGCAAATCCGGTCAGCTTACCTTGATAATGGACACGATATACGAAGCCGTTTCGCCAAACTTGCTCATATCAACATCGAAGTGCTTCAGCTGATTTCTCTTCGCCCTCCTAAGAATGATTTGGCATCGCTGTCGAACCGCATGAATGCTTCGCAAGTAGGCCGCAGGGTCCAGAGCTGGATCCGGCGGATTGGCGATGGCCAACTCCGGGATGGAAGAAGGCAGCCCGCTTCCTTTATACCCAGGGGACTTCAAGGACGCATTCGAAGTTCGAGCGCTATTGACGGAGACAAATGACTCACGGTCATCCTTCTCCCCCGGGATCGAGTTCTTGGAGTCTTTACGCTTAAAGATACCCATGGCGACGGTAGTCTAGAGGGGGTTTCAGGGCGAAAACCAGAGACCAAGAATGTTGACGCTGCCGAAAGGGAGGAACAACGAGGAACAACGAGGAACAAACAGAACGTGAACTGGGGGGTAAACCAAGCTAAAGAGGGACCAAGCTAGGAGTTAGTGGAATGGCTCCAACATAGTGATGGTAAATTACACCATATAAAGCGATTGTGGGGGGGGGGGGGGGAGGTTTTTTTTTTTTCTTTTTTTTTTTCCTCTTCCTTTCCAGGAGAGAGAGAGAGAGGGGAAGAGAGGAGGAGGAGGAGAGGAGGAGATACATTATTATAAAATATGATGATCTGCAGCAACAACTGCGGAAGAAAAAGTAGTTATAGTTTCGTATGGGAAAAAAATTTCGATCTGTTCAATAGGAGTTGATGCGCTTCTCTCTGTCTTTTAGAACTGGGATGAATCGGTTTGCTTTGGCTTTTTCTTTTCCCTGCCTCCCCCTTTTTTTTTTTTTTTTTTTTTTTTTTTTTCCGTTTCTCCCTCTTACGACATAGAGAATTGAAGAAGAGCAGAGGAATTCGGTAGGGAGGAATCCGAAGAAGAAGAATAACAAAGTAACAGCAACGAATGGCAGGCAATAAATAGAATGGGGCGGGAACCAAACTTTGGAGCAAAGTTGGGAGAGTTTAAAATTCCAAAAGACCGAATGAGAGGGACATTATTGGAGCGAAAAAAAGGAGATACCTAGTACTGTGTTTAAGTGTGTTTATGGTGGGCAGATTTCAATTCCTGTAAAACTAGTCAACCCTCGGAGTCGGGAGGTGGGGAGCGTTTGATATGGCCAGATTATTATATTACTATTACCAAGTATATTAATAATTAGAATTCGAGTGCGGAAAAAGACAGGTAAACTTGAAGTAGCTCGAAGATGCAGGTATTTCTCTAAGGGTGAGATGCCGAATTTTGGAGGTACATAGTCCATACATAGATATAAAGAGTACAGAGTACTATACATACCTAACATTAAGATAGGAATTGCACCTCCTGAGTCCTGAAATTGAAATCCCCCCCCCCCCCCTAGAAGAAAATTCTATCATGGAACTTACTCTGTACCTCGAGTGATGAGGTCAGTTCCATTCCTGATTCGACCGTCCAGATGCATCTCCTTCTGTATGTGGATGAGTACAGCATATCAATATGTAGGTCATTCTCTAGTATGCATGCTTAGTACTCCATCGTACATACTTCGCAATTATATTGAACTTAATTCAATCTTCCCCTGTAAATTCGATGATACTCTGGCTTATGAGGGCCAACCTGGATGAATGTAAACTAATTATCTGGATCTTTGGAAGGAAGCACGGACGGAACTCCTGGACTTTTTGGATTCTGGACTCTGGAGTCTCTGCGCACAGGACCGCCGCCGCCGCCCTCCCTTCTCGCCCTAACAATGCTAGCTTTACTTCTCACGGGCTAACTCTGCTCTGTGGATCTAGATTTCTGGTCGGTCCGCGCTCTTGGACGGAGGAAGCAAAGATCCGACTCTGGCTCCTATACCTAATCTCATTTAGGGACGGAAGGTTTGGTTTTTCAGGCACATGTCCCCATACGGACTATGCAAGGTACCAAGAGATACCTAGTCGGATCAAGTCGCGGGTCCATGCTTAAACCGGCTGTTTTAAAGATGATATTGTAGTTACTAGTGCTGGGATAATGTGATGTTATCATATCGGATATCCATCCCCCATTCGACGTTACCCCTCAAGAGCCAAAAATGACCCATGTCGTCCACGGCCCCATACCACAATATAACAACCACGGACACTCCCAACGACCATCTTCCTAGGAGAAACCCATTCTCGTCGCTAGCGGCGCTTAGTAGTGGCGACCACTGTCCACCTTGACACCTATCCACATATCCCCCTATCTACTTTGTCACAATGGTGAGAGGCAGGCCACTAAACCCACCCCTTCTAACGCCTATGGAGTACTATCAGAGACACAGAATGCGAACTATCACTATAGACCCCCACCCTAAGCGACCTCCTCCAAGCTCTTGAGGTCGTGAGAGGTTTGATCTGATGCTTCACTCCCTACTCGACCTTTACCTACAAGCGGCAGTCTTCACTCCGGATCGAAAATTTGTGCTGACCTTCTCACGTGAGGGGGGAGGACTATATATGACCCTTCAGAAGCTTACCTAGGTACATAGTACGGGTTCTTATTCCGAGATTTAAACTTCCTCTTTACCATGGGATAGATGGTTCAGATGCAGATCGTGCCATTTCTTGTGCGGCAAGCTCATCCGACATTTCCCTCCAGAAATCAAGTGCATGGCCCAAGGTCCAAGGATATATATATATATATATACCTTTTGTCTTTTGGCGTAACCGCTAATGCGGGAGACGCTACTACCTAGGTAGGTATACTCGGTAGGATCATGGCCATGCTGGGTTAAGCATGTCTGATGGGGTTGAAGTTTTGATCCCATCTCTCAGCCAGTTAGCATTCGAGAAGGGTAAGTACCTTAGTACCTCAAATATAAATACTGCTCCTAATAAAAGAAAGATGACATCTGGCCTTTCACACATCCTTCTTAGGGAAATTCATTCTGTGACCCATTTCTTCCCTTTTTTATCACCTTTTTTCTTTTCTTTTCTTTTCTTTTCTTTTCTTTTCTTTTTTAGTTTGGCATCCTAGGACCTAGGGCAGCTACGGACGCAACCTGTTCCACCTGCAACTACGGAGTAATTACTGGTTTCCAACTTTCCATCAAGCGCCCTCCACTGACACTAACGGAGTCTCCGTAGGTCTTGCGTAGTATTATATTATTTATCCGACAGTGTGAGAACGTTCAATACCCACATTGAATAGAACCTGGAGCTATAAACACGATGACTAGAGCTCGGATCCGAAGAACAAGCACCAAGATCACCACAGGCTTCTTGCGTCCGATTCTCTCCAGATATAGATAGATTCCTGTAGGTAGCGAAAGTCTCCGATGTTTCTTTGATATTAAATCTTATCAACTCGACTATAGCCTCCCCTGCACGGATAGTTAAGACATTATCATCCCTGATGGGTTTACACTTTACAGGCACCCGGACATTTGCCACGGAGCAGGAGGATTGGGATACTAGACCAACGCCGCTGCAGCCAGGAAGACTTCCCATTGGTAACCCGGCTTTAGATACGATGAACACCGGTATTTCCGGAGACTTCTTAGCCTCTATTTTACCTAGAGAGAAATTTACCCCTCAATCTGTCTGTGTGGTGGCCATCATGATGGTACCTTCTTATGATTGTTCCTGTGTTTGTTTTTGCAGCTACAACAGTAAGGTACCTAGGTACTCCGTACCTAAGTGTAGTTAACTATGGGACCAACGGCAGTCTTCCGTTTGCTAAGTGGACAGCACTAAGTCCTAGCAGCACGGAGTACACTATTTTACATGCCGGAGGAGCTGAAACCCCAATTATCGCCATAGAATTCTCTGTACTCCGTAGTTGAACCTGAACCACAAAGTTTCTCCCTCCCTCCCTCCATTCTCGCCGACTCGCCGACTCCTTAATAATCAAGCAACAGACACCTTCAAAAGAACCTCTCTGGCTCCGGAGGTGGCTGTGGACTAGTTATCTTGCCAGATCGATTCGGGGGACTGCACGCTTAATTAGGGAGTCCATTATTATTTCCAGTAATCCCCACTACGAGCCACTATGAGGTCCTCACTCGCGCGGGTTCCGTTCGGTCCAGTGGTTCTCGATAACTAATTGGCAATAGTCTTACTCGGTAGCCTCCTGTTCTGCAGAATATCGAGTGATTGGGTTCGGGCCTGTGTGGCAAAATTAGCGATTGCATGATGCTTTTCTAATTCTTATTTTGTTGCTGCTAGCGATCACCGATCTCCCATTATGGAGCTCAGGAGCTGTTGTCGTCCCTTCGGGTCTGTATGTGTCAGTGACAGGGTCAGCAGGAGTTCTAGCACAAGAGAGCTAAGCGAGACTCAGCGAGAGGAAAATCCAAAAGTACTCCCCACTTGGCAAGAATCCTCCTCAATAATTAACTGTACACATTTTCATTTGTCTGAGATTAGTTAGTTAGAGTGGACCGTCATTAAAATAGGTACTATTCCCAAGTTGCAATTTCAAAGAAAACTCCTTCGTCCATTTGCTTTCACATGCAAATCACGTGGAGGTGGCATGATTAGATAAGCCATGATGGCGGTGTGTCAAACTGGCAGAATACGGGCACGTTTTCTCGGGTCACGTTGCGAGCCATCACGTTATCGGATACTAGCCACAGACACCAGCCACAGCAGCCTCCAGGCCAACAGAACAACGCCTTGACTTGGTTGGGTCTTTGATGGTGATAATTGTCTCAAACTAATTGTTAAACAGAGCGTTCCGCATTCACGCTCACCTGCAATCAAATATTGTCTTGGCGCAGAGAGGATTGACCCTTGATGGTGAGCTTGAACATCATCCCGTGGAGCGCCTCTTGACTTGAGGTATCCTGACAAGACCCCCCCCCCCCCGTCCCTCCAGACACTTTGACCGTGACCTTTGGATACGCAATCGCAATGGACGACTTGAGCGGCCTCAACTGGAGCTCCAGTTCTCCAAATGAGGCCCGGAAGCCTCCGCCAATGAATTCTGGTCTTTTATTTCCTACCGTGAAACGCAATGACGCTTCTGGCCGATCCACCCCCGTCTCTGCTTCTCCCGGACCGTCAAACCCACCCTCGAAGGCTGCAACTCCAAGCGGGGATAGTTTTGCAAACCTCGTTTCCTTCAGCTCCTCCAATTCGAACAAGAACCTCACACTCCTAGAGCAGCAGAAGAGGCTCCAAGAGGAGAAGGCCAAAAAGGAGGCAGAGAACAAGGCCCGTTTCGAAACACAATATGGAGGACAGAACTCTCAATTTTGGGACAGTCTGGAAAGGGGAGGGAGCAATAAACCTACTGGATCTAGTACGGTATCTTCCCAACAGCGCATAGATTCTCCCGACGAAGATGACCTCCTTGCGGCCTTCAACGCCTCGGCACCCGTCGATGCCTCAACCCACTTTCCAGTTCCTAGTCCTAGCCCGTCCCCGCAAATCGCCCTCAAGCCGTCGCAGTCTGCCACCGACGCGCCCAGCTCCTTGCGCCAAGAGGATGGAATGTCTTTCAATGACGACGATGACCCTTTTGGTCTGAATCAGTTGAAGCCTAGGGCCCAGCCTGCTCCCCAGTCTTCTCAAACGGACGACGATGATTTCCTAGGCTTGCTGGGCAAGCCTGTATCAGAACTTCCACCCCCAGAGCCACCGAAGAAATCGCCTGGGCCCTCCGAGCGTCAACGACATTCTCCCTCTCCCAGACCGATGAATGGGGTTGACCGCGCCATAGCGGAGCTGGTTGATATGGGGTTCACTGCAGACAAAGCTAGCCAGGCTTTAAAGATGACGTCGTCTGGCACTGATGTCCAGGCTGCTGTTGGCTTGCTCCTTACCCAGGCCCATGAAGAATCTCGGGAAAGGTCGAAGAATGGGCCAACGCCTACCGATCGTCACACCAGCGAGTCGGGCCGGAGCAGGGAGCAAGGACAACGGCCGGATCGCGATATGCCTTCATGGATGCAGCCAGAACGTTCTGGCTCGTCGAGAAGTCGCAACGACAACCGATCCCCGTTATCCGCAGAAAAGGACCCGTCGCAAATTGCGGTCAACTTTGGTAACAATTTACTGAAAACAGCAAACTCCCTGTGGAAGACTGGCACCAAGAAGGTTCAACAATTGGCGAATGATTTTAATGCGGACCATGACCCAAGCCAGCCCCGGTGGATGAGAGAGCCTTCCGCGCGTGAAGACCATCCTAGTGAACACCCCCCCAAACCCCAGGCTCGCAATGATTTTACAGACGAGGCGCTCCTACTTGAGTCTGGCGACCCTCACCAACCGGCACGTAACCCTGTACGGCCGAATGATGAACCACCAGCCCGCGCAGGGAGCGGGCTACGAAACCAGCAGTCTCCTGCTGCTGAAAATCGGATGAAGCAGCCTGCTTTTATGCAGCAGCGATTGACTCCCGAGCCAAGAGATGCAAAGTCCCGCCTCTCGAGGTTTGCAGCAGAAGAGCAATCCGCCCAAGCGTATGTAAGTCCCGCGCGTAGGAAACGACCAGCGGCCCAACCGTCTGCCCCTAAGCCTGTCCAGCGACCAACCCCGTCACCATCAGCAGCACGCCCCGCGCGGACATCGACGCCGTCTACAGCTCTGCCCACAAGACCTAAGGCTCCGCCTCGAGTCATACCCCAAATTTCTCAAAGCGCACTCGCATCTACGCATGGTCAACGAGAAAAGGCGGCCGCGGCCTACAAGAGAGGCGATTACGCTGCTGCCCACGAAGCCTTCTCGGCGGCCTTGTCATCGCTCCCTGAGAAGCATCCCATCATCATCGTTATCCGCAGCAACCATGCCATGACAGCGCTCAAAATCGGTGAGCCCAAGGTCGCAATCCGCGACGCAGATCTCATCTTGGAGCTCATCGGTCCTGCCAAGGGTGAGGCAGAGACCATTGACCTGTGCAATGGAGAGCCTCATAAACCCATGAAGGATTTCTTCGGCAAAGCCTTGATGCGCAAGGCGGAAGCCCTAGAACAGCTTGAACGATGGGCAGACGCCGCCGAGGCATGGAAGCAAGCAGTGGAGAGCGGCCACGGCGGAAGCACCAGTATTCAAGGCCGCAACCGATGCGAGAAAGCCGCTGGTATCGGCAAACCAGCGGCCCCCAAGCCCTCAGCCGCACCGGCAAGACGACCTGCGCCGCCTGCTCCTAAGAAAGCATCCGCACTGCATGACCTGCAAGGTCACTCCCCTGTCTCCGGACAATCCTCCGAGGCCGTCAGCCGCCTCAGAGCGGCCAACCAAGCCGCTGAGCGCACAGACGAGGAGAAATTCGCTCTGACAGACAGCGTCGACGCGCGATTGGCAGCGTGGAAGAACGGCAAACAGGACAACCTCCGAGCACTCCTAGCCAGTCTTGATACCGTACTGTGGCCTGAATCCGGATGGAAGAAGATCAACATGTCCGAGTTAATCATGCCAAATAAAGTCAAGGTCCAATACATGAAGGGGATTGCCAAGGTGCATCCGGACAAGGTACGCGGTCTTCGCCCTCCCTTTTCAAACACCAAGTAACTAAATATGACCTCTCCCCCGTCTAGATTCCTACCGATGCTACCACGGAGCAGCGCATGATTGCCGGATCAGTATTTGGTGTCTTGAACGAAGCATGGGATAAATTCAAGGCAGAGAACAATCTTTAATATCTCAGGTGACTTATATTAAACCAACAACCTACTTCTTTTTTTTCTCTTTATCTCAAATGTTGTTCTCTTATTATCTCCCACCCCCCTTTTTTTGTTTCTTGTTTCCTATTAATGATTTAGCATTTCTATGTGCGCTGTGTGCGCCGTGCACTTCCTGAAACGGCGGTGCTAATAAGATATCCCACGCCGCCAAGATATGCTGTATATAGATAGATAGACACATATTTTGCATTTGACATGATGAAAAGAGCTTGTTCATTTACTTGGGTTGCTTGGTTGTTTTCATGTTGTCTTGGTTTTATGAATGTTATAATATATTACTTGCTTATCATGCACACTCAATGAATGTCCTGATCCTGACTGATCCTTGGTTATAGTACTAGTACACATATTGATTCCAACTGATCATTGTCCAATGAATCAATTTACATACATACATACATACATACATATAGATAGATAGATAGATAGATAGATATATATATATCTGTACCGCTCTCTCTATTATATTTGCTTTTAAATCACTCCCGAGTCTGCTCGGGGGCATTCGATTCTTCCTGCTTTTTTTTTCTCTCCCGCGTCCTGAGGCCGCGGCTCCTTCGCCTCCCGCTTCAGCTGCTTCTTGCTCTTCCCCTTGGGCAAGGTGGCCTCATCCACCATATGCGAGGGCCATCGCTCACGGCACTTCTGCTCCTGGTCTTCCGACCATTCGCGCGGCAGCACGGCGAAAACCAGATACGACGTGTGGGTTTTGAGATCCGACTCGGAGCGGTGCACAAGCCGGCCCTGCGCGTAAGACGGCACATCCGAGGGCGTGGAGGTGACGAAGGTCGAGATGTCCATTTCCTCGTCGTCGGGCTTGCTCTTGGTATGCGGCATGAGCGGGGTGCTTTCGCCCTCGCTTTGCGGGTCTTGGTCTAGGGATTCGCGGAACCGCTTGGAGCGTTCTTCGACGACGCGCATTTTGGCGACCGAGTCTTCCACCGTGCGAGGGAATACCGCCGCGCCGCGCACGCCCTCGAATTCCAGGCCAGTTTTCTCGCGTTTCACTTCGATCCGGCGGTGCTGCACTTCGACCATGGAGATGGAGAGCCACGACAGTTGGCGCAGGGCGCTGATGGTGCGCTGCACTTGCTCGATGCAGGGCGAGAAGGTGCAGAGGTGGACTGGTAGCGAGGGGTCGAGCGGGGATTCTCTGCCGGTTTCCGGGTTGCGCACGAGGTGTTTCAGCGCGAGCCAGGGGGCTGGAAGGTCCAGGAACACCGCGTTGGCTTTGGGCGACGTTTGGGTTTCTGTTTCGGCCGGGTTGCCCAGGAGGAATCCGTCCTGGTAGACGTCGCGGTGGGTGACTTGTACCAGGCCGTCCAGGCCGTGCTGGTGGATTTCGTCGCGGATTTTGCCGACCCGTTGGGCGTGGAACTCGAAGCTGCATACCTTGCCGACGCGGCGGCGCCGCTTGGGGGTGCTGGGGAGGGTGTCATTGTCGGGGCTCTCGGCGGAGCCGTTGAAGACTGCACGGGCGGCCGCGTGTGTGAATGAGCCGCTTCCTGCGCCGGCTTCGATGAGCGTTGACCCGGGGCGGACGCCGAGGCGATGCAGGATGTAGCTGTAGTCGGGGGTGTAGACGACTTGCGTACGGTGGGGGAGAGAGGCGGTCCAAAGCTCGGGGGTTGGGTAGAGGATATGGAGGAAGCCGCTGGCTGCTGCGACAGCCTTCTTGGGAGTTGGCATGTTGTCGTCGTCGTCGTTGTCGTTGTCGCCTGGGGCCGGGGAGTCAAGCTCCTTGGCTTTTCGCTTCAGCTGGCGCGAGTTGAGGGCACGCCCGCGCGAACCAGTGTCGACTTTGGATGCGATGATTTGTGATCCCCATGGCTTATCGAAGAGCGTACTATGTGGGAATGAGCCGAAGCGGGTGTTGGTGACGTTGCCCTCCTCGTATCCTAGGTTCCCTTCGTCATGGAGTTGGAGGACAGTTGGGATTGTCTGGTCGCGCCGCAGATGGAGCAGTGCGAGTTGGTCGAGTTTGGACTGGGAACCCGGGGTCAGGAATGGGGAAGGCATTTTGGGGTCTCTGCGATAGTTGGGACGCAATAGGTGGCCTCCCAACTGCAGCTTTAAGCTCTTACTCAAGCTCTTTCTGCTCTTGAAGCTGCAAAGGATGTCACTTTTGGAGAAAGATCCAGATCTTCCGGGCTAGACTACTTTGGGCCTCTGTTTAGGGCTCAGGGCATAGGGCATAGGGCTAAACCTGGGGAAATTTATTCGATAGTTCTGATTGGCCAGACATGCTCACCGCCCTTGTGAGTCAAAGTTTAAGGTAGGTAACTATCGGATCCGTAGTTATGAACCATTTAGGTGACTGTAAGGTGTTGCCAGTCTAACCCCTCTATTGCTCATAATTCGAGTCGTTTCGCCTCCATACTTCTTCCCCTCTTCCTCTCTTCCTCCTGCTTAATGCCCCTCTCTCCCTTCCTCCACCCTCGTTTTACCTTATCCTTCCGTAGTGTCTCCACTGTCCAGAGATCGCTCTTTACTTCTCACCTGTTGATTTTTTCTAGATCCATGGCTACCGCGCGCGAGCAGCCACCATGGCGCCAGCCAACTTTGCAGGCGGAGGCGCAATCGGGTCTGCCAGCTCTAAAAATCTTCAATTCGCTGACGCGATCGAAGAATTCCTTTGTCCCCATTGATCCGGCAGGGAAGAAGGTGACCTGGTATTCCTGCGGCCCGACTGTATACGACGATTCGCATCTGGGCCATGCCAGGAACTACGTCAGCACCGACATTATTCGGCGTATTATGCGGGACTACTTCCAATTCGACGTCCACTTTGTTATGAACATTACTGATGTTGACGACAAGGTCTGTGTCTATTCATCTACTTAATCGAGGGGCGTTCGCTGATGTCGAACCATCCAGATTATCCTCCGCGCACGCCAACAGCATTTGTTTACGAAATTCGCAACGACCAATCCTACCGTTAACGAGACTGTTATCGATACCGCGAAGAAGGCATATACCGCTTATTTGAAGAAAAACCTGCCGCTCCTGAGCCCTGACCTCCCTCCTGCCCAATACCAACAAGAGGTGGAAAGGGCATATGCGGTTGTGTTGAGTGGAGGACCCCTTCCTGGCAACGAGAAGGCTGGCGATGATGAAGCTAAGGTTAAAATGCACGTCAAGACCGTGCTGTCGGCGACAAAGGTTATTGTGGAGGCGGAGAAGTCACAGACGATCCTTGCGGAGCGCTTTTACTCGGATGCACAAGACCTCCTCCTCCCCTATCTGGATGCTCTTGAGGGATCTTCAATTGACGCGGACGATCACTCAATTTTTACAAAGTTGACAAGGAAATACGAAGACCGATTCATGAATGATATGGACGATCTCAACGTCCTGAGACCGGATGAGCTGACCAGAGTAACCGAGTACGGCCCCGAGATTGCTGATTTCGTAGAGAAAATTGTTGAAAACAAGTTCGGCTACGTTGCAGATGATGGCTCTGTGTATTTCGACATCAGCGCCTTTGAGGCGGCTGGCTTCCCTTACGCGCGACTTGAGCCCTGGAGTCGTTCCGACAACAAGCTCCTTGCCGAAGGAGAAGGTTCCCTGGCCAGCAAGACTACGGAGAAACGCTCCAAATCCGACTTTGCTTTGTGGAAGGCCTCCAAACCTGGTGAGCCGAGCTGGTCAAGCGCCTGGGGCCGTGGTAGACCCGGATGGCACATCGAATGTTCCGCCATGGCCTCCGCCCGTCTTGGGAAGCAGATGGACATCCACTCCGGCGGTATCGATCTGGCATTCCCTCACCACGACAACGAACTAGCGCAGAGTGAGGCGTATTGGGCGCATGGTCACTGCCAGGGTGACCAGTGGGTTAACTACTTCCTGCACATGGGTCACTTGTCTATCCAAGGCTCTAAGATGTCCAAGTCTCTGAAGAACTTCACTACCATCCGCGAGGCCCTGGAGAAGAAGGAATGGACCCCTAGAAGCTTGAGAATTGTGTTCCTCCTCGGTGGGTGGAAGGAGGGCGTCGAAATCACCGATGATCTTGTTAGCGCTGGCAACTCGTGGGAGGACAAGGTGAACAACTTTTTCATCAGAGTCAAAGACCCAGCCGCGTTCCAAAACGCCGCCTCCGCCACCGATTCTAGTCTCGCCGACGCCTTGGAGGCAGCTAAGACTACCGTTCACGAGCACTTGTGCGATTCCTTCTACACACCCGGCGTGATGGCCGCAATTTCGGAGCTCATTACAAAGTACAACAGCGCGGATAAGTCCACTCTAAACCCCAAGGATGTTGAGGCTGTTGCTAGATGGATTACTTTCATCGTCAATATGCTTGGTCTGAACGGCCAGTCTGCTGCCAACAGCCAGGAGATCGGTTGGAGTGGTATTGATATCCCGGAGGCATCGAAACCATTCCTGTATCCCCTTTCTGCCATGCGTGATTCTTTGCGACAAGCCGCTCGGGCCAAGACCATCAGCGCCGAGGAGGTTGCTAACATTCTCACGCGTGGAGTGACCCCCGAGTCTCTCCAGATTACGGAAGCCACACAGCCTTATGCTTCCGTGCTGTCCGATTTCCGCACCAAGGTTTCTTCGCTAGAGGAGTCTCAGAACATCGGCAAGGAAGTCCTCACACTTTGCGATCGCGTCCGGGATATTGACCTGTTCGATCTCGGTGTTTATCTCGAGGACCGCGAAAACCTTCCGGCTATCGTCCGCCCGGTGAGCCGGGATCTCATCCAAGCGCGGGAGGAGAAGGCAGCACAGGCACTTCAAAAGCAAAAGGAGAAAGAAGCCAAAGAGAAGGAGGCCCAGAAGCGGCTCGAGAAGGGCAAGTTGAGCCACCTGGAAATGTTCCGCACAAATGAGTACAGCGCGTGGGATGAAGAGGGTGTACCTACTCGCGAGGCTGCAGGCGAAGAGATCACTAAGAGCAGGGCAAAGAAGCTCCGGAAGGACTGGGAGAGGCAAAAGAAGCTTCATGAGACGTGGCTGGCAAGTCAGCAAGGCAGTGCATAGATGTCTGGTCTGTAAGAAAAGTTCGGGGGGGTTCCATATCTTATCCGTGCATGAGATGGCGTTGGATTGTTCTAGTTTTGTTTTTGTTTTTTTTTGACCAGCAACATGATTATATCCAGGGCAGGCACATATTTTAGAGATGAATTTACTATCCAAGATTTTTCTAATTCATCTTTGTATTACCCTCTAGAAGTTGACGGAAGATGTGCCCTATACAGGTCATGTGCTCAAAAGTCGCCGTGATCACATGCATCTCCTGCGCATAGAGTCTCGGAGCATATACATATGTATACTATCTATGGAGCTCATCACAGCAACCCATTCCATTGCAGCGTCGACGCCTCAGACTGCGGTCTGCATCTCCTGACGGGCTCATAAATGCTTCCATAAGAGCTAATACTCAAGCCCATTCCCCTCCACATTCAAAAGACTTGATAGACTAATCATTTGATGGTCGGACCGACCTACATGCCAGACCTCGGCAATTCCGCTCCCCTCAATCATCAAAGCAGAGAGAGGTCCGCGGTAAGACCAGCTGGAACATTGCGACGTGACTTTACTTGAAATATTGCCGTTGTCTTGATTTGCAACGTTACCTATTCTCGATTTTCTTGCTGTTTGGAAGCATACACTATTTGTTACCCTCTCATCATCAGCGTTTGTCTACTATACCCAAGACTAGATTTGCGATACAATGCCTTTTAACACTGCTTTGACAAGGGCGCTGGGGATCAAAGGTGATATTGTCCATCGCGGTTCTTTATGTGGGGGGAGTTATTTTCCAAAACTAACCTGAGTAGTCCCGGTGGTCCAGGGTGGCATGCAATGGGTTGGATATGCAGAGCTCGCAGCCGCTGTCAGCAATGCTGGCGGTCTTGGAATCGTATGCGTTTCATATTTGGTATCCAGGTCTTGATGCGGAGGCACTGACTATTCCTAGCTTACTGCTCTGACCCAACCTACCCCTGAAGATCTCCGCAAAGAGATTCGCAGATGCCGAACTATGACCAAAAACCCGTTCGGCGTCAACCTTACCCTTCTTCCTGCCCTCGTGCCTCCCGACTACGGCGCCTACGCCCAGGTGATTATCGACGAGGGCATCAATATCGTTGAGACTGCCGGAAACAACCCTGGCCCGGTTATCAGGCAGCTCAAGGCTGCTGGCGTCACCATCCTTCACAAGTGCACAACCATCCGCCACGCGAAATCCGCCGTGAAGCTGGGCGTGGACTTCCTGTCTATTGATGGATTTGAATGTGCCGGCCACGTGGGCGAGCATGACATCACCAACTTCATCCTTCTCAACCGCGCGCGCCAGGATCTTGGCGTCCCCTTCATTGCGTCCGGTGGGTTTGCTGACGGATACGGCCTGGCTGCGGCACTGGCTCTGGGTGCCGAGGGAATCAACATGGGTACTCGATTCATGTGCACAGTGGAAGCGCCCATCCACCCGAAGGTCAAGGAAGGTATTGTCAACGCAGAGGAGACAGATACTGCCCTAGTAATGAGACGGTGGAAGAACACAACCCGATTGTTTGCGAACGAGGTGACCAAGCAGGCGCTCCAGGTGGAGAAGGAGAGCCAAACAGGCGAGTTCAGTGAGATCGCACCCTTTGTCAGCGGCAAGCGCGGCCGTGAGGTCTTCATCAACGGTGATGTTAATTTTGGTGTATGTTTCCGCTCGTGGAATTCCGAAACTGCGCTTTTGAATTTGGCTAACATGACGGGTACAGGTCTGGACTGCCGGCCAGGTCATCGGTTTGATTCACGACATCCCTACCTGCGCAGAATTGCTGAACCGGATTGAGGCCGAGGCTGTGGAAGCTATGAGCCGAACGAAGTCGTTGTACACGGCAACACCACAAAGCAAACTCTAGATGAGCGTTGTTTGTATTCTGTGATAGTTGGCAAGAACCTTGTCTTTTTTTTTTTTTTTGAATCCGATCCTCCCTGCAGCTGTAAGGTGATGAGCAGGTGTGAATGCCCACGTATGTATCCCTTGCAGGTCCCCAGCGATAAACGCCAGGGGAGTTGCCCGAAATGATAATATATGGATCCTTGGTCAACATACAGACCATACGGCTGCGGCGGCGAAGAAAAGGCGCCCGCCGTATATGTGTGTAGTCTTCGGGATCGAATCTCGGGATGATACGGAGGTGTATGTATATATATATATATATATATGTGTGTATGCAAAATCTCCTTACCGTGCCTTCTCTCTCGATTATGATCAGCGAGGCTCATTTCATAGCTCTATATTGTCATTTGCCGGGGAGTAATTGTATGACGGAGGTCCTTACAGGCAAGAGACCATCCAAATCGCCCTTGCAGATGAAACGCCACGCTCTCGATTTCCCCGGAAACCGTCATGTAAAATCCCCATGCATGCTGTGTCTTTGATTAAAATGGCGTACGGAGTAGATTAGTTTGCTATCGCCGGTTATCCTCTGGAAGTTGAAAAATGCTGGTGTAGTATACAATATATTACCCAAGATAGAAGAAGTCTAACCCTAACTCCTCATCTTCGTCCTGCAATCTCTGCTACATCCTACTCCGTTCATGCAATAAATGCGTTAGAATAGATTAACTGCATCAAGCCAGGTGCAGATACAAATCAAATTCATCGCCACATCTCCACGTCAATCTCACCAGAGAACGCTATATAAAGAAAGAATCTCCAGGAACATCATCACCACAGTGCTATACCACCGGCACCGCTTGAGTCCATGGTCCATTGTCACTGCAGCTTGTTGCATCGTGTACAATGGGCGCCCTTTCCTCTCTCTTCCAGTCCTGTATACAGGGCAGGAAACTACATAGACGTCGTGCGCCTACTACAGCATCTCCGGAGAGCAGGCCATGCTCTGTGCCCAACACGCAAAATCCCCCCTCAGCCACGCAAACTACGACTATTCGTATAGTTGAGTCTGTCGACTCGATTTCGCTTTCAGAGTATAGCTGTGAATGTGAGTGTGAATGCACCGTCACAGCTCTCCCATTAGAGGGAACATCGCCATCATTGAAACCAACCCATGTACATGGTCACGACCACAACAACAACCCTGAAAAGAATGAGCACGAGGACGAGGACGAAGACACGGCCGTTGAATCAGAGGCCGAATCTCTGAACGAGAAAGCAGATCCAGCTTTCGAAAAAGAAATATTAACACCTACCACAACTACTGCTGCCGCACTCAAACACCGCGCTCTGCCTCCCCTGCCAACAGAAGACGCAGCACCACCACCACCACCACCATCACCAATAATAATCCCAATCAACCCACTCAGCTCGCGAAAGCTCCCGGAGATAAAAACCCGCGTGATTGAAGATATCCCCGAAGCCACCGAGGAAGAAGAAAAGGCAGAGAAGCCAACAGAGCAAGAGCAAGAGCGAACCCAGCGACGCGGCCACAAACGCACCACGACATGGCGCCAGAGCCGGCGGAAGTCGATGCTCGAGCTCTTCACTTTACTCCAGAGCTCGAATGCCCCTGCGTCCTCCGAGTCCGGGGATGGATCGGCCGCCCCTACCACCTCTGCCTCGACCGCATCAACAACAGGTCTCTCGCTTTCATTCTCCAGCTTCCGCTTCCCACTTCCCCCGACTCGTACGCCGCTCCGACTGTCCCAGCTCCAAAGACACCACCGACAACGCCAGCGCCAACGACCCATGTCTTCATCCGATCACGCGTCCTCGGCAGAACGAACGCGCAGGGACATGTCGAGACCACGAACAGGAGCGGCCCCCGAGCCGAAACCTGAACGGGATCCCGAGAGGTACGAAGACGTCGCGATGCCCGCGCCGCTGCGGACGAAGAAAGAACGACGGATGGGGACGGCGGTGTTCCCGCCCATGTCTCGCGCCCTGGGTGCGATGAGAGAGATGGCCGAGGGCCCTGCGACTAAACAAGGACAGCCTCTTTTTTGCTAGACACGGCGTTTGGGGTTCTGGGGTGTTGTTTTGCTGGTGCTTTTGGACTATTTCGGAGGGGTTGGGGGTTGTTATTCGCGACTTGCTGGGCTGATTCTTCTTCTTCCTCTTCTTCTTCTTCTTCTTCTTCTTCTTCTTCTTCTGGTTTGATTCTTAAAGTGTAACTTTCTTTTGTCTGTTCCTGGGGAATTCCCTGTATATGTTTATGACGGCAGTGGGGATGTAGTATTATACGATATGATTTAATATCATGTGTATTATTTTATATAAGCCCGTTTGACCTCATCGCATAGCATAACTAACTGTAGACAAAGATAACAAACAGCTAGAGGAGACATACTAAGAAGTCTAAGCCAAAGGCCTTCCTTATACATCGTATACTCACAGCTTCTTCTTCTTCTTCTTCTTCTTCTTCTTCTTGTCCTTGCTGAGCTAGTTAATGCTGAACTTATTTTAACTTGATTATAACATCAGGGCTCGCTCGCTCGCTTTCCTGCAAATCTCTAGCATGGACGTATTTACAGTAAGTAAGGCAGAGAGGCGAGGGCAGAGTATAGCGAGACGCAGTGAGGTAGGTAGTTGTTAGGTAGATGCGGGTTGAAGCTGTATAACTGATTTCGTTGGTTGGTGGTACAGGAGAAAATGATTGAGAATTCGTATTGATAGGAGGTAGAGGACATATCATGCTGAGTAGAGTGTGAATAAAAACTGCGGAATTGGTGTCTGTCCAGGAACGAGGGATTCAAGGTCGTGCTGTGAAAAGTCACTTGCTGCATCCTGGCAAATCTACGAATTACAGAAGAAGAATGTGAGATAAAAAAGTCTAATGCATTAAAGGAGGACAGAACTCTCTGCTTTCTCCGAGGGTGCCACAATACACTAAGGTCAGGATACACATTTTGTCAACAGCAACCATCCCATCCACTCCCAGCGATAGCTAGCCCGTGCTTCCAGCCCAGGTCCACGTCGAGCGACTGACGAAGCCCAACGACCAAATACTTGCGTAATTTAGATGATGGAGCCGAGGGCAATGCAAGGGAGGCCAACTCCGACGAGGTCGTTGCTCTGTTCCTGTTAGAATCGTGTCCGATGTGATGTGAGAGCGATGCGTTGTACTTACGGCAGTGGAAGGAGAAGACTGGCAGCAGGCAATGTTCTGCTTGCACTGCTGGTTCACGATGTCCTGGATACCAACGGCAAGGACAGGAACTAGGATCATGTTAGAGCACGCGTTTGATTGGTTTCAGCGCGGGGAATACAAACCCTGCAGAGGCAGCTTGGAGCACTGGTCGAAGAGACCGAGACCCTCAGCGCCGGAGCCAGCACCGATCAGGTTGCTGAGGGCACCAGCAAGGATGCCATCGTCAACGTTGGTGGTGTCACCGGCATAGACGGCCTTGTTGCAGCAAGACAGCTGAGCATTGTCACCGCACTTGTCGGAGGCCTGCTTGACAGTCACGTTATCGGGGACCGGGAAGCGGACATTGCTGTTTCCCTTGTTGCCAACGCCGTTGCCGACACCAGGGGCAGGAGGAAGAGCCACAACGGAGGCGGCGAAAGCAACAACAGCGGCAGCGATGGAGAACTTCATTTTGATTGTGGTTTTGGAAGTGAACGAGAGTTGTTTGACTCGGGTGTAGAGAGAGAGAGGACTGTGAACGAAAGACTTGCTTGTTAAAGAGAGTGTTTGTGATGATGAAAAAAGAATCCTCTATCTGGGTTGAATTTCACACCCTTATATAGACCGATGAAGGAGCCTTGGTGCTCGCTTACCTCTAGTCAAAACATGCACCACAGAATTGTATGGGCCCTCCAAAAACAGACACCCCTTGGAATGCAACACGCAAGGAATCCAGAAGGCTTCCCTCCCATTGATTCCTCTCTCCACGATACCCGCTCTGTGTCTGAGCCTGCAGATCCAGTGCTAGGTATGGATCAGCTTACTGAGAGCCTTTCAGCACAGCAGCGCCAATGCAATGGCCTTGGACGGCGTTTGGCGAAGGCCGAGTACGTATTCCTGCCGGGCTCCTGTGCCATTCCTCCTCACTTAGCTTGGTAGATCGTTATGCAAGCGGCTGGCACAGCAGTGCACCCCAGATTAGGCTGCATTACGGCATCTCCCAGTGGCTTTGGGTGTGATCTCCCATACATTCAACCCTTGCAACACGGCCTCTACAGATTCACCATTTCTTGAAGCCATCTAGATGCTCCGTTGGACGCAATTTCTCACCATCTCAAGGCTAAGAGCGCATCACTTGCTCGTGTGCCATATCTGAGTTGGCACGCTTCGTGGAGCGGCTCTCGTGTGGTATGCAGGTGGCCACCTTAAGCAATTTTGGGGGGTTGGTTTGTCGTGTAAGGTTGCAGGGCATTTTTTCAGCATGCTTTGGTCTGCAAGGGGGGCGTAGCTGCTACCCGCATGATTGGTCCTCTAGCTTCGAGAGCTATGAATCAAGACTCACCTCCATGTGGACACCAAGGAGCTTCATTTCCCTTCATCTCTGAACGAGGCAAGGGGCAACTAAACTCTTCCGTAGCTAATTTCCCACTCAAGGGAGCCAGATGGATTTTCTTGATCGACCTCGTCCCTGGTGATCACAAGAAGCCGGGGGCTCTCAGTTGCTTTGAAGGTTGCGTCGAGCGGATTTCCGTTTTCGCTTCTGTCTCCCTTGGGAGCTCATGAGAATGGTTCCTTAGTAACCTGGGCCTATGGATGGGAGCGTGTATGATGTCGATCCTGTAATGGTTACTGCTTCTGATGGTCTCCCTGATCTGCTCCTGTTGCGAGCTGTTTAATTTGACTTTCAGCAGAAGCTTCGACTGGGTTTCGTAGTCACATGTCGTTCGCTGCCTTGTATCCTCAGGAATCATCGATGTCGTGCCTCAGGAATGAACTCTCAACTCCAAGTCGACTGACTACTTCAGAAGGAAATTGTGGCTTCATAGGTTCCAAATAATATTTGAGTTTCTTTCTTCATCTATAGCGTAGTATTTATCGGGAGCAAATGCGCCACCAGGTTACAAGAATCTACAAGGAGATGCTTGGTGTTGGGGAAGTATACTATACGTAGGTATATAGATCTATGATGGTAGCAGTTCAAATATATATATATATATATATATATTTCCCGTTCTCAATGACATCCTATACCTCCACATGCAGGCTTCTAGTAGCTGATGATCTCTTTACCCATGATCATCATACTCAACCACCACATTCAACAGTCCAGACTCATTATCCAGTGGAACAGGCGCCAATACTACACATAAGCTATGACCCCAAGTCACCTACGCAACTTTCATCTACGAAATAATATCATGAGATCTAGCCCGCATATTCATGCTATACAGATAATGAACCACTGCGGTCAGCTGTACCCCAGGTAAACATGACGCACCACATGCTCTCACACCATCTCGCGCTGCTGAGTAGTGCCCCCCCCCCCCCTTCCTCCTCCAACTAGCAGCGATCTCTATCCTCTCATCTTGGAATACGATCTCGAGGGATTATACGACTCTTGCTCTTCAAATTTACCTACCAGGCCCTTCTACTCCGTAGAGTACTCTGCATTCCGCACAGCCATGGAAATATCCAGCACCTGGCTCCCATCCCCCTTGATTGGATCCCGAATTGCTCGCCCTTGTGTAGGACATGGTCGGCACCGTCTAGACTCCAGCACAAAGAAGGTGTAATTTCCCTTCTGGCCCTTGCAGAGCTATCAAGAGGTTTAAACTTGTCATATAAACTTGTGTCGGGGTTGTTTGTTTGTATGTTTGTTTAGGGTTGTTGAATCTCAAGTATAGGGTTTGGATCTATAGGTGGGAGTCTCTGGCTTGTCCGGCGATTCCCCTGGACTCTGGATTTTCGTAGGATATGCGTAGATTTTGACTACTAACTAGAGGTAGGTACTAGGTATTCTCTGTGATAATACAGCCTGGGTTTATCTAATCGGGTCTCTAGCCTTCTTGTAGTCGTTCGTAGTACGGAGTATTGCTAGAGAGCAATCAGATGCAGCTGAGACTAGGTGCTAGGTAGAGTAAATGAGTTTAATAAATAATATACTGGGTATTTGAATTATCAGTATATCGCTATTATTTACAGTTTTATATTTCTACTCATTTGGGCGGTATATATATAGGATGTATGCTACTGCTAGACCATCTATCTATACAGTGTATATATATATTGACATACTCGGGTATGTACTCTGTACATATTTAGACCCAACTATACAACAATTTAAAGTAAACACAGATTATATCTTATATCACCAAACCACAGTAAACAAACTACTCAACAAAGACCAAAAGGAATCATACAATACCTCGATTTACAGCGATGTAGACCCTATAAAACACTCATAACAAGCAAAACCAATGAGATCGATTAATCCCATCAAAGCGCACAAACATCAAATATACCTACCCAGTAACTAGGTAGGTAACCTACAACTTAGTTATCCACCCACAATCAGTCATCTACTTTCAACATCTAAACCAAAACCAAGTCAAAAAAGAAAAAAAAAAGAAACAACCAAACCAATGTCCTACACAGTCTACCGTGTCGCCGAAACCTCGCTCGCACGCGACCACCACTGCATATTCGTTGAAACACACGAAGATGGCACCCTAACTGGCCACCGCCTCCATGTCATAGGCAACATCCAGGAAGGATGTATCCGCGTGAAAAGCTCAGACGGTGTCAGGAGTTGTCCTGCTGCGGGAGAAGGGGTTGTTGAAGGATTAGATCTTTTTTGCCGCCGTCTTTCTCGAGATACCTACCTACCTAAAACACTCAAGAGGGTAGGTAGGGTACATGGAGGAGCTTCAATCGCAAATCTGTAATGATTTTGATCATTAAATATACAATGCCGAACCCGCTTCTATCATATGCAACAATCCCGTAAAATACAGCAAACGCCTGGCCTATCCACATGTCTAACCCAGTAGGTATCTCAGTATAAAGCACAAGAAGACGAGGAGACTGAAAGGAAAAAAAAAAAAAAAAGAAGAGAGAGAAGACCACGGAATCAATCGCGCAGCCATGCTCGCCGTTTCTCCTCTTTCTTCTCCCTCCGCTTTTCCTTGAACATCTTCAGCTCCTTCTTACTCAGCTTCTTCGCGCTCCGCTCCGCCCGCAAGCTCCTCCCGTCATGACTGTTTGCCGCCGCATCGACGTCGAAATACGCGTTCATCTGCCGTCGCGACTTATTCTCATCATTGTGATATTCCCCGTTCTGGGACGCCGCTTGCCACCGCCCTGTAAACCGATTGAACGAGCCTGCCGCTTCGTAGTTGGCTGGGGTCGTGATCCCCGGAGCAACCGCGCCGGCGGGGACTGTCCCCTCCTGAGGCTGCTCGTACATTTGTGCATAGGGAGCAGTCGGGTCATAGTCGCCATGAATCGCAGGGTTATATCCGCCTAGCACAGGGGATGGGTTTTCAGCGGGCGCCTCTGTCGTCGTTTCCTCTGTAGTTGCGGCTGGCACCCGTGGGTTTTCCCATTGCGACACCCCCGTATAGCGATTGAAGAAGTAGTAAGCCTGCGCATTGGCGTCCCAGACGGGTTCCCAGCCATCGTCGTTACTCGGTGGTGCTTCTTTGGGGAGCGGAGGAGGGATTTGATCTGGTAATGGTGGTGCTGCTGTGTCTGCGTCTGTGTCTGGTTCTGTTTCCTTTGTCTCTCCTTCTTCTTCTTCTTCTTCTTCCTCTTCCTCTTCCCCTTCCCCTTCCCCATCCTCCCCCTCTTCCTCTTCTTCACCTTCTTCTCTCTCCTGCCAAGCCGTGCCTTTCCCCTCTTTCAGCGTTTCCTGTGCCCCTTTCTCATCATCGCGCTCGAATTCTTCTCCTTGCCTCTCTGGTTCTGCTGGCGGAGACCTCGCAGCTGATGCGCTGTCCGGGGCGTCTCTCGCGGGACTAGCGGACATTCTGGGAGACGGCGCTTTTTTTCCTCAGTTACCTGCGCGTTCAAATTGAGAGACAGAAACGCCGGCGCAGCTTTTACCTTGGTTGGGAGGGATTCGGATGCGGAGGAGAGCGAATGATGGAATAATGGATGAGGAAGAATATTGTTCCTGGCATCAAGATTTGGGTTATGCAGGATGACTAATCTATCATCACGTTACGTACATAAAACTAGGTAGTTAGTACTAGTACTGCTACTCATGATGGGCTGCTTTTTTGAGTGAAGAAGTCTATATATATACCTAGATATCTGCTGCTTTTCCCTAGAATATTTTTTAATATGGACTGATTGATTTGATTATATTGAGATTGTTAAGTTGAAGACTCAAATACATAAGGCCCAAGCCGGTGAATATCACATGACCTGCCACAAAGTTCTCGAACCATTCGGCTTCGAATTCTGATATAGAACACAACTTGCTACATGCATTATTTTTGAATTAATTTCTGGAGGTAAGTTGATTTTTTATTGCATACGTTGATGCTATGTTTCTGTTTTATTTTATCTGGATTTTCCTCTGGGGTGTGGGTGTGGAATACATATGCTGTGAACTCGAGTTGAAAAAAAAAAAAAAAAAAACCAAAAAAACCAAAAATTGTCTGCGGGGAAGGATGAAATACATCCAAGAGAAGGAAGGAAATGGGAGCTATTTGAACTGGTATAGCATGTTCATTTATTTATTATTATTTTTTTTTTTCTCTTTCTTTTGATCATTCTTCTTGCATTGCATATCTTCACATTAATTGTAATTATATACAAGTGCACACTTTACCATTATAGAAGAAAGCACTAACAGATACTTTACAGATTCTTCCATAAATAACAGCTAGCTGGGTGTATAACTTGAACAGCAAGCTCTACCTGCTACACTACAGAAAGAAAGAAAGAAAGAAAGAAAGAAAATGGCTCCAATCCAACTCCCACCCGATGCAATCGACGACCTCATCTACGACGCTCGCACAGGCGACCTGGCAGCGCTGCAATCCGACCTGTCAGCACTGAGCGTACAGAACGGCTGTCCACAAGCCGTAGTCGTTGCGTGTGCAATTGACGCAGAGCCCGAAGCCGAGGGAGGAAGTGGTTCGTGCCTGTTGCATTTCCCAGCTGCGAATGGAAACCTGGGTATGTCCCCCCCCCCCCCCCCTTTAAAGTACTTATTCCACGCGCCGTGAACTGTCTCTGTTTGTGTTGTGTTGTCTCTGTTATTGGAGAAATACAACAACCAGGGGATAAGATATACCATACCGTCATATGTTATAAAATGGACGTTCGAGCTAACCGCTAACCATTGTAGAAATCCTGAGCCATCTCCTGCAGATCCTCGGCAGTTCGCCTGACCTAAGCAAAGAGCAGATCCAAGCAGTGATAAACCATAAGAACCACTCCGGGAACACGGCTTTGCACTGGGCCGCTCTGAACACACATCTGGAGTGCGTGAAGGCTCTCGTTGAGGCGGGGGCTGATGTCTCAATTCAGAACCAGGCCGGGTTGGATGCTATTTTCCTGGCCGAGAGAGCGGACTGGGGAACTGAAGAGGTCAGTAAAGAGGAGGAGCAGGAAGGGGTGGAAGAGGCTTCTGCGGAGACTAGCGCGGAAGGAAAGGATTCTGGGCCCATGTCCAAGGGTAGACAGGTCGTGGAGTGGTTGTTGGCTTCGGATAAGGCTGGGGAGTTGGAGAGTGGAATCGGAGGGGACGAAGGGACTACTACTGCTGATGAGAAATGATTTCATGATTACGGGTCAAGTATGTTTTTTTAATCATTGCGATGCCAAAAAAAAAAAAAAAAAATAGATAGATGGATATTGGATTATTGGATTAGACATATCATATCCTATAAATAAAATAAATACTTTTTTGTTCGTTGGTTCTTTGATTCCTGATACTTTCTATAGTCGTGCTAGCATTAATCTCCTCGAGCTTTCGATCCCCCAACCTCATGGGTTTTCATATCGAACCCAACGCGGAATTGGCGGTCGCGCCAGGTAACAGTTTGGCCGCCCCAGATTGCCCAAAACCAGATGGGAAAGGCAAGCGTCTCTCGCCCAAGCCATGCAGCCAACCAACGTGAGAATGGACGTCTCGTTAGGCGTCCACGAGCTGGAAGCACAAATGCGGGACTATGATGGTCTACCTCAACGGTCTTGGCAGAGTGCAACATGATGTATACCGTCCAGTCAACGAGATTCCAAAGAAACAGACTGAGCCCAAGGAATGCAAAGAAAGCTGTCCATGTGGAAAGGCTGGCTGCAAAATCGTATCCCTTGTCTTGCAGTAGTTGTGCTAGAGAGGTGGTGACACCGAAAGCTCCATACAACGAGCACAGAATTGACTCCGTGCCAGGTTCAACCAGCGTTGCCAGCATCACTGTAAATTTGCGGACACGCAACCAGCGCACCCGACGCGCTATATACGAACGGACGCTCATGTTCGCCACGGGTTGGAAGGCAAGATCTCCAAACACCATCGCATGCTTCCCTAGGGCCTTCCCCGATTCCTTCTCCTCGCGGACTTTATTCTTCCAAAGCAGGTCCCCGATCAGGTGGTCCTCACAAATGTTGTCAGAGAAGTAATCGATTCCCGGGTTGCGTTGACGAGTGTCAGTTGGGGGTGAGGTCGTAAGGTAGTCGAGATGAGAACGCCGGAACATGTTCGATTTTCCAACAATGCACGGTGCTATGAGCACTGTGTTGATAGCAGTGTACATTTTGGCATGTGAAGAGGATAGAAACAGTTCTTCGAGACGACCTCCTCCCATGGCCAAGGGACCAAGCTTGTATGGACTGGCCACTGTTTCTGTAGCCAATTCCCCCTCTGAACCGCGCTTTTGGTTGCTGTGCGCCTCTCGCAAGACCTGTTGGCCCTCCCGCAAACTAGGAGCTCCCGTCACATCTACTGCAATGGGCAGATGGTGTACAAATTTGTACTGCCTGTTGGAGTTGGGCCCTAAGCCGCAAAGTTTGTCCACCATCCTTCCGCAGACGCCTTTCCCAACCCACACGTTACAATCCGCAATCCAAATAATATCACCCTTGGCTTCCCGGTATGCACGACTCATGTTCCGGATTTTGGGATTAGGCCCGAGATGGTAAATAGGTTCATGATCCCGTTGAAGCAATGGGTCTTCCTCTTCAACAAGAACGCGCGCATCGACGTGGGGAAAGTCAGAGACCAGCTTTTGAAGGGTTAGGTAGGCGGGATCGCTCTGGGTGGCCACGCAGAGGTATATTGTTAATTTGTTGCGTGGGTACTCCTGACGGAATATGGAGGCAAGGCAGTCGTACAGGTGTGGCTCGAGACCTTTTACAGGGCGAATCACGGTGACATGGGGGGCATCCGGTGTGTTGGCTGAATGTGATTTCTGAGGTCGTCGGAGAAAGTATTTCCATCTGATTGAGTTTCGGTCAGCTACAATACTTGAAGATGCGGTTGCGTGTCCGGAAAGCCGGAGCAGAAAATCATAACAAAAGGCAACAACACGCCAGTCAGCTAGCAAGGAAGCAAAAATACATCTTATAGTATCCCAAACCGCAAACTGCTGTCACAATGCCATACCAGACCAAGGCGATCCACCCCAAGGCGAGTGACCACTGGAATCCGCCATGGCCAGTGGCAGATCCAAAATCGAGGGATTTCGAAAACAAGGGAAGCTCTAGCATAGGCGGATAATACCAGAGCAGAACATTCTATGAGAGGTAAGAAAAGGGCAGCGGTGGAGAGGTGAGAGAAAAGAAAGTAGAGCGGCGGAGCTGAAATGAGGGGAAGGCAGAGAGAGAGAGAGAGAAAGTGACGAGGAGTGGAAGAAGCGACGTTGAGGCCAGCACGAGGTTAGCTGGATAAAAGATCTTATGAGATTTATTTATTTATTTATTATTTATTTATTTATTTATAGTATTTATGATTATTATTTTTTTTTAATTTCTTTTTCACTCTTCAAACCAAACCAATTGTCCAACGGCCAGTAAACTAACCAGTATTATTCTTAGCATCAGTACTACTCCCGGACCGTACTCGTACTCTGGAGTCCCGTTATTATTTGTTCCATTGGGGTGAAACGGATTCTGGACGCAGATTTGGGTCAACCACACATCGTCCATTTTCCCCTGGCAAATTCGCTTTTGTGGACCCGCTTAGAAGGAGGTTGGGGATGACGGTGTTGAACCCATGTCGTTGGCAAGAGAACAGGAATCACAGGGCCAAAAGATGGAGAGCGGAGAGAGAAGGAATCGCAATGAAGAGAAATGAAGACTAGGAGGACTTGAAATTAAGGATGAAAGACATTAAGACAATCTTTTTTGTCTTCTGAGTCTCGTTGATGAGCCCACATTCCGGTGCTTTAATTAGCTCTGGGATTGAACCGGGATCGATTTCTCTAGGTGCGGTTTCCCTGGCTGGGATTCATCATCTGGCTTGCATAAAATTCTTGTCATTATTATCGATTGTTCGCTTTAGTTACTATACATGATACCAAGGATGGCAAATTCATTATCGTTCGTCATTGCTTCGAATGCCGTCAAGTTTTCTTCTTCTTTCGGATCAGATTCGCTTGCAGAACATTGACTCCGGAAGCCTGTGATGACTCTGCTGCGGACTTTGTCGACTCTGTTGGGGTTATCGGGTCCTTGTCAGTGGTCGTGGTCGTCAGTGTTGTTTGTTCGCTTTCTCCCTCGTTCTTCTTTCGTTTCCGAACCAACAGCGTAGGAACAACCGTATTGGGCGCTTGCATCGAACCTGTAAACTCTCCATCCGTGCTTTTTCCGGTCACCTGTTGGCCTACCCAGAGTTGGTCGGCAAGTGACGCAACTTTTTCGTTGAACGCCTTGGTGCTTGCAAAAGAGACCTCCTCGTTGAAGAAGTCTTGCCGGAGAAGAAAATTAATTGCAACTTTGTAATCCTCCTCGCTCAGCACTGCATGTCCTCTTCCTGCTTGTGGCCAGTAAAAGGCAGTCCCGGCGGTTGTGGGCTGGACTCTGGTCGGATCCTTTGGCTGTGAACTGGGGTCGACCTTGGGGTCCTTCGGAATCTCTGAGGGTTGCTGCTGCTTGGGTAACTCATCCGAGGTGGCAGGTAATTCTATGGACGGAGAAGCAGATACTTGAGTTGGCTCGTTGGATGTAGTCGCATCCGTTTTCCGAGGCTCCTTGACCTCCGTGGAGACGGATCGAGACGTCTGCATCGGATTCGAATTTACAATACCTGGAGGATTGACCACAAGCCAAAGGAAACCGACGAGTCGCCCCGCGGAACATTCTTGTCGGAAGGACATCATTTCCCAGAACTGATCCAGGGATTTCACACTCCTCCACTGACCAGCGTTCTCGCCGGCGCTATCCATCGACGACCCAGGCAGCTCATCATCCAAATCAAGAAGGAAGCGCGTCTTGGGGTCATCAGGTAGACGAGGAACCAGACAGCGCGGCGGCGCACTAGGATTACTACACAACTGGTGGAGAGGATAGCTATTCAGCCATCGTGGACGATCCTTATGGTCTGTTTTGGCTGTGTTGGGAAAGAAACCCCGAGTTTCGAATTTGTCGCACCCAGGGACAATGAGATACGCTGTGGCCGAGCTCTGTGCTGATTCTTCAAGACCCTTTTCATGAGAATCGGACTCAGGCTCATACTCCCGTAAGATAGGGTCGATAGAGCGACACCACCACTTGATCAGCCCACGATCGTCAAGGACATGTTTTTCGGGGTTCTCGATACTCCCGGGAAATAAGTACTGGCTCTGAGACCGGGCGAATAGAGAGACAACCAGCCGAACCGCGGGCCTCTGGTGAGTATCCACCAGAAAGGAAAGAAATGTACTAGAAATTCGCCTGAGAAGCGAGCCCTTGGGTGCAGCCTTCAGTAGATGCAGGTGGCCCGTCGAGTCGGCCTTGGAGACGAAGATCGTGGTCAAGTGTGTTGTAGTGTAAACAAGCACTTCAACGCCGAACACGATAATCTCGGCATCATCCTTGTCAGCCGGGGTGATGGAGGTCGAAAGAAAGTGGTTTTCGCAGAAGGTGGGCTCGGGTTCTTCTCCGGGCGAGGGGGCAAATAGAGCGACGCTCGCCGTAGGAGTTGATGAGAGATGGCGAATGGTGACCTTCACATCGGTGGGCAACACCTTGGCTAAGAGATCTCTCAGATCAACATCGACCTTGGACATTGCGGCCTGCCCGAGGACTAGCTTGGAGGAACAGTCGTGTGGGTTTATTCTTTTTTTTTTTACTTTCATATATTCACCTTTTTCTCATCCTCCATTTTTGCTCACTCCCCCTTCGACGCGCACGGGTTCCAAATTCACGGCGGTCACGTGATGCACCGTCGTCCGGTCTTTCCTCTCTTCTTGCCTCTTTTCAATGTCTCAAATCCATCAAATTTTGTCTTAAAAATGACTTTATTACCATGCTATTATCTTTTTCTGGATAACCAAGTATTGAGGTCTCCATTAAATCCCCTGGAAGGTCGGGAGGTCATCATAATCTGGGGCTCGGGCAAACTGTATCAAGACTCGGGTCAAGATGGAGAGTCGAAAGATCCACTTTCTCATTCAGCTAAGAATTACAATAGTCTATGTACCCAAGTTTAGAAGTACGTAGCAGCAGCGTCCAAGTCATCCGCATTTAGCAGCCCAACACCCTCCTGGATGAGGGTCCTCCAAAGCAGGTTGCGCGCTCTAATCGGGTAGTAAGGAGCTCCCCAATACCTGGAAAGAATGCCCCTTTCCTTTGCAACGGAGATTTGCGATCGAAGTACCTCCAGCTGCTGTTCGCTAAGCACGGTGTCGCCGCCAGACAGAGCAAGATCTCCAACCGCAGAAGTGAAGCTAGTCGAAGCAATAGGCGAGATGAGCGATGTGAGATCGGCATATTCGGAGTTGCTTAGTTCTGACAGAGGGCCATCGTAGAAATAATCACGGTCCGCCACAGGGCCAACCATGTCGTAGGGAGTGTTGCCTGTTCCGATCACGGTAATGGGTGCCTCAGTGAGTGTCTTGTTGTTTTTGAGGGTTGTTAGGTAACCCTGTCGACGAAGCGGCTCAAGAGCAGAAATAACAGCTTCAAATGTCTCGGGGCCAGCGGTTTTGACGTCGATGAAGAAGTAGAGCGTTTGAGATGTGTCGGTGTCAAAGACGCCGCTGTAGGACGTGTTAGAAGCGTATTAGGAGCATATAATAAATACTTACTTGTTTGTTGGGGACGTCAGGAACCTGCTCTTGGGGTTCTGGCGTTCTAGTACATCGAGGATGGGATTGATGTAGAGCGATTCCAGAGTGCGTTCCTCGGTCAGTGACGACTCGTCGTGACCAACCTGTTCGCTCAATTAGTTGCCGCCTGCGAGATGCTGGAGGAGTAGAACTTACATAAAGAGTGCCATTGTACAGCCAAACATCCGCTTCCGTAGAAATACATCCTTTCGAAAGGGCTTGAGTAGGACAAAGCCGGCCAGTCAGTAGTGTCTTACTGGGTAGACCGGAGTTAAGGAATACCTGTGTAAAAGGGGATATCTCTCCAATAGTCACTGACAACCCATTAGCAACCAGAACCACCTCGACTCAGAGATTTAGATGAAGAGAAAGACTTACTTGTGAGAGTGAACTGGGATCTATTAGGAGCCAAAAAAAGTTATTCCTTCAAGCTCTCAGGTTCCTCCTGTGGATTCCTCCGGAAGGGGGACAGACACGGGTATGGATTCACCCCAGACCAGAACAGAGTAGAACTTACAGGCATAATCCCTCTTGTGAAGTCTGTAGGATATCCATATGCAGGACTTTTGTGTGTGTTTTTGAGAATATTTTGGAGCTCTGATGATCCTCCCACGGCCTGCGCCGGGAATGCGAGGAAAAGTGCGGAGGTCGCGACAACCAACGATCGGGAGAAAGCCATGATGATGAGGCAGGAAAAAACACAAGTTGTCACCCTCCCGCGGGGTTGAAAAAAAAAAAAGGATGGAAAGAAACAAAACAAAGAACACCAGCAGGAGAATGAGTGAAGCTCCTAGATTTATATCACAGCTGGGAGGTTGAAGAGCATGCAGGATCAATTGGCTGGTGATGGTCGACTTGCTGATCGGACTTGGCAGGAAACCCTTGTCATCAACAACATGAGCAGTTGTAACCATAAAGAAGCCACAAACAACGCACACTACATGTTATGCCGAGACACTAGGAATGCTAGGAGAGCCCAGTATGGAGTAGTTACAGCAGAATGGCTAGCTAGGTTATATTTGTCTTTATTATAACTGAGGTTTCTGAAGTCAGAGGGGGCACCACCAGTGTATGCCAATTCTGGGTAGGTATACGAGGGAAGTTATCACTAGCCTTTCCTAATCAATACTCAATTGTGAACGCCAGCTAGGTATCATATGGAACAAAGTAAAGTCATTAAGAACAAGGCTACTATCTTGAAGTAACGGAACCCCATGGAGAGTGGTGGGTCAGAGCGTTAGACCTCACGAACGGACGGAGGCCGAGAGTTGTTCTGGGAGTCCTGCTGCGTGCTACTCCGTCGGAGACTAAGATTTCCGATCCGCTGGACCAAATTACTTCCAACGGCATCCACAGCACCTTTGGGTGCGAGTAAGGTTGGTCCCTGGGCGGCAGCTTCCTGGACCTTGAACAGCTTAATCGCCGTCCCATTCCATACACCAACTGTACCAGGAGTAGCCCCAGATGCAGAACCAACAACCATTTCGGCCGAAAAGATGAATCCCCAGAGCAATGATTCATACCAGCCCATCGACAGGGCTGACCATTCGAAGGAATGCACGCGCTCCGGTGCGGGTTCTGCGGTAATGCATCGGATCATTGGGTCTTCCGAGAATGATGCAAGGTTTGCAATCAATGAACGAGCCTCAGGGCTAGTAGACGACTCAAATGCAGACTCGGGAACATTAGGGGTGATGGCTGAGATGACTGTAAGAATAGTATGAAGAGGGAGTTCGGGTAACCAAGACTCAAGCTGAATATTCTGGATTAGCGCAAATCATAGTGAAAATACAGCAGGGGATTGAATCCCTACTTACCCAAGCGGTAGTTGGCGTGAAGGTATTCGAAGATGCCGAGAAGATAGCAGACATACTGCTTTGGCTTGTCATACTGTTTTGTCGAGAGAAAGACGGCTGTCCGGCGGGCATTTTGCCTCGCGCCTTCTCTGACATACCCCTGAGTTGTAAGGGGACGCTCTCATCGACTATAGATGAAATTGAGGACCGGCGGGAAGTTTGGACGGAAGTTGAATCCTGTGCCGGGGTGTGTTGTCCTTCGCCCTCATCATCCGAGTCATCCCCTCCAATGGCAAATGGGTTGTTATTCTCTTCTGGAATTCGGCCTAAAGGTGACCGTGCTCCAGAGGAAATGCGGGGCTCATCTTCAGATGCCGAAAGAACTGGACTGGCAACAAGATCACGATTTTCGGCCTTTCTTCTCTCGTTTTGCCGTTCAATCTCCTGCTGGCCGCTTTCTAGTGTAAACTCTCGCACCGCTTCAAAACGCTTTCTATATTTCAGAATTGCGTAAATGAGGGACGGGTTTTCTACCTCAAATTAGCGGCGCGTGTTTTCAAATGTAGACAGGATCAGCAACATACTTGTGAAATTGTGCTCGAGAATCGAGTTGATGGATTCCAGCACCGAAGCAAGCAGGGTGTGGTTGGTCTCATTGGCCAAGAGGAAGCTGGGCGCCGACATGGACGAGAAAAGTTGAAGGATCTTTGAGCACGTTGCCGGAGATAAATGTTCAACATATGGCGCTATGTTGTTGATAACAGCAAGTAGAGCTGGATAGACAGCGTTCAGCTTGCCTTTGCTGGTGGTTATCAAGGTATGAACAGACTAGATTCGAGTTAGTCAAAACTCGCTTGTCACGGGACACGACCATACCATAAACAAGAAATCAGCATAAGATCCTCTAAACCCAGGTATGCGAATACTCTGTGGAAGGGTATCTTGAGCCTCAAACTTCTTATTCAAACTCTGCCCGAAATTAGGCTCAACGCTCATGGTTTGCAGAATGAATATGCACATCCGGACAACGCCTTGCTTGGCTGGGTCGGACTTGTATATAATGGCATAAAATAAACAGAGAATAATAAAGTCATGGGAGCGGTTTGAGTCAATTATGAAAGATCTAAATCGCTTGTTGCATTGCAAGGCCTCCCAGAAGAGAACCAACATCTCCGGTGCCCATTTGACGGACTTTTGGCTACCAGGGAGATAGGACGTTGTTGCTTGCATCTGTGGATAACATGATTAGTAGAAGGCGTGTGAACAACGGGCACACAACGTACAGGCTGATTCAGAATTCTGGTCATGCCATCGACAAGGAATTGGAAGTCCTGTGGTCTATGCAGACGACCAAAGTAGTGGCGGTAGTAGTTCTTTGGGGGAGTTCCACGACCATCCTCTGGAACTGGATATAAGAGAAGCACAAGAAGGAACTGAAGGCAGTAGATAACCAATATTTGTCTCGGGTCCTTCCACACCACATGGTCGTATGGGACTCTCCACGACGCGGGATTATACTTGATAGCCTAAGGACGGAATAAGATAACTTCCGAGATGGTGGGGATATATTTCGGGATACGTACCGTGTTTAATAGTGAGCATAGCAATGTTAAGACTGCCTGTTTCTCTTGAGAAGTTGTAATGTATGTGATAGCCTTCACACCTTGGACCGGGAGTAAACCTATGGCATGGTTTAGGCAAAATCCCTAGAACCGCGAGAGATATCACTTACTGGAAGACATATACATTGCTTTTCCGGTCAATGTGAGTAGGAGCCGGAGGACCTCACTGCGATTATTCTCAAATTCCTTGCTCGAGCCCATTGACGTATTGCAACCGACCCCACTTTGCCAGATAGAGTACGAAACATTGCCCTTCGCCGAAGGTAGCCTTGGGATGGTAAAATCCGAGTAGAAGAGGAGATCCATAAGCGTGTCAATCAGCTCCTCAGCCAAAGGCTTCACATCCTCGTAATCACGATCCCGAGGGGACGGTTGGTCTTGTCCATCTTGGCCGTTCGCTTCATCAAATAGGACGTCTGTCGCCAGCTGGGCCGCCCTAGTCTTTTTCCTCCTCCGAGTCCAAAAGAATTTCTCCTCCCAATCCTCGAGATGGTCCGCTTCATAAACGTAGGGAAGGACGTGGGTAAGAATGCGAATGCAGTTCAGCGCATCTCGATCGGGAGCGAGTTCTGGGTCCGGAAAGGAAGGATGGTTTTTTAAAGCCGTGAGACGAGATGTTATTGATAGTAACAGGGTCTCAAAATTGCCCAGCGCTTGATCGCGTGTTCGTCGGATATCTGCTGGGGTGAAGAGACTAAAGACATCTTCTGTGGACTCAGGAAGCTCCCAGAACTACCGGGCCATTAGAACGATCAAAGTCGGAGCGATAAGAATTTCGGGATAGAATAAAAAACTGACTCTTGCCCAGTACGGATCATCTGCGGGGATTTCCTTCTCCTCCGACAGGCGAAAGATGCCCTGCTTGAAGACTAACTTCGACTCCGAGGCTCCCATGTTAAGGCCACCACGATATTCACAAAGTTCTTGACCTCATACAGAAGAATAATTGACTATGATGGAATTCAAACGTGAAATCAGAGTTTCAAGGATGGTTGGCTCGGAACGTAAGCCCCAATAGCTTGGTGCCGCGTGTAAAAAGACTTGTGGTGATGTTGTATGTTGTTGGCTTTCTTGGAAGTTCATAGAGTGAGGAGCGGGTACCGGTACTCAGCCTCCACGAGCTTCTCTGTATTCGGCCGGAGCCGCTATCAATGATACAAGGGAAGCATTCATCTTGTGGAGAATATGTACGTATTTATTTATACTTCTTTTTCTTATTTTCTTATTTTTCTTTTATTTTTTTTTCTAAAGTATCTGAGAGCGCAGGCAAAAGGACATAACATAACGCTCTATGCTCCATACATTACACTAAAAAAACCCAAATCCGAAACACCTTCGTGCAAAGACTAGGTAAGATTTACATCGCCTTGCATCTAAAATTGCAACCAAACTCCAACGAAAGATAAGTTAAAGACTACCATTGCTGGCTGAGAGCCGTCTGCTTCGCTCATATAGCCACTTGTTGCTCAGTCCGATACTCGCCCGTTTTCCTCCCACAGGTGAAGGACTGGCAGGCATGGTTGACTCTTTGAAAGGCGAGCTTCGACCCAGAGGAGAAGACGATCCAAAGCTCTGCCTGCGGCCGTTGTCGCGGCCTCCGTTGGCGACCATCTTGTGTAATAAAGGGCTTGGCGAAGGTGAAAAAAGTGTGCCGGATGAGAACCGGCGACCTGAGGCGCTGGCGCTCGCTGAGAGCGGTGATCCAGAGATACTTGCTGGGCTTCCAGCCCTCGATCCAGAGAGGCGATATTTTGGGGGGGTAATATACGAGCTGCCTGGGGTTGGAGGGGCCGTCGCCGATGGATTGAGTCCCAGCAAGGCACGTTGCGTCGGGGTGAGAGGAATGTCGACAATGTCATCTTTCGGTCGGAAGAGTGGGTATAACGCAACGAGAATATTGAAGATAAGAACTAGCTGTAGAAGGAGCAGCAAGAAGTCGGGATACGCAGGGAATTGGGTGACTGCTTGAATCCAACGCGAGCTACCAAGGCCTTGTTAGTGTGAAGCAAGATATCAGCATGCCTAGGCCAGCACCCACTAGGATTTAAAAGTACCGCCAAAAGCCCAAGTGGCTAGGAGAGCAGAAGTATTCCAGATGAGTCGCTTCACATTGCGATCTCCAAAATTCCCCGCATTTTGTCTTCGAACAATCTCATCGAGATGCGGGTGCCGCCACTTTCCTGGTGTCCGGGATTCGGAGCTAGGAGTCGGCGCCGGCGCGGACGCCTGTTTGGGGGTAGAAGGAAGAAAAATGGACGCCATTGATTTCTACTAAAAGGAAATCTACTGAAAATAAGTCATGGCTGCGGGAGATATGGTTCGAGGGGGGGGATGGTCGCAGGAGGACTTACCTGGAAAATTGAACACAAAAAAAAGCGAACTTACCTACGTTAATTGTGCAGAATGAATTCGAATTAACGGTCCATCTGCGTATAGAAGCTGGTCCTTGTTCACAAAAAAAGACTAAGACCGGCGCATGGCTATCAGTAAGAGAAGTGACGGACTACCAGATTCCCGAGCCTTTCGAGATAGATTGTTTTGGTGGATGCGCAGTCGATTTTCACCGGCAACCGTAGGGACAAGCGCCTTTACCGCGCAGCCTTTACCTAATCGGGAGCTATTTTGTTTCCTTGCCGCGGGGCCAACCGGCGGCTTTCCCCCCACATGACCCCGGCTGAATCTCACGTCACTCTCTCTTCTCGAACGACTCGTTGAGTTTGTGAGGGACCTTATACAATCTTCTCGTATATGAGGGTGGAGGTCTATTTACCGAACCCTTCAGAATGGCCTCGGAAATATCCTTCTTGGAACGGCTTGATGGGCTGGCCAATGAATTGCTAGCCGACTGGAACATCTATACAACCTTGATTGCCGGCGCCATTGTTGCCTTCGCCGTCGTTTCGTTCGTCACCTCCAAGGAACCTGATATTCATCCCTTCCTACTAGCTCGTCAGTCAACTGCTTTCCCCGTCCGACAGCCAGGCGAATCCGCCGCGCATAGAAGCTTGGAGACTCCACATGGATTTCCCCTCAGATCTGGCCTGAATGTGAAGGACCCCGGTGCTCCAAAATGGACCAGTGGGAGAAATGGCGATTTGCGTGATGTTTGGAAGGCTGCAGTACGTGGAACAGTTGATGAGAATGGCACTGTTACTGGCAAGCAAGGCAAGATCTATACGGTTCTTGGGAAGCAGGCAATTGAGCATTCGTTGGACCAAATGACAGCAGAAATGAATGTTATCGGAAAGCATCTGCAATCGGCGAAGGTGAAGGCTGTTGCGGTTTGTCTGACAGATTCTGTCGAGCTTTTGACTTCCATATTCGGTAGGCGTCCTTTGAGAAACATTGTTTATCTGGGCTGTAGATCTCGCTAATACTCTGTCTAGTTGGGGCTTTCTACGGATTTAAGATCATCATTATCCCACACAATCTTGACCCGAAGGAATTGTCTGCCTTGCTCCAGAAATCCGAGGCAGATGCTCTAATTGCAGAGGCAGGAGCACTCGATCTGGCCTTGGTGGCTAAGGACAACAATCAGCTTTCGCAAGTTGTCTGGGTCGCAAAACTTGGAAGCAGACATATGGACTGGAATGACGTGCCTAAGGAGGTTGAGGGCCGTTTACAAGTGGCTGTCTGGCATGAGCTTGTTGAGGAAAAGAAAGACTTGTCTGGTCTAGAAGTCCCTGAATGGGATCCAAGCTCACCAACACCCTCCCTTACCACTGTCTGGCCTTCTTCATCTCACACCGGTGAATTTATCGAATATGGTCCAAAGGTAAGCCCATTTTTCTGCAGCGTATTGTAGCTCCTTGCTATGGAAATGCTGATATTAATCAATGAAATAGAATCTGGCTTCTGGTATTGCCGGCTTGATGTTCTCTTTGCCTCGGAACCAACGGATCAATAGCGGAGACTTGGTCCTTTCAATTGATTCCCTCTCGCGGCTGTATCACCTGTGCCAAGTCCTGGCAGCCATCTTCTCGAATGCCTCTGTGGCTCTTAATTCTGTTGCTGGGGAAGATGTCGATTTTGCTCTTGCCACCGTTGGAGTGTCCCCTACTGTCATCGTCGCCTCTTCTCGCACCATATCTGAATACCACTCCAAGTTTATGAAGCCACACTCTGGCCTTCTTTCGTCAATTGCTCGTTGGTTTCAGGTGCGATCTCTGGACTCCGGAAGCATGCCATCGCAAGGTTTCTTTAGTCGGCTTGCCACTGTTGGTCCCATGGCGGAGCTCTCGCTAAGCAGGCTGCGCTTGCTCTGCATTTCCCATCGCATTGATGGGGATTCCGAAGGGCAATTAGATTATGAGCAACTTACAGACCTCAGAGTTTTCACTGGGGCACGCGTGGTGTACGCTCTAGCTGCCCCAGGCGTTGCTGGGGCTATCTCCCAAACCAATATCTTCGATTATCGACGTTTCCAAGGACCCAGCCACTTTGGAGCCCCCTTGAGTAGCGTAGAGGTTACTTTAACTAACGTCCCGGATGGTTTGGAACAAGGCCAAGTATGTGAAATCATGCTTCTCCCCCATTTAATGTCTATTTTTGTCGCTAATATACCGTGATAGATTACTGTGACCGGCCCGGCTGTAATCTCCGGCAAAACAACTACTCAGATTCAAGCACGCATTCGTGATGATAATACCTTTGAGATTCTACCATAAATTCAACAATAGGAAAGGGTACCGGACATGAAGGTTTATTTCGGGCTTTTTTGTCTCTCGTCCGACTTGGTTGCTTTATTTGTGCAATGATAAAGGATATTCCACTGCATTTAGCGTAGTTTTCAACTCAGAGTTCATAGAATGAACGAACTTTTTTTTTTTAAAAAAAAAAAAACAATAGCATCTATTTTCAATACAGGTAAAGCTCAGGAAGAGCAATCTTCAGAAGATATTATACAGTTCATATGCAAGATGATGGGAAAGGAATGAACCCTAGGCTCAAGCCTGATGTAGCAGTTGGGCCTGTTTAAGACCCAATGTTGGCCGCTGCTGGGCCTTCTCCGGCGCCATCTTCATTTGGTTTCCAATGAGCATTCCCAATTGACTCACGCGGGTCTTCAGACCCGAGTGTACAGGTCTATCGCCTTGAATACCCTTCACTTGCAATGCAAGCTTCATGCCGTTGTAGATTGGCACATTCTCTTGCAGCATTCGGTCAACGTGGACCCAGTCCTTCACTTCCTTGTCGAAGTTGCCTAGTTCCCAACTGGCCAGCAGACGCTGCGCGTAAGCGCGAACCTCACCAGCCTCATCAAGCCCATCAAGCTCGCTCAGCGCGCGGGCAGCACTGAGTTCCAGCAATGTACCAACAACAACCGGCCTCCTCTTGGGGTCTTGCTCGATGCTGCGCTCAACATGCTCGGGGGCCTCCATCAGGGTAACGAACTGCTTCGCAAGACTTAGGGCCTTCGAGACATCCGGGCCCTTGAATTCACCTCTCTGGGCCTTCCGGTGGAGTTCAAAGAAAATCCGCTGAACGAGATCAATGTTGTTGAGCCGAAGACCAGTTCGCTCCGTTTGCTTGACACTCTCCAGGATGATTCCGAGAGCATCAGACTCGCCCGCTTTCCGTACCAGCCACTCCCAGCGCGCTGATGTGATGAGGCGGTTGGACATGCGTAGCCCGGCAATGAAAGGAATCAAATTCTGCCAGTCTTTGGCGGTTTTCATGAGCGACACCACGTCGACGATCTCTTTCTTCGAGGGTCGGGTTAGCGGGTCCATTGGGCGGAGGAGGAACGGCTCGTCATTCTCGCCAATGGTCACGGTCACGGGCTCCTGCTCTAGTCTTTCGGCATACTTCTGGCGGAACACGAGTTTCTGCTGCTGGCGGCTCAGTCCGTATGGGATGAAGAGTTCTTCGCGGAAACGGTTGAGGGCTTGGTCCAGCTCGGCGGAGGATGTCGGGGGGAAGGAAGGGATTGCTGCGCGGGGGAGGGGGGGGGAATAGCGTTAGCAGAACGATCATAAGAAACATGACATATTCGTATAGTATGTTCGCATTTGCGTACCATTTTTCGAGTAGCTGCGCTTCTGCGTGATTGTGCTGATGGATTGGCGAAGTGTGTTAGAATTCTGGCAGCGGAAGAGCCTGCCGACAGCGTTTTGCGCCATTTTCGGTCAGGTTGCAGGAATTCAGCAGCTTCGTAGCCAAGAACTATAGCGGAGCTAAAGATAATCGCAACGCCCTGGCTTGTCGCTTGAGAGTGTGTACCCCCGTTACAATCAAAGCAATGCGAACTGTATTCCAATGTAGTCCGTTGTTGGCGGCAGAAAAGTTCCTGGGCGGTGGTTGGCCCAAACAGGCAATTCGAGACTTGGCGGAAATTCTGCCGGCTCCCAACTTCCGCCCGAGATTCTTCTCTCTTTCTCGGACACGAAGAAAGATCTTTTTGCGCCAGCTGCTCCCCACGTTGCTCTTTTCGCAGCCATGGCAGCTCTTCCTCAATTTACCCGGCAGCTGGGCTGCTTCAGATCGCTCGTGAAGCCCCAGCCATTGATGCAATCTCAGATCAGTTGTCGGTCGATTTCCACGGTATACTCGCAACGGCCGGAGCCAACACTTCTTCCGTCAAAACTCCCTCAGCAGTTTTTGTCTCAGATTCCTGAACGATTGCAGCCTCATGGTATGTAAACTTTTACCTTTTTTTTTGGCTATGAAATCTTGCGTGCTTTCTTTCGTGGTCTCCTAACAATCTTCGTGGTGCAGTGCGCAAGAAGCTGAAAATCTACCCGGCACCACCCTCACCAACCGCTACATGCAAGGATCCCATTACAGCGGTCCGAGAGTCCCAGCTCGCGGAAATCGACCCTACAGGAGAACGCAGAGCACTGTTTGACTACCGACGAAACCCCCGAAGTGTCAAAGTTGGCGATATTCTACGCGTGACCTTCAAGAATGGAGACCCCTTCTCTGGCGTCTGCTTGAGTATTCGTCTTCGTGGCATTGACACATCCTTCTTGTTGCGTAATCAGCTTACGAGGGTCGGAGTGGAGATGTCTGTTAAGGTTTTCAGCCCGAATGTGGAGAGTGTCGAGATCGTCCAGAGGACGGAGAAGAGGAAGAGAAGAGCACGGTTGTACTACATGAGGTGCGTATTTTGCCCCATGGTCCGAGTGACCCGGGCCCTTATTTTCCGAGGAACTTCGTTAACGTTCATCTTTTACCTCGATCTAGGAAACCCAGGCATGATATGGGCAGTGTCGAGAACATTGTCTCGAACTACCTCCGACAAAAGTCGGCTCTTACTGGACAGAGATCATCCCGCGGACAGAAGAGGTGATTTTCAGATACAAAGATTTGTAGTTCTTCTGGTTTGCAAGTGTATTATTACTAGCACGTGTACATTGAATATTATGGCGCCTTTATCTCCGTGTTTATATCTCTGGATAGACTTAATGTGAGAAAACGCTGTCCTACCTGGAAGGGACAGTCTTTTTTATCTCAATATTAGTAGTTCTCACCCAATTAAGGTCTAAGTGACAGCGGAATACTCCCTAGTCTTGCGAAGACCATCTGTTGACAATCCGCGGCTATTGTATAGAACGGGTTGGCTACGCTGGCAGTGGACATAGTGAGTCTCTCTCATCTCTAGAGCAGAATAAAGCCGCACCTAGTGTAGAACATTCCTCCGCTAGCCAAACAACACTAGATCCGGTGTTTTTGGCGATTCTGGGGAGATATCATGTTATGGAGGAGAATTCGATTTCTACCAGTCAACCAACAACTATTGCACCACTTAACTTGGATTTGGTTTGGTTTTTTTTTTAATAAATATACACTACACTGTATTAATACCTCTGGTTAGTTTGGGGGGGGGGGGGCTGTTTCTTTATCTCAAATATCTCTCGTTTCATGAATCAAATACATCAGATCAGATGAGGTTATACTGGCCTAACCCTAACCCAACCCCTAAGCATAGCCCTAGACATTCATTCATTGATTGATTCGCAAAGCCAACCCCCATACATACCTTAGATCCCAAATCCATTGACAATCACTAATAAATATACCGGAAACTGCACGACAAACCAGGATAGTTAGTAAGATGTTCATTCACCGAGAACCCATACAAACCAACCCCAGCAAATTCCCAAGCAATCAAGAAAGAAAGAAAGAAGAAAGGAAATACTTTAAATTCTCTCGATCAGTCAAATCCAAAAAGGCCGTGGCATCGAGATCTCTCCCCTCCAGCCCGTTTTCCATCTGGGATTGGATCCGGTCCCGTTTCTTATTTTCCCAGCGGAGAAGCAGGCCCAGGATACTGATCAGGACGGCTTCGATGAGATGCGAGACGATCATGGACCAAATGCCGAGTTCGTAGGCTGGTCTTTTTTTTCCCCTCCCTCTGTATTAGTATATTGTGGAGAGATGGGATGAGGTTTAAAAGGAGGGGGAAGGAAGCAAGTACTTTTGATGATCTTTATAGAAAAAAGGCCCCGCGATATTCCCGGTGCAGTAGCCGAGGAAGAGGACGGCGTTTGTGACGACTTTCTTGGTGTGGCCTATATAGAGAGAAAAAGAAAAAGGGTTCATTTCTCGTTCGGGAATTGATATAGGGATATAGGACAAGGAAGAAGGTCAGGAATTACCGGCTGTGTTGGCAATTTGCATGCTCAGAATCAGGACAAAGGCTGCATTGTAGGGGCCGGTGAGGTAATAGCAGATCAACCGGGCAACTGTGTGATGTGCGGGAACGAAGCGTAGGCCGAACGCGCCGGCGAGGTTGGGGATTAGAAAGAGGATAACAAAAACGCAGCGTCTGTTTTCGTAGCGGTCGTTTAGGAAGACACAGGCGAGGATAGATATTGCGATTAGGATTCCGTAGGGAACCTGTCCTTATTAGTTCTGGTAGTCGTATTGGATGGATGGATGGATGGATGGATGGATAGAAAGGGGCGCTACCTGCATAAGTGTGGTGACGAGTGTCGAGAACCCGAATCCCTTGATGATGATTGTTCCGAAGTTGGAGATGCCTCCGTTAGGAATATTGCCTATATGTGGCGCTTGCTTAGCATACATAGCATGGCGGAAGTGTCAACGCAGGAACCGTACAAACACAGCCAAGCACAAAGAAAAAGTAGACTTTGTAGTCCATGAATGCCTCCAGGATCTGATGCGGCTTGAGATGCTTGTTCTCAACACCAGTCTGGTTTTCTCTGATCCGCTCCACGGCAATTCGACGCTCTCTGGGGGTGAGTCCAGGGGCTGTGACGGGTGAATCGGGGAGGAAAATGAACATGACAATACCCCATGTCGAGCAAAGAGCACCACTAGGATTTCTATTAGTATCCGAGAGAGAGAGAGATTTTCCAGGCATCCTGGGGGTATGTACATCACGATGAATTCATACTTCCACGACGGAAGAGCACCGCGGATATGGCCAATTCCATAACCTAGCAGTCCACCAAGGGCGATACCAAGGCCATTGGCGGTATACCAAAGGCCGATACGCACGGGTTGTTCGCGCCGAGTATACCACATGCTGGTTATGAGCATGAAGGCAGGGTCTGCACAAGCCTCTGCGGCTCCTCCTAGAGCTCGGAGAACAGCAAGCGTAGTGAAATTATGGCATGCCGCTTGGATCATGAGAAACACCCCCCTTTGCTTATTAGCACGCAGGATGTTATCGGAACAGGAACAGGGCAGGTAAGGTACCACATGAAGATATTCGCGCCGAGATACTTTCCTACAGCAGCAGGTCAGTGATATTTTCATCAGGGAGCACCAGAGTTCATACCGATACGCAATCGTTGCATGAGAAAGTTGGTAGGCTATTGGCGTCAGTACCACCCTTGATCTCTCTCCTTAGATATATATACATACAAATGCCCAAACCAAAAACCCAAAGTAGAAGATACTACTAAGCCAGTTGTACCGCGTTCCATGGAGGTCGAGATCATCAACAATGCCGAAGATAGCAGCGTAACTAAGCGTTGTCTGCACCAAATTAGTCCCTCCAGAGAATCCAGGACCTTAAAGAGTATATCGATCACCTTGTCAATGTAGAAAAACGCATAGCAAACGGCAAGATACGGCAATATCATCAGATCTATCTTCCACAGCACCTTTCGCGCTTCAGCAGGGTCAATCGCCTCGTGCAGTTCATCCGAATTATTGAATAGAGCCATGGCCGTATCGCCATCGGCCGCACTTTCAACCTTCCATTTCGAAGCAGCAGTTGCATCCTCATCGTGGTTTACCGTCGGGACATCCTTTGCATTATCCACATGCTCGGGGCCAGCATGTGGCTCCGAATTCGAGACACCCCCCATCTTCCGTTCCTCGGTATGGACAAGCCGATAAATCCTGGACCAAGAGTGATGCAAAGGAGGAACCGTTCAACAGACAGTCCGGACAGCACACTCCAAAAGGCAGATAAGAGTATGTAAAAGAAACCAAGAAAATCGAACCGGATCTCTCGACCACGATTACATTACGATAAGCGCCAGACATTTATTATATGTAACAGCTACTCCCTACCCCATACGATGAGCTGTCCGTGCGTGCATTCCGTATTCATTATGAGTTCCCCCCCCCCCAAGAAATCATAAGTGACTATAATCGGTGGATACTTCATTTAGATGGGGTTTCTTTTCTTTTTTTCTTTTGGTTCTACCTCGGATGTACTCCGAATATGGCGAAGGAGTGGCGTAAAGTAACTTGGACTATGACCCCACAACAACCCCGTATTCGAGCTTTTCTCTCTCCACACTTTTCGAGGGGGAACGCGGGGCGTGGAAGATGCGGGGGATCAAAGCACGGGGCTTTCCATCCTGTCTACCATTTAATCATTTACTACCTAGGTAGATAGACAGAACATTGCGATCAAGGCCCTGTCTGGAATTGAGCAATGACGCGTCGTTCTCAGCCAAATCCCATTCCGAGCTAGCCCTTTCTTGAAGGATTCCTGAGGTGCGTTAGAGTGTTGTCGCAGAAGGGAGACAGAGCTCGGAGAAGGCCGATACGTACAATATGTAGCAAGATGATGCGTTCCTCTACTGGGGTTCTGCATAACGTGATCCGATAGGTGGGAGTATCTGGAATTGTCTGGGTAAAGTAGCAAGATGGGGAGTTTGAGTCGTTGTGGAGGTGACTCGGCATACATTAATACTTTTTTACTTGCGGGGAGGAAATCCGGGGGTTCATAGGCGAAAAGACTTTTGATATATGGCGAACTGAATACCAAGGCAATGTCGACGTTTTTTTTTTTTTTTTTTTTTTTTTGACTTTGTTCCAAGACTGCAAGTGGCTGTCTGTGCCCACTATCGGAGATCGATACACCATATATGTAGTATGTACTCTATATTGACCTCCCACTATCTAGTTAGGTAGTCTCTTCTCCTGCAGGTGGAGACAGAATTTGGAGTCCTTGCTTTTTCCCACTTACTCCAATCTCCCTTCTTAGTTCTTCACCCTGCATGGCCCCATGACCCCAATCTATGCACGCCCTCCAACATACAGAGGAGGACCCCTGCTCTAATATCAAGATCCATGGAGAAGGCGGATGGAGAGACTATGATTCCTTCTTCCCTTCTCTCTTTCTTTTCTTTTCTTTTCTTGTCTCCTCTCTTATTACGATCACACATGGCTTATACCCCCCGGTAGAATGTGCCTACTGTTTTATAATAAGTTCGTGGTAAAGCTGAATTGCCATGTCAATTGTTCTAATCCAAATAAATATACATCGAAAATCACAGATACAAAGTATGACTGATGCAAACAAAGAGCCATCTACTTAATGTCCTGCGGTCTTGCAAGATTTTCCCTCGTTTGCCCAGTGGAATCCTGGGACCGCGGCTCCCTAGCCTTATCTAGAGCTTCATTTCTGATCACTCGTCCCTGCACCGCCACGTACCGGATCAGGCTTTCGCAAAGCCGATCTAGAACCCATTCAGGCTCTGTCTTCTCGGCCAGGAGTGGACTGTCTTCGCCGATCCAGTCCCAGTTCAAAACCCCGTACTCATCTTCCTCGACAACGTATTCTTGATTTTTCCTGGGATCTGTAAATCGGATCATGCGCATGAACTCGTACCATTGTTCGTAGCTGTATTTCTTGGGCTGCCCCATTAACGCATCCTTTATCGTGCTCTGGATGGCAAGGGCGAGCTTCTGGGCGAGTTCAAGCTCCGATGGCCCTGGTTCCCGGGCTAAATCTTCAAGGGACATCCCTCGTTCTTCCGTCTCTTGGGGCGGAACACCATTCGGAGCCTTCTCAAACTCCGGGTTGGATGCCGGTTCCTCGGGCACTTTCTTTCCTATCCCGGGAAATCGTGACATGAAGGCTTTATACTGGCCAGACTGCGGCAGAAAGGTCCATGTCGCGACGACACTGGTAGCATGTTTGTACCCGTAGACAATTGTATCACTCATTTTCGAAATCAAGGTGGTCATGGTCGGTACAGCAATCAATGACCAAACGATGAAGAAGGGGCGACCTGCATTGCTTTTCGGGGTTATATCTCCATATCCAATCGTCAGAAGACAGCAAAAGCCAAAATACAGGGCATCGAAATAGGTCATATCATCTTCGATCGCCCAGAACACAACAGCGCCGCAGGTCCACACAATTCCAAAGGCAATGATGCTGTTAATAAGATTCGTCCACCGACGGAAACGTCTCGTCTCGTGCTGAATCGCACGCATTGTATTAAACCTATCCCTTTCCTCTCTCATTACCATAAGCCTCGACCGATTCCCGGCGACTCGTGATAGGGCGTTCAGAGTGCTCACGACAGGCCAGCGCCTCGAGTATGGGTCTTGGAATTGAAGCTGAGTGGTGGACTCTGAGCGTTTTACAGCTGCTTGTCGCTTCCGTTCGATGTGTTTCATGATAACATTGTCGTAATGAATTTCTTGGACAAATCGATGCATACTGGAAACCACCAGGCCCAGCATAACCATTCCAATAACTGCATAGGGGAAAACAATGCCTTTGCCCACATTGCCTTGGTTGGTGATATCACCAAACCCAAGCGTGAGAATAGTGACGTCGGAAAAGTACAACGCATCGGCATAAGGTATTTCGATCACATTTGAGAAGATCACACCACCAATCGCCATCCAAACAATAAAAGCAATTGTTTGGAGAATCAATGTTCGCTGGTCGTCAGTGAGAGCGAAGTTCTGTGGATAATGGCCTAGGAAATAACCTAGCATATTAATCATTAAGATAATACAGAGAATGAAATAGAGAACCGCCGATATGACTGCACTCCAGAAGGCAGAGGAATACGTCTGGTTGGGGGGAACAGGGGGCGCATAGATATGAATGGAGACTGTTATCCCCGTTAACTAACCTAGGTATTAGCCGCTTTGTGGATGTAAACCCCCCGTCTCGTCATCATTGAAAGCTTACAATAAATGTTGATAGAAGCCAGAGAAGGATAGACATCGGCAATGCTATGATATACCGCACAGTGCGCGTAAAATTGCACAGCAGAAAGACATTGCCTGCTAGCCCACAGGCGAGGGAGGTAGCATTAAGCGCTACACACCTTGGGCATGTTACTCTATGATCTCGCATGTGGGTAATATCTCAGATTGCATGCTTACCAGTGGGGGTCACTGAAGCCCACTTGTACATAAGTTCCATCAAGATCCGGATCATTCCAGTAGACGGTATCCCTCCACGGCATAACCAGGGCAACAATAGACATCATATTTGCAAGGGGGGCAGTTGCTGCAGCTATTAATGGAATTGCAGTAGATGCAAACCACCAATCCTGAGGCTCATCGTCATCTGTAGGCCTCATTTGGAAGTGGCTTCGAAATTGCTCCCAGCGCCAGGGGGTGGTTCCGCGGCTTTTAGTCGAACCAGTGTTGCTAATTGTCCGTGACATCGTTGTCGTTCCATTCGCATAGTATCTCGTGCGGTAGAAATAGTGGTATATTACAAAATATTTTAAATCCAAAATGAAAAGATTGAGGGAGACAAGAAGATATCAAAATATCGCGAGTCAATTTAAGGCACTCGACAGGCCTCCATCGGTTCCGCGAGAGATCGCAAGGATCTGTCTGTACGGAGTAGACTGGATGCTCCGTATTTGTCGAATTCTCCAAAATCTCGAAAAAGTGAAGGGAGTGATGAAACCCGTCAAAGAGGATTGAGGGACATTGAGACAAAAAGAAATAGGTTTTTGGCAGATGTGGGCGTCACGAGCGGAATGCCGGATGGCCAACTTGACTGCCCCTCCACACTTTCTACCAACAGATCACCGACCATCACGGTTTCCGTCGATTAAGACCAGTTTATGTTGAGGTTATCTCAGCACCTCGATCAAAATCTCGTACGGAGTACAGCTTGCCATCTCTCTATGAAATCAATTGCAGAAACAGCCGCTTCCGCAGATTATCATCCTACATAGCTGCTGCCATCTGGTTATACAAGTTCGACGCTTTCAATCCAACATCAACATTTTTTCTTCTTAATTTTAACCACTCTACTACTAGTACGTACTATCTTGACTTCAGAAAACACATTAGCAAGATATTTTCCTTTTTTTCTGGCTGCTCTTCACTTTTTCCAAGATCCATGGATAGACACGTGGGAAGATAGGTACCTACGTATGTACCTGGAACTCAACTATAGTCCTACAATTAATGTACTCTACGTTGAAACTCAAGATATCGGGATGATACTCCCTGGTACTTGAAAAAAACCATCATCATCATCATCATCATCATCATCATCACTGATTTCCGAAGCATGGAAGGAGAATCTAAAGCCGGAAGATTCATCCACTCTATCCAATTAATTGGAGCATATTGGCACCCAGCAATATGGGATAGCAAGAATACCTAGGTAGTTTTTATTTCTTTATTTATTGGGGGGGGGGGGGGGGAGGGGGTTTCAATGAAAGAAATGGCGCTTCTTCGGTGAGGCAGAAGAACGAGTCAATATTGCAATCATTATTTAAAAAGTGCTGTAAACAGTGGGGGCATTTAATTCACCACTGCATGCGGAGGTTGGATGATGAAAGTGGCGTCGGTCGAAGAGACTTATAGAGAGGTATTTGAGGCTACAGTGTACACTCGGGGTAATCCTGACATGGATACTAACTAGTGGGTAGGTTAGTTAGAAGGGGTCCACTGAATGATAAACAGGCAAGTTAATTCAAGCAAGGGGTATGCAATAGTCAGCCGAAGACTGCTGATCAGGGAGAGCTCTTGTATCGCCAAGATATACGGAGGAAAGCATGAAGAAAGTAGCAAGAGCAGCTTTAATTGAGTATCTATTTAAACGCAAGTGGCTGTAAGAAGCACCTGTCCAGAGGTACTTTCCCATGGAACAAATAGAGCGTGAAAGGGTATATATCATTCCCACTGCGTACACCTATGGTATGGCAAGGAAAAAGCAAACCGCGCATGAAGTTCCTAATTCTCTTCGAAATCATGTGCAAATATCCAAAACGCCGAAATCACGGTCTCATCGTGAAGAGAAAGGAAAATGGAAAATCCAGTAACCGAGTAGATGTATATTCCTCGGGAATAATACAATAAGATCTATATATGCATTAAGCCAGATGCATAAGCCTGTCGGTGGAGTGGGCGTTTATCGGGTCATATACAAAGAGTCGCTGGACTCGGTTCGAGGAAACATTCGACTTTGCAGGGAATCGGTAGACTCGGTTCGTGGAAACATGCGCTGGTGGGCCTTGGAGATGGTTCGGTCGGTGTAGATACCCTTGGCTGTGCCTTTGACCACAGTCTCAAGGTACTCTCTGTAATCGATGGGTGTGAAGTCGGGGTAAAGATCCTTGGAACTCAAATAACCCAGGTACTTCGCATACTCTGGGGTGTTGTCGCCACGGATCCCCCACGATAGTTGATATTCGGCCAGGTATCGAGGAATAAATTTGATGGGGTCAAACGGATAGGTCTCACTTGCCTGGCGGGAAGCAAGAACACGATTCTGAACCAGCTCCTCTGTCACCTAGAAACAAAGTACAAGGTAAGCCAAGGTTTGGACTCAACTGGACCATCCACCCTACTTACATGGTTTCTCGTAATCGTCTCCTCACTGATTTCCTCAAGCAAGTCGAAGATCTGATTCTGGGTCATCACGGTGTTGTATGCAAGAACCATCTTGTTCAAGGTACGGTCGTCGAGGATAATTCTAGCCACGTAGCATCCGATGTCTCTCAAATCTGTGATAGCTATCGGGGTATTTCCGTCTCCAACAATCTCATTATTGGCGGCTGTCAGGGCATAATCGACTCTTCCGGACTCAAGTCGAGGGTATGAAAGTTGGTACCATAGGCCAACATCGATAATTGTGTAAGGGAGATGGAGTTGTTTTATATGGTTGTAGACGAGTTCTTTCTATACAAACAGTGTGAGCTAAAATGCTAACCACGGATAATGGTTGCGCAACTTACCTCATCTCTCAACCACATAATTCCACCTACGGGGGCCACTGTCAGGAATGCACAGGGAACAAATCGCTTCACGCCAGCTTTCTTGGCTGCACTGGCAAGGGGAATCTGATCCTGTTGATCCGCGGAGCCAATACAACTGATGACAATGTCTATGCCTGATAAAACTTCGACAAGCTCCTCCTCTGGTGCTTTGAGATCGCATTTGCGAATCTGGACGCCTCGCTCTTGCAAGGCCACGATCGCGGGTTTCAGAGCAGAACGAGGTCGAACAAGGGCGTGGATTTCCTATATTACCAAAGGGAAGGAGGACGTTAGAAACGACGAATGCCCATTTTTTTTCCAAAAAAAAAAGACAAAGCAGAAAAAAAAAGAACAAGAACAAGAGCATGTCGGGGTACGTACGAAAGTTGGGTTCTTAAGAAGCCCGCTGGCAATTGATCCTCCGGTCTCGCCCGTCGCTCCGACCAGCAGAACCTTTGTCCGTGACATAACGAGATATAACAGAGGCAATAGACGTAGAGATAGAAGGGTTTGGAGAGAAAGGGAGTGTATGAGCAATGAAGACCATAAAAGTCGAAAAGGTGTAAGTTAATTTTAAAATTGAGGACCAAACTGACCCCTGGGTTCGTTGTAATAAGAATGGTTTTCAACCCGAGGGAAGAATCGAGGATCTGGTGCCATTATAAAGGCCGCGTCCCACCCAGGATGGCCACTTACCCACTCTTTTTGGCATCCCAAATTCCCAACTGGTTGTTGGTGGGTCGAGTGGATGTTAAGCTCCTCCCAGAGGTCGATGACGGAGTTGAGTGTCCCGCTAACGAATGACCCTTGGAGGATCTGAAGACCACCCCCTTTGGAGGAACACAAGATATCCATATGATATGACAAGCGTTTCAGGGAGAATCAATAGCATAATCCTTACGGTTCTTCACGCTACTTTCTGCTGGATGAGGCCCTGAGATCTCCACGGGTCGGTGGTTTCGGGAGACGAACCCAAAGGCACCTTACGTCATTTCTCCCACGGCTTCCCGAAATCCATTGGAGGTTTTTTCGAGTGAGTGTTTCACTAGATGTACGCTTCCAAAATTCCACATGCAGATTACGGAGGGCGGGGGTCCGGTCTGCCCAAAAATTCAAGGGAAAAAGAAAGGCACTCCTGTCTCCTATACGTTCGGCTCACTCCAGCCATGACACTATTTAGACGGGGCGGTTTTTTGTGTACCATGGTAATCCACACTTTCCGTTCCCTGGGGAAGGCACTTCGGATACCCTCATTCCTAAACTGGGGGCTACCGATGAGGCTAAGGTCAGCCCATACCTACAGCAGATCACATTGTTGGGAAACTGACTTCTTTGATTTAGGTGGTTTGATGTACTACTATACAACCTATCGATTTACGCCCACAAATCACCAGGTTATTCATAGCACCAATTGAAATTCAATCAACATTCCAGCCACCCCCGGTCGGCATGGTTCAATTTTCCCCCTGAGTTGTACAATATAGGGATGTGAGGAGGGATTTTCTTTTCCCCCAGCAGCAGATGGGAGTCAAGCTTTGTTCTTACTGTCTGGTCCTGTGGAGATCATCGATGCCTCTCACTGTCCCTCCAGCCCCTAGCTCCACAACTCTCCAGACTTGTGATTTCGAGGGCTCTCCGAGGTTTGATCAATGGATCGAGAAACTTGAAATCTTGGTAACCATGAATACTAACCCCATGCGGAGAAGAATTCAACTATATTTTCGATCCGAGACCTTTTGCTCGACTCCACATTCACTGATCCATACGTTGATTTTCTGATGGATGGGCTCTCTCGAGTTAATTCAGTTCGGCGCCACGCACCTATACTCAGGATATCATTCGACAAAGAAATAAGCACATCCTGGCCTTGGTTTCTCCATTGGTCGTCAATCTCCACCAATCTTCTTATCGGCGAATGTGCACCTGCACCTGGCCTAAATAGTGAAGAGTTTCAAATAATATTTGTGCAGTGAGGGTCATAAGTAACATCCCAAATCCTTACTCATTATGCTTTCAGATATGGGGGCTTATATTTATGATAGTTCCATCTTTCCATAACAAGCCAATTTATACTGTGAGAAAGAAATCAAAAATATTTATCACAGGCACCTGATAGGCATGGCACGGCGAAACATTAAAGTACAATCATAAAGGCAATAGTATAAACTAGGTTGCCTCATCAGCCTTTTTGTAATTTTTAAATAGACGCACTTAATACAACCATTCTCGAAATCATCGTCTCGCATGAAGCATCCAGATTTGGTAGATCCTAAATTTCTACAACGTCTGCTCAGCTTTCGACGCGTTTTTTCACAAGGAGATTAATTACATCTTCTACCCTGAAAAGCCCCGCCGGTGCTGTCAGATTCACGAAGTATATACGTGTGCCTGAGGCATCAATCCTTGATATCCTCAAGGAGCAGTTGCGATGAAGTGCCAGGGTGGTTATATTTACTAGCTTCCAATGTTTCAAAGAACCCTCTTTCATATATACAAGGACTTTTGATCAAAAATTTTCTCCCTCTCTAGGTGCAAAGGTCACATTATCTTACACCACCTGGTCTATCAAAAATGTCACAACACGAGTCATCAGGCTATCATTCATCAACGCTACCCAACACAGAAAGCAACCCTGAATCCAACCCCGGCAACGCCAAAGCTGAACACGAAACCCAGATTAGTACCTATGGGGCGTTGAAGCCATACCAGTTAACTGTCATTGGTTCGCTTTCTCTCCTGGCGGATGAGAAAAGACGTTCCTAACCTTTCGATAGCTATCGGTGGATCAATAAATACCGGGTTGATGATAGCATTTGGGAACGCTCTGTCGCGGTAAGGCTTACCCAGGTCGTCATATCAAGGTTCTACTAACACCTGGTACTTCACTCTCAGATCAGGAGTAAGGCCTTTACTCTCGAGCTTGTCCCCACACTCTAATAATTACAGCCAGCGTCCATTCTAATTTCGCACACATTTGTGGGTCTTATAGTCTTCCTCGTCCTTTGTGCTCTGGGAGAAGTGGCTTCATCATCCTCCGAGCCATCAACTGTTCCTAGTCATGCTGTCCAATTCTGTGGCCCGTCACTCGGCTTTACATTAGGATGGATGTAAGCGCCCCCCCCCCCCCCCCCCCTTTTAAATTATTTCCATATTGAACTCGATCTAATCCAGAAGGCGCTATGTGCAGATACTGGCTGAAATATATGGTGGTCATACCTAATCAGCTGACGGCCGGTACAATGTTGGTCAAGTTTTGGAGAGACCTCAGATCTGGGGAAACAGCGGCATACATTACAATATTTCTGGCCATAATTATCGGCGTAAACTATAAGTTCAGTCGACTTTTGAGCCGCTTCGAGTTTTTCTTATCCTCGTTCAAGGTTATAGTTGTGGTTGGATTGATTATTCTGTCCCTCGTTCTAGTTTTGGGTGGTGGCCCAGATCATCAGAGGAAGGGATTTCGCTACTGGAAAAGACCAGGGGCATTCGCGAACGTCGATAATAAAACAGCTATGGGGATCATATACGCTGTTTTCAGAGCAGTTCCTTCGACCACTTTCTCTTACCTTGGTACCGAACTTCTCGGAATGTCTCTCCTGCACACGCAGAGTCCACGGAAAGCAGCAGCAAGAGCAGTAAAGCAGACTTTTTATCGAATCCTAGCTTTCAATGTGCTCTTTGTTACTCTGTTAGGGATGGCCATCCCATATGATGAGGACTCCCTAGCACTTACCAAGGACAACCCAAAAAGTGCTGCATCAGCATTCGTTGTGGCAGTTCAATTAGCCCATATTTCTACCGTGCCACATATCCTCAATGCCTTCATTCTCGTTTTCGTTTTGTCCGCCGCAAGCAGGGCCCTTTGTATGGCAACCAGAATTCTATATGAACTCTCCCTAGACAAAAATGCCCCCAGCTTTTTAAGTCACACAGACAACAAGGGCGTACCGGTATATGCTTTAGGGGTATGTTCTGTTTCCGCATCGCTAACATATTTGAACATTTCCAATGCACCTGGAATTCTTTGGACTTATTTTGTAAACATGGTCACCATGTTCAATACCCTAACATGGACATCTATTCTCATCGTCCACATAGCATTTGTACGTGCTTGCAAGATTCATCACATTGATGGACTTCCATTCAAAGCACCGTTTGGGGTAATTGGCTCCTCGATCGCTCTAGTATGCTGCCTTCTAATGCCAATTATGAGAGGGATCGAGCTGTCTGAACCTAATTCCACGAACCCCAACATTGGTGCTATTGTCACCTCTTTCCTCGGGATTCCTCTTTACTTCAGCCTAGTTCTAGGATATAAGGCTGTGGCCAAGAAGAAAATGCCACCCATCAAGGCCTATCCATGGGCAAACCCAAATACTCAAAGTGTTCATGATACTGCTCCAGGTGGCACGGAACAAATTAACAACCCGCCAACCCAGGAAAATACCCCGTGGCAGGATCGTGCTATTCCAGTATGGCTGATATGAGGGCGATCCGGTAGATGATTTCACCGAGCAGGAGTGCAAACAATGGTGCGATTTCCAATGCATGATGATGATTCCTGTCGTCAGCCTGATTTTGCGTGGATGCTTTGTCCAGGCGTATCGCAAGGCAGAAAGACGTCGATAAACGCCGTACTTTTTCCTCTCTATACGAGTCTGCTAGTACAGCCAGCCAGGGTAATAACCTAGGAACCGATATAGTTATTGGGTTCCATCTGATAAATCGGCCTCGCTTGAAAGTTGACGTGCTACCAGACCAATTAAAACAACAATAGATCAGACAATACACAAAAGTCCAATATCATATTTTTTTTTTTTTTTTTTCGCCTGACATATGCCCCCGGATTCCCGGAGAAGAAGAAATGCAATCCTTGATGATATACTCCGTCCGGAGTATAGTTATATATAATATGGACGACAGCAAAAGCAGCCCCAGCGACAAGAGCACCAACAGGAACTGGCGTAGTTTGTGCCGAGCCAATTGCTAGGGACTTTACTAGTTCGGAAGCCCACTTCTCCTGCACGTCCATCACCCACTTAATTTCTCTCTGTTTCCCCCTCCTCGTCTCATATTTGCTTCTTCGAGTTCAATTCTTTGTTCGTTTCTTTCCATGTTAAATCCTTTCCCCCGAATTCGTTGCCCGCCATGGAGAACCCGTGAATTATTCTTCTTGGGTTGGTTTACTTCGGTACTCGTTCGTTCGTTCTCCACCTGGCAACGGCCGCAACCACCAACAACAAAAAAAAAGGTGGCCTGCTCCTTAGGTGGTGGCGACGTAATTATACCACTTGAATACAATATACTGAAGAAATAGACCTGGCTATTTTTACAAGACACAAAGGAAAAAGAAAGAAATGAACCAACCCAGAACGCCAGCATCGAGAAGCGGCAAGGAGCTAAGTCGTATCATCGACTCCATAAACGACCAATTCTCTCTCGAGATTCCAAATCCGCGGCTCTTCTCTCCTGCAGAAAATCGGCATGACACCCCGCAATGGCGCAGCTACCGAGGTTTGCAGCGGCTGTATTATAACCGGAGTGTAGAAATATATCGCGTGCTCAATAGCTTCGAGGAATGGGTTTGCTCACGGAATGCCTCGAATGTGGGTTTGATTGGATCGACGTTTCAGAAGAATTCATTGCCTGCTCTGGCGGCAGGCCTTGGAAAGAGGAATAGGGATGGGAATGGGCGTGCGATTGTCACGCAGCATGAGAAGAAAGAGAGACTGGCTTATTTGGTTCAGTTGATTGATGATGAATTGTACATGGTGGATAAGGGGTCTTTCCCACGGCTCAGGAATTCTAGTGTTGGCGTTGAGGGTGAAGAGGAGAAAGAGGATAAGGCCGAATTGGTTGCGCGGCCGTTGAAGAGGAGGTTATCTAATGATTTATCCTCAGATGAGTTTGTGACTGCGCCGAATTCGCCGGTGAAGAATTCTAACTCCGGGCGGGTCGGTTTGAGAGAAGCAGACAGGGTTGATGAAAATCCAATCCATATGCACAAAACGCCCAAGACGGCGGAAAGCGCAAAGAAGGTGTCGAAATTTTTAGAACGGTTGACGGCAGCTTCAGATAAGGTCCGGCGTTATGAAGCTGTGACTTCAGAGCAAGATAATCCAAACCTCAGCTTCTCTACCATTGCAACAGATCCAGTGTCTTATGCGTTTGATTCTCGGAATGAGGGCCTTCAGACGTCTTTTAACTCGACTATCACCTTTGCGACAGACCCGATGGCAGATTCTGAATCCGCATCTAATGATTCCGTAGATGCATATATGCTCGGTGGAGAGGCAACTCTTTCTAGGGACTCCACTGCTACTGGACGGTCACTTGGAGAGCCGCGCTACTGCGCTGAGGGAGAAATAATGGAAGAACTTCTCTGCAACGGGCCGTTCTCGTACGAGCAGTCGTTACCGGCCTCGGTTCCTCTTCTATATCGCTATGAACTTGAACGAATCGGCAGAGCCTGGGGAGTTGATTTGAAACAGATGCTGGTTGGGGACAGCATTTCTTTTGGATACGATAAATTTTGGAAATGGATTGAAGGTCACAATCAACGGTATGGGAAATCTATACCGGAGAAACCATCCCGTAAAGCTTGGGATGCTGCTTCTGGAACCTTCAAAACCAGTAAGCACTCAGAGGTGGTTGTCCTGACCGGAGACCTCGACTGGTGCTCCGAATCTGAAAAGGGTATTCTGAAAATGAAACTGAACCCCTTGAAGACAGAGAGAAGTTGTCGGTTCCATCGCCGTTTTGGATCCGACAGGTTCCTCAGCCTAACCATACCCGCTCCCTCGCGGCCACCTAACTATCTTCGGCTCCCAGACCACCCTGCTCTTCTGCGCGAAGGTATAGCACTGTGGCTGACTCGGAACGTTCATCGCTTCCTGGGAAGGATGTGGAAACCGTTCTTTGTGGAAGATGCCAAGTCAAAGACGAAGACCAAAGCAGAGCCAAGGTTTAGAGTCAATTTCTTCGCAATTGACGGCATTGACTTTAGTCACCAATTTCACGCCTCCAACCGTTTAGTCCCGCCCACGCATGAGACTGCTGAAAGTCATACTCGTATGACTTTGGAATCTCTTGTCAAGTGGCACATGTCCCCAACTGCAAACGTTGAGCAGACAAACCTCAAGCTATTCCAACGAATGTCAATCGGCCTCTCAAAAACGTTCGCTACGGTTGTTTTAAAACCAAAGCAGATTCTCTATTTGAGAGATGTCCCCAACACCCGCGTCATGAATGACGGCTGCGCTTTGATGTCCAGACAACTTGCAAATAAAATTTGTGACTCTCTTGGAATATCTGGAAACACTCCTAGCGGTTTCCAAGGGAGAATTGCCGGTGCCAAAGGACTGTGGATGGTAGACACACACCAGTCACAAATCTCAGCCGATGGCGACAATGTCTGGATCCAAATCTCTGATTCACAATTAAAAATCAAACCACACCCGCGGGAGTGGCAGGGATCAGTAGATGACGAACAGCTGACATTTGAGGTGGTGAAATGGTCCAAGCCGTTACACCCTGTAGATCTAAATACCCAGCTTTTAGCAATTCTGGATCATGGAGGACATGTGAAGGGCTACATTGCCGATCTTGCTCGTCTTGGTATCCAAACTGCAGCACAGGGGTTTGAAGAGGTTCTGAAGGCCAACAGTCCTATTGTTTGTCGCAGTCTTGCCCAGAAGCTTAAGCCAACGGCCGATAGCGGGGCTGGCTTTATGCTACAGAGTGTGAGACGGTTAGAGCAGTGGCCCACTGATGATGTTGAGACCATAATTCGATTCTCGGAGGCTGGCTTTTCACCCCGGAGCTTTTATCCTCTGCGCAAGCGGCTCAGACGGTGTCTGGAGACCCTACTGAAACGTTATGTAGAAGAATTGCACATCGAAGTGCCCTTATCCACATATGCATTTTGCATTGCGGATCCGTACGGGGTGTTGAAGGAGGACGAAGTTCACTTTGGGCTTTCCACCAACTGGCGAGACGACAACGGCCAGTTTGAAGATAACCTGTTGGACGGAATGGACGTCCTTGTTGGCCGTCTCCCTGCCCATTTGCCGTCTGACATTCAGCGCCGAAAGGCTGTGTGGAAGCCGGAGCTCCGTCACTTTAAAGACGTCATTGTATTTCCTACCACAGGGGAAATCCCGTTGGCTGATATGCTCTCAGGTGGTGACTATGACGGGGATACACCCTGGATCTGCTGGGACCAGAACATTGTCGGCAAATTTCAAAACTCCAGCCCGCCGGGTGGGATCGAGAACTACCCGCCAGAGTATTTCGGTCTCACCAGGCATTCTGTTCCAATGAGAGAAATCCAGTCAACAGACGAATTTCTCGAAAGCTCATTTGCATTCAACCTAACGCTGTCGAATTTAGGACGGTGCACGGTGGAGCACGAAAAGCTATCCTATGACGAATCGATTGACTCGAGAAAGGCCATAGAACTCTCCTACCTACTTAGCCATCTAGTCGACGGCCGCAAGGGGGGCGTAACGCTGTCGGAGATAGCCTGGCAGCAGTACCGCAAGCAAATCAGCCCCATACAGCGTGAGCTACCAGCCTATAAAAACCCCCAGCGAAAACACAACAGAAACAATATTATCGATTTCATTCGGTTCGAGGTCGCACAGCCTAAGCAAAAGGAGGTCCTAAGGCAGTTGGAGAAAGACTTTCCCGAAACAGAGAGTGCACACCAGAGAGACGAAGACCTTCTTCGGCCTTGGAAAGAGGCCCAAGAAGCAGCCGCAATAGACAGGAACCAAGGCGGCGGCGGGTCTCTGCATAGGGTCCTTAAGGAAACCGCAAGGGAAATAGATGATCTCTATTTCCGCTGGTGCCGTCTACATTCCCGACCTGACGGCTCTTTCTCCCCGCGTTGTCTAGAGGCGGCCGACCAGGCCCGAACCATTCCACCCCCGACACTGACTGTCGGAACGCACCCCCTAATTCACATATGGCAGCATAGCCAACCCGCCTGGTTCGAACTGATGGCGTCGTATACGTACCGAAAATATCCCCAGTCAAGTTTTGTTATCCGTGCATTTGGCGAAACCCTCTGTCAGATTAAGTCTAGGGATCTCTCATCTCGGACCGTCACACATGAAATCCTTGCATGCTACCGAGTCAACCAGAAGGTCATTGCACGATTGAGAACCCAGGATGCTGGGGACGAGGAATTCAATGAGGAAATGGATAGCTACGAAGGATATGAAGCGATTGAGGCGATGCTGTACGGGGCCCAGGGGCGTGGAGGGTACTATGACCCCGATGATTCATTGTCTGTAGAATAAATATCGACATGTTTTAGCATACATGTATTGAGAGCTTGGGTAAATATTGATGATTTATACGGCACCTACGGAGTACCTTCCTACCTTTCCATCCCATGCTCTACCATGAACTGCGTAAAGTTAATTGGGATTTCCACCAGCATGTGTTACCATGTGACCCCGAGAGAATCCCAAAAGAGAAAGAGTGAAGCAAATCAGCGGTTGACCACTAACCCTGTTTAGGAAGTTATGTATATTAGTCAGACAAGGCGGGGAAGTGACAGAAGAGGAAAGATTTGACGATCCAATAGAAATAGGTATAGTATATTACTTACCTAAGCAGCGATCACATGCCAGACTTTGTGATATGAGTTTTCATGATTCGTCCAAAACAGGAAAGGCGGCAAATGAAGGGGAAAAAAGAAAGCTGAGTCGATGTCATTCTAGATGGAGGGATTCTCTCAGTATTATTTGATTTATTCCTTTAGCTAACCGGATGCCAAACATGGTATTTGAAAATTCCAGAGGGGGGGGGGGGGGGGGAAGAACCAAGCTCAGACAAAGGAAATCTAGAGTAGTTAACTAGTAAATGCAGATTTCCCAGCTCTCCGCATGTGAATGTCAGGTGCAGGTGACAATGTGAGGCTTTATCTGCTGCGGAATTGTTAAAGGATTTCGATCAGCACAATTAGCTCTATTCTGCATGGCGTGTACTTGTTACAGTGTTAATCTAGCGTGGTCCAGGTGCATTAATAATAATCAGTACTCTGTAGAACAAGGAAGATCATGGTGATGGAGAATACTAGTTAGAATCCCCCATGTCGAAGCCTCACTCCCATAACCAAATTCAGGGAGAGACAGAACCTCGTTCTCGGTCTACAGTTTCCCATCTCCAGATTCGCTTCTTGGTCAGTGGTCTGCTCTTGGTGGATAGTCCAACTTCCTCCGGCTGGTTGCTGGTAAAAAAAAGGAAATTTTCTTCACGTGAAAGCTCTCCATCGCTCGACTCGGGCCCCTACGCTCACAAGGGATTCATTCCTTCACCACCCTCACACTCCAGCTCCATACCATATTTTGACTACTCCCCCGATCATCACCCAGTGGCCTCTCCCTTAACTGAAAGGTTCGCCCCCGGGCAAGTATGGACCGTTGTTCAGATGGCATTGCGACCCTAAACTCCTCCCTCTCCTCTGTCTCTGTCCGAGACGCCACCGCCAATCCTTCCTCCACTACTACGACTACGACTACGACTACGACTACGACAACTCGTAGTAACTCTCCAGCTCCTGCTTCAGCGTCGCTCGCTCCCTTCTCTCACCCTTCTTCGTTCTCTTCTATTTCCCAGAATGTGTCCGCCCGCATGATGGAAGTTGATACTACAACTCTGGCGGAAGACCGTTCTCGTCGCGCGACTAGTGTCTTGTCAATGGATGATATCGAAGCCGCCCAAGCACTCGAAGGACTTCGTACAGGTATTGACCCCACGTTTTCTTTGGATGTTATCGTCGTTCTCGATGCGATTTAGGCCCTGATGTATACTCATACGTAATGGTCAGACTTTGGCTCCTCGCCTAGGGCTGCGCAACAAACTTCCGCAATCCCTCCGGAATCCACATCACAGCCAGAGCCTCTACTGTCGCTATTAACTTCCACTCACCCCTTCATTTCATCTGCGATCAGTGGATCCGTGTCTGCGTACACCTCCTCCAAATCATATTCGCCTCGTTTCAAGTCAGGCGCCGAGTTTATCGAGCGCAATATCGGTTCTCACGTTGCGAACGTTGCCAATACCGTCAACACCGTCGGCCGAAAAACTGGGGTCGAGAGTGGTCTGCGGTGGGCACTGCAAAGACACGCATCCACATCATCTGATCCCAATCGGTCAAAACGCCGGAAGGTAGGCGTCGACCCGCATCCTACTGGGGGAGATCTCGAACGGGGCGTGGGAGCCGGGATGGATGCCAATCAGATATCTAACCCGCCGGGGCCATATCTCAATGAGTCTCTGCCTCCGTATGACGACGATAAATCACCCAATTATGATGACATCGGCCCGGAAAACTCCACCCGCCAGGGAACTTGGCAGACGCGGCTCATGATTTCAACATCTGGACTGGGAGTCGCGATGAGCGAGGAGTCTCTCCGCAGCTTGCAGTACTGTCTTACCTGGCTGCGCTGGGCCAACGGACGGCTTGGAAAGGCAATTGTCGCCCTGCAAGAGACTTTGAAGGAGTGGGATGCGAATGGCGACGACAAGGACGCCGCCAACAAGACGCAATTGTCGCAGCGCATACAGGCGCTCAAGCAGGATGTGCTCTCCACTCTAAAACAAGTGGTCGACGTCGTCTCCAAGTATGCCGGTGGAGCGCTCCCCGAGAATGCACGACATTTGGTTCGTCGCCATCTTACCTCGCTCCCGCACCGTTTCCAGATGGCGTCGTCGTCCTGCGAAGACGAGTCGGCCTCTTCTGATGCTACTAACGGCGCACGGCGCATTCTGGTTCTCGCGCAAGAAGGCCTGGATATGATGTCGCAGGTCAGCGGGGTTGTTAACGACACCCTGGTCAGTGCCGAGCACTGGTGCGAGAGGCTCGGCCGCAACCGTCCCAGCAAGAACACGAGCGAAGCTCAGCCGCCTGGACCTCGTGAGGCGCAGTACCGCTCCGACATCAAACAGCCGATTCCCGATGTGCCGCAACATACCCCGATGACCGGGATAGAGAAGGCGTAAAGGCTGACGAAAGGTGTCTGACTGGCTGGAATACCAGTCTCGGCCATAGTTGTGACCGCAGCAGGCACTGAGGACACATTGGCTGTGCCACATCCCACCATCCGAATCGAATCTATACCCCGTTTTTCGACCGTCCTCTGGAAAGATCCAAGAGCAGCTTTATCGTACGATACAGTTTATTCTTTGCTTTTTTTTTTTTTTCTGTCTGTTTCTTCCAAGGTTTTTCTCCTGGTCATGGACACGACGGAGGCCTGCCTACCTACCTACGATCTATTTCGGCTTTCTCTAGGCAACGCGACATACTCTCGCCGCGGCTCTGTTTATGCTATATCAGTCACTGTTATGTGCCGATTCATCTGCATCTTGTATTTAAGCAGCCTTTTTCCCGTTGAATGAAAAGTTCCAGTTCCAGTTCCAGCTCCTACCTAGGTAATATCTCATGACGTACTTCCACCGTCCCATTCAGTCCCAGTCTCGTCTCCCTCAATAAGCTCCCCGTATATATATCCCATCCCGCACCTACCTACCTGCCCGCCTTGCTCTGAAACAGCCCCGCGCCTAAAGGCCCGAAACCGACCCTTCAAAACGTCGTCGTTCTCGCCATCCAACCAAGCCAGAACCCGCTCTCGGCTCTGCAACGCGGGGTTTCCATCGTCCTCGGACGCCCCAGCGAACAACAACGAACCGGTGTTGTTCTCTCTCTCGGCCCCAGACCCAGATCCAGAACAAACCCCAGCAACAGGAGGAACATCCACGCGCTTCCCCGTCGTCCCCCGCGCCGAAATTTGACTGCATGTTGGCGAGCCCATTGGAGACGGTAACGTAAATGGGTCCTCGGTGCCTTGTTGTCCTTGGATTTTTCCGTTTCCGGTTCCGTTTCCGGTCCAGATACTGGTGCTAGTGCTAGTAGTAGTAGTAGTAGTAGTAGTAGTAGTAGTAGTAGTAGTAAGACCGGACCCATGTGTCGGACTGGGACTGGGACTGGGACAACAGCTGCGTGTGAAGTGCGCTGCGGATCGGGATATGGCTGAGCGTGCAGGATCTGCGCTGGCTTTTGTCGTTGGGTCTTTGTTGGAAGGGGTTGGTTTCCGATGGTGGTGGTTGATATGGGTTGAGGTGGGAGAGGTAGGAGAGGTAGGAGGCGAGGAGGAGGAGGAGGAGGAGGAGGAAAGAGAAGGTGAAGAAGAACAATCGAGCGAAGACGAGGAGGGACGTTGAGGCATCGTGCCCTAATACCGATCTATAGCTAATGGCTAATGGCTAATCTGTTGAGGCTAATGATGGGTCTTCTTAGTATAGAGATGTGGTTGGGCTTGGTAGACTGGGATGGGACAGAGGGGAGGTTTATATAGATAGCTTTCCATCCCTCAGTATCTAAGTGTATATCCTTATATGAAAGAGGCTTTGTATGCTGGGTTAGAAGAGTATCAATCTACCTAGGAAGGCTTGTTCTTTCTCCATTGGTATTGATAACTATGTATATGATAGAAAGTAAGGTCTGGATCTATACAATGCTATGTTGACTGAACTATTGATTGACAAGCTAGCAATGCTATACATAAAACCTACAAAGAACATATTCAGATTCAAAGGGAATCAAACATAACACAAGGTGAGAGTGAATACTCGTCGAAGAAACAGTATAAAACTTATCTAGTCTCGGTCTATTAATCAGACCATCAACCCAATCATAGAGTAAAAAATAATCATGTCTGAACCCTGGATCATTGCTCTATTCCCTGCAATCTGTCTCTCCATCTCACTCCTGTTGATGCTCTGGCTACACCGCAAAAGCATCTCATTCTCCTGTTTCTGTCCCGGTCGGCAACCCAGATACACTTCTCTTGCACCAGACAACCTGTATGTCTCTCTTCTTCTTTGACCTGAAATCATCCTCTAACACAGAAATGCAGAACCCAGATGGAATTATCATCCTCTACCAATCTCGATCCGAACCCGGCTGCTAATCGTTCCGGGATTGGCGACGCCAACTGCGCTGATGACGGTGGTCATCTTACTCTTCCTCTTCCTACTTCTATTACTTCTATTACTTCTACTGGTTCTACCAGTAAGAGTAGGAGTAGCAGCAGTAGTAGTACGACTCCTCCCCCCCCCCCCTCAGACCATTTTGATCCCGAAACCTCCATCCTCCGAGAGATTCGTGAACCCGCGTCCCCACCACCGTCGACGTGGGAAGAGCAGAGACAAATGGCCATGGAGGGCCCAATGGAGGGGTGGTGGATACATTGGTTTGTTGATGTGGCTGTTCGGGGCTTTGAGAGGTTGCATGCATGATTTATCTCCTGTATGGACTATGGAGTACTCTGTTACTCTGTAGGTAGGAGCGGTGTGAAATTAGGTGTATTCAGTTCAGATCTTGAAAGAATCTTCCATTTCCATGTCTCGGTCGGTCTGTTTTCTTTCTTTTCTTTTTTATGTCACGCAGAATGCGCGCCCCCTCCTCTCCCCCCCCCCCGCTAAAGTCGCTAAAAGTGATAAGAAATACTGAATTTTGGCTGCAAGGCTTTGTTGGCATTTGGACCCTGGGCGACAGTATACTCTGTATAGAGGTCTGGCCATACGCCACTGGAAGTATATTGTTTTTTTTTTTGTTTTTTTTTTTTTTGGTATTTGTACATAGTACAGAATACAAATAATTTAAAAAAATTCTAGAATATATATGTAGATATATGTACGTATGTAGATATATATATACCTAGGTATGGTCATGTTATGTAGGTCATTTTCTATTCATATCTATGGTTTATCATTCAATAACCAATTCACCTTCAAAGCAAATAATAAAAAAAAATAAATAAAAAAAATGCAAAATGATTCTCGTGAGGTAATGATTTGGAGTTTAATTTATGGGGCACAGTAGCCACCATCCACAATGAGATCCGCCCCCGTAGTGTAGCTGGAGGCATCCGACGCGAGGTACAGGTAGGCACCCTTGAGCTCCTCCGCCTCTCCCTCACGGCCCATGGGGATCTTGTCCCGCCAGATATCCTTGGTCTCCTTGGGCACGAAGTTGGAGATCTCGGTTGCGATGTAGCCGGGCGACACGGTGTTGGCGCGAGCGAACTTGACCCATTCGACAGCGAAGGATTTGCCTAGAAAGTAGGTCAGCCCAAATTTGCTCATTCTGTCGTAGACTCCGCTTCCGCGGGTTTGGGAAAAAAAAAAAAAAAAAAAAAGAACCGAAATTATGCAAAACTTACACAAGTGGATGACGCCAGACTTAGCAGCATTGTAGGCAGCCTGCAACTGGGGGAAGTTGACGATGTGGCCGCTCATGGAGGCGGTCGCAACAAAGCTTCCGTAGGTGAAGTTGGTGAGCTTGTTGCCGAAGAGGTCGACACCCTCTTCCTTCTGTTTCCTCCAGTAGTAAGAAGCGTACTTGGCGCAGTAGTAGGTACCGTTCAGATCGATGTCCACGACGTCCGAGTAGTGGCTGAGAGGGCCGTCCACCATAGGACCCTGAGTCCAGGGGATACCAGCGTTGGCGATAAAGACATCCAGGCGACCATTAAAGTCCTTCACGCACTGGTCGACGGCCTTCTTGACGTCCTCGGCATCGGTGATGTTAACCTTGTAAGCCTTGGCTGGGGGAAAGGCGTCAGTCAAAACGGGATCCATAAGAGACTTTCTTGTAGAGACAATAGAATAGGACTTACTCTGGACACCATACTTAGCACCAATTGCTGCTGCTCGTTCAGGGCACTTGGCGTTGCTGTTCCACCAGAAGGCAACGTTGGCACCGGCTTCAGCCAAACCCTCCGCAACAGCAAGACCAATACCAGCACCAGCACCGGTCACGATAGCAGTCTTGCCCTTGAGAGAGAACATGGACATCAGACTGGGGTGTGCGGGGGCCACCGTGTTTCCATGGACGAAATGTCCGGCCGCGTTGATAGGCATGCTGGCCATTGTTGCTATATTTTGGGGTAAGGTAGGGGGTAAGGTAGAGGAAATAAGATATACAAAATGGAAAGGGAAAAGAGGTTAAGAATGCGGAGGGAAGAAGAAGATGATGAAAATGTAAGAGAAAGAAAAGTGGAAATCAGGACTGAGGGGTCTCTTTTATATCAATTGGCAGAGAGCGTCAAAGGTACTACTACTACTACTTAGGCACAAGAACACGCAGACAGCTTGAAATAACCCCACCATCATATCACTCACCTCTTCACTTGCTTTATTTTAGTTAGTTAGTTAGTTACTTCACTTCGCTGATTCACCACCTACCCACATTAGCACCAAAAAAGGCTATTCAAACCTGATGGATCATCCTGTAGAGTAGATACTTGGTAGTACCTAGGTACGTACCTCATCTTTGGTTCGGTGGATAATGATGCTATGCAGCCCCAGAGCTTCCCCTCCTCCTACAACCAAATGGCCGGACAATAAAGAGAGACAGGGGAGAGAATCCCCATCCACTTCCATGATGTAACCGGGAAGGCTTCGAGACGGTTCCCGTTTATTATTATTATTATTATTTCCCCCCAATTATGCAATTGAATCGCAACATATCAACTCGCAACTCAACAATAACCGCCAACCTCCGCTCGATTCCGCTGCCCGATTCGGTAATTCCGACGTGGGGTGGGTGGAGTCGGCTTCATATTTATCCGGCCGCGTGACTCTGGAGTCCCGTGATACTTACCGAATCGGGTAATCACCTTCATAGTTGGCTCAAATTTCGAGCTTCGAGCGCTGGATTGACCTCCTTCTACACCGGAAAATCCGCAACTTAATGACACCACCCGGTCCAGGTGATTCTAGACGTTGGGTTTTGTTTGTCCCAAAAGTGATTTATCGCGCCGTCTCCCGCCAATGGCTCAATTTCGCTCCTACCTCTTCTGCCGTGCAGTCTTCACTAGTGCCTGCATCGACTCCAGGTCAGGAGCCATGCATGACCTGACACTTTCACACCGAGGCTCTGCATTGACTGTCGAGATGGAAGATGCGCATGACTTGGATTCATGCGTCCTTTCTTTCTCTTTTTTTTTTTTGTCCTTCTTTTTCCCCCCGCTTCTTAGTCAAGGGCCCTGTGGCTCGCTTATGAATCGTATTACTGTACGGAGTATCAATGCCTCTGTATACCCTCGGGGTCCCGACCCCAATCAACCGGGCTTGGCTGTCTCCTTCATGGAAAATCAAATACATCCATTGGATACGGTAAAGTTATGAATAATGCCTCTATGCTATTCTGTCCAGGTCATCTACCCGGCTGAAGCTCTCAAGGGATGGATTTATCAATTCATCCTCGCATTCCTCACGCCCTTGGAGACAATGCGGCCACATTCCTCTGCTCTTCCACAACAAACGCCATCGCCCTTTCTCAAAGATGCCTCTCTCCCGCTTCCATCCACCATCATCATGTCCATGTCTGCTTTCTGCCTCGTGCGCTCTCGTCTCCCCGGATTTTGACTGTTGGCGCTGCCAGAAGGCTACAACCTGTCAATATCGCCGCATCCTTTCCCGGACGCAAGTGCACAGACATAAATACCCTTTTCGACCAGGAGAATAAGGCTGAGGCAAGGGAAAGGAAGGGAGGCACGAATCAAACAACCTCAGCCGAGGGGTGACCCAACTTGCTTGTTCCTTGCTTGCAGGAGAGTGAGTGTGATTTGTTTGGTTTCTAGGGAACAGGCGCGAGGAGAACAACATCATGTTGGCACTGACATCTGTCGTTGCGATTGCCGTTAGCTGCTCGGTGGTCTTTTTGGTTTCTGCAGTGGTGATTACAATTGTGTGGGTCAAGATCCGCCAGGAAAGGGTGTCCCTCACGATAGCTCGGCATAGACAAGGCCGATATGCTCACGGCCTCCAAAGCTTTCCCGCTGAAACGTTGACAGAGCTATCCCGTGAAGAAGGGACCGCTTTGAGGCAATACGGCCAGTTGCCATACGGGAAACCCAATGAATGGGGACTATTGACTTCGAGAGAGAGCCTCATTCTGCCAGTAGGGGATATCAAAACCCCGATACCGCTGGTAGAGAAACCCCGTAGCTTCTCTCTTTCTTCTTCGAAGTCAAAATCCAAACGACAATCTAAAGCTTTACTCCTACCAAAGTACCCGAGTCCTCTAACGACGTTGACGGAAACTACTGAAAGCTCACCTTCGTCAAAGATGTCCATTTCCAAAGATGAGATGCCGATTTCAGCGGTGGATGGTGCTCTAGAGCTACCAACAGAAATAACCCCCAGACAGACACCGGAGAGAGAAGACGAGCAGCCCCCTGCACCCCCTGCAGATGCCACCATTCGACCTTTCTCCGGTGTTTGGCCGTTAATTCACCAGAGAGAACGATCTGGGAGTCTCTTCCCTGTTCTGGAGGATCACTATGAAAGCTTTGGACCAGGATCTGCCAGGGTTCGCGGAGGTAGCATTGCGTCTCAAACCGCTGGTTCTATGCCAGAACAACCAGTGCCTCCTCCTCCTTGTGCATATCCTCCGAATCGTTTCCGTCTTTCGAAGAACGACTCCATGCGGCTTTCATCATTGAGTCTCGAAACTGCAGATAGTTCAATTTTAGACGACAGTAGAAGAACGTCGACTATCTTGGAGGGCAGTCTCACCTCGCCTGCCTTGCCACCTTGCCCTACCTTTGTTCCATTCAGTGCGAATGACGTCGGTAGGGAGTATGACCGAAAAAACTTCTCGACAGCTAATGCAGCACAATCAGCCTTCACATTCCCTTCTTCTCCACCCACATTTGAAGGTCAAAGGCTGGAATCGGAACGTGCCTCCCCTCGGCGCAGCTTAACTGCCCGAAGCCCTACACATTCCATGGAACGAATAGGCCCGCCTCCGAGGAGGAGTGAGTCTTTATACACTAAACAGACTAGAGGAAATGCTTCGCCATTACCGTATCTCGATTTGAACCGAATCCCACCTTTGAATACTGTTGGTCGTAACGCGGCCCTCCTACCTCATTTCAGTCAGCTGCAGCGACATTCCTTGCATGGAAGCCCCCGTAGAGCAAACGACCCGTTCTACAGTGGAACAGCTACCTCGCAGAGCCTCACAAGCAATTCGCATGGTCCAGGAAGAAGGGCGAGCAGCTTCTTCTGGCAAGAAACCGCCTTGCAAACATCAAATATCCAGTCTAAACCCCCTTTGACATCAGCCCTAAAAGGCGGTAGTGGGCCACGAAAAGGACACAGGCGACAGAACTGTGTTCGGATCTCTATCCACCCTCCTATAACATTTGGCGGGCCTGCTTTCTCTCCAATGGTTGAGGAGCCCGAGGAGCAAGACGATCTCGACCCACGCAGGTCAGAAATCTCTGACTTATCAGCCTCTAATATCTCGCGCAACTCTAGTGTCTCTGCCATGTCTATGAGCCGGAGCAGTCTCCAGGATTCTCAGAGAGATCGCCCTTCCTCGCGAATTGTCGAGGCTTCCAACGAGGGTCAGGCTGGTGCTTGCAGCAGTCCGGCGAAAAAGAGGAAGCAAATGCAACCCGACACAACCATGGGAATGGAGAAGACTTTGCCCGAGATCCTCACATGCTTACCCACGACAGTCGATGAAGGAACTCTCTCACACACACCCTCGCCAGCGAAAACCCCCACCGTGTGGATGGTGCCAGATTACGATACGTCGCCCACTAGAATCGAAAACTCGCCCCGTCGTTCCATCGTGATGGGACCTCGCAGCCAACCGGGAAAGCCCGCGCGAAACAACTGTCAATCACTCATTTCACGCGAAGAAGACATGGAACCACTGCGTCGATTAGATCGCCCTCCACGCAACCCTAGTCTCAAGAACCCATCCCCGAAGCCAGTAGATACCCTACGCCGAGTAAAGAGCGAAGCTAGGGATCCTCCGCCGCCACGATACCAAGCCAGTAAGAAACGAGCCAGCCACTGCGATAAAGCCTCGTCAACCATCTGGTGCTCTCCCAAAGCCGCAGGCCCGCCCAACGGAGTCATTGTGCCGATCTGGGAGGACAAAAATATGAAACCTCCTGCCACCCGGCGATCTACCGTCTCTCTTGCCTCGGGCCCTGCAGAATTGCACGGCGACACGTCACCCCAGGCAATTGAGCGTCCCAAGAGCCGCAACCAAGCCGAAAGGATGTCGCGCATGTCGAGCTACAAAAAGTCCCGACAGAGTGTCACCACGCCCACGCGGAAAACAGTCGGGTTGGGAATCGGTGCCGCCACACCCGGCAGCCTGTATGACGGAGACGGGTTCCTGAAGGAGTGAAACAAAGTACTCTGTAGGTTTGGGTTTGATGCAGAAAATGGATTTTGAAGTAGCATATGCCGGTAATATTTTTTTTTCTCTTTTTTCTAAATGTTGATGAGGGATATGTACGGAGTTTGACTTGAGCGGTGTTTACGTTAGGATTCAATGCGATATTATTTTCCTTCGGCCTTGAGTTCGACTTTGTTGTATATCAATTTTTATCCAGAGTAGCTGGGCTAATATGTCCTAAATAGCGTAATTGAATCCATCCTTTCCCCTGTCTCATGGCAACTAAGCATTAACATAGCTACAGTATAACTCATCCACACAACGGAACCAATGCTCTATCAAAATAAACTACTTTTTATCGTTCCAGCGAACCTACCTAGCTAGCTAGCAAGATAGACGAGGATCGTAACATAGGATGGATCCATCAGTCAATCAGTCCTCCTCCACTTCGTCTCCTCAACCCCATTCATAGCTCCATCCCCATTGGCATTCCCCTCGCCTTCCCCTTCCCCTTCCCCGTCCTCCTCCCCTCGAGGCCGTACAGTCCCCGCCCCAGGACCCAAGGCGAAGCTCGGTTCCTCCTCCTCCTCCTCCTCACCACCACCCCCAATCCAATTTCCCTGTTCATCGAAATACTCGTGCATGTTCTCCGCCGTAATCCAGCCCGAGCTCCCATCCATCGGAGGCGGCAGACCACCCTCCATACTCCCGGGGAAGACAAGACCAGATGCGAATGCGGCCCCGTCGCCCTGCTCTTCGGCTTCTTCGATTGGGTCCGGGTGTAGGTTTGAGCAGGCAGAGACGGCAGTGTACAGGGCTTGGGTTGGTGTTTCTGACTCTGGTTCTGGTTGTTCGATGTCCGGTGTACTAGTACTAGTACCAGCACCGGTACTGGACATAGTCGTAGTCGTTGTAGTTGTGGTTTCGGGTTTCGTTTCGGAGGAGGACGACGAGGAGGATGCAGCAGGAGGAGGAGGAACAAGAGTCATCGTGATGCTTTCCTCTTCGTCAGATGCCTGCGGGTAGGAGGAGGAGGCAGGCGGTTTTGTAATCTGCATGTAGAGACCTTGGACTTGGTCTTGGGCAGGGAGACTCAGGCGCTGGATTGCATGGAGAGAGATCGATGGGTAGGTGATTGAGACGCCGTATGAAGTCGAGGGGTTGTAGACGAGGAATTTACTAGCACGGGTTAGCTGGTTGGTTGGGGTTATCTCTATCGAAGTGTCTTCAGGGCAGATTCAAAAAGGACAGGGACTGGAAACGCAGCAAGGTATGCATACTCCGACGTCACCCATATATCAAGTCCATCGATGACGATTTCAGTCCCTGCTTCGCTGGTCTCTGTCTCGGCCTGATCATTTCCGTTTACTGCTGCTGCTGCTGCTGCTGCTGCTCCGCGAAGAGCGTTCAATGGTGGCGAGGAAATAAGGTCGCGGTCGAGGATGACCAGTTTGCAGTGGGAGCTGTGGTAGTGCAAGATTGCGGGGCCCGAGTGGAAGGAGTCTGGGGTGCGCGACTGGTGGACGGAGAGGGCGATGAAGGAGGAGGTCTCGGGGGGTGTGGTGAGCGATTCCATAGTGACTTTTTTTTTTTTTTTTTGCCCCCTGTTCTCTGTATAATGAGGATTCGAGGGTGGTCTGGGGTGGTTCAGAGGTTGTGAGAGTTTGGAGCGGAAAAGTTGAGCGAGGTTTTTTTGGTTGGAGCTTGGGCGGGGAGAAGAGCGGCGGAAGCTTTGCTTTTACTATTGCTTATAGATGTACTTACAGTTCTTACGGCCTAGGAGGTACGAATGTTGATAATTATACGGGGCATATTTAAATGATTTATACATGATAAGGTGAGGCTAAATAAGATATTTGTCTGTCAATTGCTCCCGCTATACACACCGAGACATACATATTGTGGCCCAGGGACGCATGTGAGCTGCAACTTAATTAGGCAGCGATAGCTATTCTGTTCCTGTGATACAGAATTCTACTGGGAGCATCCCATTTCCCATCGTTCTCCAGAGTCTTCCTGTCGCTGCTCTGCTCTCTAGCTGAAACAATAGCCACGACAGCGTTGTTGCTTGTGGTTCGTAATCGAAGGGCCACGAGGCAGCGATTACATGTCCTGCCACCGAATACAGTGATGATGTCGATATTCTTCTGGATCATAGCGAGTTTGGGGTCCTGCATGTTTCAGGACTGTTCCGAAATAACCAACTGGCACTTTAACAAAAGCCGCGTCCGAATTCGAGGAGGGTTCATTTCACGTCAAGTCCCCCAAACGCTCGATCTAGTTCTTGACCGTCATCGCGCGGAGCCATAGAAGGTAACTTGGATGCACCCGGATCGATAGAAGCACTATCTAGGAGACTTGTGGGCTGGCTTTGCGAGAGTCGGCTCCCCGGCGCATTACTTGGTTGCAGAAGTTTCTCATCCCGATCCAGCCACCCGGGCGCAACCCGACGTTTCTCTGCAAGTTCTCGCGCAGATATCGACTCCTCCCATTGCCTAATCGCCTTATGTGCGTCGCTTTTTGTTTTATTTAGGTGTTGCTCGAGCGCCTTGCACGAAGCTAGGATATCCTCGGGTGAGGCAGCATGCTCACCGCTAGAGGAAACAACATAACGCGGTTTCGTGCCGGGATTGCTGGGGTCAACTGTGACAGAGGGAGGAAGAGTAGAAGGAACGGATCGGTAGGTGTACGGGAGAGTCACCGTGGTGGGAAGGTTGATGAAGGGGGAGACGGTCAGAGGGACCTGGGCGAGGAGTGGATGGGGGCCTATTTGAGTTAGTTAAGACTATAAGAAAGAAAAAGAAAGAAAGAAACATACGATATGATTCATACATGATTTAGTAGGGAAAGGAAAGGAAAGGAAAGGGTGGTGTGGATATGTATATATGGATGATGTTTTCCCCCGCGTTGGTCCTTAATAATCGCATGCAACTGTTCTCAGGCCAGATTCATCTTTTACCTGTCATCATCTTATGTGCAGGGACTCCAACTTGAACTAGTATAGTAACTAACTAACTAGTAATATCTCTGTGGAATAAGGCTTTTCTGCAGCCTTTTCAGCTCCCTCCACACTCATAAGGGTCCGTCCCTCTCTTCGCTCTTGCTCTCTCTCTCTCCTCTAACTTCTTACTTCCTAGTCTCGACTTCAACTTCGAATTTTTCTTTTTGATCAAGTGGAGATCCCATCGCGTGACGATCTTCAGCTCCCGACTGTTTCCAACCTGTTCGTTCCTGGCTGAATCCTGGTTGTCTCTAGTCTGTTCTCGTGTGTCCCAAAACTCCGCCGCGCTTAACCCCACCACTACTACCACCACCAGACAACACCAACAACCTCCTTTCCTTCCTCTCCCCCTTTTCTCTACTTCTCCCCCTTCCCTTTTCTCCATTCCTCTTGATCCATCCACCGGGGCTCTCGGTTCTTGTGATTTTCTCTAGTCCAAGATTGCTCACCATTGCTCACGATGGATCGGAACATCGCGCGTGCTGTGACGGATAAGAAGCCAGTGCCGGAGATTGACTTCACCTTGCATGTTATGGAGGATGGCACCCAGGTGTCCACCCTAGAACGAGTAGTTAAAGGTATGTAGTCGGCAATATGCTTGTGAGCGTGTTTTGTACACTAGCCTAGACTCCGTTCTAATTACTTAACTCTCTGCGATTCTCCAGAGGTGCAAGCGCCGGCGTTAAACACCCCGTCGGATGACCAGTTTTGGTCGCCCGAGGACCCATCGAAGCCGAATCTGCAGTTTCTCAAACAGCACTTTTATCGGGAAGGTCGTCTAACTGAGGATCAGGCGCTATGGATTATACATGCCGGTACGCAGCTGTTGAGGGCGGAGCCCAATTTGCTGGAGATGGATGCGCCCATCACCGTGTGCGGTGACGTCCATGGTCAATACTACGATTTGATGAAATTGTTCGAGGTCGGAGGAGACCCTTCAGAAACCCGCTATCTGTTCCTGGGCGATTACGTTGACCGTGGTTATTTCAGTATTGAGGTGAGTTTCCCGATTCTCGGATCTCTTGCCGTATTTGTCGCCTGGCAGTCATTTCTTACTCTTTTTAGTGTGTTCTCTACCTCTGGGCCCTGAAGATCTGGTATCCCAATACGCTCTGGTTGCTCCGAGGCAACCACGAATGCCGACACTTGACGGACTACTTCACCTTTAAGCTGGAATGTAAGCACAAGTACAGTGAACGTATTTATGAAGCCTGCATCGAGTCTTTCTGCTCGTTGCCGCTGGCAGCGGTTATGAACAAGCAATTTCTCTGTATCCACGGAGGTCTCAGCCCTGAATTGCACACGCTGGAAGACATCAAATCGGTAGGATGATACGAACCTCCTTGGCGATTTTTGCTGGATGAAAGTGCTGACCGGGGTCAATAGATTGATCGGTTTAGAGAACCCCCAACTCACGGCCTTATGTGCGACATCCTCTGGGCCGACCCGTTGGAAGATTTTGGCCAGGAAAAAACCGGCGACTACTTTATTCACAACAACGTTCGCGGTTGCTCGTACTTCTTCTCCTATCCCGCCGCCTGTGCTTTCCTAGAGAAGAACAACCTGCTTTCTGTGATTCGCGCTCACGAAGCCCAGGATGCTGGCTATCGCATGTACCGCAAGACACGGACGACAGGTTTCCCTAGTGTCATGACTATCTTCAGCGCTCCCAACTATCTTGACGTGTACAATAATAAGGCCGCTGTTCTGAAGTACGAAAATAACGTCATGAATATCCGACAATTCAATTGCACCCCTCACCCTTACTGGCTGCCGAATTTCATGGACGTTTTCACGTGGTCACTGCCCTTCGTGGGTGAGAAAATCACGGATATGCTTATCGCCATTCTCAACACCTGCTCGAAAGAGGAGCTGGAAGACGAGACACCCACTTCCACTTCACCTCCCGGACCTTCTTCTCCCCCGATGCCCATGGATGTCGAAAGCAGCGAGTTCAAGCGACGGGCTATCAAGAACAAGATTCTTGCCATTGGCCGTCTCTCTCGTGTCTTCCAGGTGCTGCGTGAAGAGTCTGAGCGGGTTACCGAGCTCAAGACCGCCGCCGGAGGTCGTCTCCCTGCGGGTACTCTGATGCTGGGGGCCGAGGGTATCAAACAGGCTATCAACAATTTTGAGGATGCTCGTAAGGTTGATTTGCAGAACGAGCGTTTGCCGCCAAGCCAGGAGGAGGTGTTTCGACGGAGTGAAGAGGAGAGACGGATTGCTCTCGAGCGTGCTCAGCAAGAAGCAGACAACGACGCTGGGCTAGCCACAGTTGCGCGACGGATCAGCATGTGAGTTCTTTTTGGGGAAACCAAAGTATAGAATCGCGCTAACAAATTGCAGGTCGGCTGGATCAGGTAAACCTCGTCGACAGCGGGACGCCGCTCGGGAGTCTCGAGAAGCATGAAAAATGAAAGACCCACATTGAGCCATTTCCATATCAATCCAGCATTCCTTCTAATGACGAGTTTGTTTTTTTTTTTTTTTTCTTTTGAAACTCCTTTGCTTTTTGTAGTCTGGTGATTCCGGACCTGTATAGAAGCGCCGCCGGTTCTGTATCCGACACAAAGGGACTAGGGGACAAAATGTTTGGGGAATGGGGATACCTAAGTATATGTACGCCTAGCGGACCGTGCCGGTTTGGTTTGATCTGGATTCCCACCCTTTTCGTGTCTGCTTTTTCTTCTTTGGTCAGATGGGAGAATCGAACACTGTATTGGGTATTATTATGGAAGAAGCAAGATCGGGAGGCCATAATTGTACCGCACTTTGTGCCAAACGTCTGAGACGCTGGCTATCTATGAGTTGATGAATTATACACACGAATCCACTTCAAACCTATTATTTCATAACCAATAAATCCCCATTATATACAATTAAAGAAAAAAAAAAAAAAAAAAAAAAAAGGGTCGATGAGGGTTGGCGATCACGGGCACGATATCCGCGCCAAGACCGATTAATCCCAACTTCATCCGATAATAATCCCGAATACATACTAAAAAGCTTCGCCGGATTTCCTGCAACTCCCGCCAAACCCTCACACCCAAGCACCAATCGGCCAATGCCTCCCAGACTCCGCGGCTCGCTCGCAAAGAGCCTGCCGCATACAGGGGACGCAAAGAACCTCTTCTACTGCCCCTCGTGCGCCGTTCGACAGCGATCATCATCATCATCATCATCATCATCCTCGCTCCCCACGCGTCGGGTCTCTTCTCGCACACAACCACATCTGCAATCTTCTCGGAGTCTACGCACCCCGGAAGCATCATCATCAACCGCCACCACCACCACCACCAGCCTTGCAGGCCGCCGTCTCTTTTCCACCGCCTCGCCTGTCCCGCATACCGCGCGCCATGTGCCGCCGCGCCTGAGGACCCTGTATGAGTCTCTTGCGCGGATCCAAGATGTTGCTACGGAGCAGGTGAATCTGAGCCGGTTGCAGTTGGCTCTGCGGGGGTTGGAGTCGGAGGAGCCGTTGATTCGAGTTGCGGGTTTGTATCCCCCTGTTTCGATTATCGTTCCTTTTTTGTTACTTCTTTTTAGTGTGCTGCGTGGTGTGTTGGGCTAATTGAGGTTGGTAGTTCTCGGGTTGAATGATGTGGCTGCGGCGAGGAAGCTCGTGCGTCTTTTACTTGCGGATCCGTTGAAGGGGAGAGAGGACTGGGAGGATGTTATAGATGTGAAGGGGGGCATGGAAGGGTTGGAGTTGGATATGGATATGGATTTAGAGAGGGGGTTGTTGATTCGGTATTTCGCCTCCACTTTCTTTCCGTCCTTTTTTTTTTGGTTCTGGGATAGTTGCTATATACAGGAGGAGAAGCGCTGACAGATACAGATACGGCCAAGTCTCAGAATCTATCCCGAATAATCTTCTACCTACCATTTCGGTGCCGTCGTCTATTTTGGAAAAGGGCAATTTGGAAATCCTGGTTACGAGTTTAGGCGCTGGGGCCGATATATCCGGTGCGCAATTGACTGCGGATACGTTTCTTGTGCCGACGGTGACGATTCAGACTTCGCACTCCGGGCGACATAATATGGTGCGATATCCTGTTCACCGGAGCATCGTGTGCGCTTCCGGGGTCGATGGGCTACTTGCGTACAGTGGGTTGATTGCTCGATCCGATCTCAAGAAGGAGGCGGATTCGGTCTACGCTGCTGTTGAGATGGCCGTCTCCAGGCCGCAGGCCAACAATGATCGGATTGCGTTTGTGGATACGAGGAAGGCGGATGAGGCTTTGGCGAAGTTCCGTGAGTCCGTGCAGAATGCGACTCTGTACGAGCGTGGGTGGAATAGTAGTGGGGTGCAGCCGGTGGTGGAATGGCTGTCGTCTTTGCGGGCTAAGGAAGGGTCTCTCGATGTCTCCTTGAGATCGTTGATTACATCGCTCATCGATACGGCAGAGCAAGGGGTAGCCTTTGAAGAAGCAAGAAAGGCCCAGGAACTAGAGGCCGCGTCTGTGTCGGAGGCAGCTCGGGAAAGCATGGATCGGTCCGTGTCGACTTGGGCCGAGAGGGCTCATACGGAGCTCCGGAGCGCGCTTGAAGAAGGCTTCGCCAGTAAGTCGTGGAGCGGTCTGGCATGGTGGAAGCTGTTCTGGCGGGTCGATGATGTGGGCATGATCACGTCTGAGATTCTGGAGAAGAAATACCTCTGCCGGGCTGAGAAGGAGGTCATCTGGACCGCTGGTCAGCTCGAACAGGCCGGTCTGCAGAAACAACAGACCACTGTTCCTTTCCCCCGCGAGCCAACAGACGGCAACAGCGAGGTTGTTGCCGTCGCCCTCGTGGAGCCCAAGGAGGAAGAAGCGCAGTGGCCGACCCAAATCACCAAGAGTCGCGCGCGCCTCCTGGAAACTACAGTGCCTTCGCTGCAGGCATTGGCACAGCGACTCGTCCTTTTCAGCCTGTCGACGACCACACTGACCTCCGCGCTTTCCGCACTGACATACGTTTCTGTACCAACAGCCTCCGTCTACGAGGCATGCACGATCACGGCGGTCGGACTAATCTACTCCCTACGCCGGCAGCAGCGGAAATGGGAAGCGGCCCGCGGGTTCTGGGAGGAAGAGGTACTGGAGGACGGCCGGAGATCTCTCCTGGAGACGGAAGACCAGCTGCGCATCGCCGTGCGCGAGGGCGGAAGACCTGAGGTTGCAGTGTCGCAAAGTGACGCGCGAATGGCCATCACGGCAGCCAGAGAAGCGCTGGAAGATGTACACTAAGTCGACTCCATAGCATAGCATTAGCATAAATCATAAAATGTAACCATACATCCCATCCATCCCATATACGCCTGTCGCTCTAAGTATCCAACATTCCAACCCACTCCAACGAGTAAACCCCCCAAATGAAATAAAAAGAAGAAAAAAAGTTTTAAGAAATCTCTACACTCCCCTCGGGAACCCCCTGCCAACTGCGCAACCTACTCGCCAAAAACCTCATGATGGGAGTCATCTCGTCGCGGTTCCGGGGCATCACATCCCCTTTCCTCGCATACGCATGCACCTCGACAAACTCAAAGAAGTCCATTGTCCGGCGGACGGCCGAATCCGCCAGGCGCGCCGAATCGCGCCCTGAAACCAGCAACACGGGCGTCTTAGTCTTCGTCTGCTTCTCCAGCACCGACTCGCGAGAAACCGAAGCCGAAACCGGGGCCCCGATTGAAATAACCCCTCCCAGTTCTCTTGGGCTTGGGCTTGGGCTTGGACCAGCATTCCCAACCGCACGCGCAACCTCCAACGCCACCATCCCCCCCTGCCCCAGTCCCCAAATCAGCACGTCGCGCAAGGCATACCCGCATTTCCCCACGAGGATAGCCCCAATCACGTCGCGGACGAGAAAGCCCGTGGCTCTTGCGAAGCCGCTGTCCATGTCCAGGGCGCCGGAGCGGGCGTCGAAGGTGATGTCGTCGCCCCAGTGGAAACCGGGGAGATCGAATGGGAGGGCGTGCGGGGCTTGGATTGCGAGCACGGTGGTTTCGGGGAGGTTGAGGGCTTTCGCGAGGGCTGTGTAGGGGGGCAGGGTGTCGCCGAGGCCGTGGAGGAGGAGGAGGATGTTGGGGGGGGGTCGTCGTTGTGGTGGTTGTTGTGGAGGGGTGAGGGTGAATGTTAGGGAGGGGGGGAAGTCGGAGGGGGAGGGTTGTTTAGTTGGCATTGTTTCTTTCTTTCTTTCTTTCTTTCTTTCTTTCTTTCTTAATTTATTGTGCTGTGGTGGTGGTGGTGGTGGTTTATACACACAGTGTATGTGGGAAATCTACCTAGGTAAGAAAGTTGCGGATGGAGATTGTGGAGTCCAGTCGATCGTAATTTATGTATTGCGTTACCGGTAATACCGATCTATAAGGATTCCTGACGGTTGACCTACATATGCATGGAAAGGTGTACATTTAAATAGTAATCAGGTAGGTAGTAACTACTGTATCTTATATCTATCTATCTATATCCGTACAGATTCATCTCGACTGGATGTATGAAATGTACCAGATACTACTCTCTCCAGTACTGGATCTATTGTCAGTAATCAGAGTTGTATAGGCGTTGGAGTGAATAGGTCTGGTCGGATAGAACGGACATTCAGATTCTAGTGATGAGCATTGGGTTTCTTGTCCTATTTTATATGTACTCAACCGGGTCACTGAGCTTGTAGTCTTGCCAGGACACAGAATCGGGTCGCGTGCGTTTGATACGATGAAGATTCCAGCATCTTGGAGATTCAAAGTAGCTAGAGGAGAGGTATAGGTAGATCAATAATTCCTCTCCTTGTCTCCTCTTTCTATCCACCTCCCAGGAGACACTTGCTCTATCTCAATTCTTTCTACTAAATATGAAGGAGGTTGAGTTGTCTTCTGTGTAAAGGATTCGGCGCCACCCTTAGTGACTGTTAGGTAGCGGACTCCGGGACCCAGTCAAAATTCCTCTACAAGATTCAACTCCCATCCTCATCTCATCTCTTCTCATCTCTTCTTCTTCTTCTTCTTCTTCTCCTTCTTTCCATCATCTCCAACTTCTTTTCTTGCCGAATTGACTCTCAATCTCTCCCTTCTCTCATCTTCTCGCCCTTGAGAGACGCATTTTCAAGTTCTTCCTTGTTCTTTCGTCTATCCCTTTCTCCCCAGAATCCCTTCTACCTGTCATCAACAACACTTGATGGAGATCTTCACACCCTCAAGTCTTTTCTAATCTCCTTCTTCATCGCTTCATTCCTGTCTTGCTTCAGTCATTTTATCAGTGTCTTCTTTCTTGGATCTCTTCCACCACAAGCAAAGTCCACAGCATCTCTCTCTCTCTCTCTCTCTCTCTACAGGTACTAACTACTACACTACACTACATCCTTCCGACGAACCAACCACACTTCCAGCTGTTGGTGTCTCCCGATCCACCAGCCAGAATCATCCACTTTTTACTTCCATCCATCCATGATTATTATATCCTAATCGATTATCCCAACCTTCTCTTCTCTTTCTTTTCTTACATTGTTCTTGTTCATTTCCAATCCTTCCTGCCCTTCCTGTCCTTTTACTCCCTGTTCGATTGCATTCCTCCGGTAAGTCTCTTTTTCTTCCTCTCTCTCTCTCCCACAACTGGGTTTTTTTCCCTCCACGGCACGTTCTCTTCTCACCACCACATATCTCTCTCCTGCACCGTGCTTTTTTTCTTTCCCTTTTCTTCTTCCCTTTTTTTTTTGTTTTGATTTTCCTGTCTACCTTATTTCCCTCCTTCATACTCCCCCATACTTGGAACAACTATTCTCCCTGTCCTGATCAGTGTCTGTATGCGCGATTCACTTTCTCCTCCTACACTTACTCCGACGCGAAACTCTTTTCTGCACCGTTTTAGTTCTCTTGATCTACTCCCTGTCCCCTTCTATTCACTGCAATCTCCGATTAACACTACTTGGCTTCCACCACTCTCTCTCCTCTGCCTGCTTCTTTTCTTATTGTCTTCACTTGTCTTCCTTTCTTCTCCTCCTATCCCCCCCTCTCCCCGCAGATACTCTCTACCAGCCCTGCATCCACAGACTTTTACATACCTCATCGTTGACACCTCCCATATTCCAATTCAACCCTCCACAACATTTTAAACCCCTTAAGCATAGTCTAACTCAAACAGAGGACAGGATGGCAGGAGTCAAACGTAAACTTGATGCCGGTCACGGCGGGGCCACTGCCTCGGGAGGCAACACTACTGTTCCTGGCACATCTCGAGGTAAGTTTCAATCCCCCCCCTGTTTCAAGACAGCAGCTTATCTTTTGTAGACTCTGTTGGCGATATTCGTGTGACTCGAAGTTTACGTTCCAGCCGCGATGCGCGTGCTGGTCAGAATGATAATGTCAAGAATTCCAACACTACGTCAAGCACCAACTCCAATTCTGGCAATCAAAATAGCACCGCCACGTTCGGCGGTGGCAGCGCCAACAAGTATGGTCCCAACCGGCCATCGCGCATCATCACTCTGAGTACTCGTAATGCTCGCGCGAATACCCTGGCCATGGCCAAAAATGCAACTCCCGTGAGCACTCCAGCCCCTGCGTCCACTCCGAGTGTCCCCAGCAGTACTCGTGAAACGCGGAACAGTCGATCGCGGGCCGCTGCTCCAGCCGTTCCTGCAAGTTCTACCCAGTTAGATGCTACACCATCCGCCCTCTCCACGGTCCCTGAGACGCCCCGAGCTAAACGCGTCAAGCGAGGCTCGGTGGCCGAAGAAACTCCCCGGACCACAAGGCAATCTGCCAGGCTACGAGCGCATTTCCTCCCCGGTGAAAATGGATTTACTGATACACCGCCGGGTCCCAAACAGTTAGAGGATAGTCCTTCGACAGCGATTGCTCCCAACACCAGGACTAGAAACCGCAGCCGACAATTTGCAGATGGCATCAATGACACCCCTCGTAGCGTTCCCACTACGTTAGCCGCTTCTCTGGTGAAGTCTCCACCCCCTGGGGACATTGCCCCAGAAACGGTTGATGTTTCCAAGCATCCGGAATCAGAGCCTCGAGATCTGCTGGACTCTACACTGGAATCGCCAAAGGGTACCGTCTCAAATAACTATCACAATTACAACCATGAATCCCCAGATCCCCAAATCGAGGAGGAGCTCAAAACGATGCCAACAGCGTCTAGCCCCACTTTATCACGAAAGCGCAAGTCCTTAGAGTCTGAAGAACGCATTGCCGCCATTGCCACCCGTGCGTCTATTTCACCAAACAAAAAGCCAAAGATGGAGGATGTCGAGGTACATAGGGCATCAGAACCTCTTCTGCCAAATGGTAATGGGAGTCGGCTGGAAGACGTCCTTTCACCACCAGGAAATGCTACAGACCCTAAAGTAGATGAAGGATCTCGACAGATCACCGAGGAAATTGAAGAGTCCACTCCGGACAATGCGGCCGAATTGACCACTGGCAAAGCAGTTCGTGGTGGCCGCAATCGTGGCCGTGGCCGAGGTGCACGTAACCGGACGTCCGCACGCTTTGGACCGAATAGACGAGGGCGTGGTGGTGCTCGCACCGCGCGTTCAGGGCGTACCGGTCGGCAACACGATCGTTCTAGTGACGTCGAGCTTGAACGTTCACCCTCCCCCAGTGCAGCAACTCAAAAACTCAGGGACCGCCAGCGTGAATTGGACAAGGCTTTCAGAAAGGTGGCTGCGGCGCAGCGACTGGCATTGGCGGTCCTCGCTACACAATCCGAGAGGCGACTAGCCCGCGACAAAAACGCTCACAAAGTCGTTCCCGAGTATGATGAAATCAACTTGGTTTTGAAATCATATTTGCAGGAGAAACAGGAAATTATCCGACGAGAGTACGAGCTGAAGGTGGAACAAGAGAATAGGGTTTTCAATGCTGGCAAGGAGGCCATTGAAGAGCGATTCCGAGTAAGGGTTGATTTTGTTGGTTTCTTTTGTTCGATTCTAGCTAATGATTTTTTTTTTTTTTTTGGTAGGCGTCAGCTCGTTATATCCAGGAGGAGCATCTGCTTGCAAGTCATGGAGAGTACATGACATTTATTGAAGGCCGTCGCGCAGCGGAAGATGACGAGCATACTGAGGTATTTTACTTTTTATTTGTATACCGACGAATAGCCAGGCTAATCGAGACTAGACGGATGGCTCTGAATCAGAGAATGAACGCGGACGCATCGCTCCCCCGACAAGACAAATTTACCGGGGCTTCAACTCTTCCTACGTGCGCAATCCTGCCGGAGCGGCGGCTTATGAACGAGCTGCGTTTGGCTGGGATGACTTTGTTCAACGCGCCAAGCTAGGCGATGACATTGATCCTCAGATGAAGGAGATGAGAGAAGCTGGCCCCTTTGCTGGTCTTCCAGCCGATGAAATTATTCAGATCCTATTAGACGCCACTGGAATCGTCGAAGTGCACCAGGAAGCTCCTGTCAACAAAGAGATTAACCCTCCAGTCTTTGTCGATGTACGTCCGACAGCACTAACAGCCTTGGCTGATGCTGCTGCTGCTGCTGAAATACCCCGGCTTCCCCTTTCACAAGCTACCCCGCGACTCTCAACCCATCGAGCGCTCCTCCCTCAACCGTCGCAGCCACAAATACCTCACGCGCATCCGGATCCCCGGCCGTTTGTGCTACCTCCGCCTACTCCCCGGGGCCAACCACGGCGGCTCCTCCCAGCAGGACAGCAAATTCTGCCGATCAATGAACAGCTTGGCCTCCCTGACCCATTTGCGTCCCGCAGCGGGCCTCCGCAGCTCCCTCCTCCACCGGGATCCAACTTCCACCGGCCTCCTCTGCCTGGGTACTTGACTGGACATCATCCTCCCAGTCTGTTCTATCCACCGCCGCCGCATCCGCGTCCACCATATTAGTAATGCACTTTTCTTTAGTTACCATGTATTTTGACTTAGACAAGGGCGTTGGGTTGGGTACGGGGAGGGACTTGAAACGGGTGTTGGTTAGGACTGGCATTGGGTTTTGTATTGAAATGTATTCTACATATAATCATGGATCTCAAGGTCGCGATTGATTGATTGCAAGCTTCATTCTCTCATGCAATTTGCGAGTGAATCATGATGGCTCAGGATGAGTCAGGCGGGAACAAATGACTCTGCGACTCGATCCCAATCAGGACTAGCGCCGAGGGCGGAGGCTTTTTTTGGGCTTTTTTATTTTTACTTCATCACGAATTCAGCCTCGCTGCGTATAAAGGGTGCTGTTTCTCGCAATCTCAGTCGGATCTTTTAGATTCCACACGTCAATTAACCTCTCTTTCCACCTCCTCTCTTTTCTCCTCTCTCTCTCCCCTTCCCCGTCCTCCTCCCCCTCCCCCTCCACCACACCGTCTCTGTCTGCTACCCCACTTCGACAGAGACTCTTCACCACTTCCCCTCCATAATCAAACTGCGACCTCTCCCAAGTCCTCCAAACACAACCAATAGCAGCTATGGCAGTCCGCGCACAGTTCGAGAACTCCAACGAGTTAGTCTTCCTGCTGTGTCTCAGCGAATTCAGCTAACAGCTCTGCAGAGTCGGCGTTTTTTCGCGCCTGACCAATTCATATGCCATCGTGGCTATCGGCGCTTCTGAAAACTTCTACAGGTATTCTACTCTACTTCACATTCCCACCGGACTCGGTCGATTACACATACTAATGCAGACCAGTGTATTCGAAGCTGAACTCCAAGATGTCATCCCCATTTGCCATGCTACCATCGCTGGAACTCGCATTGTTGGTCGTTTAACTGCTGGGTACGTCCCACCTCACCTCCCACGGAAGACTTTTTCTATCTCGACAAATATGAAAAGGAGTAAAAGAAAAAGGGAAAAAAAAAAAGGGAAATCAAAGCTAACCGAAAAAATAGAAACCGCAAAGGCCTCCTCGTCCCCACAACAACAACAGACCAAGAACTGCAACATCTGCGAAACACCCTCCCAGACTCCGTCAAAATCCAACGCATAGAGGAACGTCTGTCGGCCCTGGGAAATGTCATTTGCTGTAACGACCACGTTGCTCTGATTCACCCTGATCTCGAGCGCGAGACGGAAGAAATGTAACCGCCTCCTCTTTCTTACCATTTCTTTTAAAAAAAAAAATAAAAAAAAAAATAAAAATAAGCTAACGAATGATAAAATAGCATCGCCGACGTCCTCGGTGTCGAAGTCTTCCGCCAAACCATCGCCGATAACGTCCTCACAGGCTCGTACATGGCGCTCTCCAACCAAGGCGGAATCGTTCACCCCAAGACCTCCATCCGGGACCAGGACGAGCTGTCCTCGCTCCTCCAGGTACCTCTCGTCGCCGGTAGCGTGAATCGCGGATCCCCCGTCGTGGGAGCAGGCATGGTAGTCAACGACTGGATGGCCGTCACTGGATTGGACACGACAGCGACAGAGCTGAGCGTTATCGAGAGTGTGTTCCGGTTGGGTGAGATGGGACCCCGAGGAGTTGGAGTTGGAGGCGGTGCTGGGACGAATAAAGAAAGTATTGTGGAGAGTTTCTATTAATCTCTCTGTCTCTCTCTCTCTCTCTCTGTCTCTCTTTTTTTTTTTTGCTCGCTCTTCGTCTCCTTTCTTCGTTTCAGGACTTACGTACCTGCTGCTGTTACGGTTTTTACGTACTTAAAGTGTTGATATGATTCTTCTTTCCGGGGGTTAAAAATAAATAAATCACCAAGTCAAAATCTTAACCGGTGTCTCTTCTTTTATATACATATATATCCCTCTCCGTGAAGCAAGGCAGAGAGAGGAAGAACTTCCACATACCATACCATACATCCATAAATGTAAAAATAAAAAGTATAATGGATGGATGGATGGGTATACATATTACTACTATTCTGTATCTACCGAGTTAGTTTAGGTAGTATATAAGACTTTTTCCTCCATTTCTTTCCTTAATTTTTTTTTTCTGCTCTGCGCTGCGCTGCGCTGCTCTGCTCTGCTCTGGTATAAAAAAAAAGTAGATATAGATAAAAGATATAAATATAGAAGTAAAAGAAAGGGGGTATTTTTGTTTCTCACAAAACTGATTCGAAATGAATGAAGGGTCAGGAAGGAAGGAAGAAGGGGAAAGAATAAGGAAAAGGATTATAAGCGAGCAGCCTGGTTGATATGATGATGATATACCTAAAAAAAAAAAAGGGAATTAACTCCTCAACCCCAGTAGATGCGATCCCTAGCCTTGGAATATTTTGGACAAACAGTAAGTAGTATTGAGGGGTAAGAAAGAAGGAGGAGGAGGAGGAGGAGGAGGAGGAGGAGGAGGATGCTATACGTTCCCCTCAATGCTGATGTGAGATTGGTTCATTCTGCTACTGTTGTATGCTTCAAACTCGTCGTCGTCGCTGTTTGCATCGGGGATGGGAGTATCGTCGTCCCCCGCTTCTCCTTGCGGAGGTGGCGGAGGCGGAGGCGGAGGTGTTGGGTTACCCACGAGGACAACCTCGTCTGGATCGCTACGTCCGCTGGGGTCATCATCTGGGCTCATTGCTGGAGGAGGCGGAGGTGGGGGAGGTGTCGAGGAGCGTTGCCGTTTTACAGATGACGCCGGGGTGGACTCGTCTGTGATTCCTTCCCCACCGGCGCTCAGGTCGTCTCGTTTGCGTTTGAGACCGGAACCTCCCTTCTCCGCGATACTGTCGCCCTCTCCCTCCCCATCATCTCCCTCGTCGTCTGACATCTTGACATCCACGTCCGCGTCCAGCGCATCGGCTTCGTCCTCGCTTTGGTCACCGGCCGTGCCCGGGTTCCGGTCTGCGCTGGGTTCCTGAGAGGATTTCTCAGCCTTGCGCTGTGCGTGTGCGCGGTGCTTGATAACGGCTTTGTCGAAGAACTCTTTGCAAAACTTTTTCACTTTCTTTTGCTGTTTTTCGTCAATCTTGGTAGGGTCTGTGACGCGGTTGTTTTTGAAGTCGGAATTCACTAGCTTTTTGGCTACCTGTGCGTTGTTAGCTGTGGTTCGTCTGGGGGTGGGGGTGAGGTTAAGACGTACATCTTTAGCGTATCGTTTTAGGTCGTCTTTTGGAAGTTTATGCTTGAATTTGTCGACAACGTACTTCACGTGGGGATACAGCTGTACCACGTTAGTGCCGAGCTAAACCCTAAAAAAAAAAAAAAAGAAATTGGTGCGTACGTACTGTATTCTCGTAGAGCTTCTTTTGCTTCTCCTCGCTGTAATTTCTCCACTTCTCCGGCCCATCCTTCTTATCCGGAGTTGGCCTAGACGGTTGAGGGGTAGCAGGCGTACCGGCCTTCTCCTTGGGCGTGTTTTCCTTAGCATTCATGATCCCATCAATGATATCTTGCAGTGCTTTGTCCCTGGACTCCTTCGGCGGCGGAGGAGGCTGAGGAGCTGGCTTGGTAGGCCGCGTCCATGTAGTGTCTCCCCGGGCTGAGTAGTAGTACGTTCGGCCATTCGACTCCGCCGCAAACCACCCTTGTGGCAGAGGCTCGAACCGTCGGCGAAACGACCGTGGGCCGTGATGATGAGTGCTCCGCTGACCATTTCCGCCTCGTTTCTGCTGAGCCGCTGGGCCGCGTGGTGCCTCCACTGACCGCGAGCGCGAGCGTGACCGCGATTTGGACCGCCGTCGCTCATCGCGCGCATTTTCACGCCGCTCAAACTGATTCACCGCCTGCGTGGAAGCATTGGGGTCCCGTTTCATACGGGGAATTCGATACCCGACTTCGAGGGTTGACCAGACTTGTAACAATGTGGTAGCTTTCTGCCCAACCCGTGTATCTGCACAATCTGTGAGTGGTTGGATTGTCGACTCAATCTTAGAATCAATAATTTTATTCCGTGTCAGACGGGGAAATTTGTCGAGGATATCGAGAATCTGCAGCACGACGTTGAAATCCTCTTTCCACATGGTGAGTTGAGAGTTGAGGATCTGATATCCGTGCATCTTCACTACCCGATTGCGCACCCGCTCGTCCTCGCAACACTGGATACGTCCTAGAAGCTTCACTGCAATCCACTTCTCCTTGCACTGCATGAGAGCTGCCATAACTTTCGTGACACCGCTTTCATCCAGTGATTTGGGCTGTACGCTGTCCACATATTCCTCATCGTCCTCACCCGTTTTCTTCTTCCGTGGCCGCTTCGCCACTGCAGTATCCCAGCCTTCCGCATCCTCAATACCAAGAGCCTCGATTGTTGCATTTGATAGCTTGGTCGCCCGCTCGGTCTGGGTCTTTCCACCAATAAATCCTGTGCAATTGGGCTCCCCGCAATAGCACGGTTGAGGATCCGCGCCGTAGCGATCCACATTATAGTTGAATACTAGTTCCTCTCCAGCTTGGATATACCGCTCCGCAAAAATACCCATGCGAAGCTTTTCTCCAACAACCCACTTGTCTACATAACAGTTGGGATTGCAGGAGTGGTTGCAAAATCGACCCAGGTTTCCTCGTTTAGTCGCATCGACGAACTCACCCTTGCTAAGGGACATAAAGTAGAAATGTTTAATTCCTTCCTCATCGTATTGCCGCATGCGGCGGTGGAATGGCCCTTCATTGATCACTTCACCAACATACTCGTAGATAAACTGGTGTGGTCGCAAGTCGGCCTCCGCGCGAAGACCATACCCTTTCTTCTCTGTTTTAATCACGGACACGGGGGCGTATTCTCTTCGCTGGAATCGTTGGTTCTGACATTCTGGACCGCATCCGCAGTCACCCATGCACTCAATCTTCGTCGCACGGTTGATACAATCCGAATCCTCCCCGCAGGCTACGTTTTTCGAGATAGTAGGATCTAGCAGATGTTAGAGGTCAACCTTTAGACAGTAGAAAACCGAACCAGTGCATATAACAAAGGTTAAGACAAGCGCAAGAGAAGGCAACTCACCCCATTCTTCCACACAATCACATTCCATACCATGTTCAGTATACCCCATATACTTATTCGCATACTGACAGGTATCGATCAATTCAAACATACTCTGGGCCTCTTTGGTACTGTCCGGTAAATGCGAATACAGCTGCGGTGGCCGCGCAACAACCTTCTGCGACGAGCTACGAGACAACTTGGGAGGCTGCCCGGGTTCCAATTTCACAGAGACGTTACCCCCAACCTTTTCCTCTGTCTCGGTCGTGTCATCGCCTCCGTCCGCGTTTACCGTTACTTTCTCCTGTTCATCTTCCAATGTCTCCTTCTTAACCGGAGTGCGCGACACGGACCGCGATTTCGCCACCGCCTGAGTTTCCAGCTCATTCTTCATGGGCAGTGACGGGGGTACGGCGTTGGAGTCGCCATCGGGCTTGTTTGTCGTCGTGGCCTCTCCACCGTTGAGAAGCGGAGCATCGGGAGCTCCATCAGACTCCAGCTTCATCGCGGTCACGGCATCGGCAACGGATTGTGACTGACGGTCCGCGTAGTCATGAGTGGACATGACGACACGGACAAAGGGCGCAAGACTATCGGAGCCAGTTGGAGTGTATGCGCTAGGGAGAGAATCGAGGCGGGTTTTCCAGGCGGGAATGGGATGGAGATCGGCAAGGAAAAAGAGAAAGAAGGGAGGGAGAGTGGAAAAAGGGAAGGAAAAAAAGGTCAAGGAGAGTCAAAGGGGAGGGGATGAATCGAAGGGGGTTTAAGAAGAAGAAGCAAAAAAAAAGAAAAGAATACAAGAGGATGTTGAAGTGGGAGGAGAGAAAAGAGAATGAGGGAGTGAATGAGAGGAAGCAAAAAGTCTCCAAGTCGCCGACGAGCACGTTTTCGCGGGTGCCAAGACAACAATGGGAGGAAGAGAGAGAGAGAGAGAGAGAAGATGCGACAATAACACTTTTCATCATGAATCAAGACATTCAATTCAATTCTATTATTTGGAATTCACTGTGTACATTTCAATTCTCGAGTCTACCTTTGCTAATCCACCGCGCTGGTTGTGCAGCCAGTCATCCATTCTCTTTCTCGCGGGCTGCTGTCACGTATTATTCTCGTGATAGCTCTCCCCGGTTCCTCATGAGCTGAGGATACAGCCTTGCCCTATCCAGTATGGAACGGATAGCGTTTCGTCTTCAATTCTATCAGTCAGAAGTTGACATTAAGCCTAAATGGCGATGTCGGGGGTTGTGTTTTCACGGATTATCAACCCGACCGGGTTTAACCGTTGACGCATATTTCAGCTGGCAGGAGGTCATTAATGGTCGTCCCTAACTTCGCAATGGCGATGAATCGGGATTTCGGCTGGCACATCGCCCCTGTGTCGACTATGTATGTATTGTAGGTATGTGTATGTTCATGTCCGCCGACATTGGCAAGGTAAATCTGGCATGGTCCGGCCAACACCACTGTAATAGGGGTAGTTAGGTACCTAATTATTCTTCTCTAGAGGCGATTTCAAGTGGCTTGTTTCTGCCAATGATTCGGAATCTAGTTTTAGGCCATATTCACTGATGTAATGGAGACTTCCCTCGAATGAAGTAGTTACCCGGACCACACACGACGGGGTGGCGAGAATGACACAAGATTGAGTAGATAGGCATCAAAGACAATCATCAGAGCAGTCTGGCGGGTTTAGATGGGGCCCAGTGCAAATGGCCTGTCACCCGTTTTTTGAGAAGATACGGTCGAACGGCGCAACTGAGCATTTATGAGGCAAACCCGCAATAGGGCATGCATCGCGCTAGCAATCTGCAGCGGAAACGATTCAGTTTTCTCCAACCAATTTTGGATTGACCCCAGTGGAGGACACAAATGATCGGCCACAAGAGGTCGAGGACAATCCAGGCAATCTCGCAGCGCTGAACGGTCAAAGCCAGTCGGTCGGGATGCACGAATAAGCGATTACACCACTTCGGAGGCCACGGGAGCGATTTGGAGGGAAATTGAGATGAGACGCTATGATAATCAAAGATGATGCTTCTGCCGTATTCGGGGAATTTTCCACCGTTCTCTGCCCTTGGTGTAATTTCGGGGCGGTTAGCGATTGGATGAGAGGATCTCATTTGGAAAGCTGCATGGGCGATGGTTCAGATGTAGGGGTTAGTCTTATTATTTCTTCTCATAATTATTCCTTTTTCTTTTCTTTTTTTAGGAGTCGTCAGGCGTTGGGTGTTTCCGCAGTCCCCCATTATGAATCCGTCGTTAAAACCTTGAATCCCAAGGAATCTGGCATACTCCGGAGTAGAATTGTAGTCTTAACGATCACCCACACGGCTCAGAAACAATTTCGCAAAACAGCCGCTCACCAATCCCAATAGAGTTTTGTGCGTGAACGGGTGTTGCTTCAAACAAGCCGAAAATCCAGCTTAAATACGTGGTGAGAGCAGAGTGGTTCCCGACTTCCTGTTTCAGGGTTGCTTCTCCTAGGTCTCTTGATATCAAAGATGCAATTGCGTAGGCATAAGTCGATAGCGGGAAGAGACACTGCAGATTTATCTCCCTACACTCCAACCCTCGTGAGCTCTCCATAAACACCGTGTAGACAATCCCACATCAACAGGAATGAGTGGAGGAGAAGCGAGAGAATAATAGGATACCTACTAGAAGGACCCTAGAGTAATGCAGCTAATAAGGTAGTGAGTGTCCCTGTATGCACATAAGCAAAGGCCGCCTCCCTATAAAGTGGCTTCTTTCCGGGAATAATTGGACAAAATTGTTCCAATAACAATGCCTATAGGTGCAAATACTGTACTTGCTGGCGCATGGAATCGTCTAGTCATCTCATCCTTTCATTCGTAGTGGACTGGAGGGACGACTCGGGGGAAACTGAGTCCAAGCCAACCCGGGAACTTTTCAAGGTAGGCCGTACGTAACCTTGACCTTTGGATCTGCAGGAACCATCTTCATCAGAGCCAGAGATAATCAAGAAGAAGAAGAAGAAGCAGAAGAAGAATAATAATAATAATAATAGCCTGACTCTGATATGCTCCTGTGAACAGACAGGATCCCTGCCCTGCAGCTAATATTATTTTCTAGACTGTTGTGGGATGAGAATAATTCTATTATTATTATTGGTGAGATATCTCTGCTCTGCGACAGATCATCAAGGGAAGGTCAAGTCAATAAAAGTAGTACGTAGTAATAATAATCATAATCATAATAATAACAAGGAGAAATTCTTTGTGAATTAACTACAATTTACACGCGCAACGGGTACCTGAGAGAGAGGTGGGGACCTCCTTATTGTTTCCCTGCTAGAAAGTCACCAGTACTTTGGAGCGGATACCTACATAGTACAACTAAATACTAGTCTTGCTTGTTGGATGTCAATAATAAGCCACGGAATTCTCCCATTTGTTCATAATTTATTAGTGGGAACCCGGAGGATCATTCTGGAGATTACCTAGAATTACTTCGTACAGAGTATTCGACTATTCGTACTAAGTACAGATTACTTACTACGGAGTACTAGTACTAAGTACTAAGTACAGAAGAAGTATTTTCTAGAAGCCATCACGGGAAAGGGGGGGGGGAACTTGGAACACCAGAATCAAACCTCCTTTCTTCTTCTTCCCTCTTCTTCCTCTTCTCCTACATCTCCTTCTCCTCCTCTTCTCGGGTATCATCAAAGAAAAAAATATACATATCATCCTAATGCAGTTTTAAGATGGTCCTAATTTGAAAATATTGTCAATTCCCAGGACCAGGATCAATGACAACTGGCCATGCAGCACTATTCCAAACTACACATTGACGGTTGATTCAAATCGGCGGGGCGTTGCTTCTCATGCATGCCGATGGTTCTCGTGCATGGGCCATTTTTTATTAAATACGGTATTTATCGATCAAGTGCTACTCAACAGAAAAAAAAATTTCTAATAATAATAATTTCTAGAATCATACTACGGGCCCATTGACTAGACCCATCAGATGAAAATCCGCGAGCAGCCAAATGCTGGCTAGTTCAACCTCCATCAAGCCACGCCCTCTGTCGACGTAGCACCTACGGGTTCACAAGCGCGGTAGTCTGAATTCCCCCCTGCCCTTTTGTGGGTGAAGAAACTGACTCCAGTCTACAAAGTACTACTACTAAGTACTTACTAGTCTTTTTGACATTCACAATTCTGGAGTCGGGTCTTTCTCCCAAATTAAAAATTGAAAATAGGCCACGGGTAATTAGCATGCGAATGCTAATCATTAATCCTCGTCGGGGAAAGGAAAAGAAAACGTGTGTCCCTGCTTTTTCTTCTTTTCTTCTAACCTTATGATTATGATGGCCTAGGCACAATCATTCATTCTTCAAGGGTAAGGGTCTATTTTTTTTTTTTCTTTTTTTCTTTTTTTTTCATTCCGTATTGTTATCCTTCTTTTGGTCGCTCTATCTCTTCCCCGCTTCGAGGACCTTTTTAGCTTCATCTTGAACCAACCACATCCCACGGCTTGGGAAACCGGGTGCAATCCTTGGAGGCCTTTGAAGTCCCCATTCCCTATCTTATTCGTGAATTATTGACCTCTCAAACCCAAGCGGACCCGTCAATTTACCCAGCCTCCAGGATTTTGTTCACGCCTGCGCCTATTGCGGAGCCCTTAACCCCACTGTGCGGTTATCAACTCCCTCCGCCGCCATCCATTCCTGCCAGTCATCGTTGGATGCATTCCCGCTATCTTCAATAGGACCAATGCACGTCTCTACATTTTCTGTAACTGTCGCCAGACAGAACAAAGCAATTTATTATAGGATGCAGAAAAAGGAGTTGGCGTCCGGATGGATCGCCCGCACTACTTGCATCTGTGACCTAGCCCCGAACCTCGCTCCCTCAAGGCGCTCCAAGCTTCAATTCTATTACTCTCAGCAACAACATATCGATTCTAGTCCGTTGACCCAATGTCTTGGAGCGTCAACACCCACCTATCACCAATCATCTGTCGTTCAGGATATACATTTGGAACGCGCTGCTTCCTGCGAGAGGGTCTTGTGCTCCCCCTCCCTTCCCCAAAATCCCAAAAGAATGATGTCCAGGCCAGAGGGCAAAAGCAGGTTTCCCCTCTTATAGTTAGTATGTATTTCTTATAATTTGTGTTATTTTATTTCCCTATCTTGTTTTATTATTTTCACTTTGGTTTATTTATTTGTTATTATTATTATTACTCTGAGACTTTAAACCTTTTTTTTAATTACCTTGATATTTTTCTTTTTTTCTCTCTCTCAATGTTTTATTTTTATTTCCCTTTTTTTCTGACTTCGTTGTACAGCAGTAGCCGCAGTCTGTCGTTGCATGGTTTCTTCTCTGTTCTGGTCCTCTTTCCCTTCCCTCCACACCCCCCTGCTCCTTCACCCGTCCAGGCTCTTTACGTTTCCCAGCTTCGTGCATTCTTAGTCCTTTTCCTTTCTCTAATTATTTCGCCCCTCCTGGTCCTTTTCTAACCCTCGTTCGGAAAGTCCAGAGTCTTTGCGCGCCCCCTCTCTCTATCTCTGCGCCTGTCCCTCATTCCTTATGACGGTGCGGTTTGATTTTTTTTTTTTTTGCGTCCCTCCAATCCTTTTCCTCATTGTAAAAGCGTGTGAGCGCCTGGAATCATCTGAAACCATCGTTTTTGAAACACTATTCTCTTCTGGGTTGAAGCTGGCCTAGTCCTTCTTGGGGCTGGTTGGTTCCCGCTGTCTTTATTCCCTGTGGACTTTCATACCTTTTATTATTCTTCTTTTTGTTATTATTCTGGATTCTCAAAAGACTTGTCTGGCTTCCCTTGCCCCCCCCCCCCCCCAACTTTAGAGAGAGATACCAGACGGACGAGAATTATCCAAAAGAGAGTCCCTGCAGCTTTCCTCTCGCTATCCGGACGCATGCCTGCAAATTCTGTACTGGTAGTGACCTGTGCATTCCCGAATTAAAAGTCCGCTTGGTCAGAAAGGTTCCTGAGGAAAGAATAAAGTGTTACTTGGCTTTGGATTGACTCGTTCTCTGTCTCTCTCTTCTGTCTTTTGCTTTCTTCATCCTCGTTCCTTGTCCCCTCTTTCCCCCTATTTCCCTTCTTTACATTTTCTTTTTATTTTCTTTTTTCAGTTTGTTTTGTGGCAATATGCATTGTTGAATGGGCTTGTTCCAGAAGTTGATTTAATCCCCAGCGGTGACAGTTTCCCTAACATCTATCTACACCTGTTCAGGGTTACGATCTACACGCTATTTTCTCTTATTATTACAGTATCATCATCCTTCCCTATCCATTCTTTGTACACTGGGGCCCAATTTAACCCCAAATTTCCTTCCACGCGGTCATTTGAAGCGTATGAGAAACCACATTTTTGTCTTTTGGGTTCTGCACGTCTGAAGCCTTATCTCAATAGTTTTTCTTCCGAAGCACCTTACTCTCGGATCAAAACAGTCTTATGAGCTCTGTTCCCTCACTGACCCCTGGCCTGACCGTCAATGTCTACTGTTGATTGCATAATAACTGTCTCCATCCCCTCCTCCTCACTGCCTGTTCTTTGTTCTGATTGTTGTCGTTGTACTTTGTCTTCGCTCTTGGCGCCGCCAGCCTGCTTTCTGATTCCTATCTGACAACCCACGTGTGTAGACTCTGGTGTAGACGCATCATTCCGTTTGGGAGGCTCTGTGGTTTTTTATAATTTTTTTTTTTCCTTTTCAATTCTTCGATTTCATTCTTGTTTCTGTTCTACCCTCTCTTAGCTTTAAATGTGTCTTCTGCTGTTGTCTTAGTTGTCCTTCGACTCCGCACCCTCTTGATCGGCGTTTGTTCTATACTTCCCATCCCGATTTCCCTATTACCGCAATACGCATCGTCTCCTTTTCATACCTGCGGTCATTTTGAATCTTATAACCCTTTCATCCTGGCTTTGTCTGTCTACTTGTTTGTTTATTGTGAAGGGAAGCTGGATATCCTCGCTTCCATGGTCCGCTGGCTATGTCGAATCTACCAGAAAGGCCATGGACCGAGGAGGAGAAGGTATGGAAAGAAAACTCCCGGCCCGTCCGACCTATAGTATATCATTAAATGGTCTCCCCCAATCGAAATTTGGAAACTGACTTGGAATGTTTAGTATACCTTACTGACCGAAATCCTGAAGAAGGCCAGAGTCCCGTCAAGCCACCTGGTCAAAATGATCAAAGATTTCAATATCTCCCCAAGCTGGGCAGATATACCCCTTCCATCAGGTACAGATCAGGAAGCATTTTCAGTTTCTACCTTTCCTACTATCAGTCAGGTCTATGTCATGTGTCTTAGATCGACACCGGCCTTGAGCTGCCTCCTACGGGGTCTGATCCTTAGCTAATCCGGTTCTACCCAGGTCGTTCCCTCAACTCATGCCAATTAGCATTCTATAATATGTGTCAACAACACGTACAACTCTCAGTAAACCCAGGGCTCGGATCTATTCCTCCACCGCGCTACGATTCTTCAGCACCGCCAGCGACCCATGTAGATGCAAGTGCCGGTGTACGGAAGCGGCCCCTCTACCCAGCAGACAAGCCGATTCTTGCCCCGCGTGCAATCCAGCCCCGTCCATCCACTAGCACTGCTTCTTACAGCAGCGAGAGTGGCGCATCGGCCATCCTATCTCCAGGTACAGGCGGTGTTACGGCCCGTGGCGAGCCTCCACGAAAACGAGGTCGACCCAGTAAAGCCGAATCAGAGCGACGGAAGGCAGCTGCTGAAGCTCGGGGGGAGACATATCCGCCTGTTCGAAGATCCGGCTCTCATAAAGTTAAAATTTCGTCCACTCCGACGAGTCCTTCCACAGTTGAAGCTGGTGGATCACCCTTTACCGTTCACCCCGGTAGTCGACCTCCGAATGTATCACAGCCGGAAATGCGGTATGTTCCTCCGCCTTTGAGAACAATGCCACCGATCGGACCCGTCGATGAAGAAAGAGCAAGGGATATGTCCAGTCGTGAGATAGGTCCGGCAATTAGAGAGTTGCCACGACCCACGGAAATCCGGCAAACACTACCATCACCACAAGCACTCCAGTTAGGCCATAGGGAGACTATTCCGCGTATTGAGCCTGGAGAGCGACCATATGGAACCCTTGCACATGATAGACATCCCTTTACGGACAGTAGCCGAAGGAGCCTTGTCCATCCTGCCCCCCGACGCCCCGATGAACTCCCCACAATAGACCCCCAAGTCCCTTTAAGCACTACGGCCGAGAAACGAACCGAATGACGTCCTTTCGTTGCAAAGTAATCAATCACACCGCCCTTATTTCCTACGTTTTCAAGTTACAGTTGCAACACGATAAATGAACCACTCCATCGATTACAAGCGATAGACAGCATTGATCCGCACTTCATACCAATCAGTGAATCGAAACGAATTACGTCCTTCCGGCACACGGAAAAGAAAGCTATGGCTCACGCATACTCTTTAGAGTATTTGCCTGTCCCTTCTCATACAGTTTCTTTATTTATCACCACTCTTTTCCGTTCCCATCCACTCTGCATCTTGTTAACCCTATTTTATTTTATTTTTTGGCGAGGCGGTTCCGTTGAGAATTGATTGCTCATACTTGGCGACCGTTCCTAATTGATATATCTATCTTCGAGTGGGAACGTCCGACAAAGACAGGTTTGATCTTTTTTGACATGTCTTGGCTTGCCCTGATTATACGCATATGCTCCACGGCACAACACCAATGACACACACAGCTTGCAGTCAAGTCGGCATTCCTTAGACATATAATACTCTCCCTATTTCTTTCAAAATATTTTACTTTTGTTTTTCTTCTCTTTCTACGAACGTGCTTGGTTCATGACGCATTAAGCTGATGAAATATGATTCCTTCTGCATAGTGATTTGTTGCATAGTCACTTGCTCTCCGAGTGTTTCCACTCAGATTTTCAATGCAAATGAAAACATGATGAATATGACATTGCACATTGACTTCAACATTCTCTTTTCTTCTTGGATGGCAGTTCTACAACCACCCTACTGTTCCTCGCTTCTTTTTCTCTCTTAATGCTGTTCTTCTTCCCTTCGTTTTCACTTCTTGTCTCTGTCTTTGCACATACCTAAAGTTTAATGACCATGTACAATTACTAGTTAGTGATATGATAGCTACAATTGTGGCAATGTACAGCCTATACTTTATTCGTGAATATCATTCGAAAATCCACTTTGCTATCTTAAAACAAACTTGGTTTAGAAACCCTAACAATGACAGTAGCATGCTCTTTGTACCCGCATGCCAATAGCTAACCTACCTAACTAATAACCAGTGGTTAATAGTACAATATATAATATATAATAATATAATACAATACTGCATGTACTCTATATGGAGATGAGGTTCGAGGACCTGAGGAGATTAGTATGATGATTTAGGGTAAAGGGATGTGAGATCTGATTCATGCAAGAGATAGTTAGTTAGGTAGTCTACAGAGTACGTAGTACGTAGTTAACTAGTTAACTATAAAACCAATGACTAACTACCTAGGTAGTTAACTAGTTAGTTATGATATGATATACATTAATTAGCTTTCAAAGTTTGTGTATTGTTAACAAAACCTTATTGGGTGAGCTCTAAAATTATAACCTTTTTTTTTTTTTTTTTTTTCTCCCGACGAAAGGTAACGAACTAGATAAACACAGTAGTAGTAGACTTTGTAGTTAACCCTAGGGATACATACCTGGGTAGGTATACTTAACTGATCAATTGGGAAATGGGAGATATGTTTTTCTTTAGGTATATATATGGATGGTATCATTTTATGTATGTATGTATGTATGTATGTATGTCATGTCTTGTATATACATAAATATATATATAATAGTACATGTATATATGTGCATATGTACCTGATATATAAACAAGTATGGAATACGCTGGAGGTCTGGATATATGCTCTAACTAATACCTATGTCAGGGATGAGATATGATGATATGATTATGTACTTCTAACTAATGCTCGAATGTCAACTTCAACCACCCTATACACAAGATAGATATGGGGGGGGAAAAAAAAAATCCAAGGTGAATCAACTAGCCTGTCAATCATGCGTTAAGAGGATAAGAGAAATATGTCCCTTGTATATTTTTTTGGGTTTCGGTTTTCCGTTCAGCTCTTGGTGATTTGGTATTTAGCGGTCACTGGGCGGGCTCAAATTGAATGTCTTTGTTGCCTTTGATATGCCCAAGTTAACTGCGTAGTTTGATGGTTGGGCTCCCAGAGCTTCGGTACTGATAGGCCCCGTTGCCGATACGGCTGTTTGCTCCTGCGTAGATTCCTCCGTCGGTTGTTATGATTGGGCCTGTCTCTGCTTCTCTTGCTCTATCTGGGCACGGATTCTGCTGAGTGCAGAGCCAAAACTGAAGCTGGAGGACACTGGGACTCTTCTGCCAAGTCCTGTGACCGCCACGCCTGTGGTCTCTCCAACCAGTTTCAATACGTCGTTCTTATCCTCAACACGACGGGTAAGGTATACTTTAGGTTGGTCACCTGGTTGGGGAAGGGTTCGAGCTCGAATCCGTTCAATTTCCTTTCGGTATGCTGTCTCATATATGTCGAATTCTGCGGCACCTGGTGATTCGCTTACAATGGGATATCCGGGGTCGTCTGTTGAATCCATCCCTAATGGCTCAGCGGATATTGGGTTGTTTAACTCGGCGAGAGTAGATTCTCCTGCAGCGCTGCTGCCATCGGGAGGCGTTGAGCCGGTAAATGTCGAAGGCCCGATGAATAGAAAGGGGAATTCGTCTTCCAGGGGATCTCGCGCATGCCCTCGAGTCCCCTCCATACTGCGCTTAGTAGTAGCTGAGCTAGCTCTTGAGAGTGGGATTTGAGGGGATTGTGACTGGGGAGTCACAGTCATCTGCGGTAGCTCATCAAAAGACCCGCCTCCAATTTTGACGCTCTGGATGGAGCCCGAGTCTTTTCTCTGTGGATTCCTGCTACCTATCGGGACAGAATCTGGCCTGATATGTGCCCTCACTTCGTCATTCTCTGGCAGCGCGCTAGGGCTAAAGTCGTGCCGTTGCTGGTGATATCCTTTAATAACCCTGTCCCGCTCCCATGCCATTCGATTATACGTATTCAGGCTTTGGCTTTTGGCGGAATTTAGCAAGCCAGTGGAAACGCTTTCCTCAGGATCCATCTCCATAGGGGGCTCAACAAAATGACTTTCATATTCTTGACCAAGGATACTTTGCATGCGGGGGTCTGCTCTTGATGGATCAATAAGCCTTTTGAAGTTCTTAACGGCTTTCATCTACAAGTCACGTCAGACTTCCACTATAGTAGATACGATCATGAAACACTTACCACGGCTAAGACATGTCCAAGATTCTTTGTAATGGCAGAATTCATTTCTTCTTCGGTGGGCAACCCGACTATCTCGGCGGTATTTTCATCCTTCGATAAGAGAGGGTCCATACCATTCTTTGTTACCCAAGGATGCTCCTGTCGTTTTTTTTTTTTTTTTAGTGATAGTAAAAATCAAGAAGAATACCCTTTCACTTACACGCAGCTCGTCCATTTGTATCCTTTGTGTTGGGTCCTTTTCTAGGATCCGGAAAATCAAATCCTTAAAGCTTTCGTCTATTTCTCCTGTGCACACAACCGGATCATTCTTAATGGCTTCATATAGTTCGAATATACTTTGCTTTTCGAACGGAAGCTTGCCATATCGAAGACAGTACAGTGTCACGCCCATGGACCATATATCTGCTGCCTTTCCTGAGACATCGCCGTGCTTGACGACACATAGTTCTGGTGGTAGGAAGGCTGGTGAACCAGCAGATTTTGCCGTGAACATATCTGAATCTTTTTCGAACATCTCTGATACTCCGAAGTCGACAACTTTGAGGACATCGTCACTTGTTAGCAGGCAGTTATCCGGCTTTATATCTCGATGGACGATTCCCTGAGCATGTAGATACTCAATGCCTAGAATGAGGTCGCGGAACCAACAACGACAAAGCTCGTCATCGTAAGGATCGGCGGTTTCCTCTAGTCCGACCTTCATAATCACGCCCTTTTTGCACATTTCCATTACCATATACAAAGAATCTTCAGAGGGGTCGTCTAGCACCTCTATTAGCGACACGAGGTTGTTATGGTGAAGCTTCTTCATGATAGCGATCTCCTCTTTGATCAGGTAGAGCGCATTCTCCTTGTGATCCTCGGGGATTCCTATTCCACGCCGATGGAGGGGGGAGTTGAAGCCATCTAAGGGACGTTTGGGGCCCCTCGGTCGCCTGAGAAGGTGTGACTGGGCACGTTTTCTTAGACGTGACTTGGAGAATTCCTTAACAGCCTGAAGTTTAAGTTAGCATGGTAGATATGCAAACCAATATCATGTGGTAGATCAAACATATTCGTTTCCAAATTGATCAACTGCAATATGCACAGCCCCAAAAGATCCTCTGCCAATCTCTTGCTTGATTATGTACTGGTTAATTCTGTGTTCAGCGGTGCCATCATCCTGGCTGGTCGTATACTCAGATCGAGCATTAAGCGTTTCCTAGGACTATTTGTGAATACGGATGATTCAAGCCCGAAAGAAGGAGAAAGGACGCTTGAAAGACAGCATTTACCTTTACTGGACGTCTGAATATAGGGTTTCGACGGTGGTGTCTTTGCGGGCTTTCAAAAGAAGGCGTAGAGCTTAAATGCAGGATGTTGGTTTAGCATGTTATAAGCTTCCAACTATCGAACCACCTCCAGGAAGCCCCGAACTGAGACGAAAATAGCCATGTATCTGCCTTCGGGGATAACGGGAAGTAAATAAACGAAAAGAAGAACTTACGCATATCGAGCCGGAGTTGGATGGACAAGCTGAGGATCTGGACGGGTTCCCGGTCCTTGACTAGCATCCTGCTGGGAAGAGCTAGCATTCTCGTTGGCCATTGAATAATCACACAACGGATTGCAGAAGCCCGAAGATGCGAAATGAAATCCTGCGGATATAGGAATGAAGTTGAGGTCCTTAGCGAAGTGTCTGTGAAACCTGGTTGCCTAGGCCAAATAATGTGGGGGAAAGATGGAGGGGCACAGCGTGCAAAGTAATAAAGCCGCAGAAAAACTCCTTCAGGCTAGGAATACAGAAGATTGCGAGCAATATCTGATGAGAATAATGTGGGATGTAGCTATGGAAATGATCTGGGTATACTCAACAGCGTTGTCGAGGTGTACGGTCAAAGAGGGGGAGAATAAAAGGGAAAACCGTCGGAGCCAAAAATACCCTGCCTGGATTTGATGCCTTGCGCAGATACATACAACAATGGCTTCACCAGACACTGTTTTATTCCCACCACCAGCTCAGCTCTTCTTTCAACTAAGTGGCAGAAACTTCTTTCTTTCTTGCTCTCTTTCTCTCTCCTCTTATTTCCTTCTCTCTGTACTACAACTCTTAAAAAATTTGATTAATGCTGTGAATAAATACTAAATTCCTCCGGAATCACTAATATACATAAACAGTGCTTTGTTCACCGCCCCCACAGTGTTCGAGCCCAGCCCAGCTCTCTGAAACAGCGACTAAGACAAACACTTACGTCGTACTTCCTTCGACTCATTCTTGTGCTACTGGCAACCAACGCAGCTTTCGATTCCAAAGTAACCACCAGTGTCTTGAGAGAGGCTCCGCTCAATTTCTTCCCCTTCAATCTATCATCAACAAGAGATTATATTGTCCAAATCTAGTCCACGTGGCTCCCGATCCATTGCCGCAATGGTGGTTTACTCCTTCTACATTTTTGATCGTCATGGTATAGCCCAACGCTCCAGCATCCAGCTCACCGGATGAGTTTACTGATAGTTGTTGTTCTCATTGTTAGCTACATGTATATACAAACGCCGCTGGCTCCCACGTCCTACCTCCATCGTAGGCAAATCGTCACGGCCGAACTCCGAGACCCCTACGGTCACCAATGGACTTTCAAGTATCCCCGGTCAATCCGCACGAGCTGCAGATGATGACGCGAAGTTGATTTTCGGCACGGTATTTTCTCTCCGGAATATGGTTCGAAAACTGGGGGGGGAGGATGACAAGTGAGGACTCGGATCCTTACCTTGCGAGAAGAGCTCGTCATTGACAAACGGCCCCTATAGCTTCGTTACATACCGCACCAGCCAATATAAGCTTCACTATTACGAAACGCCAACAAACATCAAATTTGTTATGCTTACGGATCTCAAGAGCCCGAGTATGCAGGTTGCGCTGCAGCAGATCTACATCAATCTTTACGTCGAATATGGTAAGGAGTCGTGGGCAGTGAGAGGCATTTCATACACCGTTCTAACTCAACTTCACGTCAGTTGTAAAAAACCCGTTGTCTCCTGTAGAGCATCCCGGTGGGATTGGGGTTAACAACGAGCTTTTTGAGGAGTCGCTGGAGCAGTTTGTGGTATGGTTCTTCATTATTATGTGTTGATATTTTCTCACACCTCAGTAGACTCGCGTCCTTTCTTAATATCACACCAACCCCTGGATACAATCGGTTCCAATCGCTGCACGCTCTGATCTAGGATTTACCCTACGACCAGACCAGCACCGCAAACAAATACCTGGCAAAGGCCAGGCTCTTGAATTGCGCAAGACCACGCCGCAGCTATATCCGTTCGACGACTGCGAATTTCCCAACACAGTACTCAATAAGTCGATGTTCTAATCGGATATTGTCTCTACGTTATATATATATATGCGCACGGTCCAAGCAACACGCCATTAAGCTTCAGCTTGAAGCGAGCCTCCAATCGATTCGTGGAACTCATGACTCCATGGCTACTTTCTACACCTGTGTAGCTCTCACCCAAGCTATTCACCTCTCTCCGAATACCTACTTCTCGGTTTAACGATTGTACATACCATATTATGAATTATATTAATATTTAGAATAAAATATATAACTCTTCAGTTTTTTCCCTTCAATTCCACACGGTTTACGATACATCCTTAGGGACTTGGTTACTGGGTAGATAATCAACCGGCAGGCTTACGTAGCTGCTCGTTCCGCGTTAAACGATGAAGGCTGAATAGGATCATCGAAAGGATTCTCATTGCAAGGCATGTTTCCTTAACACATGAATCATTGTATAAAAACCACCGGGTGCAGGGCTGGTAACCATCTTCTTCATCGCATTTTTCTCTGGCTACTAGACTTACTTATCTATGAAGGAATGCAAGAGTGATTAAAAAATGATGTAGGACCCATACCCAAGCTTCAGCATGCCATTCTTGTGAAGAGTTAGAAGTACCTAGGATCCAGGGATTGTTTCTCTAAAAAAAAAAAAAAAAAAAAGGCGAGACTCCTCTCCGTGAAACCGGCAGGGGTCTATCCACTAGGTATGTATGTGCCAATCCAGAACTGGAAGATGAAACATTCGGGCATGATCTAGACTTGAGGTATATATCTCTACAGTATTTCAATACTCGTATTTAAGCTTAAACCCCTTCAGGCGGAATAAGTTTCCAAAGCGACAATTGCCGTACATACAGACGAGAGAAGATCATCCTGGATTAGATTTCACTCGAGCTATAAAGTAGAACAGGAAGTAGTAAACTCGAGGTCCAGTCAGCGCCTTGGTGGAATGGGTTGAATTGAATTGAAGGGATCCATTAACTGTGGCAATTGCACTTTGTAATTTGCAGATATGTATGTTTTGTATGTACTTACATCTTACCATGCACTGAAGAGACCTCTGTATGTATAAGAAGGCAACTTATTATGCGCAAGGAAGATAGATAGATGTGCAGGAGTGGAGCTGGAAGAGCTATATTTACTTTTTTTTTTTTTTTCCTTCTTTCCTTTCTTTATTTCCTCGGACTATTTTATGTACAGTATAGTATGTACGGAGTCGTCAGTAGTAGATCTTTTCCTGCGAACATACCTACATAGAAGATCTCTTACTAGATAGGTTCCAATCGGAATACCTAGGAGTCTATCTATTTGTATGGAGAGCTTCCCGGACTTGTATACGGAGTATTCTAAATTCAGGGACTTCTTCTTCTTCTTCTTCTGTGGTATATTTACCTCAAATCGAGTACTCCGTATCGGAGAACCCCGATTGCCCGCAACCCAGCACAAGCTGAAGAAAAGCCAAGAAAGCCGCAAGTGGCCAGAGGCTAGGAATCTGCATGTTTAATACCTGCGTAGGGTACGGAGTAGACAATTCACTGGTGAGAGAAAGTTATAGACTGACTGGCTGCTAAAGCTATAGTTTGGTTTGGTTCTCCCAAGATTAAGAACTTGACTTGGAAACATTATCATCTCACCTACTCGATAGGTATGTAGGTATATATGTATGTACTATACATGGTCAATTTATTCACTTGGTCTGTACTCTGTACTCTGTAAACTAGGTATGGAATAGCATAGGTAATCACACAGCTAACTACCTAGGTAACTATATTTATATGTACCACACATATATACATCTGATAGATCAGAATTTCATTTCATTTCATTATTTGGCTATTATTTCCACCGCTACTACCCATTACTCTGCAGACTATGTATGATACACAGTACACAAGTTGGGTTTTTGTGTGTAGCTTAATCGACAGAAGAACAAAGAAGAAGTAGAAAAAAAAAAAAAAAAAAAAGAAAAAAAGATGAGAAAGTGGATAGAGAGCTCGTGCTGGTACAAGTCAAGTCCCACTTTTCCCAGGGTTAGATTTTTCAAACAAGCAGCTTCGTCTTTCTTCCATTGAGCCCTAATCTGGTAAACAATCATAGAAATCAATTACAATCAAACAGAAACCAAGCCAGAGAGAGAAAAAAAAAATCTTGAATTCACTCTTAGTCTCAACCAAGAATGGTGTTTTGGCCGAGAAACAGAAACGAAGCTTGAACTAGTGTCGCCGTGTCGGTGGGTGTTGATTTGTCCAAGGTTCTCGGAGGGTTCTTGTTGTTCTCTTGGTATTCTCTCACCTCCACTCCTTACTACTTCGCACTCCGGACCCAGGCGGCGCAGATTTGAGCAGTGGGCACTGCCTGGTCCCTCCTCATCTCATCCTTGTACTGGGTAGTGAGTACACTTGTAAGTGTACGTACGTATGTATGTATGTATGTATGTATATACAGTATGTAAGTAAGTAATTCTGTACGTACACTCTGTACCTAATGGAGTTACCTACCTAGGTACTCCATATGAAGGAAATTAGTAGGCACTAATAATTAACCCTCCCCCCCTTTAATCTAACCTACAAAGTCGGTAAGGACAAATCCAAGAACAAGGAACCACTACGACGACCTGAGGCTTGTACTTCCGTCCGTCCCCTCATCTTGGAAGGAGGTTGAAAGACCGGATGGATGGATCCATCCCATCCATCCCACATGCCGGGCTTCATCCGTGGCTGGATGCGCGGTTTATTCTTCTACGCTGAGCCAATCAATCCACTGTGACTGCAAGTTCTTCTGCTTTGCTTTTATCATAAGAATGATTCTCCGGATACCCTTTTGTCTGTATAGGTAGACTAAAGATGTAGTAGGTAGGTTAACCGTTGGGAGTTGGTGGTGACAGACCAATTGACTAGAATGATTACCAGGTGGCAACTCGTCTTGAATCTGAGGCTACTTCATGATCGAGAAATTGTAACAAATATATCACCAGCTTTTGAGTTAAGCTGGTTTGTGTACACATTATGTGGCATGTTTATTTTTTTTTTTTTTTTTCTCTTTGAAAGGGCTAAGAGATCATCCCATACAATTGTGGTTTTAGATAGGTACCGGTACAGAGTAAAGTGGTGGTGGACACGCACCCCGTATAGAAAACCATAGATGGAAGTTTGGGGCTGGGGTCGGCCAGCCTTTCTTGGTACGCGGTCCGCAATAATACACGCTCGTTAGCTATTTAAGAGACTAGCTACCTGGTCCTTAGCGATAGTTGCTAAGTGCCTTTACTTTTATACTTTCCCCTGTTACTGTGTTGGGTATTAGAACTTACTCCGTAAAATAGAACCACTAACCAGCCATTAACCATTTTCATCCGGAGTAAATTGAGGTTCAGCCGATCGTTTCGGAACGACGGTCTAACTCTATTTATTGGTGGCTTTGAACGAGTCCTGAACCAAATGTACCTGATTGCTCGTCAACAGGCACTTAACTTGTTCCGATTCCCCCCAAAACAGACCAGAATAAAAGCTGGGGAAACGTTACCACTGAGTCCTCCTTGATGTTCGGTACCTTGCTCCGGCCTATGGTTAGATAGAAGCAAGGCAGAGATTACCTTTTCGTTTGTTCGTGATAGCAAGCCGACAATTGGCTTTTTATGACGCTACCGAGTATGCATATGCAGCGAGAACCAGGGTGCGGATCCCCGAAAGCTCAAGGAAAACCCAAGGGCAAGGCAAGCCCGCCAGGGCTCAGACCAGATTGCAATATCCGTCGTACCGGCAAGTAATAGAAACTGTATGCTGGGTGCTCATCGGATTCCAACGTCTTTTCTGGGAGAGCTGGCCACAGGAAGTGAAAGTAAGCGCGAATCCTTATATACTCCCAATAGCCGTTCCCTGAAGAACGAAGGATTTCTTTCAGAGGCTGAGGAAGAGAAAAGATGAACCAACAACAGAAAAGCATCCCGAATACCCCTGTCTGTACCTTCTTCCACCTCTTGTACAACTGGAGTGATTGAAGTGGACGTCCTAGGACACCCGAACCGCGATGAACACTGAACAGCCTGTACAAGACCCACTCCTCGCATCGTGGTAAGTAATACTAATACTCCGTACCCCCTTCGACAGGACCGTTTTTTTGCCTTTCCTCTTTGATCTCTCCCCTTTTTTCCTTCGAGAATTATTGGCCCAAAAAATCCCTCGTCTCAATCTGAATGGTTCCATGCCTGGCGATGTCGATGTTCTGTACTCCGTACGTCAAGCGCAGAACAGCTGTTGACGCCAAACGGCTTTCCCAATACTGATTATGGAGCAAGTAGCATAGTGTGAACAACAGCGATATCGAATATACAGAGGAAGAATCGGTTCTGTAGCTACTACGCCTGGTTTCAAGGCATCCTCTCCTGTTCATTTGCCCAGACCCCGGATACGTACGCCAGTGGCCGAGGTATTGGATATCCACCTCATTTGGTAAAATGGAGCCGACAGAAATCGTCGCAAGACCAGTGGTAGGTAATTTAGGAAAAAGAGATGCACACAAGACACATTCACCTGTAAAAATGGAAAAGCATCTATCACTGGTGAATCTGGCTGGAAAACACACTCGCCTTGCATCATAGAATTGCTTTTTTTCGGCTAGGAACTTGAGATGCTTGGGACCGTCTGCTGAGAAACAATCCGGTCCACGGTCAGCCAAAAGGACAACTTTCTTACAGAGTACATTCGCCTAGTTAGTTAACACTAGTTAACTATCTTCGAGGTCTGACACATGCTGACCCCACACGGATCCCCAACCCAATAAGGCCATGTGCATGCCTCAAAAGTTTCCCGTTGTCCACCAGCTTCCCCATCTGTAAAGAAATCTAGGTATGATCTGATCACAGCTGCACGTGAGAAATAAAAGTATCGACTGTGCAGTCATTCAAGGAGGTCAAAAGCAAGTGACCAAAAGCTATTTTTGACGTAAGAGGTATAATGACGGGATCCCTATTAACCCCAGGTATCGTTGCTGGCTCATCAATGGAACAGGGGGTCCCCAGGTACATGATATCTAGCAAATACAAAGTACCTAGGTAGTATATCCGTTATGTAGTTGAAAATGTTCCCCCTCCTATAGTAGTCAAAGAAAAGAGGAGCACTACTCCGAAGGAAGTCAGTCAACCGTCAACGTACAGGAGTAGGCCAGTTTAACAGAACCCGCTCTAATCAATACGAGTCAATCTCGCAAAAAAAGTTGAAGAGAGAATCAATCCCCTTTGGTCACCAACCAAAAAAAAACCCCCCTTCATTTCTTGTATTCTGTTTAAAAAAAAAAAAAAAAAAAAAAAAAAAAAAGGATCGCCCACTCTCACCCCAATCCTTCTCAAGGCTACCTACCCCTCAGATGTCTTGAAGGAGATACTTGGCGGGAAGTGAAAAGCTCTCTCGGCCTGCCGCCACAGTCTGTAGCTTGAATAGTGAGTTAGCTGACAATACGGAGTACTAGTGGCCTTAATCAAAGCCACTACTGAAGCCATCTGCTCCTGTAGGTGATGATGATGTGCGGGGACAAGGGTTGGATCAATCATTACTGCACAGCCTCAATCTGATTTAAAGTCGTCGTGAGTTCAACTAGGTAATAACTAACCACTTCTTTGGTTCAAATGGGTTCCCTCTCTCTTGCTCTTTCTCCAATCCTTCTAAGAGAATCAAGAGCAAAAGAGGAGAACGTCACCCGACTAGCTTTTTTCGGGAATTTTTTTTTTCGCCAGAGATGGGACAGAGAAATAAACAATTTACTCCGGCAAGAGACAACACACCACCCAACTCCGCTGGATCTGCTAGCTCAAAGTAAACGCGGGAGGAGAGCAGACCCAACGCTGGATCCAAGGATCTTCCGCAGTATTCGGAACAGTGGTCAGGTAATAATTTGAGGGTGAAACAATCATTTCACAGTCTTTCGTTACAGGAGCTTTCTAGAAGGGGGGGAAGACTGACCGCGCGCCACCTTTATATTTTCCCTTACTGGCTGGTATGATTAACAATTAACCAAGTAACTAGTAACTGACTATTCCGAGCTGAGGAACTGGAAATCTGAGAGGCAGCAATGGAAATTGAAACGAAGATATTATTGAATTATTGTTCATCCCCCATATTAGTTTAACTAGCTCCTAGTTGACCACGTTGAAATTGGAGCGGAGTCGTGGCTGGTATGGTGTACATACGGAAATACTCGCATGAACTATCGAGAAAAGCCTCGAAATAGGGTATCACACCACCACCTCTGTCAGGAAGAAGGTGGAAAAAAAGGATTTGTCAGTCGGTGATCGTGATTAGTTATTGATAGGAAAAGAAACCGCGTAACTCGTCAAAGAAGAAACTGGTTCTCTCGATCGGTAGCCGTAGAAATCCCTACAGAGGTGTGGCTGCAACGGTAAGATACCATACAGATACAATACGTGACCGGCCGGCTCTTTCTGGTCAGAAATCTGGGGCCTGCGGACGGGGAGGCGGTAACGAATAATACCAGAGCATCCGACTCAGAAACCCATCATCGATTCGACGACCCTCGAAGGGAAATAATTTAATGGTCCCCTCTGAACCCGGTAACGAGTAGTTAGTCTTTTGTTTGTTGTAAGTTGTAAGTTGAAACCAGGTAAATGAGATACCGTTTGGTTTCCCACAATAAGAAATTATTTTATCGTGTTGCAAAACCCATTCCACACTGCTATTGTACTACTACTTACATACATTCCTGCAACCAACTACTATCTATACTTACTTACATACACTACACCCCCCAGCTGCGCACTACCACCACCTCCCTACCGTCTACTATTTCAACCTCCTTGCCCCAGGAGGCAAATCATCCTTGATCCCTCCATCCAAATTGCTTTTCAAATCATCCGGTGCTCACTACTACTTCTACTACTTACACAACTTCCTCCCGTTACAAAATTCAGTCTTCATTTAATTCAACTGCCCATCTAAAAAGACTATATCCGCCCAAGACCCGGTACTCTGATTCTCCACTGTAGTAGTACCGTCTCCATCTTAGATTTCCGTGCTCAGTTTTGCGGTCCCTCTTTTTTGGCTTTTTTTTTTCTTTTTTTTTTCTTCTTCTTCTTCTTCTCTTTTCTTTTTCCTTAGCTGCTCACAGTTGCATTGGCGCTTGTGCACTCCCCAAAAAAGTCACTTCCGTCACAAACGCATGTTGCCTCAGGCCACCACCGGCCACCACCGGCGCAGCCACCACGACTTTTTTTTTTTTTAAATTATAATTTCGCTTTCACCCTCCCTTTCCTCCATTCCTCCTTCATCTCTCAAAACTTCAAGCTCTGGTCTTTCTGGCCTTTCAGCCTTGTGCTGTAGGCTTCATTTTTTTCTTCTTCCATTTCTTTCTCCTATCTTGTCACGGGGGCAAATTCTCACCCTTTGTCCACCGTGCTCTTCTACTTCTAATTACCGCACATGACTCCACCATCTGTTTCTCCAGCACCTTCCGCACTCTCCTCTACTGCAACATCTCAGATTTCTAGTGACCATGGAGAGCGACAGGTAACACAGGCTTTGGCGGGCATGAAATTGTCCACTGTGAATGGGGACAGCTTTGCCGCACCTCATCCAGTTACGAACAAGCCCGCTAAAACAACCATGGCAAACCGCATATCTCGCATGTTCTCAAATACCGGGAGATCAACCCCCAAGGAGTCAGAATCACAACGCGAATTTTCAGATAGCAGCTCGGACAGCATGAGATCGCCCTCCAATGGCAGCATCAAACCCCTGAAACCTACCTCCAAGCCTCCCTCCAGAGCTCCGTCGCGACAGACATCGACAAAGGATTCGACTGAGAAGAAGGCAAAGCCGACTGGCGCCAAGGACCAGAAAGAAGGATCGATTGTACACAAGCGCTTCGAAATTTCCCCGGATAACACTCACTACCATCATCTAAAAAGCACCAGACGACAAGAGAAGCTTACCGACCTCCTTCGCGACATGCTCGGTGGCGGCAGGAAAAAGGACGACCACGCAGACGATCAGCAGTTGTCCCTGATGTCGACCTGGATTGACCAATTCAAAAACGAACGCGACAAGTTGGCTGCCGACAAGAAAGGCGGGCCCAACGCGACCGCGTCTCTAGTTGATAAATACGGGAAATGTCAGGAGATCGTCGGACGTGGCGCGTTTGGCATCGTGAGGATATCTCACAAAGTTGATCCCAAGGACTCTCGGATGGAGCAGCTCTACGCAGTGAAGGAGTTCCGCCGCCGTCCTCAAGAAACCAGCAAAAAATACCAGAAGCGTTTGACTTCTGAGTTTTGCATCTCATCCTCTCTTCGTCACCCTAATATCATTCACACTCTTGATCTTCTCCAGGACGCCAAAGGCGATTACTGTGAGGTTATGGAATATTGTGCTGGCGGTGATCTCTACACCCTTGTGCTGGCTGCAGGAAAATTGGAGGTTGCCGAAGCCGATTGTCTCTTTAAGCAACTTATGCGTGGCGTGGAATATATGCACGAAATGGGTGTCGCTCATCGTGATCTTAAGCCCGAAAATCTGTTATTGACAACGCACGGTGCTCTTAAAATTACAGATTTCGGAAACGGCGAGTGCTTCCGCATGGCTTGGGAGAAAGAAGCCCATATGACTGTAGGACTTTGTGGGTCTGCCCCCTATATCGCGCCCGAGGAGTATACCGAAAAGGAGTTTGATCCTAGGGCCGTGGATATCTGGGCAACCGGCGTTATCTACATGGCCATGAGGACGGGGCGCCATCTCTGGAAAGTCGCACGCAAGGATGAGGATGACTTCTACCGACGGTACTTGGAGGGCCGTAAGCATGAGGACGGTTACGCCCCTATTGAGACTCTCCATCGGGTAAGGACTGACCGACCTTGGCCATCCATCAAGACCTCTAGCTAATTCTTATTTCCAGGCTCGTTGCCGTAACGTCATCTATTCCATCCTCGACCCAAATCCTTCTCGTCGCATCAACGCGTCCCAGATCTTGAAATCCGAATGGGTTCGCGAGATCCGACTGTGCCAGGCTGGCGAGGAAGGCTACTAATGTCTTAATCTACGCAGGGTGCCGTAGCCCTTGCTTGAGTGGCAGGATTTGTATCCGGCAGGGATCATTTGTCTGGGCTGGTTAATCTGGCGTTGGTCCGGTCCCTGTAACCTCGGGATAGTCGTACACTTCCTGTCTGCCTCCTTTTTGTGTGATAGAAATGGGTGGTTATGTGTTTCTCCCTTTCTTTCCATGGTGCGAGGTTCCAGTCCTCTTCTTAAATGTTCCATAGAAGGAGGACTTTTGATCTTTATACAGTTATGCCAGTGCATGTCTCTGTTTTCTTCTCTTTCTTTTTTTCTTGCTCGCCTATACCTAGCTTTATGGGTTTAATCTGGTCGCCACGTTCTCATGCCAATGCAACGAAGGAGTCATGACCTTTTGACTAGATATTCCTTTTGCTTTTTATCTCTCTGCCATACTGGCCACATATCCTTCAGCATATGGTTTCTCTTTTTTTTTTTTTTTTTTACCTTGCTCCTATACACTTTTACTTTATTTTTTGGTCAATGTGCATGATCCAACTCATGCCTGGTTTCTGCTGTGACTACTTGCTACATCATGCTGTGGTTTGTGGTTTCTTTTCTACCTTTCATTCCGATTTGTATTTCTACTTGCTCTTTTTGCCTTTGGTTTTTTTTTTTTTTTTTCATCTCTTCTATGCCTGTTCATTCCAGTTGGACACTTGAATTTGTGACCGGTGTCGTCATAGTTTCCCCTCGTTGCGAGGTACAGACGAACAGTACTGCCACATGTATGTATGACTTACGAATATGACCACATACTTCACGACCAACTTGGTTTCCTTACATCTTGTATGTAAAGTATACTAGGTACTAATATAATCTTGATCTCATCATCGTCATCATCATAGTTGTACTCTCTGTTCAGTAATAGCACTCGGTACAAATATAAGATCGCCGATCATTGCATCATAGTCATTATTCACTCGCACATAGTACTAGTAGTAAGCTATACTTTACCTTCCTATGCGTACTCCTACTCCGTAGGTATTAACTCATCATAACCCTCACATTGTATCACATTACCCTTGCAAAAGAGCGGGAAACTGAAGTAAGGCTTGAGAATGTACTTGTACTACCTTCTTCTTTCCGAGCTTGCCTCCCACAATACGCAGTACAGTACTACTACTATGAACATGAACATGAACATGACAGTATGTTTCTCTGCATAGACTTCTTATCGGTGAAGATGGTATCTCATGGAATCTGGAAGAGAATCAACACAATGAATACTTCTATATGGGGCCTGTATAAGCTTGAGCTTTGAAATTTTGTTTAATCTCTCAGGGTTTATAGATGGCATTCTGGTTATGGCCATGCCATGGTAGGTAGATGACTGAAGTCCAGTGATGAGTAAATCCCTTCCAACTGTAGTTATATAATAGCATACTACCTTAGTATAACTAGCAGGTAGAGCAATACTAATTACAATAATAGCACCTCTGTAGTAATAGTACTTACGCAAGTCAGATGCAAGGGGTCTTTGCCCGATGCCCCTGGCAAGGTGAGATAGATACAGCATCGGATATCCAGTGCTATTCGAGAATTCTAGGACCTAAAACATATCAGCCAGTCAGCATACAGACTGTTACTGCTTCAAACAAGCAAGTCTATTATTATGCTGCTTGTTCCTCCTCCTCGTGCATGTGCATGTGCCTGCTAAGTTGAGGCGTCGTCCAGCAGGGCTGATAGAGCACCAGCCATTAACTCGTTACTATGTCAAGTGAGGGAGCTGAAAGCTTTGTGAATTATAGCAAAGAACTAATAGTAGTTACCAAGTACAAGCAGCTGTATCTTGCGGTGAAACATTTGCTAGTACAGGGTAACTAACTAGTTAGTTAGCTTACAATTGCTTTTTGCTTCTTCCTCGCCTTCCTCTTCCTCTCCAATTTTTTGGTCTCTTTTTTTTTTTTTAGCTCCTTCATCCCGAATCTTTCCTTATTTTCTTCGTGCTTGTTGGCCCTTTTTCTTGGCATCTCTTCAGCCACTACTACCTAGTACGCAGTGCGTGCGGAGCCCGGGATTGAGTATTATCTTGATCTGGAATGGGGTGGTGGAGTGTAACCAAGACCAGGCAGCACAATTTCTAGAGATATTAGAGCCCGGAGACAATGCAATACAGAGACATGGTAAGGACCGGTAATGGAGGAGAATGGGAGAAATATATGCAGCCAAGTCAACCCATCTGGGTCCGGACAGCCTCACCTCTCCTACAACTCATACGCTGGCGGCTGTTGAGAGGTCGCCCGCCAGTTTGATAGGATTGTCCAGCCCTCAGTACTCCGTAGTATCCACACAACCTGATAGGACAAGATCGAACTCGGAACGACAAAAGAGATGATCGCGGAAGGCTGTGATTACGTGCTCTCGTAGGGCTGTAGGTAGGATAAGCACCTATTTTTCTTGTGGGTGAAGTGTGAACACTCAGGGTCTAGGGGGGGCTCATGAATCTCGAGCAGACACGGACGGTACTTACTTACGTCGTCCACTACTCCGTATACTTTTCATACTCCGTGGATCCTCGGGAAACGGTTCGGAAAGAATTCAAGCGGTCTATCCGTTCCGTACCATCGGATCCAAGCCGGAGGAGCCAACTCATTAATAATACTCTCTGCCACTCTGTACCTAACTTAGTTAACTAGTTAACTAGTTAGTTATTCACTACAGAGTAGAACCAACCGGAATCCGCGCTTCCCGTATTGCTCGTACTCAGTATAGGCTGCAACAGTTTCTTCTCATGACGTAGTTAGGTATCTTATAACGAATGTCAAAAAAAGCCATTGGTCTCGGAAAGCTATCTGTATTTTTGGTATTTATTTTCGGTATTGTACTGAAGTATTTTTTTCGTAGGGCTGTAAGGCTGTTCCGTATTGAAATTACACCACCTCTCTTACTGTATCTGTTAAGTTACATACTTACTCCGTACAGAGTGGTACATTTACATCCTGTGTGGCTGAGTTGATCATGTCTTGCGGTGGGACGGAAATCATGCTATGCTCGTTTTCATCATAGGCGAGAGAGTGGCACAGTCAATAGTTCTAGCAAGTCACTCGGTCCAACCTCGCTTGAAAGGAGGCATCTGCCCATCTCTAGCTAACTACTAACAACATCAGGTCTCGCTTGTTCAGATTCCACTTCCTTCTCCAATATTCGTTCCATGATACTTGACAAGTCCAGCAGTGATGGATTCGATAATAGTGCTCAGTGACTGTACAGATAATGAAGCCCGTTCTCACTTACATACTCGGTTGTTTCGCCCTCTTCAACTGATCACGAATGGCATCGATTACCGCTGCGCTGACAAGGATTGATCCAGTCGAATCTGGGTGCGATCAACCCGGTTGTCTTCGATAACATCACATTGCAGCAGCACCCAAGATACTTGGAGAGATTTCTTTTTCGCAGATCGAGACGAGCACTCAGCTCACCTGGTCGAGTGAGACCTGAAACTAAGGACAGGGTAACAATGTACTACAAGCAGGGAAAGAGTCTCACTCCTGCCAGTCCATGTGGAGGGTAGTAGCCAAAGGCACTCTCTCCTCTGTAGATGATGATGATGTCTACGGCTATTTGGCCGGTGATAGCAGACTATTCTGCTAGAAAGAATGAAAAAGAAGGACACAGTTAGGATCCCGACGGCTGAGAAGGTTTGGTTAGGGTCAGGGCTTTGCAAGCCACCCGCCAATACTGAGCCACCAAACCTAGCCTATATTGATCTTGATAATAAAGTGACTTGCTATCTAGAAGATTGGAAGGTGAAGTTCCAGAATGGGTCGAGAGCATCTTCTCTCAAGAAAAGTATTCTGCTTTATTAACTACTACCTACTGGTAGTACTTACAGTGTTCGTAAATAGTCAACAGGATTGGTTGGTTGGTACATTCAAATGGATGTATTTTTTCCCGTACCATACATACCGTCACTTGTAATAAATGCACAGCCACATTCCACACAGCCACTGGAAGGAAGAGCATCATCATCAACCATTCAAGCCCATCCATCCCGCACTAGCATCTGGCGCTTGACTTCCCCTCCGCCCTACAACATCTCCTTCACTTCACTCCCTCCGACTCTTACCGCCCCTTATTACATACCCTGCATATTCTTTGAGGAATAGGACTCGATAGTATACCCCGATAACAATCCTTATTCTGGAATCGCAACCCGACCGAATCCCGTTCTCAGCCGTCCGCCAACATAACATGTCTTGGGCAGGTAGGCTTCATTCTTGATACCCAGGACTTGTTTGAAGGGAAGGCTGACTTATATATCTCTTTTCCCCGTTTAGGATTCAAGAAGAATGTTAACCGCGCTACGACGCAGGTGATGATGAAGACGGGTATGTTTTCTGTCTCACTCGCCTTGCCCCGCTACACCATGAGAACGAAGATGGAACGAGACGCTCCCTAAAGGGCGCGTAGAATACGGGGCATTGGGATAATAGCTGATACTGGTGATTCCACGGTACAGGACATGTTGAGAGGACGAATGATCGTGATTACGAGATTGAGGAGCGGTATGGCATGCTCTCAGTGTTCACTTGGTGGAGGTCAATTTTGCTGATTGGTGCTGGCGTAGACGGTATCGGACGATGGAAGCCGCCGCCAATCGTTTACAGAAGGAAGCTAAGGGCTACCTTGACTCTTTACGAGGTAATTTTTTTTTTTTTTTTCATGTTGCGGACGAACAAATACGACGACGATGACAACGACGGGTGCTGATTCCTTGGCCTTGAATAGCGATGACGGCTTCGCAGATGCGGATTGCAGAGACTATCGATGCCTTTTACGGCGACGCCGGCGCACATGATGGTGTGAGCCGGAGCTATAAGCAGGCTGTTGAGGATCTTGACGCTGAAACTATCAAGGCATTGGATGGTCCTTACCGGTACAACATATGCTGACACCCAAGGCGATGTCTTGCGCTAATCGTTTCCTATAGAGCAACCGTCCTCGACCCGATTTCCCGGTTTTGTGCCTACTTCCCTGACATCAACGAGTGTATTAAAAAGAGAAACCACAAGCTGCTTGACTACGACTCCATGAGAGCCAAGGTGAAGAAGCTGGTCGAGAAGCCCGACAAGGACGCTACGAAGTTGCCCCGCACCGAGCGCGAGCTGGAGATGGCCAAGCAAGCATACGAACAGCTGAACGAGCAACTGTTCACGGAACTCCCTCAGCTCATCGATCTGCGCGTTCCCTACCTGGACCCGAGTTTCGAGGCGCTGGTTAAGATTCAACTTCGGTTCTGCGCCGAGGCATACTCGCGTATGGCGCAGGTGCAGCAGTACCTCGATGCGGAGACAAGAGACCAGTATGCTCGGGGCGATCTGGACAACCGAGTAGAAGAGGTACTGCAGCAGATTCGGGATTTGAGCATAGCGGGCACTGTTTAATGATTCTGGTTTCGGTGTACGATGGTACTTGCTGCTTTTAGCCCTTGTTATAATATTTTATTCTTACGACTAAATGTTTACCTATCTCATTTTGTACTCTGTTGGGAAGTTTGTAATATAACTTAAAGAGGGGAAAAAAAAAAAAAAAAAAAAAAAACAGCTTTCAATTGCTTGGGTATCTCTCTATACATACTTATACATCTGATTTACACCCGATAAATCTCATCAGCCAAAACATCCACCACCGACCCAGCCGCCCTGCGCACCGCATCCAACTCCGCCGCATCCATCTCCGCAAGCACATAATCGGCAACCTCCCCGCGAACCCGACTATCCGGCCGCCCAATGCCAACCCCAATCCGCAGAATAGAGAGCCCCAGTCCTCCCCCATTACCAGGGTGACGGCGACCACTAGGGTGATTCTTCTCTTTGCTCTCTTTCGGCGGATAAAGGCCCTTCCCGCGCAAACTCTCCATAATACTAATCAACCCCCGATGCCCACGCAAACTAGCCACTTCGGGCCCCCCACGCTTCACACGAACCCTCCCCAGCGGCGCCTCCAACTCATCATGCAGTATCACAAGCGTAGGCTGGAACGTCCGCAACGAGCACGGCTCAACCCCGCCCTGGACGGTCTCCGCGAGGACGACTTCGGATTCCGTGGTGGAGAGCCAGGCGCCCAGTTGTCGGATGAGTTTCGGGCCGGATTCGTTCATGTATGAGGGGCTCCGCCAGGTCTTGTAGAAGAGCGGCGTTGAGGTGGTGGTGGAGACGAGGGGGAAGCGCGCGGGGAGGAGAGGGATCACGGCGTCTAGGAGGATGTGGCCTGCGCTGTGGCGGGTTGAGCGGTAGGGATGGGGGTTGCCGATTGAGGCGATGAAGAGGAATCGACGCGGGGGTTTGAGTTGGGTCATGGTTTTTTTTTTTTTCCTTCTTTCTTTGCTCGTGGAGGATGTAGTAGTAAAAACGTAGTAGGTACGTATGTACTAGATTTCCCTTTCCATCCAAAGTGCTCCCCTCGCCGCTTTTACCAAGTAGAACCGAGCAAGTCTAACAACGAAAAAATTACAGATATATCATATTCTCAAAATTTTCTCTGTACTTCAAGTTTTAGGTAGAGAGGAAGAATGTGGTGTTGGAGAGATTTTATTGAGGAGTGTGGATAAATAGTATTTTTTTCTCTCTCTTATGATGCATGATGAATGGAATGTATTTTAATATAGAGATAAAAAAATAATACTTTCCAGACTATAGCCAAGATTTTATATGTACATAAATTATTATATATACATCTCTTATTATGGACTCCGTAACTTAGTACTTTGTAGTTCTTGTACTAACTACAACTACTCCGTACACTGACAGAAGGAATGGTATTTGAAACAAGCCCAACTTTTTTAAAAACCAAACTCCAGTCATAAGAATGCAATAATGTAGAAGGGGGAAAATCACAATTGGAACTTCGTCCGTTGCTTCTCCATACCACCCTTCCATTCCCATTCCTGTCCACTTGCCCGCTGAATCCCTTTATCCACACGACGAAGCTTCAGCGTAAAGCGCGGTCCAAGCTCTTGAAGACCAGTGCGGATCCACTCCGCACCTTTGATTTCCTTGCCGTCCGTGCCGACAACGCTTTTTTCTGTTTCGCGCTTCTCGCGGAATACGTACCGGTGTCGACGCACGAAGATGTAGTCTCGTTGGTTGTGGAGCGTGACGACCTGGCGCCCCTGGATGTCTGGCTGTGGCGGGAACAGCGTGCGGAAGAGATGCGCCGTAAGTAACCCCAGCGGCGTGCGGAAATTGTTCAGGATCAGCTCGGGCCAATGCTCCGTTGGGTTTCCGTGACCGGGAATCTTCTTCCCTTCCACCCAGTTGCTGATCGAGAAATGGAACATGGGCCCCTTGGGCAGGTGGACAATGTCCAATCCGGCTGGCTTCTTGGAGTCTTCCTGCAGGATAACCAGCGTAGTGTAGTTCCTGTTCGAAGCGAACCCGGCGATCTCCCGGATCGAGAACTTGTGTGAATGCGCATGCGCAGAGCGGCGGATGTAAACGCTGTTGGGGAAGAGATTGGTGAGGATTTCGGCCTCGTGATGGAGAGTGGAGTTGAGCGACGTGGTAATGAGGACCTTGGGCGGGCGTTGGGATTCGGGGGAGAAGAGTGAGGGGAATTTCGCGGCGAGAGCTTCGGGGGCAAGGTTCAAGTTTGTGCTTCGTGTTGATTGGGATGGACTGGTCGCGCGCTCTGTAGCTGAAGGGATCGATGAAGGTTTGCGTCCACGAGCGCGGTTGTTGTCTGCATCCTCCTTGTCTTTTTCGTCCTCGTCGTCACTGCTGGCGAGCATACTGTCGGCATCGTCGTCATCATCGTCATCGTTTTCGACCTCAGAAGCATCTGAATCCGAGTCCAAAGGGCGGTTCAGCTCCTCCTCCTCTTCCTGTTTTTGTCGCTTGATCCGCTCAACGTCCACGCTTACGCCAAGTGCATCCTCCACATCACTGTCTGCATCATCCCACACTCGTTTCCGTTCCAGAGTCAATGGGATATTCTTCCGGAGACGTTCCTCTTTCAGCTTAGGGTTTTTGGCCTCGTCCTTTTTAATTCCAAATCGTCTGGCGCGGTGGGCGGAATCTTTGGCACGCTTGCGCTTGACATGGAGCATTTGGCGCTTCAATTTGTTGCGTGGCTTGAAATCCAAGCTGAGGCTCGAAGGGCCCTGAGCCAGGGACTTTTTAACCGCCATACTGAACAGGTTCAGAGGTGCTGATGAATATGATATTGTCTTTTTCTTGAATTTTCCTTTTCCCAAAAAAAAAAAAAAAAAAAAAAAGAGTTGATCGGAGATAAAAATCGATGGAGAAAAGTTTCACCGGCGGTAATGTTGTATTGTATTAAGATTACTTGTATGGTAACTAATCTGTACATGATTCGATTTGCTGCCTTCATGGAAACAACATCATCATCATTCAATTGAATTTCCACAGTCGGCTGTAGAACAGCATTCTTTCATCTTCGGTCAATTCGTTGATAAATCTCGCATTCCCTCTTCGTTTTCATCTTGATCCGAGTGCTCTACCCCTAATCCTCCCTCTTCCCTGCTCGTGGACTGCGTTTCAGCGTTTCAGCGTTTTTCTCCCTGATAAAACCCAGGGAGCCGCTCACGTGTCGGCGGATGACTCAATCATCGCCGATTCGATTTCTTTTTCTTCCCCGCCGAATATTTTCCTGCTGGAACCCCGCCAACAGAACAAGACACTTTTCCTCCTCGCCCTCCACCCTCCGCGCCGCTGTTCAGGAGTCCAAGAAGCAGAAGAATCTGACAATGGCTACTCTTAACACCAAGGCCGGCCAGGTCGTCGACCGGACCGTCTTGGATTCTATGCTTCGCCGCCGTCTCTTCTACACCCCCGCCTTTGAGATCTATGGAGGTGTCTCTGGTCTCTACGACTATGGCCCACCCGGATGCGCCGTTCTGAACCACATTGTCGATCTATGGCGGAAACACTTCGTTTTGGAAGAGGATATGCTCGAGGTTGACTGTACCATGCTGACCCCGCACGAGATCCTCAAGACTAGCGGCCACGTCGATAAGTTCGCCGACTGGATGTGCAAGGACCCTAAGACCGGTGAGATCTTCCGCGCCGATCACCTGGTGGAGGAGGTGCTCGAGGCCCGTTTGAAGGGGGATAAGGAAGCTCGCGGCCAGAAGGTCGTGATCGACGAGGAGAAAGAGGCGAAGAAGAAGAAGAAGGCCAAGAGCCAGGCCATCAAGCTGGATGATGCGCTTGTCAAGGAGTACGAGGAGGTGCTGGCGCAGATCGATAACTTTGATGGCCCCGCGCTCGAGCAGCTCATCGCCAAGTACGATATCAGAAACCCTACCACCGACGGCAACCTCCTCCCACCCGTGGCCTTCAACTTGATGTTCCAAACCTCAATTGGACCCAGCAGCAACATGCCCGGCTACCTGCGGCCCGAAACCGCCCAGGGACAGTTCCTGAACTTCCAGAAGCTGCTGGACTTCAACCAGCAGGCCATGCCCTTCGCGTCTGCCTCCATTGGCAAGTCGTTCCGTAACGAAATCTCTCCCCGTGCCGGTCTTCTGCGAGTTCGTGAGTTCCTCATGGCCGAAATCGAACACTTCGTCGACCCCGAGGGTGGAAAGAAGCACGCCCGCTTCGAGGAGGTCAAGGATACCGAGATGACGCTGCTCAACCGGGATATCCAGCTGTCTGGAAGCACAAAGACCGAAGTGATGACCATTGGCAAGGCTGTGGAGATTGGATTGGTGAACAATGAGACCCTTGGATACTTCCTTGCCCGTATCCAGATGTTCCTGCTGAAACTGGGCATTGATCCTTCCAAGCTCCGATTCCGTCAGCACATGGCCAACGAAATGGCGCATTATGCCGCCGACTGTTGGGATGCTGAACTGCACACCAGCTACGGCTGGATTGAGTGCGTTGGCTGCGCCGACCGCAGTGCTTATGATCTGACTGTCCACAAGAACAAGACTGGTGCGCCTCTGGTTGTCCGTGAGACTCGTGCAGAGCCATTGAAGGTTGAGGAGTGGCAGATCGACCTGGACAAGAAGAAGTTCGGTCCCCGCTTCAAGAAGGACGGCAAGACTGTTGAGGCCGCTATTGAGGCTCTTTCTCAGGAGCTCCGTGAGAAACTGGCTCTTGACCTTGAGCAGTCCGGTAAGATTGAGGTTGAAGTGGAGGGTGTGGCCTTTGGCAAGGTTGAGCTGGACAAGGAACTCATCAAGATCGAGAAGCGTACTCGAGTTGAGAACGTCCGCGAGTACACCCCCAATGTCATTGAACCATCCTTCGGTATTGGCCGTATTCTATACAGCATGATCGAGCACGTGTACTGGTACCGTGAAGGAGATGAGGCTCGCGGTGTAAGCAGCACACCCTTTTCCCTTTTCCATGTTTCCTGGTCTAACTAACATGTGTCTAGGTTCTGTCCTTCCCTCCTCTCATCGCGCCCACTAAAGTCCTGCTGGTGCCTCTCTCATCTAACCCAGTTTTCCGTCCTTTGACACAGCGTCTGATGTCCAGCCTCCGCCGCATGGGTATCTCCAACCGTGTTGACGACACCTCTGCCAGCATCGGCAAGCGTTATGCACGTAATGACGAGCTCGGCACACCTTTCGGTGTTACTGTCGATTTCCAGTCCGTCAAGGACGAGACCTTTACTCTGCGCGACCGTGACTCCACAAAACAGGTTCGTGCCAGCGAGGCGGAGATCCTGCAGGCCCTCAAGTCCCTGGTGGAAGGTGAGGAGACCTGGGAGGACATCCGCAAGCGACTGCCCGAGTTTACCGGGCAGGAGGTTGATTAGATTAAGTAAAATTCCAGTGAAAGAGGTCTATATTATTTTATTTGGTGTTTCTTTCTTTCTTTCTTTTTCCCCCCCTCATTAAATCAGGGGACATTAAAATAAAGCGTATGGTAATAGAACTCTTTTTGTGTTCATATCTTTCAGGATTGATTGCCAAGATATCCAGGCCGAAACGTCATCCCGAATCAGTCCCAAGTAAATCAGCCGCCGCCAGTTGGCTTTAATACATTTCCACCTCCCTCCCTCTCCTGCTTCTTCCCTTCTCTCCGTCAAATATCCCTCTTCATTATCTTCGGAAGGGCGACGACGGTCCCCAAGATGGCGCCAAATATATCATCGGCTAAATTGACCCTTTCCTGTCCCTTGTTTGCCGCCGACTTTGACCCGCGCAACCCTGCGTTTCTGCTCGTCGCCGGAGGAGGAGGAGAGGGCCGCAGCGGCGTAGGAAACAAAATCGCAAGTCTACCCCTTTCTATCTTGTCTGGACAGGGCTGGCTAGGGCTATTAATAACATATTTGATAATAGGCTCTCCTAAATGCCTCTAAACGCCATGAACTCAGCGAGCTAGTCGACATCGAACTCTCACGAGACGAAGATTCCGTAACCTCCCTGGCCACGGCGCATGCGAACGATAACTCCATTGTCGCCCTAGCCGGTATAAACAGCTCTCTGGCAGAGCAGAAGAAGAACAACAACCAGCATCTACGATCCTTCCGAATCGACTACCCCCCACGACGGACCCAACCCTCGAAAGAAGCCGAAGAATCAACAGAAAAACGAAGCTCACATGCTAAGCCAGGGCGAACCACGGCTTTGTCTCGCACGTCTCTGTTTCGATCAAAGGCGGGGGGGGGAGCAAACCAGTCTACCGATACCTATCAGAGGATTTTGAGGCTTTCCCCTTGGAAGGATGACGAGTCGCCGCGCGTTGCCGCGATTGCTACAGGATTAGCTCCTTCGGGGGAGATCGTATTCTTCAGTGCTTATTCTCCCACCCCTGGTGAGTCCGATGTTATTGGAAGAATTCGTCTGAACGGCGACGAAGAGGCGGAGGATATCGATATCATAGCCCAGGATGACGAAGAGGGGAAGTTCGCTGTGGCATATACCAACGGCACGGAGGTGTTTACTTGTCGCATCTCTTCCGAGACCAGATCCAACGCTGCCCCGGATGTGACATGTGTTTATACACCAACCACCACCAAAGGCACGACGACACCAACTTCTAAGGGATCACGGCCCAAATTCCGCGCTCTCCGGTTCCTCTCCCCTACAACATTGCTACTTCTGCAGAATGCTCCAGACCGCAAGGGCTGTGAGCTCGTACTCCTAGATCTCCGCCCCGCGACATCGTCATCATCCACAACGTCTTCAGCACAGGTTGTCCACCGACACAAGCTTCGCAAATCCATCAAGATTGGACTTGGTCTCGATGTAAGCAACCTCGGAAAGAACCTAGAAAACCAACAGCAATCGATTATCGCCGTCTCCGGCAGCGACCAATCCATCGAGGTCCTCACCATCGACTTTGATCCCCGCCGATTACAGCGCACAGGAGCAGGGTACACCTCGTTCCGACCCTACACCACCCTCCGGGAAGTGCACCCTTTCTCTATGACCAAGATCTGCTTCTCGCATTTCCTCCCGCCCCCGCACCCCGTCGCCGCAGAGACACCTCCGCAATCCGTTAAGCTTGCCTCTGTCAGTATGGGCAACACCGTTGTGGTCCACACTTTCGCCCTTTCACCTATCCCGCCCTCCAGCCGGACACCGCGTTACGTTCTTGTCATCCCCGGTGAATCCGAGCTCTGGACCAACGCCTTCAGTGCCGTCGCCTCCCTCCTTTCTATCATCTTCGTCATTTTCCTCGTCCAGGCTTTCACTGAAATCAGAGGCGTCATGCCCCCTTATCTGGGTATCACCAAATACTTACCGCCAGATATCCGCGAGGCCATTGCAAGACCTTACGATCACCATATCACGCCTCCACTATTTCCTCTCCAACAAGAACAAGAAGCAGAGCAGCAGCAGCAGCAGCAGCAGCAGCAACAAGCTATGTCGGCTTCCGATTCTGCATCCTTCAGTGCTGGCTCTCAACACCGACCACTCCTCCGTGATATTATCCCCGATTCACCCGGATCCCTCTTTATCACATGCAACCCATCCACCAACGAGATCCTCGTCGAGTCAACAACCACCTCCACCACATCAAACGAACAAGCAGGCCCCGATTCGCCTCCCAAACACAGATGGGCCGACCTCTCCCCTTCCTCCCGCTCAACCTGGAAACAATCCCTCTCTAAAGCCGGACTGTTGGAGCCACAAAGCAATAACAATGCCGCCGCCGCTAGCAGCGAGGACGAAAGCATTCTCCAGAACATCCTCTTCGGCGAGTCATGTTTCTTCTCTGAAGAGCCAAGGGGAAAAACAATAACCGTTGTGTAATAAGTGGGAGGAAGAGTAATTTATGACAGTTTTGATTCACGCCTCTTTTTTTTTTTTTTTTTTTTTTTTTTCCTTCCCTTACATATATTGATATGGCTGTTTATTTATTTAAGATCAAGATTTTATTATTGTTATTGTTATTGTTATTGTTATTGTTATTGTTATTGTTATTGTTATTGTTATTGTTATTGTTATGTAGGTATGCATGTATGTATATATATGGTAGGGTAGCGTAGGGTATGGTATTAAGATTCGTCCCTTGATATTTAGTTATATATATTTTATTCTTGTCCAGTTCTGTGGGATTATGCATTTTGCTTGCCATTTAGATTGTAAAAGAACGTGAGGAAGGGAAGGAGAAACCCCCAAGACTAGGAAAGGAGGGCATTCTATTATTCTTCTTATTATATTATCTATTTGTTGGTTAGTTACTTGGTTGCCTGTCTGTTTTATCATGGATTGATATTTATATATATGGTATAAAGTAGTATCTATCTACTATACTACAGTAAAGTACATGCATACATATATATATATACAACAAGAATTGGGAAATCTTTCTTTCTTTCCCCTTCTACCTTCCTAAAAACTAACTTTCTCTCAGGATATCGGTCTGATCTATACTATGTATTTGGGGGGGGGGGGTTTTCTTTCTCACAGACCTATAGTATTGTGCAGGTTATAAACAAATTTATTTCGGTCATGGGCTCATCAGTGGAAAGAAATCCTATTTTCAAATAATATGTATGCGTATTTCTGACGAAGAAAAAGAGAAAGTGCAGCCAGCCACTCTGGAGAAGGAAGAGGGAAAAAAAAAAAAAAGAGGACACCAGCCATCATCAACGGCAAGAAAATGCATGCAAATCGAATTCTCGTTGGGTCATAACCAGGGCCAGGTATTGCATGAATATTAATTCAGTCCCAGCCAGAGCAGTACAAACATATGGTGAAGACATAACAAGGCTATTCACGGTTGGTGGTGGGTGATATGAGAACCAGAGTGAAAAAGCAGTAAAGGGGAGAAGGAAATAGGACACCAAAAGAAACGCCGAATTTATCAATACCAAGTCGGCAGGGATGGGAGAAAGGGAAATAGCTTCGTGGTTTGGATATCACTCGAGGCAAAAAAAAAAAAAGAAAAAAAAAAGATTAAAAACTTTGGGGCTACAATGTAGGTCGTAAGGGTCCAGCGAAATCATTCGGTGACACATAAATGTGGTCCATATGTGTGTGTGTGTGAGAGAGACAAGATTTGGTGTAAATCGTAAAGAAAGGATGGACATCGAGGGATGCAGGACACGCCTTCAACCACGGACGTCCAGTGCAAGCATTTACTGGCCATTGTTCTTCTTCCAGCGGAGCAATTCTGCGAGGCTTGCAAGGCTGCAGCCCATCTTGAGGAAGTCATGCTCCAACAATTCTTGGGCCGTAGCACGGCTATCGACCGCCACACACAAACAGACACTAAGGAAAGACTTCAACTCCTTGCTCAGCTTCTCAGGTGCCTTGAGTCGGGGAGTGCCGTTCGTAGCGATCAGATAGAGAGCTTTGAGAGGCTCCTCATTCAAATACGGAGGCTCGGATTCGATCATTTCAATAGCCATAATTCCCAGAGACCAGCAGTCAACCTTGGGTCCGTATTCTTTTTGCTTCACAACTTCGGGGGCCATCCAGTATGGAGTACCGACCATTGTGGCGCGCTTGTTCTTCGTCTCGGTCAGCTTAGCACAGAAACCGAAATCAGCTAGCAAAACAGGTCAGTATATCTATCTCCCATCCCAGGAGAGTTCTTTGAGCAAGACTCACTAATCTTAACATGGCCAGCACGGTCAAGAAGAACGTTGTCACTCTTGATATCACGATGGATAATGTTCTGGCTATGCAAGTGAGCCAATCCCTTGCAAGTCTAGCGAATTTGTGAGTAACCATTGTTTTTAAGTTTTCAGAGTGAGTGGACACAAACCTCGAAACAGATTGTGGAGATCTGATCTTCCTGAATAACCCGGTTGTTGTCAATAACATCAGTGAGAGCTCCTCCTTCCATGAATTCCATGACCACCCAAAGTTCATTGCTCTGTTCCTGCAAGAAGGAATCAAGGAAGTTCACAATGTTGGCATGCTGGCTATCCTTCATGACAATGATTTCGTTGACAATCAACTCCTTTCTGGGTTGGGTGCGCAGATCCATCTGTTTAATTGCAACCTGAGTTCGTGGACCATACTGTCGATAGAGTTCACGAGCAACTGGGGAGACAGCATTTTCCTTAACACGCGCAACATATACGGATCCGGAGGCACCTTGTCCAATCTTGCGCTGCTTGCTGTACGATTCGGTCGGGTTGTCCTTCGAAACAACGGACCGCAGTCGTTCCATTACCTCGTTTTCGCTCATGTTTGACATGCGAACTTCTCTCTTATGCGGATCGGCCTTCTTGTTCAGGGCAGCCTCCGCCTGGCGGACACCATCGGGAGGGTTCTTTTTGGCGGTCTGTTTGTTCGCGATGTTCAAGGGCTTCACGGGCTGCACGGGAGCAGGAAGCTTGCTTGGAGGAGGTCCCTGAGCCTGCTGTGGCTTACCGTTGTTCTGCGAACGGGCTGCCGAAGATTGCTGAGCATATCTCGGGTCATCCTGGCGTGCGCCTGGTGTACGAGGGGCGGAGCCGTTTGATCCATAGTCTCCAGGTCTCTGGGCTGCAGTTGGGGGAGGGGGTGCCGGCCGTTGGGCAGTCAGCTGGCGAGAAGCGTCTTGTGGCGTGCGTGCGGCACTAGGAGCCTGTGGAGCAGGCCGACTGGGCTTGTAGCGATCGTTCATAGACGGTTCGGAGGATCCATAGCCGCCAAGCTCCTGTTGGGCGAGGGGCACCCGAGTTTTGGGAAGCGAGGCATTGTAAGCTTCTTGTTCCTGGCGTTCTTGCTCATCTTGACGTGCACGACGCTCGTCATCCATTCGTCGGCGCTCCTGATCAGCCATCTCCTTCATCCGCTCTAGTTGCTGTTGTTGTTCCGCGGCCCTCTCTGAACCTGGCTTACTTTGAGGGGATGAAACAGAACGGCTGGAATAAGATTGACCACTATCCAAACGTTGTGCAGGGGCTGGGGGAGGGGGTCTCGGAGGAGCGATGGAACTGCCGACAGAGTTGTTGCCATACCCCTTTGCCTGGCCAGATGACGGAGAGCCTAGGCCTTCGTAGTATTGAGGGTTCTGTTCACGCATCTTAATATCGGAATAGAATTCGAGGACCTCAATCACGGCCTGGGGGTTCTTCTTGTAGTCCTCCTTGGTGATAGCGGATGCAGTCAAAAGCTTCTCCCACTCTGGCGGAAGGCCGACGAACGCTCCAGTCCGCGAGTCAAAACCAACATGAACACGATGGCTAAAGTTTGTAGGGTTGCTCACACCACCCATCCCAGGGCAGCGCTCGTATATCTTATCGATCCATTCATAAATCTCTTCATCGGTTTTGACCTCACAAGTCAGGCTCTTTGTGGGAACATCTCGCGTAATTAAGGCTGCCTTGGAGGTGGCATCTTTCGGATTGGCCAGACGGACGATTTCAAAAGCCATTCGAGTGTCTTCTGAGCGTGAGACCCCTGTGATGGCGGAGAGAGGTATGGAGAGAACCACCTTGCCCGTCTCATTTTTCATAAATTCCAATCGAGCTTCACGCAGAATCAGGTAGCGCTGGTTCCACGTGGCCAGGAACTTGTCCTCTTTACAACGAACATATCCCTCCTTGATGACGGCAAAGCCACCCTGGCTTGATTGTTCGGTTTTGGTCCGCACGAGCGAGGAGGTGCTAGTATTAGGAAATAACGACAGGTTCCCCGACGACACCGGCGTGCTTGGGGAGTCCAGACTCATCTGGCCGAACGAGGTGGTCACACCGGAGGAATTGGCTGAAAGGTTGAGTTTGGGACGGTCAGTTGGTGGGCGAGGGGCAGGGCCGGGATTCATAAACTGGTCAGGGGAGTACATGCTGCGGCACAAACAGTCAGTCAGATCCACAGTGCTCCGAACAAGTGGTGACAGAGGATGAAAGAGGAGACTTGGCTTCGCAATGTGATCTCACGAGGACTCAGGGGCAGAGCAAACAATGCAAGACCAATGAAAAGAGGGCTCATCTTGACTTACTTTCCGTAAGAGGAAGCCATTCTACGTGATAAATCAGATGGCGGGTACCCCAAGGAGGGGGGGGGGGGGGGAGGGGATCACCTCAAAAGGCGGAAGAGGGAAATTCGGGTGGAGAGGGTCGGTGAGTGGACTTGACTCGACAGCTGTACAAGTTACTACTCGGCCATCAGTAAATAAATCTTTCCGTAAAGTAGTCACAACAGATTGGGAAAATAGCATCAAGCGATCCCACTTGAAGGCTAAACTTTCCGAATCCAAGGGTCATGGTGCATTGCAACCAGATCTTGCTCCGGGGAGGGGGGGGGATTCTGGATCAGCCAGTAAACCCCGGAGTTGACCCTAGGAAACGGGAGTTAAAAAGGGGTTCGATGTCAACAAATCCTTACCCAGATCGACTGTACACTAGGTAACTATAGCAGGGAAGACGAATCCTCGTGCTGGCGAGGATGCTTTGGGCGTAGGATACACGTCTCGAAAAATATCCTTTATCCAAGCGCGGTGAGAAGGAGGCAGGACCCAGTCTGCAATATGTGAGAGCGACCCAGAAGCGGGGGCAGGAAACACTAGCGCTAGGGGAAGCCGACACGTACTCCGTAGGAGAGAGGAAAATAGGACGAAAAGGGGAAGGAGAATTGAAGGTAGAGAGAGAGGGAGACAATAAGAAGTGCTCCGGGAAGGCTGATGATTGTAAAGTGACTGTGGTAGTGGAGGAGGGATGAATAGAGAAGAGAGAGAGATAGAGAGAGAGAGAAGAGGAAGATGAAGAGGAATAAAATTGAGGTTTCACCAAACAGTGAGAGGCTCACTTCAAAGGGGCGAGAGCGGCTCTGCTCTGTCTGGCCTGGACTTTGCACACCAACTTCCTACAATTTCCTGGCGAATTATTGTGAACTGTTGGTTACCTCAGAAGATAACAGAAAGGTGTATACCTTGATGCCTTTTCTATTCTCGATCCTTACCGGATTACAGACGATATCTATCCTCTCCCTATGTTGTTGATTCCCTGTGTTGTTGATTCCCTGTGTTGATTCGCTTCTTTTCTGATCTTGTCTAATCCATAATAATGTTTATAGGCCCACCACCAGTCCGGAATACTTATTACGACTTACTCCGTATACACGCCCGATCCATACTTTGATTACCCTGGTTCGTGGCGGACAGTTTCAGATGCAATGGCGAACTGGACCCGTTGCCAATGGAGTCCATACTAGCCTACGAATAGTAATAGCAAGATGGTTCGATAGTTAGTCAAAGGCGTTCTATTGCTGTTCTTCGCATCCTCCAACAGAACGGAAATGTTTACTCCTGGAGTGTCGAAGGGGGGTTCATGTTCGCTATTGGCTCCCTCGATCGTCCGGGCTCTGTTTCGTCTTGATTCGTCTTACGAAACAGGAGCCAAGGATCGACTGGTAGAACTTCTTGGTGCTTCTAGACTTGGAATGGATGGGTAAAGGAGAAGTCCGAGTCGAATCCACGAACGCTACAGACTGACTCATGGAGCCCAAGTCCCTACCTACTAACTAACTATTACTGTACAAATAGACTAGGTTATATATTCCTTAGAATCAAGAGTGCTCCGGAGTCTCACGGATGAATGGAACATTATCTCTAGTCACGGTATAGTACAGAGTGTTATACTTAATTAATAGCTACTAGGTAGTTAGTGAGTTACGGAGTATAGACTGATTTATGAGATTGCAGATTGTTATGGAGTCTCCCTCTCTAGTTCTTCCATAAAATATGCCTGCCCCTTTTCGAGAAGGAATTCCTACCTGATCGTCATTAGGCCTTGAAATATACGGAGTAGCTCGTACCGAAAGAAAATGCAAAGGTATCTAGTACTAGTAGTATGAAATTTGAAATTTAAAATTTGAGCGGAGAGAATATGGAACTTGTATCATCCCAAGGTATCATCAATCAAGTAACTCTATACGGAGTATAGTTATGGAAACACTATTAGAAACATCCACCTACCCATCTAGGTGTTTAAAAAAAAAGGAAAAAAAAGGAAAATCAAGGCTCCTCGCCAAAGGGATAATTGAACTTTAGCAGTCCATTTAATCCGCCAACCCATCCATCATGCGCTTCCCCCCCCATCATCCTCCGCATCACGCATGGCACCCCGCCCTGCCACTCATTCTTGCCGTGGCGCATCTCTTCATTCCACACCCGCGCTTCCATCCCCGCCCTCATCCCTTGGGTCATGTTGACCCCATCGATACTGACTTCCAGCTCTCGTCCCCGGTTCTTCTCGCTCAGTCGGAGCGTAATCGGGGTGCTGGACGGCAGAACCAGTGGCCGGAAGCTGAGACTCCGGGCGCAGATGGGCGTCAGTAGAACCGCAGGCACGAGGGGATGTACGATACTGCCACCACTACTGAGGCTGTAGGCTGTACTTCCCGTCGGGGTTGAAATGATCATGCCGTCCGCCACGGCCTCGGTCAGGAATCGTCCACCAACATATACATCAACCACGGCAAGATGTGGCTCTTTTCCACGGTGCAAAAGTAATTCATTCATTACATATACCCCCCCGGGACCCAACGTGCCCCGTTTAGGTACCGAGTTCTCTGCCGACTCCACCGGGTTGCCATCAGCAGTAAAGAGCCCAACTTTGAGTCGATTCCGCATCAAGATACGAGTTCCACGAGTAATCCCCATAGACTTCCCACGAACCGATGACCACCCCGCGGGTTCACCCTGCGGTTCTTGCGATCCGTCCGCCATGTTCATGGACTGAGGCGCTCCGAGAATAGAGGCCCGATCCCCGACTCCCGCACCAGACATGTATACTTCGCGAAAGGCACGTTTATATTCCGCAAACTTCCATTCACCGAGAAACCCTAGCGTGCCCATGCTGAAGGACAGCATGGGGGGGACATTAGCGCACGTGGCAAACAGAGAAGAAGCATGTAGGATCGTTCCATCTCCGCCAAGGGTCACACTAAGGTCCACTTTCTTATGCAATGCAGATGGTAATTTGTCCGGGGGAGCAGAGTAAACGGGAAACGGCAGCGACGAGTGTATTTCCTCCGCAACCTTAGGTTCTAATATAACACCGATGGAGGGGTAGGTAGACGTTGTGTGACTAGAACATTCCGAAAAAGAAAAAAAAAAATGGTTAACACAATCTTGTGTCGGGGAGTGGTAGATCGTACCTGATGAACTCGATGAGAGATTCAGTCACCTTCGGGACACACTCCTTCTTCACGACCAAAATGTTCCGGGGAGGCGCAGGCCACTGAAGAGAGAGAAGGTCATTATCGTTCGACTCTAGGAAGAACCGCCGTATGAGTCAGGAAAGGATCACAGAGCTAAATCCACAGCATCCACAGCATACACACCTTGGTATGAAGGTATCAAGCGCGGAGGGAGCGCATCAATGTCTCTAATCTCATTGCGCCTCGATGAAACAGAAAAGTTGCGCTTCCATGATGATGTCCATACTGCGGGTGTGGACTGGACTAATCGGATTCGAGAGAGCAGCGGTCGCATTCTGCGGAGGGACAGGTTCCAGGCCTATGATTCTCGGTGGAAACGAAATTATTGATCCAATGTCAACATCAAGGTAAAACCCCGTCTGTCTTTGGCATCTTCCCAGTCAAGAGCTACTGTCGTGGGTAACACTAGTTAATCGGGGGTGTCGGAGTATCTATTCGAACCGCTTTCATTCTTTTCAGTCACACACTCAAAATGAAATCAGGTAAGCTTGTTGTTTGTAGGACCTGTCCAAGAACAGATTTGCTGGAGAGAATTGAACTGGAGAATTCTCATAATCCCCAGAAAGATCGAACCATAAGCCCTCACTGACCGCCCTGGAGCCCGTCAGCAAGTTGCGCGACGTCATTAGTTTTCCTTGCCGAGTTCCTGTAACTGCTGGTAGGCTGTGTTGTGTTCTGTGTGCTCACTCAGCCGTGCCCACGATCTCCTTTATTTGTTCTATCCCAGGTCTCTTTTCCTCCTTTCCTGGGCTGAACATGGCCTGATCTTTATATTTCTCCCTCTATTCTTACCTCAGTGTGGACTGTTGACCTTCCCCGGAACCTATCCCATCTCAGGGCAAGCTCTGATAGACACCGCTTCTTGAATTACAGTACTTTCACACTCCCTACATTTTTTTCTGAAATCGGTCGCGTGACACCTATCTAGTAGTATTAAGCTAACTTGGATCCCAGAAAAGACAGCTTGGTTTCCCTGGATCAGATCAGAGTCCGGTGGTTTCTTGTTTCCTAGTCGACCCCCCCCCGACAATCTTCCCCGCCATTATGGACGGTCCGGAGCTTCGGAAGCGAAAGCAGGTTGCTGATGTTAAAGAAAAACATCAAGCTCGTACAGATGCTGAACCCCGTCTTAAGCATGGAATCCCGATGCAGGTTCTGCGTTCCCTTCTTCTTGCAACCTGGTTCAACTGCTGCTGTGTCATTATCCTGGTGACCCAGTTGATCGGATCTCCCCTGTACGTCATCAACAAGCATTATTATTACGCTTATATGTCATATACGAAACAATCGTTTGGGTTGGTTATCACGGCTCTCACCCAATGGGGGTGTCCCACCTTTGTCCGGGTGAGCGGGGACAAGAGCGTGCGAGGTCAGATTCATCTGGCGAGCGATGGCCGGCTCCGAACAACCTTTCCAGAGCGGCTCGTGATGATTGCCAACCATCAAGTCTACACGGACTGGATTTATCTCTGGTGGATTGCATACGCCAACATGATGCATGGTCATATCTTTATCATCCTTAAGGAATCCCTTAAATATATCCCGATCATTGGACAGGGCATGATGTTCTACGGGTTTATTTTTATGGCTCGCAAATGGCTGTCTGATAAACCACGACTTGAGCATCGCTTACAGAAACTGAAGACACAACATGTGGGATCCAAGTCAGGGTCCCCGAAATTCGATCCCATGTGGCTTCTAATCTTCCCGGAGGGAACCAACCTATCCCTCAACACGAAGCGACGGAGTGATGAATTCGGGCAAAAGCAATCCCTCCCGTCCTTCAAACATGAGATTCTCCCGAGGTCGACTGGCCTTTTCTTCTGCTTACAACAGCTGCGGGGAACCGTTGATTGGGTGTATGATTGTACAGTAGCCTATGAGGGTCCTCCGTAAGTGAACTAACCCCCTTCCCCCCCTTCTTTTTCCCCCAGAGCCGGATGCTAACCGATTCGTTGCGTTTCTACAGAAAGGGCAGCTATCCGGACAAGTACTTTACCCTTCGATCAACGTATTTGCAAGGACGGCCACCCACTTCTGTAAATATGCATTGGAGACGGTTTGCCGTCTCCGAGATTCCCCTCGACGACCAGCAAGAATTTGATCTCTGGCTCAGGGAGCGCTGGATGGAAAAGGACCAATTGCTCGACCAGTGTTTTGAGACCGGCAGATTCCCCTCTGACCTGGCCGACAGCATCGAAGTTGGTCATGGAGATAAGGACCAACTAGCCGCAGCTGCTAACGGGTATGTCGAGACACAGGTCCGGCTGGGTCATTGGGCCGAAATTGGCCGGATATTCAGAGTTTTGTTTGGTCTCGCTTTTCTGTGCAAAGCGCCTAAAGTGGTGGGTTTGTTAAACCCGGGCCGTTACTAGTACAGCACTTCCCAGGTGTTTATTGTTATCCCACTTTGGTTTATGTATTCATTACTATTCTTATGACTGATGCCCTAGATAATCGTACCAGCTATAGAGTCTGGAATTGAAGTTTTCACTCCCCAAGATCCGCGTAAGGTTCATCACATGTAGACACCAATAATAATGGAAAGATCTTTTTACCTCCTGAAGCTTCGAATTGAATTATTCTACGGAGAAGGTGAATCTAATCCAATGTCGACGCCACCGTGGCGGTGCAATCCGGCCGTCGAGGCCTCAGGCGCCGAACCGCCAATCCGTCCAGTCAAGATTCACGCCAACAAACAGCAGATCCAAACCTGTCGTCCTTCATTCTCGGATGCACAGCGAGGAGAATATTTTCATCATTCTTGATTGTGAAATTTTCTTTTACTCTAGAAATGAACATGAGTTGAGCTTGGAGCTTCACAACAGGACCCATTACCTCCTTTCTACCACCGAACTTTCACCTCTCGCCCGCGTCAAGCCAGTCCAGCCCGTTTACCAGCCAGTTTACTAGCTCTACTAAAGAACCCACCCCCCCCCCCAGAGACATCGATTGGAGAGGGGGAAAAAAAAAAAAACCGTATATACACACGCCCACCATGGCGTCCCTGCAGAACGGCTATTCGAATGGTATAAATGGAGACCCAGTCGCTGTAACCAGCTCGCCGGCCAATCTTCGCTTTTCTGACATTCCCTCCGCCATCGACATTCCCGCGTCCACTCTCGACAGCGAGGTCGAAGTCAGTCTTGAAGGACTCCCCGATGATCCGACCGAGCTTTGCACGCTTCTGGAAAACGAAAAGGCCGCGAAGAACTTCTGGGTGATCATTGCGCTTGCGTACGCGAAACAGAAACAGATCGACCATGCGATTGATATTCTGAACAAAGGCCTGGCATCGGTTGCCCATGGGGCAACGAAAGAGAAGCTGGGGTTGCTGGGGTGGGTGTGCTGGCTGCTCATGCTGAAGAGCCGACAGGCGCCTCGCGTGATTTCAGAGGGAGAGTTATATACCGAGGCCAAGACTAAGGATCACTACCTGCAACTCGCGACGTCCACGCTCAATGAGGCGTCGCGATTGAACCCGGCTTTCCCGCCTCTGTTCCTTGCTCGCGGTGTTTTGTCCCTCCTGCGCTCGTCGTTGCACGCCCCGCGGCCTGTTCGTCCCGGGACGGTTGATACGTCGGAGAGAGTTGAGTCCCTGCGTCAGGCCCTCAAGTGCTTCGACGAGTCGTCCAAGGCGTTCGGGGGTCGGAATGTCATGGCGATTCTTGGACGCGCAAGGGCGCAGTACCTGCTTGGAAGCTATGCTGAGGCGTTGGAAGGATACCAGAAGGCACTCGTCAAGATGCCGGGACTAACCGACCCAGATCCCAGGATCGGAATCGGGTGCTGTCTCTGGCAGCTAGGGTTTAAGGACCAAGCTAAAGTCGCCTGGGAGCGCTCTCTAGCATTGGTACGTCCCAGGTTTTTTTTTTTTTTTTTTTTCCTGTATCGAGACCGGCTACTAACTTTGCGTTGTTGTTATTATAGAACCCCGACTCCAAAGTCGCCAATATTCTCCTCGCCGTGTACTATCTCTACGACAGCTCCCGACATGCTACGACCGACCCAGCCTTCGGGTCGCTCTACAAGATAGCCATGACACAATACACACAAAAGGCGTTCAAGCTGGACAAGGAGTACCCCATGACCTGCGCTTTGTTTGGCGGGTACTTCCTCTTGAGAAAGGCCTATTCCACAGTCGAGACGCTCGCACGCAAATCCATTGAAAACACAGACGTGATGCCCATCGCCAGTGATGGATGGTACCTACTTGGCCGGAAGTCTCACTACGAAGGCGACATGGCCCGGGCCGCGGAATACTATAATCGCTCCGACCAGGCTCGAGGCGGCGGCGATAAGGGATACCTGCCGGCCAAGTTTGGCACGGTACAGATGCAGGTCTCGAACAAGGACTACGATGGAGCCAAGTTCCAGCTGGAGAAGATCATCCAGCAGACCAAGAACCCGGAGTGTATGATCCTGCTGGGCGCCCTGCACGCCGAGGATGTCTTTGCAGCGCAGAGAAGCGGGAGCAAAGAGGACAAGTCGGCGGAGGCTAAGAAAGCTATCACTCTCCTGGAGGGCGTCCGTTCTCTCTGGAAGGACGAAAGCAAGAAGATCGCGCCCGACGAGTCGGTGTTGGTGTATCTGTCCCGTCTTTATGAACAGACGGCGCCAGAGAAGAGCATGCAGTGCTTGAGCCAGCTGGAGGACATGCAGCTCGCAGAAATCCCGGATGAGGAACGGCCCGCGGGCGTCAAAAAGGAGGAAGAGATCAAGGCCGCGCTTCGGGTGCATTTACCTCCACCGCTTCTGAATAACATGGGGTGTTTCTTGTACCAGAACGAGAAGACCGAGCTGGCTCGTCAAATGTTCCAGGCCGCTCTTGACGCATGTGTTGGACAATCCCCGGACAAAGAAACGGCCACGGACACGGACGCCCTGGTCACGACCATTAGCTACAACCTCGGCCGGGCATATGAGGCTTCCGACCTACCCGAGGAGGCTAAGAAAGTGTACGAGGGTCTCCTCGAACGCCATGCCGATTACACCGAGGCCAACGCCCGACTGACGTACCTGGCACTGCGCCGCAGTCCGACGGACGAAGGGCCCAAGAAAATGGCGAAGCTTTACGAGAGCGACTCGACCAACCTGGAAGTGCGTGCGTTATTCGGATGGTACCTGAGCAAGTCCAAGAAACGCGCGGCCAACCTCGCCGAGGACCACGAGCAGCGCCATTACAAGCACACCCTGCAATACTTTGACAAGCACGACCGGTACTCGCTCACGGGCATGGGCAACGTGCACCTCCTCACAGCGCGCGACATGCGGCGCGAAACGGACCAGGAGAAAGAGAAACGGCGCAAGATGTACGAGCGGGCGGTTGAGTTCTTCGACAAGGCTCTCCAGCTGGACCCACGCAACGCCTACGCCGCGCAGGGGATCGCGATCGCCCTCGTGGACGACAAAAGGGACTACAGCACGGCGGTGCACATATTCTCCAAGGTCCGCGACACGCTGAAGGACCCCAGCGTCTACCTCAACCTGGGCCACATCTACGCGGAACTCCGCCAATACACTCGGTCGATCGAACACTACGAAGCGGCGCTCTCCAAGGACCGCGTGCGCGACGCGCAAATCCTCGCTTGTCTCGGTCGCGTCTGGCTCCTCAAGGGCAAGCAGGAGATGAGCGTCGCGGCGATGAAGACGGCGCTGGACTACGCACAGCGCGCGCACACGGTCGCGCCGACGCAGGTGCACCTGGAGTTCAACGTTGCCTTTGTGCAGAACCAAATCGCGTCGCTCACTTACGGTCTCGCGGAAACGCAGCGGACGGTGCAAGACGTGCAAGACGCGGTGGACGGACTCCGGGAAGCGGTCTCGACGTTTGGCCGGGTGGCGCAGGCCAAGAACCCGCCTTACCCGGCCGAAGCGCTGGAGCAGCGGGCGAACATGAGCAAGACGATCATCAAGCAGCTGGAGCGGGCGCTGCAGAGCCAACGGGAATACGAGGAGAAGAATGCGGCGAAGCTGCAGCAAGCGCGGGACGCGCGGGAGGCAGAAATCCGACGGCGCGAGGAGGAAGTGCGCAAGGCGCAGGAGGTCGAGCAGGAGCGCAAGCAGCGGATCGCCGAGGAGCGGCAGTTGATGATTGAGGAGGCGCAGAGGCTTGCGGCGCAACGGGCTGAGGAGGAACAGGAGCAGGAGGAGGAGGAGGAGGAGCGCGCGCGCGAAGAGGTCGAGATCATGACGGGGGATGAGGAGGAGGGGGAGGCGGGGGTGAAGCGGACGAAGACGAGGTCTAGCGCGTCAACGGGGGTGGCGGGGGCATCGAAACGCAAGAAGAAAGCGCAGCGGCCGCGGCATGCCGAGGACGATTTCATCAACGATGGGGATTCGGTGAGGGGGCACCTGTCGGAGGCTGGGAGCGATGACGAGGCCACGGCGGCGCCCAAAAAGCGGAGGAGGCTGGAGCGGCGGCCGGGGAGTAGCGGCAAGGCGCCAAGCAAGTACAAGAGCAGCGAGATGGTGGTTGATTCTGACGAGGATGAAGATGCAGACGAGCCGGGGTCGACGGGGAATGGAGATGGGAGCGGCGATGACGAGGACGTGGTGCAGCGTCGGCGGGCCAAGGTGTCGAGACGGATTGCAGATGATGAGGAGGAGGAGGAGGAGGAGAGTGAGGGACCAGATACCGAGATGAAGGAGGAGGTTTAGTTCTGTAGATTTATTTTCATCCCTAGTCATTCATCCCTAGTAAAAATGCTTGAGCATCTAATTCTCTCCTATTCCCTGGCTGTACCGAGCTGTACGTATGGTATGTATGGTATGTATGGTATGTATGGTATGTACCGTCTGTACCGTATGTACTGTATGTATGTATTGTATATCCTGTACTGCTCTGTATTCTATTATCCAACCCCCCGGTCCTTCTTTAGCTGCAGTAGTCCATGCAATGCATGGTTGGATGGGAACCAGATCACTATCGGAGTAAAAGGAATTGGGCGGATTTGTACTCCGTAGTACAGTAGGAAGGTACCTTGCAGGCTTGCAACTCTGTATTACATGAGGCTGGAGAGGAGGAAGTATTATTAGGATGAAACTGGGGTAGAGTACAAACAGGTCAAGGAAGATAGATAGATCCCAGTCTATTACTCCATACATATCTCGATGGAATAGATGCAGGTACAATTGTCGGTGTGATTACTTGCTCGTGTCTGCATGAGTTTTCCAGCATGCATAATAATGCTTGAGGCTGGATATCATGAACTGCCGAGCACATGTTGGATCCGATCCGAGGCTAAAGAAAGATCTAATATAGCATCATCATCATCTCCTTTCTCCTGAATCCCCTGTAATATAAATAATAGAAATAATATAAATAATATATAAATAATCAGGGTATTTTTCCTTGACTCTTCTGTACTGTAACAACCGTGCCTGTGTTTGTCCTTGTGATTCTCCATCAATATCTCTGTCTGTATACTCTATCTCTATTATATATTATATTATATATTATATATTATACTCTATCTCTATTATATATTATTTATATATTATTTATATATTATTTTGGAGGTGTCATTTGGTTAAGTTTCAACGGGGTGGGTATGGCACGTTTAGCTGGGAGGCTAAAATCACTAAAACCTCCATTGATAAATACTGTATTCTGTCTCGCTTCTGCTACATTTGGGGTTTCGATCTCGCTCTCTCCTTTCCTCCTTACTCTCTCTCTCTCTCTCTCTCTCTCGCTTCACTCCTTTTTCAATCGTTTCTTTCTTATTCTTTCCTTTCATCTTTGTTCCACAGAGCTCTCCGAGAGAGCCTCTTTTCTCTCGCTTTTCTCTCTCTCTCTTTTCTTTCTCTCTCTCTCTCTCTCTCTCCCTCTCTCGATCTCCCTACCATGCTCCAAGCCAAAACTCAACTAGTCCAATTGGAGCCGTAACTGTCGCTCATTCTCTTCCCCTCTCTCTCCCGACCAATTGCACTGGCTGTGATACCCTCATTGTTCCACCATGCATAGCACTCATCTCCCGGTTTCAGCTGCTCGTGCAATCGCGCAGGATTTGGACCGCCCCCCCACGAGAGCATCCAACACTGATCTGCCTGAGCATTCCCTCCATATGCGCTCGAGATCAATTGCCCTGGCCCAGACCCCCAGACGCCTCTCGGTCTTTAGTGGACGCTCTCGCAGCAACACCACGACCTCGACAACTCCCTCCACCACTTCCTCCCGTCGCTCACCGGCCTCTTCCATGACCTCCAACGATACGGCTTCCCTGCCCCCGGCCCACGAGGACCGAACCGCTTCGGCCGCGGCCATGCGGCACGAACGCCAGGAGAGTGTAACCAAGTCGCTTTTATTGCGTGGAAGCCGCATCCTGCGCCGTCAGGGCAGCAAGTTCAATATCGTGGCCACCCTGGACGAAGAAGAAGAGCTCGAACGGGACAAGTCCCGCTTCGAAGTCTTTGGTCGCCATCATAAATCGCGCTTCAATGATTCTCGTAAGTTCTCTCTATGCATCCTTGCCCTAAAAATACCCGGTTGACTTTCGATATAGATGAGCAAATGAAGCGTCTCATCTCCGACCCTTTTGATTTCCATCACCTGACTCACACAAGTCCCGCCCAATTTCATGCCCTGGATCAGACCCAACAGAATGACCTGGTGACCGAATTCTCCGCCATTCGCGCCTCGCAGAAACCTGTCGCCAACCTCAAAGGCATCCGAGCGGATGACCTGCACTTTCGGGGCTTTTCATCGGAGGATCTCACAGGCTCCGAGACGGGCCAAGACAATGCTACTCCTTTCCCTCCTGTCAGTCCACCAGCCTCTCCCGGCGGGTCGTCGTCAATCAGTCCCAAACAACCCGACAACAGGCCAAGAGACTCGCGCACCTTTGAAAACTTTTCGCGCCCCGTACCGAGGTACCCTCGAACCGAGCCGTCCGCTTCGCCCCCGCGAGCGAGCTCCCCGACATTGGCCTCCTCTCCGGAGATCCCAGAGCCGGCGCCGCGAGCGATTGATGAAATCCTCGGCCTAACGTCTCAGCCGACGTATCCCGAGCATGTGTACTCAACGGATGATGAGTACGAGCACAGCGCCTCCCTGGCAACAACCCTCCCTTTTGAGGGTATGTTTCAATCCAGCCCGGGCCACGCCGTCACTACAGGCCCTGGCGCCGAGCCCGCGGATCCGAGGACACGATCCTCCCTGACGAGTCCATCATCGGAGCTCGAGGATGTGCCGGAGGAAGAAGAGGCAACCCATTGGCACGACAGCCCGCCGCCGCTTCAGTCTGCAGAAGGGATGCATTTCCGCACCTCGTCCGGCCTTGACTCTTTTACTTTCCAGCCCGTTGAAACTCAGCCCCCCGGCAACACGGCCCCCAGGACCCACCGATCCATTCATGTGGCCAAGGAGCTCTCAATGAAGTTCTCCGAGGCATTGGGATCCCCTACTCTTCCCCAATCTCGCGCAGAGCAGGAGACCCCTGTAGATGACAAACAACGCCCCGAAGCGCTGCCAATCCGAAGACAGTCATCCCTCAGTCGACGAGCCATTCATGAGACCATTTATGAGTCTTGGGATGACGATATTGACTACTGCTATGAGCACGCCGCGGAGTCAAATTCCAACTTTGACTGGACACGCACTTCCCTGGATGAGTCAAGGAAAGCCGCGGTTGAAGTTACTGTTACCGCTTCGGATTTGGACGTCGCCTCGACACAGTCCAGGATGATGCGCCCCTTAACTCACCCTCTTCACCTCGGTCCCTCGGTGTTGTCCACTCCCGAATTGGCCCCTAGCCCCTCACGTTCATTGCCTAGCTCCCGCCTGGCTGTGACCCCATCCACGACTGGCTACGAGGGTGAATTCGTTGCCCAAAGAGATGGAGACTATTTCCAACCCGTCAGTTCTTCGGTATTTCCAGGAACCCTGGCCAAACACATGAACCCCGATGTCCTGTACGAGGAGTACCTGGCTGCTGATGCAGAATCAGATCGCCACTTCTCGTTTTGCTCGCAGGGCGGGTTCCAGGCCATAGAGCACCCCGTCTCTCCTCGGAGCAGCTTCTCCCCAATCAGCAAGTGCAACTCGCAGGAGAGTCTCATACTATCCCGGGCCGCATCGATTGTCCGTAAACACCGGTCGTCAGTCTCGACCGCAAGCGTCCCTGAACTGGTCCATAGCCTTGCGAGCAGCCGCGACTTCTCTACCACAGATTCAATGCTGTCTGTCGACCACGCTGGACTGGTGCGTCCGGATTCCTCATCCCACCACCACCGCCAGACTAAGAGTCTCGCGCGGGAAATTGAAAGCCAGGTCATGTCTCGCATGGACCACAATGGGAGCACCGAGTTTACAAGGCTAGGATCATCCATCGTCCTTCCAGCTCATGATCGCACCAAGTCCACCTCGGATGGGGAATCTGTCCCCATCCTGAGCAGACCTCCTCTCAAGCCTGAGCCTCCGATGAAAAGCACGCACCGACGTAAAGGTCGAACCTCTTACTCTCTCTTCCCGTCTCCCGCTACTGCAAATCCCTAGACAGCAGCCAATTTTTTGTATCTTGGGAATGACCCACCTCTCATTCATTTTTTTTTTTTTTTTTTTTTCTCTCTCTCTTTCCCCGTTACCTACCCAATTCCTACCAAGTCTTTCGATTTTCCCCCAAGCCAATCGGAAATAGACCTCCTCAACGACTTGACGATTTTTTTCCTTGGTGTTCTCCGTTTTCCTTCCCAACAATCTTTGCGATGAATATATTTTCCTTGGTATCTTCACACATTATTTGTGATTATGTTTTGATGCTTTTCTGGTTCGGGGTTTTCCAGTCTTCCCGATTGCATTTTATCTCGGCATTTCTCAGCGATTGTTTCAAAAGAGTATTAAAACATTTTGGGTATTTTTTTTTTTTTTTTTTTTTTGGATCCTCATTCATTTCGGGCATTGGAGGATTGGAAAAATGGCTGTATATTGTTTTATTCGCACATCATTCGCTCGGGTTTTCTTTTATGTGTGTTGGTTGCCCTTGACAGGGTGGATTGTTTTTGTCTTTGTTGAACTGTTTCACTCACTATAGATAGACCAGGACGGTCCGGAGGGGGGGGGTGGTTTCAAGGCATAATATTTTATATTTCCGGGGAATTTTGAAATTCAGAATATCAACAGACTACCTTAATTTCTAAGTTATCATGAAGATAGATACTCATCTTTGAGAGGTCGAAAAGTGCGGAGGTTTTGTTATGGCTGGCTCTTCACCGCCGATACCTCACCGCCCTAGCGAGATTCTGCCGGTCTTTGGATGGAATTATATTATTGCCTCCATTTCTCTCCACCGGCGCATCCTCTCGACTTTAACGTAACAGCATGTTGCTTTCTATCATCATCCTTCACGAATAAACTTGACTCCGGATTTTCACCTATCATGTCCTCCCAAGCTTTAACCAAACGCGATAGTGAGACGAGTTTGATGCCACCGCCTCCCCCACCGCAACGCATCAAACGGCCTGCAACAGTCCTAGACGAGGACGTTTACACCGATGCCCTGTCCCATATTATTGCCAGAGACTATTTCCCTGGATTACGGGAATCTCAAGTGAAACAGGAGTACCTAGACGCGCTAGACTCAAAGAATCAAGAATGGATCGCAAGTTCGAGGCGAAAGCTGAGGGATCTCATAATGACCCCTGGACGATCTCGGCCCCGCCCTGACTCAAGAAATATGACTCCGGGATTCAGAGGTGCTGGCGCTGGCGCTGGCGCACTGGGAGATACGCCGATGGGGTGGGGTGGGGATACACCCGTGTCGGTGGTTTCTGCGGTGTCTACGAGTTCAACTACGACGACAATGACGGCACAACAGACAGACCCCGCACCAGATGTATCGAAGATGGGGTTGCTCGAATTTCAAGCCAAGTATACCGGCGAGGACAACGAATCCTTCAACAAGTTGCTGGATAAGCAGAATGCAAAGCGGCGAGAGAAACACGCCTGGCTCTGGAATAATAATAAGATCCCCAGTGCGCGGCAGATCGCCCATCGGCGGCGTGAGGCCAAACTGATCGAAGCCCGGGGTGGGAAATGGAAAACAGACCAGGAAAAGCAAATCGCAATTAAGACGGATCTTGATGCGCGCCCTGCGCAGCCGGACACCTGGAAACCCGCCGCGGAAAACTCGCTGATGTTTCCCCCCTCATCGGTCGAGGACACGCACGAAACCATCCAGCAAAAGGCTGAGGCTGCGTCCCGCGCTGGGCCCAAGCGTGTGGTATACCAAAATACCCGACTCGCCGAGGCAATCTTCGCAGATGGAGCGAGATCCGGACCCGGAACCATTCCCCCGCCTTCGCCGTCAATATCCGCCATCCAAGACGCCATTGCCGGCCGACCACGCCCTACGGATTCTGAAGCTTTCTATACAGGCGGCGAAACACCACGCGTAAATGGCTACGCCTTTGTCGACGAAGACGAGCCCGAACCCGAGCCCACCACCACCACCACCACCACCACCAACGACGACGACCTGCGTATGCTCGGTGGCGCAGGTGACACAACCCCGAACCCCTTCCAAATCAAAGCAAACCGTCGCCGCGAAGACCTCCACCACCGCATGGTCGATAAAGCCGCACGCACCAAGAGAGCCGAAAAGATCGCCCAGCTCACGAAAACCCCTGTATCTGTCATACGTACGGGCACAAGCACGCCTAGGTTCGCAAGCAGTCCCAAGCTGGATTTTGGGCTCCGAACGCCTGGCCAGCGGCTAGGGCAAGGAGGAGGAGGAGGAGGACCAAATACGAAGATGTTGACACCTGCGGCGCAGAAGCTTCTGTCTCAAGTGGGGAGTACACCGAGCCACCGGGGTTCTTCTTCTTCTTCTTCTTCTTCTTCTTCTTCGGCGTCAGGGTTGAAGAATCTGTGGACTCTGACGCCGCGACGGCAGAAATGAACTACCTACTTACACTACTTACACTACTTACACTACTTACCCTTTAATCACTTGCTTTGATGAGATACGAAGGAAAGCGTTTTGGTTTGTTTTGGTTTGGTTTGGTTTGGTTTGTTTTAAGGTGTTGGTCATGGCTTCAGCGAGTGTTTTTCCGTCCTTGTATACATTACATTCTATTCATTACTATTCTCGATGGTTTAGAGCCTGCTCGGTCTGGTCTATATACCATGTAGAATATCAATCTCAATCTCAATCGCAATCTCAATCATATCTGCAATCAATGTAACGTTGTAGAATAGGTAATAATAAGTATATAGGTTTCTTCTTCTTCTTCTTCATCTTCTTAATACAACACAACAAGAAAAGAGAACAAAAGAGAATGAAATAGGGTATATATATATATATATATAATCAAGCCAAAACATAACATGGGGAAACACACTAAACTAAACCCTATAAACGACCCTAATACTACTACTACTCTGTACTTGCACTCGCACTTCTGTAACGGGTTCTTAACCCCCCCACACCAACGCGGCCGCAAGAACAGACACCGAAACCGACCGCGCCACGGCCCTGAAAGAAGGCGCATGTCGCCCTGGCGCCGCGCTCGGACTATACGAGGAAGAGAGCCATTTGCCCCGGGGACACTGGAAGCCCAGGGTCATGGGACAGGCTTTGACTAGATTGTGGCAGTAGTCCACGGAGGGGAGGATCTCGACGTAGGGCCCCGGTTGGATTTCCGTGGTGATTAGGGCGTTGCGGGAGGTGTTTGTGGCCTGGTTGTTCAAGAGGGTTTGGTTTGTGATGGAGGAGCCGTTTAGGAACCGTTGGCCGGCGTTGCGGATGAGGAGGTTGGGGCTGTTGGTATTTGAGGTGGTGGTGCTGCTTTGGCCATCGGCGGAAGAAAACAAGGAGGAGGAGGAGGAGGCGTTGTAGGTGGAGAGATCCGTGCATTGTGGGATTGTTACGGCGCACAGCCAGGATTTGTACGCGGCTGCGCAGTCGTTGCAATTGACGGCCATGGAGAAGATGGTTTCGTTGGAGGTGTTGCATTGGATTTGTTGGAGCGAGTAGGAAAAGTTCTGGTAAAGGCTTTTGGCGTAGTCGTCGTAGATTTGGCGGAGATCGGAAAGTGATTTGGATGGGTTCGACGGGACTGCATAGGCGACGTCAGAGCAGAAGTCTAGGTCGAATATAACCGCGCAGTTGGCATCTAGGATATTTAGTAACGAGCTTAAAAAAAAAGAAGAAAAAAAAAAAAAAAAGAATCCAGGTAAGATGGTGATCGTGACTGACCTGCTTTGGTTGTAAAGTTCTTTGGCTTCCAGACTTTACCTCCTCCGCCGATAATCCCATTCCCCGAACTGGTGGAATTGCCTGTCATCGCCATGATCCCGGTATACGTCGAGCTACGGTTGAGACCGGTGATGTAGAACTGCTCCTGCAGTCCGTGGTCTTCGGTTGTGCGGTTGGTCATGCTCGCTTCCACGTTGTTCGTCTTACCGACCTGCGAGTGTTGGTCAAGAGCACAGTATGACCGTCGCATTCCTGAAAGAGCAGTATAGTTGACATTGTTGACAAAGAGGGTATAGACCGCCGTGTGGTTCTGCCACAGCTTTAGCTGCGCAGTAGTGAGCCCTTCATCGGCAGGGCTGACCGTTGTGAGAAGCGCAGCATTCGCGCCCGCATCCACAAACGACAGCATAGCGCTGTCATCATTGACAGCATGGAAGTAAGCGTCAGTCGACGCCGCCATCTGATACGAATAATACCCAGAATAGCTCGAGCTGTCCGGGGCCGCTACACCAATATATACGTTGGCATCCGCAGAGACTGTTCCACCCATATACCCCTCATCGGTGGGGAATTTGGTCTGCTCAGAGCTATCCTTGCCGGGCCCCGGCTTCTGAAGAGACTCCGATGTCGAGACATAGACGTCTAACTGGGGCAAATCCGGTACAGTCTCAGATTTCGTCGTATTGAGACCCGGTTTCGAGCAAATCGTCAGGGAGAGGTAGACGGTTGTAGACGACGCCCGTTTTGTGGAGTTGCTGCTCTCACTCGAATTCTGATTTTCAACGGGGAAATACCACCACTGCGTGTCACCCAGCTTGATATCTCTCGTTTGGAATTGATTGTTCCCTAAAGAGGATACACCCTCAGGCGCCCGACGGACAAGCTCTAGTCCCCGCGCTTGTCCCGCTTCGTCCACCTCATTTTCAATTACGAGGCCATTGAAAGATCCAAGCAGAAGAGAGTATTCCGGGGGGTTGCCGTCACTAGCTATGAGGTTGCCATGGTTCCGAGAAGGGTAAGACGGGGGATCGGAGGCATCGGTAGCTAGAGCAAGAGGGGCAAAGGAGAGGAAAATGGAAAAAAGGAGGGCCAGGCCAGCTGTCGCACCGAGGCGGTACTGTAATCGCGAAGGGTTCGATCGCATGGGATATCCAAACGCTCCGATCAGGCGCAGGGCCGTCGGAGACCAGATATCAGGTAGGTAAAGGGTGGGTGAAATCGAGATCCTCTCACGGCGCAGGCCAGCCGAATCGTGAGGGAAAACGGGTTCTGGACGGTATGACCTTGTCTGTCTCTTGATTCGTGATTGAAGACAATATAATATATATATATCCTTCTGGCGTTCGTCGCCTGCGGGTCGGCAACTGCGCCACAGATGGGTCACCGCCACATCTAGATGGAGTCTAAATTTAGACTTGTATTTGTATCATCACGGTATATACCGTACAAGACAGGAGGAGGAATTCATCAAAATACGCAACACTCAGAGAGTGGCTGGGAGGAGTTTAGTTTAGAAATTACAGGTAGTTAAATAAAAAATACCCCCTGTTTTTTTTTTTTTTTTTTGGAATATGAACAGAAGAAAACAAAACAAAACAGAACAAAAATTGAATACTATATACCATCTAGATTGTAAAGCTTGTTTTGCTCTATACAAGTTTATAGAAACGAGCAGCCATCCCACTGATCACGACGATAGCGGCAAGTACACCAATAATACCACAGAACCAGGCATATCCTTCTACGTCTTGCCCTGGTACATGCACGTTCATTCCGAACAAACCGCAGATGAGATTCATGGGGACCAACATCGTTGCAATGAGCGTCACCTTGCTCAAGACATTGTTGACATGGTTCCCCAACACCAAGTTAGTCACGTTCAGTTGCGCGAGATAATTGGTGTGGGACCGGCTAAGCATCTTCTCAAAGTGCGCCAAATTGGACATCATGGTCACAACGTGATCCTGAATGTCACCAAGATACAGACCGATGTCGCCACGGGGAGTGACTGAGTATTGCTCATTGCAGCGCTTCGAAAATCCGCGAATAACATCGGCTTTACCGCCCAAAAGGCGCATCAACCCCATGACTTTCTTACGGAGGTGGCCAATCCGAGGCAGGAATGACTCAAAGTCCTCCATGCGCGCAATGAACACGAGGTCTTCAATGGCTTCGGACTCAACCTCAATGTCTCGAATAACAGGGCCGAAGCTATCCACGATGTCATCACTGCATCCAGTCAATACTCGCACCCCAAAAGCAGAAAGATCACAATCTGGAAACTCACATCATGGCGTAACAAATCCAGTCGCTACTCAAGGAAACATAGTCACGAAGCTTTCCAATTCTTCGTCGAACATTGGCCGCATGAGGGTTATCGGTGAAGGAGAACGTCAGCACCCCATCACGGAAGACAACCATATAAAAGTTGACGGGTTCCATGAATTGCTCGCTCGTCTTATCAACTTGGTAAAACGTCCGGAAACAGACAAAGTAGTACTGCTTGAACAGCTCCACTTTCTCGCGGGATTCCTGGGTTAAGATATCTTCCGTTGTGAGAGGATGGATAGAGAAAGCTCTTGAAATGGCTCCAACTTCCGCCTCGGTGGGATTGAGGACATCCAACCACCAGACACCACCATCTGGCCCCAGTTGGAAAAGATCTCTGAATGTATCTCCGGGCAGGACAAGATCACCCAGTTCTGCGGCATGCACAGTGCTCTGCGATTCAGAAGAGAAAAAACCGAACCGGGTGGGCTCATTCTCGTTCCTCAGCTTATTGAGCATCTCCGCCTCGTGCACGGTCTCCGCGTAGGATTTCTCGTTGGTCAGAGAGGTTGTCAAGTCTCCAGAAACGCCTTCCGTGCCGGACGAGGACTTCTCGTCCGACTTCTGAGCACCTTGGCGAAGGTCGTAGAAAATTCGCGGTGGAGAACTCAAGCTTTGCTCGTGCTTGGTGGGTGGAGGCTTTGCCTTTTGATTCAAGGCTACAAACTCCTCCAACTCTTCGTAGTCAATGACTGGGATTCTTCCGGGTTCCTCGAATTGGGGTAGGCAGGTTTCATCCGAAGAATCCAGCTGAATCGTCCCTGCCTGAGTTCGGATGGCGCTAGCATTGCTAAAGGTAGGGCGGCGAGGATGCGTACCACCAGAGACTGTACGCTGAAGAATAGCCTCCAAATCGGGGGCGACATGGCTTTCCAATGTGTTCGCCCTCTCGCGGCGACGCGGATCCGCAAAAGCCTCGACGGAATTGGGCGGGGACGATGATCTCGCGGAAGGAGAAGACTCGCGCGAAATATTGGCCATATCCTGATTGCGACTGTAGGTACGCGCATGGCGGGCATTTCCAGTTGGGTCGACTGAGAACCGACGTCCCAAAACGTTGACATCCTTTACAGATCGATCGTCGTCCACTATAGCTTGTTCGAAGTCCCGAGAAAAGGGGCCAGATTCTCGGAATACATCTTGAACTTGAAGGAGGTCTGGGCGCGGAGGCACCTCGGGTAGGCCCTGCTGGGGTGTATTCTTAGGGCTGAGTGCAACGTCAGAAGCGGCTTCAATGCGAGGCGTGTAATCGAGCTGGAATCGATGGTCGTCCAGCTCAGGCCCCGGAGTGCTGAACCGGGATAGACACATGTACTTTTCGGACCTTGGTGACTCCGACATTTCGAAATGATGCAGTATTCGAGAGAAAATTTAGTAAAATGGTAAAGAGAAGTTGCTGCAGTTTGTCCCAAAAGGAGCACAAAAGATCTCCGCTGTCAGCAATCGCGGATGTTTCTAAGCGTATCCAAACACGAGAAGAGAATGGTGAACAAAAAAATCCCGGAATTAATGTTCCTCCATCCATTAGCCAGACCCCTCGCAAGGGCCTGGCATTACCGATGTACGTCCGTTTGCCAGATTCGAGTGTCGGTAGGAAACCCCAGTTATGGGGGTCTGGTGTCGCCCCCGCAGAAGACCCTGAACTTGGGGCCCAGGAGAGGGTGCAAGAAAGAGCACTGAGTGAAGCGAAGCCCCGCCAACTTGACTGAGTAAGAAGGAAAGGAGCGCAGTCGCTCCAAGGTTGCAAAGAAGAGGGGTTTTAGCAAAGAAAACTCCTCGACTTCAAGTCGCAGCGGTCAGGTTCGCTTGGGTTGTGGGAAGGGATCGAGAGGGAGATAAAAGGTATGCAATGAGTTGGAATGAATTCTGGCCAAGCGCGGCACGGGGGTGATAGGTTGCAGAAAGAGAGGTGAGGATTAACTCCAACTCAAAAAGCACCAAGACTCGGAAGCCGTGCACGGATGATGCAAGCTGCTCAGCTAGAAAACCAAAATTGCCAAAATTCACCGACCCAACAGATGATTGGAATAGGGGCAAAAAAAGTAAAGAGGTAACTCAAGAAGAGTTGTCTCGAGAAACGGAGGGAAAGAAGAGAACGATAGAGGAGATGGGAGTGTCTCAATTAAATGGACACCAACGAGAGAAAAAAAACGAGGGAAAAAAAAAGGCAAAAAAAAAGAGGGGCGGCAAAACTTGCGACTCGCTCGGGAACAGACAGAGATTTCCGCTTTGAGGGAATAACGTGTAAAAATAACTCAGTCAGTACAGCTCCGAAACAACCTCTGGTTAGTGTGCGGCAATTAAGTCCACCAGAGAGAGGACAGTAGTCTGCATCTGACCCAGGAGTGTGATGTGGAATTGAGAGAAGCCATTGATTATTATCTTGGTTCTTTCGGAGAGATCTCTTGGAGACTACAGTGATGGATATAGCCCTGACTGTATCTGTTTTGTGTCTGTAACAAGATTACCACACTGTACGGTATTTTAGGTAAGAAGTATTTGTACGGTATCCACTAATGGCCTGAATACAGGTCGTAGAAGCTCCAGACGATGGCGTCTCTTTCAGCCACACAGAGGCAAAAAAAAATCATCCTGAATTATCCCATGCTGATTGGGAAGTCCAGTAGAATGTAAAGACAAGGATCATCTATCAATTTATAGCTGACGGGTTGATATTGTTCCCTCTGCAGATTGATTGATTGCCCCCGACGTCGGCCGAAATTGAGACTTTTGGTCTTTTTTTTTTCTCTCCGGTGTGCCAAGAAATCCGAGTAGTCATAACCTGGAATTTTGATAGTTAGTTAACTACTCCATTATTGTATGATTCAACAAACCTCACCACCTGCTGGCCCAAACGAAAAGAGAAAAAAAAAAAAAGTGTAGTGGACAGATCATCTACTCCCGGAGAGGATTTCTTGGAGGGAATACAATACATCTTCTGATTAACGATTGCTTAAGCAATTGATCTTTTTTGCCCGTCCCTCTTTTGTTCGCCCGTTCATCCCACCTTTTTCTTCCGATCCTCTGCCGACTCAATATTTCCCCGCAATGTCGTCTTCCACCTCCTTCACCATTCGGATTCCCTGCTCGTCCGCAAACATTGGTCCTGGTTTTGATGTGATCGGTCTGGCGTTGTCTCTTCATCTCGAACTGCACGTGACTGTCGACTCATCCAAGTCATCCTCGGAACACCCATTGAACTGCGTGGTCACATACGAGGACCAAAGCGGCAGCACTGAGCAAATTAGTCTGGACCCGGAAGTGAACTTGATCACCCGTGTAGCCCTCTACGTACTTAGATGCCATGACCAACGAGCATTCCCCGTCGAGACACGGGTGCATATTGTAAACCCAATTCCATTGGGTCGGGGTTTGGGTTCGTCGGGAACCGCGGTGGTTGCGGGAGTGATGCTAGGGAATGAAGTCGGCCGCTTGGGCTTGAGCAAGGACCGCCTGCTTGATTACTGCTTGATGATTGGTGAGTCAATATTCTTTGATGCCTACCTATGCATTGGGGAAACGGTTTTATCTCTTAAACCACCCATCTAACTTCTTCACAGAACGACACCCAGATAACGTCGCTGCCTCGCTATTCGGAGGCTTTGTCGGAACTTACCTCAACGAGCTCAAACCAGAAGATGTAGCCCGCAAAGAAATCCCCCTCAGTGAGGTGCTTCCCGCTCCAGCAGGTGGGATTGACACCGGTATCCGGCCACCTGAGCCTCCTCTTGGAATTGGTCATTACAGAAAGTTCCCGTGGGCCAAGGAGATCAAGGCTATCGCCATCATTCCCGACTTCGTGGTGCCCACAGCTAACGCGCGAAATGTCCTCCCTACGAGCTACTCGAGGGCTGACGTGGTAGGTTTCATCACCGCCCGATTTATATCGAGCTCAGCTAACTAAAGTCCAATGATTGTAGGTCTTCAACCTGCAACGTGCGGCGCTGCTCCCTGCAGCACTAGGCTCCTCTCCCCCCGACCCCGATATGATCTACCTGGCTATGCAGGACAAAGTTCACCAGCCTTACCGCCAGACCCTCATCCCCGGTTTGACTGAGATCCTCCGCTCAATGAACCCAAGCACACAACCTGGTCTGCTTGGAATCTGTCTCTCCGGCGCTGGACCAACTATTCTGGCTCTAGCCACGGATAGGTTTGACGAAATCGCGCAGCTCATCATTGCTCGCTTTAGCTCCCAAAACATTTCCTGCCAGTGGAAACTGCTTGAACCTGCTCAGGATGGCGCCACAGTGCATTATTAAGAACCGCAATGCATGATACCAATTTTTCCCCACTAGAGTAACGGGTCTAGATGGAGTTTGTCCCGAAACATCGAGGACTCTTTTTTTTTTCGCTTCACAAACCCGCAAGGGTTGGGCGGCAGTAAGATAGCCTGGAGTCATGAGTCTGTATGTAGGGTAGAAACATGTAGAATGATCATTGTCAGGATAATGAAAATGAAATAAACAAGTGATACATTTCTAAACGGCAGTCCGAAGTAAACGAATCCCCGCTTCAATATTAGCATACCCCCAAACATCGACTCTCTATTTTTGTGTCATCGGCATAATTCAATCTGAGTTAACTTACCCCCATCCCCCATCATCATCTTCTTTACAACCGCGATGGTAATCAAACATAAGAGGAAGCAAGGCGGTGTCCGCCGACTGATGGACCGCTTCTCTCCGCATAGTTAGTTAACTAGTTAAACAACATCCAAGTCCTGAGAGTCCTGACTAAGAAAGACGAAGGCGGTGCGTGCCGCAATTGAAACCACCTTTAAGGTAGCTCTCGCTCCGCATCAGCTCCATCCTCACCTCACGACAACCTGCAATCTTATACCACATTCCCACTCATACAAAATCATGGATGACATATTAGCTCCAATTCAAGAGGCCTTTGAAGGCCAAATAGTACGTTTCCTTCCCCTTTTCCTTCGGTTGTTGTTGTTGTTGCGCCACCGGGCCTACTACTAGTAGTTACTACATAGCAGTGCAAGTACCTACCGAGGTGTCTTCTGATCTATCTATCTATCTTATTGGAAATTTCGAGGCCTCTCCTCACTCACTCCGGTTCCAGCTCGCTAACAACAACCTGGCAATGAATCACAGGATTTCCACGGACAACGAATTACTGAGTTTTTGTCGACGGCACTGTTGATTCTCTCCGGGGTGAGTTTTTGATTTCTTTTTTTGCGGCGGCGGCGGCGGCGGTTGGTTTTACATTGGCTAGCTTGGTTCTAATGATTTCGCGCTATATATATATATATAGGTGCTTGCGTTCTTGGCCGGGTATATCTTTCAAGATATTTATTTATCGCTTTGGGTTGGTCTCGCCGGTACGCTTGTAACGGGGCTTGTCGTTGTGCCTCCGTGGCCTGTTTATAATAAAAATCCCGAGAGCTGGCTGGTTCCTTTGCCTGGGGGGATGCGCGGAGCTGGGGTCGTGGTGGATGGGGTCAAAGTCGCGTGATGATACATATATGAATGAAATACTAGGTATGGGTGTTGTTGCGGCTTTCAAGGGTGACTGGCCGGCGACCGACCGGTGACGGTCTCTGTCTAGTAGCCAAGTGAAACCATCACTGCCGTGTCGATTTCTTTTCTTCTCTTTACTTTTACTCGCATCTGGTACCACGTAATCCAAAGGCGCTTCGAGGGGGAAAAACCACTAATAAGATAAAAGGAAGAGAGAGAAAAGCTATTAAATGATGACCCTGAACGCCGCCCAAGAAACCTCGTATTGTGGTGTTGTGTCCGTCTAGAGATGACCGCTTCCACATATTTATCAAGTCCCGCACCAGTGCGTTTACCGACCGTATTTCTGGAATTCCCAGTCCTTGTTATCGAGGGGGCACACTTGGCGGGTTTTCAGCCAGCGAGAAATGCAGTGGAAGTGGAAGGCGTGCTAGGTGGGGGTCAGCGCTGAGCTTGAGAAACAGGAATAGGTAGATTCAACCTACATTGCAGATACCCCAGGCGACAGTGCACTCCTCTGTTGTGGATGAGCCTTGGTTTGCTTGACATTCGATGCCTATACATAGGATATTAGCTCCGCGGACCACGACGAGCACGAGTACGTGACGTGACGTGACCTACATAGATCCATAATGTGATTACGGCAGATTGCACAATTATCGACGACGATATCCCACGCCCATAGAGCGACGGCATTCCACTAGTTAACACACAGATTAGCCGGCGAACTGTGTGGAAGAGTTCCCAGAGTGTTAATTGTGGCAGTACCTTTTTGACCTCAAACTTCTTCTTGCCATCACTGGCACCCTCGGCCTTGGATCCTCCCTTCACCTTGGAGGTGGTGGCTTCCTTCATTTCCACGTCGGCCATTTTGGTTAAGTCGATATTTATTTGGCTCTGGCAGGGGGCTGTGGGCTATAGGTAGGCCCGGAAGGTGGGAAGACGTGCGGTGGAGGAGGGGCACCAAATCAGACGGATTACTGCTGCGTAGTGGTAGTGTATCACAGTAGGTCGGATGGGAGGAGCTGAACAAGGACGAATGTAAGTATTCCTGAAACGACGAATGGTGGAGAGAACAACAAAGACCTCAAACGAACCATAGAACAACCCGAAGTGGTGTACCTATTGAGATCAACGAGACACTATAACCAACGGCGGCTGGCTGCTAAGGTACCTACCTACATATAGAACAGGCTCCTAGTTAACTAACTGCTGGATTGCAAACAAAACAAATATTCCAATCTTGGCGGGTGGCGTGGAAGGCGGTCAGGCCATCTTAGTCATCACCGGATCTTCCCCCGCCTGGATCATTCATTCATTCATTCATTCATCCATCCATCCATCCAGTCTTCATCAGTTCATTCTCTAACTACCTAACCTATCTCTACTACCTAACCTTCCCTCTGCCAAATGTCGTCAACCCTACAATAATGTTTCCCAGCTTTCCTTCGATTTCTTTCCTTCGATCGCCTATCTAGACGTGAGCATACCCAGGAGTTTCGGCTACTGCTTTTCTTCTGTGCTTCCTTTTGATCCTAATAATAGACAAATCCGCATTCCTTTGACCGATTTGCCATCGTTGATCCTTGCAATCCGATCTGAGTTGGGAGTTGGCGCCTGTTGATGCCGTCCCCGTTTCCACCTCTTTTGCTAATTCAGCGTTGAAATCTTTATTCAGTACAGGCTGCTGGGCAGTTATATCTTATCTACTACTGCTTCTCACGTCGCTTGCTATTCTTATTGATATCCTTGTTCTTCCCATTTCATTGCTGCGTCTCATCTCTTGAAATCAGGCTGTCTATTTATTAAGCCGACCTGTCGCAATGTCGACTCAAATAACCACTCCTCCTACCCCTAAGGGCTCTCGGAACAATCGTCGCAATCAAAAACGAAATGGTACTACTCCTTCTGCACAGAATGCTTCGGTTCTCGCAACCCCGCCATCTTCGCCTCCAAGGGCCGTAAGTCCTAGAGGGGCCACGACTGACTCATCCAACAATGTCACCTTATCCAAGAAGAAGACCAATCGATCTGCCAGGAAGCCTCGAGACATACCCAAGACCTCTCCTGTCAATAATAATAAAGGTCACCGCCATACCTCTTCACACCCCAACAATAACATCACCACCCCTCAGTTAAAGGACAGTCCTCACTATGCCGGTCCGACCTTCCACGCATCGCCTGCTCCCTCAGCACTGCCGATTCCAAGCTTCTTTTCCAAATCTCTCCCGGAAACTGACCTTGCACCTGCCCTGGAGCCGGATAGCGATGGCTTCGATGCGGAGCCAGATATGGAGGGTACCCCTTCGAAGCCCAAGGCGCGCCCAATAATTCCTCCCGAAAACCCGCAGTCAACACCCCTTGACTTCCTCTTCAAGGCTGCGGTTGAGGCTAGGAAAAGTCAACCCCAACAAAGCCCGGAGCCGAGCCCCAGAGTCAGATCGCCGCAGACCGATTCAAAAGCTCTTCAACAACGCAGGTTTAACCATGCCGCAGCCGGGATGTTTCCCCTTGAAATGGAAAGCCCAACCCCCCGTCATCCACAGATCGGGCCTTCATTCGCTCCGTCCTACAAAGATCGCATGAATGCTCTCCGGTCTGCGAGCTCGCCTTCTCCGGTCCTTAAGGACCTCGGTGAGGACGAACGACGAGCGAAAACAGAAGCGTTGAAGAATCTATTACTTAATCCTCGGCCCCAGCGGCCATCTTCTGCCTCTCATGTTGCCCATAATCAAGTTAACGGTCACCATGACCGGCCTGGCCCAAATCCAATGGTCCCTCATTTCGCGACTCCTCTAAGGACAAGCTCGGGGCCCCCAACCGCTGGCTCCTATCATTTGCCTTTTGATCAGCAGGCCCCTTCTACCAGAGCTGAGGCGCACTCACAATCCTCTCATATGCACCCGAATTCTCCACAGCACTTTAAATCGCAAAGCTCTGCCCTGCGAAGGGAGGTTCTTTCGTCAAATCCCGGCAATGCCCCAAATACGCCAAAGCAAGCGTACCATTCACCTTTCATGACATATGATTACGCCAAGTTCTCTGGTCAGCAAAATTCAACTTACTACGCCCAAGGTTCATCGAAGTCCCCTGTGTCACGATCATCGTCATCCAGCGCCAACTCTCAGGCTCTTGATACTAAGAAGATGGAGGACGATCTACGCCGAATCCTAAAACTCGATGTGACTCCAGGAATCCCACCTAGTGGTATGCAAAGCTCACTTGCATGATGCAGTTAGTTTCCGTTTCTGTTTGTTTCAACACTATTTGCCATGTTTCTTCGTCTACGACTCCTCGCAATTGACCCATGGGTATCCCCACGATTTCAATGTTCAGCCTCTCGATCTCCTTTTCTAAACCCACATGTTTGAGGATTTATACAGACTTTTGAGGAGTATTCTCTTTTGCTTTCAAAAAATTCGCTCGCTCCACGTCGCTGCCTTCGGGTCCTTCTTTCACCCTTCCGGCATCTAGGTTCCTCCATGTCCTTATGGTATAGTTTTCGGTGTTTATTGTGCTTTCGTTGGTAGCGGCTACTCTTGTGATTGGCAAGGTCAATTGGCTCGGTATGAGGAATTTTTTTATACTCTCGGTGTGCATCAAACCTGGAGTTCAGTTACATTTTTGAGCGCTGTTTCAACGCAGGGTTTTTTTTTTTCCCTCCCTCTACTTCTTCAATGCTTCAATAGTTGGGTTGTGATGCCATTCGTTCACGCACAGGTGCTTTTATTTTTATTTTATTTTTTTACTCCATTTTTACCTGTCAAGTCTCTCCATGGTTTTTGCCTGTTAAGCTTGTCGTTCCCTCTCTTACATGTTTCCTTCCTCCTGTTTGGGTATTCAACAAGTACAACCGCGTGCTTTCGTAACCGACAGATGTGATGTGACGATGACAGCAACCGCTGTTAACTGCTCTCATACTGCATTATTCTTCTCTTTATACCTTGTGCAACGTTCAATCGGCTATGGTCAGGTTGTTCGACGCATATCCGTTCTTTCCACTGCGATTCTTATGTGATATCTCTACATACATACTCTACTACATCGCCATTCCTTCTTTATTCAGGGGTTCACTGCCACATTCTTGCGACAGGGAAAAGCCTACTTCAACGATGTGTTCTCTCTTGAGTGTTCTTCAGTTTTCTCCGGTAGTCTCCTTTGTAGACTTGCTTAACAAGCGCACCATGCAGTATAAGTCTAGATGTAGAAAACGATAAAGTAGAGAGATATGGAGGAAACCCTCTCTAATTTTTATTTTTTTTTTATTTTTTTTTTTGGTTCCCAAGCCATGTCTCGGAGCGTGCGTCCGCCACCGCATGCACGGGAAAGGCTTAAACGCAGTTCAATTATTTTGACCGGCAGCGAGGGAGAGTGGGAAGCGGATCTATAGATAGGTCAAGCAAGCCCTGCAGAATTCGGAGCAAAAAATGATATCACGATGGGGAGTGAGTGGATTTCCGCAATTGGATGTCTGTTGGTAACGAGGAATGCGAGATGTTTTTGTTTTCGGCTGGCGGGCTTGACAACCCTCCTCTTTTCTGTTGGATTCATAACGTGAGAAGAGTGTTTATTTTTGATTTTGATTTTGATTTTTAAATATAGATCATTGAGTATTTTCAAGAATACTATCCTGGTGGCAAAGATAATTATAGACAGGTACCATACATACACATACAGAATTACAGATTACATAGAAAAGTTCTGTAAGCATACATTGTAATATGGGAGATGCTTTCCAGGGGTACAAAAGTAACAATCAAATCAAATAAAACAATCATAATTTAAATCGTGGATGCCAGCGTCGCGCCAACCCACACACTAAACTAACCAGACGCAAAAAGAAACCAATCTTCTTTCTCCCTTCTCTCCTCCTTCTTCTCTTTTCCCCGAAGTCATCATCATTCATTCCTATCCGATCCTATTCCAGCTTCTTCCTCTTCTCTCTCTCTCTCTCTCTCTTTTAAACGGAAACACTTCCTCCTCGCAGCTTGGATCTACCAGAACCTAATTCTAGCCTTGTTACCCACTGACTCCTGTCTCGTTGATTCCTTCGATCCTCCCTTTCTTACTCTCCTTCCTCCGCGGGCTTTTCTCGACTCATATTCCCCCACCCCCCCTTTCTTCGACTTCAGTTATCCAATGATCTGTCTGCACTCTGCTTAAAAACCCTCAGAAAGACTCGCTTTTTTTGTTGTTGTTTATCATCCCCTCGTATCTCTCTCGCGTCAACCCGCCATCATGGCGAATCCGTAAGCACCTCCCTCTCTCCCTGTCACACTACCTGTCGGTTTGCATTTTCACCCCAAGGCTAATTTTTTTTTTTTTTTCCTATTTGATGACCACAGTCTCAGTTCAGCATGGCGTTCCTTTTGGCATACGATGACCTCCTATGATCGACATGCGTCCCACGACTCTCCCTACCGAACAGGCCAACATGTTCCTCTCAGTCAGAGTCGCCATGAACCTCTCACGTCGATAGCGACAAGCGCTATCGAGTCTCGACCAGATCTCACCAACCCCTATGAAGATGAACAGCCCAGGGGCTGGAACGGCTCCCCAACCGGCATCGCCTCCCCGAACCGCCCTTATTCGCCCGGGATGCGATCTATGTCTTCACAGCAACGACGATCAACTGATCAAGGTCCAGATGGGCCTCCAGAGATCCAGATGCAGAGCTTCCACGATGGCGCACCACCCCCTCCTCCCATTGGACATTCGTGGCGAAAAATAGAACGCTGGTTGGAGAGCAATTACGAAGAGCTTTACGACAACCTCTGCGAAGGTTGCACCCAAAATGACATTAATGAACTGGAACATGAATTAGACTGCAGCCTGCCGTTGGAGGTTCGGGAATCGCTGATGGCCCATGACGGCCAGGAACGCCCGGGTCTGCCAACGGGTATCATCTTTGGCTGCATGCTTCTCGACTGTGAAGAAATCGTCCAGGAGTGGAAAAACTGGAGAACCGTCAACGAAGAGTTCCTGGCTACTTCCAACATGGTTAACCCTCCAGTCGCCCCCAAAGCGACAGCGAGCTCCTCGTCCGCCCCCCCCTCGGCTCAGGGCGCTAATCCGATGTGGAGACAGGACCTTCAGGAGCGACAAGACTCTCAACCCCCTGGTGCGGTCCAGAAGGCCTACGCCCACCCGGCTTGGATCCCTCTTGCCCGTGATTGGGGTGGTAACCACATTGCGATCGACCTGGCTCCCGGACCCGCGGGAAAGTGGGGCCAAGTCATTATCTTTGGGCGTGACTACGACTGCAAATATGTTGTTGCTCGATCCTGGGCTGCCTTCCTCGCCGTGTTAGCAGATGACCTCTGCAGCGGCAAGTCTATGGTGGATGAAGAAACCAACGAACTCAAGCTCCTGGAATTTAAGGCCCAAAACGTCGAACCCCCTTACTTGGAGATTCTCAGGTGGAGGACGGACCAAAAATACGGCAGAAAGGCACCTCGCCGCAAGGCTCCCAATGGACTGGGACTTAACACTGGCAGCAAGTCCGGGAAAGAGTCCCCTTACGGCAGCCCAGGGCCTAGTGAGGAGCGTGGAAGGTCACCCCACCGCTTCCCCAATCGCGGTGCTACTCAGAGCCCCAAGACGCAATTCGGTATTTCTAGCCCACTCGCGCGTGTCACCGAAGAGGTGTCAAGCCCGGTACGTGCCAGCACCGAGGACAAACTTGCCGAGGATGCTGGCAAGGCGGCCTCGAAAGAATCCCAGATCGAGGATCTTCTGGAAGTTTCAACCCCCCACGACTCGGGTAAAGAGAATGAAAGATTTGGTGAGCAGACACCCACAAAGAAGTCATCAGAGCCAGAAAAGGCGCCAAGGCGTGAATCGAACCAGGGAGCCTCGACCCCGGGCTTGGATAGCGAGGTTTTGGGCGAAATGAAGAATGTTGCCATCTAAATGCCGGTTTCCTATTGCGTGTTTTCCCTTCCCTGATCCTCCTTTCGCGATTATTGGCAGATTGATTCTGCGGTTCTAACACATGGCTCTCTCTTTATCTTGTTTTCTTTTTTCATTGAAGTGTGTCAGGCGCAGTTACCAAGGCGATGGGGTTTGTGTGAAGATTATTTGAACATCCTTGTATAAACTTCTTCCATTCTTCTGTTTTTCCCTGTGGCCTTAGCAGTCAGTCCCTCTGTGGGGATCTGCGACTTTCTTCGTTTGGTTTGGGATGGTGAGCTGATATGCTATTTTTCCTATATTGTCTGTAACTTTATTACCGCAGTCATGCAGTGTTAGTTTCTCAATTTTGTCTTGTTGCTCTTCATTAATGTTACCCATATACACACGCATGATGATGATTGCTCTAAATTCCATCTTGCTTTCATACCTAACAACCGACACTTGCTTGCGGCTCTACCGCTCTGGCGTTCACTTTGGACGCATATGGATGGATGCGAGGTGTACTTTTGGTCTCTGTAATAATGTCTGGTAGTATTATCATACTTGTATGTCCGGATATAGGGCCCTGGCCCCTATCCAACTTGGGAGGTGTATATAGGAGGGATTGTCCTGGCTTACAACCACCAACCCTCGCAGACAGACATACCAGAGAACACTCGAGGCGGTTCAACTGGGTGTCAATTCATTCGGTAGCCACAACTCCCTAGCCAGCACATCTCAGCTACCTAAACTGCGGGCCTCGACCAGCAATATTTCCCTCTCCTATCGCGAGGGAAGCCATTCCTTAAGCTAACCTGCACTGCACAGCCCATTCAATCTATTTCAATCCCAATCATCATCATCGTCGTCGTCATCGTCGGCCTGATTATCGCGCCTCCCACTACCCCGTGCATTCCCCGTTCGAATCCCCCTTCTCCGCGGCCTCCTCCTCCTCCTCCTCCCTCCTCCTTCACCCTCACTCCCGCTTTCATCGTCCTCTTCATCCTCCTCATCCGAAAGCCCGCCACTCTCGCCAGCCCTAAACTTGGCCTGTCCCAAAACCCCCTTAAACACCAACCTCCTCTCCAGCGTCGCCGTACTAAACCCACTTGCCCCGTCGCGCCCACCAACACCCAACCCTTCGAACCCAACAACGCGCTCCACTCCAACCCCATCCTTAAACCCAATCACGCAAGGCAGAACCCGAATCTTCAATTTCTCCACGATGAAGGGCGCATGGCGCACATCGACCCGGGCAAATTTCACCTCGTGGTGTCGACTTGCCAGCGCGCGGATATGTTCGTCCATGACCCCGCACTTTGCGAAATCCGGGTGTGCAAAGTGGATCACACACCGGTTTGTTTGCGTGGTGAAGTCGAGGATTGTTGGGTCGGATATTAGGGTCGGGTAGAGCGTGTCTTGCTGGACCATTAGGGTTGCTACCGCTGCTGCTGCTGCTGTTGCGGACGACGAGGGTGCGCCAGCGGAGGTTCGAGGATCGTACTGGCTCGAGGCGAATTCGGCATTGAGTTGTTCGATTCGCGAGGCGCGGTAGGCGGGGTCGTCTTCGTCTTCGAGGGCTTTTAAAATGGCGTCGTCCGAGTCGGAGTCGGGGTGGTCTTGGGGGGTGTTGAGGGTCATTTGTATTGTGGATTTGGATTGGGTTCGGTTGGATTAGGTGTAGTTGTTAAGTAAGGTAAGGAGAGTGAGTGCAACTGATTATTGTAGAATTGTAGTGGGGGAGGGAGAGGATTTTGTGGTAGTGTGGTTGAAAAAGTGAGGATGTACCACGCCGCGCCCAAATATATATATAAACTACGGAGTGTCTCCTACTATCAACTTTACTACCGTGTTTAAAGTGTGTGGGTGAAGTACATCAAAACATATATAGATATATACTAGATATATCAGGTTATATTCTAAATCTACTTATTCAATGCGCATTCGTACACTTAATCAAGGCCAATTGAGCTATGTTCTTTTTCTTTCTTTTCCTTTTTTTGCTCTGGTCTCAATATAACGGTATGACCAGACTAGGAAGACAAATTCTCTCTCTAACTAACCGACTAAAAGATAGTTAACTAGTGAACTACAAATAGAAATGCTTAGCAATAGTGAAATTGATCTAAATCCGTAGCCTTGAAATAGGTAATTCTTTAGTATAAAATAGATCAAGGACTCAATTCAATCATTACGTGTAATATACGTGACCATACATACCAAAATACCAGACGGTATTGCCCGTTTCCGGAACTGACGGCGCCAAACCTGATTGGGCCATGTTATTACTGCCAGGAACTTTTTCGTCTCGCAATCTCCATCCAGTCTCTTTCTCCTTTCTATCGGGGCTCCTTTTCAACGTTCTTTCTCGTTGCTTTCCTGCTGCTTCTTCTTCTTCTTCTTCTTCTTCTTCTTCTTCTGTTTCTTCTTCCTTTCCTCTTCCCCTACAATTTAAAAATATCTTGCTTAATTACTTTCCCTAGTGGTTTCCTTTCTCCTTTATCTAGATATACTTACTGCCTAATCTTCTTGATCCGCACCGCCCCCCCGTCTTCGGTCGCTTTTGGACTGCGAAAGCCTCCCCTTTTCTTAGCGACTTCACAGCACCTCGTCTAGACGAGCGTATCATCAGGCAAGATGGTGGATAACAGGAAACCAGACGACTACGCAATCGAGATGGAGAAGCTGGGCCAGAACAAGAACTTCGAGGCGCCGCCGCCGCCTCCTCAACCTAGAAGCCCTCCGTCCAGTCCACTTGCCAACAGTGCGGCTCTGCCGGTCCTGGCGTACTGTGGATCATCTATTTTGATGACCGTTATGAATAAATACGTCCTTTCCGGCACAGGTTTCAACCTCAACTTCTTCCTTCTTTGCATCCAGGTATGCTGGAGATTTCCACACTAGGGGTCGAATTGACAGTCGCTGACCGGGGGGATTTGGGTTTAGTCTATCGTCTGCATTATCGCGATTCAAACGTGTAAATCCTGCGGTCTGATCACATACCGTGATTTTAACCTAGACGAGGCTCGCAAGTGTACGTATCCCGTGGTCGTTCGTGGCTTTGGGGGCGTGACTGACCCGCTTTCTCTGCAACAGGGTTCCCAATCACTCTGCTTCTTATCGGTATGATCTATACCGGATCTAAGGCTCTGCAGTATCTTTCGATCCCTGTCTACACGATCTTTAAGAACCTGACCATTATCCTTATCGCATATGGCGAGGTCCTGTGGTTCGGTGGCTCTGTAACTGGGCTCACCTTGTTCTCGTTCGGGTTGATGGTTTTGAGTTCTATTATTGCGGCCTGGGCCGACATTAAGCATGCCGTTGAGGGTGGTGGTGATGCCACTGCCAAGGTCTCGACCTTGAACGCTGGATACATCTGGATGTTGGTCAACTGCCTGTGCACCTCCTCCTACGTCCTGGGAATGCGCAAGAGAATCAAGTTAACCAACTTTAAGGACTTTGACAGTATGTTACCGTTCCTTGAATAACCTAACCAGACTCCACATATCTAACTCCCGGGTCTAGCCATGTTCTATAACAACCTTCTCTCGATCCCTGTCCTGGTCGTCTTGAGCGGTCTGATCGAGGATTGGTCACCCGCTAACGTCACCCGCAACTTCCCTCCCGTTGACCGTAACGGTATTGTGTTCGCGATGATCCTCTCTGGATTGTCGTCCGTGTTCATCTCCTACACATCCGCCTGGTGTGTTCGCGTGACATCTTCAACCACCTATTCCATGGTTGGCGCTCTCAACAAGCTGCCCATTGCCATCTCTGGCTTGATCTTCTTCGATGCGCCTGTGACCTTCCCCAGTGTGTCGGCCATTTTTGTCGGGTTCGTCAGTGGCATCGTGTACGCTGTTGCAAAGATCAAGCAAAACGCTAAGCCCAGGATCGGCATTCTGCCCACCTCCAACCCTGTCAGTGCGAGCAGCCAAAGCATGAGGGATTCTCTCCGATCCTAACTGAGATGGCTCTTGTCTCACCTCATACCTAAAGCTGGACATACCCCGGGGAGTATGCTTCAATAATGACAATTTATTCCCCCGTATGTGATATGTGACTCACGTTTCATGCTTGCAGAAGGTAGCCCTGCAGTCTCGATTGAGCCGCAGCTGGTTCCACATTGGCAGGTGTTGGTGGTCTTGTATTTTATCTTTTGGCTCCAGATCGAGCTGGCACGCGATTTCGTTTGCTTTCGGTCTCCCCTCCGTACCAGGGTGATGCCCTCCCTTCATTTACAGTTAATGCCTTGCCTTCTGCGGCGCAAACGGGCGCTTTTTCTTGCGAGTATCATCTAGGAATATCGGGCTCTGCTATCTCTGCGTTTACTTGGTCAAGGCATATATATGTTTACGTTTCCCTGGTGCATGCAATAAAGGCCACAGGGAAAGTTGTCTGCGGGTCGCATATGAAAAGGGAAGATCTTTTCTAGGCGATTGAGTTTGTATATATGGATTTTCATTTCTCTTTTTTAATATGCTATAGAAAGCGTCTTTTGGATGATCCATCATGGCTGTCATGAATTAATTCGTATACATAACATAATCTCTAGAGCAATATTTTAACTAATTGTCGTATAACAAAGTTAGACATAGTTGATAAGTAGTTGTTGACGTGGACGCAAGTAAAGCAAAGCAAAGTAAATTTACTCATGGCGTGCGGGCCCTGTGGCGGACCGAAAAGGAAACTCGGGTTTCCAATTTTTATACCAGCTCCAAAAAAAAAAAAAAAAAGAAAAGAAAAGACGCGCTTTACCCACTTCTTCTTCTTATATAGCCCAATCCCTCCTCTAAACCCAACCAAGTGAAGAAAGAAAGAAAGAAAGAAAGAAAGAAAGAAAGAAAGAAAAAAAAAATATGGTAAAGCCTAAAAGGCTTCGACCCCAGCATCGGAACCCCAGTATGCGTCCCGGCCACGGACAAGGACAAGCCCAGGGAGGAAATCTCAAAGCAGCAGCAGCAGCAGCAGCAGCAGCAGGAGAAGGCGTTAAAAAGCACCGCAAGATGCATACCTTTTCGAAGCTCTCCACGCAGACCAAGAACAGCAGCAGCAGCAGCAGCAGTAATAACTCTCTTGGGGGTTCACGGGGTGCTCGGGCTCGGGCTCAACCACAGCAGCAGCAGCAGCAGCAAAAACAACATGTACATGTACAAGTACAGCATCGAAGACCGATTGTGCCGTTTTCGAGAAGGGATCGGGTGTTGTTAGTTGGGGAAGGTGAGTTTCATTCATTCATTCATTCATTCATTCTTTTTGCCCTCTTGTTTGTTTCTTGGGCGGGGGGTTTATATTATTATTATTATATTTACATTCTTTTCTAACGTTATATTACCTATATACAGGGGATTTCTCATTCGCTCGCTCACTGGTTCAACACCACCATTGCAAGCAAGTCACGGCGACATGCTACGACTCCCAGGAAACACTGTATGGCAAGTATCCGCAAGCAGAGAGGAATATCAGTGATATTCTCGGTGCGGGTTCAGGCCATTGTCGTTCGAAGAACCATGCCAATGCCAATGCCAATGATGAAGAAGAAGAGCATGCAGAGCACAGGGAGGAGGAAAGCAATGAAGCCCAAGCCCACAAATCCAAACTCATTCGTAAACCCCATGTGCTCTTCTCAGTTGATGCCCGGAAACTCGGCTCACCTGCTGGAGGCGGCAAAGATGTTCGCGTCGGATATCCGCGTCGAGAGCGCAAGCGGCCTGCGTGGGAAGAGGCCGCTGCGCGGAAGAAAGGCGAGTGGGTGAAAGAGGTGAACGCCGGCGGGGCCTGGGATATGATTTGTTTCAATTTCCCTCATGTTGGCGGTCTTTCTACGGACGTGAATCGGCAGGTGAGAGCGAACCAGGAACTTCTGGTTGCGTTTTTCAAGGCTTGTGTGCCGTTGTTGGCTTCGAGGCCGGACGTTAGGGATGATGATGATGATGATGAAGAGGAAGAGGAGGAGAGTGATGATGGTTCGGCTACGGGTAGCGATGAAGAAGATGATGATGAAGTCAAGGCGAAACGTGAGTGGAGGACTGAACCCGGGCAGATTTTGGTGACTTTATTCGAAGGGGAACCGTACACTTTGTGGAACATTAGGGATCTTGCGCGCCATGCGGGCTTGAAGGTTGTGACGAGCTTTAAGTTTCCGTGGACTTGCTATCATGGATACTCTCATGCGCGAACGATAGGGGAGATTGAAGGAAAGGATGGAGGGAGAGGAGGATGGAGGGGTGAAGATAGAGACGCTAGGACATATGTGTTTGAGGTCAAGACGGAGGACCACGTACCAGCCCCGGGGACTGGAAAGAGGAAGAAGAGAGCAGCAGATACAGACGAATCCGATAGTGATTAACCTGTTCAATAATTTACGTACAGCGACTAATACCCCCCTGGCTTGAAGCTGCCTCATGAGTGGTATTAAAAATGCAAAATATAGGAGATGAGGACGGACGTTCCGCGCGCCCATTTACATGATATAAACTTTCTTAAGGTCACTCTCATCGAAAATCTCTCCAGTGGTAGGGTCTTTGACCTTGCCGGCCTCGAGTGAGCCCACCTTCTTGCTCATCTCGAGCAGCCGCTGCAGGCCGTATATCCTGCCATTAGGCAAGACGATTGGGTCATTTTCGACAGAACTCTTAGTATGGTGAGCATATGGCATGTTGCGAGCAAGCTCATTCAACTCCGTGGAGCAGATAGGGCACACGGATGTTGTAGTGGACAGAGAGTTAGAGCTTGAGGAGGTATAAGCAGAGTGGCATGATGGTGTCTTGAGAGCGGAAAGTCCCGCCGATAAGGCAATATGTAACAATGGGCGAGAGGGCAATGAGAGAAGCTCGTGGTGCGTGCGGACGAATAGGTCTGAAAGGTATGTCCAACGGCCGGAGCAATACATGGACTGCAGCTTGTTAGAGGAGTTCCGCTTGTACTACACACATAAGGTTAAATAAATAAATACCCTGTAAGGTTCTGCCTTGGTATCCCGGGGAAAAGCGAGCAATCCAGCAGCCCGATGAATTTCCGCCGACTGTGTCTCTATATACGGAGCGAGATACTTTTTGGCGTGTACCATTGCTTCGGCCACTTTTGCTTTCTCTCCTGTTCGGATCATCTCGATGTATTGTTGCAGTCGCAGTTCAAACTCTAGATTGTACTATTATCTCTGTTAGCACCGTGAAAGGAGTCAATCACGAGAAATAGAGAAATAAATTTCACTCACCTGACTTTTCTTCAACGCAGCTTTATTCTCACTGCACCACTGTAGAGCATCTTTGGTCTCTCCGCGGCGGAGACTCTCGGCAACCCGCTGACACTGCACGAAGACATTGAGATCAACAAGATCCTCAATGTCCTTGTCCCGAGCCAATTGCTGAGCACTCTCAGTATACCCCAAGCGTAACATATGATCGACTACGAGCCTATCGAGCCGCACCCTCGACCACTGGTCATACTTGACGTCAGCCAAGTTGGGAATCTGGTGAAGACATTCCAGATGCTGAATGCGCTTTCTGGATTGATCATGGATGTTCTTCTCTTCCTGCTGCAAGCTTTCCATTTTACGCTTCAAGCCCTGCATGCGGGCTATCATGGCTTCGAGGGCGGCGAGTGTCTGATCAGGTGTTTGGGTGTCGGACATGGAGGCTTTGGCGGCCTCTTTGAGTGCGGGGAGGACATATTCTTTTTCTCGTTCGACAAGACGCTGGACGGATTTGAAATTTCTTCGGGCGAGTTCATGGGGTAATCGAAGGAGAGGTTGATCCTACAGGAAGACCTTCATGTTAGTAGTGAGAGGTAAGGTGAAGCAGAAGGGGGAAGGGGGGGGTCATCGGAACTGATATACCAAAAGTAGGTGATTCTCCGCGTTGAGCTTCGTCGAGGTGAGTTCCGCCGCCATGCCGGAACAAGGTGCTTGTGGGATATGCAGAAGGGCTTGGACAAGAGAACGCAAGTCAAAATAGTTGATTAGAGGTGGTGAAGACTGTAATGACTCCTGATCATCGATTCCAGCCGGCTGTAACGTTGTTCGAGCGCCTGATGCAGAGGGTTGAAGTGAACTATCCCCAATTAGGAAATAGACTCTATTTGGATGTCAAGATGAATCTTGTCGATGGAGTCGAACAATAGTTAGTTATAATGAGAAGATTAATAAAAGATTATATATTTTGAAAAGAGATGCTGATCTTACTTTGGTGAATCTTCTTTCCTCCCGACCAACTCCGTGCATCATCAGAGCGACATCCAACCACCACAAAGTGACTGATCTGATGCTTGATTCGATTCGTTAAATAAGAGTCAATATCCCCAAGACTTCAGTACACGAATATATTGAATATTTTTGCTTTGTCTCGAAGCTAAGTACTGATACTGAACGATAACATAGATAAGAAACCAGATAAATTAAAATTCATTCCCTTTTCAACCCAAGACTCCGATAGAAGAAACAAATATGATACAGGAATCTTGCCCAAGTAAGGAGGCCCTGAGATAAGAATGCGTGAGCGCGTAGATGCATTTTCAGCGAAGAAGCGCTTTTCAGTCAGAGCCTGGCAAGTGACTTCCTGGAAGGACTTAATCACTGTCGTCACTGTCGTCCTTCTCCTGCTTGGACTTCCTCCGTTCCTTCTTTTCCTTCTTCTCCTTCTTCTTGCGCTTACGCTCAGCCCGCTCCTCGGGGGTTTCCCCCTCATGTCTCTTGCGCTTCTTCTTGTCATCATCCTCATCAACATCCATCTTGCTCTGTGGGGACGATGGGACATCAGCCTCGGGGGCAGCGGTCTCTTCCTTGGAAGTGCCCTCAACTTCTGCCTGAGCAGATGCTTCCTCTGGTGCAGAGTAATCCTTGTAGTCGCTCTTCCACTTGGCGGGGGTGGCTTCGTTAGTCCGGCCGTATTTCTAGAAAAAAAAAAAACGGCATTAGTAAGATAAGAGCGAACATCGAATGGCCAGAATACTCACATCAAGCTTGCCGGCAGACTTGAGCTTCTTCTTCTCCAGAGCAACAGGGCCCAATCCCCAGCGGCGGGGGTACAGGTCACGCTCCATGATGCAACGCTTGACCTTGGCAACAACACCGTGGTCGCAGGTGGAAAGCTCAACGGTGGACATTTGGGCAATACCAATAGCGATGGCCTCACCCTTGGTAGTCATGAGCACAACCTCCTCGTTAAGTTCAATACCAGCCTCTTTATACCAAGTTAGTCATTCAACTCTTAATATTGCGATTGAAATAAATGAACTCACCGAAGCGGAGAAGACCAGGAATCATGAGCTTGGCACCATAGCACACAGCGTTGACGGCGCTGTCCTTGACAACGATACGCTTGTAGCTTGTGAGGAGAGTCTCCAGAGGCTTGATGACCTTGCGGAGGTAAGTCTCGTCCCTCTGGTTGTCATACATCCACTGGGCGTCCAAAACGTCGTGGAGAGTAACCATGCCCTTGTTCTCGTCCATGGCTCCACTGCGCACACGTCTCAGCTCCTGCATGTGAGCACCGACACCAAGAAGGAGACCGAGGTGAACACAGAGGGTACGGATGTAGGTACCAGCCTCACAGCTGACCCAGAAGACACCGAGATGTCTCTCATTGTCGAACTCATACAGTTTGCTCTCGTGGATGGTTCTGATACGGAGTTGACGCTTGACAGCAGAAATAAGGGGAGGACGCTGGAAGAGGGCACCAGTCAAGGTCTCCAAAGCCCTCTTAAATTGAGCCTCACCACCAGGGATCTTGTCGTGCAAGCGAATGACACAGACGTACTCCTTTCCAGCACCTTGTTGGGACTTGACGAGACGAGTAGCGCGATCAATGCAAACAATCAAGCAGCCGGTGACCTTGGGATCGAGAGTTCCACTGTGTCCCGTCTTTTCCGCCCTGTAAAATAATCCAATGATTCAGCACTCCAGGTCCAACCACGGAGGATAACCCGGTATTTACCTCAGAATTCTCTTCATCCAAGCAACGACTTCATGGCTGGATGGGTTGGAAGGCTTGTCGAGATTGATCACACCGGAACTGATATACGACTTGAGGTCTCGCTTGAGAGGAGAGCAACCAGCGGGAATGGGGGTAAAATGACCAGTCCTCACGAGAACTGTTGAAACAGTATTAGTAAAAGTTACTTCTGGCAAACGTACACGACTCGCAGAGGAGTTTTTTTTTTATGCCTGTAATTATAGAGCAGAGCATGAGATTAACGCGAACATACGCTTGTCATAATTTTTGAGGAGCAGAGGCCAGTCCTCTGTAGAAATGTTGGAGGAAGAAGCCTCCGGCTTGATTGTGTAGTCCACTTCTTCCTTGGCCATTGCGACTGCTATTTGGAACAGGCTGGCTCAAACAAATGCAAGGAAGTCAGCGAAATGCAGGTGTTGAGAAGAAGTACGGGAAAAGTGCACTTCCTGGACTCGAGATTTTGTTCTGCCGCTAGCGAGGAAGAAGATCCAGAAAAATTTCAAGTGCGCCAAAGAGCTCCGGCGACAAATGCGGTTAGTGCACAAATTTCCGCAAACTGTCACGTGATTAACCCTTACACTCAAAAAAAAAAAAGATTCAAGTTGTACAAAGAGGAGAGATTCAAATATGCTGATGAAGAATCGCATTGAAAATAATTACGGGAAAATCTTTATCATACAAGGTGGTGAAGGGCTGATTGAGCATTTTCAGCCGTCCAAGCCGTAAAGGTGTGTGTAGGTACGGTTTACCTAGGACCTATATCATTCATAATTGAGGATCTCATCCGTGGGCATCAGCTCCCTCCAAGTCTTCGTCCTGAGCCCCTGCTACCCCATGTATTCTGGAAAGAAGATGTCCAGCCGCTAGGTTGTTGTGGTTCTTCAGCCTGGTTGGCGGAAGGTCGGAAAGCCCTTCCATAGCTGCGGTGCTCACCCTCCCGTAGATAAACGGCGAAGTATCTCCTCACGAATCGTGGAGTGGTGATCCAGTTTCTCCCTCCACCAAAGGTGGGATAGATCCGGGTCAGAAAGTCATACAAGTGGGCAGCCACTAATCCCATGCCCTCGGATAATGCTGCGGGCCACCCAGCGGTGACCAAGGTCAAGGTGAGCATTGCCCAAGGCAGAAGCTCGGTAGGGATTTGGATGATTATGAAGGTGGTTCTAGTGCCTCTATTATCCTGGGAGTACGTGAAGACAAATGCCAGAATCAAGGCTGTGGCGTATTAGTGTAAGCAAATATATGCGAACCTCGCAATGAGCTTACCAGAGGTAAAAGTTACGCTATTCAGAATAAAGCCTGCGGTGCCCTTCGGGGTTGTCAGCAATTGCTGGGCTACATTTGGGAATGTGATGTGAAACAAAAAGTAAAATGGGATTTCAGGTACATAATGGTATAGAGTAATGTAGGGCACCAAAACCACCTGCGCAAACTGATTCCTTCACGCAGGCTATCTCACTGGCAGTCCCACCATTCCTGCACGTATATGGCCCTGTAAGGATCAAAAAAGAAGGCACCATATGCGATACAAGGGTGATCTTCCTCGTTTCCAGGAACCGCTTCAGCTAGAATATGGCTGGGCGGGCAGATATTGCGAGGTGTCTGGGAGATAAAGGGGTGGGTGGGGATGGAAGCATGGCAATGATAAAGACGGAGGTTCTATCTGATAGATACAGTTGAAGTGGATGCTTCCAGAACTTACCATGATAACAGAAGCTACAAAGACCACGTAGGTGAAGAAGTCACCAGGCGCAGTAAACCGAGGCGAGCCGGTCTCTAGCTTGCTTGCATAGGTATACACTACCGTCGGATTAGCAGAGCTAATAGACGGGATTGCCGTGGCACTGTACTGAAATAGAGATCGAAGACGAAACCAATCCCGCCTCCGGTCAGGAAGAACGGCGTGAACAATCTCCAGACCTCAGGCCATATCTTAAAGAGCAGGCGAGGTAAGAAGAGTACACGGAAATACTTAAGCAGCTGACCATGGACGAGGACAGACTCGACAAAAGTGATGGCAGTAATTGTCCTGTTCAAGACAAGAAAAAAAAAAGTTAGTGGGATACTAATTAAGAGCGCAGAGTAACATACCTGGCCACAACAGGAGCAGACCAAAAGAAATCCATTGCTGCTGGTAAGTATGTATTTCAACAACCACGGTATATTTTATGGATGATGGTTTCAAATGTTGGAGTTAATGACACTTCATTCTGTGTCAATATCCCTAAAGTTGTGGACTGTAGGTGGGAAGAGATTGTAAGAGGACAGAAACAAAAAGAATCAAATTTAAACGTTTTGTCTAGCCTTGTTCGGTATATCATTTTTCCGACATAGCTTTGCGGCTCCACAAGCCATGCAATAATTATTCTTTTTATACACTAGGTACTCGCCCACTACCCATGCAATAATTGGTTGATAAGTACTGGAAGAACCAAATATTGACTACCTAGGTAGATAGCTGCCTAATGAAACGAGATAGGTATATAGTAGTTATGGCATATTCCTGAATCGTGTTGGAGCTTGCTGAATTTGCCATAGGACAGATGCATAAATGCCTGGCTAACTTTTCAATCTGGAAAGATAGCCCTTCGTATGTATGCAATGGTTAGACGATGGGAGAAGCGATATGGATGGCGACATTGCAACATCTCTATTGTATTTCGAAACCGGGGGGGTCATCTATGAGGTGTAGACCTATCGGTTTTAACGGTGCCTCTAACGGACAACCCGCCATTTTTGTCTTCGATCCATACGTCCCATGAAATTGTATTTCCCTTGCTTGGTTTGGGTTTGCCGCAGACCGCTAAGTCCTCTTCTACGAAAAGAGGGGCTAGATTTCTATACTCAATCTCTCTGATGGTTAACCCTTTCCCTTCTAGATGTGCTCGAAGAGCTGTGAGGAGCAGCGTCAACGTCAACGGTCCGTGTACGAGAAGGTTCCTATAACCTTCGACGTTTTGTGTATAGTTCTGGTCGAGATGGATCAAGTGCGCGTTGAACGTGAGGGCCGAGAAGCGAAACAATAGGGACTTTGAAGGTAGAATTGCATTACGAAACTCAGGATCCGAGGGAGCTTTGGAGAGAAGAAAGCGTTAGTAGGTATTCTTCGTGACTTCGGTCAAATTTACACACGCTTAATTGTTTTCGCGGCCTGGGAGAACTTTGCCTTGTCATCAGCAAGTTGTTTTGCAGTCTTATCCCGCATAAATACCAAATCTCGATTTTCGATGATTGATATATGTCCAGAGGAGCATTCATGATCGGTTTCACTCCATATTCTTTTCCTAATGCTACTCTCGTCTTCTCCTTCCTGTACAGGGCCGATGTGCCTCCCTATTTTGACGATTATTTTCTCCTCCCCGGGTTGTCCTTTCACTATGACATCTCGAATTCCTTCAATACACACTGCTCGACTGCCATCGAGAGGTAGGCTATTTGTAGCTGAGAATCTGATGCTACCCCCAGCCCACAAACGTCTGTTAAAGGGTTCTCCAGGGCTATGTAGGGTATCAGTTCCGTCGGGTAAGAGCTGCGAGAGTGTGACTTGGGGTGGGAAGTAGACCAGATGATGGCCTGCAGGGAGGTGAAAATGGCGCGTGATTGAAGGTAGAATTGTCTGCGGTTGATGCCCAGGGAAGAGGCCGCCCAATGTCAGATTCAGGAGATGCGACTGTTGTGTATGCAGATAATCGAAAAACAAGGGAATTCGTCGTGATGTCAATTCATGATGTAAACGTTCGGATAAGGAAGAGTAAGCTCGAGATGTGAGCGCTGGTTTGAATCGGCCCCACGAGCACCCTATTTGGAATGTAGATCTCTTCATTAGTAATCCCGAAAAGTCACTTGAAAAGGGCCATGGGTGACAAGTTATACAGGAGGAGCAGCTCCAATTTTGAGATGCTAAGTGAGCGGAGTTTGCGAAATAATCAAGTATGGGGTTTGTTGGAGTTTGACCTGTTTGTCTGGCAGACGATATCGGACCCAAATGTGATCCGCCGGTGTAACTTGATGGGAACAAGAACATATTCCAGTTCCAACCCCTTGTTCTTTAATCCAGAGCCCATTCCTATATATACAGCAGAAGAAACAAACTTCTTCTCTTCCATTCAGTGCTGCGAAAGAGTGTGGGCAGTGGAGGACGTCATGCAGCCCCTCAAAGTAACATTTCTAGGCCCCGCGGCATCTTTTTCCCACCAGGTCAGAAATAACCAAACCACCAGTCCCCCGGTCTAAAATCTTATAGTGTCGTTAATTACGGATTATTTTAGGCTGCCGTGGAAACATTTGGGGCCTCCTCTGAGCTACAACCATGCGTATCATTCGCAGATGCTATCACAGCCGTACAAAATCAAGACGCCGACTATGCCATCGTGCCTTTCGAGAACTCGACCAATGGATCTGTTGTCCAAACATTGGATCTTCTAGCGGACCGCAATGGTGTATATAGTGACGTGAAAGTGTGCGGAGAGCATTATTTGACAGTACACCACTGTATTTTGGCTCGAAAAGGAGCTATCCTAACCTCGCAACGAGACTACAGCTCCATAACGAAATTATATACACACCCACAGGCATGGGGTCAATGTGAGAAATTTCTTGGGAAGCACTTCAAGGGCGTGGAGAGGCAGGATGTCTCGTCTACATCCAAGGCAGGTGAGACAGTTTTGAGGACAACCTCCGAAATCAATGGGGCTATAGCCAGTCGGTTTGCAGGAGAGCATTACGGCTTGGACATACTTGAGGAGAACATCGAGGATGCAGCCAATAACACTACACGTTTCTTGGTGCTGAGGAACGTGAAGTCCGAGGGCACAAGTCGAGTTTCTTTTGAATCTACAAAGGCTTCGGTGTCCCAGGAACCGACCCGGTCTGTATCTGCAACAAGGACATTGATCTCGTTCATGATTCGTCAAGATGCTGTTGGGACACTAGCAGATGCGTTGTTGATTTTCAAGGAAGGTGGGATGAATCTCACAAGCATAAACACACGACCGAGTCAAATCGCGCCCTGGAAATATGTGTTTTTGGTTGAGAGTGAGACGATGTCTGGTGGTCAAAAGGAGGATACAGTACCGGAGATCATGGATGGGCTGCAGAAAGTCACTGAAAATTGCAGACACCTGGGGAACTGGACAAATCAGCTTGCGTCGAGATGAATATAAATAAAAATTTCATGAGTATAGATTAGCGATTATGAAAATCCCATAGATTGTTTGCGCGCAACTAAAGGTACAGTAGACTTGGTACGGGGGCCTCGAACTGTAACGCGAGCAGGGCGTTTTTACTGATATAGAAATCGAGCAGCATGTGTATGCTATGATAACCAAGACGTAGGGATATATTATAGAACCACCAAAGCTTTTTTTTTTTTTTTTTTTCAAACTATACTTGACGCGAGAAGCACAAAACGAGAGCAACTCTGGTACCAGAGGTTTACCAGAAGAAAACAATCTTAACTGCCAGCTCAAATTTGCATAAGCTAAACAATCCTTGGAATGGATGGCTGTAGATTATACGGAACGAATCCACCATCCATTTTGCAAATCACACCTCGTGTTAACCGAATAGGCAACCTCGGTGACCATGCTACGGAGCTTGGATGGCCCTGCCATACAACACATGTGTTAGCTAAATTTGGCGTAGCGTGGACAAATGAACATACCTCTGAGCAACTTCACAAGGATTTGTCCGGGTGGCATCACGGTGTCACTCGTGATGGCTACGGTACCGCCTTTGGAGCCGCTTTCGTTGATCGGGCGAGCCGTCAAAAGATCCATTTTTGGAACTCCTGGCCTTTCATCCTCGCTCTCTGCGAGGCCGCTCAACCGTCAATCTATAGAGGCAATTAGTACAAGAGCGTGGGCAGGTTTGTATCACCCAAGACATACCGTCATAGAATTCGTCATCGTCGTCCATGTCAGCAAGCTGTTCAAAATTGACCTTGTATCGGAGAATGGCTCCAATACCACCGAATCCCTTCACAAACTGGTTACCCTCGCTCGACCTGTCGGAAACGAATTCGAGGGCAGCACCAAAGTCCTTGTAGTTCTCGGCGAGCCATTCAAGGAACGAACCCTGGTCAATAACCTCCATATCTGTGCCGGTTTCCTTATCAATGAACATTTCGCGGTTTGCCTCTTGAGTCTTGTTGGTATGGAGGACAACTTCGGAGCCAGAAGATTCTTTGAGAACCCATCGGGTAACATCCAAGTTCTCATAAACAATGAGGGTTTCTGCTGCACCGAGTTCCATTGCTTTGAGAGTGTCTTCAACACCGTAGCAGACCTTTCCGGTATCTTGGCTGAGTTCCTCGAAGTACTTTCCAATGAGCTTCTTCTCCTGGACGAACTTCACATTGCTCAGGGTCTCTGAGGAAAGTTCAATGGCCTGATTAAAGCCGTTTTCTCCACCATAAGACACGTCGACGACCTTGATGACCTTGGCCTGGAGACGCTGATCAAACATATCGGACTGGTTCAGATCATTCTTGAAATCAGCAGAACCAGCCAGAATCAAACCGGCGACGTTGACTTTGTCATTGGTGATGTAGTTCTGAACCGCCAGCTCGGCAATCTTGCGGACATAGTTGTGACGCTTCTCCTCACGAAGACGTGCGAAACGGAGAGCGGACTGACCACCACGACCATGCTTTTTGGGTAGATCAACTGACAACTTTTGAAGCACTTCTCTTGTATTACCGCTCAGGGTACCGAAAAGCGCACCGTTACCGTCCATGATAATGAAACCAAACTTCTGATCCGAATCGAGAAGTTCGCTCAGGGCTTCAGTGTGGAACTTGTTGTCACAGAGATAAAGGGACGTGTTGATAGGCTTGAAGGGCTCGAAATCGATGTTGATCTTACGTTCTTTTCCTTCGGATGTGATAATTTCACCACAGTAAATAACCAAGCCGTTGGGGGGGACCTTGTTGTAAAGCTTGAGACGTTGCTGGGTAGAAGTAATGGCAGAGAGGACGGAAAGACGATTGACACGAGACTTGATGTTGGAGGCAGTACCCTTGAGAGTCACAGTTAGAGGCTACTGCTTATACTATATACACTCGGATGAAACTTACAAATTCTTCAGCCAACATCTTTGCCGCTCTGGATACCTGATCCTTGGGGGCTGCGAAGACAGATACATTAGACATTTCCTGATACTCGGACCGCAACAATAAAAAGGACTAGGGACGTACGAATGATGAGAGAGATCATGGAGGTTCCATTTCCTCGAGCGGCTTCGAGCCGCTTGATGAGCTTCTTAATCTTCCATATCTCAATATTCTTCTCCGCTTCGCCCCCCTGCGCCGGAACCGCACTCATGATGGGTGAGGCGACGATGCTATATGGCCCTGGTTAAAAAAAAAAAAAAAAAACTAGAAACTGGCCACCTGGTGCTGTATAGATTGTTAGCGGGGAACAACCGCCTTGTTAAGAACAGCAAGGGCGCTTTTTTAAACAGAGAAACAAGCACAAAAAAAGGCGATAACTGATATTAGGAAAGAGAAAGGGACAGAAACAAAATGAAAAAGCGAGTTACATACCTCGAGGCTGTTCAATTTGCCGTTCAAATCCAGCGGGATGTTTAAGCAAAATTCATCAGGCACCGTGGGGTGGCAGACACAATATGAGAGAGGGCCAACAGCCGCCCGTGATTGATGATGTAAGCTCGCTAGGAGTCCGGATTGTACCTGACGCTGACAAAGTTTCCGTGCAACCCAAAAGTTGTGATTCTGGCAGCAGCGAGTCAAATCCTATATAAGATCAGACGAGAAAATCTTGATTCATATGTGTGTAGTCAATATGTTTATTCCTTGGAACCATGAACAACTCCATGTAGGACCAATACTGAGGCAAAGTACTCTATACCTAAACCTGGTCGGGAGTCCACTCCCTTCGGTAAACCCTTGAATTCTGCCTCCCGCACACGGCCGCCTTTGTTATAACCAGAATTGATAAGATACAGTGTTATAAATATAATATGGGATATGGATACTTATGAGTAACCCAATCTGAATCTTGTTACAAATTAAACACTGTGACATGCATAACGGTATTCTTTTCTGGGTGATGATAGATAGATCGGGAGTGGTATAGAGAGCAATCCAGGATTCGATTCCCTACTGTGTATAGCTTGGTAACTTCCTAAGTTCCCTATAGTTACCTAGGTAGTTAGATATATCTGCAGCGGACGACTTATCTCTGGTCTTATCCAAACCCCCCACATCTTAAATTACCCGAAAGTAGCTCCCTAGGTATCGCCAGTCCCATGTCATTTCTCTGATTTTCTTATCTCTGTTTTATGTTATTGCCTTTGTCTCTACGCTACCAGGTAGGGTCCGCCTGCCAATGATACTAACCGCTCCATTGCTATTAAATAGATGAGGATAGTTTTATTAGTCGTTGGATCCCATTTCTTTGCGTCTTTCTGGAATCTTGGGGAGCTCACCATAAGCTCTAGGAATGCAGCTCTTTTCTCGGAATTGCACTCAGCAATTTAGGATTTGAGTCGTTTCTCTGTCTTGTCTGTTATTATCCTTTCCTGAGGCAGCGACTTTCCCAAACGCGCTACCCTACGGTCTTCTTCAAATTGTGTCTAGGAAAACTCTTCGGCTGGCCTTAACAGGACGCATCAAGGAAAGACACAAAAGAAAATGTTTGAAGAAGAGCCTGAAACAGATCAAAGCTACCACTCGGTGACATACAGATCACCATTTTCAAGCTCGCCCTTAGAGCCTAGCGACGACGGTGATCGAGAGGCTAGTGATGATAATGATCTTTTTCACAGGTCGAGGTAAATCGCATTGTTATCGAATATGGGATTGAAGCTGATGTTCACAAAATTCAATAGGTCGGCTTCCTTTTCTACACGTTTCCGACAAGCAGGCGGGGTTAACAGCATCGACAATTTCGCTCGGTCATGGCAACGAGCCGCGTGTTTCCCAGAAGTCATCCCCCGACAACCATCCTTCGTAGCCGCGGACTCTGATGATGAATGGCATCCGTCAGGGGCTGAATCCATTAGACCGCATGGCTCGCCTCCTCTCGATTTAGATCCGTCTCTCACGCGGCCTCTGCTGGGCATGCAGGGTGAAGCACATGGTAGTGGCATAGCTGGTCCGGGCCTTGCCGGGAAAGGGATTTTCAACGCTTCTCTTCTCGGATCTTCATTTGGGACATCATACGGTACAATCTCTTCTCGTGTTAGCGAATCGACCCGAAAGCATGTTATAGAGTTCCACAGGGAGCAACAAGCTCATCCTGAGCCACCCACGGGTCATGATGGAGAGCCTCTTCTCCTCAAACAGGTGCAACATGAGGATGGTACGCGAGAGAATATTGTAGTTGGCCAATCTACTGTGCCACAGACGATCTTCAACTCCGTTAACGTATTAATCGGTGTCGGCCTTCTGAGTTTGCCTCTGGCAATGAAGCATGCTGGGTGGCTCCTTGGTCTGATACTCCTTCTGTTCTCTGCAATAACTACATCTTACACTGCTAAGATTTTGGCCAAGTGCTTGGATGTGGATCGAAGCCTTGTGACGTATGCTGATTTGGCATATATCAGTTTTGGACACCATGCTCGCGTAGTAACAAGTCTTCTGTTTTGCTTGGAACTCCTCGGAGCTTGCGTTGCCTTGGTAGTACTATTCGCCGATAGCCTTCATGTTCTTTTCCCTGGCTTAAGCATCCTCCAATGGCAACTTGTATGTGGTGTGATGCTTGTGCCCCTGAACTTTTTACCTCTACGGCTACTGAGTGTGACGAGTATCCTTGGTATACTCTCTTGCACATCCAGTATGTTTGTCCCTTTTATACATTGATGATATTTAACCTGGGCTAAATGAGATAGTTGTGGTCATAATTTGCATCGACGGGCTCGTCAAGCCAGACGCTCCGGGCTCGCTTCGGGATCCTTCCAAAACTTACTTGTTCCCTGATAATTGGGCGACTATCCCTCTCAGTTTTGGGCTTATAATGTGTAAGTCATTTCTGAACATTATTAAAAGTGTCTGACACTCACTCTCTTAAAGCGCCTTGGGGTGGCCATGGAGTATTTCCCAACATATACCGAGATATGAGACATCCACACAAATACGCAAAAAGCCTCTGGGCAACGTACATATTTACAGTAAGTAATGAAAATACAAAACAGGCTGATTGTTTAGGTCTAACCCAAAGTTCATAATAGTATTCCCTTGACTGTGCAATGGCCATCCTGGGCTGGCTAATGTTTGGCGACGGAATTCGGGATGAAGTCACAGCCAACGTGTTAAGGGTAGACGAATATCCGCGGTTTTTGTCTATTTGCATAATAGTTTTCATTGCTATAATTCCAATCACCAAAGTCCCCCTCAAGTGAGTTTAAATGCCCGCAATTAACCCCCCCCCTCCCCGATGGCGCGACTTTCGAGATCACTAACGAAGTCTAGTTGTCGGCCTCTTGTGGCGACAGCTGAAGTCCTCTGTGGACTTGGGCCCCATATTGAATTGGATTCAAACGAGCATTCTGGTCGCAGAATTTTTTTCCGTCAGTCATTGAGCGCTTTTATTCGCATACTCGTTATAGCCCTCATTGTTGTTATGGCGATCATTTTCCCATCCTTTGACAGGATTATGGCGTTAATGGGCTCAGCATTGTGCTTTACTATTTGCATCATATTGCCTCTTGCATTTTATTTGAAGATCTTCGGGAAAGAGATTAGCCCAAAGGAACGACTGCTGGACTGGTTTCTTCTGATTATATCCTCAATTTCAGCGGTTGTCGGAACGGTGTGGGCATTATTGCCGCAGGAAATGATTTCTTCGCTATGAAGCATTTAGGATTCGGTGGATAGCGCGTTTCCTTCGTTCATGATTGTTTTGTTGCCTTATCGTTTTTTATAACTATTGCAAAATTATTTCTCGTTTTGCCGGGATTTAGCATCTCTTTCTTGAACTGCTTGGGTTCGCGTTTGCCGCTATATTCCCAAAGCTGAAATATTAATTTTGTTGTTTGCTTGCTTTCAACAAGAGAAAACCCAAGACTGGATAGGATATCATGTAGCCTCTGCTCTGTAAGGTATCGCGAATTGGAAACGCAAGGTAAGGGAAGCACCAGGAATAAGCTGGGCATAAAAGACACAGAGGAGTCGGGCAGTAGTGGTGCCTTGGTCAAAAAAGTGACACATCGTTTCAGCATCTCGCCTCGACCGACAGGGTCGGGAACATAATTCAGCACCAAGGAGAGGCTGATGATGTGAAATCGGTCGTCATCACTAGATGGAAGGCGCCTTTCCATGAAATCCTGTTTCAATATCCCAGGCTCCTGCGAGTTCAGATCGATTCTCGTCACATCCAGACCCTCATTCTGAGAACAGGCGTTTTTAGTGCTTAGGGCACCAACTTCCAGGACCCGAAGCTTAAAGGGCCTGTCCTTTAAAGCACCCAGTTGCGGATTAATCCAGTCAATGAGGACTTTACTCGAGTCGCCCCCGCGTTCCAGGGATTGTCCGATTTTGCTTGCGAGCTGGTAACTCTCTAACCCGCCATTTTGTTGAATCTGCGCGTCGAGTTTATCGGCTAGAGCTTTGTCGCCGGATCGCAATGCTTGGGCGTGAAGTTTGAGGAGAGTGTGATGGGAGCGTATGAGGTTCCTGGTTGCCTTTGAGGATAATGCTGGAGCGCTCTTTCGTATAGTTGGTGGGCGAGTGCGAGAGAGAAGCGTGGGTCGTTTAGCATTCCGCTGCTTTTTGGAAGTCATTGCTAGACGTGCTGTGCATGTTTGTACGTTTTTTTTTTGGGGGGGGGGATGCTTTCACGGAGGGAAAACACAATGTATGCGCTGGATATTTGGAATTGCCTTTGAACTAGAGCCTCCGGGGATATTTGTATACGATCAAAATCAAATGAAAGTATTAATTATGGTATGGGATTTGGAGGGCCTGCAAATTTATGCCGATATATGCCTTGTATAATGATACAATCAAATTTGTCGACCGCCTTTGACAGGAATTATTCACCGGCAGAAAGAAAAGGCGGTACAGAATAAAACCACAGATCGCCGCCAAGAAAAAAAAAAGAATTTCCGTCGGAAGGAAAGGTCAGGTGACCCACACAGCGGCGCGAGGGTTTTTGCTAAGCGAAGACACTCCGAACAATTCGACTTTCGACACTGCGACAATCACGACAACAGCGCCAAACGACAGCCATGGCCCCTAAAGCAGAGAACAAGCAAGGTAAGGCATATTTGAACCACTCAGTTATTTTCGTTCCGATATCAAATTGTCGATGTTGAGAGACTCGAGTTGGAGAGCGTTGTGAGGTGCTACTGTTCTGTGTCGATGATTTGTGCCCACGCAAATATACTCCAAGATGATAAGGAACAATTTTCAACATGCACGCAACTCGACTCCGTTCGATTCGCTGGCTCTTAACGCTCACATTTTGTCTGATTTCTTTACTCGACAAAAACGACGATTGAAACTCGCGATGCTTTTTTTTTTTTCTACTTGAATTCGAACATTCGCTTACGATTGTTTCTGTGAACAGGAAAGCCCAGCGCTAAGGCTGGCGCTGCTGCCAAGGCAGTCTTGAAGGGTGCAGGCGTACGTTTTTGACCCAGTCTCGATGCTGTGTATGCCTCGCTGGAAACTCAGAACTAAAAAATCAATTATAGGCGCACAAGACTCGCAAGATCCGCACCTCGACCACCTTCCACCGCCCCAAGACCCTTCAGCTGTCCCGGTCCCCCAAGTACCCCCGCAAGTCCATCCCTCACGTCCCTCGCCTCGACGCTCACAAGGTCATCCTCTACCCTCTAAACACTGAGAGCGCCATGAAGAAGATTGAGGAGAACAACACCCTTGTGTTCATCGTGGACGTTAAGGCCAACAAGCGACAGATCAAGGTGGCTCTTAAGAAGCTGTACGATGTTGACACCGTCAAGGTCAACACCCTTGTCCGGTACGTTCTTCTCCCCCTTCCCTTGGCGGTTGTGTTTGTGTGAGACAGAATGTACTAATTGAGTATATCTAGACCTGATGGACTGAAGAAGGCCTACGCCCGACTAACCCCCGATGTCGACGCTCTTGACATTGCTGCTACCAAGCTCGCTATTGTCTAGATGATTGGTTTTTCTTTGGGTCTGGGAAACGGTTCTCTTTTGCGCGGTGGCTCATAATCAGCCTTACAGTTAGCTCCTGTTGTGCAATAACCAATGGCTGAATGATTGTTAAAAAGAAAAAAGAATTATTTGAACGCACGAATCTATCCTGAATAGATATTTATATAATCCCTCTTTAAGATGGTTTCTGGGATTCAAGTAGATGCATAATAATGGTGGGTAATCATAACTCAACTACGGGTTATCGTCTGCCCTTGTCACTTTCTATACCTTGAGACAGGAATCCATCCATCCCGTAACTAAGGAAAAGTAAACCCATTATCGTTAAAAAGAAAGAAACATTCAATTCTATTTATACAGTAGTACATAAATATCCAACCCTATGAACCCCCCATTGGACAATAATACATCAATCAATCAATCACAACCTGACCCCAGCCGACTTTGAAAGCATCTATGAGAGTACCAAGTTATCGCATATCACCCGATAATGCCACCATAAATCGCTCTTCACACGTCCTATAATACTATAATACCTCTCGAGCCATTCATTCATCAACAACAACAACAACAACAACAACAACAACCCCCAAAAAGCAAGGATATTCCCAGAAAGTCCATCGCCAACGAAGAGAGACCCCGTCTATTGGCCTCCGCGAAGGGTCTCCAAATGCTTCAGGACCGCAAAGTTCGTATCCATCCACCGCTCCACGCAGTTCTGTGCGCACGATTCTTCGGATCGGTCCAGGCGACCAGATGTGATGCTAGAGGTGATGCACTTCTTCCAGCAGACATCTGCGAGGTGGTGCACGGCTATAGCAGTGGACGATGTTGGTTAGCGGGGATTCATTCGGATTCTGCGGTTATGAGGGAACAGTAGATATCGTCTCCCGCCCTTGAATGTACAGGAGGAGAAAGGAAGGGAGAGAGAGATATATATATATATAAAAGAAGAAGAAGAAGAAGAAGAAGTACGAGTAAATATAGTAGGATAATGAGTTAGAGAAAGGCAAAAAAAAAAAAAAAGACTTACTCTGCTGGATATTCGACTTCTGGGCTTCGTTGGTCAGAAACTGGTTCAGTTCTTTCTTGTCAGCTTCGCTGAGCTTGGAGACGTCGAGTTGCTGGTCCATTTTGTTTGTGGTTGGGATTGGAATGGGATTTTCGGAACAAGGAGGATAGGGAAGGAAAAGTTGAGAGATAGTAAGTAAGTAGTAGAGGAGATATTTAGATTCGCTCAAACGCCGTCGAAAAATCGATAGGCTCTCGGATCCGGAGGAGGTCGAGTTCCAATATGTACATTAGAGCGGCGGGCGGTGAGCGTTCCAGTCGATAACCATCTTCAACGTTCTTTCGCGATTACATCAAGGGTCAATATCGAACTAACTATCTGTTGCCAGTTGTTTGGTTTATCAGCTTAAAAAACCGGAAGACCGATTCTATCGTTTTCTAACATTCGCTTCGTATTTTCTCGATTTCAAAAAACCGTCTCGCCGCATTTCCTCTCTCCTTCCCCGCCAATTCTAGACCCCCCCCCAAAAAAAAAAGATACCTGGAAAATGCCTCCAGTACGAACATCCCGCAATCGCAAGCCGCCACCAGCAGGCTTCGATGACATCGAAGACACGTTACTCGAGTTCAGCAATAAAATGAAAGATGCAGAGAATGCGCCCCACGAGGGGAAGAAGAAACACGAGGTTCTGTGGCCGATTTTCCAGATCAGTCATCAGCGTACGTTCTCTCTCTCTCTCTCTATCTTTCTAAGAAGGCTGGCGAAACTAATTGTCGATTATCATCGTATTACAGGATCAAGATATATCTACGACCTATACTACGAGAAAGAAGCCATATCAAAACAGCTGTATGACTGGCTCTTGAAGAACAACTACGCGGATGCGAACCTGATCGCGAAATGGAAAAAACAGGGCTACGAGAAGGTAAGCCCGATTTATTATCCCCGAGTACTCGTAATCAATCTCCTTTTGCGAGGTTACTTTAACTAGCTTGACAATTGCGTGAACATCCCTGGCTAACTTCTCCCGCCCTTTTTTTTTTTTTTTTCTTCTCGTTTTCCGCTATACAGCTCTGCTGCCTCCGCTGTATCCAGACTAAGGAAACCAACTTCAACGCAACCTGTATTTGCCGAGTACCAAAAGCCCAGCTGAAGGAGGACCAGATGATCCAGTGTGTGAGCTGTGGATGTCGAGGCTGTGCTAGTAGCGATTAGCTTGAGAGGATCACCGGACACCATTTACATCATCTTTGGATGTTATGTTCATTCAACCAGAACTGCGAGAGCATGGGGGGGGTTCGCCCCCATTTTTCTTTCCGGATTACACGACTAGTTACGGGATAATTGGGCTCGAGGGCTAAAGCTTTGGCTTTTGAAGCGCTGGACATGGCTTGAAGTCAAAAGTCAATATATCGACGCACATCAGAAAGACCATACTAGAGATCTTTTTCAGGGGGAGAACTGACCAAGTGAAATCCTCGATGGCCATCATGACGTTTATCGAATGGACTGGCTTTGCTGGTCGCCCCTCGTGCCCTCGTTTCTTTTTTTTTTATCAGGTTAACTTTGTGTTATTCCTACGATATTTTGCGTCGCTTATTTCCCAGCGTGCAACCCGTGGTCATATCGCACTTTGCCTCGAGGGCAAGATGATAACCTGATAACCTCCAGAATAAAACAAAGATGTCCATTAATGAATGATACGCTCTAAAGACCTTGTCGTTAAATCAATACACGTCGATTTCTTGATAGGAATAGAAACAGTTCTGGTCCAATGGTTCTCATTTACTGCAATTTTTTAATTAGAAACAAGACAAAATTTAATAACAGATTAGCGTAGGGAGAAGAGAAGAATGCAATGCAAACAAAATCAAACGGAGAAAACGCAAGCTCGTAGAAACATCGCATACTCATGTACATCCTAGCAAATGTCGTCATAAGGTCATGATAAGATCGTTTCGAGGCCAGCTGAAGCCAAAACCGACTCCGAACCTTGTCTCCACCCAAAAAAAGAACTCCAGGAAGGACACTCGGTATGCGCCCAAAGTCACATATAAAAAGCACGCAAAAAAAAAAAAAAAATCCTGGAAACCCCAACTCCGTCATGTCAAATCCCACCAAGTACTAGGTATTAATGAACGTGCACCACCAGCACTAGATAAAATCGCACTAATTGCGAGCAAAGGCGAAAGCAAAAAAAAAAAAAAAACAAAAACAAAAACAAAAGCATAACCGGTATGTGGATAACGCAAAAGGTGTGTCTTCCTCAAGAAGACACCGGATCTTATAAAGGTGATCAAAATAAAGTGTTGCTCCGCTGAAGCTGTGGTCTTGATATATGAGGTCGAGGTCTAGACGAGTCGTCCTTACCCGCGCCTCCAATTTTTTGAAATCCTTGCAAGAGATCCACACCATCTACTTCGCGTGGACTCTCGTCGAAAAGATGGAACGAGAAGAAATCATCGTGCGCGGTATCAACATAGCGCCCTGAATCAGGAACCTTCGAGGGCGAATCAGGGAAGAGAAGGCCTTTAGATTTGCTTGCAGACAATGGTTGGAGGCTTCCTATTCGGTTGTTCGCGCTCATAGCCGTGATATCTGCGAGGATGCTCCCGTTTGCTCCCCCGCTGTCAATCCGGGCGCGTTTTGCTGAACGCCTTTCAGGCGAACCAAAAGCCGGTGCAGATATAGGATCAACCGTCGGGTCCGCAAACACATCAAAGGCGACATGGAGATTGTCGTTCGGTGTGAAGGTTTCATCTTGAATATTAAAAGCAGGACTCCATGGTAGATCCTCGTCTGTAAGGCCAAGATGTTTGATAGGGGAATTGACCATTTGCTGGATCTTCTTCCGGTGGTTTCGAAGATTGGTGTTGGGAGATACCGACGGTGGTGGCTTAGCCGGCTTCTTGAATTTGATTAAAGGAGTAATAGGAGGCGGCAGCATGCTAACATATTCGCCGCGGATTGGCGAGGAACCGACTATGAGGCCAGCATCTTTCAATATACCTGAATGGCTGGGACTGATGTCATGCGATGAGCTCCGAATGCGAGCAATCTCCTCTTCTGCCCGTCCACGCTTGATGCGAGGGGGCTCGATATCAAGGTCTGAAGTCAGGATATGGCTAGCCTTGTTGGATCGCATTACCGATGACTCCAGTGACGAAAAGTAGCCACTATCATTCATGGTATTGGATTTCCGTTTCCTATGACGGGGGGCATTGTTGGAATGGATTGTATGAGATGGTGTAGGGGGGGTCCCTTGCCGGATGAATCGAGGCGGCACGACCGGAGGAGAGGAATGAATAGCCTGCGGAGGAGAAGACCGGGGCGGGGGCGCATGGCCCGCAGGGATATTGGCGCTTTCATCGCCTGTGTCCTCCTGAAGGGCAGGATCGGATGCAGGGAGAGTTGCGTCGGAAGATAAATCTACTTGCTTGGATCTCTTGGTAGCAGGAGCATGAACAGCAGGTGGCACAGCCCAGGTAGCTGTGCTCGAGCTCTGTGAGTGAACGGGCTCTCGCTGGGATACCGCAGGGAGGGGAAGACTAGACATTGTCGCGCGGCGGAGAGGCTTGTCTTTGATAAATTGGGCTTCCATGCCGGGTTCAATAGCCCAATAATTCCCTTTGCCTGGGTCGTCCTTCGGCCGTTCTTGCTTGATAAAAGCTTTATTCAAACTTAGGTTGTGACGGATGCTGTTTTGCCAGCCCGGATCACTATTCTTGTAATATGAGAACGTGTCTGAAATCCATCGGTATATTTGTGCCAACGTTAACCTCCTATTAGGCGCACGGAGGATGGACATTCCAATCAGGGTCGCATAGCTGTAGGGAGGCTTTGTGCCATCGTCCTCAATGTGCGGCATTTCGTGGGGCTCTGGTAGACGCGTCGGGGCCGTCTCGTCCCGTTGCTTATTTTTTGACCGCTCTTTCAACGGGGCCGCTTCCAAGAGCGATCGTCTCAAAGGCTGCTTCGAAATAAATGACGGTTCGGGGAAATCCGCGAAATTATCTGCTGAAGACACATCGACACGATGATGGTTACTTGAGGATGGAGGGTCAGTACTGATACTGGAGAAAGTCGTGAATAAGGCGGACTGCGGCATTGGGGCTGATGACGAGCGTGTGTAGGGGTCGAATGGGATCTTTTTAGTTGGAGAATCGGTCGTAAAGGTGGGGGGAGTAGGAGCAGTGATTGGAACAAAACTCAATCTTCCTTGACCAGAGAACGAGGCTCGCGAATCTCGATAGGATTTTGTCGGAGAAACTCGGCTCGGGGTGGCAGAGGTAGGGTTTAAGACGTATTCCTGCGCGGTAGGAAGATTCTCTATTGGTTGCAGGGGCAAAGGGGATGGTTCGAGATGCGGACGTGGTTTAGAAAACACCTTTTCCTGGTGTAAAGGCGCTTCTGAGATGTGTTGTAAAGATCGCTTCGGGCTCATGGCGCCACTCCCAGCCCGACTCACTCGGCCTCAGGCTGGCGTTGGTCAGGGCTTTGGGAACGCGTTATAGAATCGCGAAGGTTGAATTTGGTGGTGATCAAGCCAAAGTGACACAGGAACCGTTTGTCACTTTGATTACTTGTCGGGTAATCGTGTCAGCACGCTGAACAAGGCTGTGGAAGAGATGGTGTAAAGCCTTAGATTATCCCGGCGGATTGGTTCGTGGTTTGGCCAGAAAGCACGCATTAAAGGCAGCGACTGCAGTAGACTGTATTGCTGAAGCGAAACGAGTGGTGATGAAGGAGGTAGGTTGGTAAGAAGTCGCGCGCGAAGGGAAGAGACGGGGGGAGAGAAGGGAGAATCTGGAACGCGGCGATTCGACTCTTAATCAAAATTCCTTTGCCTGGTAAGGTTGCTCAAGCCCAAGTGGGGGGGGGGGTGTGCAAGATACTTTCTGGATAATAATTGATTAGTTGGAAATGGGGAATGAAAGAAAGGTTGAGGACGAGATGTTGACTGTCGGCGCGAACTCGCAGCGGCGTATGGTATGGTTACGACGCGTGCGCGTCTCGCGTCGAATTGGGTGCGCGCACAGCAAATTGGGCGGGAGTTGGTATTGTCATGGATGACAATACGGGGCTCCTTTGTTTCAAGGCAAGACGGGAAGAGACCCTCTTTCTTTCTTTCTCTCCTTGCTGGATCCGCCACCAAGAGAGTCATCACGCATCCGGCGATCTCGGCAGATCGTGGGTCCCTCTTAGTCCGACAAGGCCGGTCGTGAAATATGCCAGTCGAGGCCCGTTCTTCTCCCACCCAACAGTTATGCAGGCTGGGTGGCCGGGGATTGATTCGAAATGATTCCTATCCAGAGTTCATTACAGCTCGTCTTGGCTAAGACATTGCTCGTAAGAAGGGCTTCTTTGACATTTTTCTCACTTATTCCTGGGCCAGAAATCTCTATCATTGGCTTGTTAAGCACCTCGGTTAGGATTTCAAGATAGCGGCATAGCCAACCATTCAAGCAGAGTTCGGATCGACTAACTGGCGACTAACCGTTTGCAAAGTCTATTTGCAACCAGCAATTCACCACGTCAATGTCTTCACACCGATAGATTATCATGCTGGAGCATCACAAACTATCAGAGAGGAGAGAGAGAGAGAGAGAGAGAGAGAGTGTGTGTGTGTGTGTGTGTGTATGGTAGTACTCCCCCAGCCAAAGCCTTCTGCCGCGCTAACTGACCCTTTTTTTTTCCCCTTTCTGGTACTATCTAGTACCTAGGTCGAATCTTCAACAAGTAGATCGGTGAATTTACACTGATAACCTTCCAAACCCACGTACATAATTTACTTTACAAGAACAACCGTAGCGTAAATACGATAGGATGAATCTGCAAACAACATGTCTATCTCCATCTCCACTGATTAACATCAAGATACAAGAACAAAATCTCCCCCTAAAAATGCAATTTAATAGTTTAATAAAGGGCCACATGTTTCGAAGCGGGACCCAAGGGATCTGCCCTGTTTAGAAATAGAAATGCGTCCAGGGTCAATGATTATGCCAGGGCAGAGTCCAAATATGCGTTTGCCCCTGCCTCCGCGGGTAAGGGATGACCCTGGATTAGGTACCAGAACGGTTCAATTTAAAGCCCCTCAATATTTTGTTAATCAAGGGATTCACCCTTGGGAGTTATGGCGCAGAAGCAGGGGTCTTTCGTGTGGTAAGTTGGGGCAGGATTCCAGAATCACTCGGCGTAGGATTGATTGTCCTCCTGGATCAGAGTAGGATTTTTCGCCTCCAATGTATACAGTACCACCACCAGCTATCAACTATCCGGACACTTCAATGGTAAGCTGAGAGCATCGTTGGTCCCACTCGTATACATTAATATCCCGGAAATAACAGTCGATAGCTATAGTTTTGTTTCCATTGTGTGACCCACGAGCCGGCCAGTGTCCGATAAAACAGCCGTTTTCAAGTAGAATATACTGCAAATTGAGATGGACCAAAAATCTCTATAAAATAGTCTAATGACACCATTGAAAAATGAGAGAGAGAGAGAGAGAGAAAGCACAGGAAAAGAAAATTCTATCCTAACAACAATAATATCAAGGCTGAAAATGTGAACAGTACCCAAGAACGCCACCATGCAGTGAAATTGAAAAACATAAACCACTTGGGCAGTAAATAAGACCTTCCCATCATCATCGCAAAGTTAAAGCCACAAACTGCTTTGGGGCCAAACAAAATATGTCATGGATATCCTATAAAATCAACAGACTTCGCTGAACTATACAGAAACTGAAAATTAGACAGTAAATGGAAACAGCGATGCCCCTACTCTAAAAATGTGAACATGCTCGTATGTATAATATTGAGGGCACGGTCTGCATCTCGTTCCTCAATAACACAGGAGATGTTAATTTCACTTGCACCTAGAAAACAAAAACAAAAAACATTAGCGCTTGATCATTGGTAGATTCTGGAAAAAGTGGTGCTTACCCTGAGAAATCATCTCAATATTGACGTTATTCTCGCCAAGGGTGGTGAACATGCGTCCAGCCACTCCAACCATGTTCTTCATCTGTTTCCCTACAAGACTGAGAATAGCCATCCCGGGAATGATATCGACAGCACCATATTTTTGCAGATCATTCAAGGCCCCCTTCAGATCCTCGTCTATAATTTGGTACTCATCGCGGCCAACACCATTGAGGAGAGGCATCTCCGAGTGAAGAGCCATGGACACATGGACTTCGCTAGTGGAGATCAAATCAATTGAGAGCCTCCACCGGTCAAGGACAGAGAATATGCCCGCAAAGAATCCATGCGAGAGGGATCGCTTATTTGAATGTACGTTGATAACAAGTATCTTGTGTTTGATGGTCACAGCGGTAGGGCGCTTGGGTCGTTGCATGAGACTTGGGCTCCTCGTACGGAACAGTCTCGGGTCGTGGCCCGGCGTTGTCCTCTCCAACTCAAAGGTAGAGTCAGGGAAGATGACGGTACCATCGCCCTTGGGGCTCATAACATTTTTGATGCGAATTGGAATCTTAGCCCGAATGACTTGCTCCATAGTAAAAGGGTGGATCACTTCCGAACCATAGAACGTCAATTCGGCTGCTTCAGCGGGAGTGATTGCGGGTAAAAGTCGTGCTGTAGGTACTTTACGAGGGTCTGCAGTGAATATTCCATCGACTTCCTTCCACACCTGCAGTTCCTTTGCGTGAATGCCAACGGCTACCAGTGCTGCACAAAGATCGGTGTAACCGCGTCCAATCTGGTCAAGAAGGCCGCCTGGTACTGTTCCAAAGTATCCAGTAATGACGGGAACCTTGTTCCCACAGGCGCGCACTTTCTGGCCAAGGGCAGTAGCAAGATGGTTATAAAATTCCTGGTCGAGGCCTTGCGCTGAGATATGGAAATCAATGACCTCCGATAGATCCACATACTGCGAATCTACCCCCCGGTCTTGGAGGAAGGCAGCCATTAGCCGACAGCTTAGCTTCTCTCCAGCACTAATCACCTTATCCACACATCGAGCACTAATTTCCCCGAGTGTTTGTGCAGCTTCCAGCACCTTGAGGACTTTGGCACATTCGGCGTTAATTTCTGATATGATTTGTGCTTTGAGTTCGTCGGATGTAATCTGGTCATTGATAACCTCGACATGCTCCAACCGAACCGCCTCGACGAAGGAGATGTACTCCTTAGATTGGGAATTTTCTGCATCTCTTGCGGCCCGAAGCAGACTATGAACCATCGAACATTAGCACCCAATTGATACCACTAGATTGGGGAGGAGGAATGGGGTGCCAGATTGTGTCACAATTCTCCGGGGTATGTCAACGGAGGCGGTTGTGACTCACCGATTTGTAGTACCCTCAGCCTTTGTTGAACTGCTCCTTGCTGAGCAAACTACAGCGACATGGTGTTCCTTAAGACTCGGACTGATTCAAGTTATAACATTAGACAAAGCTTCACTATTGTGAGTCAAGCATGCTGGGGGGAGAACCCACAGGACCACCTGGTCAATGATACTCAGAGCGAACTTTCCTACACTTGTGCCTCCAAACTTCTGGACGATCCAATTGCTGTTGGCAGATCTCACGGGAGTATCTTTTGGTACAGATACAATATCTGAGTTGGGATGCGAAATTTCCGCCATTTTGAAATGCAGATAAAGCAGGATAGCATCCAGTCTAGAAGTATGACTGTTCCGGCAACACGGTCTTTTATGTGTACTGGCGGGGCTGCGAAAGCGGAGGCCACTTTTTTTTTTTTTTTTTTTCCCGTTCCGCCTTCCTTGTGGAGCACGATAATGGTGCGGGCGGCGTTCATTAATAATAAGTGGAATAATAGGATTTCTTCTGCTGCATTTTTCCATGTTATTGTGAATTGTGGTTCAATCGGGATCCAGGGCGCCAATACCTGATAGGCTGGTACCTAGGGATTCAGGCAGGAATACATCTCCCAACTAGATAATGGTCAGACTGGACAAAAATATAATCAAAACACATTGTAGAATAAATTTGATTATAGTACCAGTAATATCTGATTGATTCAAATAGGTTAGTTTGTTGCTTGCTCACAGAGTTACCGGAATCGGATGCCACCGTCCTATTCAATACTTCCTGTTTTAGCTCCACGAGTTCGATTGATCTTCATGCAGCAACAGAAGCGGGCGCTTGCATATGGAATCTCATATATCATAATCGACAGTGATTAACAACAATTATTCTCGTCTTGCTTACTTTCGCGCCCTTTGCTTCCTACCACTCGCTTTCCTTGAAGATTACTTTTCTGCCTAATTTCGGTTTCAGTCCCCCTTCACCTACCTTCGAGAAGACGAAAGGAAACACGGCGACGACCAAGCAAATTTCGGACAACTGGCGGTTCTTCCAAAATGGATAATCAAGGTTCCAGCGATCCAGCGTGTCCATTCTGCCCGTTTTCCGACCCAGACAGCAACTTCGTTGCAGAACATGTTCAATATTGTCACCCTGAAAATGAACTGCACGTTGAGCCTGGGAGCAACATACCGGCCGCTCCCATGCCGATTCCAGGGAACCAGGAAGCGGCAGTTCTAGGGAAGGGTCCTTTCATAAATCAACAAGTCTCAAAGCAAAGTGATCACCCACGCGATCATAAAGCAATATATTCCAACCCAGCGCCTTCGGCGAACATAAAAAGACTGGGAGTACTAAACCCCCAGCACATGTTCCCTTTGCACGTGGTGTCTTTATGGCTTGTGTAAGATGCTAACTCCCAGCATAGCGCTCGGAATTGGGCCCTTACGCTTACGAGAAGCGGATGCCCTCGTGGCTTCTCAGAATGCTAGAGAAAGGCCCAGCAGCGACAAAATTGAACACCATTACGACAGATGGCAAGCTTTTCAAGTGTGAAGTCATCGAGAATCAAACAGCGAACGTTATTCCTGCTCTTTCACAATTATGCGAGCAGGATAAATCTGTACAGCGTGCTTTCTTTTGTAGCGCCGCCGTTCACCATGTAACCAAAATGCCTAGGGAAGGGGGTTTCTGCGGATACAGGAATATTCAAATGCTTATATCGTATATAAGACAAAGTCAAAGCCTGGGATACGAACACTTTCCTAGTTTGCCCTCGATATTTCAATTACAAGACATGATTGAGCGTGCCTGGGATATGGGATTCAACAGTGAGGGAAGGCAGGAAACTGGAGGTATCAAAGGTACCAGGAAATATATCGGTACCTCTGAGGTAAGACCGTTCGCATCCCCTTGCCGGTGTTCGAAGTGTTGAATCTCTTTTAGGCTCAAGCCCTGCTTTTAAGCCTCGATATACAGTACGTGTTGAACCGCAAGCCCACAGTGCCATAAGAATAAACGCTGACGCGCCGCAGGTGCAAAGCAACCAGCATCAGTAAAACGAACGAAATGACCGCTTACAACAACTTGCTCTCTCACATCGCTGCGTATTTTAGAAGTGCTTGTCCCTTAGATACAGACAAAAAGGTCATCTTAACGAGCCTACCGCCCATCTATTTCCAACACCAAGGTTAGTCCCCACTTCTGAACCCTGAATAAATACACACACTCGGGCTAAATTGCGAGAATGAATAGGCCATTCTCTTACCATCGTTGGCTTTGAGATTCGCGACGATGGAAGCGCTAATCTCCTAGTCTTCGACCCGTTCAACAAGGCACCATCTGCAGTTCTAAATACCGCTGGAGCAAAACCAAAGCATACTGAACCCGCTCGACTACTGAAAGCGTACAGACGAGACGTAAATTACCTACAGAAGCACAAGACCTTTGAACTTCTCCAGTAAGCATTCAGGTCCCCGTTGCCAATCCATCTAACTCGTATAGACTCACGGTTCCCGGAATAACACCGGAACCTTAATTGCTATAGGCGGCCCCATCAAGCGTTGAAGCATTTTGTTTTAGAATGTACCTATACTATACCCTAATAGACCATAAGCAATCTTGATTTATTTTTCGAGTCCAGTCCACATTGAAGTACGTAGTTCGGATCCGCACCGGCCGATCTTCCGCGCTGATGCCTGAGGATTCAACAACAACCCCACTAAATTTATTTTTTTTTTCTTGGCATTTAAATATCTATCACGAGAAAGATCAAATTTTATGGGAGGTTGTTTTATATTTTGGTCCATAATATCCCTCTCTCTCTCCGAAAAAAAAGGCCCATCATGCGCGCTTCTCCAAATATCATTGTCACAGGAACCCCCGGCGTGGGGAAAACAGTACATTGCGAGCAGCTTGCGCAGGAAACAGGGCTGCGGCATCTATCCATCAACCAGATTGCCAAAGAACGAAATTGTAACGAAAGCTACGACGAAGAATTACAAACCTGGGTTGTCGATGAAGACAAGGTATATATATATATATATATATTTCTTTTCTCCTTCCTTTCTCTTCTTCTGCGTTTCCTATGTCTGGTTTCAAGGGGCATGCATTGAGCTTTGCAATGGCTACTGCGGACCCGGCGGAGGTTATATCTATTTTTTTTTTTTTTTTTTTTTTTTCACTTACTGAAGTTACACGTTTCTTGCAGCTTTTAGATGCCATTGAAGATGAAGTGACTCGGGGTGGTTATTTGATTGATTGGCATGCTTGTGATCTGTTTCCGAAATCCTGGATTGACCTCGTCGTTGTCTTGCGCTGCACATCTACGGCGATTCACTATGACCGTTTGAAATCAAGGTATTTGATATACTCTCTTTTTACTTTCCTCTCAACCATCCCTTCCCCCTGTTTTTCTTTCCTCTCTGTTGTACTTTGGCTTTGTTGTTTATCTTCCCCGGGGTTGCTCTCTTTTTACATTTCATGGGACGGCCTGGCCTGACTAGATCTCATCTATCTAGGGGATATGGTGAAACGAAGCTGCAAGAGAATTTAGATTCCGAGATATTTGGTGTTCTTCTCGAGGAGGCCCAGGAGGCTTTTGATGAAGATATTGTGATTGAGCTAAATAGTGAAGAGGACGGCGATGTAGAAACCAATTGTGGAAGGATTTCAGCCTGGATAGATGCCTGGAAGAGGGACCATGCGAATGATACGGCTTGATGCCGTACCCTTAGCTACCAATAAAAAAAAATAATAATATATAATGATCTCACAACCATCTACATCTAATTGAAACTTAGGACGACTGTTCAGCCAACCACTGCTGCAGCTTAACCAGGGCCTTGTACCTGTGAGAGATCTTGTTCTGCGTAGATGTTAGTGTGACAGGACCCTAAACGCAAGGGAAAATGGGTCCCAAAAAAAAATACCTTCTCTTCCTTTGTCATCTCGGCATAGGTCTTTCCTTCATATTCGAAGATTGGATCCCATCCTGAAAAGAGAGAGAGAGAGAGAAAGCAGTCATGTCAGTCTTTCCATTCGCAATCATTTCAGTCCCAGACCTACCGAAGTTCGGGGGACCCCTAGGTCTAACAATCACACCCTATAAACATGTCAGTCAGTTGCTGGAGTGAGCAAATGAACAATGCAAAAGCATAGTATATCAAGTTCCTCTTACCTCTGTTCTTCCTTGGAACAGAATCGGCTCAGACCCAGGTCCCTGAGAGAACGCAAAAGTACAGACGGCTTCTGCGCCCCTTGACTCAAACGAATCAAGCATCTTATTTAATCCCTCATGGCCCAGCGCCTCGAGGAATGACTTACTAAAAAACATCATTAGCTTCTCGAAGGGGAACACAGAGGGGTTTTTTTTTTTTTTTTTCATGTCTCGAATGAGATTCTATTTACATGTATGGGCCGGGCAGTCCCTTCAGTGCATGGAATTCGAGGGCTGTGTCTTCGGTCAATACTGGGCCTCCAACCTATCCCGAGTGAGTGTGTCAGCAGCTGTTACTCAGATAGAGCAGTATTAAAGGAATTCATTTCAGAATTGCGAGGGAGAAGGAAGAGAAATATGATGGGGGGGGGTTACAATTTTCGCTGCATGTCTGCATTTCTCCTTTGCTATTTCTTCAATTGTGCCTTGGATCTCCGGAACATCGACGGACTGGTTTTCGACATTGACTACGCTGCCCAATATAGCTCGAACTTCGGCCAATTTGTTCTTGTTGCCGGTAATGAAATTTATGGTCTCCATTTTATCTTCCTTTTGACAATGGAGATATTTGCATGAAAGCCGTTCTTAGAGATTGTGTCTTAGTCGAATTATGTGATACAAACCAATATGCAACATCCTTATAGTGGGTAAACCCCATCGGTAACGGAGATTTGCTTCTTCCCTCCCTACTTAGTCATCATGTCTCCTCCTCCATAGTTAGTTAGTTACAGCCATCTACAACAACTACAACAGGAGGTGTTACGATAGAATGAGTCTGGTAGATAACACGGCGATAAAAAAAAAAAGTCTAATATTCTCCAGTATATATCTGATATGATGGTATCTGTCTCTCGGCAGCAGACCAATAAATCCTGACTGGCAGAGATCATTATTCACGGCTTCAAGGAAAATCCAACAAACTACATCTAATCCGGCATTATTCGGTTAGGGTCGCGACATTTTCTGGGATTTCAGGCTTGTCCTGTTGGGCCATTGCCTGTGCGGAAACGATTTCAGCGAGACGTTTCAGTCGAGGTGTTTGAAGCCCTTAAAGCTGGTTAGCACACCGTCCACTAACAAGTCCACTGGTACACTTACAAGAAGGTGTGTAGGTTTCCAAAGCAGAAATAACTCGGGGCTCAGCAATTTCATACGGCCCACTATCATCCACATCAACAGGGCTCAGAAGCAGCACGTCGCCCTTTTCGGTAACACGAGAGGCAACAGCCTTCATAATTTCACCATTAATGGGCTGCTCGTAGTCCGCCACAAGGTACTGGTTCAGAAGCTTCTGGATTTGATTGGGGGAGAGCCTAAATACATGCACATTAGTCTGAGGCTGATAATAAACTGTTGTTAGACTTACATCCAACATATATCTTGAATAATCTCAATGTCATTCAGTGTGGCCTTCTTCAGTTGCAGGAGCTTGGTTGCTTGCTGTGTACTTGTCAGTGTTCATGGCTTCCCTCAAGGTTCAAGGGCCAGCTTACCATCAAATGCTCTAGCTGCAGTGTTCCCTCTGGCATATCATGGCTCTTACACCATTCCTCGATACGAGTAATGTTGTAGTTGATCTGAAGGCCGCGCTTCCAAGACAGGAAGTTGCGTCTCATAAGAAGGTCATTGAAAGCTGTCACACCAACCAGTCGCAGGAGCTCAGTAACAGTCTGTATAACGATCGTGTCTTCGAGATAAAACGCTTTCAATGCCTTGTAGACATTGTTCAGAAGGCTGAGAAGATTGTCCATACTATAGGCCGGGTTGTTGTTGGAAGGCAGAAGCTTTCCAAGGAATCGGTTTGTCTCGTTTGTGACGAAACCTGGGAGGGATTGGGACTCGATGATCGCTGGTACAATCATTTTATAAAGCTTCTTCTTGAGCACCTTCATCCAGGTGTGATAAATATTGAACTCCAGGCTCTCCAAGTCGTGCTTGACAATCTCCAAAAGTCGATCATACTCGTAGTTATCCGTCTTCTGTGCCTCATACCAATCTTCAGCCAGGAAAACAAAAGAAAGCATCTCGTGGACATTTGAAAGCCAGAAGGCTCCAGGGTTGACGGCATCATCACCGTCGTGCTGCATGACCTCTTGTTGTATAGACTGCATCACATTTGCCAGAAATCGTTCAGACTCTTTGACAAACCCGTTATTCCACATCTCAGATGTAACAAGATTGATCAGGTAAGCCGGGAATAAGACTTCCTTCTCTGTAGGAGGTGGGGTAGAACTGGGGAGCGGAATCTTGAGGTTGCGTATGAGACCCATGGTGACTTCTTCATTAAGCGCATCCTCCTCGGAAAGCAAGTTTTCAAGTTCTGCCTCCACGGAGTCCAGCCCCGAGGAGAATGCAGCTCCTGAATAGTTTTGGCGGCCCAATGTGCTTGTGATTGCCATAGAGACGGGTCGCGGGTTATAAGCTCCGCTGAATCGGTCGGTCTCAATTCTCTCGGCGCCAGCACTACGCCTCTTAGGCTTGGTCTTCTTCGAAGAGACTAGGTTGATAAGACCACTTGCGGGAGGTTGAATGGGACCACCGTTCTGCAGATCTCCGTTCAAACCATTGATAGGCATTGTTCTCTTTGCAACCTCCAGCTGCTCCTCTAGGTCAATAACTTGTTGGCGAAGGGAAGTCTTCTCGCTCTCGGATTCTGCATTCAACTGTTTCAGTCTCTCTAATTCTTCGTTCGCCGTTCGAATCGATTCCCTTGAAGCCTTCTCCTCCTCTTGGAGACGCTTAATGGTGGCCTGGGCCTCGGCATGGTTTTGCTGCAGCCTAGTCATCTCATCCTCCAAGACAGTCAATCTAGCGGCAGTGATTCCCGCTTGATTAGCCTCGGCCTGGAGTTCTTTGGAACGATTCTCCAGTGCATTATGGCGACTTCTCCATGACTTCACCTGGGTCTCGTAATTCTCCAGCTGAGAATTGAGAGATTTGTTTTCTCGTTTCAAAGACTCTAGATACTGAGTCAACTCAACCACCTTGTTCTCCAGTTTGTATGAGATTTGCTTCAGATCCCTAGCCTCTTCCCTGAGTGTCTTGTATTGTTTCCTTGCCTGTTTGCCTCTCCAAAGATTTTGGACAATGACAACCTGGCGGCGATACTGTCTCCATGCACGCAATTGCCGCCATGAACGGAAAGCACGCTGTATAATCTTTGCAGCATTGCCGTGTATTGTGTCCAAAATATTTCGCCGGCAGAGAAAACCTTTGGACAGCGATTGGAAAAGAATGAAATTATTGCGAATCTGGTTGTATCGTTTCCGTTCTTTCTGTCCCCTCCATACCCTTTGGATAGTCGTGGCCGCCTTGTCCTGACGTATCTCTGCGGCTTGTTGTCTGGCAAGGAATCCTCTGATCAAAGCTTGCGTGGAGAGGATGGAGGACCTGGCTTCAAGATATCTACGCCGGTAATACTTGCACCGCAAATTCTTCTGAATCATTATCGCACACTCATTCAATCTCGACGTCCTGAGGTTCTCGAGGAATGCAAGCATGCCAGCTCGGAAGAATATTTTGCTCAAGCCCAGCTGATATTTATCATGCTTCTGCTGAGTAGCGTCCCCTAGAGCCTTCCTCAAAATCGCATGGCACATATCCTTGATTTCCGATGTCCATTGCGACGAATGGCACAGCATATAGTAACGAACAGCAAATTCCTCGTAAGTCCATCGGGTAGGATAACCCGCTGTGCTGATACGAACAGTTTCAAGAACACCGCAAGCTCTCAATTGACTGAGGACCATTGGTCCTTCAAACTTCCAGGCCTCTTTGGCTTCGTTGGGTTTAATGCAACGGATATAGTGCACATCAGTGGAGTTAATAGTATTCATGAGCTCAATCAGCGAGGACTTGAAAATGCCGCCTAGCGTGGGCTTCCGATTGATAGCGACACCGATTTTGCGACCTGGAGCAGTGACTGCTTTGGAGGAAATGGAGGCTGAATCCTTCTCACGAACAGCGGCAGCTGTGTCCAAGATCTCTTTTACAAAATCGTTTGAAGAGTTGCGCAGGATTTCCATCTGTTCATCGGGAACAGTATCACGGTTTTTCTCGATAAAGCCGTCAGATTCGTAAGTCACGTCAACAGCATAGTGACAAATAGTAAAGGCCGACTTGCCAAATCGGGGCTTCTTGTAGAACTTTTGCTTATCAGCTGCGAAATTGAGGTGGAGCTTAGTCACAAATTGTTCATCGGAGCCCATAGGTAAACGCGATTCTTCATCCAGAAGAGACAGAATACCCAATTTCGCTTCAATGAGGTCAATGCAGGGTTGGTTATCAGAGAAGTCAATGAAAGTCCAATCAATCTGCTCTCGCACATATTCCTCCTGCTCAAGTTTGAAAACGTGCTGGTTGAATTCCTGTTGTAATTTTTCATTGGCGTAGTTGATGCAAAACTGTTCGAAGGAGTTTTTAGCGAAATGCTCAAAACCGTAAATATCCAGTACTCCGATGAAAGACTTGAACTGGGTTAAAACTTGATCAGTAGCCAAACCACGGTTGATCTTATCGACGAGCCAATCGAAAAGACTCGAGTATATGAACTTCGCGACAGAGTCTCTGACAACGATTGCCTGTTGCTGTGTTAAATTCGAAGTGATTTTCTCTCCTCTAGTAGTAAGTTGCTTTTTGACTATCCATTTGGCGAATTCGTTGGCGTCGATTCCGAGCATCTCGCACGCCCGAATAAGCGAAGGTTCAGAGGGTGACAGAGAGGACTCAGTCCTCGTAGCCGTGATCTTGACGTTTCCAAGGTGTAAAAGGGCTGCAAGTATGCGGAATATTTCAGCTTGCGTCTGCTCAGGTACACCAATAGTCCCCAAAGACTTCTTCGTTGCGATAAATTCCGCCTTATCATCGACACCATCGATGGTGGGGTTTCCACCTTGATTAAGGTAATCGAAGTCTTCAACCGACACAAGGCCAAGCTCTTGCTTTTCTGATTCCGTTGCACCAGCAACAAGCTGGTAGAAGATGTGATAGTTTCGTTCCTTGAGGGGCTGAAACACTAGTCGGGATCGCTCCAAAAGGTAAGTCCTAATCTTTGCACCGATGATATTGGTCCTGTCGTCAAACATAATCTCGATATACTTCCCGAATCGTGAAGAGTTATCGTTGCGCGTAGTTTTGGCGTTGCCAAAAGCCTCCATTACCGGGTTTGTGGCCAAAATCTGTTCCTCGGTCTCGCTGATTGCATCTGCCCTGCTCGTGCTGTACTTTCCAGGCTGGTCTGAAGACTCCCGAGTTGCAAAGTATCTCATGATGTATTTCGCGCTGACCGTTTTTCCAGCACCAGATTCGCCCGAAACAACGATCGTTTGGTTTTTTCCATCCCGTAGCATGTCACCAAATGCTTCTTCCGCAATAGCGAATAAATGAGGGGCCTGGGAAGCGCGGTGTTTTCCGGCATAGACCTGGACCATCTGCGGAACATAGAGTGAATCTACTCGAGCAAAAGGGTTGGTTGCAATAAGAACAATGCCACTGTATGTATATATCTCTTTCTGGGCGTAGCGTAATTTGATAGCCTGCAAAACTTTGTGAAAATCAGTCTGGGCTCTAAATGCAGATTTCAAAGCTTGTAAATACCGGCAGGCTCGTTTAAATGAGACAGGTTTGTGAGGTCTTCGCTTGCTTCAAGCATGGCAGGGTTCATCAACGGCGGCAGTTTAGGATTGTTATCCCGTTGTAACTCGGCTTCTGTAGTCTCAAATTCTTTTGTCTTTTCGCCCATATCAGTTAGTAAACATTAGTATTCTTAGGACGGTACAGTCAGAGCTGGGCTTCCCACGAACCTCGCCATTTTCCAACAAAAACACAAGCCGGACTTTCTCTCCATCAACCAGCTTCTCCTTCACTTCAGATGCAACCCAGCCATCAGTCGTATCGGGCTGCCAGGCCCTCGTTCCGACCTCATAGTTATGCGCCATCGGGACCGCCTGGATCAGTGGTGATTCAAAATGGAAGGAAGCGATGTATGAGGTTGCTCAAGAGGTGTACGGCAAAGGCATCTAGAGAAAGGAGAGAAAAACAAAATGCGACAACTTGAGATGAAAAAGCCCCAAAAAATAAGAAGAAGAATAAATTGCCTTCTAAGGCACTTGTCAACAAGTTCTCGGTTATAAGAAAAGAGGTATCATGCTTCGCTAACGCAGAAATTCTGAGATTGATTACCAGCTGGCCGCTTGACAAGCCGCAGCCCCTGAAGGACGTTGCCGCACCACTGACCGAACCAATCTCCACACTTGACCAACGCCAAGACACGCCTTGGGCATGCACTTCAAATGAAAATGTGGTGTCTTTTCTTTGCTTTTCTTTCTTTTCATAGTTTTGATTTTGATCCAGGCTCCAGAGAAAATTCTACGAGGAGATCTACTATTTGTACTACCATTTTAGTGCCGTACCGTGGACAAAATCGTATGGAAGGGGATGGATGCTTCCAAGAAAGGTTTAAACGGGCGCGAGCATGTCAACTTGTCTGTACCCCGGAAGAATAATTACCAATTGACCATCGACTCTACAGCTATATACATTATCAGATACTACGTAGTTAGCTAAATGCTAGGTACCTAGTAGTAAGCAGAGCCGGGTCAGACAAACTTCTTGTTGATTTTTTTTTTTTTTTTTTCTATTTCATAAACATCTCTTGATCAAAGTCTTCAAAAGCTAACAAAATGAGCCAAATCATTAGCAATAAACAAATTTCCCTAGCTATGCATTTCCATGTCGTTCGTATTCGAACCACATTTTTTTTTCCTAGGAATAATTTAATGAAAGCATACTCCTCACGCCCCCGGTGATTCGACATTAACATATAAAAGAAAGAAGAAGAAACGAATACTGCTAGGTGGTGCCAGGTAATTTACTCCTTGCCAATGAGACCAGGCAAAGGTGCATCCATCACCTAATACCTAGTATCCGTCAAATTAATAAAACCCTGTATGTATTACACATACGTGCTTGTCAAGGGAGGAAAATTAGATAAGCTAGAAAGTATTGAAAAGAGCAGTCTGAGGAACACAGATAATGGAAAATGGAAGTCGCTGCTACAAGCCCGTAACAGTAAACTGGTGCATGATGGATCCAGGCTTGCATCTTCCGCCGCATGTTGCAGTCTTAAACCACCGTTTTTTTTTTAGCTTTGTTTGCACTCAGCAGCTTCCATCTTTGGCTTGGAGGTACCATCCTACTCGACATTAGTATAGTTCAACAAGATGGGGAAATACGAGGGTAAGGGTACCTCTTCATCAGAGTCATCGACATCCGCAGACTGTCTGTCGTCGTCATCCTCATCGTCGTCATCCTCATCATCTTCATCAAACCCTTCATAGTCATCGGGATCCACATCCTCACCTAACTCTTCAAATTGAAGAGCCTCGCCAGTGAACCAATCAATGGCCCGGGGGATGAGCTTCTCTTTGATATCTTCTCCAAGCTGGTAGTCCAGCTCAAGGCGTTCCTCGATATCGGTGGCAACTGTGTCATCATCATCTTTCGGGGGTTGGGGAGGGGCGAAGAAGTTGAAGAAAGACTCCGTTGGCACGGTAATCTTAACAACACGAGTTTGCTTCGTGTCTAGAGGATTTTTAGTACAGTCGCACGTATTTACGTAGACGAAACCAGTGGGCTTACTCTTGTTCCTCTGCTTTTTGCTCTCCACACGAACAGTGAGATCCTTGTCGGCTTTCCAGTCGATCTTAGTGCCTTCGGCATGGTCATAAACGAAATCGCCACCATAACCATTCTCCTCCATGTAGTAGTATGTCTTCGAAATGGTCTTGTTGGTGAAGAACTCGTTTTCAGCAAATTCAAAAATTAGTCGGAATCCTGGACGATCAAGATATTCCATGCGGATATCGACAAGATGCTTAAGGGCCTCTTCATCCTTCTCAGTAACCATCTCTGCGAGAGAGATCTGATTCTTCATAGCGGAGAGCCAGAATTCTGGAATTCCAGCTACTGGAAGAGCCTTCTCCTCGTCCTTCTTAGAATCCTCATCCTCCCCTTCCTTATCATCATTATCTTCTTCCTCTTCCTCGCCCGCTTCAATCTCAGCCTCAGTAGGCTCGGCGGCTCCATTTACAATAGTAGAGCGTCTCTCGTAAAGAGGGGTAAATTTTGCAAAGTACTTCTTTTCGAGCTCCAAAACCTCCTCTTGAAACTGGGCTTCCAGTCGAGCGTGCTCTTTCTGGATACCTTTCAGTCCAGCGACGCGCCGACGGACCGAAGCTGGGAGCGATTCAATATAGCCTGAGGAGCGGCCAACAAGCGAATGCAGTTTTCCTTGAATCATAGAAACAAGGCGGGGGTCTCCAGCCAACAGGGAGACGCCTGCGGCATGGTCAAGTGTTTCTGTTGATGAGTTCACAGTCGTTAGATACGATCTTCCATATCACCGAGAGAACGGTTTTTGGGAGGGTCTATCGATTACCTTCTTTGATGCTCGCAACCCCGGGTTGCTGGGCATGAGAAGAGATAGGAGCATTGTTGGCTGGTGTATTTTGCGGTGTCCTGTCAGGTCAGGGCCCCATGTGGTCAGCAATTAAGACAATTTCAGGATGTTGATGGCTTCTGTCACGAAGAAAAGCAGACAAGGGCAACTTACGGGGCGACAGGGAAATCCGCCTTCTTATTCCTGATGGGCTCAGACATCGTGAAAGATTAATCAGAGAAAATACGAAGTCCACGGGAGCAGAAAGGTCGGTTGAGGGGTTGTCGCGGACAAGAAGAGATCAAGGTTGGAAAGAATTTGATACGCTTAGTTTTGGGGGGGTCTGGAATCCTGGCTTGGTGGGATCCTTAGCGTCCTTGGGCCGAGGGGCTTGGCGGGACAAAGTGGCTGCTGTTGAGAACACTCAGGAAAAATAAGAATCCCCTGCCCTCCCAACAATACGTGTGCATCATTTCGCTTTAGTGTCCTTATTCATTAACTATAAACAAATTAATGTCGATTTAATTTTCGATTTTGGAGAAGACATTCGAAACGGCTCCAACAACAACCCCTGGCATCTCAAGCCTTTTGTCCTCTTACACAAGAGTGCCCATTACGAATCCTCAACGGTATTGGTTAGTAAATCTCGCCTACAGAGTAGATACCAGATAGAATCTCCTTGTTCTTTGCGACTCATTTAGTACCACATGGAAGTTATCTGGGTGTGGTCTAGCCTCAATATATACTTGCCATCCTATCGATAAAATAAGTCTTCGGCAACGCAATCGAATCCCCAGTCCTTACATGCAGTTCATTATTCTTGTCATTAAATGGTATAGTTAGTTTGTTACACTAGTCTGTAAGGCTCATTCTTTCTGTTTTCTCAATTAATGTTCATTATATTACAGGACTATCTAATTAAGTTCTGCTATTGATGAAGCTATAATCCCCTGTCAACCATAGATCTATATCATAGGCACATGCACTCATGGGGTCTAGCATTGGATTCTTTAGTTCCAGCGCCGCAAGTGTGCCAGGAGGCACCTAGCCTTTGCGGCAAGCCGGCCATTAACCGATCAGTATCCCCAGCTAGCTCAATATCGGTATTTACCACAAAACTGTGTGGTCACTATGAGATACTTATATAGCTAATAATATAGCTAGTTGCAGTTCTTAGTGGCAGCACATAAAATATTTAATACCTGTTTGCACTTGGCTAAGATAGGAAGGATAAAGAAAGCACCAGTGGATTGTATCCAGTTATGTATACTATATCACTTACGTAAGTTTTAACGTCCCAAATTATATATTGGACGTTATAAGAGAAACACATTAATCCGGTTGAATATATAAGACAACATATAACAGCCCAAAAATCACCAGTAACGTATCGCTATCTATCCAGCAGCTTCAAATGCCAAAATCTTGAAGTTGTTCTATGACAGCTCCATGGATCATGTCCCGAGGACCCTTCCAGCCATCTCCAAGTCACATCACGTGCCGATAGTAGATAGGGAATCCAGACTTCTGTTTGCAGTTCTTCCAACCTAATTAATTCTCGATTGGTTTGTAAGGTTCAGATATCCCTCCAGGGCATTATGTCCGCTCAATCTAACGTGTCCCAGCAATAGATTTATTACCCGCCATACGATCTGTTCACGTATCTATTCGCCTTAATACTCGCGTTCATACATAGACAGGGCTGTCATGTCAAACAGTGGCGGGGCAGACAATAGACAAGATCATATCGAGACCACAACATGGAGCACTCCTCATGTTCATCAGCGGAGAGTCCGTCCCCGGAGCCATCTGCTATTGCGGTGGCCCGTCGACGTGACTCAATGAGAAGCAGGTTTTTAGACCGAACCCAAATCTACATACTGACTTTACTGATGTCGGTTTAGTTATAGCGTGGTAACGGATGTTGAAATGGCTCGCAACGAGGTTAGTCAGTCTAACGCCTACCCTATTTTCGAAGGGACAGAATGAATCTAACTCTAAATAGATTTTCGACGGCCCGATCTCAGAAAGTATTCCATCAAGCGTCGCCTCTTTCTCTCATCGCCGAAGTAGCCGTAATAGAAAAGATTCCACAGCTGGGTTCATACACTTCCAAGATGATGGCGACGCACTTGAATGGAGCTATAGGGATTCCATTGATACCGACAATGATGTTGATGATCTAGCTGCCGCCGAGATTGTTGAAACCAACGAGTCGACCAAATTCTCCTACAGATCAAGACTATCACAATCGCAGTACCGCAGAAGTTCTATTGAAGACCCTCTTCTCCCTCGGCGGTCTCTTTCTGTTGGTTCGTCTGCCGGGGACTGGAAGGGGGATGGCAGAGTAAGCCAGGAAATCCATATTGCGTCCGAGGACTCTAGCATTATTATCGCTGGTTTCTCGACAACCACCATGGGATCTTTCATTTACTATATCCTATGCACCTTGACACTTGGGCTTGCTTTTCTATTATTTCGATGGTTTCCAAGATGGAAAATACAATTGTTAGGAAGGCCTACGCCACTGAGAGAATGCCAGTGGGTTGTAGTTGAGGTAAGTAACTTGCTTGGTATGCCAGCCACCCTTTCTAGCAAGCATCTGAACTTGAAAAGGACCAATGGAATCAAATCAATGTATGCGAGGTCATGGATCAAACCTACGAACGCCCCCTTTCTACAATTTTTGCCGACTCTCACCGCACCCTCTATGATGAGGATAACGACCCCATTGTTAAATTCTTGCGATATATTGACTACAGATACTTGCGCTTCTTCTATCACCCGCTGGAGGATAGGTTTTTTCTTATCAGCGGTTGGAAAGACCCCTCATGGACGGACGCAAAATCCATGAGAGTTGGACTGAATGCCGAAGAGCGTGATAGCCGCGAGCACATTTTTGGTAAGAACCTTGTTGATATTCAGCAAAGGTCCATGTTTCAGCTTTTGGTAGACGAAGTAAGCGTGATGACATCCCAACTGCTAGTTGTGCGGCGAGCTGAAAGATCCAGGCATTTCACCCGTTTTATATTTTTCAACTCGCCAGCCTCATTCTGTGGTCACTCGACGAGTACTACTACTATGCTGCCTGCATTTTCGTTATTTCGGTTGTCAGCATAGGGACCACCGTCATCGAGACCAATGCTGTACGTTATCAACACCCCCCATTCATACAATAATATAAATACTTACCCGATCTAGACAATGTCTCGGTTGAAGGAGATGTCACTTTTTGAATGCGATATACGCGTGCTTAGAAACGGGTTCTGTTAGTATAGCCTATTGTATATTGACTAAACACTGACATTTTACATCATAGGGAGATCCGTCACATCGCAAGAGCTTGTCCCTGGTGATGTTTTCGAATTTTCTGACCCGTCACTGAGCCAGGTCCCATGTGATTGTATATTGCTGTCTGGTGATTGCATTGTGAATGAAAGCATGCTCACAGGTTCGAGATAAAAAATTCCAAATTCTCAGTGAGAGACTAAGAACATACCAGGCGAATCTGTTCCTGTATCAAAAACTCCATTGACGGATGAAGCAATTGATTATTTGAACCTCAGTGCGCCATCAGTCCATCACAATATTGCCAAACATTTTCTTTTCAATGGCACCAAGGTAATTCGGGCACGACGCCCACAAGGAGTTGATGATGATGATGCTATTGCCTTAGCTATCGTTATGCGAACAGGATTTTTAACAACAAAGGGCGCTCTTATTCGCTCCATGCTGTTTCCGAAACCTTCTGGCTTTAAATTTTATCGGGATTCATTCCGTTATATATCAGTCATGGGCGCAATAGCCATCATGGGTTTTGTGGCTTCATTTGCGAATTTTGTCCGGCTAGGTGTAAGTTGTCCATGATCAGATGTGGGATCTTCCTGTCTTACGTTCTCTAGCTTTCCTGGCGCTTGATAATTATCAGAGCGCTTGATTTGATCACGATTGTTGTACCCCCTGCACTGCCGGCTACGCTAACAATCGGGACTAACTTTGCACTTTCTCGATTGAAACGCAAGAATATCTTTTGTATCAGCCCACAAAAGTGAGAATATCCACCCTAATCCAAGGAGGCCACACTAAATTTTTCTTACAGGGTTAATGTGGGAGGAAAGCTAGATGTTGTTTGCTTTGACAAAACTGGAACGCTCACAGAGGATGGCTTAGACGTTCTTGGGGTACGAATCATGAATCAGAACCAAAGGTTGCACACCTGTACACCTCAACTTCAGAGTAAGGGCATTTACTGACTGAATTAGACTTTCCGATCTCCTCTCAGATATATCATCCAAACCAATAACAGCGCTGAGTGCCGAATCGATGGACGATTTTAAGAACTATAATACCATCATTCGTATCATGGCAACATGCCACTCGCTAAGAGTAGTGGATGGCGAACTACTAGGCGACCCATTAGATGTGAAGATGTTTCAATTCACAGGATGGTCCTTTGAAGAGGGCGGGGGCCATGCCCCTGATCAGCCGAATGCTGAGTATGAGACGATTGCTCCATCCGTCGCTCGGCCTCCCGGTCCCATAGAACATATTAATGGTGACGGCCATGGTATCCCAAGTGTGAGGAACCCCCTCAGAACCATTGGTACTCATATTATCTCGAGGACAAATAAGCTGACTATTATTTGTATTATAGGAAGGCGTGGAGCTTGGGGTACTGCGCAGCTTTGAATTCGTCTCACATCTTCGGCGCGCAAGCGTGGTTATAAGACAATTTGGCGATAGTGGCGCCACCATTTTTGTCAAAGGTGCGCCGGAAAGTATAAAAGCCATTTGTTTGCCAGAAAGCTGTTAGTTTATCCTTTTAATCTGCTGCTATTTGAATGTAACTGACTCTCTCTACAGTGCCGACAGACTTTGAAGAGATTCTAGGCCAATATACCCACCAAGGTTACCGCGTTATTGCATGCGCAGCTAGGTATGAACGGAGATTAAGCTGGATGAAAATCCAGAAGCTGACACGCGCGGATGCGGAATCGGGCCTGGAATTCATTGGTTTCATTATTTTTGAAAATAAGCTGAAACCGAAGTCGGCTGAAATAATCGCCGAATTGAGCCGGGCGTCAATCCGAAATATTATGTGTACTGGTGATAATATACTCACCGCCGTTAGTGTTGCTCGTGAGTGTGGGATGATTGGAAATGAGCAACACTGTTTCGTTCCGCGTTTCACAGAGGGTAAGTTGTTTAATCCAGGATATCACCCGGGGATTTATTCCAGGATTGACCCAAGTAGGCCATCTCCATGACTCCAGTGCTTCTCTTTGCTGGGAAAGCATCGAGGACCCGACCTTTAAATTAGACCCACACACTCTAATGGTATTGTCTGTCTACCTCTACCACTGACCCAAGCTAACAAAATGCAGCCATCATTTGATTCAGGAGATATTGACTTGTCTGTTCCCGGGAATGCATATAATGCTTACGAATACACACTTGCAGTTAGCGGTGACGTATTTAGGTGGATTTTAGATTTTGGAGATGAACTTGTTGTGAAAAGAGTATGTGGATATTGCTATACCAAAAAGATCATTAACCACTCCAAGCTAGCAATTTTTCTCTGTTTGCCCGGCTCTTTTTGTCCATCACTCGTTCTAACATTGGTATAGATGCTTGTGCGTGCGAGTGTTTTTGCTCGGATGTCTCCCGATGAAAAACACGAGCTCGTTGAAAAGCTCCAATCACTCGACTACTGCTGCGGATTTTGTGGGGATGGCGCAAATGACTGCGGCGCCCTGAAGGCTGCGGATGTTGGTATCTCTTTATCTGATGCCGAAGCTTCTGTGGCTGCACCCTTCACTAGTCGTCACTTCGATGTATCGTGTGTTCCAACTCTAATCAGGTATGGGTCCTATGCTCGCTTTTGGTGAAGGTGCGCAGCTAACTCCGTCATAGGGAGGGCCGAAGCTCATTGGTAACAAGCTTTTGTTGTTTCAAGTATATGAGCATATACTCAGCAATTCAGTTTTCGACAGTGAGCTTCTTGTACACATCAGCATCGAATCTTGGGGACTTTCAGGTGAGTTATCTTGTCCACGTTGGTTGGAAGGGACGTCATAACTGATGGTCATTGTAGTTTTTGTTCATTGATCTTGCCCTTATTTTACCAATTGCTATTTTCAGTAAGTTTGAGAACACACGCTCAGTACTTTTCGATGACTTGAACGCTCACTAATTTTGCTCAGTGGGATGGACTGCTCCTTACCCTGTCCTTTCTCGGAAGCGACCAACGGCGGATCTTGTTTCCCGAAAGGTTTTGACTCCTTTACTGGGACAAATCACGATCTGTGTTCTAGTCCAATTAGTAGCATACAAATCTGTTCAATCACAGCCATGGTATTTCCACATGTCTATCCAGTACCAGAGGTGTACCATTCTTACTTTTGCTGCAGGTTCAAACCACCGAGTAAAAAATTAGAGGATGACAACATTGAGAACTCAGAAAATACCGCACTATTCCTCGTATCTAGCTTTCAGTACATATTAGCTAGTGTCGTTTTGAGTGTCGGACCGCCATTTCGGAAATCAATGAGATCAAATAGTAGGTAATCCCTGTGATAATTGGATACAACGCTAACCATTATTAGAACCTTTCCTCGCCGTTATCCTTGTAGACGTGCTCTTTTCGTGCTACATGCTTTTCAGACCCTCAGCGTGGGTGACAAGAGTTATGCAATTGACATACCTCTCGCAACCATTTGCTATTTGGCTACTTGCCCTGGCTCTTGGGTCCTTTATATTCGCTTTGGTAGCGGAACGAAAGTTCTTCCCTAGGCTTGCTCGCATGTTGGGACGCTTAATGGTATTGTTGCGGCCAGGCCATCAGAAGCAACGGCGCCAGTATAAAGTGTTACTTGAGGAAATGCGGAAATAGTGCTTTTTTTCTTATTGAGATTAGGATTTCTTGGTCTTTGAGAGAAGCGTATACATGTCCAAGGTTACGGTTGTGGTGATAGGTAGAGAATAGTACATAGACGGCATTATGAATAACCATCATACTGTTCAGGTATTCGGGTGTGGTATTTGTTCTGGGATCGACAACAAGGTTTCCCTCCTTTATCTCGCAACTGCTCAGTGGTCCCATGGATGCTTCCAGCCCAACAACGCAGGGCCATCCTTCTTCGCTCGGTACATCAACTGTTGGTAGTCCAAAAGAATGTAATTAGCATGGCTCGCTATAGAGAACGGATCGATGTTTAGAGGCATACAAAGAACCACATGCTAGCGCCGAGTGCAGTCGCGGTAAAGCGATAGAGCGGTCTTGCCGGATGAATATGAATAGGGTGATTCGCAGCCATATCTAGGACTTGCATTAGGGTAAACTGTTATGAAGCGGTTGTTTAAAGTGCAAAGGATTCTTTGACGCCGTACCTTCTCAATTGACACGGATAACCGGTGTTAGGGAAGAAAGATGTTGCAATAGAATGAAACCCAGGGTAGTCCACGGAGATGATGTCGAACTTGGCCGAGTCTGCCGGTTCCAATAATTGGTCACGTGATTATGTTTGTCCGCTTGGTTCTTTGGGGGTCTGATGTGACATCCATTTTGTGATACCAAGGGTTTGTCGCAGATGCTGTATATCCCTATGGTTTAGCTCTGTGAGTCATCACGGTGTGAGATTGAAGTCACACGCACTTGACTGATCAACCTTCTATTCGACTATCGTACACCAATATTGCCCTTGCCGTACTACGTACTTGTCCAAAGCAAGCCGAAATACTATCCAAACACCTCTACAGTTTTCAAAACCCCTGTCTTTAACCCACGTCATTATTGATTGGAATATCGGATGTATACTACAGAAAAATAGAGTTGGGGTTTGTCTTTCAAATCTTCCCGTTTACCCACCGACTCATCACCCTTCCAGGGCTATATCTCCGAAGCAAACTATCGCGAATGTGAAGGAAAATGGTTATAGCATCGCTCGAGAGGGATAATAATGGCAACACCAGATTTAACGGTTGCACTAGCATTCGCGATTATGAATTTCTAGGGAAACTTGGTGAGGGCACTTTTGGGTGAGTACCACGGCCGCACATCAGGGACACAGCTCACGAAATTTACCAGAGAGGTCTACAAAGCAAAATCTAAGAAGAATGGGTCTATATTCGCACTGAAGAAGATCCTCATGCACAATGAAAGGGATGGGGTAAGCTGAATCAAATATTCTCGGCCTAGCCCATGTCTAATCAACCGTTTCGAAGTTCCCAATTACAGCCCTTCGGGAGATCAAGCTATTGAAAATGCTATCTCACCCCAATATCCTCCAGCTTCGGGAAATGGCTGTGGAACGAAGCAAAGGTATGGAGCACCTTTTCTATATAAAGTGGAAAATTCTGATTCCGGGGAAGGAGAGGGACGAAAAAAGCCTAGCATGTACATGGTCACACCTTACATGGAGCACGACCTTTCGGGACTACTTGAGAACCCAGCAGTTCATTTCACCGAGGCTCAAATCAAGTGCTATATGGTCCAGCTCCTGGATGGACTAAAGTATTTACATGGGGTATAGCTGCACTGTGGATACAATGGGAAAAGAGCTTTTCTGACTTACTACAGAATCAAATTCTACATCGTGATATGAAAGGCTAGTCCTGATATCGAACTAACGAAGTGTACCCTCACTGACCGTTACAGCTGCCAACCTACTTATTAGCAACAAAGGAATTCTTCAGATTGGCGATTTTGGACTGGCCAGGCCTTTCGATGAGCCACCTCCTCAACCTGGGAAAGGAGGAGGAGAAGCGAAAAGGGATTATACAACTTTGGTTGTGACTAGATGGTATCGTCCGCCGGAGTTACTTCTCCAACTTCGACGTTATACTTCCGCCATCGATATGTGGGGTGTTGGGTAATTCGCACCACTCACTTTTGCAGTCTCGCTTCTAACATTTACAGATGCGTTCTCGGTGAAATGTTCAAGGGCAAACCAATCCTCGCCGGCAGCAGTGACCTCAATCAGGCCCAGCTTATATTCAATTTGGTGGGAAACCCCACAGAGGAGAACATGCCTGGTTGGAGTTCGCTCCCAGGATGCGAGGGGGTAAAAAGCTTCAGCAGCAAACCAGGGAACCTTGCTGAAGTTTTCAAAACGTAAGTTATGCCATTCTTTCTTCTGCTGAATCTCGCAGGCATGTCTTCGGTTCGAGAAATTCTCTGTCTGACTCCCTATAGTCAAAGTCCCATGGCAATATCCCTGCTGAGCGAGTTGTTGAAACTCGACTGGCGAAAAAGACTGAATGCTATTGATGCATTGAAGCATCCTTACTTTTCAACCCCACCGCTGCCAGCGCGTCCGGGCGACCTTCCGCGTTTTGAGGATTCTCATGAACTAGATAGGCGGAGGTTTCGTGGCCAGAGAGCGGTTCTGCCTCCAGCCCCCGCTGGGGGTTCAGTGGGCATGGGTCGAAATGGCGGCTGGTCAACCAACTCAGGGGCTAGGACGGGGCCAGAAAATAAAGCCGGTCGCATTCCTGGTGCAGCCCGTTCGGTCAGGCCAAATGCAAACGGAAACCAGGGAAATCACCCACGTCGTTCCCATGACAATTGGAACCATGAGGCACAGCACGGTAGAGCAAGAAAGGGCGTCGAAGAATCAGACCAAGGGTTACCCCCTCGAAATAAAGACGGCGGTTTACCACCTAAACCTCCCATGTCAACCCATCAAACATGGGCTGCCGGTCAACCCGACAAAGGTGGGCGAGATAGATCATATTCAAACCGGTTTCCAGCGTCCGAAGGAGGGAGAGATTCATATGTTCCAAGTAATACCGCAAACGATCGAGCTCGTGAGAGAGATCATGGATCTACTTCGAATACTGATTGGCGTGGTGGCATCCACCAAGGGAACAAGCAAGATTATGGACGAGATAGTTCATCTAGGAGAAGAAGTCGGAGTCCAGGTTCTCGGGATGGACCACGGATGGATCGGCCATTGTACCGCCGGTAAAGCCAGAATAAATAAATTATGCTATAATGTATTTCACGCCATCTTGCTTGACTTGTCTAGAGCGTATGGAATAATGTATCTAGCCAATCAGGGTTGCTAGGTGCTAGAATTCAATAAAGCACTGATGTTAAATGCACACAGTATACTGACTACTATATTTGGTTAAACAATGGAGATTCATCTGAATATCACACATTGGGCGAAAAACATTTCCTATTCAAATGCAGTAAGTTATCAAACTTTTCTTTCTAATTTATATATTTGTGGTGATGCGCCGTTGAGGGGCTGCCACAATATGACCCAATCAATTCTTATTACACTCCTCACTTGCCTCGCCTGTCTGGTTTCTCGTTCGGTGAAAAATAAGACATAACAATGTGCTCTAATCTATGTGGAATGATTAGGTAGGCAAGGCCATTTCATCAGAGAGGCTCCTCTAATACAAAACTCGTGTCATGATTCGCGCTAGAATTTCAGTTAGTATAGTACAAGTTCAATTGGGGGTAGCGTGTTTGTACATGAAAGGCTCTCAAGTCTTTCGTATAAGTCCTTGATTGTAAGATTATCGACATTACTGATGTCAGCCATGAGATAGGCCACCTATGAATGGTTAACCTGTCTGTTACCTATATCCTCATCGAATCAAAAACATACATCACCTCTACTATCGGTCATCTGCTTATCCACGTTATGGTCACCGAGGATTTCGTTAACTAAGAGGGAGTTAGCCGGGTTCCGGAGTTATCATCAGGATGCTATTCTGCGTACCTTTACGCAGAACACCCGGAACATTGTGATGGATGTAAATCACCTAGATCAAAAAGTCAGCATATATCACCAATTACAATATCACTTCGAGCCGACAAATTACATACCCGTGCATGATCTGGCTCATCCATGGTTAGGGAACGGAGTGTAACCTCTGGAAGGTTGACAGCGCCCAAAGTTGAGCCTTCGTTGACATATCTCACCAACGCATCCGCGACTTCAACACCGATCGCGCGCTGCGCCTCTTCGGTACTGCCACCGATATGTGGAGTGATGATCAGGTTTTTCAGAGCACGAAGGTCCGTCCCCCAGGTGTTAAGGGTATTATTAAAATAGTCGCCATTACCAGCAGGTTCATTTGGATAAACATCAAGAGCAGCACCAGCAACTTTGCCGGATCTCATAGCATGTATCAAGGCTGGGATATCGACGACGCTTCCACGACTAGCATTGATTAAATAACTGCCATCCTTCATCTGATCAAATTGGGCCTGTCCTATCATATTTTTGGTTTCGGGAAGCTCAGGCACATGACAGGTGATGAAGTCGGACTCAGCTAGCAGGTCCTTCAGGGTAGGAACTTGGCGAGCAGTACCCAACGCCATCAGGTTCACCACATCATAGAAGATAACAGACATGCCCATTGCCTCGGCCAGGACTGACAACTGGGAGCCAATGTGGCCGTATCCGATAATTCCTATACAGCAATTAGGCGTCGATGAACAAGGTGGTATATGTGCATGGTGTACTCATGTTTCGAGGGAAGGGGGAAATATATACCTAATGTCTTTCCACGGATCTCCCAACACTTATTACTCACCTTATTCCAAGTTCCGCTGTGCATTTCATTGGAACGATCACCAAACTGCCGGGCGAGAGCAATAATTTCACCTATGACAAGTTCTGCAACGCTACGTGAGTTGCTGAAAGGGGAATTGAACACAGCAATACCGTGCTCTGCAGCATACTGCAGGTCAACCTGATTTGTTCCAATGCAAAAACAACCGATGACTATGAGATTCCGGGCTTCTTTCAAGACACGGGCTGTCAGTTTTGTTTTGGAACGGATGCCAATAACATGCACATCGCTATTAGAATGGGAGCCAGAGTCAGCAAACGATGGTCCTGAATATGTAAAATAATACTAACCGAATTTTCTCAATGAGTTGGTCCTCAGGGAGTGATGATTTGAGGAATTCCACTTGATAACCTTGTTTGCTGAGTATTTCCCGACCAGTCTGATTGACGTTTTCCAGAAGCAACACTTTAATATCCTCTGTAGCAAATGGCTTCAAATGCTTTGCATTGGCCAAAGGCACTATAGGTGTTGCAAAAACCGAGCCTCCTTGGCTAGATGGAGCGGATTGGAAGGAAGCATTTGGTGAGGTGGAAAAACCAAGGTTTTGCGAGGTGTTGAGACTCGACACATCCTTGCTGGATTTTATGTCTCTAGCGGATGCCATTATGACAATACTCGGGCTGTCCCAGGTACGAGAACGTGGAATATGATGCTGATTGGGGTTGAAATAATCAACAGATTATGAAAGAAAGAGGAGACAAATAATGCCCTAAACTTCTAGGTAGGATGTGGAAGGAAGGAAGAGGAGAGGAGAGCTTCCCACTGGTGGTTTATAAGCTTCACGTTGTTGGCCAGCCGTTGGTGATTTGTGACGCAGAGTTAAAGGTTCCGTTCATGCATGTCTCTTCTCTGTAGGAAAGCGGTAAGTTTCTATTAGATGAAAATTTTTATTAAGACAGTATTGCATCATTCCAAGGTTCTTTCTTCTTATTCAGAAAGGGTAGGTTTGAGTCATACTAATTTCGTACCTAGGTAATAATATCCGTATGGGATCTATGTTGTTACTATTATTTGCAATCCTAGTAAAAACAAAAGTTCTTCTGTGAAAATTTTTCTGAATCTTACTCGCACATATAGACTTCCCCTTCTTATTTTATTTTATTTTTTTTTTTTGCAATGATGCTACAAAATCTTATCAAGAATAAAAAAAATTCCACTCTATACGCGTTCGCTCCAAAAAAAAAACTCCGAGAACGGAGTAGAGGGGTAGGTAGGGTAGGGCGGGGCTATCCCGACTCCCGAGTTCTTCTCCACCTACCGAGTAGTTGCACCACAATACTGAATACTCTCGTCCGAGTCTCATTTTAATTCCGGGCCATGCAATCCCTGCTGGTGACTCACTTTAAATGACTACAATTATCTCAAGTCGATTGAATAGAGTGTATTTCCCTACTTCGTATATTCAATTACTCTTCTATGCTGACATCGAGAAAGTACCTGCTGAAAATGCCCTAGTTGTAAATCTGACAGCTATACTATGGGCTTAGAGGGTATCCTATCACACTTTAGAACTGAGGAAATGCGCTTCTAGAGAGACCAAAGAGATATATTATTCCTCAACGAATATCGGCAATTTCCGAGCCGCGCCCCGATTTCAAGAGGTCTCCCATAAGTCTGGAAACTGGTTGAAGGACTCTGAGTTTGGTAAAGGGAACCAGGACCGAAATTATAACTGCATGCTTTCTAGCTTCTTGGAAGCATCGTCGGCGTTGCTCTGAGGTTTAGGGGCAGGCTTTGGTCGAGATTTATTTGAGGTGCTGTCCTTTGGAAGTTCCTTGGTAAAGGGAAGGAACTCGGGGGCGCCGGGGATATATTTTCTCAGGACCTCAGGAACAACAAATCCCTATGCGCGATGATTAGTATAACGAAAACAGCACAGGTATTCAGATTGCACATACTTCAGCTGTTTGGTAGTTCTCAAGAACACAGCAAAGTGTTCGTTCTGTGGCACACAGTGTAGCATTCAGCGCATGAACATAAGATTTCTTGACATCGGTGGTTTTCTTCGCGCCATATCGAATTCCCAAGGCCCTAGCCTGGTAATCGGTACAATTGGAGCAAGAAACTAGCTCCTTGTATTCCTGCTGGAAAGGGAACCAGGCCTCGAGATCATATTTCTTCGATGCTGCATTGTTTAAAGCACCAGAAACAATGGATACGACTTGGTAAGGAAGCCCAAGCGACTTGTAAAACTCCTCAGACGTCGCGATCATTTCGTCGAAGGCTTTCCAGGAATCCTCGGGCTTTATGAGGACGAACTGTTCAATCTGGGACACTTTTAGTACTTGAAATAAAGATTGCAGAAGGCCCCGAATCCAACCTTTTCGAATTGATGGACGCGGAAGATACCCCAAGCATCCTTGCCATGGGCGCCAGCCTCCTTTCGGTAGCATGTACTATACCCAGCGTATCTTATTTCCGATTAGTCAAAAAACCACTATGGGAGTCATGGTGTTGCTCACTTGATCGGAAGGTCCTTGTCTTGGAGCCATTCACTATCATGTAATGCGGAAAGCGGTTGCTCGGAGGTAGCAATAAGATATTTATCAGTGGATTTGTCCTCGCTCTCCGTGACCTTATAAAGCTCTTCGTCGAATTGTTCAAGCTGGGCGGTTTTTGCCATCATCTCCTTGAGCATGAACTGGGGAGGCTGATTTGGAGTATAGCCCTTTTTCCAAAGGAATTCGAGGCCATAATTCACAAGCGCAAGATTCAAAAAGAGGCCGTAACCTGTCAAACAATATCCGCGGTGGCCGACGATTTTGACGCCACGCTCCGGGTCGTAACCATCAAGGCGAGTAAGGACTTCATGATGCGAAAGGCAATCCGGTTTTTCGGGAACGAAATTCTCCGGGGACCATGTTCTGACGATGGCGTTATTATCCTAGATATAAAATAAAGTAAGTGTTTTGAGCCCTCAAATGCTGTTAATGAGAATGTACAAACCTCATTGTCGCTCACGGGAACCGATTCATGAACATAGTTGCCAATGGTTTTAATTTTTCTATCCCTGAGGGTCTCCTTTTCCACAGCAAGTTCCTCTGCCGCCTTCCTACGCTTCTCTAGGGCAACCTTTTCTTCCAAGAGGTTGCTTGCATCTTCCTTATTCTAATTCGAAAAAAAAAAAAGATTAAAACTTGAATTATCAGGGGCACAGCATGAGAGAGTGTGGCTTTGGCCAGGACATAAGCTTTAACAAGGCTTACCTTCTTCTTTTTCCCAATATCCTTGAGGAGGCCGTTGATCTGCGAATTTATTTGAGAAACCTCGTAACGAGCTGTAATTATTTCAGAATCAACCTGGCTTACTGCCCGAAATATGGCTGTATCTCGCAGAAAACCTACCCCTTCGAGCTTCCTCGTACAAGGAGATAACCTCATCTACCGCACTTTCTGGAGCAAATCTCCTCCTCTGGCTTTCCTTGATCTTATTTGGATCTCCACCACGATCACTGATAAAGTCGACAAGATCAAGCATTTCGAATAATAAAGGGTTCGCTAATTAAAATTGAAAATTTTGATAAATTGAGCAGAAGGCCAGATGGGAACACGACGAAGGATGCTGTTGATATTTGCAAGTATTGTTGACAACTGTGCAAATATTCGGCGTGGTGAGCGGGGAGGATATGAGGGGCAGGAAATTTGATTTATGACTAACTTAGGGCACGGCCAACAACATACAATATTGAAACAATACCGTACCATACCGAGGTGGCAACAGTTGGTTACTACAGTTAGTACCTAACTATTAACTTAGTACTACTACATGTACTCCGTACGGTCTGCTTGCAATCCCTGGAATTGTTTATCTACTACTAGTAGTACTTACTTAACTAGTAGTACTCAGAGTATGTAATCAAGTGCTAACTTAACAGTTTGTCCCAAGAAAATTATATCATTCATTTATCTCTACTTAAAATCATTCTTCTAGACTATTTTACGTAGTGTGGTGTTTTACTTGAGTAATCTTAGGCTAGATAAAACTTTCATCTTATACACACGCTCACCTTGTATTTCCCATTTCAACACCTGGATTTAATTAGTATACAGACAAACCATAAAACACCATAGTGAAAATTATATCATCTAATATTTTTTGAGGTTAAAAGCCAGAACTGTTGATATGAAAGGTATGAACATTTATAGCAATGTGTTATTGTCGTATTATTGATAAATAGGGTATGCTGGCATAGCAGATCAATTGAGATTCCTAGCATTCATTACGTTGACAACACTCCAAATTATCCAGAAACAGTTCTCTCGCGTCTAAATCACCCAATATCGTAACATTAAACTCCCAGGTAATTAGTGGTAGATGAAAATTCTGAAGCAATAGGTCAAGGGTGAAAGAATTAGCAGTAGAGCGGGTCAACGGAGGAAAGGTAATATCAAACCTTAGCTTATAGAAGGAAAAAGCAAAAACGTCAATTAAATTATTACTTGGTCGATGTCACATTATGGTGCATTTATTGCCTCCAGCAGGCTGTGGAGGGTTTTGGGACTTTTCGATTTCTCCGATCATCAAGTCAAAAGCTTTCGCAACATTATAGTCGAGGCGAGCACTGGCTTCTGTAAATGCACAATGGAAAATTTCGCCTAACTGCCGGCCTTCGTCCAGGGAAACTTGGCGTTGTTCGTGCTTGAGGTCACTCTTGTTTCCAACCACAACGAGCGGAACATGGTCGGCTCCCTAGGTTAATGTCTCAGTAATTGGTCTAGTAACCGATCGTGCGGTCAAACGCTCACGAGATGATTCAATATCTTGTCCCTGATTACCCTCACCATGTCGAAGGATTGGCGTGACGCCACAGAATAGACGATGATATATCCATGAATTCCAATGAAATGCTTAGAATTCAGTATGCTATACTCATCCTGTTGCATGCTATTAGCGGTTTTCCCTCATCATGTCCAATAAATATTGTCCTCACTTGTCCAGCAGTGTCGACGATTTCTGTTGCAAAATCTTGGCCGTTGTATTTGATTATTCGACTGAACGTGTTTTCGATCGTCGGATAGTAGCTCTCGACAAAATGGTGCTCAACAAATCGAACCGTCAGAGAGGATTTACCTGGAGAGTGCGTCAGCTGGGGGTAGGTGATAGGGGAAGGGAGTACGGTTCATAGCGAAAACACACCGACGGATCGACTGCCAACAATAGCTATCTTCCGCTGCTTCGGTGCACTGGGCATTTTCGCTGCCCTAGGTGCTGAGTGAACAATAATAACAGCGAAGGGTGGCTGATTCGTGGAGAAATGCTTGCTTGCAGAGATATCGTGGTCTAGCAATGCGAGGTCGAACCGTCGTGAGCGGAGACTAGCCACTAAATTCTAAAAGCATGTAGAGATAGGGATTTAGAGTAGATCGATGACGACGTCGGCAGTGTAATTAACCCCCTAGTCGATTTTCGAGCGGAAGTGTTGAGCAATGGATGACTCAGTAAAAAGTGGCAAACTCGCCGTCGCAACAACCGACCTGCGGGCGCAAACAAACCAAACCGTTTTGCCGGTGTTGTGATGGGTAATTTCGGTTCTACCCGAAACAGAGCACCAGCATGCGCCATACATTCAGGAATGATCTTAAACCAACTAATGACTAGTATCACGGCAATGGCTTTAGCTAGATAGGAGACCGTTGTTGCATTCTGGCTAGGATGCCTACCACAAATATATACCGATCCTGCTCTTTCTAGGAGCATTCGACAAAGAAATTAACCAAGTATTAATGAGAAAAGAGTGGAAGGCTGATTTTTACACAACAGGGCACAAGAATGTTTCAGCTTTCGATAATGTATAATCATCGATTTTTTTTTAGGTTGCGCCAACTACAATATTTCATACAAAGACGATTGAGTGCGGATCTTTCACATATGCTATGGGAGTTTGGTGGGTGGAGTTATGGGGTATCTCAAAAGAATATCGTCCGGACTCCCGATCTTGGTGTTAAACTTATTTGCGGTTGTAGGTGACGGCCTGTTGAAAAATCGCCTGAGAACCTCATCAGGAGGGTTCCTCAGACTGGCGTATCTGATCTATTATATGTCCCAATCGTGCAGTAAGCCTAGACTCTCCTTCATCACGAGATTCGAAGGCGTGGGAATCCCGTTCGACCTTTTGGTGGTATTGTAAAAATTTCTCGGCAGTCGACAAAATGCTGGTGAGCCCATTCCCATCAAGAGCCGCCTTGACGCAACGACGTGCTTCAACATCGAGGCAAATCGTAAGTAAAAGAATCGATAAATATCCAGCGACAACATTCTGATGTACTTCGGATACAGAATTCGCCTAGAGTTCACGTTAATCTGGGAAGCCTCAAGTGCATACCAGCTCTTGCCTTACCTGGTCCATAGAGCGAACGCTATCAGAGAACTGCATGAGAAGTTGCTTGAGAAACGAGTCGGAGACACCATCAGACTGCAGAAAGATAGCTCTTGACAACTCAGTATTCTCCGCCAAATTAATGAGAGTTCCCAGAGCTAGGATAACAGTGTTCAGTGTATTGCTTTCTTTGGCAGAAGAATGGCTTGAAATCTGGCGAAACTCCGTCACAACAATTCCAGCAAGCCCAGAGACAAGCTCAGGAGTAGCAAAGTCATCACAGAAAGAAGGTTCTTTGTTGGTGACATTTAAAATAACGCGAATATAGGAGATTATGATTTGTCGGCTTTGGTCATATGGATTCGGTGTAAAAACAGTGTGCAGACCAGAAAGCCGTTGGAAATGGAGACGATGCTCATAATCCAACGGCCCTGATATAATCGAGTAATTTTCAAGGACAGAAAAGATCAATTCAAGCATGTGGAAACGATGCGGGGAGAGAGGGAAGTCTGATTCCTTTGGGGTCTTCAACACCACCAAATCAACTAGGCGCCCCAACAATGAGGCCGGGAATGTCTGAATGGGGGAACCGTTCTTGCGAAAATCCAGCAAGGATGCCATGATACATTCAAGAGCTAAGATACACGGAGAGATATTTGGCGGTGACACATCAACCACGGAGAGAAAATGCGGTTGAAGACTTCTGACTGAAGCCTGGGCAGTCTTGGACATACCCAGTCGTGGCTCTTTTGCCAGAGAAAGTATCCCATCTTCTGTATCGAGCACGCTGAGCGAAAGATGAAGAATTTGCGGCCATAAGGACCCGGCCAGAATGTGGGAAGACGGGCCATTTGCGAGAATTAATTTATAAGCCCCGAGAGCAAGAGAAGTCGAGATTATATCTAAGCCATCTTGGGTGCATTTCGCAAGGCGTTCTTCGAATCCTTCCTCAGAAAAGCGGCGTACAAATTGAGGTTCTGAAAGCCGGAGGCACAGCTGGGCAAAGCCACAGCATCTCCCGGATGCGGAATTGTATGTGTCTTCAATATCTTCAAAGATAGAATCGATTGTTTCTCGAAAACGAGCGTTGTCTCCGGCCTGTCGAAGCTCATGAATGCTACGGACCGCCTTGCTGTTACTATTCTCATCTTCCTCGCGTGATAAATGAGAAGTAAGTGAATGACGTGCTCCGGTGCTTGTTTCACATATTGACGAGGTTTGAATACCATGGGATTCCATTTCCGGAATACTGGACGCATCGTTGAGGAAAGATCGCTGTCGGGAGTAAGTGACCTTGGAAGATTGCAATTTTGGGGGGATAGAAGCTGCCGGTTGCCCTTCGAGTTGCTCAGCCGTACGGACCTCGGATTCAGGTGAACTCTCTAAAGCGCTTCGGAAATTGCTATCGATTTCATGGCCGAGCCTACGGTGTAGAGAACGGTCTTGTTCAAATCCATTACCTCTCTGTAAAAGAGGGCTATCCAATTGTTCATCCATCGTACCGAGCGAATCCACTAATCTCTTCCGTGGAGAAGCGTTCTCTATTCGCCTCTGGGGTACAGTAGCGCCATGCTTTTTATGTTCGCGGTTGGGACTGAGTACTGAGGACATTTCAAGCTGTATTGAAGGCTCCTGACGACGAAAAGATCGCGAGTACGTCGGCGTCACTGCGTTAAGCGGCTTTTGCTTAGTTGCTTTGTCAGGTCCTCCGCAAAAGTCAGGAATATCAAGAGTATTCTGGTTTGTGGCACGGTGGGAATTTTGCTTTATGAATGTTCTTTGATCTCGTGTGTCGGATTTCCCCTGATTTTCGTTCGCAGGCAAAGCCATAGTTATACGGCCGTAGACACTATTGCCCCCCTGCTCTCTGTCTTGATGTGCTTCTTCAGAAATATGTCCCGTGAGAAACCTCCTTCGCTTTCTTTGCCTAGCATTGTGTTCATCGTCCTTTGGAGAGGGTGAAGAAGGGCCTAGTTGGCGAAAAGGAAAGGTTATCGTAGGTCATGAAACACTAGTTGGGCGTCGTACTCACCTGTGTCTTTTGTTAGACGCAGAGACTGGGACGATCGAGGAGAAGAAACAGGGGCATAAGATGTTCTAAGCCCCCCTGCATCTGTAGAAGAAGTACGCGATATGAATGATCCGGTAGAACCATCCAGTTCCAGGAGAGGTTCTAGTTTATTTCGAGGGGATTTACCATACGTCAAGGGCCTTTTTTTATTCTGAGGCATATTGGAGTGGTAGCCTGAGCAGAACTGTTAGAGAAAGATTATTACCAGGTAGCGTTTAGAACGAGGTTCGTTGTTGTGCTATCACATATTCCCGCCCAAGTGTTGAAGCAAAGTCGTCGAGAGGTAGCAGAGTAGATCAATCTACCCCGTGGGAATGCGCCGGAGTAGGAAAGTTGGTTGGTCAGCCCAGTTATGGTCCCTTAGTACAGCAATCTTGAGATTCCACCGACTAATAGTCCGCAGCCAGTAATAGCAGGTAGACCCAGTGAGTAGCTGTACTCTTTAGTTTCATTGCAAGTCGAGGGTTCCAGTCAACCTAAGGTAGACTACTACCTAGGTCTCATCTCATTTTTGCCATTGCGAGCCCCCACTTTCATACATACTCTGTAAGTGCTGAAAGGATCTCTTGCCCTTTCTCCGCCTTTAGAGCTACTAGTGGCAAGCGGCACAACCACCTGACAACATACAACCTGGTTCTAGGGTACACGAGGTCTCCTGCACTTATTGAGCAATAATTCGTCGTCAGTTTCGCTAACTGGCATACCGCCATTTCAGACATATACAATATACCATCTAATCTGCTATATCCCTGCGGGCGGGACGAGTGCAATCTTGACTATTTCAACTTGTCCATTCCATTAACCACTACTTCTTGCACTTTATTCCGTCATGGCCAGTGAAATCGTCAAATCCATACCCTCCCCTGCTCAGGGCGTTGGCCCTGTTTACCAGTCTGATAAAGAAAAACCTACGGCAACAGTATCTAAGGACATTTCCTACGAAAATGTCCACGTTCTGCCTCAAACCCCTCAACTGATTGCGTTATTGACGTAAGATAGGACCTATCATAGAGTTGGCAATAGATATTGTGAGCCTAGACTGACACTTCCATAGAATGATCAGAGATCAAAATACCAGCCGTGCTGACTTCATCTTTTATTCGAACAGGATCATCCGTCTCCTGGTGGAAGAAGGCCTCAACCATCTTCCGGTTGTTGAGCAATCCGTCACTACTCCTGTGGGCCGCGCATATCTTGGTGTTAAGTTCGAGGGGAAAATATGCGGAGTTTCGATTATGAGAGCTGGCGAGGCAATGGAGCAAGGGTTGAGAGACTGTTGTCGGTCGGTTCGGATAGGGAAAATCCTTATCCAAAGAGATGAAGAAACATGCAAACCAAAGCTTTTCTACGAGAAGCTTCCTGCTGATATATCCAATCGATGGGTACTTCTGCTAGATCCAATGTTTGCAACAGGTAAGTGTAAACTCCCAAAGATTGGGCACGCGACACAGAACTAATCTCGACTAGGCGGATCTGCAACACTTGCTGTTGAAGTTTTGAAGGCCAAGGGTGTACCAGAAGAGCGTATCCTATTTCTAAATCTTATTGCAAGTCCTTCGGGAGTTACAGATTTTGCGAAACGCTTCCCTAAGCTCAGGGTTGTGACTGCCTTCATCGACCAAGGTTTAGATGAAAAGAAGTGAGACACTTCCTTGTAGTCAATGCGCCACGTACTAATAATGTCTTGTCCTTTACAGATATATTATTCCGGGCCTTGGTGATTTCGGTGACCGATACTATACCCTATAAAAAATATAGCGACCAGAAGGACAAATACCTCTCCCCAGCCAACGCCTAAATAACAATAAATTTCCCAGTATCTTTTTGGCAATTGCCGTCTGTGGAACATTCGCCAACAGACTGCATGGCATACGCACTTATAGTAGAGTGAACCCTGTAGGCAAAGGAGTAATAATCACTAAAAATCGCAATGCCTCCATTTGCACAGCGTTTATCTTCCCCGCTGTATCTTCAATAACTTTCTGAAAATTGACCAAGTTGTTCTGTATTATTATCTCCGGGAGAAGCGGGATGGCCGTAGGAACGTGTGGCTTGTGCATCATTTTCTTGGTACTTGTTCGCAGTATCTTTGGCAACTGCATCGCAGGCATCAACCCAGTCTGAGTATACATCAACAGCCGCAGAAAGATCTAGGAAAGACGACTATTAGAACTATCCAGAGGGTTGCCAAATGCAAGAACTCACAGTTGATGCCTGTTTGGAATCTTTGTCCGCACACCTTGCAAGACAAGTGTCCTAGCCCAAGCTTCTTATCTAGTTTCACCACGATCGAATTCTCGTGGTTGCAAAATAGGCAAGCAAACGTTGTCGCAAGGGGTTCTCTCTATCCTCATGTTAGTACGCTGTTTGTAGGCATGTAGGTAAGACGGGTCTCCTGAATATTGTCCAACCTTCTTGGGTCCCTGGGGTTGACGGCTTGACTTCTTGCGCTTGCCCTGTAACGACACGGAAGGAAGGAAGCAATGTTAGCAATTGTTATGGTATGAAGGCAGGAGGTGGTCGTCGGCTCTGCTAATATCAGTGAGGTCGTACCATGCTTAAGACTCAAGATTTATTATAATTCAAGGGACCCTATTGCCCAAAACTTGACATCGAGCGAGTTAGCGGTAAGAAGAACGTCACAGTAAGGAAACAAACCAGTTATTAAGGCAGACACCGATATGTCTAGTGGTTGATAAGGAGTGGCAAGCTTCCCGCGCGTTCTATCAAGTACAAGTACGTCGATAGGCGTGGGCTGCGCAAGATGGTTGGTGCATTACCCTGGAGCTGGGAAGGGGACTCCGAGCCAATAATTTTATTCTAGGAAAAGTGGAGGAGAATTTTGCAGAAATGCTCACTCACGCCATGGCATCCGAAGAGCAACAAATAACCCACACTATACTCAGTTAACTTGGGGACAAGCTCCGAAGTCAGGCCGAACAGATGGGCAATGTTAACATTGAATACTTGTACAACCCATTTCCCAGGTGGGTAGACATTAACAAGATATTCTGACGAGACCTCAAGAGGCACCTATTCTGTACTACTCCCTGGTTATTAAAGTACTACTAGTCCAGAAATACCCACTAAAATCTTAACATCCATTATATTATACCCACAGAAACAAATGTATATGACAGTGCGCAAAAAAATAAAGCACTTTCCCTACAGAGGAGACAGTGACCTATACCTATAGATGCGCCCATGTGCAAGTAGTTATAGGCAAAAAAGAAACACTATTTAAAAAAAATACGGGGTGGCAAGTACAGAGGCGCAAAACTAAAGTGCATGATGAAATGGGCTTCTATACTCAAAATTTGGTCACGTGATAAGCGCAACAGCCCAATCACATAATCCAAGTGTGTGGGTATTATATTATATAAGCCGATTATAGGGCCAGCGCCTCGCTTAACGGACTTTTCTGTGGGATTTCGTTTTCATCTTCTTGTCTGTCGAAACCGCGGCAAGCAGCACGAATCGACTCGACCCCTTCCACCAGAGCGTGTGGTGTGATTTTCTAGTCTGTCTTCAACCTTTGACAGATAAGACTTGAGTCGCAATTATGGCTGTTGGAAAGTACGACACTCTATGTTCAGTGAACATCAACGCGAAGACGATTTGGTCCCTCTTGCTAATATCTCGCCAGGAACAAGCGCTTGTCAAAGGGCAAGAAGGGTGTCAAGAAGAGGACTGTCGATCCCTTCACCAGGAAAGATGAGTACTCTGTGAAGGTAAAATTCCGCTTGATCTCAATGCTTGACAGAATACTAACTAGACACAGGCCCCTTCCACCTTCCAGATCCGAGAGTAAGTCAACTGAACATTTGTGCATTATTTGTGGTAATTTCATTTCAATCTCCGAATGTCGACTAACATGGGGATTGAAGTGTTGGAAAGACCCTCGTCAACCGCACCAGTGGTCTCAAGAATGCGAATGATTCGCTTAAGGGTCGGATTTTCGAAGTTTCTCTTGCCGATCTCCAGAACGACGAAGACCACGCCTTCCGCAAAGTCAAGCTCCGCGTCGATGAGATCCAAGGAAAGAACTGTCTCACCAACTTCCATGGTCTGGATTTCACCACCGACAAGCTGCGATCCCTTGTGCGTAAGTGGCAGTCGCTCATTGAGGCCAACGTCACTGTGAAGACGACCGATGATTATCTTCTCCGTCTGTTCACCATTGCCTTCACCAAGAGACGCCCGAACCAGATCAAGAAAACCACATACGCCCGCTCTTCCCAGATCCGCGCTATCAGGAAGAAGATGACCGAGATTATGCAACGCGAGGCTGCCAGCTGTTCCCTTGCCCAGCTTACCACGAAGCTTATCCCTGAGGTCATTGGCCGTGAAATTGAGAAGGCAACCCAGGGAATCTATCCTCTGCAGAATGTTGGTGGTACTTGAAATTTCCCCCGTTTGAACAAGAACTAAAGCTTTTCTAGGTCCACATTCGCAAGGTCAAGCTTCTGAAGGCTCCCAAATTTGATCTGGGTGCTCTGCTTAACCTGCATGGCGAGTCTACAACTGATGACAAGGGCCACAAGGTGGAGAGGGAGTTCAAGGAGCAGGTTCTTGAGAGCGTCTAAGGGATCAATTACGGTTCCGTGGCTGTTATGTTTATTTTATGCAGTCATGCATGGATGCAAGCTTGTTCCTTGGAGAGAAAATAAGTAAAAATCGGGTAGTGTATTAGCCGCCAATGACAATTTCTTAAGTTCGTGTGCACAAATCACCAGTATCATGCTAGCAGCAATATCCATGTATCCACATCCTTTATACCATCAGACCCCAGGTTTAGAGGGAGTGTATGTATGTTGATTGAGCCACAGCTGTACGGTGGCTGTACGATAAATATGGTAAAATATTACATACAATTAGTAGGTCATGATTGTACGACTAAGTTATTATTTGAGGTTCTTGTGCATCTGAGGTATGGTGCTTCGGGGAGCCTCTTAGGATATCATAGTAAAGTGGATCCAATCCTTTTTTTTCCAGATATTAAAATTCACCAAATAATATCAGTACCTAGTTTTCCTACGTAGTAGGGTGTGCGTATGCAGGCCACTTGAGTATCTGTAATGGTGTTGTTATTTGCACTTATTTATTCCTTGGCCTGGCTGCCGATTCTCTGTGATTTTGCTCTGGTGTAGACACAAGTACAAGAGATGTTCAAAAGACGTTCGAATATACCAGTTTATATTTATCCCAGGTTGGTTGCACTTTATCAGGCTTTTCCTCTTCACTTCAGGGTGGTGTAGCTAAAAAATTGAAGAACCTATTTGACCTCGCACAGCATTAATAGTTACGAGGAACCCCACCCCCGCCGCCTCTTTTCTTTCTCGAGGTACTCCGTATGTACTCCGTACACGATAAGACTACCTACCACTTTCCTGAGCCAGGATGTTCCAACAGCCGCTAGTCGCAGGTAAGCAACTAGTTGGAATGTCGATACAATAGTGTCTACCCTACTAATAAGCACCGACATACACAATTCCAAAGAAAATCGGCGGACCTTTAGGACCCGCTAGAAGCCAAGACCAAGTAGGCCATCGAGTCCATGCCCTAACCGCCCCTTCCGACCTAGTCTCCAGGGTCGCGCCTTGCGCGCCCCCGACAGCTCAATACTCAGTTTTATATAGCTTTAATTTCAAAATAACCTAGTATACCTAAATTAAAAGATATTCTAATATAAAATAGATATAAATAAATCTTTATATCTCTTGTATCTTCCTAGATTTCTAATATCTTTTTAAAATAATTCCCTAATTTAAGGCATAGGTAATGTCACGGCGGGCAGGCTGGCAGTAGGTGTAGCTAATAGTATAGTGTATATTCAGGCTATATATATATAGATCTGATAGGTTAGGGTTAGATTAGGACAAGAATATAACTTAAAGAGCTATATTGTCAGGGTGCAGAGTCAGATTCAGATATTCATTAACTAGGAGCTAACCAGACAGAACAGCAGAATAGTAGGTATTAGGTAATAGATAGGATATAGCTCAAAGAGCTATAATAGGATCAAGGATAATATAGCTTAAATATAGGAATAAGGGTAGATAATTAAGGCAGAATCTAACTAGATAGGTACTATAGTTTTATACTATAATAGTACCTCTCTTCTTAGGGTTAAACTTTATTAAGACTAGGGAGGAAGTAATTAAGGCTTTTTAGAATAATAAAAGTAATAATTATTTACTAGTTAGTAAATATTCTCTAGATACTTAATAAACTCTTTAATTAATTTATTATATTTAATTTATTTAATAATATATTATAATTTAAATTTATTATAATCTTAATAAATTTATTAAGAATTAAAGATTTTCTTAACTTCTTATTTTTTTAATTTTTTAATTTTAATAAATAATAGTAAATTAAGATATTAATTAAATAAAGAATTATTAATAATAGAATAAAGTAAAAATATATTAAATATAAAATAAATTTTTATATTTTTAAATAATTTAAATTTATAAATATATAAATTAATAATTTTTTTAATATAATATAATTTAAAATTTTTCTAATTTAATTTTTTTTATAAATAAAATATTTAAATATTATAAGTATCTAGCTAGACTTTTTATTCTATAATATAATAATATATAAATTATCTTTAATAATTAATTTATATTTTATAATAAACTTAAGTAAATAAAATCTTAATATAAATAAATTTATAAATTTTATATATAATATTAATAAATTTTTTAATATTTTTTTTAGTAAAATAAATAATAAGATAATTTAATTTAAATCTTAATATTAAATAAAATTTATAATTAATTATAAATAATAATACTTTTATAAACTTAGAATAAATAAAATTAATAATAAATTTAATTATTAATAATTATTTAAATTAATTATTTTATAGATATAATATATATATTTATAAATATTATTTTAAGATAATATTAATATATTTATTTTAATTATTAATCTTAAAATAATAAGTAATAAATAATAAATTATAAATTTTTAGATAAGATATTAGATATTTTTAGAAAATAATAATAAATTAGATTCTATAATCTAATATAATTATTTTAGAGATATTATAGAGTTTCTAGATATATTTAAGATATAAATTAATTATTCTTTTAATATTAATTATCCTAATATAAGGAAGAAAGTATTTTATTTTTATTAAATAATTAATTATAACTAGAATAATATTATAATTATTATTTAATAATAAGTATATAATAAAGTCTATATTTATATCTTATTAAATATATTTAAAAATTAATAAAAATTTTAATATTTCTTACTTTATTTCTTAAAAAGAAATAATTTAATAATAAAAATAATAATTCTAAATTTATTAATTAATATATTTATAAATTTTAAGCTAGAAATATTTATATAATATTAATTTATATATTTTAGTTTTTTTAGAATATCTAGTAGTAAGATTTTTATAATAAAGTTTTAATATTTTAGCTTTTATTTTATTATAATTAAGTATATAAAGTTAGTCTTAATATCTTAAGTATAAACTAGTATATTTATAATTAACTAGTATAATATTAAAGTATTTTAATAAATTATTTTTTAAAATATTTAAAATAGACTAGAGCTTTTTATCTTATAGATAAGTTTTATTAAATAATAATTATAATATTAGTAATAAGGAGATTAATTTATTAATAATAAGTTATTTAATAAAGTATATTTAATATTAGCTATTAATATTTAATTTTAGATTAATAGTAATCTTAGATAGTAAGTTTTTAGATTTTAAAATAATCTAGTTCTAGTAAAAGAGTTATTTATCCTCTTTTTTAAGTAGGTTCTTTAATCTTCTAGTTAATATATTAGGCTTAATACCTAATTTCTTAAAATAGTAATATATTTAGAAGTTAAATTTTAATAAAAATTTAGATTAGTAAGCTTATTAATAATTTAATAACTTAATTAATATAAAATACTCTAAATTCTAATAATTTATAATAATCTTTATAGGTAATAAAGTCTCTTCTAATTTAAAATATTATTTTTTAAAGTAATAAATAATAACTAGTAATTCTTTATTATAAATCTTATAATTATATTTTATTATAAAATATTTTTTAAAGAAAAATATAATAAGATATAATATATTTTTATTATTATATTATAATAATATTCTAGTAAATATATAATTAGAAATATTAATTTCTAGAATTATATTTTTTAATTAATTAAAAAATTTTAATATTAGAATATTTATAAAAGTAGCTTTTAATTATTTAAATATTTCTTAATAAATAAATATTTAATTAAAGTTAATATTCTTCTTAATTAAATTAACTAATAGTCTAATAATTTTTAAAAAATTATAAATAAATTAGTAGTAAAAGTTCCTAAAATTAATAAAAATTTAAATATTAATTAAATAAGTTAGTATTTTCTATTTAATAATTATTTTTACTTTATTAAAATTTATTTAGAAATTATCTTTACTTATAATTAGTTTTAAAAACTTTATTTTATATATAAAAAATTTATATTTACTAAATTTAGTATAAAGTCTTATTATTTATAAATATTTTAATATTTATTAGATATAATAAATATACTTAATATAAGTTTAGTTATAAATTAGAATATTATTTAAATATATAATATAAAAAATATTTAAATAATTATATAAGGCTTTATTAATAAATTTCTAGAATAATATTAGGACTTTAATAAATCTAAATAATATTATTAAAAATTTAAATAAGTTTAATTAAGTTTAAAAAATAATAAGATATTCTTATTCTTTCTTAATTTATAGATTATTAAAAGTAAAAATAATATTAATTTTTAAGAAATATTTTATTTTTTTTAAATTATTTAATATCTCTTTTATTAATAATAGTAAATAATAATTTTTTATAATAATTATATTTAAGGCTTAGTAATCTATATAGAATTATAAGCCTCTTCTAGATTTTTTTATAAATAAAATAGGGAATATAGTAGGAAAAAAACTAGAATAAATAAAATCTTTTTTTAAATTCTCTTTAATCTATTTCTTTAAAACTTTTAGTTTATCTTAGGACATGCTATATAGGCTTTTAAATAATAGAATTTTTTTAGATAGTAATTTAATCTTATAATTATTAAATTAATAAAATAGTAGGTACTTAACCTTCTTTAGTAAGAATATATTATAGAATTTAATAAATTTAGAGAATAATTATTCTTATAGTTTAGATTTAATAATAATAATAAGATTTAAAGTAGCTTTAATATCTATAATAATAATAATAAATATCTAGTATCTATAGTAGGTATATATAGTATAGGTAATAATTAAGATTCTAGTAATATCTTAATTCTTTAGAAATTTAGGGTAAGAATTAAGATATTAAGAAAAAGCTTTTAATAATATATTATATAATATTAAAATCTTTATAAATTTTAGAAATATATTATAATATTTCTTATAATAAAAATTTTTAAATAAAATAGTATAATTAATAAATTTAATCTAGAAATTATAAATCTTTAATTAAAATAAATTAAGAATAATAAAAAAATATATAAATTAAATTATAAAAAAAATAATATTTTTTTTAGTATAATTATAAATTTTTTAAATTAAATAAATAAAATAAGTAATATAACTAAACTTTACTAGAATATTATTAAATCTTCTTAATAAAATAGAGTTTTTTAATAATAATATCTCTAGTTAATTATTTATAGTCTAATTATAATTTATAAAATATTTATTCTTAACTCTAGAGTTAATTATAATAAAGATTAATAGAATTTTATTAAAGATTTCTAGATTAATAAGTAGAATTATTAATTTAAATTAATAATTTTTTTTTTACTATTATTCTAGTTATTATAGCCTTTAATAAATAGAGGGAGTATTAGAAGTATTCTTAATTATAGTTTAGATTAGAGATACTCTATTTTTTAATTTAGGGG